ATCCAGATCGAGTTATACAACAGCTTAATATTCGATTGAAGACACCAACCCCCCCTCCAAGTCGATCAAGCAATACGGCATCATCTGCTTACAAACACCTCAAAATATACGCCAATTTATACGCCAGTCGACTACAATCAATAAACGTATAAATGAGCGTACAGAAAGCAACCAAAATCAAGAAATCAATCAGGCAGTTGTACGGTTGTCAACAGCCTACGAAATGATAGCGAATGATGTTTTACTCGTACGGAAAGAGAACTACGATTTACGAGCTGCACATGAGAAAGAGAAGCAAAAGCGCCAAAAATCTAAAAAGCAAATATCTATTGAGCAAGCGGTTACTAAAGAAGAAGTGCAAGCGCTCGTACAAGGTCAGGTTGAGGCATCCCATGCTGTTACTACTACTCCGGCTGAGCCGGAGCTCCCAGCTTCTCAAGCAGTCGTACGCCGCCAATATCGCTGCAGTGGTTGTAACGTTATGGGGCATAGAATTAACCAATGCCCTAGTCGTATTAGTAGTTAGATTTTTGTATATAATTTGTATGTGGCTTTGAAAATTGGGATTTGAAATCAATATCGCGTACGCGCTCGGGAAAAAATGCCGGCTCGGTAGTGGTGCCGCTTCGGTGGTGAATTACGTTAACGTACTACACGGGTCATTGGGCCACCCCATCAATTCTTCACCGCCGCCACCGCCAATATTCAATATTTGAAGTCCAGTTTTCATGAAAAAACTCATATAAACTTAATTAACTAGCTAACTAGTGCGATTAGGACATTGCCTTCGGGTATGACTAATTCTATGGCAGTCACTGCACGTGGGCGGTGCGCGTCTGCGTGGTAATCCATCCTCCACACTGACAAGGCTTGCTGCTAACTGATTTGCAGCATTAGATTCATCTATAAAGCTTTGGGCCTCTCCTCTGATAAGGCTAGCTTCCTCTGTAATCACTTTCTTAGTCCGCTTGTGCTTTTGGTCCTCCTTTTGAATTGCGGTGCGTAGTTCCATATTTTCCTGTGCCAAAAGAGTAGCATTGTGCCATGCTATCTCACAGCTTTTATACACTTGATTCAGTTTGACAAGGGTCGGATTTGAAGGACTGGAGAATAATGGATCAAGTCTCTTCTTTACCGCTATTGAATGCTGCTTTAATTCATGAGGATTAGAAGGTGTTTGGAAGCAGGAGGACTGCGACTGCGAAGTTCCATGACTACTGCCAGGCGGCGTTGGAGTCTTCAATTGGATATTCAGCTTTTCTAGCACTCGTCCAGGGTTCAACGGGATAAGTCCTGTGGCTGCAAATCCATTCTAAATTGATGTTATTTTATATGCCTCTGTCCGCGCGCGTAGGAAATCGATATGTGAGAATCCCAATCGAGTGCGGTATTCAACATGCTTGTAGTATGACTTCTTTAGTGGTGAAAATATAGAAATATCAAGTGGCTGGCATAGATGTGATGTATGAGCGGGCATGCAAAGGCTTATAATATTATTCTCAATGCAGGTGGTATCAAATTCAGGTGTAGAATGACTGCCATGTCCATCCAATATAAAAAGCCGATATCTTCCCACAGTACGCGTCCTTGTAAGTGGAATAAAGTGCTTTTAAAGCCAATCTAATGTAATTTTATCAGTTGTCCATCCATTATCGCTGCATTGGAAGCGGACAGTTGGATCATCTTCAAACCATGCCATGCGCTTATGCTTGCCTTTAAAGATGATATAGGGAGGGAGATGCTACCCAGTTGAATTAACTGCTTCAATAGCAGTTACCCATTCACGTTTTCCAGGTTGTAATACAAAAGCTTCCTTATTAGTTGTCTCTGCACCTATTATAACCTTTGCGCTTTTGATAAGGCCCATTGCAAAGCCTGTTTCATCAAAATTGTAGATATCGCTTGAGTCAATGCCATACTCAGCAATAGTGGTGCGAACAAGTTCAAACCAGGGCTGGATAACCTTTCGATCTTCGCATTTAGCTTGCTGGTAATGGAAACCTCGATAATAGACACTTTTGACTTCAGGATGGCGATTAATAAAGGTTGATTTCCAATTTATACCGACGCGTTCAATTGGCCCGTCCGATCCTCGATTTGCAAGTAGAAGATTGGCCCAGTTCTCAATAAATATAGGCCGGGGAGGATATCCTCGCTTTGTTAGAGAAAGGACCCTCTTAATAAGTGTTTCCTCTTCAGTAGAAGTCAATTTCCTCTTTGTAGCATTTGATTCTGCCAATGGCCGCCTCCCTTTGAGCCTCCCCTGGAGACTTGTTCGTGGTAGGCCATAAACGCGTGCAGCTTTGCAGCCACTTTGAATTTTTGAAGATTGTAAATCGCGGATTGCACTCTCCTTCAATCCTTCTTGCTTAATTAAATATTTTTCGATTTTCTATAGAGCGAGTTGGACGCATTATCACGTGTGGAAAAGAATATAAGAAGCACGCTGAGCGAAGAATTGATGGGGTGGCCCAATGACCTGTGTAGTACGTTAATCCAGAGAGTTGATTTTCTTCGTATTAATGTACAGGGACAAACCCAGCCGCTGGACAAGAGGGATCATCGTTTTATTATCGTTAAGCTACAAGTTCCTGTCTACCAGAGGGCTTCCGAGTAACTCCAAAGCTGTTTCCATATCTAAGTTTGAGACGTTGATCACATCGAGAGGTGCGGGTCCAAAGTCAACATTCGAAGTCGTATGGTGAGAGGGATCTGGCCTTGTCCTTTTTTTTAGGAAAATACTATATCAATTGTAGAAAATCATCAGCGCATTAAAAATCTGAAGGGACGGAGGGCAAAAGAGATGATCCAAGAATGATTAATGAGGGCTCGTACGTGTAAGTTATACACACGGTCCTTATAAACGTCAATTTTTCATACGGTGCAAGATTCAAAGGTAGTAAACGTTTCGTGTTTTGAAAAGTGGACTATATACGTTAACAAGCTTTGATACATTATTAACGCATTCCCGGAAGATATACAGACGAATCTTGAAGCACTCCTCAACCACCACGCCTCGCACATCCACCGGAGGTCCGGAGAAACCGATTTGACGTTGTAGCGTCAGTCAAACAAGGAGGAGTCAACGGCGTCCTCAACCGGACTTCGCAAAGGCCGTCCGGTCTTCTCTGAGAGATCATAAGGTCTCTCTCATGAACCTGTTTTATCACATGTAGTTCGAAGCCAATTTAACCTCGAGCGTCAGTCAAATTGTGGTAGTCACAATGACGCCCTCAACCAGGCTTCGTAGCGTCCATCTGGTCTTCGGAGTTCAGTGGATCAAGCGTCACCGCGAGCGTCTTCATTTTTCTTAACCTTCCTCTCCTCACCCAGGATAGGGGGAAGTCGAGGTTGACGCCTGCTGAGGGATTGTTTCTCGACCGAGGGGTTATTGATTGTCATCAACCTCGGGAGTCTGATACCTAAGATGACTGTAGTGAGCAAGCATTGCTAGCATACAAAAACAGTACATCTGCTCACGCTCGAATATAGTAAGTAGTTGGTCTTCGTTCTGGGATCTTTTCGGATCCTCTTCGACGAATACAACATCCGCAGAATTGGGCAGAGCAGTGAGTCCCAGCAAGCAATGTCCCTTTCGAGCTGACCCTCGGAGTTTGACAGCAACCACAATCAAAATTACAGCAGGCCCCTCTTTTTTGACACATCCTTCTCAGTGTTTCAAATCGCAATTCTTGAAAATGTGCCCAGCGCCGCACACAAGGTCCTTCTCGCCGAGACGGTAAAATGTTACTCATAGTCTTTTTATGAATTCCACTCCATATTAGAGTTTTCAACTCCTTTTCATAGGCCTCTAAGCACTCTACCTCTGTTTCAGGGAAGCATGCGATTTCCATATCCTTCTCAAAAGAGGTAATTTCCTCTGTCAGATAAATCCCTCGTTCGCAAATTGCAAGGCCGGTAAGGCGTTCTGCTAATTGGCGTCCTATCCATTGAAATTAGCGCTCCTTTTACGATGACGAAGCCAGTCGTTTTTCGAAGTCCATGAGGATATTGGGGGCATGGTACTTTTTGCGCTTTAGTAAGACCTCTTCTATCCGCTCGAGGAATTTCATAATCGCAGTTGAGTGACGGTCAAGATTCTGAGATTTTTGAGTATCGACGTTGTCCGAAGAGCCTTTTGAGTGCGAACATTAGGTATTATAATGGGTACTAGGCAGCAAGAGTAGCCTTCTCAAGACTCTTTGGCTATAACCTGAAAGAGAAATTAATTTTTTGTATATAATTTGTATGTGGGTTTGAAATTGAGACTTGAAATCAAGATAGAACGCGTTTTCGGGGAGGTGGGCGGAACGCTTACATGGGCGGATCGCTTACCGATTACGTTAACTAACTAGTTAATCTATCCCAACTACAACTAACTTAGTTACTTGTAAGTTGTGACTCATCTTTCAACAACTGGCCAGATTTACCCACTCAGGTGTATGTAGTAAGATCGAATCTCAGTCAGCGAAATATATTCTAGATTTCAGAACAAACATCTCATCATCGGCGAAACCATCCCACGCTACACAACCATGACCTATCAACCAGAACAAATCTCGGACTTCATCATCCTAAACCAAAATCCAACCGATGCCTTGATCCCAGCACTGGAAAGTCATCTCCCGACTTCCCTACCAGTGCTACGACGCATTCAATATGATCGCGCCCATCCACGACAAACCGCTTATTACGTAGTCAGCGCCAATCTAACAACCTCACAATCTTCAACCAACTCCAAAAGTGGAGAACCTTGGATGGCAGCTTACATTGACCTTTTCGCTGGTAAAGAGACTCAAGTTTGGGTTTATTCCAGTCTAGAGGCCGAAATACCGCCAACTGAACATATCATCAACGGCGATAATGATGAGGAAATAAGCGATTTTTCGACTATTAGTCTCAGAAAACAGGATATTGCAAGGGAACAGACATGGACTCTTTTGCAATGGATACATCGAGAATTGGTACCTAATTATATGTCTCATGTATTGAAATCCGATAGCCAAAATGAGTCAACAGAAGGTCCAGAGCAGAAGATAAAAGTTATACCAAAACACAACCCGCCCGCCATATTACTCGGCTCGCTACATACGGGACTCATGCGACTGCTCACAACCAATGATTCCTACATCAGTGCCCAGTTTCGGCAAGGACTAAAGGTTCATCGGTACGACACGTTACCTTATGTGAAGTATATATTTGCGCCGGAGATATTTCAGACGAGTAGCAACGATGAGAACGAAAGCAACCCTCTTCCAGAGGGTTATTATTACGGAACTGAAGGACTACGGCCCCAACACGTTGATCTCGTCAAATCCCGGACACATATTCCTCGTGAAAGGGAGACGTTGCTTGCTATGCCTAGCGCGGTTGTATATCGAAATACTAATAACAATTCCGCCGAGCAGACGCCTATTGCATGGGGGTTTCTGGCGTTTGATGGCTCTTTGGCAACATTACATGTTGAACCGGAGCATCGCGGGAAAGGAATTGCGGTTATATTGTCGAGGGAGGTTATGAGGAGGGGGATGGCTAGTGGTGTTTATGGATCTGATTCGAAGAGATTGGGGTATGCGCATGCGGATGTTGCTAGGAACAACGTGGCGAGTAGGAGGGTTATGGAGAAGGTTGGCGGTGGGATTGGGTGGAGGTGGAGTGTTACTTGGGCTGTCGTTGAGATTGTTGATAAGTAGATGGACTGCGGTACATTGGATATATATATAGACTATTCGGATGATTCTTCGACATTCTTCATCTCTTTGTGAGGATATAGACCCTGCTCCACTAAATATTTAGAGAATATGGATCCAAAAAAAGGCCTACCGTACATCGAAGCATCATTGGTCTAGTGGTAGAATTCGTCGTTGCCATCGACGAGGCCCGTGTTCGATTCACGGATGATGCAAGGAAATTAATTAATTCTTTTTTTCCTTTTCTTGATTTTTTGATAATATTTCTGATTGTCGTTTTTCATTTTTTGCGGGCTCGAGGTATATGTAGAAGCTGTGTTGAGGATGATACATCACATGGTTCTTTTTGTATGTAACGCCTAGGAGCTGGGAGACGAGGAAAATCTCCAGATATTACCTAGGTGGCAATGGTTTAAAGTGATATTTGTATTTTATTTAATTAAATACATGCATCCATCGTTCCAAGGTTTAAATGATATATATACCTCTACCGTTGGATAACATAAATCTACCAGATGAAAACGCAACCGTAGTAACAAAACCATCAATATTCCCACCAGACATGTTGTATTTCCAGATAGAAATTCCCTGATCAAGCTTATTAGGCATCCAGGTTGAGAGGTGACCTGCATGAGAAAGAGTTCAAATTCGGGTTCTCGAAAGCATCAATCAAGCCTATATATCCGATTAGTTTCTCATACACTTCATATCCTATAGCGTTGGAGAACATACCTTGAATAGCCGCATACATTCCTAGTCCACACATGGCCAACGACGCGAAAAAGTATATGGTATGCCAGACATTGATACCAACCTGGAAGATACCACCGCTGAAATATCCACGGACCCATCGTCGCACTGTCGATACTTCGCGGTTCACTTGTCCCGTGGCAATGTCGAACCCTTCGCCGATGTCAGAGCGAATCGAATTCTTCTGGATGTCGTAACCGAGAGCAAACATTGGGGGGAAAGTGTAGGTAAGGTTCAACAGCATCGAAGCAGAGATGACACCGACGAAACCGAAATAGTCGGGAATGGCAGCTGCAATGATAAAAGCGATGATCCACCATAAAGGCACCAATATCGCATAGATGATCTTGCCGCGAGTTGTGATCAATGGAGGCGCTCTTAAGAAATCTTGCAAGATGTTGTTGTAGAAAACCTTGATACCAATGTTGCCGTACAAACCACCAGCAATAAGAGCAGCAATAAGAGAGATCATATTGCCTACTGTTTGCCATCCGTAGACGCTGACGCCTTGATAACTAGGATTGAAACTGTATTGACCCTGATAATGATAGACAAAGCAACCATAGATCAGATAGACACTATAAATGAAGAATTGAGCTCCCCACATGGCTTTGATGAAATCAGTTGGGCGTCTCATCTCTGCCAAAAACTCAACGAATAGCTGGACACCAGCGTATGCCAGAACTCCAGACAAGAGACCGTTAATTGAGCCTACCAGCGAGTTTGGCGGCAAGCCGTTGTAGTGAATGATCGGGGGGTAGTTACCAGCGGCATCCGGGCGGATGGTGGTTGGGTCAACCGCACTACCTGCCGATCCCAAAACCGAGATTTTGTAGTTTGGTGGTGAGTTGGCAATGACTCCCATAGAGATGAAGATGACCAATAAGTTCAACCACACTGCACAGTTTGCTACCCAGCCGTAGGATCTAAGTGTTCGGATCTGCGTGATGAAGAAACCAGCTATCACGAACAGAACAGGACAGACGGCATAGCATAGTCTGAATCTGGAGACTTGTGAAATGTTCTCGCCGAATTGTATGGTGACTTGACCTGTAATCAAGAGCAAACCGAGAGCTTGGCAGATGTTGGTAATGTACCTAACGGTTCTACCCCATGTTCTAAGTGCAAGATCTCCGTAGTTGCGTGCTGGAAATTCGTAGCTGTCAACTCCGAGAAAGACGCGGTAGACGAGATACCCAGAGTAACCAGCCATGAAACCAAAGATTGTATAAAAAGCGATACCTAGTTAGCAGTCGTTAGTATTTATCCAGTGCAGGCAATAAGATGGACTTACCAGGACCCCAGCCCAATGTGCCCATTGCAAATCCGGAGCCATAGGGCCCGAGGATATCGGTAGTAATCAAGTAGAAACCTAGCAATCAAAATCAGTACGTTACACCTAAAAAAAATTTCTTTAGACTTACATGCACCAGCTGAAGCAGTTCTCAAAGCTCGACTTGCATTCTCCCATTCTTCATCGGTGATAATTGCTCGATGAGATCGCTCTGCATCGATGGGACTCTTCTCGGTTGGATTTGCAACCGGGGCCGAATTGGTTGGAGCAATTACACCGCCGCTAAGCACATCAGTATTATGATGATGTTTTTTTCGTAATACCCATTCGCGCCAATTGAGTTTGGGTGACTCAAGAGCGAGTTCCTTGTCCCGGGTTTTCAGCGCATAGTGGTGATATTCCTCGAAAGTGATGGTTGGATCGTGCGGAGGCCGATACTGCGGTTTGATATAAGTGCTCAGGACACGCACTGGATCAGGCAAAGAGTCAGCAGTTGCCGGTGTTTTCTCCATTGTTGTTTCTGATCAACTCCTTTGACGATGCGGAAAAGTTCAGTAACGAGGAGGGAGAACGGATTAGAAATAAGTGTGGACAAACAACAGGTAGCACTCCCCAGGAGTGGGGAAGAGGTTAGTGATGCTACCCTACTGAACATTACGCAAAGCTAATAGGTGCTCAGATCCTAGTAGTGATTGTACAATCATGTTTAGTCGCTCAAAAAAATACTCCGCCGTATGCTATCTGTTGCAACCCCGGAGTTAACCGTTGATACAGTGGAGCGGATGTATCCGCTTACCGCTCTTGGCAAGTGCTTATTTCCATCAGACATTGGTCTTATCTCTGTGCTCTGGAGATAGGATGATACTCGCATTATCAGGTAATACGCAAGGATTGCGATTACCGGGGTTTTACTGCAGGTAACTCTAGCCACGTATCCCGGAATCACTTCATCCTATCTCGACCGTCGACTGATGCTTGCTGCTTTTCCCAAAACGGTCAGTCGTTTCCCAAAGTGGTTAGATTGGTCAAGTATAAAATAATACCGTACACAACGAACATGTGGAACGAATTTCGTTATAAAGAAATAAAGAGCATGTACGTACTCGATAGAATATGAGTGTATACCTGATGAAGCAAAAGACTGAGCTTCGTTCAATTGTGCAAATAGCTTCTTGAGTAAAGCTCGAATTCAGCGTATTTTGCAACGACTTTCACTTCTGCTTCCTCCAGCAATTTGACCTCAGCGTAATCGCTTGTATCAGCTGCTTCGATCCCTATACTTGAAACCAAGATACAAAGAGGTTGAATGGACAGCCCGAGACTTACGAGACGGCGATTGCTTTCTAATTTGGTTTACTCCCGGGGAGTAGATGGCCAATACCGCCATGATTATGAGTACTCTGTCCATTCTCTCAAAGGGTAATGCACTACCTCAGCGACTCATCACAAGATACGAGAGCAGTATTGTAGGCATTCCTGTGCTAGATCAACATTTTATATGACTTCTATATCCTGTGCAAAACTGAAATGACCAAGATGAGCTACTAATAATCAACATGCTGCCTAGACAAGTATGGCCCAACAGAACTACCTAGACCAGTTTATCGCGATATACCTAGATGAAGCTCACCAACGTGCTAGCTTTGTGACTGAAAAGCTGCATGTATTTTTTTCCCACCAATCTAATTGAACCGACGGTTAAATAATAAAGCTCATTACTTTCTTCGTCTTTCAGGTGTATTTACTTAAATAGCCCAAACTAAGCATCAAAAGGTTATTAGAGCCTCCGGACAGTTCCTGTGTCGTTCCCCTATACAATTATATGCATGGCTATATCCACACCTCAAGAAGAAGGAATCCAGTTGTAGTTGTGTACTCGTTCCTAGAATATCTATAAGCATGATTGTGGCCAATGGGCTAATTAGGGTCTGATGATCTTCAAACCCCACGAGCCATGCAGGGAAATTGCCTAAATAAGTAGTTAGTTCTTGGCTGGTATATAACCCCGCATGCAAACATGAGTCAAAGCTATAAGATAGCTTCTTGATGAGATTACTTATGGAGAGGGCAATCTCCCAGAATGAGTGCTCTTGTCGTGTCCTGGGATGTACTGGTTTGGAAGGGCTCTGACAACACACAAAAAATGGGTATTCCTTGGGTGAGTTCCTGGTTTCCGATAATCAGATCACAGATATGAGGACTAACTATACAGACAATCTATCTCTACGGCATTGCGCCTTGTAGCGGAGGTCTCGCATTCGGCTATGTACGTTCACTCCATCAACTCAGCTTAGACAGTGAATTAATGACAACAGGATACCGGTTCAATGAGCGGCATTCTAGTCATGCCCCAATTCCTTACTTACATGAATTATCCCAGTAACTTCCTCCAAGGCGGAATTACAGCTTCTATTCAAGCCGGCGCATTTGCCGGTTCCCTGTTAACAGGAGCTTTCCTCGCTGATAAAATTGGCCGAAAGAAGACTTTATTACTCGGATCAGCTATATTCACTATTGGGATTATTATTTCCACTGTTGCGAATGATGTTACTGCTTTGGTTGCGGGGCGTGTTATTAATGGTATAGGAAATGGATGTTTAGCGATGATGGTGCCGAACTATCAGAGCGAAATCTCGCCGAGAGAGTATGGTTTCGTCTTTTTATTTTATCAGCTACGAATATGCTGACCTGAGTTTATATAGAATCCGAGGTCGAATAATCTCCGTTCAGCAATGTTTCATCAACTTTGGCATCCTAATCGCATTCTGGATTCAATACGGCACCAGTCACATCGACGGTCAGGCTGCATGGAGGCTTCCTATCGGTCTGCAAATGATCCCCACAATCATGTTACACGTCACAATGTACTTTATGCCTGAATCACCTCGCTGGCTTGTTCAGCAGGATCGGCAGCAGGAAGCATTGCAGGTGTTGGCGCGATTGCACTCTAAAGGGGACACGAATGATGCATATGTACGGGCAGAATTGACGGAAATTATTGCAAAGTTGCAGTGGGAGAAGAGTAATCCACCAACAACTTATTTTTCTATGCTATTTGGTGTGGAGGCGCGGCGGACATGGCTGGCTATTGGTGTGGTAGGTTCAATCCCTAAGTGCATTGCTTTGGATGGTTTGACTGATCGTGGTATAGCAATTCTGGCAACAGGTTACTGGTATCAATGTGTAAGCTATCCTCAGCTAAGGTCTAAGTTTGAGGAGCCAACTAAATATGATCAGTATCATGTACTACGCAGTCTTCCTCTTCCAACAAGCTGGACTCGGCGAGACTTCTGCTTCGCTACTCGCCAATGGCCTCCAGGGTGTCATTCTGAATATCTTCACGTTACCAAACATGTACTACATGGACAAATGGGGCCGAAGACGTCCCATGATTATCGGCGGAATTGGAATGGGAATAGCCATGATGCTGATAGGTGTCATAATGAAAACCAAAGGTAAGTCTAAAATTCACATTTCAATCTGTGTTGCATACTGACGAACTGCAGGTGACCCAATCTACGACCCCTTAACTAAAAAGACCAATTTCAGCTTTGCGGACCACAACGCATCAAACGCCACTGTTGCTTTTGTGTACATCTATGTGATGATGTTTGCTTTGACGTGGGCTTGCGTGGCGTGGGTTTACCCTCCTGAATTGTTCAGTATGAATATGCGTGGACGAGGGACGTCGCTTTCATCGGCTACGAATTGGTTTGTGGTAGGTTTTGACCCCGTTGAAAACGACATACCTATGACCTGACTGGGTATAGAACTTTTGGTTTGCATTGTATATCCCAACTGCCATGAATAAGATATCGTGAGTAGTCAATATTCATGTAAGAAAGATAGAATCCTAATAGTGACCGCAGATGGAAACTATACCTAATATTCATGGCTCTCTGCTTTCTAATGGCCATTGTCGTCTACCTCTTCTACCCTGTGAGTCTCACTACCCTCCACATCCACGACACCATTCTAACACATAAACAGGAATCCGCTGGCAAAACCCTCGAAGAAATGGACTTCCTATTCACACCAGATCGTACACCATGGGTTCTTTTCGACCATTCCGCGACCAAAATCGGTGCAATTTTTGAGCGTGACATGGCTCATGGCGAAGCGCTTACTGCCTTTAGTGAGTCTGGTAAAGGGGCGAAAGTGGAAGATTTGGAGCATGGGGAGCATGTCGAGAGTACCTGATCCTTGGAGCTTGCTGTTCTATCCTTATAAAGGACTTAATTGACAAGATATATCTTCGTTGGCGATTGAGGATGATGGGACCTGGGGGATGCTTGAGATGAACACCCGTAGATAATTTGATAACCTCGGCTATCAAATTTCAGAGTCAATATCACATTTTCCTTACACGTAAATACCATTATTATAGTTAGCTATATCAAAAGAACGCTGATCAAAATTTTCGCATCTCAGAAGTCTCTCCTCGGGCCACAATTCGCGTTCGTATGGTTGTCGGCGTGAATACTTCCTAATCGGGAATCAAGCCCTAAGAAATTTATTCGGGATCAAGATCAGTCAGCGGGCCGCACGCCAAATGAGTCAGACCGAAAAGATGGATCCAGTAATGAATTAAAATATAAGTACGATTTAGTTCTCACTTTCAAAACTTTGTATTGATAGGTAGTTTTGTACTTTTCAGATTGATTGAACAGCAATCAATCAATTAACATGGCGTCTATTCTGGAAATGCAACCCTATAATAACACCGAGCATGATTCACCGGCCATATCACTCAGTCGAATTCAAACATTAGATCGAGAACAACAAGAAGGATCTTCCCAAGAAGATATGGTACCGGTCATATCTTCACAAGAGCCAATCTCTAATTCGTACGTTCCTCCGGTCTAACTGTTCTCTAGATCATATACTAAGTAATATATTAGCAAAGCAATAATAATCGTCATCGCCTCATTCATCATCGTATTTACTTGTTGCGGCATAAACTTCGCATTTGGAATTTATCAAGCCCTCTACGAAACCCTCTCCCATGAACCCAACACTCCCTTCACAGGCGCTTCTCCAGCTATAATCGATCTAATCGGCACAACAGCCGTATCCGTAATGACCATCGGCGGCCCCTTAGCCGTCGGTTGGGCAAAGAGATTCTCTCCACGAAAAGTGACTCTATCGGGAGCTGCGATCTTCACTTTGGCTCACATATTGGCTAGTTTCGGCACGAAGTTATGGCATTTTGAGCTTACACAGGGTCTTTTGTTGGGCGTGGGGACTTGTTTGGCGTATATGACCTCTGTGACTGTTGCGCCGACTTGGTTTTCGGCGAGGAGGGGGTTGGCGATGGGGATTATTCTTTCTGGTACCGGTGTGGGTGGTCTTGTATGGGCACCCGCATTGAAGGCTTGTATTGATGCGATGGGGTATCGAAACGCTTTGAGACTGACGGGTGCTGTTTCGTTTGTGTTGAATACCGGTGCCGGCGCAGCGATGACATGGGAACCGAGCCGAAAGGCTCAGATTGAGGTTGAGCTAAGTTATGAAACCGCCAGGAATCCACGAAACATCTTTGCGGTACCGCTCGTTGATTTGAGACTGGTCAAGACCCGAAAATTCATTGCCCAGGCTTTGGGAGGGATATTTCAGGGTGCTGCCTATTATATTCCCGTCTTCTTCTTTGCGACTTATGCGAGTACGTTGGGGTATAGTGATACGGCCGGTGCGAATTTCATTGCTCTCAGCAACGCCTGTAACGCAATCGGCAAGGTCGTTATTGGATACGCAGCAGATAGATATGGTCGATTGAATGTCTTGCTTCTAACGACGATTATAAGTGCACTTTCAGCACTGGTGTTTTGGATCCCTTCAACACTGCTCCCTTTTGCGCACCAAGAGGCTTCTCGAGGTCTATTTATCACATTCACCATCTTCTACGGTATATTCGCCAGCGCTTACGTCGCCTTATTCCCGACAAGCCTGGTTGAACTGTTTGGTCCACAGAATTTCGCATCCGTGAATGGATTCTTGTATATGCTCAGGGGACTTGCGACTATGGTTGGAACTCCGGTTAGTGGTTTGCTCATTCGCGGATCGACGGCTGCAGCCCCTGTGATGACCCCGAAGATGTATGAAGGGATGTCAATTTTGGTGACTATGTTGTTGTTTGCGACCGCTTTTTCGGTGGTGTGGGTTAGGGTTGAGGCGATGGTTGGGCCGGATGGGAGGGCGCATTGGAAGTGGAGGTTATAATTCTTCATTCTGGATAGGTATTTGATGAGATTATGAGAGCCTTGAACTGGGAGCATTGGCATACATTGAATGGACTACAATTGCATCTGGGGACCGTCGACGTTACTTCTGTACATTATCGAACACTCTACTCTAGACACGAATTACGATTGAGGGGGCTACTCTGTATTTGCGTTATTTCAATTTAGATTCAAATAGTTCACTCATATTCCTCCAAGGATGTCCATAAACATCAAGTCCATGCAGAATCAAGTCAAATAATCATAAATGGGTATATATTATACTTCAATAACAGACAACTGAACGAGCGTAGAAGATGCTTCCTTCGAAAGGAAAAATATTAACCAATGCATCGGCCAATGCTCCACCTCGTGACATGTCTCATATGACTCATATCATATCATATCTGAAGAGGAAATTCGTGAAAAGAAAGAATTATGACCGGATCATCAAGTGCAGATAGCAAAAGCAAGCGCCAAACTCCAACAACCCTATTTTCCAGTAAAGACAAACCTTAGCTATAGACACTGACACCGCCAGCAGCGCCTCCCCATCGCAATCGCTTGAGGCTACCTTTCACGGCATCTCTACCACAGCCAGTCGATGACCTCACCCCACCGAGCTGTTCAGACATACTCCCACCGATCATCTGATCCATGGCCATCTCTGTTCGTCCAACTTCGCGTCCGAGAGCATAACCGGCTGAGAAACTGATAGCTGAGAATAGCACAACAACACCGGCACTAATGACCCACGTCATCAAAGTTGGGCTGACACCAACTAGCGAGCTGCTCATACTAGTTTGTCGGGATTTCTTTGATGCCGACGTATGAGATGAGCCGCGATCCTTGGATGCTTTCCTCTTACCCTTCGAAGGTGCCGAGGATGAGATTGAGCGAGGCTGCTTAGGCTGCTGCATAGTTCGGGTCTCTGTTCGAGGGCTGCCAGGATTCACTGGTGCGCGTCCACCATCATCTGTTTTTTCACCCATAGCGACTGACTCTGGGACGAGACGGAATGTGGATGCCGGTGCTACTTGTGGACCTGCAGGTGCTGGTGGACTATCGTTCTTTGGTGCTCCACGAACCGCTGTGCCCAGAGATAATAAAGTAGACAGGCTCGCACGTAGTGCGGCATCATGGTCTGCCTGGTAACTGGGAGAAATCATATTGTACGGTACATGTTGGGTGCGGCTGCTTCTGCGAGTGTTTCGAATGGTTGAACTTGAGTTGTGGCGTACTGTCGTAGCTTGACTACTATTTGAGACAAGACTGGGTGTAGTACCCGGATCGTTGTATGATCTCGACCGGGAATATTGCGGTGCATGTGAGAAAGCGTTCGGTTGAGGAACAAAAGGCGATGAGCTTATTCGCGGCCCTAACGCTGTTGAGCGGTCATCTTCGTCGTCCTCCCCTGAAGACGTATTCTCCGACATAGATCCGTGGCGCAAAAGAAGAGCGTCACCTCGCGAGTGTGTTGTAACGTCTTCGTTGGAACCGCTCATCACCTTATCTGATTCGCTGTCGCTTTCATCATATTCATCTTGACTGCTCCCTCCAGCTATGCTCGATTCTCGCGAAGAGTCATTAAGTAGTCTCGCATGTTGCTTTGATCGTTTCTTCTTGTTCCGGATTTGTGAGGCGCGCAGATCTGGTCGTTCTACACGTAAACCTGTTGTAATGATGTCGTCTGTGGTCGCAGCCGATGATAATGAAGATGTCGATGGTTGTGAGGATACCTCGATCCACGAGTCTATATAATACCGAAGTGAGTACAAGTCAAACGGGTTAAAGTGCGGTGCATCAGGCAATGGAGAAGGGGTATTAGGATAAGAACCTTCCATCTTGATAGCATAGAAGCGTGAAAGATGTGGATGTTTACGAGATGAACTTGGAAATATGCTGGAGACGAGTGTAAAAGGGTATAATCACCTTCAGATCGTAGCCTAGGGTTTCGTGACCCTAGGGGACTGTCTCGCGACGATGAAACACCACCCCGTGCCCTGTACAAGGCAGCACTTTCTGAAGCCGCCTGGGTATCGTGACTATGTCTGTCATGCCGATGAGACTCCATCTTGGACAAAGCGACTAAATAAAGTCGAAAATGCTCTGTCCGTTTTGTGAAGTATATAAAGGAATCAAAGATAAAATACTCTTCCTTCCCACAGGAAGGGGCGGTTGAAGAAGAAAAGGAAGAAGAAACGAAGTATCGAATGTTTCGATGTGGGGCAGATTGTAGCGGTGTCCAATGCCAACCCTGTCAGTATCTTATCAGCGCGCGGGGATCGCGGTATCACAATCACAGCACTGTGTATAGTCTGCTGTGATGTTGATGCTGGTCGATGAGAAAAAGATAGAAGGTGGAAATAGACAGATCGAAGCAGCTGAGCGCGAAACGGTAGATGGATGTCATTCGCAAATTGTTGAACAGAGCACGAGGAAGCCTCTTGGACACCTGACCGCCTAAGCAAGGTGCGATGACACCTATGAGTCGTGTCTCCTCTGACACACTGTCCCTGGTGGTTATGATTGGGCTGATCGGATTGCAGTGCGCCGGGGGGTATATAGAAATAATTACGCAGAGTATCGACTCTCTCTCATTATGCGCTGATACAGGATGGAAATAGAATCTCTCGGGCTGAAGAAGGCCGGATGGTGATATCCTTTCAGTTTCATGTGGAAATAGATGAGTTGTCGGTGGAGCCAGCTTAAGCATGCGGGGCTGCGTGCATGTAGCCGTTGATTGGTGCGTGGTCTTAGCCGGTCACATCATGTGTCCACACCGCCCAGCCCCGCTTTCAATATCGCTGATGCCTGAAGTCTAAGGAATTATTCTACAGGAAGTGTATTAACTCATGAATGTATTAAAGAAACCCAGTCCCAATAGACACTACAGATGATAAAAAGACAACTTTTGAGTAACCGATGATTCCACAAAAAAAAAAAAAAGGTATTCCAGTGTACATGAATCAAACAAGTGGCCGTAAAATACTGGTAGCAATTACAACTTACCGTCAAATGGAGCAGGTAAAATCACTTAGTCAAATGAGATCTTCTTGCCAGAGAAGTCTCCGAATCCACCACGGTTGGTGGTGTTGGCACCGGTAGCACCACCACGGCCACGACCACCGAAGCCACCGCGACCACCGCGTTGACCGCCACGGCCACCACCGCGGCCGCCGAAACCACCACGACCACCGCGGCCGCCTCGGTTGCCATCACCCTGGGCACGAGGAGTGCTGAAGTCGAGACGAATGGCACGTCCGCCAATATCAGTACCCTGGAGGTCGTTCAAGGCCTGGCGAGCCTCATCGACAGATGAGAATTCGACATAGCCGTAACCCTTAGGGCGACCAGTCTCAGCGTCGGTAGGAAGACGGATTCCCTGGATTTGTCCCTGTCCTTCGAAGACCTCACGGACAGCATTCTCATCAACACCAAAAACAAGGTTGCCAACGAAGAGGGTGTTGCTCTCAGGGCTGGTCTGGTCGCCGAATGAGCGGGCACGGTTCTGAGCCTTCTCTCTGGGGGCCTGGTTGTTGGCATCACGGGGTTTAGCGTAGTCAAGGTTGATAGTGCGGCCATCGATCTCAGCATCCTTCTTGGCCTCGTAGGCAGCTTTGGCGCTGGAGGCATCGGCATACTCAACGTAACCGAATCTAGGCCGAGGTAAGTAAGAGTCATCTAGAATATAACGATGGTAAAACCTACCCTCGAGAACGACCACTCTCACGTTCAGTCATAATACGAACACCACTGAGTTCACCGAATTCCTCAAACTCACGACGGAGCCACTCCTCATCAACGTTCCATGAAAGGTTGCCGACGAAAAGGTTGGGAGAGTTGTCAGCAGATTCAGTCTTGGACTTCTTAGCGTTCGTAGCAGGCTCCTCCTCGGCCTTACGCTTCTTGGGTGCCTCCTTCTCTTCCTCAGACTCAGAAGAGTCCGAGTCAGACTCGGATTCGGATTCAGATTCCTAAGAAATTCTGTTAGTGCGTTCACTGGATGTGATATGGTGTAGACGAACCTTGTCGGCCTTGGCCTCAGACTCGCTCTCAGAGGAGTCAGATTCATCGCTGGAAGCCTCTTCCTCAGCGGCAACCTTGGCTCCAGCCTTCTTGTCGGTCTTCTTCACTTCCTCCTCAGATTCAGACTCGGATTCAGAAGACTCAGACTCGGAAGACTCCTCTTTAGCTGCAACCTTCTTGGCCTTTGGTGCAGGTTTCTCTTCCTCAGATTCCGACTCAGACTCGGATTCAGATTCGGATGATTCTTCCTTCTTAGCAGCAGCCTTTCCAGGCTTCTTGGTCTCCTTCTTCTCCTCTTCACTCTCACTCTCACTCTCACTGGAAGAAGCGCTCTTCATATCCTCGTCAGAGTCAGAGTCGGACTCGGAGCTGGGAGTAGGCTCCTTCTTCTTGAGAGCAGCCTTCTCCCCCTTGGTCTTCAGCTTGCGAGCAATTTCCTTGCTCTTAGCCTTGGGTGATTGAGAAGGCTTAGTGACACCAGCATCCTTGACCTTGGACAGGACCTTATCGGTAGCCTTGTTGGCCTTGGTGGTAGATTTGGTCTTGGACATTGTGTTTATCTGGAAGAGGAAGAATTGTTAGGTCAAGCATTGAAAGAAAGGGAAAGGGAAGGCATACTGATTGATATAATTAATCAAGCTGAAGTTTTCTGAATACGCGGCAAATTCTCAAGAAAAATCCCACAGAATCAGATTATAAGATCTGATAAACCCACAGATTAGAATCAACAGCCCACAGGAACGCAACGAATCTCAGTCGCAAAAAAATTGCAAGAACCGATCAACACTCAAGGAACAGCCCACAAGGAACGTAGCCCTCAGAACCCACAGTGCATAAGCCCACAGAGACGGACGAGGAAATAATGCAATCCTCTTTGTATGATGAAGCCCTCTAGATAGAATGAATCCCACACAAAGCAATGTGCAAAAACCCAACAGCCCACAGCCCTCAGTGATAACAGCCCACAAAGTGATCTGGAGTACCTTGTCGTGAGTAGGAATCGAATGATATTTACCTTGATAAAAGTTTTGATGGGAAATAAGTGTTAGTTTCCCTATGAATTCTGACTTTGGAAGAGGAAAATGAGGATGAGAAAAAATAAAAAACTGAAGAGGGAGAACTCTTATCTGAAAAAGGTTTCGGACTTGCTGGGGGAATTAATTTTTCACTCACCGCCTATGGGTCCGTGCGGGCTGATAAGGGTTATCACGTGACACACTAGTTAGCATCCATAATTCCATATATCCGTATCCACGGAGAGGAGCCTAGAGAGGAATCAACTACATCTTTTCACAGTCCACATAACGTTGCCTCAACGGCATCAACTTAGGGGCGACATCACCCTGCTATAGACTCCATAGCTACCAACAAGCTCAACTGTTTACCAATTGAGCCTCTTGAGCACCTACAAGCTGGCCAATTGAATTAGTGGTCATCTATCCAATAAAACTAGAGGCTTTGAAGGGAGCTGTGGAGCTTTCAAGGACATACCTTGAGCTTCCCGGTTCAAATGAATCCCTCGGGATTTTTCAGAGTGCTAGGCACTATCGCACGGCAAACTTCATTTCGATCTACATCAGAATCACAGCTGATATCGTCAAGATCCAGAACATTCTCAAGTTTGAGCACGAGGCTATCAGGCGCGGCACCTCCACGAGGATGGACACCTACTCCATTTGTGACGGAGACGGTAGTACGTTGAAGGTCTTATTCGAACATTCAAGTCATTTTACTGATGAATGATTAGGGTGGAGGATGGCATACATGTAAGCACAACTCGAAACTATATCGGCCGCGACACTCGCACGCGATCCCAAGCTAATGCATTTCTCCGAACGAAGATGACATATTTTCCCGATTACTCAAAGAGCGTATCATTTGTCTTAATGGAGAAGTTGACGAAACTACGTCGGCCTCGATTGTCGCCCAACTTCTATTCCTCGAAGCAGATAGCCCGGAAAAGCCAATTCACCTCTACATCAACTCCCCGGGAGGCTCTGTGACAGCCGGGCTTGCGATCTACGACACCATGACTTATATACAATCACCTGTGAACACTATCTGTGTTGGCCAAGCGGCTAGCATGGGATCCTTGTTGCTGTGTGGTGGTCACGCTGGCAAGAGGTATTGCCTACCGCACTCATCGATCATGATTCATCAGCCCTCCGGTGGATACTTTGGCCAGGCCAGTGATATTGCTATTCACGCGAAGGAGATCCTCCGAGTTAGGACACAGTTGAACAAAATCTACCAGAGACATTTGACGGGCAAGAAGCAATTGTCATTGGATGAGATTGAAAAGCTGATGGAACGAGATTATTTCATGGGTGCTCAGGAAGCCCTGGAGATGGGCATTGTGGATGAGATCTTGGACCGAAGGCTAAAATCTGAGAATGAGACTGAAAACCCCAAGGGATACCCATCTTGAAGAGAGTAGGGTTGTACAATAGTGATATGACGTAAGGAGATGTATATTCTCCCCTCGGATTGTGAAGTGCTATGTACTTTAGATTCTCATCTCACGGTCCTCTCTTCTCTTGACGAGATCAATAACATGCATCTACGATTTCTCTCCTACAGGATTGAACAAATTCCAGGTATGAAAATCAGAGGCCTTGACTCTTAAAGTATGGAAGTAACTAGTCCATATATGGTTAGCGTATATGGAGCTCTCCCCGATTATTTCTTGAGCTTCTTGATAGAGTTCACGAGATCATTTATCTGACTGTTTCAAGAAGTTTACATCGCGATATGTCATGCTCGTCACATACGATTCCATTCAAGAAATGGCGACTCCAAGTCCTGTCTGATTTATTTCTTCCGCAATCTCATACTCACTCACGCCGATCCAACGTAAGAATCAAAACATTCCGCAATGTTCGCACTTACAGCACGAACAGCGATAACAACAACGAAAACCAAGACAGTTCCTCTTTTGAGAAAATAACAAATAAATCTCTTGTTGCAAAACGACCATCAGACTCACTCCCGAAATCCCCTCTCTTCCAACTCGCGCAAACACACCAAACCGGCAATCGACTCCGAAAACCTCAAGGAACAAAAGCCGACGATGCTCGACTCGAAAATAATCCATGGGCGGTGGCGCTTGCTTCACCCTTGCGACAATGCACAGCGACAGCAATGCGCTTACCAAAAGCATTCTTAACGGACATGAGTCTCGTTCGACGAATTGACGAATCTACAACAGGGAAAGAGCGAAAGGCTAGTTTATGGTGGATGCCCACGGAATTACTGAAGGATAAACTATCTGCGCCGTCCACATCGTCTGGGAGGAAACCTCCCGTAATGCGACTGCTTACTCGAGCTCTGCTCGTAGAGTTTTTACCTAATGCGATACGGAGAGGGGGCTACAGAAAAGTGCAAGCGTTTCAATTAGTGCCCTCAGACTGGAAGTTGAACTTGAAAAAGTCGGAATATGTTGAAATTAGCAAGGTGGATTGGCCTGAGGGGTTGTCGGATTTGATACTGAAGTATCTGGATCAGAAGATCGTTAAGAGTCTGAAGGAAGCTTATCGATATGAACAGATCAAGCGCGAGAAAGCGGATCAATGGCGGGTTTTGCAAATATCATCTGATCTTTCGGTTTCTAGCTTGATTGAAAGCTTACGACATGTTGAAATGAAGGATATGGGAACTGGAGCTGTAGTCATCCTAGGAGACTCAGGGTCAGAAACGATTAAAGGCGATCCTTTTGCATCGAAGTTTCCGGATTATCTCACTCTTCCTCAGACACAGTCTATGGTGCCAGTATTTGATCTAAGTTCACTCTTATCAGTCTCTGGCCGTCAAGCACTTCGAGAATCAATCCCGCGCTTTAACGAGAAAGCACTCTTTTTTCGTGCGGATGGTCCAAAGTCGGTGGACGCCATGTTGGCTTTGTGGGAGTTAAAGGGCTACGTGATGCACGATACTGATTACGTTCCAGACCTGAGGGATCACAACGATGCCGACGAAGAATAGACCAAGACTTCTCGGGCTCGGAATGACCACTCTGGTCATTATACCATCGCGACCGACAGGATCAATCTGTACATAGCCATCAATGAACGACTATATACAAAAATGATATCAAAAGCGCATGCTTTCTATGTATGACTTGTCTATATCATCAATCAGGTGTCGTGTCAAGCTTCTATCCCGTCTTACCTACTCCTTTGCGCCCAATAAATCACTCAACTTATCAACATAAGCAGCCGGCCTCAGGAGCCCATTCAAAACATCATCCTTGGTAGACACGCCCGTCAAGACAGCCAGCGTGCCCCCCAATTTCCCTTCAATACCGAACCTAATATCGGTATTCGTCCTATCGCCAACCATGCACGTACGGTTGCGATCAAATTGGAATTTCCCTTCAATAGCATCCATCATAGCCTGACTGGGTTTTCCGAGAGCAGTCGGCTCTTTACCAGACATCATAATCAAGGGCGCACTCATCGATCCAGCACCGGGGAATAATGACCCTTGATTGGGTAACGTGCTATCGATATTCGTTGCCAAAAACACTGCCCCACGACGAATGTATTGGAATGCCAGCGCTAATTTGAGGTAATTTATATGAAAATCGAGTCCGACAAGGACAACACCAACTTCGGGGTCGAGGAGAGACGGGTCACCGTTTGCCATTAACTTATAATCTTCTGGTACGAGATCTCGTCTAAGCGTAGGGTCGGTGCCGCCGATAAAAGGGACATTTTCGTTTCGGAGTTCTTGCTCGATACCGGTTTCGCCGATAACGAAGACTTTGGGCTTATCTGCGGGGAGTTTGAGGATGCGCGAGATGTAGATTGAGGCACTGTAGGATGACGAGAAGATTTCCTCCTTTGTAGCACGTTCAAGAAATGTCAGTCGCGAGATTTAGTTTCAATATCACGGTGGTTGTCACGTACGACATTGCTCGGGATACCTAGTCCGTCGAGTTTCTTTTTATAGTCTGCTCGTGATTTCGTGCTGTTATTGGTGACGAAAACGACCTGTTTTCCTTTACGTAGGTGAGAAATGTCAGCACCCACGTGTTGTCCACATTGCCTCAGTAGGATATATACCTCTACTTCGCAACAATTCCAACGTCTCAGCTGTGCCTGGAAATGTATGGTCGCCGGACCAAAGCACGCCTTGCGCATAATTTAGTAAACGCACGAACTCGTATTGCTATGAAAATTGAGAGGCACTAACCATCGCAGTCAAAGAGAAATGTCTACCAATGCCAGAAATCAGTAATCGTACAGAAGAAACAGGTTGTCCCAACTCACATCAAAACGATCGATGAACTCATTCAAGGCGGCGGGGTTGCCTGTAAGATATTGCGGGGATGTTGTCGTCATTGTGTCTGAAGAATGTGGTCGTGCAGAGTAAGGAACGTATGGAGAAGCGAAAACAGTCTATACTGTACCAGGAAAGAAGAATAAAAGAGTATACAACGATTCTATAGCGTAAGAAAAGAATCGTAGCTGGCTTCTCGGATACATTTCTATGCTACAATGCGGGTCGCCTGGTGCCGATTTGGACCCAACACCCACGTGATAGGATATATAATTCTACACCGGACGCCAAAAGGACTCATGGATTACATACTAATGAGAGAGTTCAATTTATAGACTTCTTTAGTATTGGTCATTCTACCAGGAACTGCTTCAGGGCATTTGTCACAACAGGGACTTGATGATGAAAAAGCTTCACTCGTTCTTTCTCCCATCCATCAATAGTTGCTTTGGCCATACCAATACCAAACTGCTCATCGCCCTTGAGCAATTCTTCATATGTCTGGTCGATGAACTCTTGCAAAGGCATACCAATCTTGCCGCCATCTTTTAAGTCGGGTTGGTGTCGCTCATCGTGTAATTCGGTCTGTACTGCTGGTGGGAAGACTTCGACTACCTTGACACGATTGTCGGGTTGTTGTCTGAGTTGTTCCCGGAAGACAAGTATCCAATGGTGCAGAGCAGCCTTGGAAGCGTTGTATCCTCCAGTGCGTAGCACGGTTGGGATGATCCCCAATGTAGCACTGATATAGACGAGGTGGGTGGTCGTCTTTTTGGCTTGTAAGAATGGCAGGAATGCCATTGTGAGATGTATGATACTAGTATAATTCGTAGTCAACTCCTCCTGTACCACGCTCATATCAACGGTTTCTGGCTTGGCGAAATTAATCGATCGCTGGATACCAGAATTCAGAATAATGGCATCAATATCAGGATGTTCGGTGGTGACTTTTGACGCGAATGTGGAGATATCCTGCAGCTTCAAGATGTCAAATTGCATAGCTGAGCTCTTGTCTGATCCAAGCCGCTTGACGAGGTTGTCGAGTCGTTCTTGTCGTCGACCAACCAGCACCACTTGGCTTCCATGAGAGATCAATTTGATCGCTAGAGCCTCACCGATTCCGGAGGTGGCTCCAATAATGAGAGCTTTTTTGTACAATGGGGACGACATTGTCGATTATCGATCTTCAGTTCTTCAAATTTGTCGAGAATATTGAGTTGCAATGACTATGTGATAAAGTCTGCTCAATGACTGATTCACGGAGGGAGACTCGTCGTATTTATAGACAGCGCGAATGCTCTGACAAACTCTATTTCAACTGGAGAGTACTCTCGCATTTTGCCGTTAAAGCCGTTGGAACCCCGAGAGAAATGTGGTGTTTAGAAGGTGGTGGAAAGTGGAAAGTGGTCGTGATAGCCAGATAATGGTGGAGTGCCAAAAAAGTGAAGTTGATTGGCTAGTTCGCAAGTTATCTCTCAGAAAGGATTAGCGTCACCCTGCCATCTCATCAGACCTGATTGGTCGTCGTCTTTGACTTCAAGAATCAAGCTGAGCTGCTTACATGTCTCGTGAGACTCTATCCTAATCCAACTATTTCTATAACCACAACGCATGCAAAGTATGATTGCTAGGCACTTTATGGAATGACTGGTGTTGCTGGCGGCTCCAAAGGATGTCATACCTGTCGCACGCGCAAAATCAAAGTACCGTCTCCAATGCGTTCGAGTATCCATTCGACATTAGCCTAGCACTGACAATTTACCACAGTGTGATCTCGGCAAGCCGACATGTAAGCAGTGTGCTAAAGGCTCATGGACTTGTGAGGGCTATGATCGACCTTTAGTGTTTCGCCATCACTCCTTGAACACTTATTCTCCTGGGCCCCGCCGCCATCTACGGCGAGGCAACTCAAAGCGGATTGGTTCATTAGCAACACCCTCTTGTCATAACGGGGCATCTTTACGGTCTATAGAGAGATCTACTCCTCTGACAGATAAATATATTCTGGGGCCCCGGTCATTCACACATGCTGTGAACAAAGCACTCTACGACCAGTCATTTAGTTCGTTTATCACATCTTGCCTCCCTACTCAGGCTTGCGAAGAAGTTCCTCTGGTATGGCTATCATCTTTATATCATGGATCGATGCATTCGAATGCTCTATCACTGGCTGCAGCCGGCGTGGGATACGGTTGGATTGCACATGAAATGCACTCCTGGGATGCGCTTTACCGCGGCCGCAGTCTCTATTGCAGTGCTCTATCCAGTGCGCAACGTCTGATCAGTAGCTCAGAGTATACCGATGAGCTTTTGCCAATCATGATGATGCTCCTCTTGTACGAGGTACGATGCATACATTGTTTTCTTAAGTTTCAGCTATTGATTGTTAGGTATAGCTTTTTGAGTTTGGTACTCAGTCCAGCACAGGCTGGGAGACTCATGCCAGCGGCATAGAGGCAGCTCTACAGCTTTATGGGTCACAGATGCTTACAAGTCCTTTGGCATATCAGCTGTTTTACTTCTACAGGACTATTGGCGTATGTCATTTTGGGTCTCTTGCTCAACACAAGCAACTAACTCGCGCAGGTGTTACGAAGTCTCATTCTTCGAAAATCTACCTTTCTCTCGAAAGCAGAGTGGATTGAGGCCCCATGGTCATCACGCCCAAAAAATTCTTATCATAAATTCTTGGATCTGGCTGCCGAAGTTCCCGACCTTCTTGAGCAGATTGATAGTATTTCAACTGGCGATAGTCTTGAGCAGCACGGAAATCTATCCCCTGAGAGGCTCCTTCGTCGAATCTTGAATATCATACATAGGATGAAAGAGTGGGAGCGGTTCAGCGGTCCTCATTTAGCACTTGGGCCACCTCATAGACTCTCCTCAAGCGGTACATCAATGACTTTAACTGATCGTCTCCAGCCTCGGGCTCATCGATATCCGACCAGGAATACGTGTGTTAACGGAACTGATTTCGACAAACTTCAGTCCGCTCGCCTTATGCTATTCCATTGGGCTGTCATGCTTACGCTTTATACGAGTCTTTACGGCAATTCCCATTTATTTCGCTTCTCGGAGTACGAGAATAATAACGAGAATAGTCACCTGTTGTCTATGCATGACTTGGAGTTTGCTGCCGAAAATTTGGCATACAAAGTCGCCCTATGGGCAGACTTCTGCTGCCAAAACGCATGGCAGAGCTTCGGCCCAGCCATCGGCATCTTCAGTGTGAAGGCGGCTATGAAATGGTATGAGGTGAGGTTACGGGCGTATTCGTCTGGCATTTCGCACTCGCTTGCTCAACAGCAGTTGCAAAAATGTCAGACACTTCTGGCGCATCTGACATACTGTGATCGGAATAGGGAATTTACAATACCAGCGTCATAGCTATATAAACCTATAGTCAATATCTTCCATGCGTAATTTCGAATGAATACTATGAAATTGTAGAATTCGTAGACCGTCATGTATCTGCCATGTACTTCGAGATGCCAAGACCTGGAACCTTTCTACCGCCGTATGTCATCATCAACTTTCATGAGACCAACAACATCGCAGCAGTGTGTCTCATCTTCAACTGAAGCTATTTGCTAACTCAAATTAAAGACTTGAATCACCCTGCTAGCAAACTCTAACCATTGGTGGAGTTTATCGGGAGTCCATTGGCAATCTCATGATGCAACTTGCCGAAGTACTCTCCGACCTCACATCCCTTAGGGCCTGTGTAAGTAGTCGCCATCTATGTTCCTCAAAACATCCATACCGTCAGCTCGATCTTATACTAACTGCAGGATCATGAAGGGCCATCATGAGGCTCTCGTTCTCGTCAATGTCCACAAAGCAACAGTCGCCAAGACCTCCACGGAAGAAGATGACACCAAACGAGATGCAGAGCAACATACCGATCTCTCAAGAGCAAAAGAGCTTATGGAGCTTCATTATGGAGTGAAGGTTAAGCATATGGGTAATGCGCCGAATTATGAGCCTGTTATTGACGAAGGTCTCAGACGCGCAAGGGAGGACGTCAATCGGGTATTGAGGGAGCTAGATGTTTGATGTAGTATCACATTTACGATGTTTTTTCTTTCCAGAAAACATTCTTAAGCATATCCTGGAATCGTTAATATAATTTGTCTCTGAAAAATAGTAAATATCAAAAGATGTAAACAAGTCATGTGACCTACTCTCGAAAGGCGGTGACTGTCTGATAAATTCTGCTGCGGTTGCCGTTGACGTTATAGAAACATTCATGATTTTGTTTCAATTCTCATTTACAATCACAATCAGCTTGTTGGTACACACATTCGTTTGACCAGCTCTTAGGAGCCATTTATACCCAAGATGACCAGCAATGTAGATGCTAAGCTGCTGAAGCAGACCAAATTCCCACCAGAGTTCAGCAAAAAGGTGGATATGACCAAGGTGAACATAGAGGTCATGAAGAAGTGAGAACTGCCTCAGAAGTCTAAAACATGGAAGGACGCTGATATGAAAAAGATGGATTGCCGGAAAGCTTTCAGAATTACTCGGCAACGAAGATGATGTTGTCATTGAGCTCTGTTTTGGCTTACTCGAGAGCTCAAGATTTGTAAGTAGCCGCGCTATTAATCCTCGCAATATTCGGTACTAACAAGTCTGTTCATTCTACCAGCCCGATATCAAAGCCCTTCAAATCCAATTGACCGGTTTTTTGGATAAAGACACGCCCAAATTCTGCCAGGAGTTATGGAACCTCTGCCTTAGTGCTCAATCTAGTCCTCAAGGTGTCCCCAAGGAACTGCTAGAAGCGAAGAAGCAGGAATTAAAACAGGAAAAGGTATTTTCTTTACTTATTTGTGGCGCAGTTATGTTCCATTGTTGACTTCATATAGTTGGATGCAGAAAGAGCCGCGGAAGAGGCACGCCGACGCAAAGAACAAGAACGCGAGCGCGAAAGAGAACTGGAAACTATCAGACAAAAAGAGAGGTCGGATCGCAATCGTGGGTTCCGCGATAATAGAGGTGGTCGAGGTTTTGATCGCAGGGGTTCCAGGTCACCCCGTCGTTATAGTCCAGACCGACGTGGTGCACCTTCGCGCCGAGAGTTTGATTCCTACGTACCGAGAGGCAACCGGCGAAGTCGTCAAAGCCCTCGATCATATGCTCGTTCAGTATCGCGCTCACCGTCTCTTTCCAGATCACCTCCTCGTCGCTCGTACCGCTCAGATGAACGCAACAGGAGACGCCCGCGATCTGCGAGCAGGTCACCGTCTCCAGATGGAAGGGGATACAAGAGGAACAGGCGCCGAAGCCCACCATACGGTGACGAACGAGATAGATCTGTTGCCCGCAATGAATCATCATCACGCTCACCTAGTCCCAGAAGAACCCGCCGACGCTATTCGTCAGTCTCTTCGCGCAATCCTTCACGCTCTCCAACGCCGCCACGAACTCGCAGAGGACGAGACCGCTCCCCTTCCCGAACTAGAGTCAGACGGAATACCTCTTCAGTTTCTGTATCTCGCTCAAGATCTCGGCAGCCGAGTTACAAGAATCGTAGGAGGCGGTCTTCATCTCGTCGATCGGAAGATCGAAGCGTAAGAGGGTCAAAAACTGATATTGCTGCAAAAAGCCGATCTTTTAGAGACGACCGTCGACTGAGTCGCAGCACTTCATCTAGACGAGATCGCTCTGTCTCTCGCAGTCCAAGCCCAAGAGGCGATAGAAAAAGGCGTCGATCACTTGAGCGATATGCACCAGCAGCCAGACGGCGGCACAACGATTCTCCTGGCTCCCCACACGCAGAAAGGAAACAATCTTCTGCAGACGTGGAGGACATCAAAATGCAGGATGGCAGCGAAGTAAGTAATTGAGTTTCTTTCGTCGAAACATATGTTTGTGCCAATTGATGTGATTGTGCAATTGGCTCATTTGTTTATTTATTCAATCAGGGGAACTGATTTGCAAATGAACTGCTGCAAACAGGCTAAGGAGCGAACAAGTAACAAACTGCGCCTCTCCGCCAACGAGCTTCGAGAGAGGGTACTGAAAGAAAGGCTGAAAGCTATGCGTCGTAAAGCGTCAAACGAGAAGACAGAGGATGTTGCCTAGTTCAGGTAGGTTACACTTGTTGTGCGCATAGTCAATCCGGGAATCCCTACTTCCCTCTCAAAATCAGACACTATTATCGAAGTCGTCTTGCTTCCAGTTCGGACAGTAATGTCTACATTATGTCGAACAGCAAGATATCAGCCTGTACCCTGTTTCACCTATACAGGATGATTAATGTACTCTACAGGGGAGCATTATGCACAGATAATTATCATATTATAATTAATACTACATTATTCTGTTGTTTGTACATACATGCCAAGGTACTATACAGATATCACCACAAGAGTTGCACGACATCTGGCAGCCATGACCTGAAATTAGGCACGCATAGGGCTAACGAGTCCTCTCTTCTCGTTGCTATGGCATCCGCAAGTCTCACCAGAAATCCACTTTCCAAGAATGATCTGGATATCAAGGGAGATATCAATACCGCTGACACAGCCAGTCAAGACACCAATAAGTTCCGCAATAGCGTCAACGGAGACGTTAACAACAGCCTCACCGGCAATAGCAACACCAATAACACCCTTAACAACAGCGCTGAGATCAGCGGCAATCTCGCCTCCGATCCAGGTGGTCAAGGTAGCAATATCGGCAGCGGAAAGGACGGAGATGGTCTCAGCAACAGTGACACGAACGTGCAACCAGAGCAAGACGGCAGCCTTGAGCTCAGCGGTGAGAGAGCACTCAGCACTCAAAAGCCATGCTGTGAGTTTCTCAACAGCGACAATGTCGAGGGTGATAGCTGCCTTAGCGCCAGCGCAGATTCCGAGGGCGGCCTTGATGTCAGCGTCCAAGTTGACTTGAGCAGAGATCCAGGCCTTGAGGGCAGTGATGTAAGTGGCAGAGAGAATACCCTCAACATCAACAGCGGCGTCGATAGTAAGACCGATAGAGCCAGAGATGGAGGCGGCGGTGGAGACGGTTCCGAGAGCGACAGCACCAACACCGACTTGGGCTTCGAGCCAGAGGCCGATGGCAGCCTTAAGACCGGCGGAAAGACCACATTCGGAGCTGGAGAGCCATGCAGTGAGGGCAGCCTTGACATCGGCGGTAAGAGCAACGACGAGACCACCGTTAGCGCAGATGTGGAGGCCAACGGCGACTTCAGAGTCAAGGTCGAGGTTTGCCTTGAGGAAAGCGAGGAGTTCGGCTTGGAGGTCTGCTTCGAGGATGACACCGACAGCGGCACCGACGGATGCAATACCATTAACGTCAACGACAAGGCCACCCTTGGCAGCGATACCGGCGGCGCAGGGAGCGAAAAGGGCAATTTCAGCGACAACGTCAACATCCAACTCGGCACTGGCACCGGTGCACCAGCCCTTGAGGGCGGTCTTCACGGAGACATCGAGATCGATGTCGGTACCGTCAAGCCAGAGACCGAGTTTGGCTTTGGCGTCAACATCGATGAGATCGGCCTTGAGACCGAGACTGGCGCCGACGAAGGCTGCAGCTCCTTCGGCAGAAAGGTCGACAAGCAGGTTGGAGGGGTTGAGGAGGTTGAGGACGCTGGAGATGAGATCTCTGTCATGGATAGAGGGAGTGGGGACTGTGGCGAAGGGCGACGGAAGGGCAAAGGCACATGTTGCCAGAGCCGTGACGGCGAGAGCGGCGAAACGCATGATGGGAGGTTCAAGGAAATATTAGGTAGGTATTTTCTATTAAGTAGAGAGTGAATAGTTTTATTAGGTTAAAATGAATGTCGGGTTGCAATGTCAAAACGAATGTCAGATCGTGATGGATCTATGAAACGAATGTAGAACGAATGAATCGACCAAAAGAATGTTTGGATAGACACAGAGAAGGAACAGAAGGAGGATAGAAGCGGGTATAGCATCGTCTTTATATACTCAGTTCTCACCAGGGGGTGGTAATAATAGCATAGCAACATGGCCGTGGATCCTGGGAAAAAGACTCCATCGATTCCTAGTTGTTGGGTGTAATACTGTGCTAGGACCAGTAGAGTTGTGTTCTCTAGGTCTAGAGCACGGAGCAAGGCTATGGAGCATGAAATCAGAACGAGCTAAAGGCCATGCTCAATTGAGTCAGTGCTGCTTATGCAACTGGTGAGGTTGACAGTTGTGATAGATTAACTTAGGGCTACTAGTGGGACTCAAACATAGCCCAAAAGCATAAACATTCCCCCTATCCGGAAAGAAAGAGTGGAACCTTTTTGGTACAGGATTAGTCCAACTGCAGTAACTTTTGTGGATGTTTCTTTCATAGCTCCGTTTCACATAACAAGTTGTTTATCCTGCCAGGGGAGAAGACTGGTTGTATTGGGAAACAAAAACCAGGATGTTTCCTCGTATTCAGATGTAGGAGTTCATGAGACATCTTGAGACAAACCCCCGGAAATCCTAATTTTGCCTTGAGATTTTTTAACCGATGGTGGCTCAGATCAGATCTTGAAAAATGTGATACGTTTTATGTGAGTATATGGCTTCAATACGAAGAGCTCGTTTTGCTGCTATGCATCTCAAAATTTGTCTTGTTCGATGTTGATTCACGACAAAACCGTATTCCCCCTGCGCGAATCCAAATCCTTGATGGCCAAGACGGCGAGAGTCTATATTTTGATTGCTATGAATATATTGTTTTTTTGCTTCTTTTGCCTATCCGCTGGCATTGATTGAGTATAGAGATGTTTGTTTCCTTCGGAGGATAACTATTCAATGCATTCTCAGGGTCAAAGCTTTGATAGTTGTTGGTTTTGAGTGCGGCGTAGTTCAGGAAGTTCATTCCTGAATCATATGAGAGTGTAGCATTCATGTCTTCCCTTCTCATCATTCGTACGAGTGTCGTACTTGTATCGTTGTATGGTTAAAGAAGGGCTCGGGAGTCCGGATGTCGCCTCGTTGCCTGATCGCCAAGGCTGCAGTCTCTCTCGCCGCTCAGGGCAGGTTTCTGATTGGCTGAACTAAGTGTACCTGAAAATCGTCCGTCCGATAGTTTTCCTTATTCTTAGAACTCATTATCTGCTAGCTTAGCCACTACGCCAGACCCCTTTTTGAGCACTGTATAGTCTTATTTCAACCCAGTCAATACTCAACTGAACGAAAAAGAAGCAAAAAATAGAAAGAGAAAAACAAATTCTCAACCGGAACCGTTCTTACCCGGCGCCGTACTTAAAATGTCGATCTTAACGGCCACGAAATTAAAGTCAACGGCTTGACGTGATTCAATCACCGGGATGAGCTTCCGTGATGTGGATCTTTCTGGGCTGTTTTGTTATGTTTCAACTTCTAGCCTTTCTAGGAACTTTTGAGGCTGTGCGGAGCCCCTAGCTGAGCACCTTGTGGAGACAAACTTCTCTTGGAGACGAAACGGGGAACGCTCTGGTTCTTATTCTTGTCTTTTCCCTCGGAATACTTACAGGAGTCAGACCACGAGTCCAAGAAAGATTGTGCCTTTGGTATGTGTCAGAAATTTGTCTACATTTGGACAGATCCCGGGATATACATTGGCTTCGGTGCAATGGAACTCATCACAATGCTCTCCAGGGTTTGTTCTTTTTCCATTCGGAAAATATAGCTATTCACGTTCTCATTACTAGCCTCGCTCTCACGTCTACTCCGGAGGATCCGGTACAGTCCATACCTAGGCATTGCCTGCCAGCACTAAGTTTTCAGTCAGTGTAGCGGTTTGGAACTATGTTTCTCAAGACATGGCCTTTTCTCAGAAGGCTATCGGCCTCATTTCAGGTACTCCCGATCTCCATCTCGAGAAACCAGCAATATGAATCTTACCAAATCCCTCCCTGCGCGGACTATCTCATTCTGGCGGGCGATATTGGTTGCTTAGCTGACTACGATAAGTATCGCGACTTTTTACAGAAGCAGACACAGCAGTTCAAGCTAGTATGTCTTGTTCTTGGGGATCACGAATTTTATAATGAGACTTTTACATACGAACTGGAAAAGAGCTAGAACAGGAATTCTGTTTTAATGGATAGCTTATCATCCTTGACAAGAGACGGCATGATACTCAAGGGACTTGCGTCACTATCCTAGGATGCACACTGTGGTCTAACACTCCCGACGACTCAAGGGACATTGTCCAGTCAAAGATCAAAAAAAAAAAAAAAAAAAGGTTAAAGGCTGGGCGGTTGACGATCACAATGCGTCTCATGATTCGGACCGTGCCTGGTTACAAGAAGAAATCCAATCAATTCAACGATCGAATGAACACACTAATAGAAGGGATCAGAAGTCATCAATACTGGTGGTGATGCATCATGCACCTTCTCTCGAGAGGACATCTAGTCCACGACACTCACAGAACCCATGGAAAACCGCCTTTGGAACTGATATTCTCTCCCAGTCGTTGCACGGCGTCAAGGTTTGGGTATTTGGGCATACGCACTACAAGACCGATTTCAAGAAAGGAGGTATACAAGTTGTAAGCAATCAACGGGGGTATGCTCTGCCTTGGACTGAGTCCGCCGATACAAAAGATAGATTTAATGTCAGGAAAGTTGTCAATGTGTAATTGTCTTCGATCTAGTTGCTTTCTACAAGCATGAAACTCATAACAACTCATACTTAGTTAGTCCTTTCACAGTTATCCTTCAACCAGTCCTATATATCTTGTATGAAATGGAACGCCGGGGTATTATAGGATTTATATTCCAACATAAGGAAACGGGCGCATCCTAGGAGTACAGTATAACCTGGCAGTATCGCTGGTGTCAAGAACTAAAAATGTCCCTCATGTTCCAAGATTAAAGCGGTCTTCATCCAATATACTAAATGAGCTTGTGGTCAATGTTGGAGCCCTAGAGACTTGCTGATCGTTATATGAAATGTAGATTCTACGGGGGTTAACCGCCCTGAGTGCTCTATACTTCCTGGATGATCACCGGGCGTATGCATGTGTTCAAGACAACAGTATACTACGTCGCTTTGAGAGAAGGCCCAAGTTATGCATTCGTAGTGTGCATGCTGAGAGCAATCCCACACTCCACGTTTATGGGGAGCCACTCCCATAAACAGTAAGTGTACTCTTCTGAATTCAGGAAAATCTTATTACCGTAATATATCGGATTATGCTGGGATATCTTAGAACTTTAGATAAAGGTAAAGACCACGGTGCCCGTCAAAAACTAAGTCTTGAACTTTAACAGTAAGCAAGATGGAAGTTTAAATCATAATGCGATATCACTTTCTCGTTTGGGTCCATGAAATTAGTAAAACGAAGCATAACATACTTAACTAAGTTAGAATGTATTTGTAAGCTCTACGATATAACTAGTTAGTTAAACCTTGAATAGGTGGACTCCTATGACATGTGGTGGCTGCTTAGAAATACTTCTGATAACGAAGTTACAACCTCTGGCACTATAAAAGCCATTGCAAAATGCCACTTTTTATTCTTTTCATCTGTAAATCAAAAAGGTCTGGAAATCGTATTTCGCCATGAAGGAAGTAATTGTATCTCCAACCTTACCTGAGGTCACCGCTCGTGTACAAGATGGTCCAATTCCCAGCATTGGTCCAGACGAGATACTTGTCAAGGTTGTTATTGCAGCTAGCAATCCTAAAGGTACATATATCTTGATATAAGCATCCCTATAAATACATATGATGGCTGCTCACGCCGCGAATTGAATACAGATTACAGGCACTTGTATATAACACAGAAATCAGTCAACAGTGGTGACGATGTCGCGGGATACGTAAGTTCTATAGGCAAAGACGTCAAAACCACGGGCGAGTTTCGCATTGGTGACCGCGTGGCTGGTTTTCACAAGATGCTGTTGCCAGGAGGAGCTTATGCTGAGTATGCGGTTGTTCCAGCTCATACGGCGTTTATCATTCCCGACAATATCTTATTTGAGGGTAAGGGGTAGAAGCTAAAATATTGTTATGCTTTCTAAGGTTTCTATATAGAAGCTTCTACAATTCCTCTCACGATTTTGGCTGCCGCGTTACCTTTGTTTCGCCGTCAAAACCTGCCAGCACCCTGGATTGGACGCTCAAAGAATGCAGAACCCTTGCCATTAATCGTATACGGCGCCTCTTCTGCGCTGGGTACCTTCGCAATCAAGTTGGCCTTGCTAGCAAATATTCATCCAATCATCGCGATATGTGGCGCCACAAAGTCCGGCCTGACTTCTCTCCTCAAATCTGAATTGGGAGACACAATCGTCGACTATCGCCCGGGAGTAGACGCGATGAAGACAGCAGTGAAAGAAGCGCTGAACGGTCTCAAGTCCTACCATGCTCTCGATGCAATCAGTGAAAATGACTCCTGGATCCCGATCTCCCAACTGCTCAGTCCAGGGGGTCATCTATCTGTCGTCCAAGGAGGACCTCCAGACAAATACAGCAAGCCTAGTATTCCGACTGAGGTCAATATTGGTTACACATATGTGGGCTCAGCACATTATGGAGCCTTCAATTCATCCATGCTAAATCAACCTGCGGATAAAGATTCAGTGGTTAAGGATATTGACTTTGCGTACGTGCTCATGCGATATGTGGCACGAGAATTGGCAAACGGCAACCTTTCTGGCCATCCTTGGGAAGTTATATCAGGAGGCCTTGAAGGAGTAGAAAGCGGCCTCAGGAAACTACAACATGGCGAAGCAAAAGGTGTCAAGTACATATATCGGATCGCAGAGACGAGGGGAGTCACATCGGAGAGTGATACTCTTTAACTTTCAGGCCGCTGATCCGTTAGACGACTACGGCTCATCACTTATTACTCTTGCTACAGTCTCATATGCTGAACCCAGAATTTCAATCATCACAAAACTCTTCCTGGAACATACCCAGCAGAATTTTGAGATTTTCTTCCGCTGCACACGGCAGCACACCCAAAGACTTCTCAATCAATTTCCAACAACGAGTGTATATCAAATGTCCTTCCCTTCACTTATAATGGCTACCTCAATCCTTACAAGCCTGCGTGATCAACCTTCCAAATGAGGGTGGCCTAGAAACGCTAGGTTGCGGTCCCCAGGAACTATGATAGTCAAAACCATGGCGATTTGCCGGAATCCCCAACACCTGGCAGAGAGGGTGATTACTTCCTAATGTGATCATGACTGTTTCCTCTTCAATCTTCTTATTTAGTTTGGATTCAACACTTAGGATGAAATCTTGAGACAGAAGAATAAACCATAGACTACTTAGGTAAACAATGCATTGATCAATCATTTCTCAGAATACCTATAATGCGTCGTTACACAGTGAAAATAGGGTCGTCGTCACCATTAAGCACGCGATCGAAGAGTTGTCTTCTCACGGCCCCGACATGCCTTTAGGGTTATAACCTAGTAAAGACAAGTTTCAAATCGAAATAGCTCTTGGTAAAATCGTTCAAATGGCCAGGGGCGTTGTCATAGTTATATAAACCTTCAGAGATTACTCAAATTTTACTACTAGAATAGTTAGACCTGTGAAATTGAGGTTCAAAATGACCGCTACTGAAGCATCTTACGGCGGCATTTCCACCCGTCATCTTGTTAGAATATCGCGAGATCTACCACGAGGAAAACAAGGACATTTGAACAAATTTGGAGACTAGTCATTCCCCTATTTTCAGCTAATCAGAGGTTTCCGAACACTATGCCTCGCTTTTCGTGAAACGTCATGTATGATATATCATATTGTAGATCACGGAGAATGTAGCAGGGAATTGAACTCACCCCCCCTGCCGAAGCACATATAAGAAAGCCAATTTTGTGGTGTGAAAGACAGACGACGGGAGACAACGGGATAGATACAATCTTGCTAGTCATTTTCTTCTTTTCTCATCCTCGTAAAACTACTATTCAGGATTGGTCTGAAGTTAACCCAGTAATCCGACACATCTCCCAGCGTGAAGCCCGCTGCTTTAACGGTTTGTCGCATGCATTGTACTGAAAAGACCTCTGCCGTCCGCTCATTAGTATGACTGACGGTCGTGCTGCACCTTTCCGTGCTCGTGTTGTCTCTTTTCGAATCGCGACAGCGCGACGTCGAATGTGGCTTCTCTACAGCCAAACTATGCACCACCTAATTTTGACCGGTACTAGCGAAAGTAAGTACCTAATGCCTGAACCCTCAGGGAGGTGGTACAGCAGCAACTAACGCTGATAGATACTGCCTCCAGTCCAAGGAGCAATATGTCAGCTATCTCTTCTCTCTGAGGACCAGGCAATCTATATGACCTTTTTTGATTGGATGTACAAGTCTTCCCGCAAGAAGCTACTCCAGTCATACGATGAATATTGGTGGCCACTCGACCAGTATCTTAGCCTGTTCGCACGACGTAGCATGAATCAGGAAGTTCACGAACAGATGCGACGACTACGCTGTCCTCTTTCGCCCTTATATGTTCAGGACTAATACGAAAAATAGTTTCTCAACCAACGATTTCCCGCTGAACTCAAAATCTCTATCGTTCCCGATCACTCGATGCCCGCCCTTCCGAAAATTGCTCCAAGCTCTATAATTTATAATATATCTTCAACAAATGAAGTTATAATTATTAAAATTAAGATTATTAGATAAAAATGTGTGGTGAACAAACCAGCATAATTATTTAATCTCTAAATCGTATAGGTAGGTTGATCGCTCGCCCAGAACGAGATATGCCTGTTTTTGGCCTCTTTGAAGAAACCTCCTCATTACTCTCGATAACCTTACTGTATCGCCTCTTTTTAGTGTTTACCTGCTTTGCTAGCCTTTCTTTACCTCGCTTTACCTCATTCTGGGCTTCCCGGGCCACGCGAAGTCGCTCCTTTTCAAGTTCTTTTTGACGCCTTTTTTCCTCTCGTTCACGGATTCGAGTCTCTCGCCGTTCCTGGATCTCTTGGGCCTTCTGTTGGCGCGCAAATGCCTTTTGTGTACGTCGGTTTGCTGCCTCGATCTTTCCTTGTTCCTTTTGTGACTCAATATTCTGTATTCGCTGTCGTGCAGCTTCAATTCTGCCTGGTGAGAAGAATTGTGCCTCACCGGAATTATCCTTATCAATTAAATCCAGTGGCCGGCCTCGCTTCTGCTGTTTTTTCTCTCCAATTAATGCATCGACCAAGCCTTGCTGCTGATGTTCAAGTATTTCATTCTGTACCGCATATTTTTGAAGTGCTTTGAGAGCAAGTTGTGTAGCCTCTGATAGATCACTCTTTTCCTGTCGAATGGCTTTGAGTGTACGACGAATTGCTCGAACAGATCCTGGAATCTTTCGTTTATTTTCAATATTGCTTGAGATTGGCGATGACGTCTTTTTTTTTGAGAATGTTAAGAACCTTTGGTGGATTGAAAGGGTGAATGCCCGGTGAAGCAAAAGCTGATCGAATATTTTGCAACGTTAAGGTTGATTTCCATGCAGCATAGAATAATCGCCAAAAGGATGCTTTTGTTATCCTTGAAAAGCCACTACTCGATTGAGTAAGTCGATCAATCTCATGAGAATAAGCACCTGCAAGAGGTGGAAAGATTATAACGTCAAGCGGCTGTAATCGATGCGTAGAGTGTGGAGGTAAAATACTAAGAATTATATTGTTTTAATCGCAGTATTCGATATAACGAAGATTAACATGGCTTGAATGACCATCTGTAAGCAAAAGGCGCCTTGAATTGCCTGCTTTTGCCTTTGTATGAGGGTCAAAGATCTTGGTTAGCCATGAAAATTCAAGCTCTTCATTTGTCCAACCCTTCGGAGAATTTGAGGTGTTGGAGGTAATCCACGAGACGAGAGCTTCAAGATATGATGAAGAAGAATTTCTTCTTGGGCATCTGTAAGGAGTTTGCGGTGAATAGAAGTTGCTTCCTGGTTTGACACAGTCTAGCCTTTATACCGACGCCTTAGAGTCGAAGACTTAAGATTATATTTTCTGGCAGTTTTGGCATATTGAGGCGTTTTTTGTGATTCTAGATCACTAATTGCCTTTAAAATATCTGCTTCGTTGTCCATGTTATCGAATTTTGAATGTTATTTATAGGAGCGGGGTAAAACGGGCATTGAGTGATCGGGAACGATAGACGGATGAAGAAAAAAAAATACACTGGATTTACGCGTCTTCTGTGTTTTGTACTGCGATCACTGGGTGCATTCGAGATTTTTCTGTTATGGGAGCATGGTTATCCAATTTGCCATCATCGAGTTTCGCAACCTCAAAGATCGGCCTGGAGTGCTGATGGGTAAGAGCAATTCTTGCAATCCACAGACTTCTATCATGTTAATGCTTGTCCGTAGAACCAATTTCTTCATGCATGGTGATTATCGACTGGCATATTGCCAAATCCTGCAAATCATCTCGTACGCCTTTCGTGATGGAGCCTTTGTCAATACCGAGTTAACCTCGGAAATCATATGGTGGCTCTGAGTTCCGGGCTCTCTTGCTTCTCTTCCCCTGCGGTGGAAACCTGACTTGCTCGATGTTCCCCTCCTCTGGCATTTTCACTGTACAGAATATGGCTACGAGCCTGATCGATCTCTACCGATGGCATATGCCTCCAGCCGCGATGCGCTGCGTGAGTTGGGTCGGGACGCAGAGTTCGAGGATGATGTTGTCCACTACAATTATCGGTGCTGGACCGCAAACGAGGCGAATCGTATGTTCTTAAATTGACGAAGTTCTACTCTGAATGTGGGAAATATCCTTTATATTTAACATGCTATTCACAGGGAATTTCACTAGTCAGGAGCGGCAAAGAGTGCTCGGACAGTCTCGTGAAGGGGTTTTCGAAAGGCACTACCAATTCCAATATGATGTTGTCCTCCGGCTGTCTCAGAAAAGTCTCCTCCAGGTTGGTGGAAGCATGCTCAGGAAATGGAATCCCTCCGCTCCCTCCTCTGAACTGACCGAGGAGCAGCGTCACATTATCTGCCAGGACCCTCGAATCTTAGACCTCAGGCGAGCGAAAAGAGAGGTGATGGAAGGATTGCGATCTCTTGCTGGTACAAAAAGGGAAGCTCAGGAGACTTACCCTCATCTCTACCAGAGGCAGGAGTCGATTTCGAAAGAGCTTTCCCAGCTGAGGAAAACTCTAGCCAAGGATACCAAGGAGACAACTAGGAAGGATTATTTCTACAATGCGTCCATACTCGAAGTCGACAGACAGATTAAGCAACTCCTTAGTCAGGCCGACCCTGAGGACCGCGACGGTGAAGGCCTCGACAAGAAGGAGTGGGAACTTCCTATCCCCAAATATGTGTTGAGAATTTTTATAGGCCAGATGCAGAGAGCTTTGAAGATGATAAGCTTCTCAACCCAAGGCAGTACTATCTACTATATGACAATTCAATCATTTTAGGTGTTTCTATTCAGTTTGGTCATGGCTGACGTTGAAGCTACTGTGTAATCTCGAATAGAAGGATTGTCCAAACGGTTCGGATTCAAGGCAAAGATCATATTGGCTGTCTCCGATTCTGTTGACAATGTTTTGGATCGTCGAGTCTCGTTTCAGCTTTTTCCAGACCGAACTGAATATCTAGGTGACGGATAAGTCCCTCATCCTTTCCTGTCTTCGTACTGATCCAACGCCATGGATATTATTAGCACTTGACCTTTCCACTCCTTCTTTGTCGTCACAGTTTCGCTGGGCCGTGGACACGTGGGGCTACATTGATTCACCTTCTCTATGCCATTATCAACGTTTTCTGTCTCTCTTTCCGTTTCCTGTCGTTAGCAGATGCTGCAGGGTAGAGCAGGGACTTTGGGCGTGGTCAACATGGTCGCTCTGTTCGTGGCGGGAAACCTGAGTGCATATACAGATATCTTGAGTATTTCTCGACACATCTGTAGCAGATCCACCGGGCTACTGCTTGGATGGTTAGCACATTGTTAGCTTTACATGTCATTTTGATATTCACTATCCAGAAGAGTTTTCCACTGGACCAGACGAGCAACCTTTTTGCGCTTATTGTAAGCTGGCTATCCCTTTATCATGAATACCTACACTGACTGGAAATAGGGAGCTGGGTGTTTGGGGTGTTTCATTCTCTTTTCCCTGCAGTATATTCGCCGTCGAGTTTTGAAGTGTTTTTTCGTGCCCATCAGTTCCTGGCATATGTTTTCTTATATGCCATGTCGCGGCACGTTCCGGCCAGTGGACACGTTCCGAGGACTTGCATCATCATCACATTTGTGTTACTTCTAATTGCGCTGCTACTGCAATTATTCTCTGCGATCTATCGAAACGGAGTTTTCTCGTCGCGTGGATGTCCTCAGGCGCGGGTTTCCTGTAATCGCCCGCAGATTGATGGAAAGGACGATTCCGACGTGATCATCCAGGTTCATATTGCCATCACACGACCGATGAGGATTGAAGCGGGGCAGTAAATCAATCTATGGATGCCTTCGGTGACCTGGTGGTCATGGGCCTTAGGAGACATTCGACTTACTGATTCAGCCTCGATGTGGGTTTTCTCGTGAATTGCTGAATCACGCCCGTGTCGCTCCACAGGGATCTGCTTCGTTGCGCGCGTTCATCATTGGACCACATGGCATGTGAAAATGTCAATCGTTTTGAGAGCGTTGTGCTCGTGGAAGATGGCTTTGGTCTCGCAGCTGTCATTCCTTATCTCAAAAAGCTTACAATACTTCGGCTTCTCGGACGAGAAGAGTACATGCCTGGGAGGTCGAGACTCTTGGTAGGTTGCCACGGCATGCAGTTATTCTACGCCAACATTTTAAGATATCGCGATTACCGTGCAACCAATACTGAGTAGTTTGCTTGAAGATGATGTCCTGAAGAAGCGTCATGTAAGTGTCTCTTATTTTCCCCATCAGATCAAATGTTAAGGGCGGGACTAGACTTTGACCATTTCTATTTACGTGGAGTCTGGTAAAATTATTAGAGACGTCATGAAATTTGGAAATTATGACCGAGCCGTCGCTTACAGTGGTCATGCGGATTACAACCGGATTCTGCAAGCAGAACTGTCCGCGAGCTCACTGAAAGACTCCCGAACGCCCAAGAAGAGAAAGGGGAGTCACTCGTGATGGGTAAGCGTCCTTCGATGCAGCTTTCATCTACCAGCTAACACATCTGTAGTGGTAGCGTCTAACCTGATCCGTGACCGAGTACAAGTAATCCTTCGAGACTATGTGCACCAGAAAGTGAGAATGGCTGTTCTTGAATATCAGCCTTGAGCCAAGTCCATCGAATAGTTCTTGGCTCACGGTAGAGTCATCACACTAGCTGTAGTTTCAGCATCTCTTTCATGGTATTTCGTGGGCTTTTTTCTTTTTCTTTATATTCAAATGTATGTTACCAGTTCAGGATAGAGAACAGTATCATTCTAGAGCGCTTAAGGAGTCTCCGAAGGGTACCATTACCTTGGGGGTGAAGTAGTTGAGGATGAACATAGCTCAAAGGTACATATTGCAGAGGAGGGCCGAAATTCCTTCGATGAAAGTGAGCGTGTGACCCTGAACGACACTTGATCCGCAATTTGGTCGTAACAACAGCGAAACGGACGATCCTTGGAGGAGGTTGGTGATTTTTTCAATCATTCCTAGGCTTCCAATTTAGAAACCTTATACTGTAACTTAGCGTATAATTGGGAAGATAGTGGATATGCGAAAGAAACCATAACCTCCATTGCGCGATTCGTTATGGGATTAGCCAGCGCCGGGGACATGTGTTGCTTCGCTCTCTCCCATGCCGCCGACTGAAGGAGCATGTCCCTGCTGAGAAAAATTCTCTCGTAGTCATTCATCGGCAGTATTATAACGGGGAGAATGTCTCCTACAGAAGACAGCCCGGACTTTAACTTTGCCTAGAAGCCCAGCCTTGCGTAAGGCAAGATTCTCATTCATCATATCAAATGTCCGCGAATCCATTGTAATGACCATAATCAAGCTGAAGCAGCTGCTAAGAGCACATGAAGCAGCTGCTAAGAGGACAGTATCTGTGATCAAGGTTGGTAATGTATTGTACCGCTTGTGGAGAAGAGCCAGAAGTTTATGGCTTTGAAATTCATTCCCTGCTGCAACCTTGACCACCTCTTCTGTGATCTGTATCTGATCCCCTCGGCGGTCGAGTAGGAGTGTCATGATTGCATTCCCATCCCCCTCATTCCCTGCTGCTGCCTTGACTACCTCTTCTGTGATCTGGATCTGGTCTCCTCGCTGGTCAAGAAGCAGCTCTAATACTTGCTTCCCTCGATCTTTATTTTGTGCCGCGGCTATAACTATGCTCTGTGCCACCTTCAGCCCTGCAAATGTTTTCTCCAGTAGCAGACTCATCGTGAATAGCTGTCCATTTCCTGCAGCTACCTCTAATGGTGTCACGCCTCTGGATGTCCGAAACTGTGAATCAACGAACATCCTTCCTCCATTAGCAATACGCAAACCAGGATGCCCAGCCTTCATACTATTCAACGCGCGCGAAATCAATTGAGGGATCCCCCACCTGGCTGCTGCGTGAAGGGTGGAGAAACCGATATCTAAGTGATTCGAAGAATACGTTTGCATAGTGTTGTACTGGCGCAGCCATTCCTTCCACATTTTGGACTGCAGTTGGAAGAATTCTTCCTGCTTCTGTCCAATCACAAATTCGGTGCGTGAAAGACTGGCATGTTCCGGCCAATGCTGTACTGAATAATTCAGAAACGCCTGTTTAGATACTGAAATTCTCCTACCTGTACCTGGCCGACATACGTCTATAACGTGGTCAATGCATCGATGCGCTAGTGAGGTATTGGCTTTCAGGTCACTGATATCATCTCTTTCTTTCACAAGGAAGTCTTTGACTGATTTATGTAGCAGTTGCACATGTCCAGCCTGAATGACAATCATCAATCGACACATATCGACCAAGTCTCTCGTAAATTGAAGGCGGCTATCCTCATCTTCATCAGGATATAGCTGACAAGCCTCAGATAATTCTGCTAGGGATAGTGGTCTCCGTGCAAATGAGACGAAACTCAGCATCTGCACTATGACCCGCTGATCATCTTCATAATCACTTGCGATGGCCGCATTGAGTAGTTGCTGATACAAAGAATGTAGGCCTCGTGGTAAGGTTTTCAAGGTCTTCTCTGCATGTATGGACGGAACTCGTGCTAATTCGTCGCACGCAATGCCTACCCACAGGAATGTCCCTTCAGCCTTGTCTTCGAGAATTCGGGACACCTTAGTAGCAACTGATTCTGGGTATTTTTTCTTCCCCCTCAGATCATCAACCCTTTGCTGGATCATTCTTTTCAGATCATTTGTAAACGCCTGGTATGAAGAGAAGTCCTTGTACCTGAAGAAGGATAGAGATTCACCGACTTCAGGATATGGCCGACTGGTGATCAATATATGTATGTTGGAGGGAGTTGAATGCTTTGAATTACGGCTATTGAACGTTTGGTTCATTTGATTGAGTATAATTTGCTGAGACTCAGGTTCGCATTCGTCCAGAGCATCAATGACGCAGTATATTCCTGAATGGGTGGAATCGTGGCCCATATCTATTAGGACGGCCCATAATGCATCAAACGATGTGAACAGTTTTTCTTTACGGCCCTCATATTTACCAAACAAGTATTTCATCAGAATAGGCCACTCATTGATCAGCTGAAAGAGAATGCCTCGTAATATCGCGGTTGCAGTCCTTCGGTTTTCAGCACTGGAATCACAGAAAAAGTATGCAAATGCCTTGTTTTTACCGGAAAAATAGGGCTGATTCGGAAGTTCTTCTGTCAATGTGATGGCCATCGTGGACTTTCCAGTTCCCGGGTTACCGCGTAACCAAAGGATACGTGTTTCTTCTTGGTCAGCTGGTTGATTCAGCGCAAGCCAATGTTTCAGTTCGTCTGTTTCTAAAATCCAGCTGCATGTGCCAGGAGTGCGATCCCCTTTTCTTCGCTTTAACGCATTTCTATCCTCTGCCGGGTCAGTGATGAATAAGCTCTGCAAGCATGACTTTTCCTCTTCAGTGAGGCTGACATCTAGTTCTGAATTAGAAAATATGTCCTTAAGCAATTCGAAGATGTCACATACGCTGTTCTTGTTGTGCTTTATGGTCGGCGACCGGAACGACCTTTAAAAGTCCTTTGGCATAAGCAGCCGCAGTAACAGCGGCATATCCTTGCCATTGCTTGCTTTTATGTGAATCACAGTAGTCACAGATCCCTCGAATTACAAGACATGGGAGCTGATCCATCAGTCCCGCAGCCTCCATCTCAAAGCACAGGATGTCTAACTCTTGGGCAATGAGATCTCGCGTCTTCGCATCCTTCATGACTTGATTCCCAGAAGCAATCAAGCCGTAATGAATCTGAGGCTCGTCTGTTGGCCGCGGGGCTCGACTCACTAGTTGACTCCGGTCACAAGCTGAACAATCATCGGTAATGGTCTTGTGATCGTATGTTCCGCAGAAGAGCCAATCGTCCGGTGGGCGAGAAAATTGGCCCCTGATTTGTTCATTCTTCGCCAGTGTATCATGTATAATTTGCTGGACTTGTTGCTTCCCCATCATCTGATCACTATCTATCTGGCTTATTGCAGTTAAAAGTTCATGAGGAGGTTTATTCAAAGACCCGGTACGTTGAAAACGTCCACCGCTGAGCGTTTTGCCAAGGTCGTACTGGATCACACCATTCTCAGTGCGATTTGGCTTACTGACCACCACATCACCAAGGCGAATATCGAACTTGCTAGGAACCCCACCTCCAATACCAACCATCAGACCGAATCGAAGAGATGAAAACGTTGATAACATCTGTGCCAACACCGTCGCCGCCGAAGTGACCCCATAAATACCCGACGGCAAGCAAGCGACGGCCACGTTATGATCACACAGTCTACCCAGTGTGTATGCGTTGCGGTCGGTCGATGACTGAGGAAGAGCACAGTGAATTTCATCAAGCACAGCTTTCGCGGCCGCCATCTCTAGGGGTAAGGCGCTAATCCATGCGATTGTATAGTCACGGTGAGATCGCTGTATGGTCATTCTGGCATGATCTTCGGATTAGAATAAGCAGGCAGATAAATTTGTATTATTAGGCTCGCTCGGCCTCAAGAATATATTGAAGAATGCTCCTGGCATTGGAGAAATTTATCTCCTTAAAGGTTAGGGATTCAGCTGGTTCGGCTGATCGCAAGGCTGTCTGTACTACGGTGTGAGGAGAGGGAAGTGATCCCAATGTAGCCAATGAGGGCCCTCAACAGTATCAGGTGACGACAGCCCATTACGATCCATGGTGTTCACGCTGTCTATCGATCAACTTACTGCGCAATTCTCACCTATCATCTCTCTATCCAACCTCATTTGTGATTTGCGTTGCTTATGTTTCCAAGTCACTGTCAGGCCAGTCAGTAACACAGACAGTCCATTTAGGTTGCCTGCAGCATGATAGTAAGTCGAGTGAATCAGTTAAAGGATGAATTAATCCAATAATGCATTAATAACATGGATGAGTTTGCTCGGCGAAGGGGCATATAATTTCCTCCTCTATTAGCACTTTGCCAAATTCAAGGCTGGTCACATACGCCGAACCCAGCTTTGATGCTTACCTCTAACTTACATGCGTATTTCGAGCCCTGGACATTCGTCGTCCAAGAAACGACCGACTATGGACACCGCGCAAACTCAGTATACGTTCAACCCAAGTATCTGCTATGGAAGGATTATGGCCTTCGAGGACTTCGCAAAAGTCACCCCAACGACATAATCTTCGGCGGTGGCCGCTACGCTGATACCATAGGGCTGTATCTCAAATCTATATACGAGGACAGAACTTACGATGATTTCCAGGCCCTCGCTCCGAGTGCCATTGCCCTTGCGAACATTACGACTACTGCTCACGGGAGACAAAACATGTCGATGCCTTCTTCAGGCGCCTACACCAGGATCCCCAGCGCCTTTTGGAGAACACGCATGCCGTTAGCTATTCCCTTCCGCTGGCTTGTAGTGCAAGACCGACCGCAACGTTGTCGTTTATGCGCCACGTCGTGCTCTTCCCGCATCGAGTCAACGACATCGGTAGCGTAGAGGGCAGGCGAGGAGCAAGCAGCAGATTTACCCAACAGCGGTACAATACGAAATGGAACAATTTTAAGAGTCTTGTCCGGGAAATCTATTTCTACATCTTGCCTTGGATAAGCTAGATCAGGCACAAAGTTAAGGAAGCAGAGCCTAACACCAAGACTGTCACACTTCCGCTTCAAGGGTTCTGCTCCTTCAACAACAAGCTTTACTGCACACGATAATTTCTGGGATGTTGTGCAAGCAACAATACCGGCGCCCAGTAGCGAACCCTTTATTTCATGGGAGGCTCGAAGGCTCATGTCAGTCAAAGCGTCCGGTCGTGGACCCGCAAGTCCTTTACAAGGCTTGTGGAAAAGATTCTTGGGATGAAAGACCGAGCTACCCAATTGTCCTTCCTCCGAGTCGTCTGGTTAGAGCAACTTCTCTTGTAGAAGATGCAGAAGTTCGGCCTCCACATCTACTTGATTAGAATTGCTCTTCCTATTCTCCTTCTGTTCGCCGTGCATCTCTCCATTAGTGTATTATGTACCGATGATCAGAACGAAAACAGGTTTAGAATCACGACCCTCGCGTTTGGTTGTGTGGAGTTGATGCTCTCCTGTTATATCCTATGGACAAAAGCAACACAGATATACCGGATTCCGCACTTGTTCTTCAAATCACTCCCAAATGTGGTCGACTTGATTGCATTGTCTTTTGGAATTACGCTCTCTGGTATGGTCCTTTCCGGGCACGATCCGCCTAGAGAGTTCCTGCTTTCTCAACTCCTAATTTGGATTGCAGTCATCCTCATGTTGAGGATCTATCGTCCGGTCGGAATCCTTCTTCTTCTTCTGACGGAAACGTTGCAAGCGACGTTCTCATACCTAGCTCTTCTGTCTTTTATTATTCTCGGTAAGCAGTTCAGCTGCAGGCAGCCAGTCTTCCAACTAACGATCCAGGATTCGCGTTCGTACCGTTTCTTCTCCTGCGCAATATTGCTTCGGAGAAAAATATCGTCAACCCTTTTTCAAGCTTCCCACTTACCTTTGCTCAGATGCTCAACTTTATATCTTCCGATTACGCAGCCCTTGAGCCGTACCTCTGCCGGGGTACACACGCTCCGAGCACTCTACATCACCGTCGTTACAATTTTTGTTTCTCAATACGCTGATTGCAATCCTGAATTTAAAGATCCGTGCTGCCGACAAGAACTCGGCAAATCTGTACCATCTACAAATGGCATCTTTCCAGGTAGAGATTGAGCTTGGCCTTCTCTCTTCATCGGTGCGTGTCCGAAGAGATTGGTTTCCAGATTGGTTCTCTTACAGCATGACGGAGACGGAACAGCGTGTTTGGGACGAAATTGTCAAGAAAAATCCCCTGAAATGGACGGAGGAGAACAATTTCAACGAGGACAAGGACAATGCTCCACAAGTAGATCTTCGAGATACCAGCAATCCACAGACTGTCGACTCAAAGACGTCCACCAAAGAGGCATTGCAAGATACTACAGAGGAGGAGCCAGAACCGGCACAATCAACGCAGACCACTACTGAGCTAATATTCGTCCACAACGGGGTTCCCGCAAGCGATTTGATGTCTGCATTAAGCAAAATAGAAGCGGACGACTTGCCACGTGAAGACGGCCTGGTTTGCAAGGCAAAGACAGAGAAAGAATTGCTTGACGAACTGGAGGCGCAGGCTAGAGAGGCAAAAGCTAAGAGGGGCGATGCTACGACTCAGGCATCAACTTCCACCGCTGCAACACCAGCGACTTCAAGCACACCTTCAACTAGCACACAAGATCTTATAGAGCTTAGTGACCTTTCCTGCGTGATATGTGGCGAGCCTGGAAGGAGGTGCCAGGGATGTCAGCTAGTGACTTACTGCTCAAAGGATTACCAGAGGAAGGACTGGAAGAATTATAAGAGAGAATGCAAGGGGAAGTCAAAGGCAATGGATCCATCAAACTGGGTAGCTTTTATGATGACTTTTGATTCTTGAGTGATACTGTAAGAAATATGGTTTTCTGAGGTGATTTTACAGCCCAATGTGCGACTAGACAGAAGGTAATGGTTTATGACAGGTTCCAATTGGAATGTACGGAAGAAATGGACAGATTGGCAATGATCTTGCCTGTTGTTCCACTGTATCGAATGAGGTGAAATGTCATTTTGACAGTCAGAAAAGCCTTAATTGAGGTTCTCTTGGCATTAACGTCGCACGGTACATGTAAATGAAGTACTAAACTATACTACTTACCTTTAGCTCGTACAGCATGTTAGTAGCGATCAAGTAACAGCGTAGTAAATGGATGCAAGTGGTGAAATTAGGGCTAAAATTGTAAACCGACATGGATGACCAAGCTGATCGTTGCCATGGCAACTTTGTTGATTTTATGCCACGTGACTTAGCTCCACGCTAGAGTGCCTTACGGGAGCTCCATCTTTATTCAATGTTATTCATCGCGAGACAACTATATTCTTACACGCAACTTTGGATACCCAACACCCGCCTATTGGGCCTGTATAATTGGAATACGCAATGAGAGCGAGCTTGTACGCGTCGACATAAAATACAATGGCCACCGAGGCTTCACCGACACCCATACTATCTGCGCACAGAATCGGCGGTGTGCATCATCGGTCATCCAGGTCCTCACTTTTGCGACAAGACTCGGGGCGCAACTCACCAGCGACGTACGACAGAAGATTTGTGGAAGAGTTTCGTTCAGAGCCCAAGAAATACGATGGGGACAGTTCAGACGACGAACCGGTCCCAGGACCCAAGTTCAGTGCTTCGGTAAAGGCATTGTTGAAAGGAGACGTTGTGGAGACTTCACCGCAGCGAGAGACAAGCGCAAAGAGACTTAGTATAGCAGCCAGAGACTTTGCATCTGCGCGACCAGAAAGACACGTTCGGGTGGCTTCTCCGCATGATTCATCAACAGGTAGTCCTGCTCCTCGGGTTGTTCGGGTCGGATCTGTCAGGCTACCATCAACGAAGCCTGAGAGCTCAAACTCGGAAGAACAGAGCTACATGAAAGATCTGATTACACCAGCACCGCGAACACGCAGCGTTCGTATCACTGGCTCAAGAAGTTCCACGCGTTCACCACTATCAAACTCGCCAGGCCACAGGTCAACCAACGATGAAGCTCTAAGCGGACAGAATTCTGTAGAAGGTTTCAGCAATGAGAGGCGATCCATGCTAGAAGAAGACCATGCTCCTCGTTTGGGTCCTTCTTCAGTGTTGAGGGCCCGTGCTGGAGAGGAGGTCGGTATGCACAGCTCCCTTCGGGTAAAGCGTGTCGGCAGATTGACTGGCACCTTTCTTAACGGGCCTGCTAGAAGAGGAGTACTGCGCAGGCAAAGTGAAGAAATAGAGGAAAATCTTCAGTCGGAAAGACATACTCCTGACAGAGAGATGCGGGAAGAATCTCCTCGTAATTCAAGAGAAGAAAATGGAGCTTCCAGTCGCTTCGGCAGAATGGCATCTTCGCCAAAACTGTCATGGATAGATTCCGACCCCCGGATTTTGGAAAACCCAGCTCCGGCTGCGGCTCGTCCCAATATGGATATGCCCTTCTCTGGGCCAGCGTCGCCAAAGTCCTCTCGTTCTAGGTCTACGCCGGGTACAACTTCTGAAAGCTCTGAGAAGTCTGAAGTTGCAAACGATCAGCCTCAGTATCGAATTCCGCCTCCAGCACTACCCTCTGCTCAAGACCAGGAAAATGATCCCCCACCAACTTTCAAAAGAGCGAAACCAACGGGGCTCAGTCTTCTGGATAAGCCTGAAAAGTATGCCGTCATATACGATGATGATAATAATAAGGAACGCGAACTACCGCCAGCAACAGTATCGCCTCGGATACCGCTTACTTCTCGAAGCAGTAATACTCCACGCAACACGGTTCAACCGCCTCCTAAGATGTCTGTCTTGGAAACCGCTACAGCGACAGGAGGCGCAGCAACAACGACATCGCAGTCCAGAAAGAAGAGGAGTCAAGTGACCATTAATCACAAAGCCTTCACTCGCATGGATTGCATTGGACGTGGGGGTAGTTCCCGGGTGTACCGTGTCATGGCCGAGAACTATAAGATATTTGCTCTTAAGCGGGTGAATTTGGAGGATGTTGACCGTCTTACTTTGGCTGGTTACAAAGGAGAGATTGATTTGTTGAAGAGACTGGAAAATGTTGATCGAGTAGTACGGCTGTTCGATTGGGAAATCAACATGGAAAAGCATACTTTAAGCGTGCTTATGGAGATTGGAGAATCAGATTTGGAAAAAATTTTGACTTATCGACTAAATGCGGAGGATGCTGTTTTTGATCCCAGTTTCACGCGATTCTACTGGAAAGAAATGTTGGAGTGCGTGCAGGCAGTTCACAAGTATAACATCGTCCACTCGGATTTGAAACCGGCGAACTTCTTACTAGTTCAGGGACGACTGAAGCTTATTGATTTTGGTATAGCCAATGCGATATCGGATGATACTGTCAACGTGCATCGGGAACAACAAGTTGGAACACCAAATTACATGTCACCAGAGGCGCTTATCGATTCAAACGCAGCATCGGGATTACCAGCCAGCGTCGGCAAAATGATGAAACTCGGCAAACCAAGTGATGTGTGGAGTCTGGGTTGTATATTATACAAAATGGTTTATGGACAACCACCATTTGCACGAATCGCCAAATACTACGAGCGAATTATGGCTATCCCCAACCCCAAGGTCCCAATTGAGTTTCCGCAGTTCGCAATTGGAGGTGTTACTGTTCCACCTGGGCTGCTACGAACCATGAAACGTTGCCTCCAGCGGGACCAAACTCTTCGTCCCACAATCGACGAATTGCTCGGTGATCGAGATCCATTCCTGTACCCTGAAGCGCAGCTTGAAGGTACCGTTCCCGTGACGCAGGAGATGATTGCTCGAATTCTGACCAATGTTGTGAATCACTGTCGAGTTCGTGGTGTGCCCAAAGAGGAAGAACTAGCGGCATGGCCAGCGGGATTCTTTACCAAGATCAAAGCTGCTGTTGAGGAGGAGCATAAATAGATTTTTGTCTTATGTGGTCTTTTGTTGACGCTGTCTGACTATCCGACTTTTCTTTTTGGATTCCCTTTCTCGTTCAAGCGTTGCATTCTTTGGGATTTCCTAATCTCTGTTTCTCCTTTGGACTATTCACTTTTTCTATACGACATACCTGGAATGTTAGGCGTGGGACTTTTATGGATTGGGCTTTGGTTTTGGGTTATTACAGCTTTACAGCTGTTACTCTCACTTTTTATGATTCGATTCTATGTCAATATTTGGGAAGCCGCTCGGCTATAAACTGCTGTCAGCGTCTATTGTCAACTCTAGTTTAATATGCATGATTATGTCTAATCATGTTCGCCCCAGCTTTAGATGGACTATCTGATAAGTAATAAAGTATCGGTTGACATGCCCTCCGCAAATCGGCGCATAGACTTTGATATCCCGCGGACAATATCCGGAGCATCTCTTTGCCGGCCGGCAACCATTCCGAGTTGCATCAACACCAAAACAACCGCAACCTCTCTTGTCAATTCAATTGACTCGTACGTCAAGTATTGAAGAAAAAATAAACACTGACAACATGACAACCGCATTCAGAAACAACTGTCGCAAGATCATTTGCATTGGCCGGAATTATGCGTATGCCTGTCCCTCACTCGCATATCTTGCAAGACGAGGTCAGAGAACTAACTTCCTCAATTCAAATGAAAATACAGAGACCACATCGCCGAACTAAACAACGCAAAACCAAAACAACCATTTTTCTTCCTCAAACCTACTTCGTCACTTCTACTTCCCGGTCAAGGCCCCGTGCTTATCCCCAAGGGCGTCAAGGCGCATTATGAAGTCGAGCTAGGACTCGTTATTGGGAAGAAGTTGACGGATCTGGATCCTGAGGATCATCAGACTGCACTTGATTCTATTTCGAGTCTGTCCCTCTATTCCTGTTTCTTCTCGGGCAACAACTGACACTTTGTGGGTTGATATAGGCTACCTCCTAGCAATAGACATGACAGCCCGCAACGTCCAAGACGAAGCCAAAAAGAAAGGTCTCCCCTGGTCCATAGCCAAGGGCTTCGACACATTCTGCCCCATATCAAACCTGATCCCGAAATCTGTGATTCCGGACCCCCACAACGCGTTTCTGAGGCTTAGTGTCGGCGATCAAGTGCGACAGGCAGATTCGACGAATTTGATGCTTTACAGGATCCCGAGACAGTTGGCTGATATTTCCAGGGTTATGACTCTTGAGCCTGGAGATTTGGTATTGACGGGTACGCCCAAGGGGGTGGGACAGGTTAAGGATGGGGAGGTGATGAGGGCGGAAATTGAAGTTGATGGGAAGCAGATTGAGAGGATTGAGGTGGAGGTTAGAGATAGGGTGGAAGGGAGATATGAGTTTAAGGAAACGTGATGGTCTTTAGTGGAATGGCTAAGGTAAATAGATTTTCGTGCGAGATATCATGTTCATACAATACATCAAATGAGATCTCTTAAGGTTGCTTCATACACATAGCTAACTCATAGATCCGCGCCGCGACATGCTTATTTCCACTTCCAGTGAACATTAGCGGTGATTGACTTCACCCCTGCAAATCACTATTCTCTTCCAACTGCGCCTTCTGTTTCGCAGCCAGAGCATTCGCCCTCAACCTTGCCCTAGTATTATATAAGGCTCGCTTCTTATTCCGCAAAGCACAAGGCTTAAAGAACAACTCGAGATGGCTCCATACCCAGCCGACTTTATCAAGATAATCTTTCAACGATGCCTTAAAAGCATGGCCGTCTTCGGAATCTTCGGCGATACCATCGAAGAACGCTTCGACTATGTGGCCTTCTTGCTTGCGTCGAGGAAGCTGTGAGCGGAGCTGAGAGACGAACGCGAAATAGTCATTGATTGTTCGGCCGTTTTGATGGATCTGACAGAAGATGAAGTCGTATTGTCGGGGTACTGGATTTGGGGGAGGCATGGAGTCGGGGATTATTGAATCAGTCAAGGTAGAGAGGGCATCTAGGTCTACCATACTCTCTGAAAGATTCGCGGTACTGGCCACCGGCTCAGGGATCAATTGGGTTGCTTCTCGACTCGTTAGCTGACTTGAAGATATATATCTTGTTGTAGACGCAATACGACTTACGCTTCTTCTTCCCATAGAACAGTCTAACAACACATTTCGGTCGTGCCACGGTCACCTCTGTTCCTGACTCGACCTTTGCCAGACCTGTATTATCCTGTGTCGATTCGACATGCACATGCTGAGTACGCTCAGGCTGCTTCCGCTTCGCGATATTCGTAATCTCTCCCCTAAGCTCAGATACACTCTCCGATAATTCAGCGAGCTGAAGTCCCATGCCCCTAAACTCAAGCTCCAGCTGCTTGGTCACATCTTTCACTGCATTGTCACTGCCCAGGAATGAAGCGATCTGCTGATTGATATCCTCAATCCTCGCAGTCAGCTTCGTGCGCACTAAAGTCACCTCATTCTTCAGCGTGTAGTTTTCTGCTTGAAGAGACTTGACGAGACTCTCAAGATTGGACAGATGCTGCCCGCAGGCCTGTGATTTATCGCTACAAGAGAGCAGTTGATTGTTCATGTCATCGATGCGATCTACAAGGTGGACATGTTCGCGGCGTAGTTGGTAGGCCCATAAGAGCGATGTTTTGGATGAGCTACCAGCTGCATCGTTTCGCTCGGAGTATGTGTTGGACGGCATGATGGAGGTGAAAGGGGAAAAGAATTTCTAGGTGTTGATGTGAGTGATATAAAGAAGGTAGGTAGGTTACCTAAGCAGTTCGCAAAAGGAAAGAGCGAGGGCGGCACCTGCCAGACCACCTTCCTAACAGTCTATCGTCTACATTGACCAAAATAAAAGAACAGTAATGGCATTTACCTCTATCTCTTGCTAACAAGCCGGTATACTACCACCCCGTGTCATTATCGTCATTCGTCCATTCGCCTAGTTTGACTCCTCTGTCTATAGCTCTTTTTGACCTGAACAAACAGAAAAAGATCTCGAGGAGCCCAGGCAACATCGTTCATAACTTCGTCTCGCAGTCATGTATGCAAAAATACACATACTTTATGCAAGAGCAAAGCGTCAGGATACATAGCGGGAAAGAAAAAAGAAGAAAAGACTAAACGCATCCGTAAATGTCTCAAACACGAAGCATGAATAGCATAAATGTTCAACGGTATGAAACTTGAAACAAGAGAGAAAAAAGAAAAAGGGGAAGATGACAAAGGAAATACGGGAACCTGCCAACACCTATTGCATAAGGCCTCTGCAGGAGCATTGCATGAAAAAGCCACTTTTGAAATTTATTTTCCAAAACCAGCTGGATCCAAGCCGAACTGATTAGATGTCCCAAATGATCATTTGCATAATCTGATCTAGTCATCAGGACACATAAGAATGACAGAAGGGATTTTAGATGAGGTCAGCAACGTTCATGGGCATCTCCTCGATCTGAGTGTTGTAGAATTGTTCAATTTCACGCATCATACGGACATCGTCAGCGGTGACGAAGTTGATGGCAACACCCTTACGACCGAAACGACCTCCACGACCGATACGGTGGATGTAGTTCTCACGGTTGGCGGGCAAGTCGTAGTTGATGACCAAGGAAACTTGCTGGACATCGATACCACGAGCCAACAAGTCGGTGGCAATCAAGACACGAGAAGAACCGGAGCGGAACTCCTTCATGATAACGTCACGCTGGGACTGCTCCATGTCACCGTGCATGGCAGAAACGGTGAAGTCACGGGCAGTGAGCTTGTCGGTGAGCCAGTCAACCTTGCGGCGAGTGTTGCAGAAGATAACGGCTTGGGTGATGGTGACGGTCTCGTAGAGATCAGAGAGAGTATCGAGCTTCCACTCTTCCTTCTCGACGGCAATGTAGAACTGCTTGATACCTTCAAGGGTAAGCTCGTCCTTCTTGACAAGGATACGGACGGGGTCGCGCATGAACTTGGTGGTAACCTCAAGAACGTCCTGGGGCATGGTAGCGGAAAGCAGGACAACCTGGGTGGACTGAGGAAGGAGCTGGAAGATGTCGTAGATTTGCTCGGTGAAACCACGCTATAAACATGTTAACTTACATTCTCATAACTCGATAGCACTAAAACTTACGGAAAGCATCTCATCAGCCTCATCAAGGACGAACATCTTGATGTTGTCGGTGCGGAGGACACGGCGCTGGATCATGTCCTGGACACGACCAGGGGTTCCGACAACGACCTGAGGACCATCCTGGAGGGCCTTCATGTCCTCACGGACATTGGTACCACCAATGCAAGCATGGCACTCGATGCTCATGAAGTCACCAATGGCAACAACGACCTTCTGGATTTGCTGGGCCAATTCACGAGTAGGGGCCAAGATAAGAGCCTGACAAGCCTTGAGGCTGCTGTCGATCTTCTGGAGAGCGGAGATGGAGAAGGTAGCGGTTTTACCGGTACCGGACTGGGCTTGAGCAATGACATCGTTGCCTGTTTGATGTTAGAGATCTGTCGGGCTGGATACTCTTGAAGAAAATTAACATACCCTTGATGACCGGCATAATAGCGCGCTGCTGGATAGCAGAAGGGCGCTCGAAACCATAAGCGTAAACACCTGCATGTTGTCAGCCTTCCTGTTCATCCAACTCGCCACCTAACGAATTTTTCCTTGTTCGATAGGACTTACCGCGAAGAAGCTCGGGCTTGAGATTCATGGCATCGAAGGAGTCGGTGACCTCGTCATAGTTAGACTCGATCTGTCCTGTATAGTAGAAAGCAAGTTAGTCGATGATTCTCATGTCAAAAAAAAAAAAAAAAAAAAAAAAAAAAAATTCTGCAAAAGCGTGGCTGGCAGACGGTTATCACACAGCGCAACTGGTGATATCATTATCGCCTGGAAAACTGAGTGCTAACCCAGCACGTTTTACAGGTGTCGCAGCTGAAGATAAAAAATATCATACCCTCAGGAACCTCCTCCAAGCCACCTTTAGAAGCCATGATTGCGAAAGTTGAAATGGGTGATCACAGGCTCTGGCGCTGCGATCGGTTTGACAGTGGGGTTGAGTTGGCAAGGTCGAGTTAAAAAAAACCACAAACAATCCCGCGGGGATATTGTAGTGGTTAACTGAAAGTGAGTGATGAACTTTGTAAAAAAACTAGAATCAAGGCTCTCGAACAAGAGAGCGCTATTAGATCCTAGGAATTGAGTGTTGTATTTGACAGTTATGTGTTCGTTGAGAATAACGTGGGGAGAAAGAAAGAGAAGGAAGAGAAAGGGCAGTTTTTTTTTACATGCCGTGAAATTTTCTATCTTAGCGCGAGGCAACCACTCCCACCTGCCACTCTCAAAGCCTGGTTGCTCTTTCCATTTGCTAGTGTTTGCCGCCTGGATTACGACACCTTATTCGCTAAAATCTCTTTCAGGACCCACCACTTTTTGCAAATAACAAATTCTCATTGGTTCAACAGTCAACGCTTGGTGTAAGTACCCCTAATTACAGCCAATCAGAGCCGTTCAAGGCGTTAAACGCTCTAGACCTGGTTAGGCTTAGCGTCCGGTTTCTGATTGGTTGGATGCATTCGTATTGATGATATTTTGCTTGACATGAAAAGATTCACAGGTCGAATTACTCAACAGAAAAGCGGCAAGGCGACAATCACCATGACAGCAGCAGAAGTTGCTCCCAAGGATGTTCCTCTCCGCCAAGTTGAAGCTGTGAACAGTACGAGGAACGGATGGGAGGCAATCCCCTGTCATCCGCTCGGAGTCAAACCGAGTGGCAACGCCTTGGTTGCAACCTCGAATCTTCGCGACGCTATAGGAACATTCAATATATTTCCAGACGAGGTCGTTTTGACGTTTCTGGAGTATCTAGATCCACCGACATTGTTGAGACTTGGGCGAACGTGTAAAGCACTATATGCATTCACGCGGTCTGAGGATTTATGGAAAGCGTTCCTAGTTGGGTAGGACTCATTCTCGTCATTGAATGTTAGGAACGGGGGTGGACTGACTTATAGTAGTGAAAATCGCCATGATCTGGTGTGGCAAGGGACTTGGAGGGCAACATTCTTGAAGTTGTCGCCATCACAGATCCCAACAATTGATTGCTCAAACCTCTTCTCTGATGCTCTCCATCGGCCTTTCTACTGTGCCCATATATCACTCGACCCATATGTTACCGGCATCCCTTCCCAGAACCAGATTTCCCGACTTGAAAATCTGTCCACTGATGACTTTCAAGCGAAATGGACAAACCGGCCATTCATATTGACCGAACCAGTGAAAGAGTGGCCTGTCTTCAACAAGTGGTCCACAGACGAGCTACTAGAGAAATATAGCCCCACGATATTTCGTGCAGAAGCTGTAGACTGGCCTTTGAAGACTTATGTAGACTACATGAGAAACAACGCCGACGAAAGTCCGTTGTATCTCTTTGACCGCAGCTTTGTCTCCAAAATGGACCTGGAAGTTGGTCACCCTTCAGTCGTTCCCAACGCCGCATACTGGCCACCACCATGTTTTGGGGAAGATTTGTTCGCTGTGTTGGGATCAGACCGTCCTGACAGTCGATGGCTTATCATTGGACCTGAACGATCAGGAAGTACTTTCCACAAAGACCCCAATGCAACAAGCGCGTGGAATGCAGTGCTTCGCGGTTCCAAGTATTGGATCATGTTTCCATCTTCGTCAAAGCTACCTCCTCCTCCCGGCGTCTACGTTTCGGAGGACCAGAGTGAGGTGACGTCTCCTTTGAGCATTGCTGAATGGTTACTAGGATTCCATGCCGAGGCAAGACGCACTCCGGGGTGCCTTGAAGGGATCTGCGGTGAGGGTGAAATCTTACATGTGCCTTCAGGCTGGTGGCATTTGGTCGTCAATCTCGAGCCGTCAATTGCTATTACACAGAATTTTGTGCCTAGAGGACATCTATCTGCGGCACTGGACTTTTTACAGAATAAAGCAGATCAAGTATCCGGCTTTCGCAAGAATGTTGACGATCCTTGTGCTAGATTTGTGGAAAAGATGAGAGAGACCTATCCAGATCTTCTCGAAGGAGCGCTGGAGGAATTGGCTAAGCAAAAGGAGGGCAGAAAGCGCAAATGGGATGAAATTATTCATGCTAATTCTCAGGTTAATGACCCTTGCGGGAGAGCCGAAGAGTTCAGCTTTGGATTCGGCGGGGACGACAGCGATATTGAAGTTCCCTAGTCGGTCTATCTCGACGTTCGTGATACACACGCGTGGCACCACATTCGATGACGCCAAACTCCTCATTGGGGCGGCGTGTCCTTTCTTTCATTCAGTTTCCACTGATTGGCATCTAATGGCATGCCGCGGATTTCGTCGCAGGCGCATCACCACCAAAAACTAGGTATCCGACAAACGCGCCAACAGCCACGGAAATCATCACCCATCCGTTATATGTCATGAAAAGGAGCCTATACATGTCAGCCATTGATACCGAATACTTTTAGCGGGGCAATACTCACATGATGAAAAAACTATAAAACACTTGTACCGCGTACAACGTTGCCATAATCAACCTCCCCCGCCGCTCCAATACTTGCTTACTATCTCTGCCTACAAGCAGTGAGTTCGTGAAACGTGCAAGACCTTCTCTTCTCGTATCTTCTTCCGGGGAGTTGTCACCCGACGTGGTCTCAGTGTCTTGAAAGACAGTCGAGCTTCAGCATATGCTGGCGGGGAGGAACGAAGAAGGAGTAACGGATTGGAGTTCAGGGGTTTATGAGCAAAACGTACCAGCTAATACAGAAGACGAAAACGCTTTGAGGCGCTGTGTATGCGATGCTTCATAGAGACGGGTGAAGTTTCGAACGGCTTCGTAGCCGGCAGTGAGTAGGATGATTGCGAAGAGGGATGCGAGGAGTGAGCCGGTGCCTTGGACGCGCCATTCGGGGAAGATTATGCACATGTTATGAGTGGACCAGGTGAATAGCATCTAATAGCAATATATTAGCTCCTATTGTTCTGCTGTATAGGTGAGAATAGTACATACGTTTGTAACACATTTACCACCTCCGTGGCCCATATCCATATCCCCATGATCCATATGTGAATGATCCATTTCGATAGGATATAGCAAACAAGCAAGGCCACAAATAGTCTCAAATTTTCGTCAGTGTGTATAGACAGCTTCCTCGATGAAATATCGAATGCTAAGTTGAGATCAGCTGTTCGTCCGAATGTAACGAGTCTGTTTCAGTTGTCGTCACCTGCACGATCGATAACGATTCTGAAGCAAGCTCGGATGCAAACAGGACAAACACTGCAATTGCCCGCTTGTTCCTTGCTGCCGTTTTGAGCTGGAGATTGTTCGCTCTCAATCAAATGAAGCAGTTATTGTCTGCTAAGTCACACAACTAGTGGCTATCACAGATATATTATATACTGACGTCAATAAATTATTCACAATGGCAGACACTGTGCCTACTGCTGTCCCTACATCCGCACAAACAAATCCAGCTCCCTCCACGACGAGCATAAACATGTCCAACTCTACAAGTCAAGCACAACAGAACCCATCATCATCGCAGAGCACAGTGACCTCCAATACAACAACGGGACCTAATAAAAATCCCAGCGCAAACTCTGCTTCATCATCAACCACAGCTGCGGGCGCGACCGGGAGCAGCGGCGGCGCGACAGCGAATAATGAGAATCGCGGATTACCATATTACGAGAAACTTCGTCGCGAATTACGCGATATACTGCAAAAGAAGAGAGTGATGGATAGAAGCATGGTAAACAACAACTCCCTGCCAATATCACATATAGGCCGCTAACTCCAGCTGTACGACAAAAACAGGCGCAATTAGAAGAACAAATCTACCGCTTTGAGCAACAATACCTCGAAGATACCAGCGCAGGAAACATCATTAAAGGATTCGATAATTATATCAAGGGATCGAGTAGTTCTTCCGGTCTTGGAGGCGGAGCAGGCAGTTTATCGTTATCAGGCTCAATGGGTGCCGGCGCAGGAGGGACGGGCGGGCGACGGAAAGCTGCGTTTTCAGAGCTTGATAGAGTGTTTAGTAGGAGTTCGGCTTCTTTTATGAGGGTATATCTTCATCCGTGATTGACTTGTCTTTCTTAAGTTGTCTTTGTTGACGAGTGGTTTAGGATTCGCCGGCCCCGTCATCTGCGCAGACTACGCCGTCGCATGCGCCGACACCGACATCATCGCACGGTGGTCCTTCATTATCCTTGAATAACGGCGGTAGTAATGGGACTAGCACAAAATCCGAAGGATCAAAGGGCGGATCATCTAAGAACAAGAAGAAAGGTGGTGTTGGATCGGGTTCGGCGTCTACACCCGTGGCTACCAAAGATGAGGATGATATTGATGTCGATGGGTCGAGTAAACCGCCTGTAAAGAGGCTGAAGATTACTTATGGGCGGGATTGAATCGAGTCTTGAGAAATTTTCGTGTCGCGTTCGAGCGTCGGCGTTATGTTGGGTATTATGGCAATGGAAGAGTATGGGAGGGATGGCGTTCGATATGGCACTAGATGTTAGATTAGAATAGGTATATGATATCCTGATCTACTGTGGTTACACTATATCACGACCGTGCTCAAGTATCAAAGCTAAAACGTATTCGTATTCCCTTATTTTACCAATATGATATACTCTGCTTAATGCCCTACAACTGCAACCTAAACGTAGCAACCTCAAACGGCCTTAACTCAATATCAACGCTCTTCTGTCCTTGAATCGTAGAATCCTTGTGATTCGAAACAATCGGGAACTCGGCCTCATCATCTTCAAGAAGATTGGTCTTCCATACTTTCTTGACCGGCAAGGTAGTATGAATAGTTCCTCGTGCTTTACCACCTAGCGACTCATACACACGCAAAATAATGCTTTTACCAGGTCTCTTTGCGAGTTCACCGCGGGAAACATCCTCGTCATCTTCGCCACGCTTTACTGCGTCTAAAACCAGGGCTTTTGAACCGTTGAGGTGAACGGCGTCGAATGCACCGGTGTTGCTCTTGTTGGTTGCTGAAACGGCGACTAGGGGCTGGTTGAAGTTGTAGCCTGCGCGAATTGTGCGATGATCGAGGGATCCTGAATGCGGCAAGATGGCGTAGCGGATGTGGTGACGACCCATGTCGGCATGCGCATCGGGGGCTTTAGGAGCTCGCAATAGAGATAATCGCATCACGTTACCAACTGTAGCGAAGCCGTATTTCGAGTCGTTGAGAATAGACACTCCATAGCCGTATTCGGAAAGATCGGCCCATTTGTGGGAGCAAACCTCGAACTTGGCCATATCCCAGCTGCCGCCATGTTAGAATCTGGGCTCACAACATGTCTAGTAGAGAGACTTACCTTGTATTGTAGTGAGTCGGTCGGCGAACAATACCGTATTGAGTCTCATATGAAGCCTCAGTATTGCGGACATCGACCGGAAACTCGACCTTGAGGAACTTCTTGTTCTCTCGCCATTCGACTTCACTGTCAAACTCGACATACGACGGCTCACTGTCCACAGCAGCCTTCAAGCTGATGGTGGTCTTGATCCAGCTCTGGTCGCTAATCTTAGTCTCTGTCACTACACTAACACAATGAGGAGAAATCTCCAAAATAGAGGTAGTACTAGACTTGAGCTCCTTGCGTGATTCAAGATGGAAGACCTCCACATCCCATGCCTGCCAGTTCAAGGGCTTATCATCGAAAATGACGAGTTGGCCCGCTTTACCTCCGCGAGAGATAACTTCTCGGTCAACTTCGACGTCATACAATGAAACAATCACGCCGTCTTGAATGTCGACTTTCAGCTTTTCATTGGATAGACGGAATACCCCTGGCCTGATTTCTGAGATGGAAACGCGTGATGACACTGCGTTGTTAAGGAAAGTAGCATCAATTGTACCAGTATGACCGCTGATCTGAGCATAGCGATGTCCCTTGCTATGGCACAGAGCCTCAGGAAGTTTCACAACTTCAGACCGCTTCCAGGGCATGGTATTGATGAACCGAACATTTTCGCCCGATTTAGGATCATCAAACCCAAGTGCGGCCAGAGCTTCCTTCTTAAGTCTGTGGCCAGTGGCGAAGACCTCAGCATATATCTTGTTGCTATCATCATAACACATGCCGATCGAGCTACCAGGCAGACAGTCGTGGAATTGGCAGAGAAGCACCGACTCCCACATGTTATCTAGATCCTCTTTAGGATACTTGTAGCCACCCTTCGCTTTGCCAACGCTTGCCAATGTTGCGAAGTACTCTATCTCGCGAAGCAAAAATTCGGCGGCTCGGTTATTGCGCTTGTTGTTGGCCTGGGATGTGTAGGTACCCCGATGCAGTTCAAAGTACAGTTCACCATACCATGTCGTAAAGTTCACACCTTTGGCAGCCTTTTCTTGCAACTGGTCGAAAAACTCATCTACAGACGTGTTCATCTTAACACGAGGAAGCAAGCCGACCTTGTCAGACAAACCACGGCAGCGACGAAGTTTCTCCAAGTGCTCAAATGTCGGACCACCACCACCGTCACCCTTACCAAAGACCAAGAGTGACGTCTTGTCTTGATCTAATGACTTGTGCTGAGAGATGCTGCGCTTAACGTCCCCGAAATGAGCAGAGGCAGTATACGTCTCAGCCGGAGTCATATGACAGAGAACCTGGCTACCATCAAGAGCAACCCAGTTGAACGTAGTATGTGGGAAATTGTTGATGTTATTCCAGCTCAGTTTCTGAGTAAAGAATCGCTTCATACCAGCTAGCTGACAGAGTTGCGGGAGCTGTGAAGAGTACCCAAATGTATCCGGGAGCCAGAATGTGCGGCATCTCTTACCAAAGTTGCTCTCGAACAAGCGTTGTCCGTACAAGAATTGACGCACAAGAGACTCTCCACTGGGTAGGTTGGTATCATGCTCGACCCAACTACCACCTATGGGTTGGAAGCGTCCTTTTTTTACGTAGCTCTTCACGCGGTCAAAGACAGACGGATAATAAGTCTTCAGCCACTTATATTGTTGAGCCTGGGAACATGTGAAGCGATGCTCGGGATAACGGTCCAAGAGGTCACATTGATTTGACCAAGATCTGGCGACCTTGCGCTTAGTCTCCGCAAATGGCCATAGCCAACAAGTGTCGATGTGACAATGACCGATTGCATAGACAATGGGATCCGTTTCCGTATCATATACTTTATGAGAATCGACCCTGTCACCCAGGTATCGCTGGGCGACTTTGCGAGCTTCTTTGATTGAGTCTTTGCTTCCACCGCCTGCGATGAAAGTATCCATAATATCATTTGCCACCATGAGCGCCTCGTGCTGTTCCCACGAGTCTTGTGGAAACTCCCTTGCGGCATCTGCAACCGTCAGCACTAGAAGACCAAATACCATTAGGTCAATACAAGCCTTACCTCCAATAATCCAGAAATCATAGTACAGAGCTCGAGCATCCAGGTTCACCGCGACAATCTGAGCTTTAGATAATGTAAAATATCGGTTATCATCCGGAGGTGCTATAGAGCTGCCATTTCCATTTCCAAACATGCCGTTGCATGCCATTTCGATATAGAGGACATGTCCTTTGCCATCACGGAAGCTCTCCGGGATAATCCATTCGATACGTTCACCATCGCCCGTCAAGCCTTGTAATGGATGGCCATTCTCCGTCCAGATCAGGCCCTCATTGTGAGCATCCCAATGGAATTCCAAGCGGTCTTTGTCCAGCAAATCTCGAGGAACCGTCAGGTGGATTTTGAACCAATGCGTGGACCAACTTGGACCGAAGGCAGTGCCCACACTGGTAGGCTTGAATTCGTGTGATGTTGCCTCCTCGAAGGTCGGCCGCGATAAGTCCGGTGGGGAGTATACGGAGAGTTTAACGTGGTCTTGATCGGATACAATTGCATCGTAATACTTGCTACAAGGAGGATTAGTATTGATTGATAATCGAGTCAACCAAAGTAGACATACCTGACAAGCCCATCTTCGCCGTATAGACCCTCGTCAGTGAGTTGGCGCAATCTGTCGAGGTAGATGCTTCGAATGTGCTGGCCCACCGGGCGCTCAACCAGCTTCGGATAAGAGCTGGGAGGAGCTCTGGGGTGAGCTTCTCCACCCATGATAAGATCGGATAAGACAGGAAGGATTTGATGATAAGTACAAAGACAAATCCGGAGTGAATCGGAGTTGGCTAAAAGACAATGAGCGTAAGTCGACGAGAGTATCAAGAGAGACGAGGATGATGTCGAAGGAAAATAGCCAAGGGAGGATAAGCACCGGTTATGGTATGGTACTGTTCCAGCCACTTGCAAGGTACGTGCGGGGTAAGCTAGCTAATACATAGTACGGTATTGTACGATACTGTCGTCCATCAATTCTTTCTGACATCCATTTTCTTTTCTACTCAGAGGAGAAATTATATGAAACTCGAAATTTTCTGGGGCTTTTCTAGATTTCCCAACCTATTGTCAACATGGAGATAGCTCACTCGTAACAGAAGAGGAAGATCCTTGCTTGGAATCATCCATGGATGCTGCATCTACCATCGCCTAGACTCTCGCAGTCCCTTTCTTGCCTCCTCTCCTTCATATCCGCAGCTCGGGTGAACCACTTCGACTTTTTAAGACTGTCCGAGTGTCCCTCAGGGTAAGGTGCATCGCGATTGGTTGAAGAAGATGTATTCGCTCCGGCCTCCAGCTCTGGGCGAAATGTCTTAACAGCTGCTTTGAACCTACCCAATCCATGAATCCAGTCATAAGTAGGATCTGCCCAGTCTTCGCATAGGTCGCAGTACAGCGTGTACCGACCAAGAATTTCAAAGTTGCCTCCATGTTGCTTTAATCCATTTCTGGCTTCTTTTTCGGGGAACTTGACGTCGTTGACGGGCCATAGCTTTTCTATCAACTTCATCTTGTCCATGCCTTTGATACACACCAGCCTGGACATTGTTTGCCGGTGAAGAAATAACAATTGTTAAGGCAGGATAGTCGACTGAAAAGTCTTAGTAGCTTGGTAAACCAATTTGGATACCGAAGTTGATGGGGGCTACGAGGAGCATCTCTTCTGTTTATGTCTGTCAAGAGCCTGCTTGAGTCACAGCCTTTGACTCACTGACAAGCGTTTTTATGACTATCTCGCATATTCTCTGACTCAAATAAGCAGCAATATCACAGTAGCCGAGATGAGACGGTTCGATGGTGTTCAGATGTGTTGACGGGCTTAAAACCTCCTAACTTCCCAGTTACTGGATACTTTCGTCGATTCATTATGAATCGTAGCCATATCAAAGTATTGTATAATCTCCAAAGGTTAAGCTCATGGGCATAGCCTTCTATCAATACATGTTAATAGATTGATGAGAATTGACATTACCTAGGCAAACATGGCCATGCTGTACCTGTGTAGTATTACTCCGTTTGCGATATGCAATATTGGCCTATTTATCAGGGAAGAAAGTGCAATATATTAGACTTGTTGTAAATTAGCCACATAGATTGATGCTTGTTCCGGTTAGTAAGGGGTTTAATCTATTGATTATTGTCATATAACTATCTCCTAGCACCACTACGATTGTCATTTCTTGCGCAGGTGCATCTTCTTGCCAATTCTTTTCCAGCGAGATATCTTATGCTCAGCAGTGACTCCTGGGCTCCTTCTCATCATGTTAGCAGTCGGTTGAAGGAGCTGTGATGGTCTGAGTCAGCGATTTGTGGCTGCTGTGACGCATTGGTAGCAACATTGTAGCCCGCTGGCCCTTGAATGGATGGAGTAGAAGATACTGGAGGCACATTCTGTCTCGCCCGACAGAGAGAAACGACTTTCTGGAAGACACCATCTCCATTACCCCTGTCCAAATTTTGTACGCGTATCTCCATCCAGACGGCTCCCAATCAGTTTTCCACAACCAATAAAAGTGAGCATTCCATTCGTTGATCTGATATTCGGCTTCTCTCAATCCAATTCGGGAGGGCCAAAGGTACTTTCATATCCCGACAAAACCTTTCTGGAATGCTGCCAAAGCTCAGAAACCAGATCCAGTTTATCCAAGCCGGATATATCAACATGATCATGTTGATATTGAGAAGCCTATTTAGGAAAGAGGATGTGCCGCGCTGTGGGGCCTTTCCACTGGAGAAACTGTCCTATCAGCCAATCAACAGGCTTCAAATCCAGTTAGGGTTGAGCAGAGGTCACATGACTATAAACAAGTACATTCAAGCATCATTTCAACCTAACGAGATGGGATTCGAATAGTATAATGAGGGATCGCATTGGTGTTCAAAAAGTCCCTGGTGCTTCATGAACAAGATATAATGATGTGTCAGGAGCACCATGGCGCATTGATGATTTGTCCCATCCGGGACTCCCTGTAAGCATCAGGATTGCTGGTTTTGGATTCGGATCGTGCCATTCTTTAAAGGCATTATGCTCTACTTAGGTACCTAGTTAGAAACTCCCCAGTGCCGTGGAATCTCTCCGTAACCTTGTCTTGCTCAAACTCAACGGATAGCTTTTCAAAATCCAAAGATTTTATATTGAACTCTTGCTCCTTGCTCAGGTGGGGAGCGGCAACATATTTTGCCTTTTCAATGTTAATACGAAAAGTAGCGTTACCTAAGTTGCCTGTCTTCTTTGAACTTCATGGATATCGTTTCGAATTGCCTTAGGGAGCCGGATATGGTTATTCGTTATGGCTACGAGAATATGTGGCTTGAGAGTTTCAAGTGAGCCATCATGTCTTCAAGATTGGTCTGATCAAATGGCCATCGGAGCCGCTTAAGGGCAGTTGTAATCTTGGAATCAGATGTCACGCCTAGCTTCCTAGTCATATGCTCAAGAAGTCCTTGGAATGTTGACAATAGGCCGTTGCGTGCTGATAAGCTCTATATGGTATATGGCCAGTCTTAATTTTTAACCTCGTTCGTGAGATCGACTAAGGTGGAGAGCAAACCGCGTGCCTGAATAACCGCAGCGAGCAGTTTTCGTTTCTGAAATAGCGCGTCGACAACTTGTCTTACATAGTCAATAACGGTGCTTGCCAGCTGAACAAAGGTGATCAGAGAGGCAGCACCACTAGTACCATCCATGTTTTTCGAGCTTTTCCATCATTCAATGATTGAATGAAGGTGAATCTTAGAGCCGAATCTGATGCACCCATATACGTATACTTCGTAAGAACTAAGGAAATGGGCATTCAACTATGTAGACGAGGCTCCAGTGGAGGTGGGGAATTACATTTATGGATATTGTTTCATAAGGCGGATTTTAAAAATCACTATGCATCTGTCACACCTTCCCCAAAGTTATTACTAGCCCAAAATTAGATTGTTAAGTGGACGGAAATTATCAGCTCTAATCCAAGAGTCTGTATGAACTTTGGATCGCTGTGAAGGGTGAAGCACCAACTGCTTTAATGTAACTCAAAGCGACCAGGTTCATGGCTGAGTCGAAGTTCTTTGCCGGTCAGGCCTGATTTTAGGATGGTACAGTGTGACACCGAAGAGTCCAATTAACCTGGACCGTAACACTTTAGAAATCTGTCGATCTTGATTCCTGAGGCATCCTTATTGAGTAACGGGCATCAGGATATTGACCATGGTAGAATGTTGTGATTAACCAATTATGCTAATGAGCTGCACGCTATACCCCTTCGTCAGACCCTTTAGGACTACAAGCGAGTAACCTAGCACATGTGTTGAGATACTTGACGGAGCAGTGTCCAAACATGGAATGAAACCTAGTCTTCAAAGCAGAATGGAAACGCCAACACTACAGAGTCAGCAATCCTACATCCAGCCTGCAAGCTATAGATTTGAGCGTTGTTCCATTATCGCTACCTGACTCAGCCTCAGTATATGTAAACTAGGGCATGTTACCCGAAACGGGAACACATACAATACACCTGCATATTGCTACAGAACGCCACGCAGTAAGGACTCGCTTCTCTTCACTCTCTTTAATAGTCTATGGTCTGACAGCAGAGATAACTTTTAATAAAATTTCGGAAGATTTTGTGATACTTCGGCCTCACCGGAGGGGAATGGGGAGGGGAAATGTGATATGTCACCTCGTTCCTGCTATTACCTGCAGACGGGGAATCAAAGCAACTGGCTCTGTTAACCTACTGGATTTTACGGAATTAGGGTTTGCGAACATTATTGAATCTACTAACATAGTATGTAGAATTTTGAACCGGGTGGCTTGCCCGGTGTCGTCAGGTCCATTGGAAGTCCCAAGGAGGATTACTGAAGGTAGGTCAGGTCAATATTTCAAAGAATAACTACATACATGCATGCATACTAGCATTAAGCCGAATTATCAAACATTATCTACATATAAGGAACCAAAAATATAGAGTCCCATTTTAAACCCAATGATTAATAGATCCATCAGGATACTGGCCAATAGGCCCCACGAGACGGATCTGTTTCTTCATTTCTGCCCTTCGACGCGCCGCTTGCGCGCTCGCAATCTTTTGCTTTGCGCTATTATAGGCAGCTGCGACTAATACAAGGCTGGCTTTGGTTTTTGTCTTGCTTTTTGTTCGGAGATGGCGCGCGTATTCGGGTATTGATATCACTGGTACTGCTCCTTCTTCTCCCGGTGAAGTCGGTGAGGTATGAAAGTGGGTTTGTATAGAAAGTATTGGCTTTTGGGCCGTCATTCGGACTAAGGCAGGGTCCGGGTTGGTTGCAGATGATATATCATCAGTACTGGTGCTAATCTGCGGTCTGATCCTCTGCGAAGGAGGAGGTTGGCTGTAGCTTCTTCGAGCTCTTATGGCCGCTGTCGTTGTTGTCGGAGTTAACTTGCTCTCTGCATGCGATACGATACTGAGTACTGTGGTAGAAGTTGATTTCCATAGTGCTATGGATTCTTCCTTGAGTTCGGACCGAGTAGAAACAAATGGCCGGGACATGTCACGCATACGTTGTCGAACAGTAGCAAAACTGGGTTTTTTGGAGCGTTCTTCAACTGTATATTCGATAGCGTTGTCGACAAGAGTTGCATCAGAGTCATTCAATGAAGAGTTTGAGGAGTCGTTGCGGAATAACTGTGCCCTTTCTCGTGGGCTCTCCTCTCTTTCATCATCCCCAGCGCCAGACTTCTTTCGTGAACCCAATCGAGAGCCTTTGCTCACTAGTCTCTGTTGTATTTGACTAGTTACCGGCTTGAGATTGATTCCAAACACTTCCCCTTTAGACATCTGTTGCCTACTGAAACCCTTCGGAAGCCGAGGTCGACCTTTCCTCGGTGATCGTGTAGTTGAAGTTGGCGATGTTGCCTGTGGTCCCAATTCGGGAAAAATCTCCCACTTCTTTTCCCTGAAGTAATGATTTGCTCTAGCTAGATGCATACCGACTCCATACTGCTCTTCAGTCAGGAATGTCTTGAACCCTATAGAGGTCCTATCATTTATACGCGTGGCCAGTGAGTTTCGATGCGCGACGTTGTTTCGTCGGCGGTAGAAACGTGTTGATGTTGTGTCTGTGTCGGTGTTGGATTTTGTTATTTTCCTTCCGGTTGGTGCCAACAGAATTTCGTTGTTGTTGACAGCTGCTTTCTCGGTGTAGTCAACCAGGCTGATGGTACTGCCGATAGTTTTGTCCCCTGTGCTGTAGACACTAACTGGCCGACTCGGGGTCTTCGGCAAGGGCTTTTCACGCCAGTATGGTGATGGATGGTTGGAAGGAGGGACACCGATTTCTAGACCGTCTAGGGACGAGGAAACTAGCACTGGTGGAGGGTTTTTGCTGTATGTTGCCAGGGAAGCCATATCCAGTTTTGTCTAGTCAGGTCGCATATATGGGAGTGAACTCGATATTATCATGTAAACAAACAGCTATAACAAAGAACCAGCAAGCTTCAAAACTATTTCTAAATTCCGGATGCGATCGGATCTATATATCAGATCATAGTCAATTTAACATCATGCTGTGTCACCAACAAAGACATGGATCGACAGCATGTATCCATGGCGAGATAAGAATCTCAGGGTTAAGTTTAACCAGGAATTCAAGACTCCCCACCCAAGAGAGTCAGTTGATTCATGACATGCATACATAGTTACGAGCTGATGGCTCTGACATGGTTGTTGTGGCTTCGATGAGTGAATTTGATTTGTTTTCTTGTTGGTGAGGGTGGGACAAGGCCGGTTGGTGATGCATGCATGCAAGGGGAAAAGGGGGCAACAGAGGCAAATGACCGACCAAAGAGAGTCTTCCTTCTGAGCTAGTACATCATTGTATATGCTCTGGAATGTCGGCTATGCATGTTTTCCTTATTCTATTTCTCTGTTCGGCGCGGGTTATTTGCATAGATTTAGACTCTTCTCTATCTTTGACCTCTATCAAGGGGGTGAAGGAACCGACACTCGGAACGTATTCGAACGTTGCCAAAGTATTCGCTTGTCATCCGAACCCACAATCCCAATATACATACGGAATACTCTGTATGTGTTTATTTATCAACTAAGCTTCGCAGCTTTCCGCATTGTCTCACGAGTGAGCTCATCCCCAGGTCGTCTAATGGCACCCAACCTCCCGATCCTTCTTAACTTAGCAATAATCTCCTCGTCCCCAAAATGACTATTGTGCTCAAACTCTGGTTCTTCATCATACGCCAACCGAGCCGCATCTACCAGGATCCGAGCCGTCATGCCCCATACCTTGTAGCGGGATAATTCGCCTGATCGTTCGCGTTCTTTTAATTTTGTAATGGCGACGTCTTGGATTCTTTTCTGGATGGATTTTAGTCTGGTCTGGGGTCTGGGTTTGGTGATGCTCTTCTCGGAAATGGGGATGTAGAAATTGTGCACTGTTGATCGTCGGTTAGTTTCGGTAATATCGTGACGAAAGGGTGCTTTTCGGAGGATATGAAACTAGCGACGAAAAAGAGAAAAGGTATAAGGACGATAAACATGCAGGGATAGACATAGACAATAATATAGACATACTTCTCCAATCAGATTCATGCCATGTCGTCCATGAACCCTGATACCAATCACCCGGCCCGTCCTCATCATCTCCTTCTTTTCCAGCAGCATGCTCAATATCCTTCTTCAAGAAATCATGAAACCTCGCCGTAAACACAGCCGCAACTTCCTTGGCATCCAGTCTCGGGATCAATGACGTCTCCGGATCGGCCGTTTCACCAGTTGTTTCATTATACGAGTGTAGGAATGCGACACACGGTCTGACAACAAGTTCATTTCTGGCCAGACTTGCGGGTAGTTCGCAGAGATGCTCTACTTTGAATGGCGGGAAGAGTGGTTTGCCTATGTTGGGCAAACCTATTTCTTCAGCGGCTTCGCGTCGGGCTGTTTCGAAGGCGGTTTCGTTCTCGGTGTCTGCTTTGCCTGTATGCATTCTATAAGCTCTGGCTACTCACCCTTGTAAAAGGATTGTTGTTGGATGCATACCCCCTGGGAATGCAGCATGGCCAGCGACTATTAAACACGTTGATCAGTGACGATCAGATTGATTGATAGATCGGGAAGGACGTACAAGAACTTAAAGTCTTTGCCCGAATAGTGAGAACAGTCTTCAGCTCTCCTTCAGGATCAGCATACAGTAGAATCAGTACTGCAGCCCGCCGACTGAGCGGTAATGAACCATAACTGCTGGGGGGAGGCTTGTATGCACGCAGCCTTGCTATTGCTTTCTACATGGATTGTTAGCTTAAATCCCATAATTAATTGATTATCCGGATCGATCTTGGAATAATATATCCCGATCCTTGGAAGATATGTACATACCGCTGACTCTGGTGATAAAGGCGACATCTTGACGCTCCCGGTAGTTGTATGTTTCGCCGATGAGAAAAACGTCCGAGATACCAGAGGACCGGCTTTGTTGATCTGTGAATATGTACAAGGGCGAATGCTGAAAAGCTTGTAATTAATGCATGGCCTGCTCATTTATTCTATTTCCGAGTGCTCCTTGATATCAGAGATGTGGTTAGATAGTACTTAGGTTAGAATTATGCGGAATTGATCGGCACATCTGCTCTTCCGTTTGATGTACTGTATGATCCCAAGTCCCCGCTGATATGAGATGAATTGCTGTATATTGGCGAGATGTAATAAAAGCGATTGATATTATTAGCTTGATTGTTATTATTGGACGTTATGTGAGTTAGTTGTGATAGTTGAGATGGCAATGACGTTAACTTAGGTACCGATTTGCGCCGAGGCATAAGATGCGGGAGAGAATTTAGACTACATATGTAAGCAGCTGTACGTTCACTTCACTTTAACATGAAGACAATCTTCCTTACTACCTATAACGGCAATCCAAAGGAATGTACAATCATATATATAACGAGACAGTCTATATTAAGAATTTTCATAATTTGGGTGTGACAGGAGCAGGAAAAGCGCGGGAAGAAGATATGGATCGGAGATGTTAATACAAGAGACAACAGGCATTATTTAATCCTTCTTCTCAGACTTCGCCACGTCTTCTTTTCCCTCCTGAGTAGTAGTAGTCTGTTTCTCGGCGCTCGCTTGATCAGCTTCAGCCTCACTAGCTTCAACAGCCTGCTGTGCAGCTGCATCTGACGCCTCAAGCTTCGGGTGATCCTCCTTATCATCGATATTCTCCGTATCCTTTGGCGCTGACACGCCTTTACCTTCTTGTTCTGTATTTTGCTCGTTCTCTTCTTCAATCAATTCCTGTTGCTCCTTGACGACTTCGAGACGCTGTCGGTTGGTAGCTGCTCCCTCGGCGTTGTGGACTTCTAGTTCGATTTCATGGAAGAGTTCTTCGGGGATACTAGACAACACGGAGCGGAGGGCGTCGATTTGAGAAGACATTTCTGAGTCCTTGGATTGGGTGGCGTATTGATATGCGTTACTCAAAACGAGCATGGTAGAGGGGACCCCGTGCTTGAGACGGAGATCAAGCCACATGGAGAGATCGTCTCGGAGGCGTCCGGGGGAAACACCATGGGTGCGGATACCACGCGATGCGCAGGCCATTTGCAATTCTGGCACTGAGAGGGAATCCACGCCTTCATATGATATCGCACGATCGTCCCGCTTAATCTGGCGCATTCGATGTCGAATATTGTATCGCAACATAGCATCCGTGCCGAATGTGTTGAGGTTCATATATTTGCACATACCCACCAACTGAGGTCGAGACAAGTTATCCAGCGTCAAGTCATCCTTGAAAATCTTGATAACTTTGATAACATCCTCATCAGACGGTGTTTCACCCGTTGAGCGAAGTTTCCTGAAGAATTCGGTGAATTCTTCTTTCTTCGCATTTTCTGCGCTCAGTGGGAGACCGGTCTCCTTCAAAGTATCCTTCAAGAATTTAGAAACTTCTTTGCGAGTGCCTCGGAGAGTTTCGGCCTTTTTGTCCTTCGATTTTTGTCCCTCATAGGTGCTGGGGAGCATGTTGGGGAACATTCGTAGAGCAATGGGAAGTAGCAATTCGGCAAAGGGGACAATGACGAATACGGAGAATGGCACCAAACGTGCTAAATCTTTGACCGTACGTTGTAACTAGTTGTCCCATCAGTACTGCCAGCCGCAAAAGAAGAAAGAAAGAAACATACCTGTCTATGCTCACGACGACTCAACTCATAACCCGCCGCCATCTTCATCGCCAACTTAACACTAATGCGAACTTCGGTAGCAAGCAATTTCGTCCCATCCCAATAATGCTGAATCTCATGCTTAATCTTTTGCCCAATCGTCATCTTTTTCATCTCCTCTTTCTTCTCCACGGCTCGCTTCTCCGGTTCCACAGTCATTTTCTTACTGTCGGCAACCACAGTCTCTGCCGAAGTGGCTGTTGGCTGAGATGCCTGCGCCGTCGCTGTTGTTCCAGTAGCATTTTTGCTGACTGCCGCTTGGTCCGCTATCTTCCGCGATTCCGCCGTTGAGGATGACAGCGGTTGTTTGGCTTGGTTGGCATCGAATCCTGGAGGCGGTAATGGTGTGCCTCCGGAATTGGTGTTGGACGATGTGGATGTTTCGGTCGCATATGTGCGTTGATTAGGGATCAAGACCGCCAATGCATTTAAATGTGTTGGGAATGCTCGACGGTTGCGTTGGGCTTGTGCCAGAGATCGAGCGGCAAGGATGCTAGGGAAACTTGCCGGTGCTGAATTTGCCGAGTTAGCATCTTATATACGAGCGAAAACTGAAACAATGGAGCATAGATTTACTGATCCCATAAACACGCCTCGCAGCAACTGAATTCGAGAGTCTTGCGGTCCTCATGATGACGAAGCTTTAGAAGAAAGAAAATAAATGAATTCGGCCGAAACGGCTCGCACTTGCGAGCGAGGGAGATATCTGGCGGCGAACAGCTACCAAAAACCAGACGACTTTCCAATAATCGCAAATTAACGAACTCACACGATGATAGAAAAAACAATTGTTGATGTTTGCTGGATAATAATGTCAACGTCCGGTGTCAAGATGACTTTACATTTACACTCCGGAATCCGGAGACACGTAGTTGCGGGCACGTGATATATCCGGCGTCGGCGATAATCTGATTCTGTTGGGGAGATCTCGGGGTTAACAAGGGGACATGCCAAATTCTTTCTCTACATAGTACATTCTGATCCAAAACAAAGTTTCTAAGTATAAAATAAATGTATGTTGGTCTACCTTCAATCCAAATCAATTGACGGTTGTCGCTAATGGAGATGCGAATTTTACAGTTTTAGTCGACAGATCCAAGTTGTTCCGGTTGCGCTGGGACGTTATAGATCTCTCCACCCATCCGTCGACGTTGACATAGAGCTTGTTCGTATCAATAAGGCTTGTAAAGCGCGGCATGGCTTGCTCTTCGTCATGGCATTGGCAGGATTACTATCGCCGTCGATCCACTTGATTTCTGCAATTTCCTGGCCCTCATATATTTGGCGGAGACACATGAGGTCGATCCTGAGGCGCTTTTCTTGCGTTGTACCGAGTTTGACTAGGCATTCGTAGAGACTCTTCGAATCGGTGAAAACGACAAGGGGCATCGGCTTGGTGAGGTGTAGAGGCTGCGTTATTGTTGATTTGATTGATGCAGCCGAATCAAAGCCATGGACCATTGCGTATAATTCTGAAGCTAGTACGCTTCGTGCGACGCGTTTACATTTGATCAAAGACCAATGTACGATGTTGGCGTTGTTTGAAGCATTTGCAAGAACAATGGCAAATCCGATCTGCGAAGTAAAGTCCTTGTTGTTGGCGAAGGTAGAATCCGCGAAGATAACTAGTCACAAGGTATCTAGTTCGAGGCGAACAAACCGTAATCCTCTTTCAGCATTGTCAAGCTATCATTTCAGGCGCTTATTTAATGCTTTGAAGTCGTCTTTCTCGGGATTTGTAGTTTGTGCGGCGTATGACAAATCAACTGAGGCTTCAGGTTGTGAGACAGAGGCAATATACGCACCAAGTGCGCGTTGTGCGATGTATTGTTCCTTAAGGAGACACAGATTTCCTAACTTTGCCACGAGAACTTGTTGTGTAGCGTGATGGTCCTTTACAGGACGTATCAGGCTGCAGGTGCGTTTTTATGTAAGTGTGATCCCCTGGGCGTTTTCCGAAATCAGACCACCATTGTACTTTAACGGGTTCGTAGGTGTCAAGCACTCTCGGGGCTTGCAAAGAGTGCCTGCACGTTTTATCTCATCCTCTTCTTGTTTTGAGAACTTGTCATCTGCGAGAATTAGAGTGTCGTCGGTCTGCATGCCAGTGATTCCAAATCCTTGTGCCGGTTTGGTGCAGTGTAAGAGGCATGGGTCGTAAGTTGATGTCATTCCCAATTTGTCTGTATGGTGAGTATGATAAGTACGGTACCAGTGGTTGTCTGATTCGGGAATACCGTATAAGGGTTTAACGACTTTCAAGATAGTATCCTCAGATGGATTAGTTCCTACCCTCCTCTTTTTTGGTGCTTATCCACGAATGACCGAATATGACCCCCCTGCACCCTCGATTACTCAACGCGCCGCTACACTAAGGAAAGCGATGGCAGAGGTGCGTAAATTTCACGCCAAACGACAACTAAGAGATGCACTCAATACCGTAACGGTCCCGCGTCAACAGCCATGCAACTATTACCAATAAATTCAAATGTGATCGTATGGCGTGAAGGAAATACGGGTTATGCAGGAGAATAAACTGGCCCATACAAACTGATAAGCATCGATGGCGAGACATGCACAATTCAATTTCCGGATGAACCAAAGCAATTCCGCACAATCCAAGTTAAACTATTTCACAAAGAGTCACAAGAGGAAATTGATCATGGAGACGATTCGGTGCATGACAATAACAGGCCTGAATTGCCTACAGCCACAAATTCGACGTCACCACAAACTTCACCTCATATCGAAGAAATACAGTCAGGCACGCCTACATCTCAACCGGAGCCTGTACGACGCCCTCAACGAAATCGACAATTACCGGCTCGGTATCGAGATGACATTTTACACTCGACATTTGCCCAATTTGACCAGTCGAGGAAGAAGGAGATCAACGGCCTATTAGAAAACGGTGTGTTCGAAGTTGTCAGGATGGAAGACGTGCCAAAAGGAACCTGTATCTTCAACTCACGATTTGTCGATGAAATTAAGAATCTAGGAACTGACAAAGCCTTTGAAAATCACGACTTGTTGTACAAGTGTATAACGATGAAGAAAAAGATATCGTGTTAACACAATCGCCAACAATACAACATTGCAGCCAACGGCTACTTCTTTGCCTTGCAGTCTGTGTAGCTGGCACGATTCTATTCATACGAGACGTCATGCAGGTGTATGTACAGTCAACTACGCATCTAATTCGTGATTTCTACATTTATCCACCTCCCGAACTTGCAGATGCCTTACCTGAGGGCACTATCTTGAAAGTCGTTAAACCCTTATACGGTATTCCCGAATCAGACAACCACTGGTACCGTACTTATCATACTCACCATACAGACAAATTGGGAATGACATCAACTTACGACCCATGCCTCTTACACTGCACCAAACCGGCACAAGGATTTGGAATCACTGGCATGCAGACCGACGACACTCTAATTCTCGCAGATGACAAGTTCGTAAAACGGGAAAAGGATGAGATAAAATGTGCAGGCATTCTTTGCAAGCCCCGAGAGTGCTCGACACCTACGAACCCATTAAAGTACAATGGTGGTCTGATTTCGGAGAACGCCCAGGGAATGTTGGTTTACCTTCATTAGATCGCAAAACCTAATGAGGACAGCTAATCCAACAAGCTGACTGTGCCAGTAATACTGAATTCCTAATATTGTGACTGATCCTAAGAACTAGGGGGATGTGCTAGTGCGCGTGGATAAACTATATCCCATTCCGGCGCTGATATAGGCAGGATTGCTCTAACTTACTGACAATTTACATTCTGATATACAGTCATGTTTGTGTACATAACGCCAAAACAAAAGTACAGATCAAGGTAAATGACTGGAACGCACATGAATAAGCATACTATTCTAATGACAGAAAGCAATGGGGGTCAAAAGGTGCTTGCATAGGTGGTATCATCAACAAATCATAAATCATAACGCAACGGTGTATGTGGTACGTATGTAAAACAATATATTCAGGTCCAATCGTAACGAAGAATGCAAGTGCAAGTACCAAAACGGAGTTAACATATGGGAAATCCTATGACTTATTGAGCGGCCGCCCGGTTTCGCAAGGCAGATGCAGCGTCTGGTGCGCGAGGCTGGTTACCAGTAGTCTCAGACAAGGCATCAAGAGTCGGGATACGCTCAAGACTAGACTTGTCCAGTTCCTCGCCAGGTGTTGTAGCCAAGTCGCTGAGCAACCGGGAACCCTGCTCGGTAGCGAGACCGGGGGTAAGAAGCGGACTTGTGGCGTAATCAGGACTGGTTTGCCATTTGGCGACATCCTTCTTCAACTGTTCCAATTCCTTTTGGAACCGTGTTCCAAATACGTCAATATAATAAGTCGCACCATTGTGAATACTCCAGATGAACACGCCAAGCATGAACACAGAGCTCGCCCAACGGTACCAGAACCATAGAGGGCAGGGGATCATGGTTAAAAGTGCATAGAAATATTGAATCATCATGAATGCCGGCTCCTGAAGGATATTAGGAAGACTAAGCACAAATTTGCCAATCCAAGTTTTCGCATAAGAACGCCGGAGCCAAGTGAAACTGGTTGGTCGTCCAGCGGCAATCTTGTCTGCGCGGCGAACTGTAATGAAGCGGTGGTAGGATAATTGCCAGATTGCATAAGGGATGGAAGCCCAGAGCATCATCGCCAGCAATGTGAAATGTTCGGGAGCACCAGGCTGACTGAACTTGACATCCCATACAGCTGGAAATCTTTCCTTGAGTATCTCAGGAGGTGTCAAATGTACAATACAATGGAAAGCAGCTGGGGGCATGATATGAATAAAGACACTTGCCCAAAGCATTAGTAAATGAAATCTCAAGACTAAGGAATAGAAAACTTACCTGACAACCTTGTCCATGCTGTGGAACACCAATGAGTTGCGCCACATAGCGATAGCAACCGCATTGTTTCCGTAAGCCAGACAGTACGTCCCGATTAAAAGCCGTTTCGATTGCGGAAACACCCAGATACTCAACATGGCCAGAAAATTGACAAAGTAACACAAGTCGGCCAAGAAGTAGTGATAGCCGCGTTTATGATAGGTGTACAAACGAATAGGCATAAAATAGGCAAGCTGAGCAGTGTACCACCAATAGAATTTTTCCGGGCAAGCTCCCATAAGGTAACCACTGATGAAAATATTCATCACACCAGCAATGAACGATACTTTCTCCCGAAGAGTGACTGTTGCTACCTTGTTCCATTGCTTCGTCAACCTGTCGACCGAGTCTCGCATACGGTTTTTGTACTTGTCCAACTGTTCGTCGGCAGTAGGAATTCTCTTCCTCCATTCATCGACCACGCGATCCTTGGCAAGACCAGAGACGGACTTGAACTTTTCGCGCTGTCGGCGCACTCGGTCTCGTTGCATGTTCAACGCCTGGTTCCATCTCTCCAGCTTCTGTGACAATGAAAATGTATCGAACAGCTCGAAAAAGCTCAGCTTATCCAACGGTGGGAATGTCTCCCAGTCCTCCTGGTACGAGCTACTATTCGAAAAGGAGGGGTTTCTAGACAGTCTTCCTGGTGTAGATGTGGGCGACGTCGAACCCTCGGGAGGCCCGGAAAGCCCATCTGTATCGGTCGCAAGGAGGTCGGGGGAGAGAGGAGCATTCGAAGCCATGGCTTCCTCAGATAGAGTCGGTGCGGACTTGCTCCGCGAGAGCGGATTTGAATCAGTCATGGTGCCCTGTTTTTGCTGAAAGTCTAGAAGTGTATGGGTGCTCCTGGTGTAGATTATATGGGGACGACTGGTGAAGCGGCTTAAGGTCAGCATGGTCTCGTGATGTCGCAAATTTCTCCGACGACTTGCGTGTATGTCCGTCCCAGTAGTGAATCACAGTATATCCCCAAAGCTGTCAACGCCGCAGAAGATATCTGCGTGATGCAGGTACACCTTCTCCTGGACTCACAGCAAGACAACAACGCGCAAGTCGTGGACAGGGAGGGCAGAGCGGTGAATTTGTACTAATGGCAGACGGATAAGAAGACATACCGGGAAATATAAAGCCCACGAGGCCAGCAAGGTCAAGTGACTCCGAATACGCCGTTTTTGTGGCCTCAACCACTTGAAGATAAGAAGACGAAGCTTTACTGAGGGCGAGTCTGGAGTTCAGAGGGCAATGACATACCATGCTCATTTCTCGTGCCTGATCCCATGTTGGTTATTGGCTGGGTGAACGGATAGGCCCCGCTTACTATCTCGATGCGGTTAGCTTGCGACCCCAGATGCCTTGCAGCCTGAGGCAGCGCTCTGGTCAACGATTCAACACTTCAATACTTTCAGTTGCGAATACTTTTGATATTTAGGGTAGTAGTATATTTGCTGTCCCTCTGACCGAAATCATGCATTCTCCTCAGTCTCTCGACGTCTAGGAACATCTCTGTCCTGTTTGCTTGCAAGCACAGCGCTTTTATGAAGTTGCCAACTATAAGTAATGAAAAGATACCCGAAAATAGACCGTAATAGCACATATAATGATTCCCTGAACCGCCGAAATCTATATATCCAATGAAGTGAAGCCAATGAATTAACATTAAGTAATAACGGGACATTCCCATGGAGTGGTAAACAATAACGAAAATGATGAAAAAAGAGGCTCCAAAGACTTTTGTCACCGCAGAGTCGTATACCAAGATCCCATCAGTAAGGAGGCTGGTAAGGAGGAGCCGATGCTTGAACAGTCGGGTGCCACAAGACAGTCGTGACAGGCACGGGCGGAAGCATGGGTTGGTTGAGGTAGCTTGAGAAAGACGGGCGGGTGGACACATCGATGGAGTGAGGTGAAGCCTCGTGTGACATGATACTAGATGCGGTGCTGCTAGGGTAGTGTCGCGGGCTGTATTGGACGTTGCTGTCAAAGGAGCTGGCCCGAGTCGATGATGGATGATGAGGAGGATTGGAGTAGGGCAAGTTGTACGACTGCGAGCGCTCTGGCATCAGGTGATCGTATGTTTCTACCTGAGGATCTCTTGTGGTTGTCCCCTCGCTCCTACCGTCACTTCCTGACGACGCTTCCTGACCTCGCACACTCTCGCTCGCCAAAGATTCCATCCCCCATGAAGAACCACCCTCGCTGTTTCGAACGTGGGAGTCTGGGGTGCTGGCATCGTCGCTCGTTTCGAACTCCGGTCCAACTAGGTTGACTTGAGCAATCGGGATCAAGACATCGCCGGCTGTGACAGTCAGTTTTGGAGACCTCTGAGCAAGACGGGCGAGGTAAGTACTCACATATTTCGCCCCTGATGTATCGCTCCTCCATGTGTCTGACGTTGTATACCTCATCGAGAATTTGGAGTCTCTCAGGAGGGCTGATAGACCGACGCACATCTTGGCCAGCCTCACGAAGTTTCTCTGCGGTAATACCATGGCTTCCACCCAGCTCTCGAAGAATGTGGATAAGAAGTTGAATACGCTCTGGGTCATGTCAGCCAGACTCCTTTCATCTTTAGTGGCGGTCATACCTGGTTTGAGAAGATGGTCTGGCTCCTTGTGTGTGACACCGGCTGGCCACCAGGGCGGCTTGGTCAGTTCAGGGTTGGCGCGTCTCTCGCCTCCAGGGCTGGAAGACGCACGTCGTCCATTGTATGGGTAATTGACCTGTTTCCGCGGCTCGACAAGCTTGATAAATGCCTTGGCGATGACTCTACAATTCAGTTGCTGGAACGCATCGAATGCCTTCTCATAATACCTTTTTAAGCGTGCTTCATCGTCAACTCGAATAACATATGCAGAGGAAGGGAGAGTCATGGCATCATAGCCAAAGTCGGGAGTCATTGAACCCGGTATTCTGGGATCTCGCCGTTTCCCGTTTCGTCTGTGCCGCCTGCTCTGATCGACTTGCCAATCGCATGGAATGACCGGCGAAGGACTTCCACTCATGGGACTCCAGCTACCTCTTTGTCGTGTCCTTCCGGTGATATGTGAATAAGCAGGAATACCTCTCCCACGCTCAGATCGTATCGGCCCCGATGTCACTGCCTCTGTGTGAGTGGAGATTCGCCAAGTTTTATAGACATTACTACTGACCAGGTAAGCTTACTAGTGTCGAAGACCGTGGAGACACTAACTCTGCAAATCTTTCTTGTATATCCGGAGTGAATATGACCCTGCCTGGGTCCGCTATTGATGGGGAGCTCTCGAAAGCAATTTGGCCTTCTTGGTTACTGTATATCATGGCGAAGTGTGGGTAATGGATGCCAACCACTCCTGGTATGTTTGAGTGACCGTGCTGCTCACGAGCATCTGATTAGTCAACGTCGACAGAGTCACTGGGAAGGAAACAAACCACGGCTGTGTGAGAAGGGATATTGTTGTATGGAATCAATGTACAGGTTTGGTCGGTGTTCAAACTATGAGACTCGTCCATTCCGCTCGTTGTCCGAGGTCACACAATATCGTCAAGGACACAACTCTTTGGACAACCTCGACGGAAGACAGCGGTCTGGACGGAAAGGTAACCAATCAATGACAGGAGCTAGAGGTAAGATGACAACGATGTATACATATGGGATTTGATATATGATTTATGAAGACACACTTGCGAAAGTAACTCATATTACTTGATGAGTTTTTGAGATTGGCCATCACACACCGATTTATAGGGAGAAGCCTGACATTAAATGTCCGTTCTATTCTTCAGGTGAGCGATGAAATAAGGTAGTATATACCAGGATAGGTATAGGGATTACACTAAGAGTCTTTGGGATCGACGCACTACGACCTAGGCCGATGTCTAAAATTGTTGGCCACCATGTAAGTCAACGTATTTCAGTCTTTGATTGTCTATGTGAAATGCTTAGCTTGACGCCTGAGCACCCCGGGGAAGACAACAGTCGATCCGGATGAGGCGTTTAGAGGACTGTTTTCACATCAGCAAGGAGGTGAGCCATGAGTATCCATGCAAGCTCTAAAAAGCTACGGATCAAGCCTTCCTACATACTAGTGTATACTTACTGAGCATCTAGGAACCGTTGGTTACCGTATCCTCTTGAGGATGCCAATTATACCGACGCAGTGGAGTTCCATCCGTGCCGATCCAATCTATACATTAAAAATGCATAGTCTTTGCCATCTTTCTCCATAAGAAAAGCAATTCAGTATGCAGAGGCTAATCCGGACCTAACACAAACGACTGTCAGCACCGGTGTCTGTCTAGGATTCAATTGGGCTAATGACATGCGCTAAACACGAGAAATCCTGAAGAATGTCCGCTGGTAGTTCGCTGAGAGGGCAAATTGCAGTCTTCATCTACCAGCCGGATTCTCGGAATCACTCAAGAAAAACCAAGCTAGAGCGCCGGAACATCTACACACAGTTCCCCATGGGACTACTGTACAAATCAAACGGAAGGGCCCTTGTCTAGCGCCTAGAAGGATTAACATAAGCAACGGAACTACCCACTCAGCGACCCCATTACCCTGCATGATATTCCGTACGCCGCGCGGTCCACAGATTCCACCCTGTCTGTGCATAGATACTAAGATAGATACTGTCAGTGCAGAAGGGCCCTAGGGTTAACACGGACTAGTTATCTCGCTTCCGCAACTGTTTTCGAGGGTAGACGTGGATGATCCAGACTATGCGAATTACGAAGAGAGCTAGACAGTACCCTATACCACCAAGATAGATTGAATCTAGATTCTGGCCTATATCATTAGAGACTAGAAAAGCATGCAGGCCTGCGTTTGATCAGATCCTGGTATCCGAGCTGCTGGAAAAGAAACCCCGTTTGCTTTACCTTAGGCAGACCTAGATGTTGGGCTTATTTCGCACATTACATAATGTTACACTTACATTAGATTTATCGGTCTATCTTTGAATGAGCGATGTTCTTCAGATATGCCGATGCAAGACGAATTCGCCCGTTGGAAAGGTGTTGAAAGAACGAGAGGGTCCGAGAATTCGTTTGGATGTTTCAACGAATGCAAACAGCAAGCGAACAATTTTTGAAGATCTTTTACTACGTACTCAACATACATATGCCGTCCACTCTATTCATGCAAGGCAGAAACGAAAGAAGGATCCAAAAAGGGTGGGACTATTCCCACTTGCCAATGATATGATCCAAATATTGGTGGAAAAAGTTCTTTCAACAGGATGAAAGCTCAATCGTGGGTATGTACCTACATTAAGAAAAACACAGGTATCAATCCTTCTTGGAATTTCTTGCGGATCGGAATATTACAGTGATAGTTACCACTAAAGGATAGAGGGTCTGTGTGATGTAGAGCGGTGACCATCTTAAGATAGTTCAGTGCCCGCAGTTTGACGAATAATCCTTGTCTATTAATCCGTATGTAGTGATTCCATTGGGATGGGGACTGATTAGTTAGGATAGATGGCTTTGGTATTGCGATCTGATCGCGGAAAGTGCTTCGGTGGAGGGACTAAGTATGAATACCGATCTAGTAATTAATTCGAGGGCCGCTTTCTGCTACAGTTTTACTATATTTGATAGACTCCCTGGCAGAGTGAATAGTAGTAATATTTGATATTCTCAGAATGGTTGTCTTTTATCAAAATCCCTCGTCGTCTCATACCCTGGTCGATTTCAGGGCTACTTCTTGATAATAACTAGTACACACTGTCAATGATCCATCTAGACCCCAAGTCCAGAATTCAAGATGCGACAACTGCTGTCGTAGCACGGCCAATTCTCAATACCATGCACATTATCCCCTTGCTATCACCTTGATAATGAATGTGTGTAGGGTACATCCCGGATAGTTTACTGACACCTTCACACGTGTTCTGTCGTAGTGGTTTGCGCAGGAATCCTCAGAAGACGAAGGAAAATTTTCTTATCTTTAAGGAACTAACTACTAAGTCTGTTTACCGCAAGTTCCTTTCGTGTCTTCAGTCTACACAAAAGTGGTAGTTCGATCTGAGTAAATGACACATCAGATCGTATCATATCGTCTCATCTAGGTAGGCACTGCGGTAATCATTCCACAGTCCAGAAAGTAATCCTTGTCTATCCTTCTTGAATATTCGAGTACGTATATAGGTGTATGCATGCCACCGACAGCCCAACGAGCTTACCTGTACTGTACTGTATGGCGCATGCACGACTTCCGTTTTGACACCGGGCTGACAGTTCACTATGTGCATTATAGTATGCACTACAGCAACCTGTCAGCCAGTCAGTTCGAGGTGAAATATGTCCGTGGAAGTGACACAAGCCGAAAGAAGGCTAGATATGATTGAATTGAGTAATTGAATGCGCCTGGGAAAAGTATGCACATAAGTGCGGTTTCACCGGAATTGAGAAAGTAGACAAAGTCCACGAGGGGTCAGTACTGTGTGAGAGGTGAGACCCAAGGGGTATCGTGGTTAGGACAGAGGGGTAAGCAGTATTGAGCAGGGAGTTTGATTACCTCTCCGAGAAGAAACATCTCTTTGACCCATGAAAATGTCGAGAAGGACGAGAAAGCAGTAAGTAAAAAATGGCCGGTATGGATGACAATATGCGTGAATAAGAAAAGAAGACGAAAAAAAAGAAAGAAGCGGCCAATCAGACAGCACAACAGGGCCGTGCATTATACTAGCATGGATCAAGGATACATAAACTGACCAAACAGAAAGCGTTCTGATCATTCCTTTTAGATGGCTAGTTCCAGATTTCATGGCCCCATGATCTATATTTGAAACTCGCGCAATTCAAAATTCAATTTTTATTTTTGCAAACAGTCCTCCGTAGGGAAAGGTAAACTCGGATACTTTGTCTAAGCGAAGGATTAGCTTGCATATTTCTTTTCTTTCAACTGTCCAGAGATGGTTAGGAAGCCGATATCGCTGGTCACGTAGTCGATCTATTCAGCAAAAGTCCTCGTGGCTGTTGAAAATGGTTGCTAAAGCAAGATGGAAGGCAGATTGGAATTTGGAGAGTCGACGGCTTGCCCTAATTCAGAAAAAAATTTCCTATTTCGGAAGTTCTTGCGGAGTGCACATATGCAAAAATCGAAGCACTCGCGAGGAAAACTTCTGGGATTTTTTGCGAAATTAAGAAACGACGTAGTTTTGATTGCAATATTTTCAATGGGTTGTTCTGTATTCAGTACTGCATTATAGGAAATTGAGCAAGATCTGCTCTTCCGTGCGACTTATTTTACATCTTCACTGTTAACTCAGAACAAAAACGAATATCATTACTCTCCAAAGAATGAACATAACCACAATGAAGTCAAACGACCCCAAGCTTGAAATAAAATTGTCCATCTGCCAGCTCAAAGAACACTTCCGAACGTCGACCATGTTACTCAAGCAAATTGGCATTGTCACATTGAAAATCCCCATGTCCCTTACTATTGGACTCTTGTACGCTGTCATCACGTCGCACAACTTTTCTAGGCATAGGACCAGACAGATATAACCAGTACATACCTACTGAGGAAGTTACGTAGTAAATCATGGGCTATTTTTATGTAGCCAGCCCCATCTCTGCCCTAAGTTGACTCGTCCACTTTTTATTGGTTTGAGGTGGCCCGGATGATTGATCTGTCCAGTCACATTGGATTTTAGTCAGTTTGATAGTGAGATGATCGCTGAATCTGCATGGAAGTACACTATACATAAATATAAATTAAAGTATACTTCAACTGAAGAGATATACCGGGTCTGTGGCGTTCTGTCGTGTTTCCAGGTTCATGCGCCAAAGCATAGATGAGGTTAATTCGTATGTACCTGGCTACTTTGCAAATCCCAGGTTGAAAACGTCGGTATTGTCCAATCAGTATGACGAGAGCCATCTGATTTGCTTCTTGTGTGGAATTCTATCTGAAAGAATCTTTTAAATCTTGGCCATTTTCATCCCGGCCGCTGCCACAAGTGGGAGGATCTGGTGCAACATGTCCATGTAGCTAGCTAGTCAGTCAGTTCCCTCTGAATCAGAATACAGTTACACATTAGACACGGATGGAGTATCCCAACAGCAGCAGTAGCGACCGCATTGACCCACGGATACACTCGGTAGTTTGGTATGAGTTCGAGGCGGCTCTCGGACCTCTGGCTCTGTTGCCTCACCTCGATTGTATTCCTAAAGTAAGCAGTCCAGGTTTGCAGTTATCTACTCGGGCGAACATTTCTATATACTCCCAACCATCTTCAACCAAGAAGTTGGGAGCTTGTGCCAGACTTGATCGTGTGTAGCTTCCCACAATTTTCGGTCCTGCTAGATAAACACCCAAACCTTAAGAGGTTGAAACAAAGATCATAGTACGTATGACTAAAATTTTGAGTATTACGATTCCCTGCTTTAGTTTGGGTAAAAATATTTTTCCTTAACTTCTCAATTGCTCTCCTTTTTCTTCTTTTCTTGATCAAAAATGAGATACCCAGGCAAATGCTAGTAGCCGAGATAGGTATGAAAGGCTTTCGTGGCCGGTTTGGGCCTTTTGATATAGTTGAGTAGCTTTGACTGATATATAAGAATTTATAATACCTCTATCAATAATCTAAAGGTCGATGATAATAGCAATCCATTGGTCTTTGTGAAAGAATGGGCTTTCTGAAGGCAGGCTAGGGCTAAAATCCCCCAGACCCTAAAACCTAAGAGACTCCCGAGCCACGCTCTCTAATTCTATGACCGTTAACGAAGATTAGCTACCTACTGAGCTTCCAGGTATTGAGACAATTCAATATTCATGATCCAGAATCCAATTGCCACTGTCGCTCTATCATCGATCACAACCCCTATTCTCCAGAAATCCACCCAAAAATTACCAAATTCGGTAATTTGAAATTTCTCTAGCTCTTAGAAAAGTTCGAGACAAGAACCATCTAGAAAAGCCCCCAATATCACAGATAACCACATAGAAAAGAAAAATATATATATTTAATATAACTCTCGATACATGTAATGTCTTGCTTCCGACCTCCCTTGCAGCCTAAAGCCCTTGAGCCGATTTATACCGAGACTCTCAACAACGGCCAATAAACTCATTAGTATAAAGGGGAAGGTCTTCTCGAGGAATGATCGTCCTGATTACTTTTTTTTCTTCTTTCTTTCTTTCTTCCCGTTATCAGACTCTCTTACTCGCATCGTTTGGAGGGTGCAACAGTCGATTCCAAATTCCAAATACCAAGATACGGGGACTCCCAAGAATTGTGGCGCGGTTATTGAATATTGGAGGAATATGTTCTGCATGACATGCGAACATAGGTACTTAAGCGAGATGGACGAGTTTCGATCTTCATATTCGTTTTGTGCACCTTCATAATGTCTTTCAAGATCTTGGTCCAGCGGGGAAGATTCGATAGAAATGGATAGATCGCAAAGATCTGGCAGGATCCATCATCAGATTAGAAAGATGGTTACACGATCAGGAGAGATTTATCGGTTTGGTTGGCATGGTGGTGCCACTGATCGATTTGAAGCACAAGTGAGATAAAAACTATTTTACAGTAAATGGAAGCGAAGTTGAACAATCCGGACAAGACCGGCAAAACGGCAGATTGGAGGAATGTCTCGACTGCGAATACATTTCGATTGGAAATGGAATCCATCCTACCCATCTTTATCCGCTGAGACATGATGCGAGGGAGTGAAGACCAGGGAACATAGAAGAAACGGATATTGAAAGCTAGTGAATTCAACGTTACATTGGAGCAAATCGAATGGCTTGCAGTATGATCTGTCTATTGGTATTTGCGGAGCTGTGTTTCACAAGTTAGCAATAGCCTCATCAAGTACTGCATAGATTGAAAAGTGCTTACATCCAGAGTGAGCGAGTTACTGCTGTTTTCGGTCTGATCTCGGTAGATACCAACAAGGGCTTCACTCAATTGGAATAGACCCGTCTTCAAGCTGATGACAATAAACTGCATACCAGGAGCGGCGTGGTCGCGGATGTAGTTGGCGATACGAGCGACGTTGGTGTTGTCAAGAGCGGCATCCACTTCATCAAGAACGAAGAATGGTGACGGTTGATAAGAATGCACGGCAAAGAGAAGTGCGAGAGCAGCCATGGTCTTTTCTCCTCCGGACAGGTGCTCCATGTCACGGAAACGTTTGAGTGGAGGCATGGCATGGTACTTGATGCCATCGAGATATGGTTCATCGGAATCTTCAATATCAAGATAGCTGCAACAAACGTCAGAAAAAGTGTAATATTCTCAATAGGAAGGATGACTCACGCTTGACCTCCCAATGGATAGTTGGCACTTCTGGTGAGCTCCCGGTAGATAGGACCAATCTGCTCGGAAATATGTGAAAATGCCTTGTTGAATAACTCTGATCGTTTCGTCATAACATCTTCAAAGTCCTCCTTGGCTTTTCTAGCACGCTTCCTGGCTTCTTCAAAGTCCTTCTCAGTGCTGCGAAGTTTGTTCTCGACATTTTCCAATCTTTCCATGGCTCGAGTGTTGGGTGCCATCTTGTCTAATTCCGCGTTGAGGGAGCGGATGCGATCTTGCAATTCCTCCTCAAGCTTATCTTCGGCGGACTGGTGAAGTTAGTAGTAATTCATGGATATTTAGGGCGGTCTATACACACCTCTTTTAATGTCTCACCCAAAGAATCAAAGTCGACTTCTATGCCGTAATCTTGAGCACCTGGTGCCTCTAGTCCTGTCATAGTTGCATCCTCATCGATATCCATAGCATCTTCATCAGCAGTTTGCACAAGCTCATCAATTGGTAGACTATCTAGAGGTGCAGAGCCGTCAGCAAGCGGCAGGTCGATATCCTCTAGCTTGCAGCGACGGAGAAGTGCGTAGCGATTCGAAGAGTTCCGTTGAATTTCACTTTCAAGTGCATTCACTGCTCTAAGAGTGTCTTCAACATTCTTTGAGCGTTTCTGGAGTTCTCGTCGCTGGGCAGCCAGCTTCTCCTGTGATTCGGCGTATAATTCTTTCTGCTCCTCGAGACGTTCTTTGAGAATCTCCAGCTCGGCCTCCAGCTCATCCAGCCTACTCCGGATTGTCTCCTGCTCAGCTTTGAATCCCTTAATCTGTGCCTCATCTCGCTTGTATTGAGCTTTTAAAGAACTGATACGGTCATCCGTTGCTTGAAGACGTTGTTTCTCGAAGCTCAATTGATTCTCGATTCTGCTCTTTTGCGTCGTAAATTCCAACTTCTTGCGAGACGCCTCTTCTTGTAGAGAACCCTGCAGAGCCTCATAGTCACGAATACTGTCGTATCCAAGGCGTTCACAAAAATCGGAATAGATCTCATCCTCAACACCAGCAACCGATTGCTCCGCAGATTGAATTGAGTTTTCTAGTTGCTTTAGCGCCTTTTCTTTCTCACGCAGCTTGGGCTGAACTTCCGCAACCTGTTTCTTAGCAAATTGTAGTTCGCTGTCTTTACTCTTGATGTTGCGTTCGAGGGCTTTCAGCTCTTCCTTAGCGTATGCCAATCGCTGTTCGAGACCTACTAGTTCACCTTGAAAAGTCTCTTCGTCTGTTCCACGGCGATGGCCTTTAGGCAATGCGGCGAGATCTGCAAGCAGCTTATCCTTCAATTTGTGCAAGTTTTCCATTTCAGAATCGTCCCATCTCTTCGAGCTTTGTTGACCCGGACCACGGCCACCAGTCATAAGACCGCCTTTGTGAATCACTGTTCCATCTAACGTAACGGCCTTCGCGTCCACTCCCTTCTCATAGCAGAGATACTTGGCAGTATCCAGATCATCACAAACGATAGCATTACCGCAAGCATAGCTGATAGCACGTGAGACAGAGTTGTCGTAGTCTACAGTCTCGATGGCTGGGCGCATGCCACGATGCATACCTTTGAAGTTCGAGTTGAAAGCCTTGACTTGAATGGTCTCTAAGGGGATGAAAGTGGCTTGGCCCGCCCGCTGGTCACGGAGATGCTGGATACATTCCTTGGCGGTCTTCTCGTTGTCCACAACAATAGCATCAAAATGACGGCCTAGGACAGTGCTGACGGCCTCAGCATACTTCTTTTGCTTAGGCTGGCAAAGATCGCTGACACGGCCCTTGACGCCTGGGAAGATGCGTTTTAGGGTAGAGATCATTTCTTTCATTCGGATCTCCTTCTCGCTTTGCTTCCTGCCATCGTCCGCTTCAAGGAGCTTTTTAAGGACAAGTTGCAATTTCTCTTCCAATTCCGTACGCATCTGAGACACTCGCAGACGTTCCGAGGTCACCGCATTCAGTTCCTTCTTCTTGCGGTCAATTTCTGCCGATGTTTCTTTGATCGTGTCGGCGATATCAGATTTACGTGTCTTTAGAGTCTTGACTTCAACCTCCAAGTTCTGCAGTTGCCATTGCGCAGTCTCGAATTTACTCTTCAGCCCGTTAACAGTTTCCGCATCAGTCTTCTTTTGGCGCCTGAGGTTGTCGAGTTTCAGCTGCTCGGTTGAAGAACGCTTGTTAACCTCCTCTTTGAGCTTATTGTATTCCTGGAAGTCCGCTTCGCTAAGTTGACCGCCGGCTTTGCTCATGGATTTTGCCCACTCAGCTTCCCACTCCGCTTGTGCTTTCTCCACGATCTTCAAGTCCTTCTCGAGACGGGCCACATTTGCGGTTTGAGTATCATGCTCTTTAGCGATTTCGGAGATCCTCGAGGAATATCTTTGCACTTTGCCTGAAGTGATCTCGATCTTCTCATCAATAGGTACCAGCGAGTTCGTTGCATCCTCGATCTCTTTCTCCTTCTTGACAATGTAGCGTTCCGCATTTGACACCTCTCTGCCCATCTTCGCATGTTCCTTCTTGGCTTCCTCGAGATTCTTCTCATATTTTTCGACTCCTCGACGGTACTCCTTGAGTTCATCCTGATGTTTCTGTATTTCTGCACTTGACTCATCGATCAATCGCTGGAAATGGAAAAGCTTCCAAAGGATGTGCGTGATGATAGCCTGGTCTCGTTCCTCGGCCTTCCGTGCGTAATTCTCGGCTTCGCGCTTCTGTTCCTGGTATTGTTTGATCTCAGAATTGATTCCACGACGACGATTTAGCTGAAATGTTTGCTGCTCTGCCGCTTCCTCTTGCTCCGCTTTTAGACGCTCGTACTCAGCCTTGTATTCTAAACTACCAGAGATTTGCTCAATCAAACGGGTCAAATCCTTTGGCGACTGTGACGCGATAGCTTCGACATCTCCCTGGAAAACAAGAAAGTTGCGTGCCTTGATGAGGATATTTTCCGCTTCCAACGCTTCGTTGTATTGTTGCGCAGTCACGATTTTGTTGTTGATACGATATTCACTAACACCGCCGCTCGTGATTGACCGTTTCCACTGCTGTTCTTCACCGGCGTCGTCTTCGTAAACTGCCATTACCCAGGCCGATCGCGGATCGCCTCGGTCACCTTGGGTCTGCGAGTCCTCGACGTCAGATCCATCTTGCGCTTCATCTGCATTGCCATTTTGTTCGGGTACGGTCGCAGAACCGTCGCCGTTGACTTTGGAGGTTCTGAGGACACGTCCGCGGTAGACCAAGTCCTTGAGATTGGTGGAACGAAGATGCGATGATTTTATGCCGAGGACGAAAGAAATAGCATCCATACTATGAAAACATAAACGTTAGATTTTCTGCAATAGATTGCATATCGGACACAACACTCACGAATTCGACTTTCCGGATCCATTAGGGCCGATGATAGAGGTAAAGTAGGCATCACCAAACAGCAAGACATGGTGACCTTTGTAGGACTTGAAATCTATGAGTTGGTGTCAGCTCATCCGTCGATTTCCCGTTGGAATTTCGTTGATAACTTTGAACATACTGAATAACTCGAGCCTGACAAGCTTCCCCATCTTTGCAACAAAGCCTTACGGGCCGTGAAGTGGTTCAGAGGATTGTCAGCATGGAAAAAGGTGATGGTCTCTGAGGGGTCGCGCTCTGCCTTCCGTATAGACATATACGCGACTGCTCCGCGAACGCGCTCTTAGCCGGGCATTCCTTGGCATTAATCACGTGGGATATCTGCAATTTGCAATCTGATTGGCTGAAGAGCAACATTCACACGATGCTATATCTATGAGACTCCAGATGGAATATTACTAACTGTAGGCTTTTCTTGATTAGGCTTAGCATGCCTAATCCCCAACAACTGCTATCGCCGTTGAGGGGTCCTTAATATCCAAAGCACCATAATCCGAAGCCAAGCCAGTGTAGAATGTTGTCAAATTCTCTTATTCTCTTGCAAGAGATCACAAGCTTCTATAGCAGATTTTATGATCTCCAAATTTCAGTGCTGAAAGGATGTCCCTAACGCTTAGATTGAGTATATGAGCGAGGCAGCGGATGTAGCTATCAACTCCTTGAAAATGGAGACGTTCTCTATCGGATATTCTGGCGTCTTCAGAATTGTGTTTCTCTGGTAAGTTGAAGAATAGCTCAGATGCTAGTGTTTCATTGTTTTATGTATTATTAGCTGTAATTGGGAGCAGCTTCTCCTCAATCTCAAGCTTTACCAGCATCTTTTGCAGAACTTCTGCCAGATTTTTCCCCTGAGTGATCCATAAAGCTCACCGAACTCCAGCACTTGGCTTTGATACTTAAAGCCAGGAGTTAGCTAGGCCCTGATAACTCCCCATATGGCTTTGTTGTTCTTGCTCGTCCACACATCGAAGGAAACCGCAATTGTAGAGCATGTCAGTGCTAGTTCATTGACTAGAAGTGCTCAACAAAGATCGAAATCTGAGTCGATGCGACGGACAACAGTTCGAGAAGAAGTAAAGGGAAGAGGAGTATCTGGTAAGTCTTTGAATATCTGCTGGAAGGCAGGGAACTCGATCACTGTGAATGGCACGTCGACTGTCACAGTCTATCGAAGGATATTCTGTTCCACTAGCTCTCTGACATCATTTTTGGCTCTAGATTGAAATACCGAAGCAATTGACTGTTGTCTAATCACACCGGGCTACTCTTCCTCACAGGATTTTTAAAAAACGTTGTACTTTGCTAAATGTGATTTCATGTTGCTTGTTGAAGTTGCACTTGCTGATTTATGGCTTTCCAGACATATTGAATGTATTGTATCTCTCGATCCTCAAGCAACCGTCTGCTTTGCTTAGGTCGCCATAGCTTTCCTGAAAGCGGATGACATGAAATTGGGTCCAAAGCCATTGGTTAGGTGACTTAACACGGGATTTGCTCTCTAATTTATGGCTTTATGGCCTTAGTGAGGATCCTTCCAGTGCTGCCTTGTGGACCAGACTCTGAAGGAGTAGGTAAGTCTGGCTGACTGAGTCATCTGGACCTCACTATAAGTCCAGCCCAGGGCAGAGTCTCAAAAATGTAGGCGCGGGCTAACTAGCCTTGTCGGATTTGGACGCGATGGCATGTCTTACAATCACGATTAAGGGCCGTTTACGGTGAAGATTGGTCTTGGCGTATTCGTACGGATATTGAATTTGCGAATACGAATACTCGTAGAGGTTCCCAAATTACGAATGCGAATGCGAATAACACAATATATTACGAATACGTATTCGTGCCGACCACTACCCTGATGGGCACAATCTTGAAGATATACTACATATGTTGACAGAAACACTCCGACTCTGACTACCGCTATCAGAAATCGTACAATATTATACACAGCACTTCGCCAGACAAGAGAGATTATCATCGGCGCCCTGTAGGACTCGTAATGGAAAGCAAATCATCAGACACATAGCCATCAATCCCGACCCGATAAGCACCCTTTTGACCCTGCATCTCCATCATGATGAAATCCTCCTGCGTAAAGACTCGGCGAATAGATATGAAAGTCTTAAAAAGGCTGAAATTGATCATTTTCAGGGGATTCTTAAACAAGGATATGTTGATGTCTCGAGCCCGAGGCACACTACCAGAGCCCGCGACCAGTCGTTCATTGAAAAGCACTTGATTCGGCGCGACAGTGATTGTGTATGGTTTTCGAAAGGGAATCATGGAGCGCACTCTGACTCTGAGAAGAGTCTGTCCCTTTACGTCCAGAGCGGTTATATCCCTGACCAATCTTGATGTCCTCGCAATGAACACTGTGCCCATGATGCTCATGACGATGCACACACCAATGTTCAGACTCTTTTGCCAATAAGCTAGATTGGACCGCGTATCCTGATAATCAAGCGACGAATTGATAACGGCATATCCGAATGCGAACGCGCCGATACCGTATGCGCCGATTATATAGGATCGTTGCGGCGATGCTTTGAATAGGAGAACTTCGCCATTTTGCGCTACTTTTCGATCGAGTTCCGCTAGACTTGCAGATCGTCGGCCGATGAATCTTATGTCTGTAACATTCTTGCGAGAATGTTGCTGGCTGGAGGGTTTGGTGTTCGTTTGTATTTTAGAACCTTTTTGTGTCAGAGATTTTGCTAAACGAGGAGCTTGATATGTGAAATTTCGAGAGGGCTGGAAGACTGGTATTTTAGGACACGGCTTTGCGTTCGATATGAATGTAAACGGTCGCTTAAACATCGTGCTCTTATTCAATCTGGAATTGAATTGATCTATGTCAAGAAGAATGATATTGGCTGATTGAGGAGCCGAAGAATAGTTGCATCGCCTTCCTGCACGAACAAGCTAAATCGGTACAATAATTAGTCAATTAGTATATCCCTTGAACTCCAAATAATCAATGATAAAAATTAAAAGAGTACTTACCTTACAACTCAGTACTCTCGCCACTAAGATGGATGGCTGTCCAGGAATTAATTTGTTGTCAGGCTAAAAGCTCCATCCCGCTAACGCTCACCGGAACAGTCCGAGATACCTTCTCCGGCGGGAGCTTTTCTCAACCTCAACCATTTCTAGAAATGATAAAGAATTGAGCGCTTTCCATCAGTATGACTGCTAACAACTAGTTTTACTAGGGGCAATAAATACATCTGCAGGTCATCTTATCTGATAATCAATCATAATCAGATATCAGCACTTACTGCGCGCAACAGCAACTTTTCGAGCCATCACAATGGCCGCAAGCTTTACGCTGAAGCAAGTCCCTCTGGGCCTTCTGCGGCGCCAAACCCCAGTCAATTCCATCACAAAACGTATTTTACCCCTTGACCTAACAAGAGCCGATTACTCCGAACAAGACTGACACGGTTCTCAATGAATTATAGGCTTCGCATCAACTCTTTCTCAGACTCCAGGCGGCTACCCTCTCTACCCATCCGTCAGCCAACTCCTCCTCCAAAAGGGAATCCCCGAATCCGAAGTCTCCAAAATCCCCGCCACAGGACCAAAAGGTCGCTTACTCAAGGGCGATGTTCTTGCATATCTCGGCGAAATCACCGCGGGTTATCCGGCCGAACAAGCAGCGCGCATTGAGAAGATGGGACATTTAGATCTTAGTAATATCAAGATTGCGCCTCCTCCAGCACCACCAGCGCCTGCTGCGGCAGAAGAGCAGGTTCCAGAGTTGCCGTCAGATATTTCAATTGCCGTTTCGATTTCATTGGAATCTGTTCTCTCGACTCAGAAACGTATCAAGGATGCTATTGGCGTCACTGTCCCATTATCAACATTCATCGCTCGAGCCACCGAAGTCGCGAACGGTGAACTCCCGCGCTCAGCAGCCTCAAAACCATCACCAAGCGAACTATTTGATGAATTACTCGGCGCTGCCCCCATCAAATATACACGCGGAAACTACGTGCCGGAAATTAATACCGTGCCTCTCGAGGAATTCGAAACTATTGACGAGGACGTGACCAGCCAGCAAGAGGAGGTCGATATAATTGATATCCTGGCGGGGAATGTCTCGCCTCGACGAAGCAGTAGCAGCAGTAGTTATGCTGCGGCCACAACCCCCGCTCCATCTGCACTTAATGTATTCAGTCTTACAGTCCCAGCTGGCGAGGAGAAGAGAGCGAAGACTTTCTTGGATCGTTTGAATACGGTCTTGACTGTTGATCCTAGTCGATTGGTTCTTTGAGCGGAATATTGGTTAAATGAACTGTTGTTTTAATAGACTAAAAGAAAGGTGGAATAATACCTTCTTTATGTACTGACTTAGTTTTCCTTCCTTGTCTGTCTTTTTTTTTGTTGAATTGTAGAGCATATTGATCATGAAATCTCAATCGGTGGACTTTACCAAAATTGAACGGCGTTGATCTTCTATCTTCTATCCCTTCCAATTTATGAAAAATATTTGAGAAGCAAAAGCTCATGCGTGCACATGCAATATGATTCGAAAGTCGTGAGTACTAAAGTACATAATCCAAAGAGTTTATCTTCCTCCTCCAATTTACCATGATACGCATTGTATCAACATCCTGTCTTCATGATAGACAGAGGAAGAAAACTCAAAACCGAAGAAGAGAAGGAATAAGAAAAACCATTCAGTGATGGGGGATCCAAAGAACACCTTTTGCGCCACTGCTACAAGAATGGAGTCAGAAAACAATATGTAGATTCGAAGAGAAAACGAAAAGTGCCAAACAGATTTACGAAAATGCGACAAAACTCCATGTGAAAAATTTCTCCAAATAGGTTAAATCCCAAATCAGCCAGCTTCATGCCCATGCATACACCAGTTGTTAGTTAAGCCCATCCGATTCGAAAGAATATCGGAACAATGCATGATTCGTGTCTCGTGGATTAGTAAATTGAAGTTTGAAAAGTATATGACATGAGTCAGTGAACGCCGTGATATGCAGCGCCGAATAGAAACTTTGAAAGTCGTTCGGTTGTGATGAATGTCAATATTATTATCGTATTGTGCTCAGCTCAGCGAGCCGGCTGCCCCTTCGCCAATCGTTGCGATTTTGAGCGTCAAAGATCTTCCAGAACCTCAGCGTTTCGTCACCAGCACCAGTGACAATTGTATGCCCATCAGGACTGATCGCTAGGTAGAGTACACGAAACGTATGACCAGTCAACGATACGATTTGCTCCATGCGCGGATACTTCCAGATCACTATCTGATTTTGACTATAACCATGCGTGCTGATGAGCTCATCGGAATTCTTCGACCATCCCAAGTTACACACTTGACTTCCAGTGTCTAATTCTCGAATCATTTGGCCGGTAGCAGTATTCCAGAATTTGATTGTACGATCCGCGGTACCGCCACCAGAAGCTAAGAGATTGTGCTGATGTGGTGACCAGGCGATTGCCTTGACAGCCGCAGTGTGCTGTGAAAACCGATGTAACGGTGTCTCGTTCAACTTGTCCCAAACAATAAGCTTGTTATCGTTTCCTCCTGATGCGAGCTGACCATCTTCTGTGTTCCATTTCAAACCGCATACTTCTTGTTTGTGTCCTGACAGACGACGCAGGTATTGATCAGGAGATCGCACATCTCGATGAAAGATTAATCGATCGCGACCCCCAGATGTCAATATATGTTCATTCCATGCCAGCGCACCAACTCGGTTGTGGTGGCCGATCATGGTTCTTAGGCGACGACAACTCTCAGCATCCCAAATCTGCACTAGTCCTTTCCCGGTACCAATGGCGATGTGTGTTCCGCGTTGTATCCAGCTCACGCTAGTGACAGTGTCATCTTTGAGTTCGCAGAGCCTCGTGACTTGGCCCGATTGAGAGTGCCACATGTAGACAGAATTCGCCAATCCGACACCTAATATATTTGTGCTTCCCCAGTCCACCAGATTCAAATAAAAGTCATCTTGTAGATCTGGAGCGTCCAGCACTTTGAATGGTACCTTGTGTACCAAGCGAGGCTGTTTTCGAGGCGTTCCTAATATCCTCTGGCTGTTATAATGGATGGGTGAGAGACTGTAGAGCTCTGATCGAGGGTTCAAGTTTGGTCCGTGTTGACTTCGAGGAGTTTTTGTAGGAGTAGGGTGGCTGGATCCAGCTCGAGGTGACGAGTAATTGAGAATGTTTTTGTGAGGAGTCGAAGGCGTTAGAGATGCTGGAGGAGGAGTATGAGAACGGGTGGGATCGTGGACTGTTGTACTGAAATTGAGATAAGCATCTACATCTGGATCAGGTTGTGGTACGGAATCGCCAAAGAGTTCACTTCTCAGGACACGCGAGTACGTCCGATTGGCTTCTTCGGCTAGACATTGTTAGTAATTTCGAAGAAAATAACGATAGCTGAATTATACGTACTTCGTTGGAAGTGAAGCTCTCCATGAGGAGTCCGTTTCTTCGTCCGGGACGGCGTAGATGGACACCCGTCTTCGCCGAGCAAGCTATAGGTTGCCTGTAAATCTTGTCCTTCACGATTTGGAATAAACCTGTGAATGAATTAGTTATGTTAATGCACATAACTCTGGCCAGTAACCCAGGGCACAATACCGGTCTCCATAAACCCTTTGCCTCTTGCGACTTGGACTTGCGCCTGGAGTACGTTCGCGCCGGCGGCCAGCTTCATCGTAGTCTTTTAGAGCGCTGGCAAGAGCTGTAGGATCCACACCGTCTGACAAAGTGCGGAGATTTGAGCTCTTCCCACTTGTATCTGGAAAGAATAAGGTACTCTTGACAGGTCTGGAGGGCGGGGTCCTGGATCCTGGCGGTGACACGAGTCGATTGGACATGTTATTCTTGATGCCGGACGTAGACGATGTTGCGTCTGGTTCTGTGTCCCTGTCGGCCATGGCTGTAGTGGGAATGGAGGATTCCACTTTCCTCCCGTGGCAACCGAATGTAGACCGGTAGGTGTGTTGCACAAATCGCTGTAAAGTTGGGTCGATTAGTCGAATGAGTCACAACGTCGGATTGATTGAGATGACTCCTGAGAGGTGCCGTGTAGACCTCAATTCTTCAACTTCCGATGAACCAAGACGCCCTGTTGCTAAGCGCTCGCTCTATGTTTAGCCGCAAACAAAGATTGGGTGAAGTGCCACAAGGAGCCTGCGGTCAGAGCTGGGAATCTGTCGAGCGAGAGAAGACGATTTCATTGAGGAGAGGTCGACGCAGAGAAGAGGTGTGTTGTTGAGAGAGCAAATCCAGCGCTGATGTGATGTGTGCTGAATGTTGTTGTCGCTAGACCGAAGGGACTCCCTCACTTGGCAACCGCAACGGGAGTCACGCGTTTTGATAAGATAATCAGAGCTAGTCCGGATTGGGACACAGCAACATCGACTCAAGCTCACAACCTCTACAACTTCATTAATCTCTTAGATCTCTGATAGGTCTAGACTCATAGTTCTACTGAATATCTTTACACTCTCCTCTGCTTATACCGATCTGAAGGACGACACTTCAATACAGATCCCGGGTACGGTGTTTACAACGAGCGCGTCCATGTTATGATTGATCAGTTTGGCGTCTCAATTTACACGCGTCCCAACCCTTGATTAGCCCTTCTACACGTCCGAGCCTGCATATACCTAGTATTCTAAGGGGAATTGCCCACCAACGCATGCGAACCCAGTGGCAGTTTATTGTTGATGTTATAGCAGCTCCTGTCTGGCAAACGCGAAACGCTCGCTTGACGATTCGACCAGCGATCAAGTTGATTTTATGCCAACAGCCGCGATATCGTAGTAGCGATTGGATAGTATCACTGCGACCCTTACTATAGTACACCATCAAAATAGTATTAGCAAGGACACTAATGTGTACATAACTTATATTGTAAGTAGTAGTTATCCGTATACAATGATCTTCTGATAAGGTGTGATCATATGACACCTTAAAATTAAGGTTGCAATCTCCGACCACCCGCTTGCCTTCCCTGTAAAAGGTGGAGTAGGTACATGACACCAAGCACCACCATGAAATCGAGACTTTACTCATCTCGACTACTACAAGGGTACTCAGTCAATTCCGCTTTCTCGATCTCATCAGCCACACGCCGCATTGGTCACTTCGGTTACACTACCATGGTCAAAGTCAATCACAAGCAGGCTGCATTGGATTTCTTGTCCTTTGTCAACGCCTCCCCCACTCGTACGTATGCCATCTGAACAGTACGACGACAATGTCAATGGCAAGATACTTATAGAACTATGTCCATATAGCCTTCCATGCCGTCAAGTCTAGCAAGGACTTGCTCGCCGCAGCTGGCTTTGAACAAATCCGAGTATGTGTTTCTACTTTATCCTCGCTTTCCGTCGCGATCAGCATCTGACCGTATGTAGGAAAAAGACTCGTGGACATCAAGCCTCCAACCTGGAGGAAAGTATTATCTTACCCGCAATGGATCCACGTTGATTGGGTTTGCCATTGGCAAGAAGTGGAAGGTATGAAGCCTCAAACCGTGTCCCAGGTATAGCTGACTAACATGTCCTAGCCGGGTAACTCTGTTGCTATGGTTGGAGCTCATACCGACTCTCCTGTGCTTAGAATTAAACCCGTGAGCAAAAAGCAAGGTGAAGGTTTCGTGCAAGTCGGCGTTGAGACATACGGAGGAGGTATCTGGCATACCTGTGAGTACATCACGAATATGATGTGTAGCCTCCACTAACTCCCGTAGGGTTCGATCGTGATCTGGGCGTTGCTGGCCGTGTCATGGTGCGTGCAAAGGATGGAAGTATTCAGCAGAAATTGGTCAAAGTTGACCGACCCAGTAGGCGACCATTCTTCCTTGAAGGAAAGAAGTATCTGACATAACGTTCCCAGTCTTGCGCATTCCAACCTTGGCTATTCACCTGGAACGCAAGGAATCTTTTGATTTTAACAAAGAAACCCAATTGTTCCCCATTGCCGGCCTGGTCGAGGCCGAATTGAACAGAACTCGAGACCACACTCCAGACTCTTCTCAACAAGAAACTCCAACAACATCCTTGAAGCCTACAACAGAACGCCATCATTCTTATCTCGTTGAGCTGGTTGCTTCCGAGATTGATGCCAAACCCGCCGATATCCTTGACTTTGAATTGATTCTTTTCGATACTCAAAAGTCATGTCTTGGTGGACTTCTCGAGGAGTTTATCTTCTCTCCTCGACTGGACAATCTCAACATGTCCTTTTGCGCGGTGCAAGGACTTATCGAGTCCGTCCGTTCCAGCAAGGCTTTGGACAACGAGAGCGCCATTCGACTAATTGCATTATTTGACCACGAGGAGATCGGTAGCAAGAGCGCTCAGGGTGCCGACTCAGATGCGTTACCGGCTGTTCTTCGCCGTCTCTCTGTGCTACCCGCCAAGGAAGCTGGCAACAAGTCAGTTGACCTTTCAACTGCTTATGAACAAAGCCTTACAACATCCTTCCTCCTATCTGCCGACATGGCTCATAGTGTCAATCCCAACTACAGCGCCAAATACGAATCAGACCACAAACCTCATCTGAACAAGGGCCCCGTCATCAAGATCAACGCCAACCAACGCTACGCAACCAATGCTCCTGGTATTGTGTTGTTGCAAGAAGTCGCACAAAAGGCTGCCGAAGATGGAGGAGACATTGTACCCTTGCAACTGTTTGTCGTTCGCAACGACTCTTCCTGTGGAAGCACTATTGGGCCAATGTTATCTGCTAATTTGGGTGCAAGGACACTTGATCTGGGTAACCCGCAGCTTAGTATGCACAGTATTCGGGAAACTGGCGGTACAGAAGATGTGGGACATGCTGTGAGGTTGTTTGCGAGCTTTTTTGAGCATTATTCGGCCTTGGCTCCGACTATTCTCGTTGATTAGTCGGTTAGATTAAGTTGTAGGGAGGCTTCCCACGTTTTGTCTCTCCCATACCACCGATATGCGATAGACTTGTGGGGCAGATCAAGAGAAACAATTTCGGAGTTATCCTTAGAGACGAGAAATGCTAATAACCGAAAGAATAGACTCGAATACAATAAGATACTATAGATACATATATTGCTGCAACACTGTACAGTCTCTTTTCTAGTAAGGAAAATCATACAGAAGGCGCATCCTTCTTCTCAATGACATCTGCACCCTGTTCCTCCAGTATGGTCCCCTCTTTAATAATCTCCGCACCATCCTCCATTAGCTCCTCTAACGACTTCAACTTAACCTCCATAACCCTCAAAATCGTATATCGATGCTTACTCTTGATCCTCTGCACATGTCTCCGTCTCCTCTTTGTCTTCTCCTTTATCCGAAGCGGCTCAGACTCCACACCCAGCACTCTCAAACGACACTCGTACATCCTCTCATCAATATACGGACTTCCCTTGAGCGTATAATCGCGTGATCCAATAACAGAAGCGCGATTGAAGCGTAGGATGTCGCCGGATTTGACTTTGGGCATTAGGAAGGGGAGGCGCAGGTGGTCGCCTTCAGTGAGGAGGTAAGGGCGATCGTGGAGGTGCGCGGAGATGTAGTGCGGGCGTTGGGTGTAGAGGTATGGTAATTTGTCGGCAAGAGATTTGGTGATTTTGAGGTTTGAGTCGAAGAGAGGTGGGAGAGGGAGTTTGGTACGCGGGATGCCGTTTATGAAGTGTCCATCTGACGTCGATGTGGTTGTTGATTGTTGTGTGGCATCTGGAATGGGAGATGTGGATGTCTGCGACGCGGAGGGGGGAATTGACACTGCAGCAGCTGAAGTAGAAGGCGGAATCTCAGGAGGTGTCGCCTGGAAATTCTGAGAACTGCTGTTGGTGGTAGATGCTTGGTGAAGACATGCTCGGGATGCGTATGAGAGGATCGGCTGTTGACTGGCTACTCGCTCGACGCTGAAAAGGCCCCGGAGAGCTTGCCGAGAAAACATTATGGTCTTTTGTATTCACTTCCAATTGGGTAGAGTTATCTCATCGGTGATAGGTGATTGGGAAAGTTATCAACATGGTTGTTGAAGTCGATGTCTTGACTTTCTTGGGGCCAGTGAAAATCTACGGAATTGCGCGAGTTGCCGCATCGGCTGCCGGATAGTCACGTGTTTGGTTCTGTTACGCCTTATTTTTAAGGAAGCAAAGAGCCTACTACAAATGCATCCATCAATTACATAGGTAGGTTACCAGTACAGGTTGTGAGCTACGCGAGATCTATGTGGTTTTTACACTTCATTGAGTGAAATCTATCCACATTTCGATGTCGATGACTGGACTGATTTAGAGTTTACACCCTCTCTGCAAGAAGCCAGGTGCTACAGTATGTGTTGGGATTCTCACTCACCACCACCAAATGTCACCTCATACTACGTGAACCTCGCTCCTAGCTATATGTTACCATACTTGATCATCTATTATGCGCGCGGCTTTTTAGTCTAGGGTGGCTGGGCACAACAGTATATCCTAGCACTCCATGTCACCTCTACTACAGCCAGAGTCGACTGCGCTGGTTGATGGATTGCAGTCAACTGGAATCTCTCATCTACCCCTTTCAACAATGCAGACCAGCCTTGAGCGGTGCGTTCCCTAACATTCTGAAAAGCCAGCATATACATGTCGTTGTCGCCATCTCATCGGTTAACAATCTAACTCCTTTCTGGAGAGATTTTGGCATACCGACAGCGCTTCTCTCTCTTCCAAATAGTGTGCCTGATGTCATCCTGGAACAACACGGTCATTGATTATCACCTTGGCACCCAACTTTAGGGCAGGAATCAGAGCCTGAGAATCTTTGTCACATATTTATTAGACCAGTCATGAAGTACCATTCGCAATAGATACACAGCAGCATCCTTGGCAGGCTGTTCTTGAAAGAAGTCGTGTGCCTGGAAGGTGGTGCGAGACTTGTATTGCTCTGGTAGAGATTGTTGCACTTGCGAAACGACGTCAGGATAGTCTTGAATGACGCACTTGACGTGAGGGTTGTGATCGAGTAATGCTTGGGAGGCATGGCCAACTCCGCCTCCAACATCGACTACAGTGAGCTGCTCTTCACCAGATCCCCATAGGGAAGCCTCGGTCAAGTAGTGGTGTGAGAATGCAGGAAGTGTTAATTGCCATCTCATCGCTTCCGCGAGTGAATTAGCTTTGTCCGGCATACTCGCTAGTGCATGGGAGAGTGGCAGCTTCGTGCTATTATGCATACTCCATCCCTTTTCATAAGTCAGCGCACTACGTATGATTAAGGGAGACTATGGCGACCCAAACATTCTTCGGGCTCCTCGGAAAACGAGTGCTGCTTCAAGGTGGATGCCATCTAGAGCAAAATATGTTAAGAGCTCTGAAAAACATGCACTAAAAGACTCACCATCCCAAGGCATATGATAGGGTGCGCGGGATCGACCAGATTCATGAAGCATTAGCGCTACATAACGATATATATCGGAGGAATGTCATGGTTCTAAGGAATGATCCGAAGAGAGTGGTCTGGTTGGATTTTTCAAAGATCGAGCCGAAACGTAAGACTTCGAGTCTTTTACTGAAAAGGAAAAGGATCTCATTAGGGTTGACAGGGATTGTGCAGTAGGGATTGCCGAAGCAATAGTAAGTTGATTCTGCAAGAACCCGACTTGATACAGAGACTCAATAAAGAGCTAAGTAAATCACGCAACTCTTTGATATTTTATATTGATAGCTTTAAGAGAGTAAATATACTATTCCATATTCGTACTAGACTGCCTAATCTTATCAGAAGCGCCAAGACTTGCGGGCACAACTTTTTCGATTCATCTCTTGACAACACTCCAGTTGTCATTCATTAACATCTATCTGGAGCAATCAGAAACGGTTCCATCATGGTACGTTGATCCTCCCTCTACAATAATTGAAGCAATAAAACTGACATTATGTGACTAGCCTCAAAACGAGTTTGTCTTCCCTTCCAAGCTAGGTGTCGCATTTCAAAAAGATTGCTAACCTGGTTTTCTTCACAGGTATATCGAGTACGTACCAGATCCCTCAATCGAGAAGAAATCCATACTAATTCCAACAGACGCTTCCAAAAAACCCACGGTCGCCGCCTCGACCATGAAGAACGAACCCGCAAACGCGAAGCCCGCGAGGGCCACCTCGCATCGCAAAAGGCGCAGTCCCTCCGCGGTCTCCGGGCCAAGATGTACGCGCAAAAACGACACGCAGAGAAGATCCAAATGAAGAAACGGATCCGGGCACAGGAAGAGAAGAATGTGAAATCCGCTGCACCCTCAGAACCGTCGTCCGCTACACCTTTGCCGAATTATTTGCTTGATCGATCGCAGGCGACGAATGCTAAAGCTTTGTCGTCTGCTATTAAGGATAAGAGATCTGAAAAGGCGGCTAAATTTTCGGTACCTCTACCCAAAGTTAAAGGTATAAGTGAGGAGGAGATGTTTAAGGTGGTGAATACGGGCAAGAAGACGCACAAGAAGTCGTGGAAGAGGATGATTACGAAACCGACGTTTGTGGGGCAGGATTTTACGAGACGGAATCCCAAGTTTGAGCGGTTTATTCGGTGTGTCTCTTTCTCCTTAGGATCATCGAGTGGGAAAGAAGGGATGATGCTAATGCGTGAATAGTCCTATGGGTCTTCGATACAAAAAGGCCAACGTCACCGTACGACCTTTTTACTCCTATGACATTGACGAAAAGATTAACTGATAATTGAACAGCACCCCGAACTAGGCGTCACAGTCCAACTTCCAATCCTCTCCGTAAAAAAGAACCCTCAAAACCCCTTATACACTCAACTCGGTGTCTTGACCAAGGGTACAGTTATCGAGGTCAATGTTTCCGAACTCGGTACATCCTTCTTCCGCCTTTTGAAAAAGTATGCATGCTGACTCAGACAGGATTGGTAACAACATCTGGAAAAGTGGTATGGGGTAAATATGCTCAAGTTAGCAATAATCCTGATTTGGATGGGACTGTTAACGGTAAAACCCCCTTCTTATATAGTTTGATACATGATACTGATCGTGAATAGCTGTTCTACTCGTTTAATTGGTCATTATTGAAAAGCTTTGATTTGGTTTAAAACGGTTCATTATATCGGCGTTGGTGGTGTTCTTAGTCTTGTCTGAGGTAGATATCAAAATTAAGCAATCATTACATCCTACCAATTTCACAAAATTCCTGGAATGGTAATTGAAAAAGTAGATTGTTTTGAATACCCAGTATCCTTCTATATACACGATCCGAAATTGGTATCATCACTCTATCGATCCCTGATATGACACCACACCCATAATGATGTTGTCAATGATGAAAACGCTTCATAACTCATAACGACATGGATATTTAAACCAAAAAAAAAAGTAAAAGTCTATAATATGTGAGAAAAAAATGAAAAGGAAGAGGAAGATTAATAATCCTCCCCGGCATCATCGTCGTCATCGTCAACATCGCTCATATCATCCATGTTACTGGGACTAGTAGCCGGAGACGCCAGCCCGCTAACAACAGATGAAGTCGCGCCACCTCCTCCCGCTGCTTCTCCAGCTGCAAAGAGGCCCGTAGTATCCATTGCAGAGGATAAAGTACCAGACTGATGATAAACAGGACCAGCAAGCGTGACACGTTTCGACTTCTTAGCCACAACACCAGCCATCAATTCCTCTATCCCAGGTTTCTCAGGAACGTTTTGCGCCAACATAGTCGACAGATCCAATGATTCAATCGCATGTTTGAGGAATTGCGCATTTTTCACGCTCACGCTCAGGGTCCATCGATATTCAGCCAGACGCTGACGATAGAATTCAGCCTCTTCTCTCGTCGGTGCCGTGGCGAGAAGTAACGTGCCAAAGGAGCCGATAAGAGCGAAATTCGTGCGGGACGATCCCGGCCAGAAAGCTTGTAAATGCGCTGGACGGAGACGATTCACAAAATCCATTGCACTGATGAGTCGCGTCTTTGCTGCAGAGCGGCAGATGTGTGAGAGGTAATTATCCGCTGTGTTAGGGGACAGGGATCGAATTATGCAGCGATGTAAAGTGATTTCGGTCGCGAAATAGGCGACGTGTAAAGCGCCGTTGGAGGCGGATTCTTCGGTGACTTCGTCAAAGAGGATTTCTGCGCTTGTTGAGGCGGTTGAATCCATCTTCATGCCGGGGGGAAGACGGGCGAACCAATCTTTCAGTCGAATTTGGACTGGCTTGGCCTTTTCGAGGATATATCTGGTTTTGTTGTTTCCGGCTGCGGCGAACTGTTCGGCTGCTCGGAGAGTGTAGAATGTATCCAGGATTTCAGCAAGGATGGCGGTTAAAGCGACATGTTGGCAGAATAGGAGTGGGCCGTGACCCAGTCCTCCGGTACTCTCGCCCTCATTATTAGAGTCGTACTTTTTGTGTGCTGGTGATGTCGCTGAAAAGGCTCCGACAAAGTCATCTTCGACCAAATCACGAACCGTCCAGTTCGCTGCTGACATGTGTGATGGTCTGCCGTGGACGAGTGAGCACCATTTATCCTGTGTATGTAATGCCCACGCCATTCGTCTACGCAACCCCCGCTCGGCAAGTGGGATCTTCCAATTGAAGCAATCCTGATGCAGACCAAGCTCAAATGCAGCCGTGACCAATTGCCCGTTCAGCGAGGATGTGTTGAGAGACGACCGTTGCATGATAAGCATACCGGCTTGAATAGTAGTTATATCAGCATGCGGTAGGGACTCTGTCAATAACTTCATGGCTGTATCTTCCATTCTCTTCACGTCTGGTTTTCGCGCTGAACGGGCTGCAGGCTCAAATTCGAGGTATTTTAGTGTGAGAGTATAGACGGCTGCTAGTAGAAGCGGCGATAATCCTCGCCGCGTACGATAGGATTGTCGAAAGGAATCCTCCATCAGCACTGGGAAGACGGGGTGGATCTTTTCAAAGAATTTATCAACCAGCGTCGAGCCATAAGGGGCAACTAAAGTCTCAATGGCGTCCAGTGAGACTGTAGACGCCTCCTTCGAAGAGTCCGGGTTCATGATTCGCATAAACGTGCCGTCTGCGGCGAACCGGCGGATTTTATGGGTGGATGAGAGTGAGCTTTCATCGTTGGTGTCTAGAGGGATGTGTTCAAAGAGGATGGGTTCGAGCTCTGTGGTTAGGCCGATGTGTTGACTTGATTGGTATGATAGTCGGGGTGAGGCCAATAGATTTGTATTGGTGGTGTTTGTAGGGGGAACCATTTCTTTTGTAGTCGACTCTGGTCGAGGTATTTCTATTGATTGTCTACAAACTGTCAATGTCCATGCCATCATGAGGAGAAGATATAGACTACCTTTTATTCGACTCAGCCTCTACCAAATCCTCCAGCTTCCTTTTCCTGGACGGTGGAGAGGCTGCTTCTGATAAGGCACTATTGGCCAGACTGAACGTGCAATCCTGGCGATGGAACTCGCACGAGTAGCACTTATTGACCAACTCGTTCATTGCACAGCGACTCTTGCGGAAGAGACAGGCGTCACAGCTGACCCCATCGCGGCCAGTAGGCCCACGAGAGGAGACACTGCCGGCGAGCAGTGATGTCGTAGAAGCTATAGTGTTGGTGAGGTTCAAGGTCTGATTAGTCGTAGTGGTGCTGGCAGCTACAGAAGACGCGCTGGTGTTGACTGCAGGCGTCGTATTAGGGGTCGCTATAGACGAGAAGGACGCTGAGGAAGCTGAGGGGGAATTGGTAAGAGATGCCACAGGGGAAGTCGTCGAGCTCATTCGGGGGTGTTGGTGATGTCGAGTGAGAAAACGGTGATCAGCAGTAAGCGTCGAAGCATTCAATGGCAGACCGGCAGCTGCCGGGCCAGAAGAAGTGGCTTGGATGGTGATGGCGGTAGCCATGTTAAGTAGTCAAGGTTAAGATTCAGAAAGTTAAGATAGATAAGGCGTCTTGTCTATCAAGTTATCGGCTGGGGTGCAGGTGGGATAGATTTAGTCGAGTGGAGGTTCAATTGGAGGATCACAGACCAGCAGCATGATAAGGACTTTTGTTTGTCGACTTGTCGTGTGCTGTCGGTCCTTGTCGTGTGCCTGCAACGATGGTGATCACGCTGTTAGGTAAGCCCAAACTGCAGCCTTATCAGTGCATGTGGGATGCCTTGGATGTAGTCCGGAGAAGACGATATGATAGTGAAGTGATACGAAGATGATAGTTTGATATGGCGGGCGGTTTCCGATTCCGGCCGACACTATCAAATCAACAACAATACTACATTCAGATATTGGTCTGAATGAAACGGCGAGTTCGAGGATAGAGTATTTATTCCTGCGATTATTTGAAGTGCACTGTATACTATTCATATACTACACATCTACACCTACAGATGACTATGAATCATCACGGATCGTCGCGCATCATCGATTTCCCTCACGTAATGAATATCATCACTTTCTGGCTATACACCAGAAACAACAGGTGAATAGTCCAACGACCAGGTTTCCTCGACATAAAAAAAGTAGCAAAAAGATAAGCTTGTTCCCACTCATTGGCTGGCTGTTCCTCAGGCATCTCTCGGTACAGCAGCCAGGGCGAATATATTACGTACTGAAATCGGGAGGATGTGGATTAGCTGTGCTTGTTGGAACGGAGAATTTTTAGTCAGAGGTGTATCAATCGTCGGTCGAAGACGTTGGACAATGTAACCAGAGTATCTATTGATTGTGAGCAGTCATGATAAATCGACAGATCATAAGGTGTATCACAAAGATAGAGCGATATAGAGATAGAAGTGTTTGGAGATGCAAAAAATATTTGGAAATGAAGCTGAGGATGCCAGATCAGCCAATCAGCGTGCTCTGATAACGCCCGCAGCACAGCCAATCAGGCACATGAGCTGTATCCGAGAATGGACTAGCGCAGCCTTTGTCCGGGGAGCTCTGCAGCTATTCCTGGAGTCTCCATACTCCGTCCGACCAATCAGACTGCGCTTAGTCATGCATTTTGACGACGCCTTATTGGTTACAGGCTTGGTCAGAATGAGGGTTAGGGTTTAGTCAGTCGTGACGACCTCTCAGTTATTTATCTAGTGGAACTAGAACTACCAAACCAACTCCCAAACACCCCGCTGACCATGTACATCTAGATATTCATCAGACCCACGACACAAAAGACAACCATAACTTTTGATTGCAGGAGCAGAAAAAGACAATTACTCGACAAAATTCCGCAGCTTGGTCAGCTCATCCAGCAATTCCTGCAAATCGACATCCGAGATTTTGTTCTGTAAACTGGGGATCAATGATTTGGCTTCTTCCGCGTTGTCGCAACATAGACTGCCTGTTTGTCTCCAGTATTAGCATGCAACATTATCGACTGGGAATCCCAGAGAGCAAGTATGAGGACAAACCTAATTGCGACCGCTCAAACATCTCTAACTCCGTATGCGAATTGAGTAATCTCTCCACGGCCTTGATATTCTCTTCATCCTTGAATCGCGCAAATACCTCTAAATAATCCAGTGTTTTTGTAAGGTTCCTACCATCGTCCCAGACATTAGCCAAACCGTCATCACCCCAACAACAGAAACCCCCTGTGAATAAGGGAGAGACATACTCAGGTTCATCATATTTCTTCCCACCTCTCCTCTTATTCTCAAGCACTTTGTTTATAACCAGTCGCGCCTCACTGAGGGATAGAGTATGCGTGTTTTGGTCCTCACCGAGTTTTAAGGTGGAGGCGGCTTCGAGGTCGGATTGAGGGACGACGCGTTTGCGGTGTGTAGCGGGGGGGAGTTTGATGCCTGTGCTTGTGCTCATTTTGCTTTTTTTTTCCCTTTTGCTTTTAAAATATTCTCGATTGTAGATGTGATGGCTTTTAGATGAGGGGTGCGGCGAGTAGTTTTTGGTCCGTGGTTTGAGAGTTTGTAACGAGTGAGTCGGCGAGGAGATGGGCAGTTGATCGATTCCGTTGCTTGTCTGGAAGAATGTGATCGATTTCGATTATTGTAATATTCGTAAAGGTATGTTCAATGAAGTGGGCGTTATTAAAAACGAACAGGTGAGCTGGTAAAGTGAAGCTCAAGTCTGATGCGGCTCAGCGGTTGAGGTTCAGGTTGGCGGGGCTTGGCATTCGGTCTACTCCATCAGATCTACATTTGATATTCACCACAACACCGTACTCATACAAGGGGTATCGTTTCTATTCAAAAACTATACTAACGCCCGCCATGCATTCCAATAATTTTGCCCTACTACCTCGCAAAAGCAACTTCCTTCGGCAGACGGAAACTAGCACAAAACATCTGCTTCTTCGGACTCACCAACCTCACATTATGGATTTCCAGCTCTCTCTCCTGGTTTCCAGTACCATTGACTGTATCGTCAGGCGTTAATGTAAATCCCATACGCTCCGAGATGCGTCGACAGATATCTTCATGATCATCTCGGACGTCTTCCGAATGACCCGAGAAGCAATAAACGTGTATCACGGGTAATTTCCGCTCGGGTTTAAACGGCTCAAAACGTGATTCCATACCCGCGTAGACGCCGACGAACGCATCGAGGAACTCAATCGCCGTCGCGGGGAGATTCATTACGTAGTGATCGACTGTCGATGGTCGAGTATATATCTGAGGTGGTGGAGGTGTGGTTCTACCTGCTCCGGCTGGTTTATTTCGCCTGGCCGAGTTGCTAACCTTGGGTTGAACGACTACCCTTGTCGGTGGGGAGAGCATCATCTCGGCAGATGCGCGGATGAATTTTCGTCCATCCATATTGAATGGTTTTACGAATTGTTGAACTTTGTTGCGTTTCACAGCGTCTTCCATGCTTTCCCATCCGTGGGGATTCAGATCGTTGGCCCATACGAAGATCTTCTTCTTGCCTGCTGGTACAGCAAAGGGTCCAACACCGGCCATCACGTCGCAGACAAGTTCACCTTCGTGGAACTTGTCGCATAGTCGACGATGCTCAGTCTCCAGACGACTGTTCCAGTAGACGCGCGAAAAGTCGAATCGGAATTCACATCCTTGTTCGTGGACGGTGACGTTTAGATCGTTTTCGCCGGCCAATATCTCAAACGGGAATGTCCGGAATTCACTTTCAGACCCGACATTCTCGGTTTTGTTGATCACAGTGCGGACCAGGGGGTTCTTATCTTTGAGGATTTGCGCAATGAGGTGTTTGTATGGGTACCATCGTTCTCGTAGGTTCAGATGCACTTCCTAAAGGTAAGCATATAGCCATGTGAGTATTTCTTGCGGTTGACTTACAAACATGTCCCGTCAATGTGAAGCCCTCTGGAAACTCTCCGCTCGCGACCTCCTCCTCAGGGAGAATCGCCTCAATAATCTCCGCATAAGTCCAATATGAATAATCCAAATCAATCGTATAAGGACCCAACCCAACAGTTCCATTCTCAACCAATTCATTCAATATCGGTGACCACGTAGTAGCATCTGTATCCAACAACCATATTAGCATATCCCCTCAATCTCAAGAATCAAACGACAAACGTACCGTCATATTTAATATCCTCCCTCAAGACCAAACACTTCTTCTTCCTCGACTCCTCCTTCGTCAATTCCAATATCTGCCCATTCCTACCAACAACCAGCCTCTCCGACGTGGGCGTCGCACAGGTATTGTATCTGGGTAAGTCGATTGCATCTTTACTTGATTCCAATCTTTTGCGCACGGAGGATATGTTCTTATTCTCTAGCACGGTGGCCGCGGAGACGGGGACGGTCTTTTTGAAAAAGGAGCGGTCCAGGACGCGCATGGCACGATTCACGGGCGGGCGAAACATTTCTCGGTTTCGGGAGGTGGATTGTTTGGTTGCGAGATATTTTGAGTCCATTTGGACCTTTTGCTGTAGAAAAAGAGCCTAGAGCGAAAAAGAAATAGAAGTTGATCCGTGCACGGATGGGGATAGATCTGTAAAGCCACCTGGGTAGGGGCGAGAGGCACTTTATTTTGTAGAGTCTGGTATAAAGGGCAGAAGTGGATATGTTCTTCTTGATCTCTTTCGATCAACGCGGGGTTGACACAAAAGTAAATATGAAAAAAGAATGAGTCAGTCATTCTGATTGGGCAGCGACATCTGAGATTTTTTGCGCACGTGACATTTCCGATAAGATAAGGATGATCGCATACAAATACTATGTAGTACTTTCGATATAGCAAGAATATTCTGCCAGAGCTTACTTGGAATTCTCATCGCTCAAGCACGAAATAACAACTTTATCCATCTCCCGCTCTGTCTCCAACCTCTCAATCCTCTCCTTGAGAGCTTGGATCTCCTCATCCTTCTTCTTCAGCGCCATTCGCGATAAATCTCGACCCCGAATTATACCCTGTGTCTTGAGATGATGCTGATCCAACGATGCGACGATCTCATCTCTTGCAATCGTAGGAATAACCACATCGTGGCGGTCGAGAATCGCCAATATATTCGACGCCAGATCCGAGATTTGGTGAGATGCTGCGCCCTGCGCTGATAACACGTCTTTGTATCGTCGCGGAGTGGGTGTTGCGGATACGTCTACTGATGAGAATGAGATTGGTGCGGTACTAGAAGATTGCGTTGTGGGTGCACTTTCAGAGTAAGGCGGGGGTTTGTCTTCGTCGTCAAAGACATCCTGCAATTTCCTTTTGCTCGGTGATGTATTCGTAGCTGTTCGTGGAGCTTTGTTCGACGTAAAGACTGGTTGCTTGGGACGAGCAGTACTACTACTACTACTCCTATTCAGTAGATTACCAGCTTCATTATCGAGACTCTCATCCCAACTATACGCTTCTTCGTCGGATGATAGAGTTGACGATTTCCGGACTTTTGTAGGAGTTTGTTGCTGTGCCAAAAAATCCAACCGTCGCCGAGGTTCTGTTCGCGCTTTCACCGCGCTACTATTTCCATAAGTGGTACCAGTGCCTGGGGTAAGCAAACCGCCGACTTGAAAACTCTTCGAGGGGCTCTTCTTTGGCGTATCTGGCTCCGATCTCGAGTTCGCAAGCAATGTGTGTTTCTCCCTTATCTGCGCATCGTCATCCCAAAGGAAGAACTTGCATCGTTGCGGTTGCGGTTTTTGGCATGTATAAACTATCTAGAGTTAGCAGATACTCTATCAAATAGTCAATGAATATAAAGCTTACACCATCGGCCATGATTTACTCCACCATTTTTGGTCTGGAAGTGGTCCGCTGGTAGTCGTGGATCGCAGTCGCAATGCCAGACGCCATCAATGAATCGGCCACGCCAGGATGAGGTTCGTCGCGGAGAGGAATATATTTCGCTTCCTTGATTCATTTCATTGCAGGATCAGAGGTCTTGTCACATTTTCCGTATTCTCGATAAGTAGAGACGAGCGCTGATGCAGTGAAGTGATGCTTGTAGGTGGTTGTTGAAGCTCTAGGCATCACAATGTCGCTATGGCAACTGGTGGTCGCAAGCGGTCTTGGCGGTGACGTGGGGCTCCGGTTTGGGGATGCCATCTGGAGATACTGTTCGCGGGGATTAGACAGGGAAAGGAATTTCAGAGGATCAGTCTACAACTAGACGATTTGCAGTACTTATGGCTGATGAAATCTCGCTTATATGTATATGGGTTTAACTTAGTTATCATAGATTTTCTTGCGGGGCATATTAAGACCTGTCAAGAGGGGTAGTAATGGTGTGATCGTAGTGGAGAGATTTCCTCGTACTAAGAGTCATTTCTCATGAATTGTATTGCAAAATTTCTCATCTACCATTCCGCTGAGGTTCAGTATACTACGATACAAAATGGCCATAGAAGAATCAAATTCATTCGTTCTGTCTGACAGCAGAACTAGTGACGATATCGAGCAACTTTCCGAGTTCCAGACCCTTCTTCGACAGCATGAACAGGCAAAGTGGAAACCTCCTAAAGGGTTCGTCTGGATCCAAGTCGGTGCGTGCTTCATCCTGTACTGTTAGCCGACCAGTTACTGATACTTACTTGTGAAGCAATCTTTGCCAATGTCTTCTTGTCTGGCTTCGATGGGACCATTACAGTCTCAACATATGCACTCATCAGTTCTGAATTCAATGCAGCGAACACTGCCTCTTGGCTGACGACATCCTACTTGATCACAAGTACAGCGTTTCAGCCGATTTATGGACGTATGTCTGATATCTTTGGGCGAAAACCATGCTTCTACGTCTGCACGATTGCCTTTCTTCTTGGCTGCCTTGGCTGTGGAGTTGCCCAGGATATGTTCTTGCTGAATATTATGAGAGCAATCACTGGCGTTGGAGGGGGTGGTCTCATTACAATGGGTAACTCATAGACTTACCTGCTATTCAGTGTTGTTGATTGTAGCTGACCCAATATCGTAGCAACGATCATCAATTCTGACTTAATTCCGTTCAAAAACAGAGGAATGTATCAAGCTGCACAGAATGTACTTCACGGGTTTGGTGCTATCTGTGGTGCTTCTCTTGGCGGTGCAATTGCTGAGACAATCGGTTGGCGATGGTGTTTCTTGCTGCAAGTACCCTTGTCTGTATTTGCACTTGTTGTTGGGAAGATTGTCATTCGCCTCCCACAGACAAGCGAGGACCACAACTCGACTCACGGATGGCAGGGAATATGGAACCAGGTGGATATCCTAGGAACAATGCTTCTTGTGTCGGGCTTGTCTGTGCAGCTTATCGGTCTCAGCCTTGGTGGAAACGAGCTGCCTTGGAGTAATCCATGGATCATTTTATCCTTGACCGGGAGCGTTGCGTTGCTTGCACTTTTTCTCTGGACTGAAGCCAGAACACTGGCTGCACCGATAATTCCCCTTCGCCTGTTGCACGGTACGGTGCCAATCTGTATTCAGATTGCCAACCTATGTGTAGGCATGGGAGCGTACGCCGTAGGTGATGCCTCTGCTTTTCAATCTGCAGCTAACACAACAACCCCAGTTTTTGTTCAATCTCCCGCTGTTTTTCCAGGTTGTCCTCTTGGATTCAGCCAGTACTGCCGGTGCAAGACTGGTCATTCCTTCCTTGGCAACTCCACTTGGTGGCCTCATTGCAGGTATCATCATGTCACGGTGGGGCAGACTGTCACAGATCGTGCAGACGGGAGCCCTCCTGATGTTTGTGGGCAATTTGTTGGTCGCCATGCTCCGTTTCAATGATGCAAGCTGGAAGTACTTCGTCTATGTTTTCCCTGCCAACCTAGGCCAGGGAATGGTATATCCTGGTATACTGTTTAGCTTTCTCGCTGCCTTTGACCATACCGGTATGTATCATGTTCGATATATCAGACTGTGGCTAATTTGCAGACCACGCCGTTTCTTCATCAACTGTCTACCTCATTCGATCGCTGGGCAATGTCTGGGGCGTCGCCATTACATCTGCCGTCGTGCAAAATCAGTTAAACTCAGGCCTCTCAAAGGCCTTGAGTGGAATACCAGATCATCGGAAAGTAAAACCCTTCATTTTCAGAGCCACGTAGTCTCCTGTCTGGCATGAGCTGATCAATTTTGTGTTAGATAATTGATGAAATCAGGCATTCGGTTTCTGCAATTTACGACCTTCCTCCCGACATCCAGATGGCTGTGCGCTCCGTCTATTATGATGGACTACGTTTGTCTTTCGGTCTGTCAGCGTCGCTATGCGGAATAGCTACCGTTGCTGCACTGTTCGTCAGAAGCAAAGGATTGCACCGGCCAGGTGACGGTGAGTAGACCGATCTGGGCGAGTGACAGCGAGGAAGCAGTGGGGAGGTTACCTGCATCAGGTAAACACTCGGTTCTTTCGGACGAGTTGAGGCTCAGACTGCCGTTCGTAAACAATCAAGCTGCTTGATATATATAGCCACAGGGGATATACGTACAAGGAAATCAGGGGTAAAATAGATTGAGATGAGCCAGGGGCATCTTCAACCGTGATATTATCCTCTAATCATATGCTGGTAGAAAAAGAACTTGTTGTAAGAAAAAGAAAAGTAAGCCAAGTAAAGCAGAGAAAAAAGGAGTCGATCTGGTTGCCGAATTTGGAAGCTGCCTTGAAGCCCCACAGCTTCGGTCGCGCTTGCCGTCTTACGAACATTACGTACTTGGATCAGCTGCCAAACCTCCTCAGCTCTTCCGAATACCTTCAGCTCTTTTCTTTTTCAATTAATTTGACAAGAATTGACACCGAACCAGCAGCGATATCACAGCCAAGACTCCAGATCTGTATTCTTGCCGAATTGCCGCTAATTGCAGCCGGTGCACAGTTAATCTATGCTGGAGCCTGGCGGCCCAGCGACGTCACCCGTTCGGCGACTGAAAATAGCATAACCCTATTATGACTAGTCAACAGTTAATACGCCATTCCATCCGATATTAAAGCGACGACAAAAAAGATCGGAAGAACAATTTTGCAAGGAAAAGGTCTTCGCAACGTTTTCGCATTGTGGATTTATAAGTTCCATTTTGTGCTTTTGAAAAGCGCAATACGACTGGTAAGAGTCTTCATCGCAAATCTACGATGGTTACGCAGCTAGACGCTGCCAATCCGGCAGCCCGCGTCGAGGCACCAGTGAATAACATTCTGACCGGAAAACAAGAGCATTGTATGGTGATCAAGTTCCTTTTTTATCTGAATGGAGAGTAACTTTACAGACCTCAAGCGAGAACTCCTGAGCGCCCAAGTCCGCCATGAAATCGTCGAGCTTGCCCACCCCACTGCCCTTCGTCGCTTTGGTGCACCCTTCAAGTCGGAATTTGGAGAGGTCGCCCCCGTAGACTCGGAATTACCTATACTACGTTTCATTTTCGTCAATCATGTTCGAAATTTCCCATTTCTCGACCAAGCCCGCGAGAAGGAGTTCTGGCAGGACCGTCTCCAAGTGGTACGTCCGGATGACCCCCGCAGAGAGGCGTGCTGACAAAGCTTGTAGTTTCTCGAGTCATTCGCAAACAAGAATATATCATCGTCCGAAGACCGATTGGAAGAAACAAAACGCAGAAAACTGGCCAAAAAATGCGAGAAGTTAGTCGAACTCATGATGGTCTCAGGTATCCCCACCGCTTCAGGCTATGAGGAACGTATAAGGTTCTCGGAAATGGAGATTGTAGACCGCGGGGCCAACGAAAAGGGTCTTCTCGTGAACATGCCGGATGGTCAGAATATCAATGACTGGGATGTGAACGTGGCCGCTGTCAGGACGACATCGGTCAGACGCACCGTTCGCTATCACCAACATGCGGTATGGCTGTCGGTCCTATACTTATGATTATTATGCTGACAATCTCTCAGGAGTTTATCCTTCGTGTTCGTAAAGCTGGTCAGCCAGACGTGTACGTTGGCCGCAGATATGGCGAATTCGTCAAGCTTCATAAGCGTCTCCGAACTGAGCTTCCAGGAAAGATATTGCCACCACTACCGAGGAAAAACAAGAAATCCAGTGCTTCTTCATTCTGGGGAGGTTCAGGTGATGACGATGCTTCTTCTATATCTTCCTTGTCAATTCAAAGTATAGCCGTGGTCGATGACGAAGTCACTGTCTCCAAGACGAACTTGACGGTGGTTACTCCAGAGCACCATCGTTCGAGTTCACGATCATCTGCGCTCTCTACGAGATCAACGTCGTCTCGTCCGTCTGGAGATCTCCGACCTGGCACTGTTCTCTACCGGGAGGAGCAGCGAGTCTCATTGAGGGCCTTTTTAAGAACCATACTGCAGAACAAAAGAGTGGCCGAGTCCAAAGCTATGGAAGAATTCTTGACAGCACGGCCTATCCAGTTGAACGAGGAAGAGTTGCTCGATATCAAACGAAGAAAAGCTGCGGATGCCGCTCGCATCGAGGAACAAAAAAAGTTCTATGAGATTGCTCGACAACGTGCTGCGGAGCTAGATGTTTATATGGAGAAGTTCCGCCGAAGTATTGTTGAGCAGAGTAAGTTAATCGATCCATTCATCTGGTAGTCAGAGCTGATAATTATCAGATGGTCTTACGAAGCTCTTTGCCGAGATCAAAGAGAAGAATACCATTCAGGAGCTTAGCCCCGAATATCAAAAATTTGCCGAATGGCTTCGAATTGAGTAAGTTGCCGCTGTGAATCTTGCATGGCTTCAGCTAACGGATCAGGGTCGCCGCCACGATATATCATCTCTTTCTAGCAGAGGATAATTCCCCGGAACTCTTTGCACAAGCCAAGAGAATACATTCACTAGTTCCTTATACCCTTTTGAAGAACGTCATTCGTATAGCCAATCCTGCTGCAGTTATGTCTGGTGTTCTTGACTTGTTCCTTGCTCAGCCATTCGGGTCACGGTCGTTGTTGCAGCGGATATTCTCGATGACTCTGACCGACGGTATCAAGCAGTTCCAAAAACCAATCGACACGCTGGTCGCAAAAGTCGAGGATCCAGCGATTTGTGAGAAGTTGAAAGCGTTTGTCGACTCGGATGAATCACTCAAGACCATCATTCGTGAGGAAGCGCAGGAAGAAGACATTGATATTGTGGTTGCAATTCTCAGATCTGAGCTGTTGACTCCGGATATGAAACCTTCGCAGATTGAGAAGATTTTCAATTCTTATGTGGCCTGGAATGCAGCCGTTGAAAACGTATGTTATCGTTCTCTTTTCGAGATACCAACTAACTTATCTAGATTCATGAGGATATGAGACATGGAGCTGAATGGTTTGCTTATTTGAAGCAACTGCTTAAGTTGTATACTCGGCAACGCGATAAGGCCATGATGTTGAGCATGATAGAAGAGGTATGTCTTAGCCATTAGTTCTTGTGTGATCGGTGCTGACACGACTAGCCTGTTACTTTGAAATTATTCCGAGATCTGTTTACTATATTCTATGAACCTTTAGTACGGGTTTATAAGTCTGCCAATGTCTATAACAGTATTACAGACTTCGCCAAATTTGCGGAAGATGCAATCGGAGTGATTGAAAAGGCTCAACGACAGGATGTTTCCGCAGACCCTAATCAGACGGTACAAGCATTTATTGATCTTTGCGCACGCCACGAACACAACTTCTATAAATTTGTTCACGAGGTTCATTTACACGATAATGGTCTCTTCGGCTCTCTCATGGCCTGGATTGAGAATATCTTGGATTTTCTCCGCAAAGGTCCACGCAGTGGGTGCAAATTGGACATGAATGCTTTGTTCCAAGGAGCGGTAGACACCAAACAAATCAACAAGGGAGAGGCTATACGAGAAATAGATAGCCTAGTCAAATGGCAAGAGGACCGGAAGAAATGGCATCACGACAAGACAAGACAGAAGATGGCTGCGGAGGGCATTGGTGCGGAGATGCCTGGAAGTGCCGCCTTTCGGACCAGTGATTTTGGTCTAGATGAGGACGATCTAGATGATCTGGCCACTACAAACGAGGAATCGGATGAAGATGATGAAAATACGGACGACGACGATCTTGATCCTATTATGGCGGAGCGTAGGCGGCGTGCAAAGAAACAAGACCATCTGCGAAGATCAGCGGGTGAGCCAGTCAAGCCGGATGTAAAAGAGGTTTACAAATTGCAGGAGTCATTTGGGATGATGTTGAGAGAAGTTCTGGCAGATTGATAAGAGATATATACCTAGGTAATATTAATTACTGTTTAGAACTAATCATAATCGGGCTAGACATAGAAGAGACATCTCAGATGCATCAAACAATGCAATGATACTCGAAAAGAGAAACTACAGCTTAGCCTTCATATTAACATGCACACTCTTCACCTGGCTATACGCCTTCAGCCCCTCCTCGCCCAACTCCCTTCCAATTCCGCTACCCTTGACACCACCGAAAGGAATTCTCCAATCCGAATCATTGCTCGAGTTAATCCAGACCATACCGGCCTCAATCCGGCGCGCAACACGATGAGCCCGGACAAGATCCGTCGTGAACAAGGCACTACCCAATCCGTACGTAGTATCATTCGCCATGCGAATAGCATCCTCCTCCTTCGAGAACCGTGTCAAAACAACAAACGGACCAAAGACTTCTTCTTGATAAATTCGCATCTTGCTAGACACATCTGTGAAAACAGTGGGTTCAATGAAGAATCCCTTCCCACTACTTGCAGGTTTCTTGCCTCCGAGGACAAGTTTTGCGCCTTCGGATTTACCAATGTCGACGTAGGACATGATTCTATCGTATTGCGCCTTGGTGACCTGGGGACCTTGGAAAGTCGATTCTTCAAACGGGTCGCCCACTTTACTTATGTTCTTGACCTGGGCCTTGAACTTCTCCAAGAATTTGTCGTACACATTATCCTGAACCAGAATCCTAGAGGTAGCTGTACAAATCTGACCCTGGTTCGACATGATTCCAATATGAGCCCATTCAGCGGCCAAATCGAGATCCGCATCGTTGAAAACGATCAATGGACTTTTACCTCCGGTTTCTAGTGTGATGTTTTTCAGGTTTGTAGCGGCCATTTTCATGATGTCTTTAGCGGTGGCGGTGCTGCCTGTAAATGCTATTTTGTCGACGTCTTGGTGCGAAGCGAGTGCTGCCCCGGCGATGCGGCCGTAGCCATTGACGATGTTGACGACGCCAGGGGGGAAACCGGCTTTGGCAATCAGATTGGCAAAGTATAGGATTGAGAGGGGGGTTTGTTCGGCGGGTTTGAGGACTACGGTATTACCGCAGGCGAGGGCTGGACCGAGTTTCCATGCTGCCATTGAGAGGGGGTAGTTCCATCTATTTTAGTCAGTTATCGGTCCGCCAACATGGGAAGAAATGAAGGAACGAACGGAATAATCTGCCCACAAACTCCCACCGGCTCTCTAAGGGTATACGCAAACTTATCAGGCGTTGTATCAATAACCTGACCAAACACCTTATCGGCCCAACCGGCATAGTAGCGCAATGTCTCGATGACTTCGGTTAAATCCTCGTCGCGGGCGACGGTGAATGGTTTACCGTTATCCCATGTCTCGATTGTGGCGAGTGTGAGACGGTTCTCTTCGGCTAGATCTGCGAGTCTGTAGAGGAGTTTGCCCCTATCTGAGGCCGGGAGGTCGCGCCATGAAGGGTTGTTTAGGGCTTGACGGGCCGCGGTGACGGCGCGGTCGACGTCAGCTTGTGAGGCGGCGTGGACTGAGATGATTTCTGATTCGTTTCTATTCTTTGATCAGCATCAACATTCAGATGAGATGCTCCTAAAAGGATTGGCATACGTAGGGTTGATGGAAGCAATCTTCTTCCCATCTGAGGACGGCACCCATTCATTGTTGATGAAGAGTCCAGTGGGTTGGATATATGTACGCCCATTTGGAGCTGTGAGTTTGACTTGTAAGTCTGCCATTTTCCTTTAGAGTGCGTGACACGAATTCGTGGATAGAGAATAATCCTTGAGAGGTCTGGAATGTTGGAGTAAATAAGACTCGGCCACGAAAGAAGATTACAAAGTCTTATCTGGTGGGTATGTAGCTACAGCTACCCACTCAGATATACCGAGAAATAATTACACAGAGTTCCCTTACGATAGAAAGCAATATGCTTGCATACAACCGGGACTTGTCAACAATCTTTCTCCGCATGGAGATATCGTAGAGATAATAGCACGCAGATACGTAGTGGAGTATGCTATCAGTGGAACCCCGCCCGCATGGACCTGCTTTTTTTGAGATTAGTATCACGCCGCTGTAAGTACTAAGAATGCATTTTGGTCGTCTTCGAGCTTCTTGATGCTGTCCCAATGCGGCAATAATTAGGACCATTTTTCACGCTCTAGATACTGGTAGTTTGTACCCCATATTCAAGGCAGCATCTGGAATATGTAGTGCATCTACTCCAGTGATTGCCTAGTCTAATGGCACAATCTGATATATAGAACTATCAGAATCTTATATAACACAATCCTGCATATTGTAAGCCTTGCACATGAGCAGATATTTTTCGGAATTCATCTACTTCGGGGTACATACCATGTACTCCGGTCCAACTAAACCCTAAACTTCCGCATCCCATAGATGCCGAAAGTACGCCCCCCCTGTATCGGAGTGCAATCTTATAGAAAGAAATGGCTCAAAACCGATTGGATCATGTCGCCGAAAGTATGTAGTTTAATGTCATCTCAAAAAGTCAGTTTCAACCTGGATGCTTTAAGGCTGACAGGCTAACTTACTCGGGATAATAGCTAGGCATGGATTGTACCTACCTAGTTAGGAAGTCTAGTTGATCAACGGTCTCAATGACTGGTTGGGCGCTTTTTTATGCCTGGGATATGATTTACGCGCCTTAATTGAGTAATTAGATGCACCCAAGCCCTAATATGAACGGCTAAAGAATGTAGTCTGTGAAGAAATCACAATCCAAGGCAGACTGGAACCTCCGAAACGAGGAGTTTAAGGGACACTGGAAGATTGCCTGGTCGCAGAAAATCTCTTATATTTGCTCATCTTGTCCGTAAACTCGAAATCAGACCAGGAAAGGACGAACAGAGCGCTAAACCAGGCAGAACATAGCATATTGTTTAGTGCCTCTGAATAGATATAAAATTGCATTGTATTCGTCATTATATACCGAAATCACCAAAGGATCAACTTAGCAGGGTGTCAAATGAAAGAGCGTCTTGGACAATTTCCGAACTATCATTGATATAAATAAAAAGGCCCTAAAAACTAATTCAAAACTCCATCGACGCTATCCACAGCAGGTATATATTATTTACAATCTAGATTGATTCTCCTCCTTCTCACTACTGCAACACTTCTTCGCCGACGGGAAAGCATCGTGCGAAACCGTATCAACACAAATCGCCGAGGGGGGAACCCACAAGGCAGGATTCTTCTCAAAGAAATTCGAAGCACGAAGCATAATACTAACGGGCTCTGCGGGCATGATTGGGTAATCCTCCAAACGCGGGAAATGGGACAGGCCGAATTGCAGGTAACATACAATATCGGTGTTTTCGATTGATTCGTTGCGGTTCGCCCAGTCTACCACGGTCTGGTTATGAGGGTGATCGTCACGACCGTCAGATTGTGGGACATAATCTCCGGCGGGATACAATTCGTAATCCTTGTAAGGGACAACCCAGAGTGCATGACGGGTGAATCCGGCACGTTTCCAGATTACGCTTCCCGGTTTGGAGAGGAGATGAGGACAATTGTTGTTGAGGATTTTGTATCCGACAGGTTTATGGCATACTTCGTTGATGATGTTTGGGTTGACAATGTCCCATGATCGACTTGTTTCGTGGCAGTAGTCTGCTGCACCTTCGAGGGCGGTGCGGAGGGGTGTTTTCTTTGCGTAGAAGGCGTTGCCGTAGTAGTTGTTGGGGGATCCCACGGGGTCTTCGGAGGGATGGGCATCGGATTGGATGACGGAGTTGTTGGGTCCGTCGATCTCAGGGTCAACACGCAAGGAGAAGATGTGTTGATGGTTTTGGGCGTTGATGCCACGTTGAACTTCTGTTCCCCAGGGAGCAGCTTGTTCCGTAGGATGCATGGGGTATGTGTTCAATTGACCCGTGAGCTTGACTTCGAGTTTGTACGTTCCATCAAGTGTGAAGGTATGATAGAAACCATACTCGTAGTTTGCGGCGGTGATGATTTGAGAGATGATCAGTTTGCGATCACGGGCTGAAACAACAGTTCCATCACGGTAATCGGTGTGTTTGAAGAGGAGGCCGTTATCCTCTTCGTGAATGCAGATTGCGTTCTTGATCATGGCAGCTTCTCCTTTTGCAGTGGAGACGACTGCGTCGAGGTAGTGAATTGCTCCCTTGCAATCACAGCCCAGTTTCAGAGAGTTTGTCATCAAACCTGAACCGTACTCGCCGATGTCAAAGGCATGTTTCCTGTGATGAGGATACTCAGGGCTACCGTAGGGGACAACCATCTCGACAACACTGATTCTGTTGAAAAGTGTTCTCTCGCGTTCCTGGTACGGGTCGTCGATACGAACGTCGGAAAGGACGATACCTTCACGGTAATTGAAGCCAATATGCATCTTGTATCCTGCCCAGGAGATTTCGTTGCCGCGCATACGGAACGAGACACCATGAGGCTGCGTAATGTTGATAGGTTTCAAACGATCATGTTTGTAGCCATCGCTAATGAATTCGGGCAGATAATTCGATCCCTCAAGAGGAACCTTTGTCCGCTCACCATTCACAGTGCGAACATCCACAGCGAGAATCTCTTCCGTTTCCGTGTCGGCCACAATCGAGAAATCCAGAGGGTGAGCATACTGATTATCAAAAGCAGATTCGCGGTAATAAGCAAGACCCTGTTGCAAACGGCGCTCAAAGCCCCATCGTTCATCATGACCGATTGCCCATCCGTCAATATAGATCTTGGACATGTCCGTAATCCCGATTTCTTTGCATGCCTGAATCACGCGTGGATCTTTACGGCAGATTCGTTCCATGATATCCAAATCCTCTAGCGTAAGAGTTGGCATGACTTCCTTGACTTCCTTCCATTCTTCGACAGTGTTCTTGGTCAAGTTCAGCACGACTTCGGCACAGTTAGGAGTGCCGACTTCGAGGACAATAGAGAACACGCGACGGTCAGGTCGGGGACCGGAACCTTTGCGGTACGCGGCATACTCGCGCTTGGTAGGTTCGCGGAGAGTGATGCAGTTGAATTTGAGCTTTTTGGGAGATGCGTATTCACGGATGAGTTTTGCGGCGAGGGGGATTTCCTCGATGCTTAGTTGGTCTATGGCTGTCAGTATATGCTTGTTTTATATAGTGTGGATTGACATACCTAGAGGATGGGGCTGTCGACCGGTGATTTGACTGGCAGCAGCACTTGAGCCGTAGTCATCCTCACGGAAAATCGTATAGCCAGGTATAGACGTTGTATCAGGCGCCATAGTGTAGGATGTAGTAGATCAAGATAGATATGAAGAAATCGACATCAATGAGATCCAGAAGACCTGACTTAATACGAGAAGGATGATGGATTAAGAAGTATTTTTTTTTATTTCATTTCAAAGGAGAGATAACTTCCCATTTATACACAACAATTGCACGAAGCCAAAAAACAGCTTCTGTACATTTACGCTTGTACCTTCCGAAAAGAGAAACGGCGGGGTGGGTAAAAAGAAGAAAGGTGAGGCTATCCCGTCTATCTATCTTCAGAACAACCACGTTTATATCTATCATACGATGCTTGTTTATGGCTGTTGTCGATTATGGTTCGTCAATGAGATGTCTTGTTGATGTATATACTCCTATATCCATATGGAGTATGTCGCTGTACTTCGGGATTGTGTAACGGGATGGTTCTTGATATAGACCTTGATCTTTGTACCCTGTATGACAACTCAGATCCGGTGTGACCAAGCTGGCATGAGCTGTTATATTCTCTATATATGTGGAATGCCTTGGAACAAAAGAAGATCATAGAGGTCAAGTCTGACAATAATCATCATACTGGTAGCAGATAGAAAGCAAACATAACCACTTCCTAACTACCTACGCAGTAACCAAATACTTTGAACCCTCAAACACAGCAACTACATAACACTGACACATAACTCTGTCCTGGTTGCTAACAGCCAAATATCACCGCATGAACCTCCCTGATTAGGGCTAGCGATAAGTTATCCAAACGTTACAAACGTAATCTATCAGCTCTCTTATCAGCTTATCAACCCACTATCCCAAAAACAGGCATTAACGTGACCAGTAAATCTCCCACTAACCCCGATAGAGCATAGCCAGATCTGTCACTGGCTGAGATTAGGGCTCGAGATCCACTTTTTAAAGCAGCAAGTCATCTAATCCCAAAACGGCATGTCCAAGCCCGATAGCGCAGATCCACCTGCGTGGCGCTTGACGAAAAAAAACAAAAAAAAGGATTTTGCGGGGAAGAAGCAAAAAAGAAAATAATGAAGCTTCTCTCCTAATATTATTTGATACGTAATATTATATGCCTCAGTTTCATCTATTCATAAACAGAAGCTGGGGTAAAAGTGGAAACTCTTGAGTCATCAAAGTCAATGATATGACAAATGCGCTGTGATTGGGGGTAATCTCCGAAGTAGGAAGGGCGGTTGATATTTGATTTGTCAATATCTGATATCTACGTTGGTAAAGGATACTAAGGAAGGCTTCGGGATATAGAACTTTGTGAGTGATAAGACCTCCTCTCTTTGCGTTGATGCTACAGTACTTGAGACTAATAAGGGAGGCAGATCAGCTGGGAGGATAAAATTCCTCTTCTATCATCCATCAGACTGCTTTGGCAGACAGACAACACCGAAGAAACTGAGGTGACAGAGAATGAGACACCCCTTAACACTATCAAACCGCATCATACTCCTCCTGTACTACCACCCCGACAATGGACACTGAACCCGAATCCCAAGCACCGCTCAAACCGAGCAACTCGGTCGACCAAAGCGTCCTCGATGCGCGCGACCTCGCAGCGCTGGGCCACGACCAAGCCCTAAGCCGCAAATTCGACATATGGAGTATGCTAGCCCTAGCGTTCTGTGTGTTGGGAACATGGTCAACGTTCGCACAGGATTTGGCTAGTGGACTTACAAACGGCGGGCCCGTGAGTATCCTCTGGGGTTTGTGTCTGGTCACGTTTTGTAACCTCTGCGTGGCGGTCTCCTTGGGGGAGTTGTGTAGTAGTATGCCCACTGCATTGGGGCAGGCATATTGGGTTCATCGGCTCTGGGAAGGGAAACGACTCGGGCGATTTGCTTCATACATGTGTGCATGGATTAATATGTTTGGATGGTGGACCCTAACCGCCTCTCAAATCGGGTTCATGACCAACTTCATGCTCGGAATGAAAGTCATGTTTGACAACAACTGGCCCGGCGCGAGTGAAGGTTGGGTTCAGTTCTTGGTATATCTCGGGATTACCTGTTTGTTTACGGTGATCAATCTCGTGGCGTGTCGAAAGGATAAATTCTTGCCTTACTTCAATGATTTTGTCGGTATATGGTTTTGTGGGCTGTTTGTTGTGTTTAGTCTTGCATTGCTGATTTCTGTCGGCACGAAACCGGACTTGTCTTTCCAACCTGCTTCGTTCGTGTTTGGGACATGGATTAATCAGACCGGTTGGAGTGATGGGGTTACTTGGTTTATCGGTTTGGTACAGGCAGCATACGGTCTAACGGCGTTCGACTCTGTGATTCATCTAGTTGAAGAGATTCCTGCTCCACGCCGAAACGCGCCTCGTGCGATTTATCTTGCTGTTGCATGCGGCGCTTTATCAGGGTTCATATTCATGCTCGTGTGTCTGTTCTGTATCCAGGACGTGGATGCAATCATCAACTCTGCTACTGGCCTCCCGTTCATGGACCTCGTCCAGAATGCCATCGGTACCAAAGGCGGAGTCGCGCTCATCGCTCTCTTCGAATTCAATGGTCTCGGTCAAGGCGTTAGTATAGCCACCACCGCCTCAAGGCTAACCTGGGGCTTTGCGCGTGATTCCGGTCTCCCCTTCAGCTCTTACTTTGCCCATATCGATCCAACATGGAAAGTCCCCGCACGGGCATTATGGTTACAAGGCATCCTAATCGGCCTCGTCGGAATTCTGTATTTGTTTGCAAACACTGTGCTCAACGCAATTCTGAGCGTGAGCACAATCGCCCTCACAATCTCGTACGGCATACCCATCTTCGCACTTTTGATTGTCGGTCGCGACAAATTACCCTCCGGAGGCACATTCCGTCTCGGCCGACGCCTAGGCCCCGTGGTGAATTGGATCAGTGTGATATATTGCTGTATCACAACTGTGTTCTTCTTCTTCCCTGGCTCACCAAACCCAGCTGCAAGCGATATGAATTATGCTATTGCTGTGTTTGGGGTTATGCTTGTTATTGCTGTGGGATTTTGGTTTATTAGAGGTCATAAGGATTATTTATTGACGGAGTCTTCGGCGGAGAGGTTGATGGAGGCGCAGAGGTTGGAGAATGAGGAGATTACTGTGGGTGTGCCACCGACTTCAGTTGGGGATAATGTGGATCGTAAGAACGGTGCCGTTGCTAAGTAATGACCAATCATTTATGTATATACCTTCTTGAGGAGTCTTTTCAATCTACCTGGGTAGTAACTTTGTACGTAGTTCGAATTGAGTTGCCTGCATGGATATCTATTCTAGGTAACTACATATCTACGGCGGAATTACGTACGGAAGTATTGAGATTCAATATTGATTGATTCAGTCGATAATACATCGTATAACACTGAGCAAGAGCAGAATTGATGTCTGAGTGGGAAAAAAAAGGCGACACAAAAGTCGTACAGACAGTCTGCATGTCAAAAAAAAAAAAACCAACCCACGCCAAAAAAAAATATGATAAATCCTTTCTTTCTGAAGATAGATGAAATGGATAGCAAAGAAGAAAGCAAGTCTCGCTAATGGTAAGAAATACAGGCTAAGAATAGGAAGAATATGAAGGTAAAAAGAATAGTCATGTCACGTCTCTAAATCTGGGCGATCTGTCGTCCGGTGTAATGATGATGATGCTGATGATGTATCGATTGTATATTTAATATTCGGGCATCCCGTTGTGTGTGTGAAAGTCAGGCATCCCGTTGGCCGATTGAAAGTCAGCCATGCCATTGACAGACTGGTAGTCGGGCATTCCATTGGTAGGTTGAAAGTCGGCCATCCCGTTGGACTGGTAGTTGTAAAACTCATTGTCAAAGCAATAGGGATTGAGGCTATCCTGACCCAACTGATCCAAGCTCATGTCGGCGCTTGGAGGTTGGGTTAACTCGTGAGCATTGGAAGTGTCAAGAGTCTGGTTAAAGGCAGAAAAGTCATCGATGGTCGCCTGAGGAACAGGATCCAAGCTGATGTTGTCGAGATCACCAGACGGGAAAAGTTGAAAGTCGGAATAGTCGTAACCAGACATCATTGGTGGATCGGCAAAGTTGAAGGGCTGGCCATTAGCCATGTTGGTGTAGCCATCCACGTAATTGCCCCGATAAATAACAGGCTCGTTTGCAGACATGTGCTGGTTGTAAGGAGAAGGCATATGACCGCTAGCGGGAGAAGGAAGCTCAGTGCTCAGACTAGAGACGGGAGTAGACATGGCCGGAGTGAGCGGCATGTTGGGAGTTGGTGGAGTAGTCTGATTGGGCGAGCTCTCAGACGCGGAGGTAGGAGTCTGTCCACGCTTGCCGTTCTTCTTGGATCGGACGTAGGTCCAGCCGTGAGCCTTTTCCATGTGCTGCTTGAGATTGCTTTCTCGCTTAGAGGTATAGGTACATGGACTAAACTTGCAGTTGTATGCTGGAGGGTTGACTGAGTGACGGTCGTTGACGTGACGATCGCGTTCCTTCTCCGTTGGCCAGCCAGTCTCATAATACTTGCAGTCTTCGACAGGACACTTCCAAGGACGCGAGTGTGTCTTTTCATGCTTGGTGAAATCACACGGACGTTTGAAGACCTTGTCGCAGTAGCTGCACTTCTTATTGATGTCCATGGGCGGCTCGTTCTTTTTCCTCCTGGCCATGGAGCGTTGCACATCGTCTTCTGGCTGCGCCTCGCCGTTGGAAGACTCGGCCAGCGAGTGCTTCACGGCGGGAGGATTCTTTCGTGTCTCATAGACAATGGTGGGATATGCCAATGCACGGGGATTAATAGGTAAAGGCATAGTTGCAGGCTGAGTCTTGTTCGAGACCTCCTCGATGCTGAGGTTGTCAAGAGTCAGAGGAGAACCCAAGCTGAGATGAATCAGTAAGACAATAACAACAGAAGAAGAAGAAAGCGGGGGGGCCGTACGGGGTGGTGCTACCGTTATTGCTCATGGAGCAGTTGTTGTTATTATTGTTACAGTGGGATTGGCAGGTGTTGAAGAGGAGGAAGGTACACTTTCCTCCATCCACGGGAAGGAAGTGGTATGTAACGGACTGTAACAGCTGCAGAAGGTAATTAATTGGGAAACCCATTTCGAAGGGAAGAGCGGAACGAAGTTAACAAATTCCAAACATTCAGTATATTATAAGAATGACTTCACGGAGAGTTGTACTGGAGAAGACAAGTGATTATCGAAAAGTTCTAAAGGGGACGAGGAGAAGTCATGGAGCCATTAAAAGTGCTGCCTAGCCACAACGTGACGACGACCAACAGGATAAGCAGTCTGATTGGCTCGCATTGCACCAGACCCACCCGGAACCCTCGCTGCCACGGCGCGATACGTGTTGGGTCTAAGCCTGTTCAGGACTAGACTCACGTGATAAGCGGACTTCCCAAGGATGAGGCTCAATTATTCTGTGGAACCTGATTTGCTGTATGCAACACGTCTTTCCCGATCAAGTCTAGTACTGGGTCTAGTCCCAGCCAGTGAGTCACAGTCATCCATTGTGAGTCATCCGGACATGCACGAACTATAACCGACGAATCAGCTGTGTCTGTTTCGATACGACTAAGCCGAATACAGAAAGCAGGGAGCTGTAATTACTACACGTATTGTTTCAGAGCCCACTTTCTCAGCTGATAACCAAGCCGGAGTCGTCGAACGGGTTAGGATAAAGTCACGTGCATCGGAATATCGCTTGCTACTCAACTTACTGCGTACACAGCCCCCCCCCCGGCTAGCCGCTTACGGACCCCGGCTTCATCCGTGTCCGACTTCCGATAACTCTTAACAATGGACAATTGACATTGTTGCGATGATATATCAATTGATTCGTGACCAACAATTGCGTCTCTTTTGCAGTAATCTAATCAATTGAGAATAAACATGGTATGAAGATATTCAACGGACCACAGGTCAATCGCACTCCATACCCCATACAGACATACAGATCCGTCCCAAAAATAGCAACGTCTCAGCCTTTGCAACTGACTAGTCCTCTTTTGGCGAGCGATCGATCACTGGCACGCTGCCTAGCCAATCGTAATCATGACTTCTTTCTACTGTTTCCTCAGGGAGATCGGTCAATTGTCCAATATTTTCCTATTCTGCCTAGTTAGTGCAACAGATGGTCTAGGCTGTCAAAGGTTCAACGAGTACCAGACTGCGGTAATGACAGTTCGCAACAAGAGTCACGATTGTGAGGTTTACTCCAGATGATATGAGTGGGTCTACGGAGTACCCTTGTGTTCCACTTTGAGCCTCAGCCCTCAGGCACCAGAATAAGAAACCTCAGGCACAAAGGCACGACTCTTCGATGGCCACTTCAGTGGAGGGAAAAATCAAAAGAACCATTGTAGCGGTATTCTTTAGCTGCCAGAGAACTATATAGAATATATCCAGTCTAGTGGTCATAACGAAAATAGCCCTAACTCCAAATACGGCAGGCAAAGACTTCTATTACCGAATGCGGCTAGCTGCACATATTCTAGCCCTAACCACTGGCTCAATGCTTATTTTCATCGCCTGGGGACTTTCGAGTCATCGCTTATAGTTGTTGAATCTCATTGGATATATCATATAAGCTAACAGTATTGTAAGTTAAGTCCCGAAATAAATAATCTTGCTCGGAACCCTTATATCATAACTCGCAGTAAGTAAACCACGACCTCGCAATAATACTCTTGTTGCGCTACTTCGCTTCACAGTCCCATCCCAAAGAAACAATAGCAGGTCCTCGAGACATCATGGAGCCTGACACTGATGACCACAAGTGGTGCATTTTGGAGGTCGTTTCTGTCCAGCCTTCACTACAGGTGGATTCTTCCTGCATTTGGCGCAACATGTATGGCCACAGTTGCTGCAGCTAGTTCCCTCACCGGGAATTTCAACAGGCGAGTTAATAGGACAACAATCATCAATCTGGTGGCCACAATTGGTGCAGAGAGGGCTATTCGCATATAGCGCAGGACCATCTTCACATTTGTGCTGTGCTCAATTTCTCAGCAAAAATGTGATCAGTGTTTTAAGACGTTATCAGCTGGGACGAAAATCTGGACTTACACAATAAAAGGTATGTCCGGATCTTGACATGTCGCTTAGCTGGGGGATGAATGCAGGTAGTGCCTTTAGAGACTGTCAGTATTCCATTTGTCTTATCACGGTTTTTAGGACTTCAACGTACAATCGAGTATTGGCGATACCTGTTATTTGAGTCGAAAAGGTATTTTTCAAGGTTTTCTCTTATTTATCGCCGTTCCTGCTAATTAAAATTCCCGAATCTCATTTAACCTAGGATCCAACCATCCTTATATACTTTTTTGCCGACTTAAAGCCTTTCCTAATGCCTCGATCATCTGAGTACGTATCAATAGACTTGCTATCAATCAAAGCTTGCAATCAACACACACAAGTGGCTTCAAGCAATCAATTCGTACCTAAATATCCAACACACAAATCGAATTCATGAAGTTATCCCCACATTTAGATTCAGCCCGACCCCGAATCCAACCGAAAGAAGGCCGAATTTACTTCTTCCCAGATATCGCAAGAAATGCAACATTGTAGCACATATCGATAATATAAAAAAAAATTCCTTTGCCAATGTTTGGAGACTGTTATTATCAGATGACCAACATCAAACGCCATGCAGCATGTAAGAAATCATCCTAGGCTTCAGATGCGCAAAACCCTTGTCCTCCGACTGGATCCCGCATATCGAAATAGTTGCTTAGAGAAAAGAGAAAAAAGCAATGTGTAGTGTGCTAAGCGCGCTGTCAGTTGGGAATGCAAGCAATAAAAAAGATATTACCGTGCCACGTTACTATTGCAAGAAAAAAAGGCTGTAGGGTGTTGAGATTTTGACTGATGTGATAATGGAAATGACACACGTTGATTTTGATAAAAAGAGAAAGATATTTAATCATTGCCGAAGATTCGTGGGACGAGAACGTATGCAAGAGATATGACATGCTGCCCAACTCTCCTGTACTTTGTGTCAAGTGGTCAGGAGATAGAATGAATATGCAGTCTGTCAATAGATTTACAGGCAGCTGAAGCATATGAATCCCTGCATGCCTTTATTTTTACATTCGGTTGGCTTACCTAGATATTGATGTTTTGATCTCAACGGTCACCCATCAGCTCACAGATTTTGATTAGAGATCCCAGTAGATAGAAGAACTATTGGTGGATCCCAAGGGTACATATCTCGTTCTTCCGCCTATAGCGCTGGGTATAGACAATAAACATGATTAATAATAATATCTCTTCTTCCTGGCAAATTTTAGATTTCTGGATTAGGAAAGAACTAGCCTGTTTGCCTACCTACCTAGGCAGGTAGACTCTCGAGATCCTCGATCTTGCATCGCTCGAGGTTGATTGATAGTAGCAACGAAACATTGACCTGGTATATAATCTAACAGGGAACCTCAATCTCGATTCGTTCAGAACGTAACTATTTCTTATCTTCATTCTTCACCGCTAGATTGAGCAAATGCGTCCTAATATTTGACTGGTAGTTACTTTCACTTGTCCTGATGGCCGACATACCCCCCGACATCAAGGTTAACAAAATATCGTACCTATACGCAATCTACCACCAGAGCTTGAAGTCACACGACTTCATGAAGAAGTCGGACACTCCTTCCACGCTCTCCAATTCGATGTCTTTTGCTTAAAGAGATACTATTGATCCAATGTATGTTATCAGACGCTTCCTACAATGTTATTGTGTCATTTCTCACCACAATTTCTAAGAATATGCCGAAGATCGGATAATGTTTTGTCACTATTCAGGCTGCGGTTGCAGATTCACAGCGTCACGATGCATTTCGATAGTCTTTCTGGAAGGTTGAAATGGAATGGCGTGGATGCCCAATATCATTCACCCATTTCGCCATGTTGTTACAATTTCAGGTCTTACTTAGATCTTGGGACGAATGAGGATGGGTATCTCTCTCCTACAGACTTTGAATTCAAGGGTGCAGAGCTCACCGCCGCCTCTACGAGGGAAATAATCTGGTAAATGACGCTTGACTGCCCTGCAAGACATCCGCGTTGATTCCTCTTGGGAATATAAATGGTTACTCTTTTAGGGTTTAAGAAAATCCGTGACGTCGTTGGGGAGATAAGATTGAAAATAGATTAAAACATATCGAGAGGAAATACATATCTAGGTGGGTTTGAGATGTTCGTAGGCTAGTGAGATTATCACTATTCGCACCGCGGAAGATACCAATTGCACCTGGGCATATTTGTAAGGTTTGTGATGATTCCTGGGCATATATCAAGTCGATAGGTTGAATGATTGGATATATCATTATAAGCTAGGCGGTAGGACACAAGACTTGGTAAGGAGCCTCCCACAAAGTTACTGTACGACAAAAGGAACTGTATCTGACTACCCCTCGAAGCGCTGCTTCCCAAGTTCCTGCTTCTTCAAGTTAATCTCTTCTAGGAAGAGGGATGTCACCAACCCCAGTCCGCTCAGCCCAGTCATGGTATAAAAGATTGTCCGGAAACACTTCAGATAGACTCTCAAGACCTGATCTAGCGTCGTTAGAGGGACGTCTAAAGACCTCAACTGATCAATAAAATTGACAGCATTGGATGCGTCCTTCAACGGCCCCAGAGCTCCGGTCAGCTCAACTGTGGTATCAGAAATGGACGTTGAGAAGACACTATTGAAAATCGCAGAAGAGATAGTAAGACCAATAAGACCACCAAACATGCGAATGGAGAGAAATTGTCCGATAACCAAACCTGTGTCGTCTACGTTCTTGACGCTCGCTTGTATGGGAAGGATGTTTAGACGTAGTAACGCAACGCCTTGTCCCCAAAGGATAGGAAGTCCATAACGCATGGATGAGGAAGGTCCCACATCATATAAGGCTAGTAGGCCCGTTCCCAGCGTAAGGATGGCCCATGAAAGTCGTAGAATCCATACGTATCCTCCAAATAACGGTACCATCATCATTGAGATGGCTGCAAATACCACGCTGATAATGGAGGTAGGCAACAAGGAAACAGCGGAAGAGATTGCAGTCTCGAGCTTGACAGCTTGATAAAGTAAGGGTAGGTATTGTAGTAGAGAGATCAAAAGGATGCCGTGAATGAAGCCTCCCAGTAGCGTGACATTTCCGGTCTTGGAGTGAAAGAGGCGATGGGGAATAATCGGTGCTGTAGGCTTTGCTTCATAGAAGACAAAGATAACAATAACTGCAGCTCCTAATAGCATTGGAAGGAGAGTCTGCCAAGCGGCCCAGGGATACAACGAGCCCGCCCAACTGAGTGGCACCACAAAAGCTGTGATTCCAATAACCACGAGAGCCATGCCGATCCAGTCGACACGACTCAAATTTCTAACAAGTGTTGTATCGAGAGGAACAGGTCGAAGCTTGAGGAAGAAAAAGAGCAATGGCATTCCGACTCCTAGAAACGGTAGGTTGATCCACCCAACCCATCTCCAGGTAGCGTATGTCGAAAAAAGCGCACCAACTGTGGGTCCCATAATATTTCCGACAGCTGACGGAATGGACATCAAGCCAATATATGTCGAGCGTTCTTCTAGCGTCGTCATATCGGCAAGTATGACCTCTGCCAGAACATCAATTCCTCCCCCGCCGAGGCCTTGGAGTACTCGTCCGACGATGATGAAATTCATATGTTGTGCTGTTGCAAAGACAATAGAACCAATGAAGAACAATCCCATGGATGCGTATAAAGGGGGCTTTCGACCAAAGACATTGGAAATACTGGCCCATACTGGCTGCATGACCAAACCACAAAGGGTGTAGGCTAGACTTGCCCAGAAGGACTCTAAGCTCGATCCTTTCAAGTCAGCAGCTATAGTCTAGTAATCAGGTCAGTACGTAAAGACATGGGTACAATGGAGGTGAGACTTACTGGAAGGGCAATGCCTAAGCATGTTGCATCCAGCTGGAAGACAAACAGAGTCGCCGCAAGCCCTATGAAGGCGAATTTAAAGGACCATGACTTTTTCGGTGCTCGACCAGACGTATCAGCATTAACTTGCTCTTCAGAAGCGGGAAGCTCTGCAATAAGTATATTCTTTTCACCCTCGATTTTTTCCGGGGAATCCAGGCTATGTTCTAGGTCCATTTCTTCTGGGCTTGCAGATATGGAAATTTCCGGACCTGGCCTGAAGGGAGTCTCTGAATGGGCCATTCTGGTGTAAGAGCTCTAATATCGACCAGTTTACCAATTGCTCAAACCGATATAATGATTTTCTTGCGGTTGCGTAGAAGAGGAGTCAGATCTGTGGGTTGTTCGGGGCCGACAGAGCTCTTTTTAAGAGAAGCCATACTGCTACTGGGGTCGCAATTAGCGAGCCTGTCAGCTTGCACGAATAGCATTTGTAGAAGCTATGTTGGTGAGATGGATAGTTTCTCCTTGTAAATATGGGGAAGGACGCAAAATCGCTAGATGTATATATACGCCATACCGAATAGAGCTGAGCCAGTCACGTGTAATGATGAGGCTAGTACACTTATGTGCTAGCGGGAAGCAACCAACGGACCTCGGCTGGCACCGGTCGCACATCCGAAGCCGTGGGTCGCGCTTACTGGGCGACTGCGGAGTTACCGTTCCAATGCGCTTGCTTCATCGAGCTGCAACTTCTGGCTTGTTCTATGCAAATGGTTAATGAACTTTGTGTTATTGCGCACTTTGACTGACTATGATAGTATCAGAGATTTCCTGCCTCGAACTTTTCTTGTCTGCAAATTCATTGCGTTGAGACAGCTCCACCATGGCAGCAGAAGCCGTCTCCGCGGCTCCTGTTCACAAACGCCGCAGAGCTCTGAGGAAACGTATACGAGCGCAATCTCCCATATCAGGTCGTTTACTGCTCGACAATCATCTCCGTGGAGATGTCGCCGTGTTGTCTGACGACCTTGTTACGGATTTGTTTCCCGACGTCAATTTGACAGGTTAGAAATATGCCCTGGTAGCGTTCACATGATAGCTCGCTGACCACCTACAGAAGCTGGACTAAACAAAGATCCAAATCAAGTGACTCTATACATTGCAATTTCTCCATACACACCACAATACCTCTCTATAGACGATGTCCCATGGACTATTATACCAGCCCGAGTACAACCCACCGAGCGGTCGCAAGTCGCTCCAATTTCGCATTCCACCGTGCTCTTCCCGGCCTCGGCAAACTATCTGCAGTCATTCTTCCAGACCTTGGGTAAGCTCGATCCTACACGCCATATCATACAATCGTCACGACCGTTGGAAATACGAGTGCTAGATGTCTCTCCACTTCATCTTGAAACTATCTACGTTAGGGTGGAGAGAAATCTATTGCGAAACCTGGATGACGTGCAAAGCAGGTTTGGTGGAGGTTTCAATGTCCAGGCACAAGGGAACAATGGATCATGGCCCCGAGGTGGCAAGACAATGGAGGTCAAGCGGTATACGAAGAAAGCGGCCGCTGAAGCCGAAGAACGACTGACCGCTGCAGTGCGCGAGGCTCTATCAAACCAGAAGGTTGTCCATGTCGGAGACATCCTGCCACTGCCATTACCTGCGCATCCAATCACTCATGTTCCCCCTCCTCCGGCAAAAATTACTTTCTGCGAACCGGTTGCGCAGGGTTTATTACTACCTTCAACGAAGATTGTACTCGTGCAATCTCGTCCTCATGGTGCTCGCCCTAATAAGGGATACACACTGACAGGACCAAATTTGCTGAAAGGCGCGGTAGAAGAAGAGGCAGATGATACTTCAAACGAGCAATTTTATTCAGCAGCTGAAGATCGCGCTCTAGAAAGTAGCACGGAAATGGAAAGCACCACTCCACCGGATGACTCTGAGACAGACCTGTCTGCGGCCAGCGATCATGATTCTTCAGATGACTCTCTCGACGATATGATTTCATTAACGGCTCCTCAGCTACCGCAACAGCCCTCAGGTGTTATGTCGGCTATGTCTTCTATAACTCCGCGCCCTGGTGGTCGCCGCATGGATGGTACAAACACACCAGGCTCAGTTATATCAACCTTTACGTCTGGCACTGCCCGACCTGGGCGCATGGGGGGTAAAACGTTCAAAGCTGAAGGTCTTTTGAACCGAGTTCTAGTAGACTTGTTACATCCAAAACCTAAGGAGGATGATGATACAGACGCATTTGTCTATGTTGACGTGAATACACTGGTCAAAGTCGGCTGTTTTTCTGGTGACTGGGTTCGCATTGAGGGCACGGAGGAGCCATCAACAAACCCTTTCGCGTCTTTGGCAATTGGAAGCTTGAGCCTGGGCGAGGAAGATTCTGGCAATTGGCGAGCTGTTCGTGTATACGGAATAGCCGGCTTACCATCACCAAAACCGCGGTACGCAGTTGGTGGATCTTCAGATCGACGATCGAGTATTTCCCAGCTACCAGGGCAGCGACTGACGCCGTCAGTTTTCGTGCCACCCATACTTCTCAGCAATCTCGACAACCCAAAATATGTGAAACTTTCCCCTCTACCGTTTGCATCAACTCATGGCTCCGCTCGACCAGGCGTGCACCAACCTTCCAAGGCAGGCTCTAACAAATCCCCACCGGTTGCTAAGGAAGTCACTCTCTTGAAAATTTCTACTCCATTATCCACTGACCGAGCGATTCAGCCAGCACTATTTGCTGGACTGCGCCGCTATTTCGAGTCCAAGAGACGACTTGTCAAGAGCGGTGACCTTGTCGGAATCAGCGTAGATGAAGGATTGGGTAGAGTTGTTTACTCCGCGGCGAAAACCTCCGAAGGCGGGAATGCTGAGGATGACTTGACATCGAAGCTTGGTTTTGTTCCTGAAACGGCCCCCGAGGAGAGTGGTGCGTCGCGCAAAGTTGGTGTTGCTTGGTTCAAAGTTGGACAAGTGATCGCACCGCCTCCTGAAGAACAAGATGGAGAGGATCAATGGGGCGGTGTGGCGCTAATAGATTCATCGAGTACACGAATGGCACAGGCTGGTAGCCTAATTAGCAGAGTGCCAGGGACCTTGAAAAGTGGATGGGAATACTGGCAGGGAGTTAAACGTCTGCCTAGAGCATATAGTGATGTGCCTCAATCGCATGGTATAATCACAGAGCTACCGAAATTCTTTACATCTCCAATTCAAAACAGAGTCAGAGAGTTGATTACTGCTGCGACGAGTCCTCGCGCTGTGCAGCTGGGGATGCCCCCAGTTGTTATTTTGCTGACATCAACTCAAAGACATATTGGAAAGACAACGTTGGCTACGCGCGCATGCGCGGAGATTGGCCTCCATGCATTTACTTTGGATGCGTACGACATACTTACTGAAGGCGGAGCCAACGGCGGCGACGTCAAAACCGAGGCGTATATGAAAGCACGGGCGGACAGAGCGTTTGCTTGTGGTCCCAACTCTACAGCTTTGATTATCCAACACATTGACGTGCTTACGGCCGACAGAATCGTAACGGCTATGAAGGAGATTGTTGCAGAATCCCGTGTGATCATTGCAACTACGACTGATGTGGATAAAATACCTGAAGGAATCAGGAGTCTTTTCACGCACGAACTGGAAATGACTGCGCCTGAAGAGAAGGAGCGAGAAGGTATATTGCATAATGCAGTTATTGATCTTAGTATTAAGATCGCCCCAGATGTCGACCTTGCAGCTGTTGCTGTAAAGACGGCTGCGCTTGTGGCTGGTGACTTGGTGGATGTTGTTGAACGCGCGTCTCTCGCAAAGCTTGATCGTCTCGAAAAACTCACTCGAGTGGCGAATGGTGCAGTGACTCTGCGCGACGTACAGTTGGCTGGTGGCGATGCTGCACGATGCGTGACCAAAGCCGATTTCGATCTGGCTGTCGACGCAGCAAGAAAGAATTTTGCAGACTCAATTGGAGCGCCTAAGATTCCCAACGTTACTTGGGATGACGTTGGTGGTCTTAGCAATGTCAAAGATGCTGTCATGGAAACCATACAACTCCCTCTTGAACGGCCAGAATTGTTTGCCAAGGGTATGAAGAAGCGAAGCGGAATATTGTTCTACGGACCTCCTGGAACTGGCAAAACTCTGCTTGCCAAGGCTATTGCAACCGAGTTCTCATTGAATTTCTTCTCTGTCAAAGGACCAGAATTGCTTAATATGTACATTGGTGAATCCGAGGCGAATGTCCGAAGAGTGTTTCAGCGAGCTCGTGATGCACGCCCCTGTGTGGTGTTCTTTGACGAGTTGGATTCGGTGGCACCTAAAAGAGGAAACCAAGGTGACAGCGGTGGTGTTATGGACCGAATTGTTAGTCAGCTTCTTGCAGAGTTGGATGGCATGAGTGGCGGGGATGAAAATGGCGGTGGTGTCTTTGTTATTGGAGCTACCAATCGGCCGGATCTACTAGATGCTGCTTTATTACGTCCTGGTCGATTCGACAAGATGATTTATTTGGGTATCTCGGATACGCATGATAAACAGACGAAAATTTTGGAGGCTTTGACCCGGAAGTTTGCTCTTCATCCCGACGTTTCTCTCTCGCGCGTTGCGCAGCGGTTACCATTTACGTATACAGGCGCCGACTTGTACGCCCTCTGCTCTGATGCAATGCTCAAGGCCATTACCCGGCAAGCAACTGCTGTTGACGAGAAGATTAAGGCATTGCCTGGTGGACCAGTTAGTACTGCATATTATTTCGACCATCTTGCTACACCGGAGGATATAGCTGTTATGGTGACGGAAGACGACTTTGTGAATGCTCAGAATGAGCTTGTCGCTAGTGTTAGGTCAGCTCGATGTTCTTCTGCTTTACTATTCTTGATTAAGCTGACAATAAACAGTGCCAAGGAACTCGAGCATTTCGAGCGTATCCGTCAATCATTCGAATCGTCTACTACAAAAGAGGCGGAGTCATCACAACCTCGCACGATCGCTGACGCGATTGAGGGTCTTAGCCCTGGAGGTGAGATTGTCGCAAATGGCGACAGCAATCATGCTCACAGGGGTATGAATAGACAACCAAGCAACAATATCAAGGGCAAGAGTGGTCGCATAGTATCAGGCAGCGGCAAGGGGAAGAGCAAGCCAATTATCAACGGAGGAGACTCCGATTCCTCTTTCGATGGATACCAGCCTAGCCTACGAAGTGAAAGCACACAGTCGCAAAATTACGATCTTGGCGAAGAGGCAGATGTGGACGGCATGGAAGACGGAGATGCGGATGATTATATCGTGAAGACAGATCATTTGCCGTCTCAAATTGACGATGTGGATTGATACCATTGCGTTAGAATCCTTGCATATATGTAGTATATAGTCATACATATCAATTCTCTTATAAAACTGATAACTGATAACGATTCTTCCATCCTTCTGGAAGGCCTCGGCTGACGGACAAAAGGGGAGAACTCGCGATGATTGGATGTGGCGGTCACAGAGTGGACGCCACCAGCCGCCCCCACAAAGCCTAATTGGTCGATCTGTCTTGTTGGTCCGAGGCTTGTTTTATCCCTCAATAAAGGAACAATGGCATTTGAGAAAATTTTTGTGGGTTTAGGATTATGGAATCGCCGACTCGGTGGCACCGGATGTGCGGAGCTTGCGATTGGTTCATGGCGCCGAATAGACGCCTTGTCATAGCTGATCGTCAATCGTCGTTTCTTGGCTGGAGAGGCCGAAGGAGATGTGATTCGTTTCCCCGCGGTGTATCATCAGGTCTGACCGTTGAGGGATTCCAAGGTTCTCCTTGATGTCTGTCCATTGTTGAGGACTGGTTGAACTGTGTTGAGTGGACAGGGTATGCTCCTGTCTCGACGCTTTCCGGGCCTCAACTCGTTGAGAAAGCATAATGAGCATTGAGTAGGCATGTCAGTGAACTATAGAGTACATCAACGGAGTCCTCCATGCGGAGTATTCGCAGTTTCAGATAATGTACAAGTATTACAGCACACAATGACAAACATCAGACTCCACCGGCAGCAATCATGTGGATCAAGAACCACTTTTTTCTCCATGGGACGAACGAAAAAGGTGTACATTCAATTGATAAGAAAGTTCAAGGGATACGGATACGAAGACGATAGTAATGGCAAATGGCAGGTGATTTTCGAAAGGATCCGGGATGTGCACCATGCGATGCGGAGAACGGACCGCGAGTTTCTGTATGACCGTGTATGTAGTTATGTAGTTATAACTATGTCACTTACCTAAGTATCTAGGGAAGGATTACGTTCTGTCCGGATCTGCATGAATAGCTCGATCTAGGTGCTAGTCTTTAACTCAGCTTGTCTTGCCTTTTGTTTTCCTCAGACTTGATTTCTTTTCATTTTCATACTGTACAATCTCAGTCTATCCTCATCTATTCGCCGTCGATTCGACAACGCCAACATGCCGCCCCGACATACAGATGATGACGCGCAACTAGCGGCCATGGGCCACAAGGCCGAATTGCAACGAAATTATTCCATGTTGTTAGTACAGACCCATACTACCTAGACACGTGGATTTGCTAATGGATCCGGCCGGCGGATGGATAGGTCGATGCTGGGTCTTGCTTTTGCGATTTTGAACGTATGTCTCTGTCTTTGCCCGGATTTTTTGATACAGCAAGCTAATACAATGGGCTGTTGCAGTCATGGACTGCGCTGTCGGCTAGTATGTCGTTGAGTCTGCCGTCCGGAGGTAGCACGAGCGTTGTCTGGGGTGAGATCTTTCTTTTCTAATTGTTGATGAAATAGTTGCTGATTTTTTTTTTTCCCGAATTGAATAGGCCTGATTACGGCTGGTATCTGCAATTTGTGTATTGCTGCATCGCTCGCCGAGTTTCTGTCCATGTACCCTACGTGAGTGTCGAAATGTCTACATGTGCGAAGGGGTTCCTCGGGTCTAATGAGTTTCTATATTAGTGCCGGAGGTCAATATCATTGGGTTGCTGGTAAGTTTCCTTAGCGGAAGAATGAGTTTGGTTGACATGGTCAAAACTAACGGGTATATAGTCAGTAAGTACACTCCGACTTCAGATCTAATCGATCAAGTACTGATCTTTAAAGTTTCATGGCCGAAATGGGTTCCGGTCTTGTCTTGGATTACCGGTTGGGTCAATGTTGCCGGATGGGTATGTCATGCTACAGCCATTTGGGGATGAAGTTGACTGACAAGAATAGATTGCCCTCGTCGCTACAGCCGGTCTTTTGGCAAGTCAACTTATTCTCGGGGTAATTTCGTTGATGAATCCGGTATGTAATTGCATAATCAGAGAAGAGCTATGTTATTAGTCTGACTGGAAGGTCTAGGACTACGTCTCCGAACGATGGCATCAATTCCTCATCTATATTGGCTATAACATTGCCGCATTCATTATCAATGCATTCATGAACTCTGTCCTGCCTATGGTAACACGAGCTGCGTGTATGTATTTCATTGATGGTCTACATGAGTCATACTGATTATTATGATAGTCATTTGGTCCATTACCGGCTTCGTGATTGTTTCGATTACGGTCTTGGCTTGTTCTTCGCCCAACTTCAATTCTGGAGAGTAAGTTTTCTTATCAGTTTGACCGGAATTGGCGATCGTTTGACTGATGGTTTGTGATAGCTTCGTCTTTCGTGAATTTTTGAATGAGACTGGCTGGCCGGATGGCATTGCCTGGTTGCTCGGAGTATGTCTCATCTGTGACTGGATGATAAGACGCGATATTGACGAATATAGTTGCTCCAAGGTGGACTCGGTGTTACTGGATATGTAAGAGTGTCTAGCCCATTACCCTAGACTTCATACTAATGAAATATTTAGGACGCGGTTGCTCACATGATAGAAGGTGAGACTTGACAGAAATGTGCCTTCATCGATGCGTTTTCTGACATGAATAGAAATCCCCAATGCTGCTATTGAAGGCCCCAAGATCATGCTCTATTGCGTATGCATTGGCACATTCACAGGCACAGTCTTCCTCGTCGTACTACTCTTCGTACCGGGTAACATCGATGATATCATTTCCTCCTCGGCCGGCCCCTTGCTACAGATTCTCGATAACGCAACTAAGAACCACGCAGGGGCTATCTGTCTTTTAATGTAAGTCATTTAACACACTTCTAAGGGGATTGGCATGCTAATGAGGTCTAGGGTTCCATTAGTTTGTCTGCTATTTGCGGCTATCACCATCATGACTACGTCCAGCCGTATGGTGTATGCCTTTGCTCGTGATGGAGGTTTACCTGCATCTCGCTTTTTTGCTCGTGTTCACAAGAGGTTGAATGTACCTTTGAATGCGTTGTATTTGACTACTAGCCTGGTTATCATTTTTGGTCTTATTTTCCTCGGATCTTCTAGGTATGTACCCATTTCATTCCAGGCTAGGGAAAGAAAACGACTGTTCTGATTGTTGAATAGTGCATTTAATGCAATCATCTCTGCATCTGTCGTGGCCCTTGACGTCTCTTACGGCATGCCCATCGCGATCAATGTTATCCGTGGTCGAAAGATGATTACAGAGAGTCCGTGGAAGATGCCTGAGCCTCTTGCATGGGCTGCCAATATTGTGAGATTCATCTCGTATTCTACCCTATGGCATTTGCTAACTCTGCTATAGATTTCGCTTGTATACATCATCCTCACAACAGTCCTCTTCCTCTTCCCACCCGAGTTACCAGTCACGCCTAGTAACATGAGTACGTCCACTTTATCCCATGATTCTGGGTTACCACCATCTAACATATTGTCAACTAGACTACTGCGTCGTCGCTTTCGGCATCGTGTTAATCATCTCTCTGTTTCAATGGGTAATTGACGGAAGAAAGAACTTCATCGGACCGCGCATCAATCTCGATGAATTGAGTCAGGGAGTCACTATTGGGCAGGTATCTCTTGAGCAGCAGGATTATACCGATGAGACGAGTAAAAAGGTTGCTGTGATGCAGTCTTAATCGTCTGGTGGGGTTGGAACTGACTGAACATGTATATAAGAGTCTACCTAGGTAACTAGGTAGTCAGTGTATAGTCCAAAAGAAATATGAAAGGATAACTGTCAAACCTTTATTCGCCTCAAATCCTAAGTCAAGCTTATATGCCTCAGAAAAGGCAATTATCTAGTAAGTTGCCCCAAGAGCCAGCAGATCATGAAATCCGAAATAGAAGAAGAAATCCTATGAGGAATAATCAGTCAAAATAACCATGAACATGGAAATTTGTATGGACAGGAGCTCGGCAATCTGAATCGCTAGCTTTGACCCGCGACGTCATGATTCATGAGCTTAAATGTCTCGCTTGCAACCCCCTTCATTAGCACCCTTCAACTTGATACGAAGAAACAAGCTACAGCCGTATTAATCGCACATGATTTACAACTCGAGACATATATACATATCCTAAACGAGATCATGAAGGAAGAAGAATTCCTAAACTCCATTGAAGACTTGACGGGACGAGTTGCAATCGTAACTGGGTAAGGCACCGATGGTTGCGACGTGAACCTGAAAATGACTAACATCTGGACTTGAATCAATGATGAAGAGGCGCAAAAGGAATTGGCCTCGAGACAAGTGTATATCTAGCCCTGAAGGGCGCTACAGTCTACATCGCTGCTCGCGGGAGCAAAGGTACGTATGCCGGTATAGAGGATGTGCGCAACAGATTGAAGAGTGTAGTTGGTGATGAGAGTCTCGGCTCAAAGATTAAATATCATAACCTGGATCTGGGATCGATGCAAAATGCCTGGAACTCAGCGCGAGAGTTCGCGCGGATCGAGAGTCAATTGGATATATTAGTTTGCAATGCGGGAGTGTCCATGACAACGATGCAGGAATTGTCGCCGGACGGGTTTGATACAATGTTCGCCGTGAATCATCTAGGACATTTTGCGTTTACAACTGGATTGTTAGGTGATGTTTCCCCTGGCTGATAGCGAGCGACGTCCCTCCGACTGACAAGCATAGATCTGATCAAACAAACCTCCAAAACAACTCAAGACAGTCGGATTGTCTTCACAAACTCCAACGCCTACAAACTAGCCAGTCCCCTAGACTACGAAAAACTCACAACACTCATCCCAAACGACGGCCAAACGTTCAAGGATGCGTCGAACGCATTCAAACGTTACGCCGACTCCAAACTAGCCGCATTATACGGCGTGCTCGAACTAACCCATCGTTTGCGACAACAATTCGGTCTTACAAACATCTACATAAATAGCTGCCACCCCGGAAATGCAATCGGCACAACCCTAGGAGCAGGCCATCAAAAGGCCGTCCACCCGATATTGGAGAAAGTCGTTCGCGCGGGATTACAGGTTACGATTGGGAATTCGACGGCGGACTCGGCGAAGACGCAGGTATACCTCGCTGGAAGTCGATATATAAAGGATCACGATACGTACGGGGCGTTTTGGGAGCCGAGTTTCTCTTGGATTGCGAAAGCGTATAAAGGGTGTGCGGGAGAGGAGTATACGGAATTGGCGAGGGATGAGGTTGAAAGGAAAAAATTGTGGGATGTCACGGTAGAGGCGTTCAAAAAGGCGGTTGGCGAGGATGAGATTGGTTCTGTTGATATTGTGAAGGGCTTGATTGCATAGTACTTGGATTTCAATGAAAGCACAATTCTAAGTCGTCTGTCAAAAGTCCCTTGCTTAGTCATTAGTTGACATGTCACGTGTCTAAATTTTGATATCCGAAATTCACTCCGCAACTTTTCTGTAGCCAGAAGTTAAGAAAATCAATTCTCGCGCAACAACCGAATTTAATTCGAAAGTGAGCAGTACATTTTAAAGTACTGTTTCTCCTGCCATTAGAGCAGTGATCAATAAAAATGATCTGCCAACGCTGTCGAACCTCTCTCCTTTCTCGTGTCCCTGTTCAACAACATAGCGTTCGTACACCTTCATCATGCGTTTCCATCGCCTTCAATACCCAGTCTCGGTTCGCGAGTACCGATACTCCCAAAATCCCCGCTATGCCCCCTCCACCAGCTCCTAGACAACCCGGCGCTGGATCGGTCAGTATCCCATCCGCCATATCATCTGCGACACCAGGCGTCTCTCAACCGTTGAGTACGCCTACAGACGGTATCCCGAAGCCTCCCAAGTGGGTCAACCCCGGAAAAGGAGCAACTTCGGATGATGCAGCAGCAGCTACAGGTCCTACTCATGAACCTAGTAGTTGCGTGGCTGGTACGCCCTTGAAGGGTCTTAATTATATGAAGGGGAAACCGGATATTGTTGCATTGGAGGATCACGAGTATCCGGATTGGTTGTGGACTTTGCTTGATGATAAGGCTAAGAAGAGCAATGAAACCGGTGGTGTTGATGTTGCCTGTACGTCTCCTCCGTTTGAGTCCTTGTTTAATTGGCTAACCTGATTTCTGTGAAAACAGCCCTGAACAAAAAACAACGAAAGCGCTACGAGAAGAAAATGGCTGCATTGGCAGCTACTCAACCCCGCAAGATCCCTTTGCACGAACAAGCTACGGATATTATCCCTGCCGATTACAATGCCGAGCGAGACGGACCACGAGACATCATCGCTGAAGCAGCGGTTAGTATTGAGAAGACGGAGCAGATTACCAAGAGTGCACGGGAGGCAAGAAGGAAAGGAATTCGCGAGTCTAATTTTTTGCGCGGTTTGTAAGATTATTTCGACATCATGTGCTGGTTGGTTGGCATTATATATCGACCGGTTGTATATTATTACATTATAAATTATTGGGCTTTGGTCAGAAGTTGTCGCTTTTTTTTTTACAAATATATGAATTCGAAGGATCGATTGACTATATCTTCGGAATCGACCACTCCTTAGTCTCACCCTGCTTATTCAAAAACTCCTGCGACGCTTCCCAATGTTTTCTTAACGAGCCGTTCCCAGCGTCGATAACTATCTCAAAAAATTCAGGTGCCGATCTCTCGATCCACGCCAAATGGACCGCGAGCATTACATCTGCGAATCCCGGCTTCTCCCCTTCCAAGAAGACGCCTTTATTCTCTCCTCCCGCGGCCAACACCTCATCAAATACCGCGAGTTCCTTCTTCGTCTCTGCCACAATCTGATCTACTTTTTCTTTAGTCTTGGGTTTCAGATCCGCTAGGTGTTGGATATGCGGAAACTCTTTCTGGAACCCGGGGACTCGGGTCCTATCAAAATACTCCGAGCCTCTCTCGTCCAGGATTTCTGCTATACCGGGCCATAGGATAGTTGCGCTTTTCCTTATAGCCGGAGTGAGAAGATTATCCACTGCAAGCGCCAATGCAACACTGGTTTGGCCGTGGGGGAAGACAGAAGGGTACGCTGGTGCTGGGAATGCTTTGTCTAGGTGTAATGCGATTGGTAAGGAGTCATGCATAGCTCCATGTGGGTTGAATTTAATGGAGGCCTTGTGTATGATAGCAGGCAGCGTGTAGAGGATTGGAGTTCCCTCTTCAGGGGTTGGGGGGATCTCGAGGCCCTTGCTTAGAGGGGCAATGTCCGGATAGGAGATAAAGGATTGAGTGTAGGGGATTCCTTTGATGTTGAGCACAGCGCGAGTTTTGAGGGTATTCGGGGACCATGATTTGCGGGGACCTGGATACTGCTTAGAAAGTGCACGCAGACAACTTATGATTAGGACTTCATACCCTCAAGCACGGAAGTAATGTCAAAGAAATGTACAGGTTCAGTTTTTTCTGCCATTTTGTTTGTTTGGAATTGTTTCTGAATCAATTGGATTCAGTCTCACCGAGGGGAATTGAGGGATACTTGCCGATATTAAATACTTATCCTGTATTAAGCGGGGGTTTCCAAGATTCTTCCTGTCTCAAAATAGAGGGGCATATTCAGCCAATCATTTGATATAGCATAGAACAGGATTAATAATGTAGCAGATAAGGTAGAAAGATAACTTCATTTGTTTTGACAATCGAATTAGAGAACGTTGAGATATATGGAACAAACCCTATTCGGAATTGTCAAATAGCCAGCCTCGGCCTTTTAAGATTTGAGAATCTCGAATCATTGGATCACACAACATACTTGAAAGTATACTGCAAATCTTGATAAAGCTCCTTCTTATTCGAGGTATAATCACGACCCGAATGAGCGCCAGAGTTACTGGTATGGTCTTAATCTATTTCCTCAGTCGACTGTCTGGACATGGTAAACTGTAGCCTCAACTCTTAAGTCAAGAATGCTTATCAGAGCTAAATATACCCCATACTTCCCCTATATAACTAGCCCAATTAGGTATATACTCTGGCCAAAGCTCAATCTCACGATGTTCAGGTTATTTGGCAGCCGTGACTATCACGAAGCATGTCGCCTTAGCCGGTCGTCTGAACGGCGAATTACCACTAGGGTATGAGGTGACGCTGCCAACGTCGACAATAAGCGAATCTCATACAGAGAATAGACGCCTGATAAGGCATTAAGGTGGAAGAGCACGGAAAGGAAAGAACAATAAAGAGACTCAGCCTACTAGACGTGCACTTTATTATCCTAATTGAAGCAGTGTTTTTTTTGTATCAGCTATTGTTGCCCTTTAGCATTTCCGGATATTCTGCTCTGTGGTGGTCTTTCCGACCGAAAGACACACTGCCCGTTCTCAATTGCGCTTCGTCTTGACTGCAGACCTACCTGTTCTCCAAATCGTCTCCCCGTCAGTACTTTTGCCCGATTCGAAAGGCACACTATAATCTGGTGCAGTCGGTAGGTCTGGCCATGTAAGTCGCTTCGGTGCGTTGAGATATCGTTCCATGTCCCCATCAGAGTTTTGTATTGCTACCAATTCGTTCAAAAAGTTGCGGAAAGTCGATACGTGGAGGTCCAGGTCACGATTACAAGGCCACTCTGACATACTCTGCACCATGTCTATATTCCGATCCCAGTGGGGAATTTCTGAAAAATGTGTATCGTTCGTGATGAGTTCATATAGTATGAAGACAACACCATTCACGTCGTCTCGGCCATCCTCTCGACCTTTTTCCCCACATGAAGCCCCAATAAAAGTCGAAAAGAAGGAGCTTGTGCGTTTTGGGATCAATCACTAGATTTCGGGGTGCAATGTCTTGGTGCATTATCCCCAGCTCCAGATCCAGGAAATCCACGAGCTGAGTAAGCTGCTTCAGCCACTCAAATAGGAACGGTACATCTGGATTCTCGAGATTTCCGCCTGGGATGTACTTTGTTGTGAGCCCAATTACCCTAGACTTCACATCCTCGAGGACAATAGGGTCGGATGGTACTATATTTGGATGTGGTGGTAGATTCTTAAGAAGATTCATTTCGTTTCAGACCATCTCTAGCCTCCGAGTCTTTGCAATAGGGTTGAATTTGAAGGCAACCTTTGAAAATGCCAAGATTCGTCTTCATATGAAGAAAGGTCGACTCCTGGTCCAAGACGATCCGGCTCCTGCAGTTTGGAGTACTGTATTAGACGGCAATCAGATAGCGACACAACAGTCGAAAAGGGATGATACGCAAGGAACATATATTGTAGTTAGCTAGCTTCGTATGCGGATATTCTTAGGGTTATCGGTGATTAGCCCTATATTGCCTTTGTTCCGCGGATAGTATCAGATAGCCTGGGTCACAGTCATGCAAGGAACGTTGGAAAACCCTCGTTCAAATTGTTAGTGGAATAGGAATCAATATTAGAGCCTTTTCAATCGCAGGAGGTTCGTGGATATGAATACGAAGACCCAGGACGTATACTGGGGCGAGAGATCCAGATACCTACTGCAAGTGCAAATTATCCAGAGGAAATATCCACGACGCAGTTTGCATGAATAGAAAAACTTTCGCGAATTCGATTCTAAGAATCTCTCTCTTCTATTCTGGAGATCGACGAAGGAGCAAGTTTCTGTATGAAGAGGGATATTATTTCCGGATCAATAAAGTAGTCCTTCAGGATGCAAAAAAAAAGTGCCGATAGAAGGAGGTTTGGAGAGGACCTCCTGAATTCGTCCATGCGCTTTTGGAGGCGATGCAGTTAGTTTCTTCTGTCGTCTTGAATAATTGATACTGTTAAGCCTTTTCCCGGCATTAATCGGAAGTTGGTGCATCAATAGGCGAGCCGGACCATGAAAATCTCGTTTAAGAGCCTCCCATTTCACTAGTTGAACAATAAGGAGAATAAAAAGAAGTACATGTACTTACTTTTGCTCTCAGATATGTCCAAAAGCCCCATAATTTCGAATTGAGCTGCAGACCCATGACTAAGACTCTGTAACCAATCCCACTGCGCCACATGTAGCTATACGGACTACATGAATGATGGTGATGCTCTTTCAATAGTCTAAGAGCTGCATGAATAATAGATGAGATTTCTGGCTAGATGAGATGCAGGGTCTCAAGGCAAGATGAGATCCTTGATACAGTACCCTAAATAGGATAAAAGGCCCTCGAGAGAATTGCCTATCTTGGTATAGGTAGTAATATTGATGTTGTGTTAGGGTTCAGGGTTTCTGTGTTGGCAGCCTATCACATGGAAAAACCAATCATACTTGATCGATTGGTTTCTTCACCGGGTAAATTGAACGACTCCTCCTTCCCACGTACGTAGTAATAAGAGAAACCCCCATTGAGAGGTTCGGACAGGGGTCTTCATATGTGAATGCGTACTAGATTGAGTGGCTAGTACAAGATGTGATCTGTGGGCCTCATACCTCAGTTGTACCTAGGTAATTTGCTTCAAGTCTGTATAATCATCTCATTATAGTTCTGGCTCAGTATTAGTATTGCGCAGAGAAGTCTCGTAAGGAAATAGAGCATGAAGCTAGAATAACGTACGTTACCTTGGGATATGGTACAATCGCTGCTCAGTCGATCTACCTGGGCAGCATGGAATTTCCGACCTTACGTAAAAAGAAATACTTGTCTTGCGATGGATTAAAGTTTCCTCTATCGATACTCACGACTTTTGTGAGTAGAACTGTACGCCTGCCCTTTATCTTTAGCCAGAGGGAACAGCCGGAAAGGAAACGTCAATTGAGACGCCGGTGTATAGGTAGATGATTTGGTACTCCTCGGCGTCGCGTGGCTACCGCAAGACCTGGGCAGTTCGAGATGTCACCTCGCAAGATACCCTGCGCAGGGTCCTCGAACCATTTATCAGATGCAGAGCGATCTACAAGGCTCTTGCGTATCTTGAGATATCTGTCACAATGCTATCCCTTGATTCGTCAACATCGTGCATCCGTCAAGGTCGAAGTCGTTGTAATTGGGACATAGACCCAAAAACCGGAAAGTGAACTGTGGATCCGTATAGAGCACAGCCTTCTTCCCAGTCGCAGGTCGCATAGCGCGGTATCAGCAGCCACCAGTGTCCGAGGCTTTAGAATCATCTTTCACATATTAGTATCGAAGATGGACATACCTCAAAGGGTGGTTGGGGTTGGAGATAATATCGGAAATAAGTACAATGCACCCACTAGTTGAAGAGACGGGGATATACTGCCTCAACGTAACTATTGAGAGAGAGCACGAGGTCTGGCCAACTCCTAATCGGCTTCATCAAGAGATCTGTAGATATGTGCATCGCTACCTCCCTGATCTCGGACGCCACTCGCCTGGGTCTTGGTGTGCATAGAAAATCAGCTATCTGGGCATCTCCGTACGGTAGTTCTTGCCTTGTTTAGCACCCCATCCGGTTTTGATACCATCTCCTCGGACGCTGGAGGGTGTGAACCGACTGAGGTTGGCGAATCACCCAAACCACCCAAACCCTTCTAGTCTCCGCGCGTTCACTAGGTAGAGAGGCATGTCTAGACGAAGGAGTAGCGCCTGAGTGGGCATCACGCGAAGGCTGATTCCCGTTTCAGAAGTTAGAACCATGGAACGTATAAGTTACTAGCGATTAGTCTATTAAGGCATCGACATCCGATCCGGCCGCGGCATATCCAATTCGATCAAACCATGAAGCCAATCCTCCGCATACCTGGACACTTCCATACGTGACACCAAGTAGCAAGACTAGGACATTCTGGGAGAGAGCATGGAGGTGTAAGTTTAAGCGAGCACCAAATGTCATCATGCTAAGGTGATGGGATTGTATGAAAACGGAAGGTCCTCTTCGGTGTGGGTATTGTATTGTGGAATAATTCATCTCACGCTCCACTCCAGAAATCCACCTACTAGAGCGTACGGGTGCCATGATCGTTCGGTTGACTACCGATAAAAATAATTCGTCGCGAGGATACGTAGCCATCTTTTGCGTTGCTGTTGAAGACGCTGTGCGTAGACATGACCGAGATATTCCGGGGGCGGTCACATAGACGGACCGTTCATCACTCGTGGATTTCGGAACAGTGCTTCCTTCAATTGCAGTTCGATCAACAATAGACTGTTGTTTATCTCTTGTATGATATTCTCACCACGCGCGCCTCTGGTCTGAATACCTTGTAACCCATTGCGGCAAAGCCAACTCAACATGCATCTCGTAAAAGCATCAACTTTAAGCAATTGAACCCATTCTTCATACTGATTTGCCCGATCGAAATAAACAGATAGCGCTGTATGAGCGAGCGTTATTTGCTTTTGGAATGCTTGGAGATCGAGGCCGTTCGGCAAACCCTGCGACTCAAATCCTATGCAATTGGAAGTGGAGTGCCATCTGGCAATATAATTCTTCTCGAAACCGCTTCTGGCAGTAAAGTAAAGATCAAATCCCGGTAGGTATGCTAACATGTCAATGTCTGCTCTGTGTCTGCTTCGCATTTGTTCAACGCCGTGTCTACCTCCCTGAAAATAGCAGATTCGTAGCAGGAGCCCAATTGACCCAAATTCATCCCCAATCCATGACAAATCATATAATGATCTTGACTGATATGGCAAATTTCCGTTCATATTGGTTCGCCGTGATGCTTTCATTGCCATTCATTAGCCCGCTACTAAATGCCAGTCCCCACAAATCGGTCCCATCCATGCAATATCAAGGTATCCCTTGATGGGTTCATTCCCCAATACATATGAATTCGGTCCACTTCCTTTGGTGTCCTCTGCAATATAGACTCCGGGAACAACCTAGTAGGGTGTTGAAATTGAAAAAGAGCCAAGGCATATGCATCGATCTTCTAGTCGGTCCATCCAGCTCTCATCTTGTTCTTTCCCTTCTCCGGCCGGTCGAATGGACGAATGGACACACTTTCAGACCATTCGATGCGCCGTAAATTGCCGTGGCGCTTCATTATACGAACCTTGGCGTGGACTCATCTATTCGACAATAATTGACTCTATTCGCACAAGTGTCATGTCGATCTTGATCCGCCGACATGCATCCGTATAGCACCACCAAGCTAGGGAATAAGACCATGCAAGCAAGTCTATAGCATCTCATAGTGTTGAGAGCTTGCGCGGGGGTGTGTGCATGGTGGCCGTCGTATGCTGATAAGCGTCTTCAATTGATTAAAGTTACTAGGTGCGATATTCGGAAATAACTTGAATCTGAAGAACTGTTCAATGATTTTACAATCAATCGAACATCTGAAGCTTTCTGGATCGCATATAAAAAGGCCTCTATATCTCACGCTGTGAGATACCACATCAAGGCTATCAATTGCAAGAAGAGTTAGCATCGCGAGTTCGCTCAAACATTCAATCGCAAAGATCGACTTCAAATCTACTGCTACCATGTACGCTCTTCAAAGTCTCCAGGGATCCTTGTTGGACTCTGGCATGAATCAAGGAGGTATGCCATATCGACGTCCAGGGCTTCCGCAATCAACTCCGGTTTTGAGCACAAATCCGCTTTCTCTCCCAGTATGTTGCCCCTGGCTCTGTCAGGTCTGATACCTGTCACTGACTTGAGCTGCCGTCTCGTTCCAGATGCCTGGTGTGCAGTGCCAAACTTGCAAGGACCAAGGTCGCGAGACATGGGTCATACCTGGCAAAGCATGTCATATCTGTGGAACCCTTTGTCGACTGCTAGTAAATGGTATGTTGTTGTGAGGACCGTATCAGAGTAATGTAGTACTGACTAATCATATAGCAGACGACGATTCTGATCTCGAGTAAGGGAAGACGGGCATATGCAGCGCATACAATGTATCGTAGTACCAAAGTCGTTTTGTCTACCAACCAGACTAGGTTTAACGATGCCATGATAAGCTCGCGGTCGCAGGTGCTTCCACTCGGTAGGAACTTACAGCTTGCTTGCTTTCTTCTTTGTTTGTTGTTGATTGTCCTTGTTTTCGTTCAATTGCTATGAATATGATGGTTCGTTTTCTTCTGAGTCCGAATTATTCACCGAAGTAGACCAGAGGGGTAGTTGCACTCAGGGTCGTCAGTGTCAAAGAGACTTATCGTTTCCGACTTGGGGCGTGGTCGGGTTTTCTGCAGTCAAGCAGATTGGATTCGGTAGATAAGGTGAAGTATACCATCTCCAGGATGAGAGAAGTAGGTTGAGGTTGTCTAACCCTCCTTGTGTCAGGGGTAAGAAATTGTTACTGCAGGAAAGAACAGACCGACCATGCCCAGTGTAGCAGGTGGGCACCTTCCCCCTGAACAGCATGAGTACATAGTACGAATATCCAAAAGATGACCCCGGAGACAGTACTTCAACTCAAAGTTGTTCTCTACTCTCTGTGTTCATTTGGCTGACTTCGTCTGGCTGTCGTGAATTTGATGGAAGGAAATGTCGCGGAAGTGCGCTCGCTCGGTTTGTATGTCGCAGGATGACGTCCATTTGAGGGCACGTGAGGACTCGCTTCGAGAGTATAATGGATATTAGATTGTGTCGACTTGCGAGGAGCGTCACTACTCCGAGCCATCTTCGTCAAAGATTGGTGAGAACAAGTTCGAAGGGAAGCGAGAGGGTCCGGCGGGTGTTTCAGAGGTGAGAAAGTCCTCGAGGACCTTCGTGTTTCCGAAGTCATCGGTTAATCTGCCGCAGACCGTGCTGATTTTCATCTCTCGCTAGGTCTAAATAGCCCCTGGGAATGCAGTCAAGCAGGTTTTTCGGGCAGCATGAGCCCTGACGGTGTTCAAAGCTTAGCGAGAACTCCCGTGTCGTTCCGTGATAGGCTTTGTTTGGATAGAGGACCGGCTTTAACCTAAACAACGCTATGAGAAGACCGGACCAAGCCAATACGACCTATTGTTACACCAATTAGTGGCAATTACAGCCGGTAAGGATCGCAGCTTAACACCCAACGCCAATCATATTCCTCGATACATCGTTAGTCACGCCTGATTGAGCTGCTCCAGGGTTCAGAGAAACATTTGACAACGATTAGATATGCCCTGGTACCAGGCACAGGTCATTACAATTCAGCAATTATCGAAAAAAAGACGCCTCCTTGCCCAACTTTACTCTTTTGAATATTTTAGTGGCACCCGGGCCGTCAGCCGTACGAAAATGGGCAATGAGAACGCCTGCTAAGAGTCCACCAATAAAGCCTCAAGAGTGAAGACAATGTTAATAGCTAACAGTTACAGTTATACTGGCAGACCACCGCAAGCTCACTGACTCTTGAGATTACTGCTCTTCGGCAACATAAGTTCACAGTACTTGAGGTGAGTGGGTCTGGAACAACTAACGGTACATACCACTACCCCAGTGATTGTATTAATGTCCACAAAGTACGTGGCAGAAATAGCAAGGCCTCCACAGCTGGAAATTAGACCCTGGACATTGCAGGGTTCGTGTGGAATGTTGTGTTGCGTTGTCCAACCGTAACCATCCGTATCTTCACCGGCAAGACACGAACCAACTGATCAACACAAAGCTTCTCAGCCAAGTAGGTGTTGCAAATATGCAATCATGACAACTTTTAAATTGTTGGTAAGTTAATATATGCTTCGACAACAAAGCGTTGAAAGCATCTCGGATCCTGTTCGGGGAACTCTATCCTCAATGAAGATCTTCACTAGGGAACCATTTGTAGTTTCTCAGTACGAACCCTGCAGTTATGGAATGTGATCAGAAAACATGTACACCCATGGAGTCGATACAATCTGATCTATCTTCTTTTGTATTCATCGTTTAGCTACACAAAGCCCTACAAGACAAGGGGCTGATGCGGAGTATTTCTCTGCTCTGGACACATTGCGATGATTGGCGGTGCACACTGGGTTTACTTATGTCGCACATACAACTAAGACATCTACAGTTAGACACAGATCCAATCTACACATCATGTCAACGTATGGAGATCGGCATTTCTACATTCACGAGGAGCGAAATAATTTTTCCGGTCACATACTCCATGGATCGACGGTTCGTTATGGGCGTGGAAGGAGCTGGCCTATAGCCGACATGCGAGTGAGGGCTTGATTGATCATAAGGGCCAAAGCGTAATTGAGGTGATGATCATTTGTGTCAGTGAGTAAATGTATGCCAAGCATATCATTTTGGTTGATATCCGTAAAGTTGTTTCTCAAGGAAAATTGAAGCGAGGAGTGTGAGTTGGGTGGTAGTCGAAGCAAATTGAAACGCCAACCGTCACCGCAAATCAGAGCCTGGGGACACTTGGCTATGCTTTAGAAACTGTAGGATCCCTTACCTGTCAATCATGTATCCGGTCTGACAAGTAGTGACTCCGGATATTCCTTTCTCTGTCTTCTTCTTGTTTCGTCCTATTCCTACTCGAGCTCGGCGAAATCTATCTTGAACCAGATCGTCAATAATTGCAACATACTCCCCTTGCAGCTCTTATAAAGAAGGTACTTCGGTTATGTGTCAAGTTTCAATGTTTTGAATGAGTGAAGAAATTGATACCAGTTCCTGGCTGATGTGTTGACATGTCTAATCAATGGACTAGTCCGAATGCGGATAAGTCAAGTCACGTGTAGACCACGAAGCATTTCTTGGCGATGAAGGAAGGCGACGTCATTTCTAGATCTTGAAACATCGAAACTTGGACTTCGGAAATCTTTTCGATCGAATTGTCCAAAGACCAGAGGCCATCACAAAGCCTTTGATGTTGGATGGAATAGATTATCTACATCGCGGCGCCCCTACCTGCAAAAGTGCATGAACAAACAACAGAAGGGCAGACATGTCAACAGAGAAGTACGAAATCAGTACTCGCGCCGAATGCGAAAAACTAGTGAAAGATTGGGGCTTTTCTCATGTCTTTACCTGGACAGACTCAAGGTGACTTTTATCTCCTTGAGTCCATCGCTAGAGATGTACCTACGACATCTAGAGTGGAGATGAAATGCTAACAGAGAACAAAAATGTATAGCAACGCTCATTATCCACCCCATTCTCACAATGGGATGACTACCCACTTGATCAGACGAGGTAGTCTCACCATCACTTACCCAGAGGACAATGTCAAGCTCCACAATGGTGAGATTAAAAAGGAGACGTTTGGCGTTGGGGATAGAATCGATGTGCCGGCGGGAAAGCTCCATGAGGTTTGGATTGGGCCGGAGGGTTGTGAGTATGTCATTGGAGAGTAGGATTAGTAGTGAAACAGAAGTACAATGATAACCTGGAGTGTTTATATGGTTCAATGTGTCTTGAATCAGTACAGTTGTCGCTGCATACGAAGCAATTGCCCTTCGATCATTCCTGATGTCGGTTGAATGCGGTACGCAAAGGCCCCTTCAGGAATTCCCGAATCAATTGGCGCCGGTTCCATTGGTTTGTGTGGTGTTCCTGTCATCCACGTGCTATCTTGGCATATCAGAGAGAAACAAGGGGTATTTGAACTATCTACATGAGGTCCTCGACAAGATTTCACCATGACGCCTCATATAGTTCGGAACGAGTGAGCCTTTATCATCAGTGTTATCAGGTATATCAGAGTACGACATCCATAAAGAAACCAGTGAACTGTTTCAGATTAGCCACTTTTCACGAGATACGAAGAAGGTAACTAGACCATCCATGTACATGAATATGTATGACTTCATAATCTAAATTCTACATCTAGTCAAAACATGATATATATCTCGTCAAAAGGGTCTATTCCAAAGCAGATCTATCAATATACACCCTCCGTACATACTATGTACAACAAAACCTCTATTCACTCGTCCCGTGTCTATGAAACGAATCTAAAGTCAAGTCTGCCTACAGTCAGCCCTGGAGCTCAATATACCGTAAGGAAGAAAGGAGAGAAATGACTAACCTCTTATTTCCACTGTCTTTATTAGCAGCAAGGTATGCATCTCGTTCCTCGCTACTCATTGCATTCCATTTCCGTGCTCGGTAGCTATAGATTTGTGTGGTTAGTGGATGAAAGCCTTTGAGGAGACTTAAAAGGTGGTATCGACGTACTAGTTCTTCAAATCATAGTATATTTTGGCAAATAAGAACAAGAATAAACTCAAAGAAGCGATACCGATGAGGACTTTGTTTCCTTTGAGGTAAAGTGGTGCGTCGTTGCTGCGGTATATCTATCGAGTTGTCATGGTCAGTCTCGGTTTAGTAGGAGAATTGAAGGGATGGCTTACATTTGCTCCAATAATACTACTCGTTTGAACCGTCATGTTATACACGGCTGATGCTACGGTACGAGTTCGCACAGAACCTGAATTTCGTGAAGTCATGGCCACAATCGCCGCATGCATGTAGGGACTTCCAATCAACAAGATCAACACAGCGTATCGAGCCCATGCACTTTCGTGTCTGGGCATCGTCTCGAGGGCAATCAGCATCGCCAAATTCCATACTTCTGCAAACGCGCCGAGTAACAATCGCTGATTCAGTTTTTCCGAAAGCCAGGTGAATAATCCTAGGTTGATGATGAAGATCACGTACGCCGGGATTGTGAGCAAATTAGTATGGAAAGTGCTGAAACCCAGGGATCTCAACTCCAGACTCAGATAGGAGTTGACTGGATTCGTGGGGATCAACCACACCAGACCCACGAGGTAGATGGGCCACATGTCGTAGTCATAAAGAGCTTCGATGAGTAGTTTTGGGGTGATGGCTTGTCGGTTGTGCATACTACCTTTACTCGGGTCATCGCGAATAACTCTGTTGACCATGATTTTCTCTTCGCGTTCGGAGAACCACCCATTTTTACCCCGGAAGCGTCCTGCTGTTTGTGTCGGGGAGGCAGGCATGTAGAATGCAGCAAATATTCCGATGACTCCAGTTATGAGGCCTTCAAGGGCGAATAGGTAGCGCCATTGACCTGTACCGGTGCTGGTGTGGATGTGCAGGAATCCATAGGCGAGAAAGGCGCCGATGATGGCTGTTAGTTCGTATGCGGACCAGAAGAAGCTGAGTCGGACGGGTAGTTCTTTTGATTTGTACCAGTATGATAGGAAGAGAATTGTGTCGGGAATACTGTATGAATGTGAGCATTCAATTCAAAATTGCCAATGTGCCCCGGGGCAGTCACCATTGCCCTCAAGAAAAGGAAGACTTACAATCCACCTTCAAACAAGCCCAACAAAGCTCGAGTAGCATAAAAAGTCGAACGACCAGTGAGAAAAGCCTGGCAAGAAGCAATCAAACTCCAAGACACCATCTGAATCGGAATCCAGCGATCGGGTCCAAGTCGTTTCGAAATGAGTTGTGACGGCAATTCCGCAAAAAGGAAGCATACCAAGAAAATCGTGTTTCCGGTGTTGTAGTTATTGGTTGTAAGACCCAGGTCACTTAACATGTTGTCCGAAGTGGCTTGGACGAGGTTTCCTCGGTCTAGCTGTAGAGCGAAGAATGTCAAGCATGCAAATGTCATGATTCGCAAGTCGATCTTTCTACTGTTAGCTCATGGACGTCTTCAAGGGACCGCAATCAGACGGGAACAAAAAATACCTTTCGAACAAGCTTCTTTTCCTCCCATTCCTCCCACTCAAATTCCGGATCCCATCGGTGAATACCCTCATAAGTATCTATAGGCTTGTAATAGCGCGGATCCTCAGTCTGGTCAAAAGTTGCATCACCGCCCGAGACTCGATTTCTCAAGGCCTCGAGAGCATCAGACCTGATAACTGTTGTGGTGCCGACATCCTCCGCCTTTGAGCTGTTGGAGCTACTTGGGAGGTACTGGCCATCGACAGGAGTGACTTCTTTGCTAGACATGGTTGATTTAACTGAAGTCTTCAAATTTCCTGGCGCTGGTTAAATATGTCCAGTAGCACAGAGCAGGTGAGATGTAAATTAAAACTAGGGTGATCGACCTCGAATTTAAAGACTATATAACTGGATGAGAATCCCTGCTACGTTGACGTGATCCAGCCATGTTTTTAGACATTGATTCTTCTATCACGGGTGGTCCCTGGTCACCGAATGATAGTACATAAGCTCGCACTGGTTTGTTCAGGTACATACGTAGGTTCGATCTAGCCCTAATCACCGACCCAACGTCCGCGTGCTCCGGTGGTTTACTACCTCATTAAGCATCCATTTCTATAGATTCCAGAATCATAAATCCCATTTTGTCGCGCCAATCCCGGTTGCATTCGTTATCCAGCCTATTACGGCACGTTCAGTCATACGTATCGACTTCATGATAGAACGAGCTGTATTTCATCCATTGTTTCGAATGGACCAAATGCCGGATGGCTCTTCCGACCTCACACGACGAATATCACCCGATGAGTGATGGTCACTGCGCTCAAGGTATTGTAAAAAATATCAGAAATATGCTCGGTATATCATCATATCAAGTTACAAGCTCCGCGAGCGGAGTATGCCCAGACACAAAGAGACGGAAACTTTCCTTGACAAGGCGCGGGATCACCATGAAAAAAAATTGCAAAAAGCTTGTACGATCTTTACAGGCGTATTGGAAAGGTGCAGGAATCATATTGCGCCAAAACAAGGGTAGTTGACGTTATTCTTCGGGTTTTGTATGGGGATTCGCTGAGCGCGGCGGGGATTGACTCTGGCGTGCTATCACGCAAGTGTACCCTGGCTGACGTTATTTGTATCTTCTCCAATAATGGTCGGTGGATGTCATCAGATATGCAAAAATCTTTGTTTTTGCAATTGTAATCGCTGATAAGAACAAAAAAAATACAGAAAAAGGGTGCTTACTGCCTGTTTTAGTCGTGCATCATCAGATTAGCCGAAATAGGAAGTTTCCGTTTCCTTCCTATTTCGGAGTTGTTAGGGCTAGCCGGGACAACGAAGGAAGAAGGAACTCGAATTGAAGCCATTGCAGTCACTTTATCTACAAGAAACTACATGCCATATTAATTTTATCTTTGTGTATAGCTATTTGCCTTCTCTATGCTTAGGTCTCTAGATAGGTAGTTGAAAGGCTTTTGAATCGGTAGAGCCTGGCTGATATGTCAAGGTAAGTGTCTCTCCACAGAACAAAAAGCCAGAAAGAGTTATGGTGGCAGGAAGTTTTACCTACAACAGTAGAACTTGTCTACAATGTTAATCTATCTCGGCATTGATTACCACTCTTTCACATTGAGTTATTATTCAGGTTGAGATCAGTAAGATATGAAGAGGTCTTGTGTCTGTTAGAGCCAGCTTATAGGGTTCGCAATGCATACGCGTACCTAAATACATCCATGGATTGTAAAGGTCACTTTTTACTCCACTTCTTGGCTGATAAACAGCCTTGGAACACCAAATCATGCCAACAACCACATGTATTGCGCCATATAGTATAATCAAACTTGTATCTCTATTGGCCGTCCAGCGACATAGCATCCGATGTGGTTGAGATTCTAATTTTGCAAGATTGATAAATGACTAAATGAGGAGAATAAACCGGATGGAATCCCGAGAGGAGGGGTCTTCGATGATAGACTCATATACATATTTATCAGCCACAACACATGATCTGCTTGAGTCTCGCCAATGGCAATGTATACCCCTCATTGATTATGCAATTACACTGAAGAATGGTGTGCCGGGGTCTCGAATGTCGTCAATAGTCAACTCACCACTGAGAGTATGCCGAAGTCATTCCGGATTATGTGATTACTTCCGGGAAAGGATGGAGATATTATTTATAGTTGTTAGAGATACATATATCAATCCTTCTTCCCTTCCATATACAAGTCTGCAGTTACTACTTAGTCTGTTGACAGGAGAAAACATCTATAATAATATCAAATCATGGCCCCCGCTTTAGTGGAAGACCCCCTCCCTATCCGCGAATCCGCAGCTGCAAAAGCCAATATCAAAGAAAACTTCAACAAGGAGTTCTTCATTGGCGGAAAGGATGCGTTTGATAACAAGGCCGAACTTGAGGGTACAGATGCTCAGCCGGCAGCGACATACCCTAACTACCTACCTGTTTGGGATAATGAGAAGGGCGTGAAGTAAGCCGAACCCGAATCAGATGCGAGGAGATTGTATGCTGACGTTGTTGTGACTGGTAGATATCCCCCCTGGACACCATTTGAACATTATGATCATGGCAAAGATGCCGACCCTTCTTTTAAAGATCTGCTCCCTGCGGATAAGGCTCAGGTCACGGAGATCACACCGTACATTGGCTCCGAGGTTCGCGGAGTACAGTTGAGCCAACTCACAGATGCAGGCAAGGACCAACTTGCTCTGTTTGTTGCCCAACGTAAAGTCGTCGGTATGGCTACACAAATCCTTTCCCTAAAATCGAAAGGGAAATATTAACAGATGTCGTATGCAGCATTCCGCGACCAAGACTTTGCAAAACTCCCGATTGAAAAGGCGTTGGAATTCGGTGGGTACTTTGGCCGTCATCACATCCATCCTACTTCCGGTGCCCCCAAGGGCTTCCCCGAAATCCACCTCGTCCATCGCGGCGCAGACGACAACTCCTTCTTACAGACATTCTTGCATGAGCACACAAATTCCGTTACGTGGCATTCGGACGTCTCCTACGAAGCTCAGCCACCCGGTACCACGTTCCTATACTTGCTAGATGGTCCTACGAGCGGTGGTGACACATTATTCGCCAATCTGGCAAAGGCCTATCAGCGTTTGAGCCCTGAGTTCCGGAAGAGACTTCATGGACTCAAAGCTGTGCATTCGGGTTTTGAGCAGGCTCAGAGTGCCTTGGCGAGGGATAGTACGGTGCGAAGAGATCCCGTGAAGCATGAGCATCCGATTGTGCGTACCCATCCGGTTACGGGTGAGAAGGCGCTTTATGTCAATCCTCAGTGTGAGTCCTCTCTCTCAATTCCTCGTTGGCCGTAGGAATAAACTGACACAATCGCATGACAGTCACCCGTTACATTGTAGGATACAAAAAGGAAGAATCCGACCATCTCCTCAAATTCTTGTTTGATCATGTCGCCTTATCGCAGGATCTACAGACTCGCATCAAATGGGCTCCTGGAACAGTTGTCGTTTGGGACGTGAGTACCTCCCCCATCCTACAGTCATAATGTTTGATATTACATAGACAACTAACCGCGTTACAGAATCGGGTAACTGCGCATTCGGCTTTGTATGACTGGGAGAACGGCCAGAGACGTCATCTTGCTCGTATAACTCCCCAGGCTGAACCTCCTCGTGAGACGCCGTTTGAAGGTTAAATTGGAGAAAAGATTGATTTGCAGTATATATACTAGAATTCATGTAGCAAAGAATCATTGGGCGTTGTAATTCATCAGTGACAACAAATAATATAGTATAGTCATGTCGTACAATGGTGGTGATCTTCAATCCAAGCATTTCGACGAAACCTCGTCTGCATGTAAAGTACTCCTGCAGGGCCGTTGTATTTGCATCGGACTGCTCGCCGGTAAAATAAAAGCCCAACTTTTATTGTCCTTACTTTCAGTACTCCGACAGCTCTGCTCCTTGCATGAAGACGTGCTTGAGTCTTCCGGATCTCCTTCCATAGCACGACCCAGACCATCTTCGTCCACGTTCAGATGCGAGTAGAAAGACCAATCCGATGACACAGAGTCGCTATCCTCATAATCCATGTCATTCGTGAAGTCATCTAGGTATCCCATTGCAGAGTCATTGCGACACCTGACAAGAGGCGGAAACTCTTCTAACGCTGCACTTGGTACTCGTGTCGGAATATCGTCTGCGTTTCCCCACGTACATTCCAAATGATTGTCTGATGGAGATAAAGAATTGGAAATGAGGAGCTCGGGAACTTCAGATGTTGTTTTTTTCATCTGGTCCAAGTTGAATATTGGCTTCATATCATCTGCTGAGATATCGTGAATGTCTTCAATGTGTTGTGCGCTTGGTACATCGAGAGCATTGAGGGATCTTACAAGTGACATGAACTGTTGCTTGCTCGCCCATTTTCGATAACTGCCCTCGTAAGTTGATGAATATTGTTCGACTGTGCATTCTGGATCGCATTCTTGGGTTTCGCGGGCCAGATCCGGACGCTCTTGAATTAGGGGGTGGATGCACTTTGAAGCCATGATATAGATTTCTGAGGTGATAGAGTTCCTCTGAAGTCCGCAAGACAATATGACAGGAAATCCCGAAATAAATATTCTCAGCACATAAGACATGCGCCCCTCAAGCAAGAAAGATAAGGATACAAGCTTCGACAAGCAACAAATGCGCAAGACGAAGTTCGCAGCATAGTGGCGGGTAGATGCAGTGTGTAAAGGCTAGCTGCATTACCTGCGAAGGAAAAAGTGGTATAAGGTAGTACGCCACGTCCATTGTGTACTCCCTTGTAACACTGTAACACCTGAACGGCCATACGGCTCGGCCATTGATCAAGCGTACTTCTTCTTAAGCTGTTATCAGAGATCATGATCGTCACGTACGTTTCTAGAGCCGATCCATCAGTGCAACATTCCACTCACGAAATATCCTTGCAGATACGGGTATCAGCAGGTTAGTGCGTTGCAGTGACAGAACCAATTCGTTATATATATTTTCGGGCAGGAATAATTCTTCCAGAGAGAGGGACGTTGGTGCTCCATTTTCAGGTTCTAGTATACCTTCGACGTCTGTCACGTTCTGATATAGGACTTTCATGGCTCGCCTTGATATAATGCTATGATCTGCGCTAGAGCTTGAGTATCGAAGATCTGGGTTAAAGGCCCATAACTTCTACAGCATTAGCCACATAAACGAGCAACAGAAAGTTATCATGTAACTAACCAGAATACCGTCTGACTGACCAGCATGAATGACAAATCGTCGAACACCTTCATGGTCAATCAGATCCAAGAGTTGGGCACTTGTGATGATATCGACTGAATATGTTTCGTATGCATGTTCGGTTGCATCTCTACGTCCGACGGAGATGTTGTTCTTGTATAGTCTCAGACCTTCTGCGACGGAGTCTTCCGTTCCGATGATTGCACTGCATCCGGAGCATCTTATATTCCTTGCGTCCTTTCCGCCGTGTAACGTTGATTTTGCGGAAGCTGAGATTGGCCGTGGTTGGAGCTATGAATCATGAATTGATCAGCCGTGGACTAAAGTAGCAGCAAATGACTAGTGGAAGCAAAGATATCTTTTTTTTTTCATGGGTCTATAGCTATTGATGTATCATGTGAAAATCGCTGTGAATCCCACTACTTGAGAATCCCAGTGAATTGCAACAGGATGCTCGCTAGCATCCCTCGAGTTCTCCTACAGTCAGTTTCTCAGACCATGAGCCGATCAATGAAGGAAAATAGCCACAAATCCCCAATTCTAGTAGAATAGAAATCCATCGCTCCATTTTCATGAAGGAGGATATCACGTCATACTAGAACGAGCCTTTATAGCTATCTCCAATCACATTTGAGTCGACTACAAGATTGAAAAACATCCTCCTTGGTAGAAAGAATATGCTCAAAGGAAGAGGCAAGACTGGTTGATTTTGGGCATTTGTATCGGTGACTTCGTCGTGGGGTTGTGACGGAGTCTCCTTCTTTTATGCCCGGTACAGTGGGTTAGACAGGGTGGGATGCAGTATTACGAAGGTAATGAAGCAACAAGAAATGCAGAATGTAGTAGATTAGATAGTCTTCAAGTGCATGGTTGTAATATGTACTTACCACTTTAATATTATAACAGTCACTTTCTGCCACCAGGAAAGAGGCAACATCAACAAGACCAGTCCGCGGTGTTGCAACTACCCGATTAGAAGCTCCATATCCCTTGACGGAAGCATTTTGTTCTTCAATATTCTTTTGGCCCTGTTTTTCATCGGGATGCACATCGGGTTTATGACAGTGCCAAAAATCCATCATCTCAGCCCAGTTACCGCTTGGAAGGTCTTTCCACTGCCAGGTATTTAAATCGGGCTTTGAGGAAGTATCGAGTATCATCTGCCTGCAGAGCCTACAATGTAACGAGATGCAGGTGGACAAGTCGTTCGCGGTCCACGGAACATAATCGTCTTCCTGAATATCTTGGTTTCGCAACGCTAGTCCATTCTCGTTCGGATCAACTTGTAATCGAAATGAATATTCGACTATTTGCGCCTTCGACTCGGTTGCTCCTATATCGACGCGATGTCCTGCAAAGCTGAGATTCCTTCTTGAGGCGTCGGTGACTCTGGCAGGTAGTTTCAGCGTTTCTACCAGTTCCACACCTTGATGAAGCGTGAAAACTGTAACTGCACGGCAGGATTCAGACAGCGTTATTGTAGATTCCCTAATATCGATACCGGAGGGTGAGCTTGGGAGAGACACGTGGAGGGTTAGTTGGCGAATGTTCGGTAAGAGCTCAGCATATAAGAATAAGGCAGGTGGTCCCGCCATGATAATCCGTCGATCGCTGCGCTCAGCAATGTGCCATGGTGTGTTATAATGCTGGTTGTCGGACCAGGACGCGTTAGAGCTCCAAATAGATTTTCTGTCGGAAGGAAGCTGTTGTAAGTGCAAACAAAGCAAACAAGGTTAAATCGTATGACGCTATCGTCTCTTATCGTTATCTTATCGCTTATCGGCTGTTGTCCCAACATAATCCTCAATTATTCTTCATCGTCAACTCTGTCGCCAAAAAAAGTGTCATAAGGCTATTAAATACATTAAGACACTCTCTGTCGCTGGTTTATTAGTCTTCAAGAGTCTAGGATCGAGTACTGACACTGCAATTAGGGATTAGAAGCTTAACGTTTGTCTGCCGTTCCCCTACCATGTATTCAACGAACTGACGATGGCCAGACGCACCTAGCTGTATGGGAGATAACCCTAAGAAGCCTCGACATAGACCTCCCTATTAAATAAAAAGAAAGAAGAAAAAGAGATATGGCGTCCTTATTAAGCAAAATATTAGCATTCAGCTCGAGCAACTCGATCCGAGTGCCCACCATCAAATCCCATGATATCGAGAATCCCGTCGAGAAACCCGCAAAAACTCTCTATCATCTTGTGAGGTTGAACCATATCAATCATTCAGTGTGGATTCGTGGGGATACACCAGACAATTCGACTACCTCTCATAATTTTCTGCCTCAAGTACGGCTTCCTTCGCTTCGTCGCAAAGCACAATTGTCTAACCTTTAAATCTGCTCAGCATTTGGTGTCGGCATTTCTTTTCGGAGCTGACAACTATGCTCTTGATAATCTGTACGAAGCCAACTCTGGGCTTCTAGAGCCATGGAAGGATGCTCCCGGCGAGGTCGTCGGTAGCGACTGGATGGATTTTCTGGGGAAGAGGGAGTTCGTATAACCCTACAATACCTTGATTCCCTAGTTAAACTCTGTGATCGACTTGGACTAACTGGATATAGATATGAACGCGCATTCCTGGATCTCTTTGAGGACAGCCTAGTGGAAGAAGGCTATGACTGGAAAGTAGTGCTCCAAAAGTACTTATTCTCCGCTAAACAGCCTTTGATTAGCTCGATTACAGCTGGCCGTAAGTAACGACTTCATCCACCCTGTGCCAAAAATGAGAGTTGACTAAGCCATGGTGATGTAGTGGGACGACCCTTGATACACCTCGCGCTTGCACTGCAAATGTCCATCAAGGACATTGCAATGGAAGCCCTGACACTCGTGGCAACTGCTTATTATGACAACGACATTCTCAAATATTCCGATGATCCATCTTACTTTCAAGCAGAGCCAATATACAAGACTCCTTCTGTTCCCGAGATCCTTGGTAAAGTCCGCACAGATGAAAGATTTACCAATGAAGCCCTGATAACGCCCGGAGAACACAACATGGCAATCATCTTCCGTGACCACGAAGCCGCATTACTAGATCACTGCAATGCATGGATGTTCCCGTCCGATCTAACAACCCATTTCCGTGATAGCCAGAAGGCTATCGTCTCACTCTTTCTGGGGACTTCAAACTCAGAAAACAAATATGACAAATGCCTCTTGTATCCACTACTAATGAGTCATGCGATTCAGGTGCTTTTCCCTCATATTCCTGGGAAAGTACACATCTCACTTGTGCAGCAGTGGTGGCTGACCACGTTGGCAATATATGTGGCCCAGTTACGGCCGGATATCGACTTTGATCTTATTGAGGGGTATGATATGGAAGGCAAGGACTGGAATTGGATTAGGCAACAGGCTTTGAAAGGTCCGCATGCAATGGATGCATATTTTGTGTCGACTTTGCGCGTTTTGAGAGAGCTAGGAGAGGCATGGGAGGACTTGGAAGGTTACTATCTAAAAGCCGCGGTGAAATTTGTGGATGTTTTCGATGGTTGGCAATCTTAAAGATGTACAATGACTTGGTGACTCGGAGACTTGGTAGAGTATAATGATTTATCCTTCAATGGCGGCCGCTAGCTATCATTGATCTATCCAAATAAGTAACCTGAACGCCGTGCTTGATCATGACAACAAATATAGTCGGCTCGCTGTCCGGACAGAAGCGTCTCTTTCGAGTAACCTATCAGTAGAGAGTCGATCATATATATAATCGCAACGTCGACTCAACCTTCTCCCCTACGTCGCTGCTAAAGCACTTCCAACATGATGCCATTCATCCGTAAAAGCATTCACCAACCAAGAAGACAGGCCTAACCAGTTACCTGTTAGTATATCCATCCAAAACACAAAACACAAAGGGCTGAGACTTACGGTCATAAACCATCTTATGTGCATTGTGGAAATATATACTATGATCCGAATCCGGGTATACATGCACATCATAGTTCTCAACACCCCCCATGTCCAATTTATCAATCAGAGACAAGGTATTCTGGAAATGCACGTTATCATCTGCCGTGCCATGCATGATAAGGAATCGAACGTTTTGCTGCAATGCCGTCATATTCGAAATTGCGCTGTGCTCATAGCCAGTAGGGTTATGCTCGGGGGTGTGCATGTATCGCTCGGTATATATAGAGTCATAAAACCGCCAGTCAGTTACCGGACTGACTGCCATGCCGTACTGGAAAGTCTGTCCTGCATCCTGTTCCAATGTTTTGAGGGTCATGAAGCCTCCATAACTCCAGCCCCAGATAGCTATGTGGTCTTTATCCACGTACGGTTTTTTCGCCCATGCTTTGGCGGTTTCGATCTGATCGCGAGCTTCCCAAAAGCCCAGGTTTCCTCTAACTATTGTTCTGGCTATGCGTCCGATATGGCCGGTTCCCCGGCCGTCTACTGTGACCACGATATAGCCCAGTGTTGAAGAGACGTACGACTGGAAGTCTACCATGAATTTCCTGTCCACGCTTTGCGAACCTGGTCCTCCGTAGAGCCAAAATAGAACGGGGTATTTCTTGATTGGGTTGAAATGTGGTGGTCGTCGTTCAACAACTTGTAATGTGATGTTGTCTATGGTAATGTTCTGATATATTTCAGCAGGTAAGGCATATTTCTCAATCATGCTAAATAGGTGTTCGTTCTGCTCGATAACTTCTTCAAAATGTTGTTGGTTGCTCGGTGTATTGACTAACTTCTGCCACGGGATGTGCGGTCCTTCATAGCTCAGCAGTGCATATCCACCACCGATCGAGAAAGAAACATCATAGTAGCCGGCTTTCGAAGTGTCAGTCATCGCTTGGAAGTCTGAGCCATCGAGTTTGACGCTGTAGACGTGTCGCTGAGTTGGCGATTCTTTAGTCGCAACAAGGTATACGATGCCGTTACGAAGGTCAACTGCAGGTTGTGTATCAACGACCTCCCATGGTCCAGACGTGAGAAGAATAGGTTGCGAATTGTTGACAGGTGTGAAGTAGCCCCAATGGTCATAACCGTCGTGGACAACGATATCAAGGTAACCATCGTCCGGTCGACCATTTGCCGGATCAGCGGGAATGAATGTAGTTGACTGAGTCACTTCAGCCCAACCTCCATCGTCTTGCGCAAAATTGTCCACTCTGATAACATCTCCACTCCTTGAACCAACATCAATGAGTACTGTGCGGACAACGTCACTCTCTCGATTGAATTCCTTGACCAGGACTTTTGTTTCCGAAGCCCAAACGACTTCAGTTATGAGACGATCGTCATCAGCAAAACCTCCCGAGACGTTGACAGAAAAGACATCGGTACTTTCGACATCGTAGAACTGAAGCGTCACAACTGGATTGGGAGCCCCAGCTTTTGGGTACTTGATCTTGCGTACATCCGGGTATTTCTCCAGCCCAGGAGAAGGATGTTTTCCTGATAGCCGTGACATGTAATACTCTATAGGAAATTCAGGTACCATGGATTCATTTGTACGCAAGAACGCAACATATTTGCCATCATTAGACCACCAAGTTGCGGTGTCTGAGCCATAAACTTCTTCTTCATAGACCCAATCGGGGATACCATTAAAGACGTCTTTGCCGCCATCTTTTGTGATTTGGGTGACTGTAGTCGAGTCCAATCTTCTCAAATACAAGTTATTGTCTCGAGTAAAAACGACCGCATCGGAGTTTGGAGACCACGAAGCAAGCTGTATGCGGCCCTTGGGTGCGTCGGGATCAAGGGGTTGGGCCGTCTGAGTCTTCACGTCAAAAAGCCAATATGTAGCAGTGAAGGAATACCGCCAGTTGCTCACTGCATCCACAGCAACAAGCACGCTCTTGAAGTTCGGACTCGGCCAAGTCTCCGATGGCTGCAAATATTTACCATTGGCCTCGATAGTACCAGACTCCATAAGAATCAACCCATCATCAGCATCAGTCTCGTTCTGACGACTGAGTATGCTTTCCACTCGGAGGTATCCTTTCTTTCCATCCTCGCCACGTTCAAGCAAAAGCCCGTCCTCGCCATCTGGTCCTGCAACCCAGGATATTGAATGCTTCCTTCTGCCCCATGAACCATTGAGGACGCTGTCCAAAGTCAGCGGTTTCCCATAACTTGTAGCTCCTGTCGCACTTTCGGCGTCGTGAACGGCTGCAACAGAGGAGCTTATATCACTGTTATTATTCCGCCGGCCCCAAAACAGTATAAAGGCTAGTATCCAACCACCCAAACATAATAATCCTATTACCCATATCCATCGACTTCCCCGACTTCTTTTCGATTTATCTCTCGGATGCGATAATATATCGCTTTCTGGCTCGCCTTCCACGCCTTCCTCGATATCGCGATACGGTGTTTCTTCCGGTAATTGCGTCGATTTCTGGAATTGAGTGGCGTTCATGTCATCGCCAAAAAGTGATCCGTCGGTAGACAGTGAATCTGTCGAGCTGAACGAATTCGAGTGTCTGTGTGACTGGTTCGTCAGAGGCTCCGATTCCGCACCTAAACCCTGGTCTGTCCTCGCCATTACCGCGACACAAGCAAAGCGGACACTGGAAGCCGACGTTTGCCCTCTACCTTCACGGCTTTAGTGTAACAATGGAGCTTGTTGAGTGCTCCTGCAGGTCACCGATGGATTGATGACATTGAAAGAATCACAGGAAATAATACTTCACCGAGTATCAGGAGCGCAGAATTATTGCCCGAGTTTCATGCTGGTTTGGAGGTGTTCGTCAGAACTCCTGCCACAGGTTGCCGGAGTTGCCAATGTATCAGACGGTTGAGTCTTGGCATCAACGCAGCTTGCCATATGGCATACGGAAGCTGGATCAGATGAATAGGATCATGAATAGTCTAATCAGGGTAGGATTTTCGAAGCTTATAGTAGTTACTCTGGCACTCCTAGTAGGTCATCGCAAAACAACTCCAAGTTATTATTATGCATTGCTAGCCATTTTACAGCCAGGTGGTACCTGTATAAATAGGGGTTGGTATAACAGACAAGATTCCATCTCTAAAACCTTTTCTCAACATCACGCGCCAGCATTTTATGACAGACAACCAAATCCTTTGTTTCATTTGTGACCCCCGCTCAGGAATTACCTTGAGAGAGCAATATCATCGATTCTCAGAATCATCTTCACCGTTTCCGCCGCGAGTTCAATAGCGCTTGTGCTCACTAACAAAGGTTGCAACACTTTCTCGTCTGTAATATTATCCTTCACACCACCGCTGCGGATACTAACTCCGGCATTATGTTCACCCTGTGCATGTCGGTGGCGGAGCTCTGTTACCACCTTGATTGAGTTGAGACCTGCATTCTCGGCAAGCGTTGTAGGGATAACTTCCATGGCATCTGCGAAGGCTTTCCAGCAGATTGCTTCGGTGCCGGACAGTTCGCGAGCTTTCAGGCTGAGCTGGTTGGCGACTTCGATTTCCGGTGCACCGCCTCCAGCGATGAGAGCCCTTTTCTTAACCAAGCAGCGAATGACACAGAGGGCATCGTGCAAAGATCGCTCTGCCTCGTCCAAAATGAGGTTGTTTGCTCCACGAGCTACAATAGAAACGGTCTGGCTCGTAGCAGCAGACGACTTGATGCCTGTGACCTTGACGTAGCGAGCCCCTGAAGCTTGAACTTCTTCGACTACATCTGCAGTTCCCAACTTGTCCTCAGTGAAAGAGTCGATGTTTGCAATGGGTTTGCATCCTAAGCTTTTGCACAAGAACTCGACTTCGTCGCGCTCAATATCCTTCACAGCAAGAATTTTTAGACGCGAGAGGAAGTGGAGAGATAGATCGTTCACGGCATCCCGGAGGATAGACTTCTGGATCAGGAGAACGTTACATTTCGCCTTTTGAATCTTCTTGACCATATTGAGAAGGTATTGGCGTTCCTCTTTAAGAATCTTATCCATTTGTCGGTAGTCGTTGACAACGATTTGATTTTCCATCTGTCATGCAATTAGATGATGTATTAAGGAGGAATATCATGAAACTCACATCTGGTTTAGGGGGGCTGAGTTGGAACTGAATCAAAGCTATCCGAGCTTTCTCAATTCTTGTAGGACCACCGCCACTCTTGATGACGGGTTGATTCAAGACCAAGCCGTCTACCATCTCACTGTCCTCTATGGTGCCACCAACTTTCTTGACGATACGAATATCACGAAGATCAACATTGTCTGCGATTTTAGGGTCAATGACCTTCAAGACGGAGTCGACAGCCATAGGTCCGAGGAGATTCGAGTATTGTGAAACGATCTTGGACGAGAGGGAGGTCGACGCGGCTTGCAAGAGGGTCGTCCGGTCTGAAAGGGAGATGGGTTGTGACATATCATGAAGAATTTGTACAGCAGCGGCGGCTGCTCGTTGGAAGGACTCGGATATGATGGTGGGATGGATACCTGATAGAATTAGTTTAAATCTCAGAATCATACTGGGCTCGCAATGTGATAACGTACCCTTTGACAAAAGTCGATCAGCGGCGCCTAGTAAACTGCCCGCGATAACGACGACAGAAGTTGTTCCATCGCCAGCTTCGATATCCTGAGCAGCACTGAGGTCGACAAGCATCTTTGCCGCAGGATGCATGACGCTCATACTTTTCAACATGGTGTTTCCGTCGTTGGTCTTGGGAAGTCAGTATACAGTCGGACGAAACGGAGGATGGTTGGTTACACACGATAATTGTATTGCCTTTTCCACTTTGGATCTAGAAAATTGTCAGGATATTTCCATTCATATGATAAACAAATAAACATACCATTTTGTCCATGCCCCTAGGTCCCAAAGACTACATGCTGTTAGAAATCGAAAATATCTGCGGGGTGACGAATGAAATACCGTTCTGATAGCATCGGCAACAGCTGCATTTTGTTAGCAATTGATAGATATGAAATCAAACCGAATAGACGAACCTCGAGCTGCTAGGATGTTCGCAGTGCGCACTGCCATGGGCTTCTCCTTATCCTGATCATGGTGTTAGTAAAACCCCCGCTTCGCCATCACAACATTTCCTGTCCTTACCTTGAAGGCAGAATTGCCAGCGCCGCTAGGGGCGGCCACTGCTGATGCCATATTGTCTGTAAGATTTCAAAAACCGTAAAGTCTCTGAATGTAATAAAATCTGACGGTGTTCGCGGAATCGAAAAGTTGTAGCCCGCTCTTTTCGGAATTTCACAGTTTGGCAGGCGGTGGTGGTTTGGATGCTTGGCAAACGCTAGCGCGGACAGCTAGACCTACGTCGGTCATTCGCAGCTCAAGCTCCATTACCAACACTCATCCATCTCCTTCTATCATCCAAGACAACAACTCAACGACTTCAAATCCTCATACCATATCCTCCTCATCATCGGCACGTCCTTATACTTCCAACTCGATTTTATACTATCATAATATCAACCTTTCTGCCTCGGTTCTAGCTGATCCACATCCATCGCCTTTGCGGCAGCCGTCAAGATGCCCAGTGCTACGGGATCCGACTGGGAGAAGTACAAGAAGAACTTTGCCGATGATGAGATACCAGAGAAGAAGATTACACCACTTACCGATGAGTAAGTTTATCATTGCATACGCTCCGGTTGACTTGGCTGACCGATTCTAGGGACATCCAAGTTCTCAAAACATATGGAGCTGCTCCATACGCGGCCGCCCTGAAAAAGCTCGAGAAGCAGATCAAGGAAAAGCAACAGAGTGTTAACGAGAAAATAGGCGTGAAGGTATTAATTATCAAGTCAATTATACAGACGGCCTATTAATCATCCGACTTAGGAATCCGATACTGGTCTCGCGCCTCCTCACTTATGGGATGTCGCCGCTGATCGACAACGTATGGCCGAAGAGCAGCCTCTACAGGTGGCACGATGCACGAAGATTATCCAAGACGAGAAAGATCCCGAAAAGAGCAAATATGTTATCAACGTTAAACAGATCGCAAAGTTCGTCGTCAACCTCGGCGAGCGGGTTAGTCCTACAGATATTGAAGAAGGCATGAGAGTTGGGTAGGTTTGATCCAATATTGACCTGGGATTTCATTAAACTGACATGCATAGTGTCGATCGCAATAAATACCAGATTCTACTCCCTCTTCCGCCGAAGATCGATCCTAGCGTGACGATGATGCAAGTCGAAGATAAGCCAGATGTGACCTACGGAGATGTCGGAGGTAGCAAGGAACAGATCGAGAAACTACGAGAAGTCGTTGAGATGCCGTTATTGTCACCCGAACGTTTTGTCAACCTTGGTATCGATCCTCCTAAAGGTGCACTTCTATACGGGCCTCCCGGGACGGGTAAAACGCTATGCGCAAGGGCTGTTGCAAACCGTACCGATGCCACCTTTATCCGTGTTATCGGTAGCGAGTTGGTACAGAAGTATGTTGGTGAGGGGGCTCGTATGGTTCGAGAACTCTTCGAGATGGCACGAACCAAGAAAGCCTGCATCATTTTCTTCGATGAAATCGACGCCATTGGTGGTGCCCGTTTCGACGACGGTGCTGGAGGTGATAACGAGGTTCAACGTACCATGTTGGAGCTTATTACACAACTGGATGGTTTTGACTCTCGTGGTAACATCAAAGTCATGTTTGCTACCAATCGTCCATCGACCCTGGATCCTGCTTTGATGCGTCCTGGTCGTATTGACCGAAAGATCGAATTCTCGTTACCAGATATGGAAGGTCGTGCCAATATCCTTCGCATTCATGCTAAGAGTATGTCTGTGGAGCGCGACATCCGATGGGAGCTGATATCTAGGCTTTGCCCTAATGCCACCGGTGCTGAACTACGCAGTGTGGCTACCGAGGCAGGCATGTACGCCATCCGTGCTCGCCGGAAGGTCGCAACCGAGAAGGATTTCTTAGCTGCCGTGGACAAGGTTATCAAAGGCAACCTCAAGTTCAACTCTACTGCGACATATATGCAATACAATTAGGATGCGCTTTGGATCGTTGTGTTGTTTCTTCTGGTCGCTCGGTTAGACGGCGCTCCTTGGGCAGAATATATGTAATGTATGAACATTATTCCATAGCATGCATGACTTTTCCAACAGATACGTGCTTCAAGAGATAGCAATTTTGTATACTCGTACATTAATCAGTTTTAATAAATCGTAGTATACAGACTCGGTAGCTTTGTACTGTTAGTGTAGGATCTCGGCTGGCATATAGCCGCTGGCCAATCTTCCTACATTTTCCGGCTGGGAGATGCAGCACGTGATGACATCGGTCTCAGCCAATCATATCCTCGGCTATGGGACCTTGATTACCACTACAGCGATACTGATTGGCTGCAGCAGGTTTCGGCAACGCATGGATGCTTACGTAATTAGCTTCTCGGCCTGCCGCTGTTTCCCTCAACCGACAGCCATTACCGGCAGAGACGACACTCCAGGAAGAACCTCACTCTCGAGTCTCTTGCAGTCCTGGCACACTCTCCTCTCTGCGTTGCGATCCTCCCCTTCTCTTTTCTTTTCTTCGAGTGAATTGACTTTATAACGGGCGTGCTTCTGCCTGTATACGGATCATCATGAGCTCGTTGAGCTTGCGGAGCTTGGCTCCTGCGTCAAAGGTCAGTCAACGTCAAGATACCTTGATCCGATCACTGCCCCTCGTGACTGTCATCAGGCTAACTGGGTTGGCAACCAGATCTCAAGAGCCCTTAGAGATCAACGACGAAATTTCTCCTCGACGAGGCCTGCCGGTATGTTGATATGGATTCTCGTCAATGATTGCGCTGCTAATTGTCGAATCGCATAGCTCGCATTTTCGGCTCTCAGCCTCTTCGTGCAAAGGAAGCCACCGGCCCTATCGCCCAGAAATACCCAATTATTGTAAGCAATACACAACACTACTATATAATTTTATTAATACTTACTTGAAATAAGGATCACGAATACGATGCCGTCGTCGTCGGTGCCGGTGGTGCTGGTCTGCGAGCCGCCTTCGGTCTTGCGGAAGCTGGCTTTAACACTGCCTGTGTCTCGAAATTGTTTCCCACTCGAAGCCACACTGTTGCTGCCCAAGGTGGTATCAATGCAGCTCTTGGAAAGTATGTGTTCCTGTTCGGTAGTACAAAATATCAATTGAGTAAAGTTCTAAACTGCTTATAGCATGCACAAGGACGACTGGAGATGGCACATGTACGACACTGTGAAGGGATCGGATTGGTTGGGTGACCAGGACGCCATTCACTACATGACAAGAGAAGCCCCAGCTAGTGTTCGTGAGTTGGAGGGTTACGGATGCCCCTTCTCCCGTACCGAAGACGGACGTATCTACCAACGTGCTTTCGGTGGACAGTCTCAAGACTACGGCAAGGGTGGCCAGGCCTACCGATGCTGCGCTGCTGCTGATCGTACCGGCCACGCTCTTTTACACACTTTGTACGGCCAGTCCCTACGACACAACACAAACTATTTCATTGAATATTTCGCATTAGACCTTTTGATGGAGGATGGTGAGTGCCGAGGTATCATCGCCTATAACCAAGAGGATGGAACCCTCCACCGATTCAAGGCCCACCACACTGTGCTCGCAACTGGTGGTTATGGACGTGCTTACTTCAGCTGTACATCTGCCCACACCTGTACCGGTGACGGTATGGCTATGGTTGCCCGTGCTGGTCTCCCTAACCAGGATCTTGAGTTCGTTCAGTTCCATCCCACTGGTATCTATGGTGCCGGCTGCTTGATCACTGAAGGTTCTCGTGGTGAGGGTGGTATCTTGCTCAACTCCGAGGGTGAGCGATTCATGGAACGTTATGCACCCACTGCCAAGGATCTTGCCTCCCGTGACGTCGTTTCCCGATCCATGACATTGGAGATCCGCGAGGGTCGTGGTGTTGGCCCTGAGAAGGACCACATCTATCTCCAGCTCAGTCACTTGCCCGCTGAGTTGTTGCACGAACGTCTCCCCGGTATCTCTGAGACCGCCTCCATCTTCGCTGGTGTTGACGTCACCAAGGAGCCCATCCCTGTCCTTCCCACCGTCCACTACAACATGGGCGGCATTCCCACTCGCTACACTGGTGAGGTTATTACTTTGGATGAGAACGGAAACGACAAGACTGTTCCTGGATTGTACGCTTGTGGTGAGGCTGCTTGTGTCTCTGTCCACGGTGCCAACCGTCTCGGTGCCAACTCACTCCTCGATTTGATTGTTTTCGGTCGTGCTGTTTCCCACCGTGTCCGTGATATTTCTTCTCCCGGAAAGCCTCACCGCGAACTTAGCTCCGATGCTGGTGCTCAGGCTATCAAGGACCTTGACTTTGTCCGCACAGCAGATGGCCCTAAGTCTACCTATGAAATTCGTAACGCTATGCAGAGGACTATGCAAACTGATGTCAGTGTCTTCCGTACTCAGGAGAGTTTGGACGAGGGTGTTGCCAAGATCGTTGAAGTCGATGCTATGTTCGACCAGGTTGGTACCAAGGATCGTAGCATGATCTGGAACTCTGATTTGGTTGAGACTCTGGAACTCCGTAACTTGTTGACTTGCGCGTAAGTATCCAATCAGCAGCTTTATCATACAAATATATGGCTAACTAGATATAGCACTCAAACTGCTCACGCTGCTGCTAACCGCAAGGAATCTCGCGGTGCCCATGCCCGTGAAGATTACCCCGACCGTGACGACGAGAACTGGATGAAACACACTCTTACTTATCAGAAGAACCCCCACGGCAAGGTCGACCTCACCTACCGTGCTGTTCAGGACCACACTTTGGATGAGAAGGAGTGCAAGCCCGTGCCACCTTTCAAGCGTGTATACTAAAAATTTTGATAATTTGTTCTCAATATGTATGTTCCCTGTTTCAAGAACCACACGATATATTCGAAAGCAATCATTCTTAGACTCTGATCTCGGGTTGAGAATGGGTGACTTAGAGATATAACTACAATCTACAATTCTGGGGAAAGCGTCGGCGTGTATAGATTGTGCAGCATATGGTCCCTGCGCTAGGTAGTTTGTTTTATTTTGCAGTTCAATGACACCAATAATACCACATTGAGCTCTCCTACTAATTCTATCGGTACGTTATTGAAGGATATTCTCCGTTGCCCCTGTTTGTTTTGATATTGCCCGTTTCTACGGGGCAAAAACTACTTCATGATATCCTTTGTCACCTCCACACAAACACAACACAATATCAATGACCTTTTATTTCAATTCAATTACATGATTGATAGTCACTGCTTCCCTTATGTAAGACAAGGTTACATCTCAAAGACCGCATATTTTAGCCTCGACTGACTATACATACCAGTTCTAGCGTGGTACATGATCCCCGCTTGCTTCCAGCGCAGCCTGGTCACTGAGGGACATAATCGGAGGATTCTTCTTCTTCCGCACACTTCCCGATTCTTTGACAAGCAGGTAGCGAGAAGCTTAGAAATTTCGCCCCTTCTTTCGTATTACTCAACTCTAGGCTTGACGAGGGGTGTCTTTCATTTACTGGCTGTAGTATCGGGTTGAACCGATCAACAAAAGAAAAAAGGAAAATCTCTGGCAATTGGCTTTGCCTTTTCGTCTCCTCGTCCGAATTCTGAGTTGATTTGTTTTTTATTTCTCTTCCTCTCTGAACACATTGTTAGCGAGAACGAAGACAAGCCCATCAATTATGGATGAATCGTCCGTGTTTGCGCGCCAGGCCAACAGCTGTATTGGGCCATACCAATTCTATCAATGCAGCAAAGGACCATTTGTGGGTTGTTGCTCTATCAATCCTTGCGATGATGGGATTTGTCCTGCGGAGAATCGGCCAGGTGGTGATTCTACTCAGACTACTCAGCCAACAACAATGACCACAATGTCAATCACGTCGACAACTGCTGGCGACGACCACACGGCTAGCGTGACAAGCATGCAACAGGTCACGTCTACTCTTGTGACTTCTGCTGGATATTCGGTGGTTACTGAGACGGTGGGCGCACCGACAAGGACTGTGGATAACATTGCTACTGCTTCGTCAACCGCGGTCGATCCTACAGCGACGTCATCTAGCCATAAGACAGCAACTATTGGAGGAGCTGTAGGTGGTATCGTGGGAGTGATCATTGTTCTCCTGTGCGTCTACATATGGTACCGAAGGAGGAAGACAGCGGCATCCTTAGAAAGTCAAGAGAAGAATGGGCGACAGAGAGGTCAGACAGACAGTGATTATACTATGTCGAGTAGCTGGACAGGTCCTTTTGGGAGCTATAACGATAGTAAGTGATGCCATTGCCAGACTTGAGGGGAGTATACTAATTGCCCCGTTAATCACAGAAGAAGCTACACCTTTCAGACACGTCGACAGAACCCGATCCTCAATCGTCAGCGAATTGGATTCCAGTCCCGTCAGTCCTCTAACCAGAAGCCCTCGCAACATGACCTCCTCCGAGACAATTTTTGAGCTTGACAGCGGCGCCAACAACGATAAACACAGCACTATCGTATCGACCCCTTCCACACCGAATTTCCCAAGTATTTCGAGCCGTTATACTGGGAGCGACGGGTGGCAACCCAATAGTCATCTTCAGCCCTGGAATGGGACTGTATCGGAGCAAGATATTATTAGTCATGTCTCCTCCACTTCCACGGGAGGAGTCAGGATTGCGAGTGCGGGACATTCGTCTACGAAGTCCGATACATATTTGGGATGGCATCAATGACGACTCGCTCTCCATTCTCTACGGAAGCCTGATTGTCAATGCTTTGCAATTTTTCTTTTCGTTCAGTTTCGGTGGAATATTCAGCACCACGCTATTCCTTTTTGTCCGGATGGATGAGTATCGTCCCGATTTTGCTTTACAGACGGTTTTGAGAATACTAATACATAATGTCTTTTTCTCTTGCAGATTGGATTGTATAGTTTTCTGTCCAAGTTGTCTTTACAGAAACTTTCATGTTCGATTTATTACACTCATTGATTTGATAGATACCCTTATTCTCATTACGAACTTCCCCCTGGTTTGTTAGAGCCCGACAGGCGGCTTGCTTGATATGCCACTTTGACAAAGTTTTCCGCCTTGGATTGTGATTATACTTATTCTGGAGTTAGATAGGATTAATGAAATCTGATTACTGGTATGATTGTACTGGAGCGGAGCATCTCATGCATATATCAAAGTAGGAAAGACGCCCTATCTCCTGAAAATAAAGCCCTATTATGTCTGGAAAGAGTCCGGGTCGCGACTATGTGGTCTCGGCCTTCTAGAGCTGAGATGGACATAGTCAACAGCAGTAAGTAAGTGATCTAAGTGATCTCATTATCCTGCTTAGATGTAGGCTGACCTTTTATGGAACAGTGAAGAGCGTGGATGGAATGGACCCTAATACGTGGCAGACCATATTTATAGCATTGAATTTATGGAGTGTTCCTAACTCATTAATAAATATACAAAGTGGATGGTCAAAAGTATTCGATTTAATGTCTTTATTACCTCTAAAATATGGTAAGCTAAAGATCCCTAAATAAAAATAAGCTTGAGATATCATAGATAGCTGTTTACAGAGAAGCTTTGGTTTCAAGCTAGCACACGGATTGATATTGAGGGTATTCAAAGTTACGCTCGGTTCCATTCTCACGCTCCCCTTATCCTTCCAGAGATACGACCTTTAGGTGATACCTACCAGACAATCTATCTGATAACCAAATTCAACCTCATACTAGACGTCTCATCCTATCATCTCACCTTGGTAGATCCTCATCTTCAAATGTTGAAATATTCTCCTCATATTTCCTAATCGGGTAAGTTGCTATCCTTCACTCTTTTCTACCCTCTGTAACTTAGGTGAAAGATTCTTTCCTTTCTTTCTTTTTTCCTCACAGGCTCATTCTTCTCTCAACTTCTTCCTGCTTCATCTTTCCTTCTTTCTTCTTTCCCACTCACTCCTCCTCCATCCTCACCCCTTCTTTCTTACAACCTTACAACTCATATCTCAAGTTTACTTCAGACGTCTGTCTACAGATTTCAACTTCATATCCTCGAGTTTATTCTCAATTTGTCCTCTGACACGGTATTAGGCTAACTGCTGAGATCTACAGTTCTTCAACATCTTAGACCTCATTTTTGACTCAATATTAATCCCAACATTCCGTTTCACTTCAATATACCTCCGACAACCAGAGTCCATCATCAACTTGAAACAAGGTGAGCATTTTCTCTTCTACCTTTAGACTACACATGAGTCTTTCATCCGTCATTGATTTCTCGCTCTTTCTATCTATCCATAATATTCATTCTCTCATGGAGTGATTACTGAATTTGCTTCCATTCTAGAAATCCTATGGCTACAAAACTTTTCACCTTGAGCCCTGGTAAGAGAACTATTCCCAAGCCTATTCTATGTTCACATCAACTAACCGCGAGGTCTTCAGAGCCAGAAGTGGCGATACAATCTCCGCAACCATCTGCAATGGCGGGACCTATGGACCAGATCAAATCGCAAAGCTATTAGTATGGTCAATACCGGGGATGAAGGCTCTTCCGACCGGGATTATGAAGACCCCTTCGAAGAAAATGACCCTTCTCCAAAGCGTAGGAGAGGTAGCAACGGATCCCCGTACGGGAGAATCAGAAAGCTATTACAAGAAATGGGTCAAAGACTTGGGTGATGAAAAGAAGGCCCTAGCCAGAAAGGTCAGCTAACCGAAAAAGTCTTTAAAGGACGTCACAGGAGAGTCGGTCCTTAATGCAAGGAGAGGGCCAAAGGATGTATGGGACCAGTCAAAAATTGAGACAGAGTTCAAAAATTTGAAGAGGGACATCAAAGCCTGGGAAGAGGTCCAGTAATTCATATCGTATATACGAGTTAGGAATTACGCAGCTTACAAAGGAGTTTCTCCGCTATGACAAGGTCATCAAACATCTACTTAAGGACCGCTTGATTGAGACAGAAAGTCGTAACAGACTGGAGAAATTAAAAAAAATTTTACCGCAAATTCAGAGAGTTGGCCTTTCATATGTGGTGTCAACCTTCCACTATTAGTTGCTCTTACGGACCAGCCCTATTCGAACCAAAGGACATGGGACTCGATTCAGCGGCCATGCAAGGGCACCAAGATACAGAGACTGAACGGTTGAAAAGAGACAAGGTGTTGATCAGTCTAAGTCTCATGATTTCGGGGGAGATTATTGATCCACATGACGGCAAAGAGCACAATTAAGTTACCTACCTGCTTCAGAAGGTATGGACAGCTAACTGCCAGACATTTAGGGAGTGGAAGGCGTCCCAGATTGAGTCGCCTCCCAGTGAGAAATCAGAACCTGAAACTGGGCCTGATGGTACACAACGGTAGTTCAGAAGTGACACAGTCGAATGCTGCAGTGGACGATCAGAGCGTCAGTACACCTCAAGCTGAGGAGCCCAAGAACACCAATGACACCACATTGAGCCCTCCGGATTTCGATACTGACACTGGCTCCGTTTGATGCCACCTCCGATGCTCAATCAATCATCCAACCCCCGATGGTGAAGAGCCAAAGCCTTAAGACACAAAAGAGGAAATCAAGGCCAGCGGCGTGGAGAAAATGGAGGAAGATGACTCAAATGATCACAGTCTAAAGTCCTCCCTCAGTAGAGTACCAAATTTTGCTTACGAATTACGACTTACGATTTCATATTCAATTTATTCCCTACTACATGCTACCAGGTTGCCAGATACAAGACAGGTTTAGTTAGTTAATTCCAATATCATTAATATTTTGACAAGTCTTCTATTCTCGCTGCATTCGAGAGACATAATGGGTTGGGCTAAGTATAGCTAGGTAAATAGGAATTGAGTGCTCCAGCTGATGAGAAATTATACACCTACAATTGATCTATATTATACAGAAGCCTGTAACTTGTTTAGATGTATCATAACAACCGGAAGACTTCATAGTAGGTGGAATTAGTCATATCACGTAGTACATTCTAAATACTCATTTAAGCCCAACACGTCAAGAGCCTAGAATACCTGAAATCTTCAGAACCATATCCAGAATAGAAAGATGCTCATCCGAGCCATCGAGTAACCTTTTATCCATCTCTGAAAACACCATGACGATCTTGTTCTTCTGGGTATCGGGGATAGCGTCGTTGAAAACAGTGCGTCGGTATAACTAAGATCGATCAGCAAGCGTACACGTCACATATGTATATGCGAGATGGTATACCTGAGTCAATATTTGTGTAGCACTCCAACCATCAGCAACAATATCCGAGACCACAGATGCAACAGCCTCGTACGCCGAACCCATCTTCTTCGGCTGCATTGCCTGCGTCAATTTATCGAGTACACTCTCCGGCACAACACCCGCAATCTCTTCAACCGTCTGCACTGTAATCAACGAACTACCCGCATCCGTCATTTCTGTATCTTCTTGATCCTTTTTCCCTTTTTGTGTTGATGTAGCGCCGACAAGCCTCGCTGCACTTTGAAGGTATGTAATCGCTCGCCGTAAATCGCCCTCACTACATCTAATCAACGTATCAACCACACCATCATCAAGCGTCAGTCCTTCCGCTTGTGCAATCTCATTTATCCGATCACCTGCCGAAACGCCATCAAGCGCCTTGAAGCGAAATTTACTACATCGACTCGCCAATGGCTCAATGATTCGGGTGACGTAGTTACACACAAGACAAAACCGCGTAATACGACTGTATTGTTCCATTGTCCGTCTCAGCGCAGATTGGGCGTCCTGAGTCATACTATCCGCTTCATCGAGAATAATGATTTTGAATGGTGGGCAGGGATATTTTGCTTTGTAGGCTGCATCTAGACCACTGGGGTGCGATAGTTGGGTTCGTGCAAAGTCTTTGATCTTTTCACGGACAATATTGATACCTCGTTCGTCGGAGGCGTTGAGTTCGAGGATACGGGTGCGGTAGAGGGCTGGGCCGAAGAGGGATTTGGAGAGGGCGAGGATGGTGGATGTTTTGCCTGTTCCGGGGGGGCCGTAGAAGAGCATGTGTGGGAGCTACATATGTTAGTAAGTTGGTTCCGACTGGTGGGATAGCAATGTGTACATTTGACGCTTGTAATGTTCGTTGGAGAACGGCTGTTGTGTGATCTTGTGCTGCGACATCATCTAGCGATTTGGGACGGCTATAGAACCATTAGCTTCAGACTCTCTCTGTAAGTAATACAGTCATGAGAGGAGCGTACTATTTCTCAACCCAAGGCTGTAAACGCGCCTGTTCTTCCGCATTCTCCGAGGTCTTTTGCTTAGAGCTCCCTGAAGCCGCCGCTGCTGCGGCGGCGGCAGCTCTGGCTTTGTTATTAAAGAAGTTTGACGCCATTGATTGATCTGTAGGTCTTCAATTTCCGTCCGCCTCACAGTTAGGGTTTGTCAGGCTCGATTAGAGGACACTGGTGATCTGTGTAGACAAGCTGTCGTCGTATTAAGCTCAGACAAATAAATGGCGGCAAAGAGAGACGCGTCAAAGTCAAAAGTCGCGCTCCGATGATTTTCCCCGATAAGGCTTAGGGTGGGCTCTTATCGATAAAGTGATAAGGCTAGGCTATAAATTCATCGTTTGACAGGCTCGATTCCATCCTTCTCTCCATCCACTGCTGATTCATCACATTATCTGTTGGAAACAATAAGAACTTCGGAACACTCAAAACCACTCATCAAGCACTTTCCAGAGAGTCCCATTAAGAAGATCTCCTTTTTAGCGAAATGGTATAAAATTTGTTCCAACATCGTGTCTACTATCACGTGTTACTCCCTATCCACCTGCCTAAAGTAAGTCATCAGCATGGCTTCAAATCTATCGGCATCGCTACAAAGGATCTTGAGCTTTTCAAGAACCACCTCTCTGGATCCGTGACTGTGACAGGAAGCCATTGATTTTCTCGGTTTACTTTGGAATTTTACGAACTAGAAGAGATCGAAGAAATCCAGCAATCGATCTGGATATATTGATATGGGGCCTGAGAGGCCTTCTGTTCATCATAGCCAGTACGCGTCGAGTCAAGATATTTGAGCCCTAAGACACTGTAGCAGAAACTCCTTTCCATTACATACTCTCTCACCCCCACACGCTCTTTCTAAAATGTTCTGTCCAAATGGTATTGCTATGATCGCCTCGGCTTCTCTCTTCTTTTCTCTCCCAGGATACGAGGACTTGAGGAAATATACCTTGAAGTATCAAAATAGACGCTCAATTGGCCATACGCTATGCATTTCGAAAATATCCACACATTATTATATCATATAATCATTGGTTTATAATTCATCACGTCGTTCCACGGGTTCTTCCCACATTCTCTTCTTCGTATTTCGTGGACCGTCATATTCCTCCGCTGTTTCGTGTTGTTGATCTCCTTTGACCATGTGATTAATCTTATCAAGTACACTATTCTCATTTTCCGTCTCCGCAGATACCTGTTCGTAGGTCTTCATAACTGGAGCATCTGCTCCATCCATCACTATACTCGCTGTTTCAGTTTCCCCAGGTAGAGATGTGACCTGTGTAGCGCTGATAACGGCCGAGGTCGTGGTAGCAATGGATTCCGAGATAGTCGCCAGCCCGATAACAGATGCAACAACATTATATATCATCTTCACTGGCATCCAGGCAAGCCACCACATGGGTCCATAAAGTATCCTTCTGAAAACGAGCCATGCGATAGTGCCAATGAGTAAGTAGAAGGATGTCTCGAGATACCATGTATCGGATTTCTGGGACCGGAGGAGAGAGCTGACGAGAGTTCTGGTGGATGATAAGACGGTGTCAAGGTTGGTGTAGGATTCGGAGAGGGAGGAAAGTGCGGCTGTTGATTGCTCTATTTCACATATACATGTTAGAAACATATTTCTAAGCGATGATAGGGGAGCGTACCTAGTGTCTCTTGCGCAAACTGACTACGTGAAAGCTCCGTCCGCATAAGCTCGTGTGTCCTCCTAAGGGCGGCCGTAACATCATTCGATGCATTCACCACAATATCATTCTGGGTAAACTTGTTGGATCCTTTGATTGTTGATTCGGCTCTTTCACTGGGTCGCGCAAATAGCATCTCTCGCTCTTTTCTGCGAGCAGCTTCTGCGTTACGGTTTGCCTGGAGTTGCGCGGTTCGGAATTCGGTTCTTGTCCTGTCCGCCAATATTAGCAATCCCCATCGCAAGTGAGTAGTATAGTATAGCGCACCGTTTCAAATCACTCATCAACCTCTCCGCGATCCCAATAACCATTTTTCTCTCCGCATCCTTCTCTCCATTATTATCACCCGTCTTCCGTTTACTTTGTGCACCCGTCGTAACTTCCAACCCTTCAACCTCAACATTCAAAATCTCCATTTCCTCTTCGACATTTTTCAGTCTTGAGTGGATTTCGGCACCGAGTTCGAGGCGCGCTTCGTCGCCTTGGCCAATGGCTTGGGTGAAGTTTCGGAGACGATCGATGAGTGGTTTTGTTTCGTATAGGGCATTGGAGGTCTCTTTGAGACGGGCTTGGAGGGTGTGGATGGTTGACATTATGTCTTAGATGTATTTGGAATTGTGTGGCGCATGAATGTGTTATAAGTCGTAGAACTCTTTGGAATAACAATCCAGGAAAATTTGAAATAAATGGCGTTGAAGAAGTGCAGAAGTTCACAAATATATGATATAGATGTATCAAGCTGCCACCCGGCGTCATCACACACGGGTAAGCGGTACCTGAAGAACATGTTTGCACTGGATGCAAACATACATGGAAAGTTTCCCTCCGCATCCCGAAATCATTCCACTGAGATTGTCAATAGCATCAGACAATTTCACGATCAAACGATACTGAATATAGATCCCTTAGTGTATTCGCTACATCGACAAGAACTTTGCTCAACGGTCTTGAAAGCCTGGTCTGTCCACACCGCGCGGATCATACCATCATTTTCCGGACCCGAGCTTCAGGCAACCAGATCATTCGTTAAATCGTACGTGAGGAGCCATTAGCACCCTTCTCCTGTCAATCAAGGAATCAAACTAACAAGGGAAAAAAAACCGATCTACAGTATTTGAACCGAGTCGACTACACTCAATAATCACAGTCAACACAATGTCCATACCAGTCTCAACAATAACCTCCTTTCGAACCGCCTTCTCCCCCTTCTCCCCCCTCGGACGACCATGCAGAATCCTACTGAACCTCCTTCAAAACCCTTCTACTGCACCAGCCAGCAGTCCCACACACATCGATATCAAAGTGTCACATTTACCGCGAAACTCGCAACAACTTCCAGAGATTACGATTGGGTTTAAAGGTGGGAAAGAGATTAAACTTGAGGTTGGGAAACGGAAGATGAAGATCGGGGATGTATTGGATGAGATTGCTAGAGTTGGGCGGGTGGTTGAGAGGGAGCAGAGTTTGAAGGGCTGATTTGTGCATGTTTTTTGGAGGAGTGTATTATTATGTTCGTGTATATCAATTGATTTTTACAACTCTTACGTGAGTGCTCTTCAAATCCGGGATTTTTTTTTTCATGTTTTGAAAGGGAATACTCTCGTATTACGGTCTTTTGGATTCGTTTTACTGTCCATAGCTATGACAGAACAACGTATACAAAAAACTTCGCTGGACTTGTATGATTTGAATTTTGATATCAGATAAGCTCAACTGCCTGGCTGCAGGAAGCCAGAAGCTTATCGATCAAGTATGCCATCACGAGGGGTATAGGACGGATTTTAGGTCCCACATCAGTTGGCTTGTACTTCATGTACAAGCCTGTGAGATAGACGGCTTAAACAGCAGCACCGGAGATGAAAAACCACTTGTCGACACTGCCGTCGATAGGAGCAGGAGGAAGGTTCTCGCCAGCAGGGATCTTGGAGAGAGCGCTCTGGTCGACCAAGTCTTTGGAGTTGGAGTTGGTAAGGTTGGCACTATTGCCAAATTAGCATACGGTCACATGGAACTCCCAGTAGTTGACTTACAGGTTGATATCTCCAGCAGGAGTGGCACCGGTGATGAGTCTCTCCCAGGCGTCAGCGCACTCGCGAATGACCTCAAGAGCATACCTATTGTTGATCAGTATTTTGGTCACCTTCCAACCAATTTATATGAATGCTCACTTCTTGTTCTTGCACTCGCCGGAGAAGGCAAACTGGTTCTCGGGCTTTCCATCAGGGATCTTGTAGATACGGAACCATTCATTGGTCGCGCGGAGAAGACCAGGGAGGTGGCGTTCGACATCCTCAATGTCGTTTAGCTTAGGGGCAAGAGGGTCGTTCACGTCAATGACAATGATCTTCCAGTCGGTCTCTTCTTCGTCCAAGAGGGCCATGACACCGAGGACCTTAACCTGCTTGATCTGACCGGTGTAACCAACAAGTTCACCGATTTCGCAGACGTCCAATGGGTCGTTGTCACCCTTGGCTTTGGTCTCGGGGTGGACGACGTTGGGGTCTTCCCAGGTCTGTAGTACGTCAGTCTCGATATTGATATCATAAATGGCTTGCTTTTGTTGGACTCACGCGTGGGAAGGCACCGTAGTTCCAAAGGTAGCCCTTGTGGGGGAAGCAGTTGCGAACGAAACGCAGCTTGCCCTTCTTAACATCCTGTTTGATTGGGTTGAGAAACTCTTCCTTGGAGATCTAGATTGAAACTTGTCAGCGAAATTGACATACATTGACCTCCCCAGCATGTAGAAGCTTGCCTCTTGCTTGGCGTTTGTCCAGCGAGGAATCTCGACAATCATGTTCAAAATGTTCTGCTGCTCATTGGCATACAGGGGAATATCGTGGAAAGGAGACACAGGCACACCATCCTTCTCGATGTACACACGGTGCTCGAGAGTGTGGGCGGCGCCGACTTTGCGAATGGAATACGACATGGCGGGGTCAATAGAATTAGTGGAAGTTGTAAAATGTCTTGTTAGCTGGGCTGCACGATTGACGGCCGCAGGCTGGGATCTGAAATTTGACCTCGCCGTGTTGGGATGTAAAGGAGACGAGGAATTGGTAGTTAAGCGAGAAGAAGAAGAAGAAGAAGAAGAAGTTGTTTGTATTGACGAAGACAAAGGTGGGATGGTTGTGGAGAGAGAAGAGGGAGCAAGAGCGGTGGGGACACTCATCGCCGCCAATTGGGTCCGCCGCAGACGCAATACCGCCCTCGCAAACGTGTTCATCGAGGGACAATGCAAAAAGATAAATTAGAGTGAAAGGCTGATCGGCCGGATGGAACTGCCCCTATGTATATCCACTGATGCACTTGCTGACTGCGTGCCGGAACGTTTTCGGGATTTGTCGATTGCTAGGCCGAGGTGTTGTGAAGATTCGGCTTGGGGCTTGTAATACGCTCAGTCAATCGGAAACAGAACGCTCAAATAGATGCTAGTGATGACGGGGACCTTGTCGATTAGTATGAATACAGGTGATGGCTCTATATAACGTCGATCAAAGCGAGTCGTGGTGATGTGCATTAACAATTTACAGGGGAGAATATTTTTCGGTCTTCTTCCGCTATCCCTTAACTCCCTTCTAAGGCCTGAGGCCTCAGGCCTCAACTTTGAGCCCTAACTTGCTCCACATTAGCATCTCAGACTGCTCAGTACCACATACTTCTGGCATGATTTATATACAGATTTCAATGTTTTTTACTGATAACATCATAACTTGACTAAGAAGGGCGTAAGAGTCCTCGTGTGTTTACTGGGACTTACTACCCATGTTGATCTCCGAGTACTTGGGTATCAGAGTCCCTCTCGATGGGTAACTAGAGCTTCCTATTAGGTACTGTACGACCTGCCATAGAATAGACAGAATGGTTTCTATCTGTGTCGAAGGCCTGTGTCGATGATACGTAGTTTCTCATCATTTAATGATGACAAATTGAGGGAAATGCTAGCAAAGTATAATCCAACCAACACTTCAACCCTGTTGTGATTGGTTATGAGGAGGCTGAAAATAACCTAGAAACTAGATCCAATCCTCCACCACTACTACCAACTCTACCTAGTGCACGTACATGATACCTCAGTTAATTAAAAGGGCTACCCTTAGCGTGTGTTGTTTTCGTGCCTCTCAGGCTCTGACTTCCCAACCCCAGTGTTGGTTCGCCCCCGGTTAATGAAACCATTCGAAGAATGCGTTTGCTTCCTCTTCCTGTCCCACCTCGCCGTGCCAGTCTGCGTGCGCTGAACTCACAAACCCTATACCATGGACGTTGAAATATAAACGCAAAGCTATTTACTGCAACGGACATCATGGCCTTAATCTTTCGGCAGCGTGAGTGACGGACCGAGTCGGAATATACAGTCATTTTAACTCTTTTCAAGTAGAATTAGGTTCGCGAGACTCACCTTCCAACTGCCCGTCCAATACATATACGACGCAGAATGGCTTTCAATTCGATACATATTGCGGCGCTGATCTGCTCGCCGATGAAGTCGGGAACTCGATAGAGTCAAGTGTATCTGCTTGCATGGAACAGTGTTCCTGGTACCAACCCGCTTGCTACGGTGTTACATACTACACCCAAAATCAAACATGCTCATTCAAAGGCGTGGGCGTGACTTCGAGCATGTTGAGCACGACAGGAAGCGATAACGTCAACGTCAACAGCGCCATCGCAAACGCGACACAGATGACGCCGTACAACACCGCTTGTCCGTACCAAAACAATTCGATTATTGAATCGGAAGAGGGTTTGCCTTTCCATATTATCTGTGGCTGGGACCTGGCGGGTTACGGCGACTACTTCCCCTGGGGACTTGACTATCGGCCACATACGGAAACGATGGAGGAATGCATGGAGCTCTGTGCTCATGCGCACCCGCTATGTCTCGGGGTAGGGTGGAACTCAGATCTCACTGCTGGCTATGGAAATTGCTATCTGAAAAACTCGCAGGTTGGGAATCTCGTGGCTGACAGTTACCATACCCATGTCGCATTGGTGAATCTGCCATCAATCGACGCGTGTTCATCAATCACTGTACCGCAACAAATCCTAAGCAACGACAAAACATTCAACGTGACTTGCTTCGAAGGTCGGAGCGGGAGTAGCAATATCACCTCGGTCTATAGCGCGAATATCACCGGATGTATCGACGAATGCGCAACTTATAACGGACCGGAGTCGTGTCTCGGTGTCTTTTACGACAATTCATTTGCCGATGGGTTTGATAACTGCTATTTGTTAAATGCAACAGGTTCAGCGAACGCACCGTTCAATTCTACCTATGCAGAGCTTGTCTCGGACAATAGCAATCCAACCTCTACCTCTACTTCATCTGCGTCATCAAACAGCACTGATGGCTCCTCCTCATCCAGCAAAGCGTGGATCGCGGGGCCTGTTGTGGGCGTTGTAGCGGCTGTGGCGTTCGTTGCATTGGGAGTTTTTTGGTGGAGAAAAAGAAGGTCTGGACAGCAACAAGATGTGAAATTCGCACCTCTAGCACGAAACAGCCCGCCGCCAGACAAGTCTGTGGTCCTAGCCGAGTTGCCTCAGCAGCACAACGTGTCGGAGATGGAGGAGTCTGTCACGAGACACGAAATGGAAAGCTGACAGACCATTTCCGACTGAAATTCCATGTATATATCACATCTTTATATCCGTTGGCCTAGTAGCACATAGTAATGACTCAGACAGGGACTTTCTTGTATAGCTATCGAGTAGTCTTGGGATGATTCAAAGCAAATAATTGGGCAGATAACGGTTATCTTCACGTGACCTCAGATTTTGCAAGCCGTGACTAACCATGCCGCTTTTACCCTCACTCCAAGTCTCAATAAACGACAAGCAGGCTACACCACGGAATCGTCCCACAAAACATCACCGTATAATGATATGCTTAACATTTTTCGCCGAATGATGTCTTCGATCCCTCGTGTACCGATCCCCGCGAACGGGGTTGATTATCGCGGAAAGATCGTCCTCGCACCCATGGTGCGATCGGGTGAACTCCCCTCTCGACTTATTGCATTAAAGTATGGAGCTGATCTTGTATGGGGCCCTGAGACGATTGATAGAGCTATAATGGGTGCTGTTCGGCGCGTCAATCCACGAAATAACACCATAGAATTCACACGTATACCTTCCAACAGTAGCAAAAGTGCCGATCAACTGCCCAAGGAATCGGTTATCTACCGCATCGATCCAGAGAACGAGAAAGGGAAACTCATATTTCAGATTGGTACAGCATCGCCAGAATTCGCTGTGCAGGCTGCCAAGGTGGTGGCCGGGGATGTTGCTGGAATAGATGTCAATTCAGGGTGTCCGAAACCGTTCAGCACCAGCGGTGGAATGGGCGCGGCATTGCTACGGACACCGGATAAACTTGTTTCTATTCTTGAATCGCTTGTGCGTGAAGTAGGGACGCCATATAAAATAGGCATATCAGTCAAGATTCGACTTCTTGAGACGCCGGAGTTGACAAAGAGTCTTGTTACTCGATTGGTCGCTACCGGTATTACGGGATTGACAATTCATTGTCGCACGACTCCAATGCGACCTCGTGAGCGAGCTATTCGCGATCAACTCAGTATGATTGCCGAAGTTTGTCGGAATGCGGGTGTTGCATGCGTTATGAATGGAGATGTCACGTCGCGAGACCAAGCTCTTGAATTGATGAAAGAATATAATGTGGATGGGGCTATGATTGCAACAGCCGCTGAAGCGAACTCGTCTTGTTTCCGGTCCGAGGCCGATGGAGGACTTCTACCATGGCGGGACGTTGTTAAAGATTACGTCAAGGAAGCCATTCGAGTCGAGAATAAATTTGGAAATACGAAATATCTACTCAATATGATGATCAAGGCGAAAGACAAGGCGGGCGCACAAGCTAAACAATCCAAAAATTACGTGGACGTTTGTCGAACATTGGAATTTGACGACCTCTTACCTGCCGCGGTTGAAGTCGACAAGATACTCGGTCTTGAAATGAAGGGAGTTACTAGCAAAATCACAGAGAAGGAGACCAAACCATCTGCTGTTCAGAATGCTATGGAGAACAACGAGTCTGCCAAAGCTGCCGGAATCTCAGGGCATATCAAGAAGCAGCAGTCCAATGTGCAGCATGGGCCAGGTCCTATTAGAACAACCTCTGCTCGAGCAAGTGTCCCAAATACACCTATTGAGACTGACGTTGATCTCTCTGTGCTAGCGGCACCTCAACAAAGTGGGGTAGCTGTCTGATAGCCTTAGACTCTATGGATCAAAGTAGTGTCTGGAATTCTCTTGGGCGGCGTCTCGTGGTGAGTTGGGGCTATAATCTCGGCTTGGGATGATTTACTTTCTTACGATGCATATATCATCTTCTCTACACATAAATTTATGGACATTAGCTATTGCATTTGCGGTGTTATTATTTGTACGAGGTATATATACTAATAAAACATTGATTTCACATACATATGAATCTACGTTGAATTCTTATGATCTTCTTCGTGACGACTATCAGGTATCTAAAGTAGATTCGTTAAATACCTATGTGGCTATGCGTACCAGTGTTGAGTGGAGGTCTCTTTTTGCAGCGGCCAGCCCAGTCTTTCCCAGGCTCTTCACCAGATTTACTCCTCGCGTGATGCATCCTACATCTTTCGAAGTTCTGATACTAAAAGGCATTTGGATTGCTGACTGCATCTGCTATATAGTGATCTAACACGTTTCCAACGAGAGTTAGGGGAAATTGGCCTACAAATTGTGGCGAAATGGATAACAAGAGCTCCCAGGCACATACGGCTGCTGCTAAAGCCGCATATAAATGCCAGTCAACATTCTTGTGTCCATCTGTGTAATCTGAAATGCCTCGAATAGGAAGATAGTGTGTAATTCCATCACTCCAGCGACTTCCATCTCATAACATATAATGTTCTCTCTTTTGGCGACATCCCCATGGTTTTGAGCATTTTTCATTACACGATCGCCGGACCCAATGTCCCCTGAAACAGCTGCACCAGATCCCCTTGACGTTCTTCCCGTGGATATAGGTTGACTCATTGCTGCGATTCAACAAAGTGGGCCTCTATGTCTGACTTCATCTTTATAAAGTCGATCTTGTGCAGGACGGAGAAATGCAGTTCCGCCTCTAGGGATTATTGCACAAGTTCACTCAATACAGTCTGCAAGGTTTATTTCCTCCGACCAAAGTCGCTCTTCTAAGAATTTGACGGCTTCTAAAAGCTCCCTGGCTGGGATTTCATCATGCCAGTCCGTTCAAACCCATACTCCAATTAGTGGATATCCCTGTCGTAATGAAAGTGAAGTTGGGATGACAGAGGTATATTGAGGCGTAGTGCTGGACGAGGCTTTTACTAGTTAAAATAGTCAGTCGTGGTATACCAACATGGGAAGGTGTTTCGGACATAGAAGTAGGAAGTTCAGAAAGATAAAATAAGCTAATTGCCCCATTGCATCATCAAACTTCGTTGCTGTCGTCACATATGTCCTGGCTACATCAAAAAGAAGACCGCTCCATATTCCCATTAATATCAGCTTGGATTCAATATGGAACGGAACTGAAGAGCATCCGATTTGTTAATACTAAAATTTATCAATATACTGGAGGGTGCCTTTCATCGCTGGATGGAACTCACTTCTGGATATATTGACTTGGTCCTTGAGAGGCTTCCTGTTGGTTATGGCCAGGTTCTACTGTCCACATATGAGTAAAAAGAAGATCAAAAAGTTATCACTTGCTCTTGACCCGTTCGTACGTCTCTTCGATCAGAGTTGTGGGTTTATATCCATGAGAAACGGCACGAGGAGCGTAATAATCCAAAAGAAAACAAGGAAATCAATGTCTGTCTGTCTCAGTGATGAATCCAGAGAGATAGTGGCTGAGAAGCTCAAGATTCTTTATGGTGATGCCAGATGTGGATTTGAAGCCATGTTGCTACTTTAGGCAAGTGGGTAGTTGTCAGCGGGAGAATGTCTTCATATACCACTCAAATTGCCAACCCAGCTCCACAACAGGCTCCTTTTTGGTTGAACGGTCTAAAGTCCGGTTCTCAGTAGTATTTTCGTAGGCAGTACATCGTGGATGGATGATTCAGGGAAAGGATGAAGCAGTAGTGGATGGAGTTGATGGAGATGATGGAGAGGGGAGATGCTGGGAGGAAAGAACCTGGACATGCCACCGATATCCAGGGCCCGTAATATCGGCAACAAACAGAGACATACGTTATGGCTAAATGTTCTCAGTACGTATTACGGAGTACAAATGTATTTTATCTTTCATTTCTGATCTAACAAGCTGTCTGCTCTCGCTGCTCAAGAGATGTAAAAGGCTGGACTAAGTATACCTAGGTAAATGGATAGAGAGTGCTCTAGCTGATGAGATGCGTATTCTATTTACATTTGACCTATTTGCAGGGGATACCGCTGCTTCGCTAGATGTTTGCGAAAGACCGGAAGTCTTTATAGTAGGGAGATAATAACAGATGCATCCTCTTATACGTATGTACGAGGGCTCCAACGACCCCATTGACATCCTCCCTAGGTACGTGCCTACACGTCTGCGTGCGTGCCAGTCGATGCGCCAGCTTATAAACCAGCTTGAAAAAACAGCTTACAAACCAGTTGACATGGGGTTTCCATCCCAGCTGTCCCTGTTCATTACGTGCTCTCGAGGCCGATATCCCTTCGATAAAGTCAGTTATCCTTGGGTCTCGCTTGTCTTGTGAATCCGAACGATACATTGATAAGAGTCTTGAAGTGTTTTGATTGCAATCGACGAGCGATAATTTGATACCCATACATAAGACGCAGGAGACTCTAAGTGATATCCCAGCACACTACGGAGATGAATATCCTAGACCCCCTTTTTCTCACTGCTGCGGGCGATCTCAGTGGCCGCTTAGATCCTATTGATTCGCGTCTCTCTGATGTTGTACGCACGCGGACCATGATTTGAGACGGAAATGACTGCGATGAAGTAAGCCGTGCACATAACTGAGTATTTGAGAACTTTTCGTCCTGCTAATATCTTGACCACGGCGGGTCTTGGGGGCCTGATAGGGGATGAGGATGAGATGATGGTAGAAATTGGAAGCGGAAGCTGAGGTTAACTGCGTTCAGGAAGGGATCCTGCGAATTGGACTTCCTTCCTGCAATACAATACTGGTGTTTTCCATGTATGTAATGCTGTGCGTATGTGTGTCTTTCCAGGATTGCTGCCCGTCTCTCGTAGTGAAGTTACGTCAATTTCTTTCAGTAGTATATGCCGTGGATGACTCTTGCCTAGTTGATAGTCATCGCCCTAGTGTCAGATTATAGTGTCTTTTGGAAGGACACTGAAATGCCTGCATCAGATTGACTTTCATAGACTGTTTTCTGAAGAAAAGGAGGTGCCGTGATAGAATGAAAAGAATTAGCGTGTACGCTAGTCTTCAAAATTTATTTTACAGCACTAAGCCAAATATGGCTAATCAGCTAAGCGCGCTAAAACGGGGAACCGCAGATCGTCCAATGATCGATGCGTTCCATCAAGAATTTCCTGAGCTTCATTCAGCTTATCAGTATCACTTTTGCTTCATTTTTTGTTCATTTACATCTTGACTACAGTCTTTGTTACAATCTAATCTTTGCGATTTCATTGTTTGATTCTCTTCATGGGTATTATGACCTCCGTCTGATAGATAATTGATGAGCGACAAATCATGGAGGAATCTGTCCCAGATACCCCCAGCCTCCGAAGGGATGTTGACGACACGGACACCGTCGCCACAGTCCTCATAGCGCCTAAGACGCAACAAACGCCCCTTTCCCAGCGCTACACCCAGCCAACCCAGATCATCGACCGTACACCAAATGAAGCCAAGTCCGTGGTCCAAGTCGCAGCTTCCTCACCCGCAGGACCAGCCACCTCTCCCTCCAGACCTCGCGGCGGCATGCTTGCAAATTTGATGGCACCAAGTGGCACGCAATTTCGCGCTCCTACAATCCCACAACCACAAAAACGAGCGCCTGTTTTAAGTGACGACGAGGGTCCTAACTACGCGGGAGGTTCTTCAGATGAAGACGAGTTGAGCATTGCGACAAACATCAAACCGCGAATCTTGTCCAAGACTCCTTCCAGGAGCCCAGAAAAAATCATGGAATCGCCGATTTCGAATAACACTGGTTCTCAAACGGCTTTTAAGGACATAGCAGCTCGTTTTGCTTACCAGCCTGGTAGCAAGAGATCAAGCGAGCATCTTGATCAGTCTTTTGACTCTGCGAAGAAATTCAAACAAACCACCATATCGCGCGCCATACCCGTCGACGACGACAACTCGAATATTTTTGACGAGATTAAGACCATCGAAGATATTGAAGACAACCGTATGAGAAATTTTGTTACACGTTTATTGAGTTTATTTCCTTCCTTCACAATACAGGAAGGTCTGAGAGCTTTTATGAAGAGTAGCGGGAATTTTGATCGTGCATGCGAACAGATCGCAGAACAGGAGGACCTCGACAGAGTCAGCTCGCCAGATGAATTGACTACCACTACACACCCTCGCGAACATATGAACACAGCGAAGCAAAACATCAAGTCGAAACAAAAGATCCTGGAGAAATATACCGCCAACGTGCAAAGAAAGGACATTCCAGAGGTTCAAGATGACCCTAAACCCAAGGGTAGACGGTTGATGCGTGGCCCTCGACCAGGCGCTACTTCTTCAGAGGCCTCGCCTGCGCCTGAAGCTGCCCCAAAGCCCAAAGGTCGGCTTATACAAAGAAAAGATCTGAAGCGTCATGATTCTCCTGAAGAAGAGAGTATGGCCTCTGAGTCTGAGTCCGATGCAAGCTCCGAGGAAGACAATAGTGAAATCGAAACAAAAGTTCTCAAATTCATCAACACGTGTACTGTCCCAGCTCTCGCTGATCTTGCCGCTACTCCTGAGTCGATTGCTACGATTATTATCAATGCGCGGCCCTTCCGTACACTGAATGCTGTTCGAGCTGTAACGGACAATGCTGGAGAGGGTACTAGCCAGAAGAAATCACGAAGACCAAGGAAGCCAATCGGCGACAAGGTCGTTGACAAGGCAGTTGAGATGATGAAGGGCTACGAGGCATGCGATGCGCTAGTGGCGCATTGTGAGAGTCTAGGAAAGCCCTTGGCTGCTGAAATGAAGCAATGGGGTATTGATATATTTGGAAATAAGGGCAATGGGGAGTTGGAGTTGGTCAGTTTGGATCACGATTCTGGGATTGGCACACCAACAACCGATGACGGTGACGAAGTTGTGACCCATGGTGGGCGGAAGTCTCGTTTTGTCTCACAACCGTCGATTATTTCGCCCGACTATACGCTGAAAAATTATCAGATCGTCGGAATTAATTGGTTGACGCTTTTGTTTCACAAGCAACTTAGTTGTATCCTTGCGGACGACATGGGTTTGGGGAAAACGTTTCAGGTCATTGCGTTTCTTGCGCACTTGTTTGAGCAAGGTATTACTGGTCCTCATCTTATCGTCGTACCAGCGTCTACGATTGAAAACTGGCTACGCGAATTCAGCAAGTTCTGCCCTACGCTCAATGTCATGCCTTACTATGCCAAACAACAAGAACGTGCAGAGATTCGAGCTGCGATCGAAGACGACAGAGAGAATATCAATGTTGTCATCACGACCTATACCGTTGCAAAAGCAAAAGAAGACTCACGCTTTTTGAGAAATCTCGGTTTCTGTGTTTGCGTTTTCGATGAGGGACATGTGTTGAAGAATAGCGAATCAAAGATTTACGATCAGCTAGTCAGAATCCCTGCCGAGTTTCGCTTATTACTTACTGGGACCCCGTTACAAAACAATCTTCAGGAGCTCGTTTCACTGCTTGGTTTCATGTTGCCAGACGTTTTCAGCAAGCATAGAGAGGACTTGCAGACCATATTCGCGCAAAAAGCAAAGGCAACCGATGCTTCGGAACATGCTACTTTATTATCGGCTCAGCGTATTGCGCGCGCTAGGTCAATGATTGCACCTTTTGTGCTTCGAAGGAAGAAGCATCAGGTTATCGATCTTCCTGCAAAGGTCTCCCGAGTAGAGTACTGCGAAATGAATGAGACTCAGAAAGAGATCTATCGACAAGAGAACGAAGAAGTGCGTGCACTTCTCGCCGATCGTGCTGCGGGTAAAAAGACCGGGAACAAATCAGCCCATATTCTGATGAAACTACGATTCACAGCAATTCATCCGCTTTTGAAACGACGACTTTACAACGACAAGATTCTGGGCAAGATGGCCAAAGCGTGCTTGAAAGAGGAACAGTGGTCTTTGTCCGATCCAGACATCATTTTCGAGGAATTACAACCTTATAACGATTTCGAATGTCATTCCATGTGTGTTAAACATCCGAAATCCCTCGGACCATTTACATTGAAGAACCAAGAATGGATGAACTCTGGAAAGATCGACAAGCTTTGCGAATTACTGAAGAAATTTAAGGAGAATGGCGACCGAACTCTCATTTTCTCACAATTCACTCTCGTCATGGACATTTTGGAGTACGTCCTTGAGACAGTCAATATGAGATTTTTCCGTCTCGACGGCCGCACCAACGTCGAAGATCGCCAAGCAATTCTGGATGCCTTCTATGAACAGACGGATATCCCGGTGTTTATGCTGTCAACCAAAGCAGGAGGTGCAGGAATCAATCTCGCATGTGCCAACAAAGTCATCATTTTCGACTCTAGCTTCAATCCGCAGGAAGACGTCCAAGCAGAGAATCGAGCACACCGTGTTGGTCAAACGAGGGAGGTTGAAGTAATTCGACTTGTTACGAAAGGGACTATCGAGGAGCAAATCTATGCATTGGGACAGACGAAACTGGCGCTTGATCAGCGAGTTGTGGGTGATGATCCGACAGAGTCCAAGCGTAGTGAGGAAGCTGGTATGAAGGCTGTTGAGGACATGATTGCGGCTGATTTGAATTAGTGGTCTACTAATTGTTGGCAGGGATTTCATGGTTTTGTTGTATTCTTGGTTCGGGAACTCCATTGACGCCACTCTTGTGAGGACGGGGTTGTATGATTGCATATAAATGGCGTCTGTTCTATTATTTCAAGTCTTGTATGTCTTGATATCACATTCGTACATGTTACTTACAGGTTGCAATAGATGAGGACAAATCTGTATCCACCTAGTGAATTCTGAAACAAAAAATGATCACTTTCGATAACTACATAACCTAGGAATCATTTCATCATAACAAATACTTCTTACAACCCCAAAGCCTTCAACAACTCCTTCCCAACCCCAGTCGCACTAGCCGGATTCTGTCCCGTAATCAAAACACCCCCAAGCTGATACGTCTTATCAACGACCACCTTCTCCCCCCAGGGTTGATCAGCCTTGACATATTTCGTACCGGGGATCGCCTTCAATCTATCCTCCAACAAAAACGGCATCAATTTTGTCAATTGGGCCTGATCTTCTTCCACATTTGAGAATCCGGTGACTGTTGCATCTCTCAAGAGTGGTTCGCCGGAGGGAGTGGTGGCATTTACGAAGACAATGGGTCCGTGGCAGACTGCGCTGACTGGTTTTTTGGCTGAGGCGAAGGTTTGGATTAAGGAGAGGGAGATGGGGTCTGAGACGAGATCGAACATTGCTTTATTCCAACCAAGAATCAGTATCAAATGTCCTTATAAATTCTCTGGGGAGGGAGACATACGACCATGCCCACCGACATAAAAAATAGCATCAAACTCCTTGGCCCGAGGTACAATATCGGCAAGTCGAACGGTATTCTTCCAGAGCGGTTCTTGATTCTTGTGGAAGTTAACTGCGATTTCGTCCTGCTTGAACATTTCGACTGAGGCTGGGTCAAGGGGTGCTTCGCCGCCCTTGGGGGAGGCGACTGTTAATTCGACGCCGGCATCGTGGAGGATTTTCCAGGGGTGGGCGAATTCAGGCTATCATTTTTTTCTCTGGTTAGTTATGATCCTTCCGGGGTCAGTAAAAGGGAGGTATTGGACGTACGAGATACCATCCGGTCTGATGGTCGGTATTCGGAATGACGTTTTGAGAGGTGAGGACAATGAGAACCTTGGGAGCCATTCTGATAGTGCCTAAGTAGCCTTCTGTATACTATCTGCGTTATTTGACAAGGTTTCTTCTAACTGAGATGCTTCTACAAATTCATGGAGAACGATCCCGAGCCTTATATAGCTTATTGTGAAGATCAATGATCTCATCGAACATCATGAATCCCACCTACTGGATCCGGCAATATCGCCTCTATATCGGTGGAGGCTAAGGCTTTCTAGGAATGCGACCCGGAGGCTTATTCTATTACTGAGACTGTTTTGGTAGAATTATTAATTGAAAACGGAGTAGAAACATGGGAGTTGAAGAAAGGTGAAGAAACATCAAGAAGAATAGGCTGGAGACTGATGTTCGCTCGCGCTAGGCCGGAAATGGGCTAGTCTCCGCTGCTGCTTTACACAAGCCCTAAACTTCCTATTTGGGAGAATTTGGTTGTAGAGTGACTTTGAGGTGCGAAGTAGAGGGTCAAACAAAACGAACGCATGCTGGATTATTGGTAGAACTTTTGTAGAGTGCTTCTGTCCTGGTTAGAAACAAGCTGATATCTAAACCGTAAAAACAAACAAAATGTGAAAAGAATGAGAAGGAATCGAGTGAATCGACAAAGTCCAAGTCCGAAACATGGTACATTGGATTGTTACATCGCCAGACACTTGCCTACCATAATGATCCGGAAACCAAAAGGACAATTATGTCAAATAATCGTTCTGATGCCCTTGAGAAGGAGAGAATTGTACTTTTGAGGACTGGAAACTCTTTTCTGTTGATCGAGCATAACTGAGCTTCTCCTATTCCAAAGTAGACCCGTGCCCTTAGTCTACTTCAAGATCCATTGTGTGCGTTGAGATTTATGGAATCAAGAAGTAACCCCTCTGGACAATAGGTCGACTTTCAGAGCTTGTAGGTCCATTTGACGTATCTGTTTCAGCGTTAATTTATGCCATCAAACACTAGCCGAATAGAGAGACTTACCTTCTATGTAATGGTGACGATGGAAATACAGACCAGCGGCTTTTTACCAACCTCTCGTAAAACGATGAACCCAGATTCCAAACAATATTTCACCAAACCGTCGCCAAAAGTCTCATCTAGACTATCTGACCCCCAACCCTTCCTTATCATAGTGCCAAATATACTAACTGGGGTACCGTAATAATTCATGTGCCAGCGGATCAAGATTGATGACGGTCTGTGGATGTAAACAGAAATTGTCCACGATATCATCAAACTCGGATCTCAAATAGCCAAGGTTGAGTAACAATATCGACTCGTGGTATTTCTGTCCCCATGACTCAAGAGACTTCAAAGCCCGTGAAGAATCATGAAATAGCTCACTGGGAAAGCCACGACGAAAGAAGCAGAATTTTGGACCCGTTGCAGTCTCTAGATAGGGAATGAACTGTTGAGTTCAAAAAATCTTTTGAATCATTCCAAGGACTTTCAGCTTCACCTATGATAAATTAGACTTCCTGAGCCAACACTTGCTCTTCGGATAATGTAGACAAGAAATCGTTGACGGCAAACCTTTCAGAAAAATGAGTTCCACTGAAAATCTGGAGTCACGGAAGTCTCGTCTAGATACATAGTGCTAATGTAAATAGCAAGCTTACCCTGGGCAGTAAGGTGTTTCTCTAGCAACTGGGCTAGAGTTGTCTTTCCAATATAAGGGAAGCCCCAAATCACTAAGGCTCTGATACTCTCTAGGCGACTTGATCTATTTTTGGGCATGTGTATGTAAAAATCTCCTCATATGAGACGGAAGAGATTCTTCTTAGAAGGGATTGTATGCTCAACGGCTATGTGAGAAATCGAAGAATGTGATTGCTCATTTGTGAGTTTTGTCTGCGCGTTCAAAACCATTACTCCATCTATAGGAGAGTCGTTTTCTGCGGTATCGATGTCGAAGCCATCGTGTAGAGAAACAAAGTTACCATAGTCTTCGCATGTTGCATATTGGCCAACTGATTCGTTGATTGACGACACGAATGAACAAATGGTACAAGAACACTTGTATTTCCCCTCGAATTTGTAAGGTCCTAGAATAATCTTGATCTTTTTGCGGCGCACTGCATCTGTGATGCCATCCTGAGAAACATCCATGGTGACGGAAGGTGTTGGAATAGGGTCGACTGAGCAGATGAAGACGTCGCTGGAAGTAGACTTAAGGGAATAATGCAAAGTGGAAGAGAAGAAGAGATGACAATCCAAGATACAGGAAGAAGGATGAGAGGGAATACAGGGGCAAAATAAACAGAAGAATGAACGAACGAAAGATATACGCCCAGGTCGAAACACGCTTTACTGGATTCGTCTCTGTACCAGATCTTGATATGTCACTTCCTTCGCAAAACATGGCCATCTGCTTGTAACAGATTTCTATCGCTACTGACTCGATAAATTCTCGGTTCCCTTCCAAGGTTGATATCTTACTGTACATTTTACACGAATGAAACTCGCAAGGAATCAGTACTCTTACTTGACATGCACCGATTCACACTACTCTCTCCTCTGAATCTAAGGGGTCTGCTCACCAGCGTAGACATCTGTCTCCATTTGGTGATGCCACTGTGCTCATCTATGCTCAATTAATCAGTATACCGAAAACAATCTCAGCGGTGAAAAGGAAGTTAAAAGCCGTACCTCGCATGCAAAGGAGAAGGAAATCAAAGATATCTTCGTCAAGTTCATCATGATCAGGCTTCTTCTCTTCGATTTCATGGACAATCACGCCATCAGCTCCGCAGACAATGAACATCAAATCAGTCGTCAGTAGTTCTTTGCTCATTAGGTCTGGAAATTGAGTCTTAGCATGCTCAAGCAAGACCTCGTTGAGCCGTTGACTTTCATTTTTGGAGCAGTAGGCCAAGGTGTTATAAGTATAACCTTCATATCCTGGCTTTTGAGAAAATCAAAAGAAGGTTTGCGAGAGTCTTCTTCCCCATGCCCGCCATTCCCCAAATAAGCACTGACTGGGCGTCCACGAGTAATTTTGCACTATTAAGAACTGTGTCACGTCTCTTGCATAATTCCCCTTGGAGGTCTAGCTGGTAATCAGCGATCATGAATGTTTCATCCGCCGAGCGAATTTGTGAGGAGCGATTCAGTGGTGTTGAAAGGCCCTCATAATTGTTGATATGCATCTCAACCTTGATTCGTGGCTGTGGGCCAGGAATCATAGGGACAATCGCACCTGCATACTCGTTTTATGAAGGATCAATGGGTACCCATACCTCTCACAAGTTGTATCATATTTGGTGGTTCTGATAGACTCAAAAGCTGAGCCTTCGCTGCATGGGCAATCGAAAATACCCGAGAATTTGCAAGGACCAAGAAGCAGTCTCGCGCTTGGGACGTGGGGCTCGGAGTCAGGGGTTTGCATGGTAGCAGAGGTTACTGACACGCCTGAATCACAATATTCAAATGAAGATAAACGATGCCAGGCGAGGTTTACGCGTCATAAACGTACGAGTCAGAGCAAGTGATTGAAAGCCGAGGGAAAGATTGAGCGTAATAGACTTAATGTCCAAAAACCAAATACAGCCCGAGGTACATGAGATATTGACGTGGAATACTCTAGAGAAAGACCAAAGATCGAGGAAGAAGGAACATACTGAAGCTGTACCACGTATGAGAGTATGTAACGTGTCTTAGGGAGAATATCAGTGGCGCGTTGAGGCCGCTGGAGTAAAAGTTAAGATAAGCAGAGCTTAGATATCCTCGGGGGAGAGATTTGAAAGTAAAGGCTGATGAGAATAGGCCTTGGATCTCAAGCCAAGGTGATGAAAGGATGATAACAAGGAGAGAGAGATGGGCAAGTAGAAGAAAAACAAAAGAGACAGGGATTAGGCATGTGGGAGTGAGCATCGTGTGAGAGTTACCTCAGATGTAAACCCTCCCAGTGTGAAGATTGATCCTTCTTCGTGACGACAGGATTGCCCTATCACAATGAGCACAAAAGGTAATGTTGGTTTAGCTACGTCCTGATAACACGAAGCACAGGATTACGCAGTAAGGCTATTCCAAAGAGCCCATGAGCCTGATAATATTGATGTTATTCGAATATTATGACTGATCCCCAAAAAGGGAGGAGAAGGATAATTACATGCAGGTAAAGGGGATATCCCCAGGGAACCGGAATAGCTAATATTCCGGTGTTGATACTCAACACCTGGGGATTCCCGTACACACAGGTAAAGAACATACAAACCATAGTATTGATATAGAGAACAAAAGCCACCTGAGGAGTAGAAGAACAAAAAAAAATACCTGACTTTGAGTGAGTTTTCTAAGAACATGCTTGTGGTTTGTCTTAGGGCTAGATACCCCGATTTCCAAGGTTAGTTAAAGAACCCCCGGAGTTGAGTCAAAGATAAAAACTCGGCTCCCTGTGAGGAATATTGAGAACATCCTTATTCACCTTCATAAATCGAATTTCTGAGCATCCATTATCAGGGTAGTGTAGGTAGTAAAGCTCCAGTAGTATCGTATTGGTATATTCATGCACAGCAGGAAAACCTTCTAACTTAACTGGATAAGAAAGTCGAGATATACATATGTATCAGACCAAAGACAATTTTTATTGCAAGGTTGACAAAAGGCGATTTCCCATCAGTAAAGATAAATTCCGTAGTTTGATATTTTAAAGCGAGCTTCAACCACCTAGGCAGTTGATTTGATTATCGTTTTATCCACGAATTTAGAACCAAAATTTCCAATGTTTCCAAGTTTCGAGGATTGAAGCACCGACTTCAATGCTACCTAGGTAGGAATTCCCGTTCAAACTTTAGAGCTAGGCATCGCTTCATTTTTCAAAGGGTCACCACCGACATTGACAATTCTTTCCACTTAGTAGCTTCTATATATCTTGAATACACACAGGGCAGACAGTTAAAGTGAGACAGAAACAGCCGTGGAAGCGGACTATGTATTAATGAGAATTGGGAACGCCTGTCATATCGCCGAGCTCTTCCTGCAGTCGTTGCCCGTTAATCTCTACTTCTATAGCATCAAGCAAGACATATAACATGCGCGACCATGAGTCACTGCGATTGATCCACTGATGCATTGTCCCTCTCTGGATAAGCACGTCTCCCTGGGACAGCGTCCGTCTCTCACCTGAATCCAGCAGACACTCCATCTCGCCAATTATCACCACAGCGTAGTCGCAGCTGACAGTGCGGTGCATTGGCGAGGCTCCATGAGGAGGGTAGTCGACGAAGCGCATCACTGAACCTCCACGCTTGACCAGGCCACCCTTCGTCCGCTGCTCGTGCTCTTCGACGAATTCAGTTAGGTCGATTTCGCCGTTCAATTGGACGGGAGAGCAGGTTGTGGTGTAGGCCAAGCCAAAGCCTGCGGGATCTGACTTGGAGCCAACGGGCCAGAAAGGAATTGTCTCAGCAATCGCATTGGAGTATACAGCCTTGCCGTGCTCGTTGTGGCTAGTGATGAAGCGATGAGGTTGGGGAAGAGGATTGGCGAACTCGTCTTCGGCTGCCATGTTACTGATTCTTATGCACTAAATATAGTGAGAATCGAGAGCAAAGGGGGTGGTCAAAGTACTATTGGATTTGTAATAATGAGTGCGGACAGGAACCAGACGGGAGGAATAGGGGTAATGGAGCAAGGAAGTGTTTAAGACTCTCCTCACATTTGGAATCCGGGTAAAGAAATCATGTCATGCCGCAACTCAACTACTCTAGTCCTGATGATAGTTCAGCGCGAAGGGGTAATCTGAGAGTGATAACTGGATTACGGCCGTATGGTGGGCGGCGAGCCCCCAGATTACGTTCGGGCCGAACAGTTCATTTGGTGGATACGCAAGCCTACGACATCAATTACCAGTGACAATACATGGTCAATCTGTTAAAGATTTTGGATCAAGAAAAACCTAATATGTACTATCATACGATGAAAAGTTCGGCCCGTGTCACCGAGTCCGAAGCTTTGCCGTTTGTTTACGATATCCTTACAATGTCTCCTCTGGAGATCAATCATTGAGCTATCCGTATAAAAATTCGCCCGGAATTAATAGTAACTTGCTAGGTATTAGTATTGGCGGCACCGGTGAATGTTCCGAATACCTAGCAAAACAATATACCTATGTCGCATGCGCATAATCCTGTGAGTCTGCAGACTGACACGAAATACAAGCAAGAACAAAGCACGGTCAATATGGTGACTTGGCCAATTCCAATATCATCTGGAAGCTCCTTCACTTTAGCTGATTTACCATATGGCATCTTCAGCACTTCGCATAGTGTAAGTGAATCTCCCATTACCTAATCTAGGACTGGCCGCGTTGCACGAGCAGCCGGGAATCTCCATCTGCTTTTAACTGACAACAACCATTTTTCTATGAGGTTTGTGTAGGACGGACTATAATGACTGACATTTTTTAGGCAGATAAGCGGATAGGAGTAGCCATTGGTGACTTCATTCTCGATCTTTCTTCCATTGAAGTCTCGTATGGCTTCAAGTCCATCCCGAAAGATCATGAGAACGGCAGATTTATTTTCCAGTATGGGGATCTAAGCAACTTTGCTGCCCTTCCAGCTTCTACGCGAAAGCAGCTCCGTCGGGAACTCATTGACTGGCTCAATGATCGAAATTCGCCCTTCTTTCAGGATGCCACATTGAATAAGTTTGCTTTCGTGCCCATGAAGGACGCGACTATGCATTTGCCTTTTAAGATTGGAGGATTTGCTGACTTCATGTGCTCGGATGTCCATGTTACCAACGTATGTCGCTAGCTAGCGATCCTTCGAAAAATGGTTGATTTCTTATTAATGTCTAATCGTGGAAAAAGTGTAGCAGATTGGCGGGTGCTCCGATTCCATTAAACCATTATGCTATGCCCATAGGCTACAATGGCCGGGCTTCTTCAGTCGTCGTCGAATCGGTACCTGTCCATCGGCCGTATGGCATTATCAGAGACAGGGAAACCAACGAATTCAAATTTAAGCCCAGCGCAATGATGGACTATGAAGCCGAACTGGGCATCTTCATCTCCCAGCCCGTTCCAGTTGGGAGAACAATTACTGCTGATGAGGCTGAGGACCATATCTTTGGTTTTGTTGTGTTGAATGACTGGTCTGCAAGAGATATCCAGTTCTCCGAGATGACACCACTTGGACCTTTTAATGGCAAGGCTTTCGCAACTAGCATTTCGCCTTGGGTGGTCCCACTTGAGGCTTTAGAGAGCGCACGATGCACTTCGTCCTCGGTGGGTTTGTGTAGTGGTGGATCATCTGGCGCAGTGCATTTGAGCCATGGCAAGGCTGAATCCACGTGGAATATTGAAATTGAGGTTTCAGTTATGAGTAATACCAGAGTGTATCCGAGATTCAAAGTCTTTATTTGCTAATAGTATATGTAGGAAACAAGTCTCCTATACTGACGACTCGCTCGAATCTCCGTGATCTTCGCTGGTCACCCGGCCAGATGGTTGCGCATCTTGCTTCTTCAGGCTGCGGCTTGAATACTGGTGACCTCCTAGGTACCGGTACCATTTCATCTCCTGTCAGTAATCCTTCATTCACTCACTGTATATCTTGTTTGCGTTTATTGTGTCAGGCACTTACCAGGTAACTAGAATGACTCTCTCACGCTCCGTACTCTTGGATGCCTCTTCGAGCTGACAGAATCTGGCAAAGTCCCTGTCAGCAAGCAGGAGGGGGTAAATCTCACTTTCCTTGAGGATGGAGATGAGGTTGTCATGACAGCATGGACAACTGGAGGCGCCGTAAGTTTGGGAACACTGCGTTCCGAATTGCAAACACCTAGAGATAGTCGACCAGCGCCATAGAGAATCAAATGCCCTTCGTTACATCATCCGAGATACTGATTTGTAAGAATTAATCTACTCTATATCCTAAAGCGATGTTATACGGCCAACTTATTTAGGCTGAGCATTCGTTTACATAAATCCACATCCATGCTCGTTTTGAAGTCCGTGACCGTGTTATAAGACCCTGACAGAATTCAATCGGCAAGAAATTACGCTCGATCACTCACAAGGATAAATCCGTCAAGTTAAAGCGTTCGGAGCTAATAAACCTAAGAAGCCTGGCCTCGTAGGCAAGCCCAAAGACAACCTACCAAAATCGATGTTCCTCCGCGGGGGCTTTTTGAACCAGGCGCTGGAACTGGCGCTGTAGCAGAGATAGGCGGCATTGCGACCCCCGCATCTTTAGGATACGGCCGTAAACAACATTTACCTAGGATAAGAAGTGCTCTAAGCCTGGCATCCGAATGATCCGGAGTAAAACAGCAAAAAATCGTGAAAGAAGGTTCAAATTGTATGTGGTCTGTGCCATCGGGCCGAACTTCCCCGCATTTTTACATAAGGCACGAACTTAGAAGATTTTCGAATCAGGGGTGCCATCAAATTGTAAATTGTAAATTGACACAAACATGAGAATGGAGTCTTAAAGAGAGGCCTGACTTGGAAGTGGCAATTCTATCACTTCTCCTCTAATATCCACGTCACCTACAACCACAAAAGACCATGCCACCCAAAACCCCCTCACCAGCTTATATCCATATCAAGAATGCGTCTCTCATTACGGTTAATTCGACCGCTGAGACTCTGAACAATTATGATATTTTGATTAAAGGTGACACTATCATATCAATAGGACCAGACTTAGACGTGCCATTGGACGCGGACCTCACTGTTATCGATGCAGAAAACTGTATCGTTGTGCCAGGCTTTGTGGACGGACATCATCATATGTGGCAGCAAATCATCCGAGGCGTTACCACGGACTGGACTCTTTTCGATTATCTTGTTAACATCCGCAGTCTCTACGGTAGCGTTTACACTGCCGAGGATGTAGAGCTCGCCTATTACGCCGCTGCGCTGGATCTGCTCAATAACGGAGTAACCTGTGTTCTCGAGCACAGTCACATTATCAACTCACCCAAGCATGCCGATGCTGCCATCCGAGGTCTCAAGAAAGCTGGTATTCGGGGATGTTTTTGCTACGGCTTCTACGAGAATCCGCCCATTGACGGTTGCGATGTTCCTGGTGTCAATCTTGACAAGTTCAAACAGGAGCAGCGTGTGTGCGATGTGCGGCGAGTACGCGAAGTTCATTTCACCAGCAACGATCCCGCCGAAGATCTTCTCACGTTTGGTATTGCGCCTACTGAGCCAGAATCCCAACCGTTGGATGAGACGGTGCCCCAGGTCCAGCTGTCTCGCGAACTCGGTGCTAGAATAACTACTATGCATGTCGCCATGGGATCGTACGACAAAGCTCACCAGGAAGTCGTGCAGCATCTCGCAAATGGTGGCCACTTAGGACCAGATTTGGTCTTTTCCCATGGCGCGTCGCTGACGGACAGGGAACTGGACTCGATACGCTCTGCTGGCGCGGGTCTCGTTGGTACCCCTGACACAGAATTACAGATGGGCATGGGCTTCCTCGTCGTCTTTCGCGCCGCCGACAAGGGCTGCAAGGCATGTTTGGGACCTTGACATCACTTCTAACCAGGGCAACGACTTTATGTCACAGATGAGGCTGGTGCTTCAGGTCTAGAGGGCCCTTGACAATCAAACCCGCTTTCCACTCGCTATCGCGAGGAAGACGGCCGAGATCTTGCGCATGGGTACCATAGGCGGTGCCGAGGTTTTAAGGCTAGATCATCTAGTAGGTTCAATTATTGTTGGCAAGAAAGCTGACCTTGTCATCTTCCGGTTCGACGACGTAAGCACAGTGCCAGTCCATGACCCGACGGCTACGGTGGTCTTTCATGCATCGAGTGCCAATATCGACACCGTTATCGTTAACGGGAGGATTGTGAAGAATGGAAGTCTTGTTGGAGTTGACTGGCCATTGGTTCGGACAGCCCTGCGCACTCAATCAGAGAGAATCAAATTCCAGGCAGCGAAGGTGGACTTAGCTACGGCCAGAGCCAAGTGGTTAGAGATTATCTCTCGCTCATCGTAATATTGAGAGCGAGTAACTCGTTTATTGGTGGAACCTTTTGCGGCTCTTCGAGTTGCTGAAATATTGTAGCTAGTGTACTATTAAGTTTGCATGGAGATTGATGATCGACTCTGTTTAGAAAAGAGTAAAACTTTCAAGGTATCCCAAGATTTCCCCTTACCGCCAACTTAAGTGTTAGGTTATGTTAGTTAACATGGTTAGTTAACGTAATGACACCCACCCGCCAATCTGCGTATTGCACATAAAGTAGCCATTACTGCCACCAAGATATCTCAACAAAAATATATACAAATCATAGGTGAAAATTAGATATATAATTTGTACAGCTTTTGATAATAGATAGTTCTAGAAACTTAGTGATTAAGTAAATATTGATCAATATTACATGTAATTACAAAAAATACAGCGTACGCTGTTGTAGTTTTGGTTTTTTTTCACAAGTATACGTTCAGTAATCGGACATCCACCCGCTCACTCATGTATTCCATACAAATGATCATTTCTATCGTCTGAATATCTCAACAAAGTTATATACAAACCGTATTTCATATTAACTCATAATAATGTATGTATGAAATATAATTTATATTTCGAGTTTAAACTTATTCTAATGAACGAACGTTCATGAAATTTTCCGAATTTCCATTGCAGTCTAATGTAATATGTTTAGTCTGGGTAATACTGTGTCCATTGTGAATTTTATCCTTTGAAAATTATCGATCGAATGCTTGATATGATTATTTAGCCGTACCTATAAATTCTATTATAATATATATATAAATTTGTTGAGATAAGAAGGCGATAAAAATGATCATTTGTATGGAATACATGAGTGATTGGGCGGTCCATTGACCAGATGACTATTCAACGTTTGTGATCTTATGCATCCAGGCCGCTTCGTTAGGTACCGTTCGCAAAAACGGTGCACGCTTTTACTCGCTTCAATTGTATTTCACCCTAACCTTGATCAGGCAAAGTTGTGGATTAATGATGTTCCTTATCTTTCACATTACTGTGATGATCCGTTGAAACAATGTCGTTGATGCGCAAGGCGTGCCTAATGCCATTTATGTAACGTAAGTAAGAGGATGATGTCTAGAGTTCTCTGTTTGACTCTGGCCACACGGTCCTGTTGGCAGTATCTATTCCGCCCTCAATGACTTCCTTCTTCTACTCTTGTTACTCCTCAACTTCAACGTCATCCTAATCTTCCATCAACAACCCTGTGAATTTATCTCTCTTGAAACTCCTTGTCGACCATGGCGAGCATGAACAACACTCTGACGCGATACAAATCGCTTCTTCCTCCAGACGTCATAATCGCCGAATCAAAGCTTAGATTCGCCGAACTCCAACACGCTAATTTGGGCGCGCTCGTCTACCCCGAAAACGGCGGATACTATCTCAAATTTCCAGAGGGCAAGGTCGTAGCCATCGCTAATGACCGGCTACGCTCCGTTATTGACGAAAAGTTCATATCGCTAATTTCCAGTCTCGAGAGAGATGGCATGCAAGAAGAGGCTAACGAAACTATGGAGGATTTACGGAAAGCTGGGATTGACGCCGATAGGCTTAAGGCAGAAGCGAGCGATAAGATCAAGAGTGATGGCTGCGTTCGGGATGGTGATTGTGAAGAGGATGCTTCTAATGATTTCGACGGGCATGCCTGTGGTCAACAACCAAAAGCGAAGTCTTAACAGAAGTCCTCTTCTTTACCAGAGTATATGCGTAAACTTCAACTGTGACACGCTGGGAGGTCATAGATAAGGTTCTATCGCAAGACAAGTACTATCGAATAGAGTCTGGAGGGACGAGAAGCCCTCTTTTATACCCAAATGGTCCCTGGAGACAAAGAGTCTCAGTCTTTGAAATATGAGCCCATATGATAACAATGTAAGCAGGCTTTCTCTCTTCACTCTAACGAATTAGCTAGAGAATGGGGCGGAGGGGTCATCTGGATTTCCCGTTACTATCACCTTATCTAGACTAGCAGGTTACAAGGTGATCATACATGCAATAACTCCATTTCCAAGCTTGTGCTAATGCAGGAAGCGATATGTACTACGCCGTATGTACTACGCTGTGTATACTATCCTGTAATCACACTAACATTCACTTAGCTCTATTTCTAACTTTGTGCTTGTACAGGTTGCTACATGTACTACGCCGCATATGCTAATATACTTCGGTGTGGCCTGGAAATGATATTAGTAACATCCACTATCTTATCTATGTAGTATGGACTAGCTATAGGTGTACGACGCTGTATATTCTAGAGTTGGGGAAATTGCTGTGAATGCATCCACAGCAGAGCAGATTCCACTGCAAACTCCTGCTCGCATTCAAAGTAGGCATAGATTGTATTCCATATACACTAGATCTTCACTGCGTGAACCCCTAAAGATGATTATAGAAATCCGGGTCTTGTCAAACTCGAACATGTTACTTTGTAGATATGCATTCCCATCTTATAAAACCCATACTGTCAGATGGAATCCTCCAGGCCCTCTATAAAGTAAATGTGACCTTCAATTAGACGCTGCAAGGCTAATTATGTACGTAGTGCTAGATCAACAAGGAATCAGGGTTGACGGGTCCATACTGCTATTAGCGCCTGATCCACCGCTTGTTCCACACGTGGGTCTTGCTAATTGTTGGATTAGCTAAAAGATCCGGCCGATCATATTGACAAGATCATCAGCGAATCAGAGCGAGCTACACACTTAAGCAGAGTAATCCACCGAATAGGGGTTAAAAGACATCTCCTACATTTTGTACTTAGAAGAAAACAAGAATCACAACAAGGATCAAGTATTCCACATCTTTTGTCATACATAATTTGATACGTTGAGATATACCGTTAGAGATTGTTACGTACAATCCAACACCTCGCCCTCACCCGCGGGTGACCCTCGCACACTCGTTTTGAGGGTCGAGAGCCTAGGCTACTGCTCGGTGGCACCGTGCCTTGGTGTAGAGGTATGCCCGCATCAAGGCGACGGGATCATGACTCAAGCTGCCTCCGACGGATTGCCAGGTCTTCCGCAACTGTGGATCCAAGGCCAATGTTTCCAGCGCGGTGTTAGTGAAAGGATACACATCGCTGGCCGCAAAGATTTCCTTGAAACTGGAGTAAAACTGGATGTAGAGCAGGCCACTCTGTCGACTACGTGAGTTCAAATGCGTTTCGAATGTGACACGTCCCGCGTCATGCAGAAGACTCAAGGGATAGAACACCCGCTGATCCCCATCCTCCTTCGGCCCATGTGCACTTGCAGCATCGTTTCCACATCAAGATCTGTGCAGACATCTCTTCCTCCGTCGGCTCTCCCTCCATGAAGACGTAAGAGGGGATATACCACCATTGATCCATACACTTTGTTTACGTCCTTTTTGCTGAGTCAAGAGATTTTAGCGATGTCCTCGCTATTCTCTTTTCCAAGCACTTCAGCAGCTCCTAGCAGAATGATCCCGTCCAAATTCAAGACCGCCGTACGATTAGCGTTGTCTATCTTCACAGAGTATAACTGGTCCTCAGCACTCTTATGCCTGTTGCAGTTATCTTCTGCGCAGCTTTTCTAATGAGTTGAACCTCTGTTTCATCCCTGCAGATTATCTTCACCCGATCTGTGTTTTAGTCTTTAATCACTGCTCCATTTTTATCACTGCTGCACAACGTCAGTTCTTTTTGTCTTCTGCCAATCGCATTTCTTTTTCAACATGCTGTCTGATATCCGTAATACTGAGTTTATTTCTGTCTTCGTCTCCCATAGGTGACATTGAAGGGGTTGGCGGCTCCATAACTTGAGTAGTAGGCTGTGTACTTGCAATATCAGCATATATTGGCTCTGGCGGGCAAGCTGTTAGTGATAGCGTCTCGTTGTTCTCGCAATTGTGCACTCTTCAGAGGACTGATTTTGAATTTTCCTCAGTTGCCTCTGCAGTTCTTCGATCATAACACGTTGTTCCTTGATCATGTTACTTTGCTCTTTCATTGTGATCTCTTGTTTGCCAAGGACGCCTTTCATGGCCTTAAGCTCATGGTGTGTGCTTTCTAGGAATTGACACATCTTGCAGAGCAATTCTTCATTTCCATCTTTACTCTGCTGCCTCTCTTTTATGATATGAGCTGCTTTTTTGACTTTGGAAGTTCTATTGCTTTGGATTGTGGTTTTCTTTCGCGCTTTCGTATTATTGTCGGTATCGGTCAAGGCTTCCCGTTCTCTTGTTGATAGTGTCACGACGCGTCCGGATCGCGCTGTCGCTCCCTCCCTGAGGCGAGTCTTCTTCCATTCCGCCTCTATTCTCTCTGCGACAAGTCCAGTCTGTTTCGCCGTATGTAGATTATGCCGGCGTGAATGATAGAAGAAAGCGGTAATAAAGACGGTAGACTAACTGGAGGAAAAAAGGTTTGAAATGTCGGTATAGTCCGCCTTACCCGGGTTCCTTCAAGATGGTGACGAAATTATTCTCGGTGCGTCGTGTGGAGGTGGTGAAGGTCAACCTCGACTGGGCTTTTGGGAATGTCGCGGAATGATTTTGCCTACTACATAAAGACACTCTGTCACTTGGGTTATTTGGACTAGTTACTTTGATGTATGTGGGAACTTTAGGGTTACGATCGCCCAAATAGGAAAATATGTGGTTCGAAACACTTTCCCTTTATGGTTAGTGCAGGCTAGGTATAATTGCCGAGATTTCAAAAACCGAATCTAATCACGGACTTCTGCATGTGTCCAAAATCCGGTGGCTAGCTGTTGAGTAGAAATACTTACTCTGAACAAATTCGCATAAGTAAAACCAATTTCTATAAAGTCGGACTCAACATTAATATCGAATCCGCTCAGAATCAGCCATTCCCTACTCTCAAAGTCAGCAAAAACATAATGTCAGAGCAGAAGCCCAAAATACCGAAACGAAGAAGACTTCTCCGGAAGAAGCCCAACGATCGTGACAGTGATGAGAATGATGTCAATGTATGAATTTGCAATCTCTTTTTGGTGTATCTCCAATTGACGGAATTTCTGCAGAATGCCTACCTTTGTGATACTGAAGGTTACGCGCTCGACAATTTGCACTACTACAAAATTCGCCTTCCAGATGGCCGTGAGATACAGACTCGGCCAAGACTAAATAACTACGTCGATTTAGTCGTCGGTCCAGCCGGTAGCAGTGACCGATTCTTTCTTCGGGAGGAGTCGTGGCGCACTGAAGCCGTCACGGAGATCCATTTGAAGATAGTGAACTATGAGATTGATTATTACCTTGATCCGAACGAGCGTACGGGTATAGTCTTTGCCATGTGGCAGGAGCTCGATTCTCAGGATAACCATTTCGTAATTCGTGGTCGAAGATTCGGTGGCCGAAATTTTATTGGATATTTAAACGAAGGGGAGAGGTATGACTTCTCTCTAGGAACCTATGACACTGATACAAGTCTTAATACTATCGCTCTCTCCTGCTCCTCTGATCTCACATTTGAGGTTGAATTTGTGTGCATGTCTGAGAAGGATTAGCTTTCTTATTCTTTAAGCTGATGAGAATGTCATCCAACGGACATCGCGGATATTTGCACGTTCTTTTTATGCTTATTTTGTTCGTATGTATCTAGTGTCACTTATGTTAGTAAAATTGTAGAGGATGGCTGGATTATTGGTATTTGAGCTGTTCTGGGCCTCTCTTATTTTTAAGAGTGATGAATCTGAGCGAGTCTTTTCAGGAGCGCCCCGTACTATATCATGAGATAGATCAAGGCTAGGAGCTGAGGTTATTGAGCAGGTGGAATGCTTGAAGAGTTGGTATCAGAGTGAACTGCTGAAGGAGGACTTCCGAAAAGTAAATCTCATATGAAATTCGTTGTTATGTGAAAATTGACGTATATTTTGAGGTGTTTGTAGGCAAGATGACTGTGTATTGTTTGATCGACTTGGAGAGGGTGTTCGGATCTTCAATCGAATAGTAAGCTTTTGAATAAACCCGATCCGGATTAAATGGTACTAATCCAGTTGCTGCGAAGCTGTTCCGAACAGTTTGAGCTTTGTATGCCATTGTACGAGCTGTTGGAAATGCAGTGAGAAAGTCGATTTTGTCAATGTGATTGAATCCAAGCCTCATTCGCTGCTCAACAAGCCGTCCGTAATGTCGCTTTAAAACAGCAAAACAGCCAACATCAAGAGGCTGTAAAAGATGTGAGGAATGAGGAGGCATACAGACTGGAATGATATCATTCTCAGCGCATGTACGGTCAAAGTCAGGAGTTAAATGACTTCCATGGCCGTCGAGAATCAACATTCGATATTTTCCCATCGTACGACCATTAGTAAGAGGGATAAAATGGATTTTAAGCCATTCTAATCCAATCTTATTCGTTGCCCATCCATTATCACTTATATTGATTCTCAGTCATCTGGAAGATCCTCAAACCAACCTAATCGAGTGTATTTCTTTGCCTTGAAAATTATGTACGAAAGCAATGCCCATCCAATCGAATTAACTGCCTCAATTGCAGTTACCCATTCTCGATTACCAGGCTGTAATAGATTTGGCCGAGCATATCGATCACTTCCAGTGATAACCTTCGCGGTCGCACAGAGTCCCATAGCAAAGCCAGTCTCATCAAAATTGTAGATATCTTCCGGCAAGATCCCATACTCTAATATAACCTCTCGTACGCGATCAAAATATTCTTGGATTATCTTCGGATCTTCGCACTTAGCACGTTCATAGTTATATTTCCGTGAGAACTTTGATTCAATCTCTGGGCGACGTTTGACAAGATTATATACACCCAATTTTCTCCAAGCTGTTGGTTTCCGCGTTGTGAAAGAAGATAATCAGCCATCTCTCGTACAAGAGAGTGTCGAGGGGGTAATCCACGTTTATCTAGATCGAGTATCCATTTGGCAAGCAATTCCTCCTCACACTGAGTTAATTTATGACTGTTGGCGCGTACTTGAGATCTTTGTTGAGTGCCATTTAATCTGTCTTGTAGAGTCGCCCGGGGTATACTATAAATCCTTGCAGCTTGAGCCACGCGCAAGATTCGTCCATTTTGTAAATCAGAAATAGCTAATAAAATTCGTCCCTCTTGCTCAGCTAAATCTTTCTTATTTTTTTTGCGAATTGGTGGCATGTTGGCGGGTTGAATAATATGGAATTAATATTGTGTAAGCGTTCGGGAAAAAGTGCCGGTTCGCTTGTTGATGATGTTATAACCCCTTAACGTGGATTACGTAATTACTGTTCGGGCCGAATGTTCGCTTTAAATCCCATACTACCCCGACATACGGCCCCGCACACCCCAGTCCTTTCTTTGCATTTTCCTCAAGATCTCGATGTCTTCTAGTATTTCCGCCTAGTCGGCCATTGAGTCAGCCCGTATCTACAGTTCACGAGTAAGGCAAGGCCCGCTCCAGCATATATTCCCTTAATGATGCTTCGTCATGGATAGGAGAAATGCTCCTCCTGTGGCGTGTCTTCGTTGCCGCAAGCAGAAGGTTCTACCTACTTTCCCATTCACATTGCTCGCTCGGCTAATATAACAACGTAGCTCCGTTGTAGCCGTGAGCGTCCCATCTGCAAGAGATGTCAGAGGATCAAAAGCGAGTGCTTTTATCCTGTTCCGCCGGACCGAAGGAGGCTGGCCGCTACGAGGGGTCTGGGCCAAAACGTAGAAGCCGTGCCTCAACATGAGACTGCCACTCATCCCGCTCATGGCAATTTTTTGGGCTTGAATGCTATCTCCCCTCCTGTGGAGAGTTTACACGGACCGCACAGAGATGGCCTAACCACCCCAGGTGGAGACCCTTCCCGACTGCCACATCAATCCTTGCAAGAAGATCCAGGTAGCGTAGAGGTTTCTCGTGAAGTGGCTCTATTTCTTATCGAGATCTACTTCGAAAGGCACTACCAGGCCAATCTACTCTTCTGCAAGAGAGACTTTATGCAGAGTTACAGAGACGGATACATTACTAGCCATGTCATTCAAGCCATTTTTGCCTTTGCCTCGTTGTATGTTTCATTAGGCCCTGCGGATTTGTCTAGATACCTTTGCTCATGATGACCGCTAGATTTCTTTCCCCGTTGCCTGGTGGAGTCGTCTCGGGAGAAATCGATATCGGTGATATATCTCGAGCGGACTGGAGGGCGATTGGCAACCATTGGGCAGAGCAGGCCAGCCAACGAGCGCTCATTCATGCTGACAAACCCAGTATAGAGCTTGTCCAAGCGTGTCAGGTTCTAGCCTTGTACTGGTTTGCCACAGCGCAGACCACCAGAACAAACATGCATACAGGTATGCACAAGTTATGGTCTTTATGAACAATTCCGTCGGGGTTCTGATACTACCACAGCGATCGCCTATCGAGCATGCCGGTTATTGCACTTGTCTCAGAAATGTGAGAATGGCTCTGTCACAAATTGGTCCGGTGATCAGGACAGGGGTATGAGGTGCTTCTGGGCCTGTTGGCTCACCAAATGTGCCAGTCAAGAAAATACTAGATTCCAGTTCGACTGTTGGGCAGATGTGACAGGCTGTCCTTTACCTGCTGACAATGTTGACGAATCTCCGAGGACACCGATGCAGTATATTGGCAAACATGGCGTGATCGAAAACCTTGAGCCTATTCAACAGAACTCCGGTATAGGGTTTAATGCTGCCTTGGTTATTATGCAAGGGATTTGGTGCGTTTTCTTTTTTCTCTTTTTTTCTTGTTTTCAGCTCCTGGGTCCCTCTGACACACTACAGGTGGGAGGTTCAAGACTTCGTCCAGACCGGCCACGAAACTTGCGATAGGCCAACTGAGTGGGGTTCGAAATATTGCTCCCTGAGCAAGCGACTCGAAGAGCTACCGGACAAGATAGCTGAGCTTACACAGTACGAGCGTGGCCGCGAGTCTTCAAAAGCCAACTCAGCGGATCAAGCTCGTTCCTTCTGCCTCGGCTACTTCTACCATCTCTGCGTTGTATATTTACACTCTTCAATTGTACCCGCCCTATCCTACAGCCGGACTCCCCTCGCCATTTCACGGGTTATGATTCGACTCGCCGCCGAGCAAGCATGGGAACATTCCGTCTCCATGACGACTATGGCAGATCAGTTCATAGCCCGCAGAGCCACTATCTCCAAATTGTGGCCTGTAGTAGGTTACGGTGCCTATGTGTGTGCCGTAATTCAGTTACGGAGATTCCTCGCCTTGCGGGTTCTGACTCACCAACATCTTCAAGAAATGAAAGTACATCTGCTCATCTCGGGCGAACTGAGTAAGTATTGGATGACATTGCAGCCACTTGTATGTCCTGATCTCACTATCTCATCGTCACCTTGGCTGACGGTCAATAGCATGAAGACTTGAAACAACAATTCTCTCAAGCTCACGCTCTTATATCGTCGCGAGGCAATTGCGCTCAAGAAAAGGATGAACAGAGTAGTCGCCTCATGGATCAGCCAAATTCTGGTCCATCGCCAGAACTGTCTAGTTACCATCGTGTGTATGTCGCCAATCGCGACGCTCGAGGAGTGGACAGGCAGCTGGAAGAGCAGAACTCTAATACCTCTGTCCGTGTTATGGAGGCACATGATACCCCTCCAGCGACAAATGTACGCCAGGCACCAGATTTCACATCCTTTACTCATATTCCAGGTCTTACTAGCGCTGGCGAACGACATCAGACGGTCTGGGAGTCCACGATGCAGGGAACGTCTGGAGATCTAGCACCACAATCAGACTGGACATCAAGAGAAGATGGATTCTGGTGGAACCAGGACCCTTCTTCGCTAAACGATTTGTTTAGCGGTGGATTCTTCCTTCATGACGACATAGGTTTTTAAATAAACTACATTAGTAAGGAAGGATTGGAAATCCACAAGAGCATATGTTCACCCTTTTCACTGTGAGGCGGTTGGTTATAATTACTCGAGTCAATTTCTCTCCCCGAGGTGCTACAACATCAGATGAGTAAAACCCACTTCATCCCTATGTGATCAACCAGTCAGAATAAATGCCATGCATTAAGCTTGCTCAATAAAATCTAAACAAAGGTTATCTCGATCCAACTAGGTTCTTATACCAACTGGTCATTATAGCCCCGCTTCTTCCTCGGCATAAAACCTTCCTTTGACCTCATATTTAATATTCATAGAAAAGAAAACGAGAAGTTTACAAGAGAAATTCCCACCAAAAAATTCACCTCCTCCCATAAACCCTAGAAGAAAGGAAAATGCCCTCTCTCGGCCGCACCCTCATCGCCCTTGTCGGCCTAACGACAATGATCGGCTGCTACATCGCCGACTGGAACGAAACACACATCTACAACCCAAGCTGGACCCCACACGCAAAATTCCACAACGGCCAAACAATGTCCATGGGTGCAGCACTAGGTTCAACTACACTATTCTTCCTCTACGGGCCGCCATCATCCCCTTCCTCATCAACGGCAGGGAGGGTATCGGCGCTATATACAGCGTCCTGGATCGCGAGTTTGTATTGGATAACACAGTTATCGGCTCTGTTTTACCCCGGTTCGTTGGCGGTTGACCCGGAGTTTGGTGAAGGGGCGCCGCAGGTGTATATTTGTGCGGTTTTGTTGAGTATGATTGTGGTTGGGACGAGGTTGGAGGTTAGATTGATTAATGCGGAGAAGAATAAGAAGGCTTAAGTACTGTGCTCCTGAATGTCTTCGTTATTGATATGTATTATAGATTATGAATCCTCTCCTTTCCGACTATTAACATTAAGAAGATAATCATAGGGTATCAAAATCAAAATCAAAAGCGCCGTGCCGTGCTGTACAAATGCTATACATATATATATTTCGGACAGACGATTCACGTGAGATATCGTCCAAGTAAAAACAGAGGGGGAAGTCACGGAAGAGATTGCTGTCGCAAAGCTCTAAAACGTCTCGTGGCCTCGGCAGCAACCAACGCACTCAGTGCACCTATAAACAGACACACCGCAATTGCATCAGGTGCATCAGTATCCAAATTCATCCACCCGCCATCTCTAGCGCTCGAGTGGTCTTTAGTTTCTCCTGCATCCGAAGTCGGGGTCGATTGTTTCTGGCCGACAGGTGAAGAAGTAGCAGGCTCTAAAATACTAAACACAATCCAACTGATGAAGGTGCCCACGAATTGGGGGAGTGTTGTATACACATTCAACACACCCAGATAGATACCTGCAAGTTCGCCTGTAGACGGACTTTCGATAGTCGATGACTCTTCTGCGTCGCTGTCATCGTCGCCGGCGCTTCGGTGATTGAGTCGGAGGACATCCATTTCCATATCTGGCTCCACGCTGTCTATAGGACGATAGCCATGAGTCCGGAACGTGGTTGATGTAATCATCGTGGCTGTAGGGCGACTGGGCGGTTCCAAGGCTAATTTATTGATCTCAATCCCCATAAAGGCAAACGGAGCCCAACCAGAAACAGCCCAGGGGATGCCGCAGACGGAAACAAGGAAAGTCGCGACCTTCAACGATCGTGCCATGGGGGCAAAGATCATGGTCCCCGCAAAGACTAGATGAGAAAGGAACCATGCAGTTTGTAGACTGGGTCTGACCCTCTTGAATCGACGCAATACTGCTGCCATTCGCGGTGGGGGGCGAGATGTGAAATTTGCTCGTTTGGAATTGCTGTCGGGAGAGCGGACGCCGAAGGGGAGGAGGACAGAAGACAGGAAAGTGACTCCTGAGAAGATCACAAGTGACAGACTGCCCAGTCGACCGACGTCTCCGAGTGTGTCGGAGGAGCTTGCGGCTGATTCGGGGTTTTCGTAGCGGAAATAAGTCTCTCCTACCCATGTTGTGCTGTAGAAAAGGAATGGAAACCATCCTGTGTTCATTAGATTGGGTCTATACAATGACAGGAACATACGCACCAATCCATGACCAGAATTGAACCCAACAGATGGACTGGATACGCGGCGGCAGATCCATTGTTGTTTTATAGAGTTGTGAGATAACATGAAAGAAACCATGTGTTTCATCCGCTCCCCTAACAGAATCATAATCAGTTATTGGACCTGAATTTTCTGGCCAGAACTCACCTCGCCGCTATCAACACCCTCTCCTTGACAGAGTACGATGTAATCAGAACAGAAACAATTAAAAAGATAGCCGCTACAACGGTCATCTGCTTGAATTGAGTATCGCCGAATCTAGTGCCGAATGTCGTGACCATATCTATAGAGCCGACGATATAAGCTATTAGGGAGCCAATGGCTTGCATTCGGATTGCTTTTTCTTTTAGCAGATGTCAAGAAATCACCAGAAAAAAGACTCACCCCATGCAGAACCTAGTTGCTGTTGGGATATCGGCAGAGTATCCACAATGAGACTTCGACAACATGCTTGGGCTATACTAAGTGTCAATATGTATCAATAGACATCTGCAAAAGACTCACCAGCATTAATAGCAAAATCAACCCCATAAATCGCCAAAACCGCCACCGCAATTGTCGCACTTCGTTTCTATAAATCCACGCAGTTCATCAGTTCTCCCCTTCCTTTCCCATCTCCCTTTTTTTAGAGAATATAGACACACCCTCTCAATATCATGCACGAACCACCCCACAATCTCCGAAGTCCAACCCAACAACAACAAACAAAACGCAACAATCAACGCTCCACCAAGCATAAACGGCCGTCTTCGACCCCATTTCGATCGTGATCGATCTGCGATTACGCCGATGAGAGGATGGATAATGAGGCCGGAAAGGGGCCCGGCGATCCAGACGAGTGAAGTGCGCGATTTTGTTAGGCCGAGTTGGAGGAGGTATGGCGTGCAATCTGTCAAATAATCAGTATCGTGATTGTCCGAGAGGGTAGGGTTGTTCGTACATGACATTTCAACACCCCATGTAAAGCTTTACGATTCTATTAGCCTCCGCACCCCAACTATAGTTCCATTCTGAGAGGTAAGACGTACGAAACTCCAGTCAAACTAAACGCCAAAAGAGCCATACGAGTCGCTTCCGATCGGCCCTTGATGGAAGGTGAGCCCGTCCATGATGCGGCTCTCATCGCCGTTATAGTGTCAACGAAGCATTCAATTGCTCCGATAGTAGTCGCATAAACACTATTTATTATTTTTTGCCTAGTCCTTCAGTTATTGTATGCGCAGAAATACAAAAAGAGACGATTCGAGTATTCGAGACGAGGACGCGCGGAGGTGATGCGGAGCACACGGAGTGGTCGATATCTGGACAATCAAATGCAACAGTCGAGTCAAAAAGCTATACAGGACATACTCGACTGGAAAGCTCTGTAGTTTTCGTCTACTTCGTCTGTAAGTACACTCAAATTCATTTTCTGAAAGACTGGAAGAGTAAGAACATCGAACGAAGAGTCTAGAAGCGGTCTGTGCTCAGATTAATGAAGCTCTTCCGGAACTCTAGAACGGGTAATGATCGCCCTTGATGCCTGAGGCAGTAAATATTATTCCAACACTCTATTCTATCATTAATCAATGTGCCCCAACCGCCTCATCTCCTCCAGCGCCTTCTCAATTTTTGCTTTTCTCTCCTCCTCAGCTCTTTTCAATCCCTCATTAGTCAACGGAAACGGGCCAGCCCATTTCCAGGTCCCATCCTCCTGAATCCCACCACTCTCATCAACCCAGTCCTCAAAATCCATATTCGCCACATCCAGATTACAGTACATATCCCAAACCCTTTCGTACGGCAATCTGGCTGCTCGGAATGATTTTACGTGTGAGCCTGTCTCTGTGTCTTCATCGTACTCGAATACTCTCTGGGCTACAAGGCTTGTATCGGTTTCGAGACCTTTGACGTCTATGATGAGCCATGTGTAGCAGGTGAGACCTGCTTTCTCAAAGCGCTCGGTATTATCCCAGAGGAAATCGTTGATTTCATCCATACTCATGCCGGCGAATTCATTTTTGAACAATCCGTCCGGGTCGTGTGGTGGTGTCGTCGGCTGTAACTTTCCTGTCGGCATATCCTTTGAGGTCATCAAAAACCAGTTCGAGCAAGGGATTTCTTCCGCGAACTGGAAATCTTGAAGGAGTAGAAGTGCTTTGTTCAAAGCCTATATGACTCAATATTCAGTTGCCCGTCAATTGGGATAGGCGTTGAGCAAGTAAATACCTTTATATTCACCTCAGGGGCTGTCAGGAAGACTGGCCATAGTTCAACCATCTTGCAACTTTACTACACAACAGAGATATAGAAGAGTAATCTTCTATATTAGCAGGATAGACAGCGGAACTGGTTTATATACTATGAGATTAGGCGGCAAACACATCCAGGTGCGACGTCATATTACTGGGGGCTGAGTGTGTTATAGTATGTGAACTAAGTCTGATGGTTCTAGTCACAACTACTACATACGGAGAAGAGCAGCAGCATATCCCTGAAATGCTGTCATGAGAATAGAGTATTGAATCATTGGCTGGTACTTGGATCGGTAACCTTGAAATCACGATCAGATTTCTGTAGAATAGAATAGACCCAGGTAGCTGCTACATCTGCTCCTTAGATCTCACTAGTCTTACCAAGCACTACAGATCATAGATAGCAAAGAAAGATATAATTGATCATGACTACTCTAGAGAAGAAGAGATTAAAAAAAAATTGAGTTTCAAGTCATGTCATCTCTGTATCACCCTCCTAATTAACTAACTAGTCACAATCACAAGACTCCGAAAACGAGCTCCAGGATCGCTTCCAGGACGTCTATATCATCATCTCATCATCGTATAGTAGGATGCCGATAATTTCATTGATCTCGTCTCATTTCGGCATATATCGTTTGTTCGCACAGATTTTCGTTTTTCATTTGCATTAGCATTTTCGTCCATCATCTACAGTCGGTTGGGGGTGGTAGAGTGGAGAGGCCATTGGTAGCCGGCAGCGTCACTGAATTGGTATCCGAAGGATGAAGTAAAGTCATCCAGAACAGCAGGTCCTCGGGAGCCTGTCGTTGAATTAGTATACAACTATGAATAGATCGTAATAGTACTCACCGTAAGGGTACTCCATGGGGATAATCTCTTTGTTGTCGTCCAGGTAGTGCAAGAGGGGAGAGAAGATTCTCCAGCTGGCGTCGAGCTCATCGTCACGGACAAAGTTGGAGTGGTCTCCCTTGAGGGCATCGAGGATAAGAGATTCGTAGGCCTCGGGGATCTTGAGGTCAGAGAAACGGCGGCGGTAGGTAAGGTCGAGCTCGGTCACAACAGTCTGCATGGAAAGACCAGGAAGCTTGGAGTTCATCTTGATGTAAACAGACTCGTTGGGTTGCACTCGGATGACAAGCTCGTTTCGAGGAATGTCCTTGAATATGCCAGAAGTAACATCCTTGAACTGAATACGGACTTCGGTCTTTTGCTCGTTGAGGGCTGTAAAAGTTAGTTTCGATTCCTCACACCAGCAAGGCAAACTAACCCTTTCCGGCCTTCAAGATGAAAGGCACACCATCCCAGCGCTCGTTCTTAATAAAGGCGACCATAGCACAGAAGGTAGCGCAACGTGAGTCCTTGGGGACAGTATCGTCTTCCTTGTATGCGGGCTTGCTGCCATCGAGGGAGCGACCATATTGACCAATAATGACGTTCTTGGGCTCGATAGCATCCATTCCTCTCAGGACACGCACCTTTTCGTCACGGATATCTTCAGCAGAAAACGAGATGGGGCGCTCCATGGCGAGCAAGGTCAACACCTGGAGAAGATCTGCAGAAATTAGCGAAGTCATTCATCCCCCTGCCCCCCCCCCCCCAATACCATTTTAAGATACATACGGTTCTGCATGACATCACGGATAATGCCAAACTCATCGAAATAACCGCCACGACCTTCCGTACCGAAAGGCTCTTTGAAGGTGATCTAAAGAATTAGCGCATGAAACTCATTCGAAACGCTCCAAGCATACCTGAACGTTATCAATGTGGTGACGGTTCCAGGTGGCACCGAAAAACTCATTACCGAATCGAAGAATGAGGATATTCTTAACCATTTCCTTGCCCAAATAATGATCAATACGGAAGATTTCCTCTTCCTTCCAGTTGGGTTCCAAAGCCTTTTGCAATTTCCGCGAGCTCTCGAGATCCTTGCCGAATGGTTTTTCGACCTAGTCGCATCGTCAGCCATCGCAACTGTGTAACTGCTGAATAAGTGCAAGGAGCTTACAATAATTCTTGCAACACCACCCTTGGGATAGCAATTCTTCTTTAACTGCTCTGAAACGGTGATAAAGACACTAGGTGGAAGAGCCATGTAAAAGATGCGGTTCTGTTCCTTGTGGTCCTTCTCGATATCTTCAAGGTGCTTGTTGAGATTGATGAAAGAGTCGTCCTGATCGTATTGACCAGAGACATATGTACAGACTTTGCAAAATTCCTCGAGTTGCTCTTCCATTTCCTTGGTGGGGACCTTGATATAGGACTTTACTCGTCGTAGGAACTCGGGGTGGTCCATCTTTGTACGGGCATATCCGACGATCTTGATATCCTTGGGGAGGAATTTGTTTCGGTACTATTCAGTCAGAATCGTGCGTAAAGGTTATTGTAAGTATACACACCAGACCGAACAGAGCAGGGAACTGCAATCAGTTAGTACGAATTAATTCAAGGCCGGAAAAATATCGCATATAGCGCTTATGAGTAAAACATACTGTCTTCTTCTTTGCAAGGTCACCAGAGGCACCCAGGACAATGATGACGGTGTCATCCTTAAGTTCCACGGAGCTGTTCACAATCGCCATGTTAGCTACGGATGCGCTCACTGTGTCGGCGCGCAGAACGCAAAAATACGAAATTCAAGAGAGAATTGAGGGAGTTGGAAAATTGATCAAATGGCAGAAATTTAACACTCGCAGCAATTGCAAGTGTCTGGCAGGCTGAAGCTATCGCTGTTACGGCCGACCTCGAGGCCCCGCTCCGGTGTAACAAATGGGTGATGTAAGCGCCACACAACAGTAGAACTTACCTAGCGGAGTGACCGTGCTCGGCCTGGATGAGAGTGTTCGACATTGTGATATGTGAAGCGATAGATACTGGGAGGAATCGCTTGTTGGAGGGGGAGAGCGACAAGAGTAGTGATGGAGAGGAGAGAAGTAGAAGAAGAAGAGAAAAAGAGGAAGAGAGGAGTTGGGGTTGATGCTTCCACTCTTCTGTACCCAGCGACTTCCGCTAAGCTACCAGGTCACTGGATAATTTGTCACCTTACTAAGGATCAGTCATTTGGTGGGGCAGAGCCTCTCTACATTAGAGGGGGTGCTCAGGTAATCCCATTACGATACTCGTCAATCCGGAGATACATACACTCATCCAGCGGAAATCCGAATAGTGTTGTTTCTTCTAATCAATTGCACGCATACACATCATGACTTTCTGTCCGTCAAGATCCATCCCTCACCATCGATAAAACACATACAAGTACAGCAATCGCCACATGTCATCGGTTTTACCGGCTTCACTAGACGTCACCGATGGAGGGGTGGAGCAGATGCCATCACAGATCCTGATTCAGCCATGACTGTATAAGTCGAAGTGAAAAGAAGCTATTCACTAATCAACAAATAACCGCTTATGATTATCACGATGTATGTATTTTGATTACATGTATCAAAGTTTCAGCAGAGTCCGACCTATAGCAGGCCAGCCGTCTTGCTGTCTAAGCTGCCCTGATATTTGATAAGCAGCTCGATCTGAAGCATTAAGCCACCAGCTATCAGAATCGGACTTTTCGGAGGTATGGTCGTACTTTACGGGGGAAAAAATTACACCCATCATACTGGAAGTTGCTAGCCTGTCGATTGCTGCATGTGTCGACTACTATGATCACTGATCAAGTACGGAGTAGACGCTTTAGGATTCATCCCGATTCCCGGTAGACCATAACGGAATCCGCTCGCCGTGCTGGGGGGGGAGATAGAGTCCGCGACTCCGGTTGTATCAACAGTTAGGGTTTGGAGCTTGAAAAAGATGTGCTTCTAGAAGACATGTACGTACATTACTCAGCCAGACTGGCCAGAACATGCAGTGTGTTCGACCTATTTATCCGGTATAGCTTCGTATCGAAATTACCCCTATTCTGCCCCGGCCCATAGTCGCATTCAGACTTCATCTGCTACTATCTGAGCACAGTGAGCGCTATACAGTAGCAACAATGCTATCAATACACGAACAGACACCGGCATTGTGACTTCTGATGGTAAGCAAGATGACTGATGAGTAATTTGGTAAGGGTGGTTGAAGAGTCCGGAGCAGAGTCATCCGCCGAGGAAGTACGTAAAGGCGGTGGCCGTTGCAGCCTAAGGCAGGAATATTTAGCAGCCTCAGGCAACAACTTCCCGATAGACCAGCTATTCCATATCCGGTTAGTAGAGACGGTCAGTCACGGGGTCTCGGTTAACCCTCGCTAGGGCTAACCGTTCCGGGTTAGCGGTAGCCGCACCACCAACTCTTTCCCATAGATTGTGCGTTGGCCTTGCCTCAGATCTTTCGAAGCGAGACGACGACGACCGACCGACAATACCACCGCAACGAACCGACATTCTATCCGACTTCTTCGCCGGGTCAGCGTTGCTTTTGTTTTCTGTGTCTGCTCAGAGAAGAATAAATAAGTCCGTCAAGATGCCTTCGGAACACGGTCACAGACGTGAGTGATTGATCTCCTTTAGAAGATGCGGTTTTCGGTTGATGGAGATGGAGATGGTCGCATTGCCTTGCATTTGCAGTCTGTTGAAGTCATGAGTATTGATCAGTTGCTAACTTTTCACAGTCTACGTGAAGTAAGCATCCCTCGAATCCGTCCGATTGAAGATATACCGCGCCTGTCATTATACATCAGATGGAACTTTGCATTGCGAAAACTACATAATCGAATCAGTCTAACTGGATTATAGGGGCCGCCACCTGAGCTACCAGCGTGGAAAGCGCAACACCAACCCCAACACAAGCTTGATCAAGATTGAGGGTGTCGATGATGTTAACGCCGCCAAGTGAGTGACCTGGACCGCGATATACACGATACTACTCATACTAAGACTTCACAGCTTCTACCTCGGAAAGAAGGTCGCTTTCGTTTACCGCGGAAAGAAGGTGGTTCAAGGCTCCAAGATCCGTGTCATCTGGGGCAAGGTGACCCGACCACACGGTATGCGATCATCATCCAAGCTCGATCGACGGGAAGTCGAGGAAAGTCGAACGTCGTACTGACTCGCTCTTGATAGGCAACTCCGGCGTCGTCCGCGCTCAATTCCGACACAACCTCCCTCCTCAGACTTTCGGTGCCACCGTCCGCGTCATGCTCTACCCTTCAAACATCTAAACCAGCGATTTCCGCGAGCCGGGGTGCATCATGTTCTGTTTACTGTGTTTGTTTATGTAATGAAGGGCGAGGCCTAGTTTCGACGGCATACAAAAGACGAGGCTCTTTTTCTATCTCTTATCCTGCTCTTTTTCCTTTTCAAAGCAATTTGACAAAATTGCTCCTACCGATTGCACAACAGATGACTTATATCCATGGTGATTTGTGATGGGAGTTGGTTTCGAAACGTTAGAAGAAGAAGCAAGAAAAAAGGATCGGAAAGAGAATTCTATGGCATTGGGCAAGTCATACAAGCATTTGACAGGGATTTATGAAGTTTTGAAATCTCTGTTATAAACAATCTTTCTCTTTTTGCTCATATCGAGGAAAAGAGGAACAAAAAAATCAAAATATGATTTTTAAAAGAATACCCTATTGAGCCATCTGATGGTGATATCAATTTTTCCATTTTCCATTTTCCTATTTCTCGTCACTTTTTCTACGACTAATCTCTTTAGAGAGCATTGCTTTTGTGATATCGGAATCAAAGGCGGCAAATTGATATGTTCATATGCTTGGCCGGCTTGCGTGCTTGGATACAGATAAATCTACAGTATCAGGCATTCAGACGGGATCATTGAACAAATCTGGTAACCATAAAAAGATAACCTTGTATGTCAATATGGCCGGCAAGGCCACAAGGAATTTTGGCTACTTAGTAACCGATGCTTACGACTCAAATTGGGTTCTATATACCAGCAGCGATGCCGTATAGTCATGCCGATCTTTCATTCCATAGCTTTACTCTATCAACTACAGGAAATACGTATTAATCAGAGAGGTCGCCACAACCAATTCATAATTTCAAATAACCCTATATGGATCACGTGATGTGATGAGTCCTTTCCCTCGAAAAAGTTCACGTATTTCGCTTATATGAATTATCAAAGCTAAGCAGAACTGTCTCTAATATATGACCAAGTTTATCAGGAGTTCATGTCAATGTACTTTAAAAATGTAAGTTGCTACATGTCTCTCGACCAGTTAACTGATAGATGTAAAACCAACCAATCACCACCTACTCTCCACACTCAGCTAGCTCCACCTCTATCAGAATCTCCATTTCATCATTGACATTCAACATTCGCCATCACAACACAATTCTATAACAAACACCCTCATACAGGAACAAACATATAAAAAGGACAAAATGGTTCTCCCCGGTCGCCGCTCTCGGCCAAATCAACGCGTTTCTCCTCCGCCGTCATCGTCTGAAAAACCAGATACATCATCAGTATTAGCGCAGGGGAGTACTAATATCCCAGGAGCATCGGATACATCCCCGGCTGTACCTGCGTATGTTCTCTAACCAGTCTGTTGATATTTTCAAGAGAAGAGCTAAAAATTTATCATATAGAGAAACAATATACAAACTCCTCGCATTCACATTTGCCATGATCTGCGGCCCACTCGGGGCCTACTTTTTGAGTATCAAGACTTTTTTCAGCGGTGATTACCCATCCATCAATGCGGTATAATAAGAAACAATACTAATTGAGAAATAGGAAACTCGACTCTTGCCGGAGCTCTGGCTGCTCTAACTGCTAATGTGGTCCTGGTCGCATATGTGATTGTAGCCTGGCAAGAGGATAAGGAAGATCAAGCGAAGCAAAAGGAGAAGAAGGGCCAGTAAATTCTATATGTCAAACATGCGAGTTTTCATTCATCATTCATATACCTTCCAAGATAGTAGGGGTATCGTATCATAAATCCACACAATCTCTAGTTGAGGGAAGGGGGGAAAAAAGTCAAGGCCTCCTCCTAACAAATTCCTGCAAATCCCCCTCCGTCACAACACCCAGTACAAATTTCCTCGTCGGATCCGTCACAATCGCAAAATCTTGTTTTCCCATCCCCGTCGTCGGTCTCCCTTCTGTAGGGTTCATAGGCTCCCCCTTGAAAAATCTCTCCAATTCTTCCAAGGGTGTATCCATGGTAATAACCGTATAAATATTTGATTTTTTACGATTGAATCGTTGCATGGCTGCTTTTACGGGATCGGATTCGGAAACTTTACCCTCGCGAAGGAGCGTTTTGAGGCGTGGGATGCTTAGATAGCCGAGTAAGGCGCGGCTGCTGGATGATATCACTGTGAGATGGCTATAGTCTCGTTCGTAGGCGGTTAGAAGCGCGGAGGAGATGGAGTCGTTTGGGGACACGGAGAGGGCTGGAGGGGGATCCAAGTCTTCGACGGTTGCCTTGATTTCTTGTTAGCCATGGATATGTTTGATTCTGAGTGGAAAAAGGTGGTATACCCCGCGATATTTTCCTGACCAGGAATTCAGATTCTGTGTTGAGGCGGCGGAGGCATGGTCTGTGAGGTTTTCGCGAGCGAGAGTCTCGCCGACTGAGGAATAGGTTGCCATTATTCTCCTGTGCTGAGTGATGCTTGACGAGATGAGGTGCAAATGGGCGAGGTGACGATTCTTGGCCGGAAAATATCCGCCGATTATCTCAGTCAGCTCCACTGGCCAATCAGAGCTAGCAATTGCTAGCCAGCTCTTCAGCTCTGGAGCTCTCCCTTTATTTTTCACGAGGAATAGTAATATTCATGCAATACGAGCTACAAACCAATTAACTTCGATTTTTGTCAGCTCAGCCAACAATCCAACCAACAGAGCTACTCTGTACGCGAAAGACGGTTAGCTACACGGAAAGTAATCTCTTAGCGCAATGACTTTCCGAGTCGGGCCCATCGCCACTCCAAAGACGTCACTCTTGACTTATCTACTACTCTCTCTAAATACAGCTCCTTTCACTCACACCCTCACTATCCTGTCAATTGATCGAAAGGAAGAGAGAAAATGCCATCTATATACCCAACCCAAGAAACACTGCAAACCAACTTCTCGCAGCGCCAACCATTCCCAGCATGGAGCGCAGTCGACGACGTCAAACAAAGCTATGGTAAGCTTAGTACCAAGGCGCAGGCCAAAACAGGCAAGATTGAGATGTTTTCGCCAAAGTATTATGCTGCGTGTACTTTTGGCGGGTTGCTTGCTTGTGTAAGTATATCTGTAGATTATATATTTACTACCTAGGAGAGCCGGAAGGTGAATAACATGCACAGGGTCTGACACATACGGCTGTCACACCGTTGGATCTGGTCAAATGTCGACGCCAGGTTGATCCAACCCTGTACAAAGGTAATCTGGAAGCATGGAAACTCATCTATCGCGCCGAAGGGATCAGGGGTGTATTTACCGGTTGGGGACCGACCTTCTTCGGATACTCTGTATTCCTCCCATTCCCCCTATATCCTACCATTTTCTGAGACTGATCCAAGAGATAGGCACAAGGAGCATTCAAATACGGCGGCTACGAATTTTTCAAATCCTTTTACAGCGACCTAGTCGGCCCCGAAAAAGCCGCACAATGGAAGACCAGTGTCTATCTGGCTGCTAGTGCTTCGGCAGAGTTCTTTGCGGATATTGCTCTTTGTCCGTTTGAGGCTGTAAAAGTTCGAACGCAGACTACCATGCCGCCGTTTGCGACGGGGACGTTTGATGGGATTAATAAGATTACTGCTAAGGAAGGGCGAGCGGGGTGCGTCTTCTGTTGACAAGAAGGATTGCATGTGCTAATGGGCTGGCAGATTGTTTAAGGGATTGTATCCCCTCTGGGGTCGACAGATCCCTTATACAATGATGAAATTTGCCTCCTTTGAGACAATTGTAGAGATGATTTACGGCTATCTTCCCGGCAAGAAACAGGATTACAGTAAGAGTCAACAGACCGCCGTCGCATTCACGGGTGGTTATCTAGCTGGTATTCTGTGCGCGATTGTCTCGCATCCGGCCGATGTTATGGTGAGCAAACTCAATGCGTCGCGACAACCCGGTGAAGCGTTTGGGGCTGCCATGTCGAGAATCTACAAAGATATTGGATTTGGAGGCTTGTGGAATGGATTGGCTGTTAGGATTGTGATGATTGGTACATTGGTATGTTTGCTGATCTCTACGGGTGCGTAAAGCTGGCTGACTTGTATAGACTGGATTGCAGTGGATGATGTATGCTTCCTTGAAAACGTAAGTGTGAGTGATGCTGACTGTTATAGATACGATTCGTTCAAGATTTTTATGGGATTGCCGACGACAGGTGGACAGATTCCGGAGAAGAAGTAGTAGGTTGGGTCTATCGAGTGTATCACAACAACTTATACGTACTACGTCAAGTATTTTACTGTTCATCTAATCCACTGCTTTATTTGATTAAAATCATTCTATATTCATTATGTAGCAGTCCCATCCCGCCCAACACTCTCCCCCGCAAACTGATAAACACCCTTATATCCCTCCTTCACACTTTCCGTCATCTCACAAAACACAATCTGCGCCACCTTTGCATTTTTGTGCAGAACAACACCCTCCGGATTCCTCACATCCATCATGGCTCCCATAGCACCTTCATACCCCGCATCCACAACACCAGCCACAATGCCCACGCCATTTCTCCACAAGGACGATCGCGGAAATACACTCGCCATACAATTCAGGGGTATACGGACTGATTCATTAAAATCAACCAAATACGCGCCAGGTTCTAATTTTATTCCTTCCTCCTGTGAGAAGGCAGTGGTGGTGAACTCGAGAAGAGATGTCTTTGCTGCTTGGCGCTGTGTGTTGGAAAAGTCTATTGTTGCGGCTGAGGTCCATTTAGAGATTTGGCGAAGGGTGAGGTCGATGCCGCAGGGTTGTTGTTGGTGGGTTGGTTGGAGGAGGGAGCGGACAAAGTTTTGGGTTAGGATTCGGCGGCCTGTGAGGATCATGTTGTTTGTAGATTCTGTATAGGCTGAGGTGTTGGAGTGTAGATGAGTCTCGAGGCACCAGGAGCGAGCACGCAATTCCCCTGTCGGGACGTACTCGGCTAGCTACCCCGTGGAGTCAACATCGCATCTCCTACAGAACATAACATACTCAACCATTGAATCTCGCTCTATTAGCTGATCAAAAGAATATCTTCACTCTACTCTCTCGAGAGTAGAGTACGGAGTAGTAGATAGAACAAAGAGTTTCCAATAATTTTAGTCATCCCGTTATCTTATCAATTCCGAGATAAGCGCGTAATACCGATACCATACATACACCTAATACACTAGACAAAGCCATGGCGTCATCGTAATCGCAATACGGCATGCATAGGCGAGTCTATACAGTCCCGGAGTCCAGCCAAGACTCTCCCGCGGAACTACAGATAACATCGTCGACATAACCATATAAACCCAGCCTGTCTCTTTTATCTACATCCGCCCCTTCCATCAATCGCATATACACTGTGTACCTACAGAAAGAAGGAAGAAAAATGTCAGCCGAAGAATCAAAACCCACTGCACCGATCGTTTCGCATGGTCGCGGAGGTTCGTTTTTACCTAACCATCATGCCATCCGATAACTGACAGGAGTAAAAGGCCAAGGAAACATCGGCGCCGATGCAACGGAATACGTCGACGGCGAAATCGTTCGTGAAGGGCCCGTCGGTGATCAGGGGGATGGTGCTTATTCTGCCGGTGTATGCCCTCATTTTCATAACAAATTTCCAAATGAAGATTGAGAGAGAGAGAGAGAGAGAGACTGATAAAGAATAGCGCGGCGGAGCAGGAAACATCGGCTCTCCACATATCCGCCCCTCTACCCCGGGAAAAGTCCATGATAATGTCGTTGTACCCGAGACAGCGGTTCGGGAGAGTTTGGATGGGGATTATCATATCGGTGTACGTCTCTCTTTCTTAATTTGAAATTGTGTAGTGGTTAATTCGTGGTTGGGATGTAGCGCGGAGGCCAAGGAAACGTCCACCTCGATGAGAGCCATGAACAGGACAAGAAACATCATCTCGGTCATAAGCATACCAATAGTACCGGCAAGGCTCCTGCTACTGGAGATTCAGCGGATGGGAAGGTGTATGAAGGGTTGGCGGATAAATTGAAGAGGAAGTTGTTCGGGAAGTGATCTCTCTTCCCCCGCTTCTAAGGGCAAGATTGTAGACGGCGTGGTTATGGTGGTTGGTGGTATAGATAGTAATTATTTTCTTGATGTTATTTCGTTGTGATATCCATGGGGATGTTAGTTATTAATCAATTTATATCGTTAATCAAATTTAGTATAAGAAGGCAGATATCCCACAGAAAATAAAATGAAATAAATACAGCGCCATCCAGATCCGTACCGATCTTATCCATTAATTATGTGATATCCGTGCGTTCAATTTCGTGGCAAACATAGCATACGTAGAATGACATGACGAAAAAAAAAAGGAAGTATGTACTCGTCGGCAAGAAATCAATCCTTGCTAAATCGTCGTTTGAACCAACTACCGCGTTTCTTTTTGTCGTCGGTGTCGGCGACTTTTCGAGCTGGGGCTGGAAGTGCGGGATTGAATGGTTGCGAGGCTTGACCGTTTGATTGTCCATGAGGAGGTGGTGCAGGTACACCGTTTCTGTAGTCGTGTTGAAACGAGGTATCAATCTGGGGATTTCCACCGAATCCATTTAGCCCGTAAGTCTCAGACGGCTGTTGTTGCTGTTGGTATTGTTTTTGTTGTGCGGCTTGTTGCTGCAATCGGTCGAATGAGCTGTTGACTGAGCTGGGGTCGGTCGAGTTGCCCCATTGATCAGTATTTGCAGACCCAGAGCCAGCGGTGAAGTTGTCTTGCGATCGTTGGTAGGGCGAGTTGGGGTAGAAGTTCTGTTGTTGCTGATGGCCATTGCCGTTGGTGTAGTCTGAGTTCACGCGATTGTTGGGATGTCGCGGTCGGTTACCTCGCGGCCCTTGGTTGTAATAATATCCATTCGATCCGGATGCGCCGTAGTCGACGTAACTGTCTGGTCGAGACATGGAAGGACGTCCGTAGCCATTTTGATTCGGTTCGCCTAATCAATTAGCTTCGCTTTTGAATGATTGAATCTGATCACTCACCATAATAACTGCCTGGTCGACTCTGAGATGCATCTATAACACGTCAGCTGTCATCTAGTTATTCTAGTATTTACTCCATACCAGTGGCGTATGACATGCGACGGTTATGGTAGCTTCCATCAATCGCAGCTTCAAAAGATCGAATAGTATCCAGCGGCCTCTCAAGTCGAGGACGAGTCGGATTCGACAGATCGGGGTCAGCTGCACGTTGTTAGCCAGTTCAATCAATTCTGAAAGAGCGAACATACTTATAATATTCCCATATTGATCCTTATGCTGAATCGATCGCAACGATCCCAGATTCGACTTTTCCAACAACGCCACGGTCGCTACATAATCAGCACTTGACCTCCAAATTCACCGATATTTTAATTGCAAAGAAAAAAAAAAAAAAAACTAACCAGGTTGAGCTTCATTCATAGCGAGCGTCGGATCAGCTTTCGTATGCAAAATCCGTTTAGCCTTCTCCTCTGGAGTCTCATGCAACGAAATCTTCCCACCAGCCGAATGGCTAGATCGATGCGACTTTTCGGATTTTCCGCCAAAACTGATTCCGCGACTGCGACGAGGTGATGTTGGGGGAGATGGTAGAGGAGGTTGGTTATTATTATTATTAGCGTAACGGGTCGCCATGTTTAGTTTTTTTTTTATTTGTTGTTGCCCTATGTAAACCGGTTTTTTGCGACGTAATGCGACGTGCACAGACTAGAGCTGGTAATTGTGGATAGACAATCACTAACTATCCTGGCGATTAGTTAGGAGCTGATATAAAATTATGGACCTTGAGAGAGAGAGCTTGGACGGACCCAACTGTGGAGTAAGGTTATTGCGAAGTATGACCGTTAGCTTAGAATGGCAGTATCAATATGATATGTACGATGGTTGGACTGTAGTGATTGTCGAGATCGGTGAGCGTGGTGGAGTAGCAGTCCTTAATATTAGATACGCAGTAGATGCTCGATTGTAAGTGTGTCTGTCTGATATGCTATGATCTCAGTCAGATGCGCCGTACGGTCGCGCTGCGTTGAAGAGTAGTCGCGGTATTCGATGAGCGAGCGAATGTAGTGATAATGAGTGGTAATGATAATTGAGTGATAATTGAGCGATAAAGATGATGAGATGACAGTTATAATATGCCAGTCCAGGTAGAAAAGAGGCTAGAAGCAAGAGGAAGAAAGAGTGGGACAGACGGAATCTTGGCTTCTGGTGGTGTTTCACTTTGCAGGTCCAGGCACCAAGGCAACAATGCACTTGGCCGTCTCCGTATATCTGCTGTATATGTTTCTCTGCGTTTATACAGAACACGAAGATGAAATGAAGAATGAAAAGAATGAAAAGAAAAAGAGGAAAAGCCAACTCATTCCAGTCAGGATCCTAGCGCCTCTAACCAAGAATTCTCCCAAATAGGACCAAGGTACACGCAAGCCAGCGTCAAGTCCGAGTGGCTGTGTCTCACGCCCACTGTTCCCATTGGAACGAATCATTGCTGTGCTTGTCATTGCTTGAATAAATTGTCTGATCTGTGACAACCTGTGACAACCCTGAAGCAGACTCCGTAGTTCGTCGCGGCAGTGGCCGGATCTTGTCGTCTCCACTTCTTACGTCGTTGTACATGATACTAAGAGATATCTATCTGAATGCTTAAAAAGGCTTTATGTGTACCCGAGTACCAGTGTATCCATGGATGAGTTCAGAAAATGCACTTTTCAATTAAGCTTCTTTTAACAAATGGAACTCTCCACAGCCACGTGTGTGTATTAGGGTATGTTCAGGTGTAAATGCTACGTAATACTACGTAATTCAGCCCTACTCCAGGTCTTGAATTCTCTGCTCAATATATTGTTTATTTCCCAGTAAAACAACACAAGAAGAACTAAATACGACAAAAGGGTATGGACATGGTATGTGGAGAAATACAAACAAGAAGCGAAATAGAAATAGCAAATAGCCAGGTAAGCCAAAAAGAAGAAAAAAAAAAAGACAATGTCAAAGCGAAAAGAACTAAATGGGGAATTCTTGTAGACAGCAACAGATATCAGAAATCGGAGTACATTAAAGGAAAAAGATTAAGTCTGGAATAGGTGAGAGGATGTAGAGATTGAGGAAGTGAAGGGGCATCAATTTCGTTTACGATTCATTAAACCGTAACTTCAATCGCGCTGTCACTGGATTTGTTTTCAAAATGATCATCGAGCTGCTTCCATGTTACCGGTCAACTCGGCCACACGAGCCTTGATTCGAGCTACTCGTGATTCAATGGCTGCATCAGTCAGCACTGTACGTAGTTATAAAAGCTTGGAAAAAAAGACTTACTTTCTTCACCGCTGGTATCGCCATCGTCCGCCACACTAGTTCGACTATGAATTTCCTCCTGTGTAGCAGCCGCTGCTCGCTCAGCTGCATTCTTACGAATTTGTGCCCATCGATCCTGGTACGCCGGACTGGTCGCTACAGGCTCAGCCCCAGCCGTGGCCGTTGGTGTGGCTATATCACGAGGAGTTTCAGTCGCCGTCACCACGGTCTCAGTCTTACTCTCTGGGAAGTGCTCTGCAACAGGGGTGATAGGACTGTCGCCCGAAGGAGCAAAAGCAGGTTGATCGGCCAATGGTCCTTGATCGAATGAAGAAAATTCGCGTTCTGCAGCCGCTTTCTCGTTGGTATCGATACGAGACAGGGCGTCGTATTCCGCGTCGCGACGGGTTCGTGGAGGTCCGCTGTATGTAGGCGATGCAGACGCTGCAGCCGGTGCGGATTTGGTCGTGGTGGGCTTCTTCATCTCCTTCGATGGGGGCGAGGGGGCTGCTTGCTCGGCGCTCGCAGTATCATTTGCAGGGGGCTCAGGAACGGCCTTCTTCTTGATATCGGCCAAACGGCCAGTGTTGTGCGACTTGGGCGTGGGCAATGCATCTTGAGACTTGACCTTGTTTTCGAGTGCGGCACGCGCAGCTGCAACAGCCGACGGATCAATACCAATCTCTTTCTTGGGAGTGTCGTCCGTAGTCCTCTGCTTGTTGCTGAAGATACCCTTGAAAGCCGAGTTGCCAACAGGTTTCTTTTTCAACTTCTTATGGCCATGCTCTTCCGCCGAGTCCTTTTTCGTTTCTTCGGTGCCGTTGCTCTGCGCCGCCTCTGGTAGTGGTGCCGTAGCTGCGTCTGCGGCACCACCGTTTGCAGGTTTAGCATCATCTTTGGAAGGAACTGGCAAGGCTTTTTCGGTATCTGCTGATGATGGTTTCTGCTCAGATCGGCTCTCAGAAATATTCGACATTGCTCGACCATTAGACACGAATGAACCTGCAGGAGCACCAGTTCCAGCACGAGTGTCACTCAGATAGGCTGACCGCAGCTGGTCCTTGTCGTAATTGCTATCATAGTGTCTAGTCCACTTCATCGCTGACGAAGCCTCGGTGAATAAGCCAGTGTATTGCGTCATGACGGAGTTAGTCTTGGTAGAATACGTGTCGTCGTTGCGAGCCCGACGTCCATTAACTTCACGGTTTTGATCTTCTTCCTGCTCACGGTGTTTCCGCTGCAAAGCCGCCGCCGCAGCCTGGATACGTGCATGCTGATCTGGACCAATGCTAGTCTTACTAACTGGCGCGGTGGCGTTGTTATTGCCGGATTTATACGGTTGGCTAGTACCCGACCCTTTTGCAGTTGACTTACTCCGGGTCATCTTTTTGCGCGTCGAGAAACCGAAGAAACGCTTCTTCTCGACAATATATGCCCCGACTTCTGGTTCTGACACAGCACCCTTGACCTGTTCCTCCAAAACTAGCCACTTGGCGCCTTTAATGATGGTCTCGAGCAAAGCGCATCGTCCAAAGACTGCTTTTCGCACGGCAGGTTCTTCGCCTGACAGACTGCTGATCCACACCCACCAGAACGAGTCATCAATGTCCAGCACCGTGATACTAGCCAACTCACCAGGTTCCAGATTTGGTTCAGTATCTAACGTGCGTTTGTGAGATTGCGAGCTCTGACCTCGCACAGTTCCAATTGGTGGTAGAACTTTATCCGGAGGAAGTAAGAGTGACGCAGGCCCACGAGGGACGTGGTCATCCGCGAATCCCGACGACATAAAGTCGGCCCATGAAGGTGTGGTGGGACGCGCGAAGTCGTTCGTGCGAGACTGAGGCGCAGAGCGCAACTCCAGCGGACCTGTCCTCTCCTCAATGATATCATCGTCGTGGTCCGAATCTATAGATGCGCCAAAACCCATATCCTCAAAGCGCGACCAAGAAGCGTCACGCAGACTAGTCGAAGTCTTGCTGGTAGATACAGCGGATTGATTGGTGGTGGAAATAGCTTTCAAAACTCGTGCACATTCGTCCGTCAACGCATCCACGGGATCCTCATACTCTGAAAACTCTTGGAGGTGCTTGTCGCTATCGCGGTATTCAAAATTCCTTGCACGGCGCAACAAGGCGAACGGGGTTGGCGAGACCGTTTCAACAATCATGACAACCTTAGTGGTTGAGAATTGAAGCAGACTTGGAGCCTGCGGCGGGTATTCAGTAGCCTGCACAAGAGACTGAAGGGCAATGGGGAGCGCCGAAATGCCGTTGATGCCACGAACTGAATCTGGAGAAATGGACCGCAAGTAAGCAAAGAAAAGGTGGCTTGTGGCATCAGCGGCCCTGGTAAATGCCGTTAGCGTGCACACCCGAAAACAGAACAGTACAACTTACTGAGCCCAATTCTTATAAGAAGCTTCAAACCCATTACCCATATCAGTGTGCTCGAACGCCCACCAGCCTGCGTATCTAGACAATTTCCTTCCACCTAATCCGTTAGATTTCCCGTGGGCAGCAATGGCAGTCAGGAGATCAAAGAAGTCGAAGATGATTTTCGTACGAGCGTCTGAATCCACGCTAATTGGAATAAATGTATTAAAAGCATCGCGGGCGAGGTCAGAGTCTGTATACAAGACGAAACTTGTTAGTTCCAAACATCTCCAAGGAAAGCTGAGTAATACCTTGCTCTCCGACTTTAAAGAGCTCATAAGCCTCCCAGGTGACTACTCCGCCAGGGAGTCTGCTCCAGCACCATTTCACGACACTGCACAAAACCTATACAGCCGTTAGTCTCATTACCCCGATCTGTTGAAAAGCGGTTGTACCATAGGTTCTGTTAACCGCAACTCTTGAATAAGCGCCTCGCCCTGAAGCGGGGTCCCCTTTTGTTCTGCATTGAAAAAGTTCCGAATAAAGGTTCGGGCAGCGCTGGGATCAGAGCTCGGACGGAAAGGAAGTAAAAGAAATGGAATATCGAGGCCTAAAGCAGAAACCACATATTAGCGACCAAACATGCAACTGGTAAATAGGTGCTTTCTTGCTGGTATCCCGTACCTCGAGATTTTAATTCATGCGTGCATCCTCTGAGCAGCTCCTGCACCTCTTCCGGCGCAACCTCACTGCGCTGATATGCATCTGTCCATTTTGGTTTGGCCGGGACCTGTTCCGCGGCCGTATGCTTTGCGGCCTTTTTACTAGCGCTGGAATCCTTCCCTCGAAACACTCGCGAGAAAAACGACATCCTCGATTTGTTCGCGATTCGAGAAATCGTGGTGTGTAGTAGCGTGCGTCAAGGATGTTGCAGTTTCGAGTCGCAACAAGAGTCAAGGAAGAAGGCGCATATCAAACCCCCGCGAGCGGAGGTTTTTGGATTTAGGTTGGGTTGATCGCTGGACTGATGTCAAAGGCCGGTCACGACCAATGGGATGCTAGAGTAAGAAGTTGAGATCAATGGAATGAAACGAATCAAGAACGAATGGATACGATGTCTTCGAATATCGAAATGGGGACGGACAGAGGGAGGAGCGACTGGTAAGTTGCAAAACGAACGAACGCAAAGGCCCACGACCGGAGCACAGCTTAAGGGCAGAATATAAACAAGAACATGAAAGCGCAGAGGGAAAGAGAAGGGCAGGACGAAACCCGAAATCTGTGCAGAACAGAGCGCTAGATTGTTTCCCTCTTGCGAAAGAAGAAGAATGGTAATGTAAGGAAAAGGGAGAATTGCGTACAGGTTTTGTTGTCGTGATACTCAAGAAGTTTTTTGGGCTTTCAGGGGCTAAGATCAAGGTGGAAGTTGCGCTTTACCGGAAGGAGGTTGAGTCCTAAGGCTAACCCACCGTCCAAGCTCGCAGTTAATTTTATTTGGACGGGTCTGTTGTTTTGACTCGTCAAGATCAATCATTGAATAAGAACAGCGAGTTCACGATTCAATAATGGTGAGAGAAGTACTAGCCAGTGTCCAGACAACGGCATTATCTGGTGTTGACAGGTCGTGTTGGCATAGGCGATTGGGCAGGAGACTGTGACACGTCGAAGGGTCGCAGACAGCAGACTGATATCTTCTAACCTTGATGTGGAGTAGTCTCAGCTCGTTATCGATTGTCGATTGTCGATTCAGATGCAAGGAGTCAATGCTCTATATTTTTGGCTCTATAGATGCGAAATTGTCATATGTCTCATGATTTATTGTTATCAATGGATAATAGATATTCATGTTAAGTCAATGTGTAACAACGACGTATTCATGTCATTGACTGTGCGAGTCATGGTTGTATGTATGTTACTCACCATACATAAATTACACGACGTCGGGCCCCTGACTAAACCGAATTCCACCTAGTTATCTGATTGGCCCAGCACTGAATGGCGATCTTCGACTTCGGAAAGGTTTCTGTTCGTTATCCCACCAGCACAACTGGCGAAGGCGGTTTGTTAACTGCTATAATGAGAAAGGGGGCACTCGCTTTGATGTAGCTTCTTAAAGGATTCCCTCAGGTGGTTCCTATTCGGTGCCTTCCTTGATGGCTTACGCACTAAACGCTCGCTAGCCCGCTGACAGGCGAGATACTAGCTTGTCGTCTGGCATATATGATATGATGTGCTGGGGAACGTATGGGGAATTGAGCAAGGACGTGAAGTGCCGGCGAAATGCTTAGGGCTGAGTAAGTTGAATGATTTTTGACTTAAAGGGGGAAACCAGGGTTAGGGCTAATACAGTAATGTTGTCCCAGGCGACAGGGTTAGGGTGACTAGGGTTACAGACCGGTCGGTGATAGGCCAGTGATGATGTGATCCAGCTCCTTCCTCACGCTCCATCGCGACTCGCAACTTTCCACCTCGTGAATTAGTTGAAGATAGTCAGCTTTATTTGCAGAAGACCAACTATTATGCAAACATATGCGCCAGCACCATGCTCCAGCACCATGCTCCAGCATCCAGCGTGAATCAACAGGCAATTCACTAAGTTACCAGGAGTGTGGCCTTGCTCTGACGCTGTATTAGGTTAGGACAGACTTCAATGGAACCAGCAGACCGTCCTGTTAAACGTCGGCGGAGAACTCGACTTGCTTGTCAAGAATGTCGGGTTCGAAAGATTCGTTGTGACGGCACAACTCCCTTATGCGACTCATGCAGGCGTAAAAATGTTGATCCTTCGCGTTGTGTCTATCCAGATGCAGAAAGTAGCTTGAGTTCGGGGTAGGCATGCCTTGATTAATGCAAGATCCCTTGTTGACTTAGTGTGGTTATAGGCACAAGAACATCCAGAGGCGGGGAGATCATAAGGCCACTTCAGGGCCAAGATCTAGGGGAGATGCAGAACGTCGTGATAAGAGTCTCCAGGAAGACCACCTGAGTGTGCATCAGTCATCGCCGTACGAAAGACTTCTTCCGCAGCCATTTCCGTTGAGCGCTGGCACTCCTGAAACCGGCAGAACACTGGATGTACCGGAACCTGTACATTCAATTATTGGTAACCAGTTCAGTCCGTCTCTAGTAGAGAAAGGGCATCAGACATCGCCACAATGGCAACTGTTGCCGTCCCAGCTGTCCCCTAATGGCACTCAAAGCATCAGGGGAAAGGATGTGTATCATCCAACCGTAGAAGAGGAGGCAGAAGAGCAACAGTACGAGCAGATATCCCCTCGTGTTGTAGGGAGCTCAAGTGCTTTCGCTTTTATAGAAAATGTACACGAAGCACTCCGTCAGCCGACTAAGAGAAAGGGTGTGTCTCCACACTCAAACGAGATTTATGATACAGTTAGTCATTTTGGTAGTTCTCTTCGCTCTAATGGAACCCAACGGATGCCACAGACAGTGAGCACGCTGGTCGATGACCTCTCGCTTCCTCCGAGTTCACTGGTGGAACAGCTTTTACGAAAGTATTGGGATGAGATACACGTTATGAATCCGGTTTTTCATGAACAAACATTTATGAGACGGTGAGTGCCTTCAGCAGTAGCATCTGGTGTCCCAGAATCCATTTTACTACAAAGTAGGCCAGAGGCTCGACGAGGTCATACTGATATACAGGGACAGATACAGCCGGCTGCTCAACGAAGGCCCAATAACGAGGCCATCCCGTACTGGGTCATTGGTTGATGTGAGTCTATTACCGGCAGACCGCATTTTTCAAGCCACACTCAACCTGATCCTTGCCATCGTTTGTCTGCGCACGAATCTGGGAACATCAAGCGAACACAGAACTACCCAGGAGACTTTCTTTCACCGCGCAGAAAGGCTGCTCTCTCCGGACATTATGCAATGGGAATCCTTACAATTGGTTCAAGCTCTAGTGCTCAAAGCGGCCTATCTCAGAGAGGCAGATATGTCAAATCAGTCGTGGATTGCTGTTGGAGTCGCCATTCGGACTGCTCAAGCGATTGGGTTGTATGTTGAAAATACTAATGGTAGTCAAGCGGAAAGAGAGCAAAGAAAACGTGTGTGGCACGCATGTGTGATAATGGACAGGTATTAAGAAACTTCACTCGCTTCAATGGTAGAGTTGAGGACTAAGAAGGGCGTGCTAGGATTCAGAGCATGACATATGGAAGACCGCCTATGATATATGGCGAGCCGACAGTCTCCCATCCAGAAGCAATCGATGATGAGTACCTCAGCATGGACTCTAAGGAACAAGACGGCGCGCAACCGATTGACCAGCCTTCGAGAATGGCTTTTTTCATTCATGCTCTCCACTTGTCTGATATTTCGTCTCGAATTCGGCAGTCTGTTCTCAATCCCTTACTCTTTGTGACCTCTGTTGACCCCATATAACTAGATTATTGTACGGTCCGCGACAGGAACTGAACAGAGAGAGGCATTGTCGCCTATCTAAAAAGCCATACGCTGAAATCATTGATTTGGATGCTGATTTAGGTAATTGGAATGAAAAAGTACCATCCTATCTGCGCAATGAGGATTTCACTCCAAATCATCATAGAAGCTGCTTTAGTCGTCAGCGTATATATCTGAGATGCCAGTGCGTTTGGAATCCCTGAGAGTTGAAATTCTTCCTTTGGAATGTGCTGTTTACTAAAATATTATCACCATGTTGAAGGTTTCTACACTGGAGATTGATTCTCTTCCGAGGACTCTTGGTTGATTTCGCTCGTGAGAGTTCCTCAGGCTGTCACGACTCATCGAAGACGCCTTTACAGGATATATTGTCCCGTGGCTCAGTCGAAATATGCATTCGTACCGCTCGGAAATTACTCGACACAATCGAACCACACTTGGGTACGGACCGGCTTCCGGCTGGCTGGTTTATAGCTTCGTTCCGTATGTGACCGCCGCTGTGGCCTGAACCTCTAACTGAGCTACAGCTAACCAGTTATGTCATCTAGACTTATATAATATAGGCGCCATAATAGCCCTTGCTCTTTTGAGCCCTGGCTTGCGAGCCCTCTCCAGTGATTTGACATTACAAGACCTTCGACAAGCGTGGCGGCAGTGCATTAATTGTCTCCAGAAATGTGATAGTCTCGGCATGCGATTTGCGCAAGGATGTATCATAAAGCTGCGAAAGCTGTTTGAGGAGAATGAAGGCGGAGAACAAAATCAGCCTAATAGTGTGTGCTCCCCTTATAGTGTCTGTCTCTTGGAAGGCATCGTATGCTCAGCAACCTATACCTCTAGGACCGGATCCGGTAGTATCTATCATAGATGGCGACAACGGGCGGGAATCTTTGCCAAATGGTGGCCAACCAGCAGAACCTCTGGGTTTTGTCTCGCAACAAGAGCCATTTCAATCTGAAAATCCTGGAGACATGGAAAACGGAATTGTAGATATGTGGTGGATGGATCAGGACTTTCAATGGATGAGCGGCTTTGATCTTTCACACTTGACGGATCTGGAAGTACCTAGTCCGAGAGATTTTGCCTGATTCTTGAAAACATTTGTCAATAGCTTCTCCTTTGATATCATAGATTTGAGTATCTCGGTGCGCGTCTCTGTTGTGTTGCGGATACCCTCCACCTGCGTATGCAAAACTTATCCCACCTAATCTTGATTAAGCTTCTTAATGATCAACCGTCAGAAGCTGACGTCTGGTCGTGGCTTTGACAAGGTCCCGTGAGGTTTCCGCATCTATGAAAACCTGAGTATTCGCGGTATTCCTGTGTCAGTAAGCACCCCGTGCCTAGATACACGATGTCCCCATCGGCCCATCGATCCCACGGTCAAACTCTTTATCTCCCCAAAACCAGGTACAAACCTACAATGCTGGTCTTTACAAATTGACTCGGACTTTTGTTGAAGGAGTCAAGTTGATGGTTCAGTGATCAAGCAGATTTAGGCCTTTCGAACCGATTTGCTGACTTCCTTCTGGAACTCTACACCACCCCCCTTCCGCCGGGAGCTATATCTCGCTAGAGCACGTAGATGATAGTTACTACAAATCCGGCGTTGTAATTGGTTGTTTTAGCTTCTGCAAAGCAGATTTCAGGTCTGACAAGGCACTCCTATACGGTATAGGGAACAATCAAGTCTCTGACTTGTAACGTAATCGGACACCCACCCGATCATGACACCCACCCGATCACTTCCGCCCAACCCACATCAACTATCTCTGTACACAAATTTCAAAGCTTCGCCATGCCACCAATTCGTACAGGATATCGGGAAAAGTGGTGGAACAAGAGGGCAAGATCCTACTTGCTATTTCCGATTTAAAAAATGGCAAAATTCGATCAATTCGTCAAGCCGTACGCATTTACAATGTTCCTTACACAACTCTCCATGACCGACTCAATGGCATTGAATATAAGATTGAAAAACGCGCCAATAGTCATGTATTGACTCAGAACGAAGAAGAATCTCTTCTAAAATGGATCCTTGACCTCGATAAGCGCGGATTACCTCCCCGGCCATCCCTCGTACAAGATATGGCAGATCTTCTTCTTTCTCAAAATGGAAATAAACATGTCAGTGAGAGATGGGTTTATCGATTTGTTGATCGACATCCGGAAGTCAAACTACGATTTTCACGAAGATATAACTACGAGCGAGCAAAATGTGAGGATATTAAGATAATCCGAGAGCATTTTAACCGCGTACAAGAGGTCATCCAAGAATATGGGATCTTATCGGAAGATATATATAATTTTGATGAGACTGGCTTCGCTATGGGTCTCTGTGCTTCTGCAAAAGTTATTACAGGCAGCGATCGATATGGAAGGCCTTATTTATTGCAACCTGGCAATCGCGAGTGGGTTACAGCAATTGAAGCAGTTAATTCCACTGGATGGGCTTTGCCCTCATACGTTATCTTCAAAGCAACAACCTATTATCAACAAGGCTGGTTTGAGACTCTTCCACAAGATTGGAGACTTGATATTAGTAAAAATGGCTGGACAACAGATGAGATTGGAATACGGTGGCTTCAAAAGCACTTTATTCCTCATACGACAAGCCGTACGAAGGGGAGATATCGGATGCTTATTCTTGATGGCCATGGAAGCCATTTGACACCTCAATTTGATCAAATTTGCACTGAAAATAACATTATACCAGTGTGTATGCCACCTCATTCCTCGCATCTCTTACAGCCTCTCGATGTGAGTTGTTTTGCTGTTCTAAAACGACAATATGGACGGCTTGTTGAGCAACGTGTACGGCTTGGGTTCAATCATATTGATAAATATGACTTTCTTACGGCTTTTCCAGAGCCTCGTGCAATGGCATATAAAGCTGAAAATGTTCAGAATGGCTTCAAAGCTACTGGATTAGTGCCATATAATCCAGATCATGTTTATGAAAAGCTTACAGTTCAACTTCGGACCCCGACACCCCCTCCTAGTCGATCAAGTAATTCACAATCTTCTTGCCAGCAAACACCTCAAAATCCACGTCAATTCAACCGTCAGACGGCAACAATAAAGAAGCGTATTAATGATCGTACAATAGGTCCATTTGAGGTGGTCGATCAAGCGATAAACCGGCTGTCCAAAGCATACGAAATGAGCAGGAATGAACTTCTGATTATACAGAAAGAGGTGCATGATTTACGAGCCGCAAATGAGAAGGAAAAGAAAAAACGTAAAAGGTCTAGAGCTCAGATATCTCATGAAGGATCTCTTACAGCGCAGGAAGCTCAGGAGCTAATAGGCAGTCGGAATGAGGCATCTCAACCTATCCCGACTGCACCAGTCGAATCCGAACCCCAAACCTCTCAACCACGCCTACGAGCGCCACCGAAGTGCAGTGGGTGTGGAATTATCGGGCATAAAATTAATCGATGTCCAAATCGTACTACTAGTTAAAATATTGTATTTATTTTGTATGTGAGTGAGAAATTCAAGTTTGAAATTCGTATAGAGCGCGTTTTCCGGAGAAAGTGATCGGGTGGGTGTCATGATCGGGTGGGTGTCCGATTACGTTAGATTGCGCCATTGGAGTTATACAGAAATGTCTCGCTAGAAGCTACTCTCCCCATTAAACCAAAGATTGCTGCGTTTGCACAACTCTCGATTTCCCCTGATCCTTCACATTCTCTGTGCTATAGGAATATATAATTTCATCCGCAAGAGGCGCATCGTCCTCAATTGCTGTAATTTTCTGTCCGCGGCTTTGCGACTCTGGTTTCCAGTCTGTCTCAGATGATTAGTACAGAAGCATATACCATAACACAGAAAAGAGAGTATCTCACATCTAGACTTCTTCGCAGAAACCCTAGCCTGAAAGAACTCATCAACCTCTTCCAGTGACCGACCCTTCAACTCCGGGAAGAAGAAGTACGCCCATACAAGCGCTACAACACAGATACTGCCAAATATAAACCCGACCTTGGAGTGTAAACCCACGTAACTGTCACTGATCAAGTACGGAACCACGAATGTGACAACGAATGCCCATAGATTTTGAAAACTCCAGCCCACTATTGCGGATTTGTCTCGTAATCTGGGTGAAGGGGTTTCTGCGCCTGTTAAGGGAGCCCTAATTCGATGGAAACCGGTCAGTATATAAGTCTGTGTTTTACCACTGTAATTGGACACATAGACAATTGAGGAACTCACATCCCACCAAACGAAAAGCAGTAAAAGAAAGGGTACAAGATATCCATGGCTACTATTCCCGCTTTCTGCTGGAAAGTCACCGTCCCCAGGCCCAAACCACCCATTACAAAAAGACATGAGCCACACAACGTGCCGAATATGAGATACATGTTCCGACGGCCGAGTCTGTCGACGAGAAAGAATGTTAAAAACGGTCCCAGACAACCTATTGCGTTTGATATCAGAGTGAATTTGTATGGATTGATGGTTCCGAGGGTTTTGATGAAGACTGTTCCGTAGGATGTAGCGAATGTTTGACCGGTTAATTGGTTGAAGGATTGGATGGAGATGACGATCAGAGTGCGGCGCTGATGATTTTGTAAGTCAGATAATGAATTATGTTTGGGGTTTGTACTTGGCTTGAGATATGCGTACCAGGTTGGTGCCACGGAGTAAATCCATCCAACTACCTTTCTGAACGTTGGCGGCTAGAGATTTTTTCAACAACTCTATCTCACGCTCAAGTTTAGCTTGGTCGTCGTTTTCATAGAGGTATTTAAGTTGTTTTAAAGCTTCCTCATCTCGGCCTTTCCGCAACAGCCAACGTGGAGACTCGGGCAGGAACCAAGCCAACAGAAGCACCAGAGAAGGAATCACAAACATAACGGCTATAGGAATCTTCCAGGACATATCGGTGTTTAATTCCGCTGTCTTGTACGTGATACAAGACATGATGAATGAACCAAAGACATGATTGAACAGATAGCTGATAACGATAATACCGCGAATGGCAGCAGGGGAAATCTCAGCTTGGAACATGGGCACTACGCAGCCCTCCATGCCTATATAGCCGTGAACAATCATTCGACCGATCAAGATCGCCGCGTACGTCTTTGCTGTATACGACACGATAACGCCAATTAGGCAGATGACCATCATCATGATGATAACGGGTCGACGGCCGACACGTTCAGATGTCCAACCTCCTATTAAGATGCCAGCCGCAAATGTGATTCTGGGGAAAGCGCTCAGATAACTCAGATGTTTGGGCGTAATAACATGCTTTCCATGTTTTTCAATAGTACCGAAGCGTTTGATGAATGCTGCATTGAGTAATATCAGAAATCAGTAGTTGAACTTTCACACGTAGCTCGAGCGGGGAGTTTTCGTACGGTCCATGGCCTGGATAGTAGAATAGGCGGTGTTGTCCAAGCCAAAATTGAAGACGCTGATACTCATTAGGAATATACAAAATGCAAGCCTGGGCGTCAAGTGACGCAGAAAGGGCAAGTTTTTGAATTCCATGGTTGTTGAAGCAGTTCTTACGGGAAAGAATCAGAGTCGAGGAAGTGCCTGGATCAGGTCATTTATAGACCATGATATATGAGGAGAGCATCACAAGCGCAGTACGAGCTTAGCCTAATCGTATGGTTAGGGCAAGCTGTACTGAGCATCATCTAGGTGAGTTAGGATAGGAGTTACGAAACGATATGGAAGTTGTAGTCCATAGTTGGCGAATGGACCAATAGGATATTCGCTAGCAAGAATATAAGAATGTTTGACAACATCACGATCCGCTATGGCGCAATCCTCGTGGGCTTTACTTTGTATTTGAACGTATAAATTGACCACAAAAGTGAGTGGGATTTTGTTGATGTTCAAGATTTAATCCGAGATATTTTAAAATACAAAATTACTCCCCGTTCCCCGAACTTAACCCCCCGAAACCGACTACCATGGGTGTTTTGTGTAATATTTCGATTGAATGTTTCTCTCGATACAAGCTACGAGCAAGTGGAATTCAATTTCTAATCTGCAAAGCTATTTACGCAGGGTCCTTTTTGAAGACAGAATGTCGGTTCAAATCGTACATGAAGAGAATATCGTCAATTGTAGTCAAGAGCTTCCTGTCTTATTCCGTGACGATCAGCAACAACCAAGATTGCGTAAGCAGTGCAATGTCCCATCATGTCCCGATGATTTGTGGTGTGTGAAAACAGTCAAAGGTACATAATCAGAAATAAAAAGGAAGGCTCAAAAATCGCATTCAATCAAGATCCGGATGCCCATTTCCTGATAGCTTCCCTCTCCCGCAGAATCGCGGGATCTCCTGGCTGATGGAGGAGGACATCTTCGATTATCTGTTATGCATCCATTGCATCATGGTCTGCGAGACGATATATCATAGCAAGTCGGTAGTGAAGCTTAGCTAATTGTACTGAATCGGGTGTCCACTTTGTTCCCAGTACCCTGTCAGCGTTCCCTGCCACGTGGAATAATTGGGACACCACTGCAGCATACTGACTCATCTCGGGAGGGGGACACGTTGGGATAATCTCGATGATACCTTGTAGGGAGTTGGCACTGAGTTGGAAAAAGAGTGCAGTGAACTTGTCCTCAAAAGGCTCGCCTCCCACGGCCTTGACGAGGGCCCAGTGAGAGCAATGTGCGAGTCGCTCGACTTGTCTAGAAGCCCTCCCCCAGAAAGCGCCGGCGGCTAATGGACTTATTTCTCGATATAGCCCATTGCCGAGCTCTTTTTGAAGAGTGACCCATTTAATCAGCCGCTGTGGGTTTGGAGGAGAGTCTTCCTTGATCTCGTTTGATATGGTTTTTGCCACTTCTGGTTCAATCTTGCCATCAATCTGGAAGTTTTTGAAGCCATGGAGATGTTTCTGGTATGGTTCAAGGAGTCATTCCTGATTCACGGGTCAGTTATAACCTATTTACGAGTCTTTTACTTCATGTGTTTGAGAGTCATTTCCAGTATGCAGGAAGCAGTATAAGACTCACCTGATTCTTGCAGTCCGTGAAATTGGGGGACAAAGTACCTCCGAAAGGGTTGTGAAGAGTGATTCTATGCTTGTTCTTGAGAGATGGATCCGGGCATAGAATCTCGGCATCAGCAAGAGCTTTGAGAAACAGGTCCAAATCCTCACGCAGGATTATAGTTTCCAAATATTCTTCATTATCCAGCGATTCTATCTTTGGGTCGAATGTAATGTTAATTATGTGAGTCATAACGTAGTGCTTGCATTTGGAAATAGCCTCTTGCTTAAATGTCACCGCTGGTATCTGATGAGGTACGAAGAAAAGCTGAAGTGGGAAAACACCATGCATCCTGACGCGAATGAATTGGTTCCCTTTCAACATCACTGTTTTTGCTTCCTGGTAGACCTGTCGATTGGTGCGTAGAGTGGTAAATTCGGGTCTACCCCGCATTGGTGCTTAACAGATAAAGCTGGTATTTGGATAGTCTCCATCTGGTCTTGGAGACCATGTACACAGAATTTCATGGTATATCTTGTCTCGAAGCTCTGCTGGGAGATCTAGCAGGGGGAATGGCTTCTCGTCTTCCTCCTTCTTTCCCTTTGTGGACATTGTCGATAGATGTTCTTCACTCAACTGGGTGAGATGATCAGGTCTTCCTTCTTGATTCCTGTCGATACTGCTGCGTCCGTGTGAAGATGACGTGGTTTGTTTTGTGTGTATCCGACTGGCACAGAGAAATAGAGGATATATGCACGTGACCATCAGATGTACTTTATCCTCCATTCCAACATGAGGTTAGGGTTAGAGATGCGTACAGTTAAGAATATAGATATATGACAAACAAATTTGTTAAGGAGTTAAGCCACTTCTGTTGACATAGGGAATCCCCACAACGTGAAATCCTCCTATTTTTGTGTGAAATATTTTTATGAGATCTCTATGAAAGATCTTTATGTTACTTTTTACCTACGTATGTTTGTATGTACTGGCAGTAGGGTCCTAAGTATAAATAGCTTAGGAATCCTCCCAGAGGTACATCCTGCTCTATAAGCAAGCATTCCAATGTTTCATCTTACTCTTCTCCATTTTTTGAATGCTACAATTCCTTCACTATATGGAGTATATTCATCTAAAGGGATCAGCCATGCAATCAACCGATCTTAGGCCTTAACGATGACCCCTGAAAAGGTCAATCTGAATTGCCAGCGATTGTTGTGTCCCAAATTGTCGATATGGAACCAGTCCCATAGGTGGGAGAAGCCTCAGCGTATCCTTGCAACGTTAAATTCTCTGTGAAGCCGTCAAAAAGTAGATCTATAGTTAGACTCGCGAGATTAGTGCTATTAAAAGAGGCACCGTCGATGAGCAATGACCATTCCGAGCTGCCGGCACAGGATGTACGGTGTCAACGGTGAAACCACCCCAGCCCCAGTAGCCGCCTGTTGTAGCAATGGACAGATTCTAGGACGGGCTTGTGGTGTTCTCGAGGGACCAGATCCATTCATTTATAGAATCGTCATTGCTATAGAGAGGGCTAAGAGATCTGAGTTGGTCATCGAACATTACCTAGGTAATCTAGGTCTTAACATAGGCGTGACTCACGTAGAGGAAAACAGTGCGAACTCCAGTCCAGGTATGGATGTATGATCTGCTCTGACGGCAAATTGATGAAGTTGAAATTAAGGGGCTAGAGTGTCAGTAAGACATGTGCTGGGTCATTAGCCGAGTTGTGGAGACTTGGATCCGTGATCCCTAGTCTTGCAGTGTACTTTCTACTGCTGGTTTGGTTGCTGAACGTCGCTGGACATTTACTCGTTATAGAAGCTGATAGGATATCACCTGACTCACGTAGAACGCCTGCCTCTGTGCCATATTGGGACTAGCCCGTTCTAGGCGAGGTGTTGATATCAACCCTCAACCTCACCACTTAGCGAGAGCACACATGACATCTTCTAGAGCCTCATCAGAAGCTGCCACTCCGCCATACGGTATGAAGTCGACTTGTGCGGTGGCGTTATAATACCTGTTTATTTTATTTTATTAGTATTGTCTCTTATAGTCGCGCTCCAAGAAAACTTACCATCCTACCTATAAGATACACATCATTCAGACTCGCACTCACGTTACTGGGTCGATAGTCGTGAGGAGCACTATAAGTTAAGTTCTCCTGGTTACAATTACAGAAATAGCGCCTTCCCTTTTAAGGCACGGCTAGCTAGCCTTCATTGTCGAATATTCGCATCTCGGTTTCTCCGAGATAAACCAGAATTGAATCCGGTGGTATCGTATACTTCAAACCTGCTTCTATGATTTTGCGAGGAATTCATGTTATGGGCAGAGCAAGATGAGCATGGGAAATCCGATGTCGTCTAATTTTGGTGTTTTGTACAGGCTCGGAGGTGTACTTACAGATTTGCCGGGCAAATAGATTTCTGAGAGGTCACAGAGTAATCGAGCTAGAATAGGAACATCTTCTCGAGCGTCCTATTTTTGAAGTTGGCGAACGACAACTCTCCGTGATTCGATGATAATCAAGTAGCATTAATCTACCCAAGAATAGATCGAGGAGGAAAGTCCTTGTATAGAGTGATGGAGAATGTACCTTCTTGGGGTACTTGCCTAGGGTCTTTTGAGGTCAAATGCTTGCTGATTTGATAGGTGGATGCCCTCAAGTGTTTGGTTAAATTTAGCACATCCTAGAATTTCCGATACTCAACGTGCAAGGAGATGTACTTGCCAATAAGAGTCATATCTCGCTCCCCAGATTACTACTGCTGTTGCAATCTCCTTTCTTAGCGGAATTATGTGACAAAGAGGCTATCATGCATATTCAGCGGAGTACTGATGCAGTACCACCTAACAGGTCAGGTGTTTTGAAACAAAATCAGATCATCCGTCCTCTTTATCGTATCTTTTTCATATCAATCAGTCTTGCAGTATGTAGGTGATTCGTCAAAACAGGCATATTTAGGCTCTGTTAAAAATAGCAACAAGCTGCAGGTTAGCCGCGGTTGGAGCGTTGACTGGGCAAGCCATATGCAGTGTGAAATGTGTTTCAGCAGGCCCTTGTTGCATATGGTGAGAAACCCACCAATCAGAATAATCAGGGCTGTCGAGTATCGCCGAACGTGGCTTGAAAGGCTTTTCCTTTCTGGGACTAGAGCTTCAAGATTAAACACTAACAACAGCCGCCTATCAGACTATGCCTTGATTGTACCGTGCTCATCTAGCAGACCACGTACTACGTACTAGTTGTAACTGTACAGCAAGCGATACAAGCGGACGTGAAGGTGGAATTCTGTCGTGTGGATGAGAAAGATCGTGGGGTGTTTCTAAAATTGTACAAAGGCCAGATCGATCGATGTATGTACCCGTAGGACCCTCAACGTATTCGATGAGAAGAAATGATGAATGAAATTTGGCCAATTGATTCGATGCACATGCCCTAGACGCCAGCAGATTCGTAAAGCAAAGTAAAGAAGAAATGCAAAGGTTGTTGATGAACTTCGATATCAAGGAGTACTAACCCTATAGGGCTAGCCTATAACTAACATTTTTATGGCACTAACCAATATGAGCTTAGTGTTGCGGCTTCTTTCATCCAGTCACCTGATTGGTCTGTGCGCAGTTTTCATTTTATCCAAAGCCCCACAGCAGCCCCCTTCCTTCCGAAGTCCAGAGTTCATCCACCTGCCTCCCGCCGTTTCTTTTCTTTTCTATCTTTAGAACCATCCACCACAAAAAACCCCATGCTTGCATCTCCATCACGTTCCTACTCGTCCAATATCAATATCGCTATCTATTATTGCTACCACTACTGTTAGTGCGTACATACTAGCATAGTAGATACAACTCTTTGACCAAAGCTCTGTGAGCTTGTCATCTAGCCTTGGGCTTAATCATACTGTCGCGTATCTCGCGTTGCGTGCCCTCTTTCTCGACGAACAGATTCTTGGCTTTCAAATTTCGATCCCAGACAGATCGCCGACTTTCCCAGATTTGCGCCGCGCTTCGCATACTATAGTGCTACCTTCTTAGTACTCACCACATTCTTAGGCTTTTTTCTATCTACGCCATACTACCTCGTCCACCCACTGACCCGCAAGCCACGAACGACCCCATCTCCATCGCATAACCTTGTTCGATAATTCACCGACCACCGACGGCCCCCTCCCATTGAGTTTACTGTCGTCCACCGTCTGCACTCCCAGGCTTTCTTCTGCCTGCGTTGCGGAACCTTGATCAGATCCTTTGCATACCTCATTATTCAGCCGCGGTGGATATCAGATTGCTATTCCCGTCATACTTTATCTCCTCTTCCTATCTCTTTGTGCAGCGTCCTGGCTGTCCTGAAGAAGATCATCAGTTCTTTGTTGATGCCATAAACTCGTGGGTCCTGGAAACGAATTGCGTATGTCAACATCGCAGTGTCTAGGTACTCTCTTGCAACTTGCTGCTCGGCCATCTATAAGTTAGTCCATTGCGCGCAAAGCTGGACGGATCAGTTATACACGCTCTACACTCCCGTCTTCCAATATCAAGGAGCCTCCAAATTGATCCACGATGGGTCGGAGGAAAATTGAAATCAAGGCCATTAAAGATGACCGCAATCGTTCAGTGTAAGGATGATCTCTTCTACCGTGATAGTATAGAATTCAAGCTGACGACAATTTTCTCTCGCGCTTAGAACATTCTTGAAGCGAAAAGGGGGCTTGTTCAAGAAGGCGTATGAACTGTCCGTATTGTGCTCAGTTGACGTTGCCGTCATTATCTTTGGCCACAATAAAAAGTTATATGAGTTTTCATCCGGTGATATTGGAGAAACTCTAGGCCGATATCAATACGTACGTCTTTCCTGAACAGTTTTTGTTTTCGAGCCCTGCAATTGACATTGAATTGTTGCGACTGTTAGTGGGGTCCGCCCCATGAACATAAAGGGCCAAATGATTTTTCCGGCAGAGGTGGCGATGAGGAGGAGGATGAAGTTGACGAAGATATGATCGCGGAAGAAATGGGTGCACCAACTCAAAATATTATACCACCTCAACTTCAGAATCAACCGGGCTATCAGCATATCAACCATGCTCCGTCTGCGTCTCCTCCAATTCCCAATGGAGTTAGTTTTGCTCCCCGCCATGGAACTCCGCAACCACAGAATTCATCCCGTCCCTCCTCGCGGAATCATATTCGACAAATGAGTACGCAGTATAGCGGACATGCGCAAGCGCATGCTACACCTCCCCCCCCCGCAAACCCCAACGGCTATACTTACATGGCAAATCCGTCAATGTATAACCCCAATTCAAACGCAGATATGAATGGCCGACCTCCTCAACATGGCCAATACCATCAGTTCGCTCACCCCTCACACCCTGGAAGTCAACAAGCTCAATCCATACCACAGCAACATCAACATGCTCCACATCAGCCGCCTCATCTGAATCTACCTACGCATCAGCACCAGTCAATACACAATCCATACATGCAAGATCAGGGACGACACTCCCTTCCTGTGTCGATGCCCCCTGATACCCAGCAATATCAGTTTCGGCCAACCTTATCGCTCCCCGATCCGACCGGGGCGCAGCAAGCAGGGGATGTGAAGGCTGAAGGGAATTCATCACCAAAGACCAAATCGCGTAGTATCTTCACACCGATTGACGACCAGACGTCGGTGTTTTCTCGTCATTTATTCGGCAGGGCGCCTTTACGTGAATCACCGCAACGTGATACATCAGTGAAGCAAGAATCAAAACCGACAGGCCCCGTTAACCAAACCCTTCCTCTTCCAAGAGGCGGACCACCACCGCCACCCCCTAATCGTGCCGCAACTGAACCTCAAAGATCGCAATCAACGCCTTCTCTGAGCGATTCACAACAACCATCGCGACCCAAGCCGCGACTCAAGGTCCAAATCCCGAGTGACCACTCAGACAGTGGTAGTGCGACAGGCGATTCCTCGCCCCGTGATTCGACGGGTAAGACAGCTTCAACCTCTGCCAAGAAATCATCCGAGACTGGTGCTACTGGCGTTGTCCAACTACCGCCGCCCCCGCCATCTCCAGGCGCGGGCGGGCCTATTCTTAGCGCTGGTGCGCAAGGCCCACCTAATCCGTTCGCTCGTCCGCCTCCGCCCGGTCCGAATGCGCAGAACGGCGGGGGTTATGGCGGTAGTAGTAGCAGCAGCAGTAATCAGAACATGGAAACTCCCATTTCGGCACTTCCTAGTCGATTCGTTTCTGATGCACTTCTTCCTTCTCCTTCAAGCTTCTTTCCTGAATGGGGTTTCGGTAGAACAGGACCAGATACCAGTTTGTTACCGAGTCCGTTACCATTCACCCCTGCAGTGCAGACCGGGCCCGGTTTTGCGCGCGACGAGGAAGCAGAAAGGAAGCGCAAAAATCCTGAAGAGGGAGGGGAGCCTGCGGATACAGGTGGCAAGAAACTGAAGACGTGACTATGATCGAAGAAACTTGCGTCATCGTCTATGTTGTTTCTTATCCTTTTCTTTTTTTTTCTTCTCAGTTGGCATACCGTTTTTGATGACCAGAAAACAGCATATCCTCTCGTTAGCCTTGTTCTGCATTGTTTGCCCTGGTGTCATTATACTATACCCATGATCGTCTGTACCTTCTCCGTTACCTTTTCCGTTCGTCGGAAATTTGTCTTATCTCTTCTCAGGCATGTTATTCTAAAATAATAGGAGCAATCTACGCAAAAATGAATCGATTGGACAATGATTCTGTGCTTACATTATTACTCAATCTCGCTGTCAATAATTGATTTTACTCGACTCATTGTTGGGTTGCCCCTTCTACAGATCTGAGCGAGCGATGAGGGGCAGAATCAATAACAGTTCTCCATATACGTCGGTTTAGACACTCCCTTGTCTCTCTCGGGAGCATTCATCCGTTCAGTTCTTTCTACATGAAAGAATAAGAAGATATCGAAGGCTAGCATTAATCCTGCCCCCTGCCCTGGCCTGCCATGCTTTGTACTGACCCAAAGAAGGTCAAGTCTCATCTCGCAACTCATAGACATATATGCGAATGTATGCTTTTCCATGTATCCAGTCAGCAAAAAGAAAGAAAGAAAGAAAAAAAGAAAGAAAAGAGTAAAGAACAACAAGAAAAACTCGTCCAGTCCAGGGTCCGTTCCAAAAGCTAAAGAAAGAATTTCTCATACCATTAGTGCCTCATTCCGAAACCCGGGTGTGTAACTAATGCATGAAATCGCCATGTGCCCTCTCTAAGTACATGATGGCGCTATGATAAAGCTATCGAGAAAAATTCTATGCAAATAGGCAGACATGATTCAGTAGATTTTATGGGAGAACGAAGATATGCCCGTATTTCCTGATTAGATTTGGTTGTTTGGAATTACCTAATGACGTATTCCGAATAATGATCCAAAACTTTCTGAAAACTGCTTATCTTGATAAAGGATATCTGAAACCTTAAATGTGGCCATGATAAAGAGGCCGCTACGTATTATCTTTCCACGGGTTTAAGTGTAAGGTGGAATTAGGGGGAACGGACTATCTATCTGATCGAGCGGCTAAACCTAATCGTGATTCAAGCTTGTTTGACAAGAGAGTCGGATAGATCGATCTTCTTAGTATTAGACTTCATCACTGCTCAGGAATGCCAGGCAGGAGAGTACTGCTATTAATTTGAGTAGCAACCAACTCAGTTTTTCCACAAGTTCTACCCCCCTCGGGATCATGGCTAGTCTGTATGACGTGGAAAAAGCTCAACATTAGCTGTAGATCAGATATAGGATACTTGATACACAAATATATATATATATGCAACAATCTACCGCCGATAGGCACATCACACACTTCTAACCCATGTCCTTTTAGTTCACAGTTGACAACGCTCATCCTTACCCTACATTCCTTGTCCATCGCATGTAAAGTGCATAATCCATCCAGTGGAACGCTTTTAAAGGTCGGTCGTGTTCATGCCTTGTAACCTTTGAAGGTTATTATCTACTAGAATCATGGATACTCTCATCAAGTTGGTTGTACAAAGCCCTACAGCGCCCGAATACCTAGGTACTTCCCCATACGGATAGGAACGTTGTATAGCCACATATAATCACGCAAATGTTCCAAGGTTCTTGTAGTTCTGTTCGATTTATTACATATAGACAATCCTAAATACGTACGTACATGCATATTCTAGTTAGTGTTGAGGATTTGATGGTTTTGACAACGCTAATACTAAAGTGTGTATCCGTCTCGGAGAAGATTCCCGTATTCGTTTTACAATGCATCTGCATATGTGTGGCTTATAGCGTCATTCCGGAAGCAGTTGATTTTGAATCTTGACAACTATAATGCTTATAGTTAAGTTAATACCTAGTTGTAAGTCGTTAGATAGATACAGATAGTCATAGTCATTGTATGGTCGGGGCTGAAATGAAAGTTCCGTAACCAGCGAAAAAGACGGGCCCGTGCTTCGGTGTGCCCTAACTCCGTCGATCCCAAGGGTGGTACCGTTGGCCCGACTTTATACAGTTACAGTTACGGCAATGGCGGATGCCTTGAATGACGATTGGGTTGTGCCATTGAGCAATAGGAAGATGGACTGAGGAACGGAGATCCATGGCGAGACATAGCTTGAAGTTCTAGAAGATCGGGCACGAGGGATGCGAGGGGTGCGAGGGTGCGAGGGCGCGAGCTGTGGCTATGCTTTTGGCAACGGGATTCGTTACATCGCCCAGATGGAGACATGGAGATGGGAGTCGAGGGAGCAAAAGTTGGGGATTGGCAGAGATGATACTATAGAAGTTAGAGGTGGCAGGGTTATGATGAACTGATGATAGTTCAAAAGACTTCCATCTTCCTTCTCAAGCGTATAAAATAGAAAGAGACAGGTCCCAAGACCATAATTGCTCTTCGATCAGAGTAGTTCACGATTTTTCTTCACGATCTTCCCTTTCTGCCCAGGTGGTAGCTTCTATTTTTTCTGATTTTTCTGCTTCAAATTAGATTTAATCCCAGCGCTTTCGATATCACACACACATATACCCACGCGCAATCCACACACAACACATACATACCATTTATAATTCACAATGGCACCCTTTCTCCCCGATTCTGATCCCTTCCTAGCTCGTAGCGAGCAGTCTCTTCCAGCAAGGACACCTCCCTACGCTCCCGTCATTGACGATGCAGAGTATCCTGCTCTGGTATTCCCCGGTTATGCCGAGAAGCCGCTCTCTGAGCAATTGGAGCCCATTGCAGTGGTGGGGATGGGTAAGTCGTTCCAGACCAGACAGGAAATACAGACTGACTGGATTTGGTGTATAGGTTGCCGCTTGCCTGGTGATGTCTCTTCGCCCTCTGAATTCTGGAACTTGATGCTCAACAAAAGAACTGGACGCACACCCAAAGTTCCTTCTGACCGATTCAATATCGATGGTCACTTCCACCCCAACAATGAGCGACCTGGAAGCTTCAACGTCCTTGGTGGCTACTTCTTGAAAGGCGACCTGCAAGACTTTGACCCTTCCATGTTTGGTATTTCCCCCATTGAAGCCATGTGGATGGACCCCCAACAGCGAAAACTGCTTGAAGTCGTCTACGAGGCCTTCGAGTCTGCCGGTGTCTCTCTCGAAGCAATCTCAGGTACCACAACTGCCGTCTTCGCGGGCAGTTTCACCAGTGACTACCAGCAGATGTCCTTCAAGGAACCAGACTTCCGACACAGCTATGCCGCAACTGGAGTCGATCCTGGTATCATTAGTAACCGAATCAGCCACGTCTTCAACCTTCACGGACCCAGTATTGTGGTTAATACTGCTTGCTCTTCGTCCGTTTATGCTATGCACAATGCTTGCAATGCCCTTCGCAATGGGGAGTGCTCCGGTGCTGTCGTTGGAGGTGTCAATCTTATCATTACTGTTGACCAGCACATGAACACTGCCAAGCTCGGTGTCTTGTCTCCTACATCCACTTGCCGCACTTTCGATGAGTCGGCTGATGGTTATGGCCGTGCTGATGGCGTGGGCGCCGTCTACTTGAAGAGACTCAGCGACGCAGTCCGAGACGGCGACCCAATCCGCGGTGTCATTCGCACCAGTGCCGTGAACTCGTAAGTAAAATCAGCCATATCAATCACGTGAAGCTACTAATTGCCCCAAATAGCAACGGGAAAGCGCCTGCTGTCGGTATCACTCATCCCAACCTGGAGGGACAAAAGGATGTTATCCAACACGCGTACCGTCGCGGTGGAGACCTTGACCCGCGTCTGACTGGCTACTTTGAGATCCACGGCACGGGAACTCCCATTGGTGACCCACTCGAGGTCAATGCGGTCGCTTTGGCCATGAATGGCAAGAGAACCGACGCTGATGAACCTCTTCTTATCGGTGCTGTATGTGATCTGCGTCTTCTATAGAAAAGATACAAAAGACTGACTGGATATGCTTAGGTGAAAACAAACATTGGCCACAGTGAAGCTGCTTCTGGTCTCTCTGCTGTCATCAAGGCTTGCTTGACTGTTGAGAATGGCATCATTCCTCCTACCCGAGGCTTGATCAAGCCTAACCCTAAGAGTAAGCTCTGCATTAACTTCAATTATTTCATAAATATCATCATTCTAACTTAAATAGTCAAATGGAAGGACTGGAAAGTCCGGGTTGTCACTGAGCCTCGTCCCTTCCCTGCTCACTTGCCAGTCAAGCGTGTCAGTGTCAACTCCTTCGGTTACGGAGGTACCAACGGTCATATAATCATCGAGGGTGTCGACTCCTTCTTGCCCGACTACAAGCATGGAAAGAGGACCACCACTAAGCCTGAAGGCGATGAGTTGAACCGTCCTTACCTCTTCCCCATGTCTGCTCACGACAAGCCCACACTCAAGCAGAACATCGCTGCTTACGAGAAGATCGTGGACGAATACGACCCATTAGACCTCAGTTACACCCTTGCCAACCGCCGATCCCGCTTCCAGACCAAGGGATATGTTGTGGCTACTCCTGCTACCGTTAAAGCTGCTTTCGGAAATGATGCTGCTTCTTTCACTATTGCCGAGAAGAAGATCAGTGAGATCGGTTTCGCTTTCACTGGTCAAGGTGCTCAATGGGCTACCATGGGATCTCACCTCATGAGGTACTATCCCAGCTTCTTGGCTACCATCCGTAAACTTGACCAGGCTCTTTGCTCTCTGCCTGATGCTCCCGAGTGGACTCTGGAGGCTACTTTTCTCGAGAATGCAAGCACATCTCGCGTCAACCAAGCTGAGTACTCACAGCCTCTATGTACTGCTATTCAGATTGCCGTTGTTGAGCTACTGCTCTCATGGGGTGTTCGTCCCAAGGTGACTGTTGGTCACTCCTCCGGTGAAATTGCTTCCTCTTTCGCTGCTGGCTTGATCTCCGCCACTGAGGCCATCATCGTTGCGTACTATCGTGGCCAGGCCGTCAAGACCGTCAACACCAACGGTGCTATGATGGCCGTTGGTCTCGGCGCCGAAGCTGCTGGAACATACCTTGCCAACTATGCCGGAAAGGTCGTTATTGCTTGCCACAACTCACCAGCCAGTGTTACTCTCAGTGGTGATGCTCCTGTCCTTGAGGAAATCAAGGCTGCAATGGATGCCGAGGGCATTTTTGCTCGTCTCGTCAAGACTGGTGGCAAAGCCTACCACTCCCACCACATGAAGCCTTCTACTGAAGTCTACAAGAATTTGATTCTGAAGGCTAGGTCTGTTGTGGATTTCGGCTCGCCGTTGTCCACTGGCGCCATCATGGTCTCTAGTGTCACGAACTCCAGACTTGCCGAGGGTACCGTTGTTGATGAGAACTACTGGTGTCAGAACTTAATCAGTCCCGTGTTGTTTAACCAGGCTGTCCAGACTCTTGCTACCGCAAGCGATCTCTCTGTTGATGTCTTGATCGAAATTGGACCGCACACTGCTCTTTCCAGTCCTATCAAGCAGGTTTGCAAGGAATTTGGTTACAAAACCCTCGGATACATCCCCACCTTGATCCGCAATGAAGACTCTGCTGCTCAGCTCCTCAAGGTTGCCGGTGAGCTCTTCTTGGGAAACTATCCCGTTGATCTCGAAACTGCCACTGCCATCGAGCAGCAAACCACCCCCCTCGAAAAGATCAAGCTCGTCAAGGGTAAGGTTCTTGTTGACCTGCCAACCTACAAGTGGCACTACCCCAGAAAGCTTTGGGCCGAGCCTCGTCAATCGCTCGAGCACCGTTCCATCAAGCACCCTCGTCACGATGTCTTGGGTCTTCGCATGCCTGGATGCTCTGCTGTTGAACCAGTCTGGAGAAACGTCCTCCGTATCAGAGATGTCCCATGGCTCCGGGATCACTCCCTTGGTGGTGAAGCCGTTTTCCCTGCCGCTGGTTACTTCTCCATGGCCATTGAAGCCGTAACCCAAGTCAATGAACTCAGCGCCAAGCCCGTCAAGATCGACGGGTTCGTACTCCGTGATGTTTCCATCAAGGCGGCTTTGGTCACCCCTGATGACGACCAAGGTATTGAGGTCATGTTCAGCTTGCGACCATCTATCTTCACTGAAGCTGAACAGGGCCAGTGGTGGGACTTCAACGTTTCCTCTGTCTCTGCTACTGGTCACTGGAACGACCATGTTACTGGTACTATTGGTATCAACAGCCGTCAGCGTGGTCAGATCCCTCGACGCATTCCCAACCTTCCTCAACGTGCCACTGGCAAGGCCTGGAACGATAGCCTCAAGGAGGTTGGGTTCGATTACGGTCCATCCTTCCAGGGTATGGTTGACGTCCAGTCTGATGGCAAGAACTACATTGCTGCTACTCACTTTGACATCAAGCAAGAGTCTGGTGCCATGGAGGGTGAATCTCGTTACGTCTTGCATCCAGGAACTGTTGATCTTTGCTTGCAGCTTATTATCGTCTCTATCTACGCTGGTAAGCTCAATGACATGACCTGTGGCGCTGTTCCCATCCAAGTCGATGAAGTCGCCATTTGGCCACCAAGTGAGGAGCAAGTCAAGGACCCTGCTGCCATAGCTTTCTCTTTCACTGACCAGCGTGGTATTCGTTCTTTTGTCAGCGGCTCTCAGCTCGTTGCCAGTAACGGTGAGCTTCTCATGGATATTACTGACATGCGCTGTGTTGCTTACGAGGCCGCTGTTCCCCAACGTGCTGAAGAAGCTACTGAGCCCCAGCCATATCAAGAGACTGTCTGGAAATACGATATTGACAGTTTTTCTTGGGCCAACAACTTGGGCAACCTCACTACCGCCAAATTGGTTGAAGCTCTTGCTCACAAAGCACCAGGATCCAAGGTCCTCGAGATTGGATTTCAGAACACTGCTAGCATCCTGGAAGAGCCTTTGCAAATAAACTACACTGTGGTTGAGCAATCCGATGAGGCTGTTGAAGCTACCAAGGCCAAGTTCGCCAATGCTAAGAGCCTCAAGGTTGAGAAACTGGACATCTCCGTGCCTCTCGCCGACGAGGCAGTTAGCGGTACCTACGATCTAGTTATTGCTACTGATAAAGTGGGAGCTACTGTGCTTGAGAACATTCGTAAACTGGTCAGTCCTGGTGGACGGCTTGTCTTGAAGCAAGGTAGCGTTCCCGCTACTGGCTTTGAAAATGTCGAAATCTTCGTGGAGAAGAAAAACAAGACTCTTGCTTTCTCTAAAGCTGCTGTGGATGAGGAAACTCCAGCTGCTAAAGAGGTCACCTTGGTCTACCGCAACAATCCTGCTCCTATCCTCAGTCCTATTGAGGAGGAGTTGACTAAGGCTGGCTTCGTTACTAAAAGAAGCCGCCTGGACGCTCTTGAAGCTAAGGATGGTGAGTCTGTCATCGTCGTTGGTGATCTCGAAGGCTCTCCTCTGCTCGCTACCGTGCAGGAGAAGGAGTTCGAAGGTATCAAGCATCTTACCAGCAAGGCCTCTTCTATTCTCTGGGTTACTGCGGGTGGTATCTTGACTGGTAAGGACCCCGAGTACGCCATGACCAACGGTCTTGCTCGATCAGTCACTTCGGAGCAAGCTTCATTGGACTTGATTACTTTGGACTTCGACCTTGATACTAGCTCCGTCTCTCAACTTGCTTCTATCATTGCTAAGACCGCCAAGCGCCAGTCCAAGAAGGCTGACATCCGTGAGACTGAATACGTTGTCTCCAACGGTCTTGTCTACATCAGCCGTCTAGTAGCCAACCGTGGTGCTTCCAACACTACCGTGAAGAGCACCTCTATCCCTACTCCTTTCACTGAGGATCAGCGCCTGGTTGCTCAAGCCCAACAAGGCAAGATTACCTGGACTGCAGACAAGCGCGAGCACGATCCATTAAGCCCCGGCGACGTTGAAGTCAAGCTGCTCTACGCTGGTCTCAACAAGGAGGATACCGTTGTCATCAATGGCAACGACTACCCTACCACCTTCAGCCACGAAATCTCAGGAACTATCACCAAGGTTGGATCTAAGGTCACTAATTTCAAGGCTGGAGATGTCGTTGTTGGTCTCAAGTTTGACAAGTTCGCCTCCTTCCAACGCACTTCTGCCAATTTGCTTCAAAAGGTCGAGAAGGACGAGGACGTTACAAAGTTGGCTTCTGTTCCCTGGAGCTTTGCTTCTGCCATCTATGGTTTGGAGACTCTTGCCAGAATTGAGCCTGGCGAGACTGTTCTCATATTGAGCAACACTGGTACCGTTGGCGCCGCTGCTCTCAAGGTCGCTCAGGCACTCAACGCTAAACCCTACATTGTTGCTGATTCTGAGATGGATGTCTCTAAAATTGTTAGCAAGTTCGGTATTGCCCGCGACCAGATTGTCATTCCTACCATTACATCCTTGGCTCGTGACTTCAAGGCTTTGACGAAGGGCCGAGGATTTGATGTAATCTTCAGCGGTGGCTACACCGACCCTGTTCTCGCTCGCGAGTCCTGGCGGTATACTGCTCCTCTCGGTCGATTCGTCGACTTTGGTCGCAAGAACGTCCTTAAGCGTGCTCTCCTTGACACCCTTCCTCTGCACCAGAGTGCTAGCTATCTTTCATTTGACCTTTTGGACTTATATGCTCACAAACCTCAGACCTTGACCTACTTACTCAAATCTGCTGTTACCCTGTACCACAAGGATCCCAACATTGTCGTTGAAGCACCAGAAATCTTCCATGTTGCCGACCTTGAATCTGCAGTGTCCTCTTTCTCTAATAATATTCTTTCAAGCAAGAAATTGATTGCTTACCGGCCTTCTGAGAACCAGTTGGAAGTTATTCCTACTGCTCCTACTCTGCGCTTCAGCCCCGACGCAACTTACTTCTTGGTTGGTTGCTTGGGTGGTTTGGGACGTAGTCTCACATCCTGGATGACCGAGAACGGAGCCAGACGCTTCGCTTTCCTTGGTCGTTCTGGTACTGACCAAGAACAGGCCAGAATCCTTGTTGAAGACTTGCAAAAGGCCGGTGTTCACTGCCAGATTATTCGAGGTGATGTTGCCAGCAAGGAAGATGTTGAGCGCGCCGTTGCCAGCATTCCTAAGAAACACCCCATTCGTGGCGTTGTACAAGCTGCTATGGTTTTAAGGGTATGTTTCATATCTTTTTCGTTTTCTGTAATGCGCGGTGCTCGATAACTAATAATCTTTATAGGACGGTTTGTTCCACTCCATGACCTACAACAACTGGCTTACCGCTACTTGCCCTAAGGTCCAGGGTACCTTGAACCTCCACGAGATTCTCGCAGACACTCCTCTAGACTTTTTCGTGACCACCAGTTCCACCTCTGGTACTCTCGGTACCCCTGGTCAGGCCAACTACTCTGCCGCCAACAGCTTCTTGGACAACATTGCCCGCTACCGCGTTAACCACGGCCTGCGTGCATGCTCTATTGTCTTACCTATGGTTCTTGGTGTTGGTTACGTTGCTGAGCACCCTGAAGTTGAAGAAGCCCTGCGCCGAAAGGGTATCTACGGTATTGACGAGACCCATCTTCTAGAATCATTTGCTACATCCATGCTCGTCCAAACCAGCAAAAGACCCGTCGACCACATTATTGTCGGATTGGACCCCGTCAAGCTCCAAAAGTCCATCAGCAGCGCTGATACTACTGACGGGTTCTGGCTCGAAGATACTCGTTTCAAGACCCTCTTAGAGTCCATGAAATCTGCCGACTCTGCCGGTAGCCCTGAAGCTTCCCGTACCATCTTAACTACCATCCGCACCGCTGCCACTCCCGCTGAAGCTGTCCAGATTACTAGCGACTACTTCACTCAAAAACTGTCTCGTCTACTCGTTCTTGACCTCGACATATTTGAGCCTCACACTAAGGCCATTGCTGACTACGGTCTTGACAGTATGATTGGTGCCGAATTGCGAAACTGGATCTTCAAGGAGCTTGGCCTTGATATTCCTTTCCAGAGATTGCTTGGTCCTGAGCTTACTATCTGGAAGTTTGCTATTGAAGTGTGCGCTAACCAGGGACAAGTTTTAGAGGGATCTTCTTAAGGACAAAATGTTTGACATTTTCAGTAGTATTTCCTTTGTTTATCCATATGTGTGTGAACCGAAACAAATGAATGTGCTATGAGTGTACTTGTTTTTAAATTTTAGAATGCCGTCATAAGATAGAGTGAATGTTATTTCCAATTAAAGCTACCAGTTAAGTCTATATCCCTTGTCATCAACAGATACCTACTCTTTGGTTAGAAGAGTTAGCTGATTATATGGATAGAAGGAAATCGTGTATACGTTTAATAATAATCTTCTCGCAAATCCAGAGATTCTCTTAGGTCCAATATTTCTTTTCATTATCCAAGGGAAGTCAAGGCTTAGACTCGTGCCTTATGCGCATAATATCCCTAAATTCCTAGCCCTCTGTTGCCTAGCCCTGACCCGTCACAGATTCATCTGTCCACAAATAGCAACATAGGACTCTTGTTCCTGTAACCTTTTTCCTACATGGAAAGTCAATTGTAGAATGCGCCACTAAGACAAGTCAGGAGATGGCATATACATAATTTGTAGGGGCCCACAATTCATGGGATGAATCGGAGAAGCGGGCCGGATCGGACCCTAAACTCAATCCAACCCAAAACACCCACCGACCAAACCTTATCATTAATTACCTCTCTCCGATATATTTCTGAGAATGACAGTGCCAAATCCTCAAGCGACCATTGTCTTTGAAATTGCTAAACTTTTCTTTACCTGATCTATGGCTACAAATCTCAGCGAAGCATTCTCACGGTCTCCATTTCTCCTCTCTCTACGACAATCACTGTACTCGTTGCCAGTGCGGCCTGAATTTCTCGCCTCTTCTTCCTTCAAATTTGTCAACCCGCGTAGTCATGTCACCAACACAGATAAGGTAGTCCAGGTTCTACCAGCCTCGGCAATTGCTGGGCTGAGTGATGAGAATGTCCTGGCTTTGTTCTCTACAGGGTTCTTCGGGGGATTCATCTTTGGCTTCGAGAGATTTATCTTGCGGATTGGAGGTTATAACATATTGCCATCTCGATATACAGGTTAGACTTTTCCTTTCAGTCATCGAGTACTTAGGCACGTCATATCTTGAATAGCACATCTGAAAAAGTAAGGGGCACTTAGCTAAATGAAGAACAGGCTTTGAACGCCCATCAGACGCTGTAACCATTTGGAACAAATCTGATATCCCTACAACCCATCTTCTCCCAAATGGTAGCAACCTATTCGGCTCTTTTACCATGTTGGACAAATATATAGCCACAAACCCTTCAGAGCAAGATGCCAGCTACGTCGATTACGGCTTTGGATCAGACGAGTCCATATTTGCTGGCTGCCATAGGTTCCAAATAACAAGATTACCGACTCAATCGGGGGCAGAATCGCAAGTGCAGATGGAACTGCTCCATTTCAGATGCAACCCGCAGAAAAATAAACCGTCAATTGCTGAATATATTGAGCGGTTTCATTATGTCTACGCAAAGGCCTTGTTCGCGAATGGGATTCAGTATGTGATTACCCGGTAGGGACTACGCGTTTGATACCAGCTGTATCTTTACGATTAGGTACATGCTGTTGGTGGTGGGAATGTACGATAGAGACATACTGATAGATATATAAATAGACAGATTCTCATCTCTAATAAGAACATAATAATATCCAAGGGTATTCTAGCCCCAGGATATCAAATTTATCGTGTGTTTGCGAAATCGCTGACTCTCCATAATTCTCAAGGATAGGCATCAATAGATGTTGCATGCGTGAATGACAGAAATGACACCAGTACCTTGCATGGCAAACCGGTCCCAACCCTTCACTATTCATCTACTTACATTCAAGGGATGGAGTCTTTACCAGGAGGTACACTGACCACCGCAAACCAATGAATGAATGAATGATGTTTATTACGCCCGGAGGGACTAACCCTATAACGTAATCCACAAGCGATCCGGCACTTTTTCCCGAACGCGTACACAATATTGATCTCAAATCTCAATTTCTAACCCACATACTAATTATATACAAAAAATTAATTCCTAATACGATTAGGACATCCGGTTATTTTATGTCCTGCAACAACACAACCACTGCAGCGAAATTGACGTCGTACAGGTGGATGAGATACTGGGAGCTCAAGCTCGGCCGGAGCAGTAGTAACAGCTTGGGATGCTTCAATCTGAGCTTGGACGAGTGCTTGAGCTTCCTCTCTGGTAATTCCCTGCTCATAAGATATTTGCTGCTTAGATCTTTGACGTTTTTGCTTCTCCCTCTCATGTGCAGCCCGAAGATCATGGAGTTCCTTCTGTGCAATTGTAAGCTTATTAATACTCATCTCATAAACCTTTGATGCCCGTGTAAACACTTCACCAATAGCCTCAGATGAACTTCTTGTATGCCGGCTTATTCTCTTCTTCATTGTAGTCATTTGGCGCTTAAATTGACGTGGGTTTTGAGGGGTTTGCAAGCAGGATGATTGTGTATCACTTGATCGACTTAGAGGGGGTGTTGGAGTCTTCAATCGAACAGTAAGCTGTTGATAAACTCGATCTGGATTGAATGGTACTAATCCAGTTGCTATAAAGCTATTCCGAACAGTTTGAGCTTTATATGCCATCGTACGAGCCTTCGGGAATGTAGTGAGAAAGTCGATTTTGTCAATGTGATTGAATCCAAGCCTCATTCGCTGCTCAACAAGCTGTCCATAATGTCGCTTTAAAACAGCAAAACAGCCAACATCAAGAGGCTGTAAAAGATGTGAAGAATGAGGAGGCATACAGACTGGAATAATATTATTCTCAGTGCATGTACGGTCAAATTCAGCAGTTAAATGGCTTCCATGACCATCAAGGATCAACATCCGATATTTCCCCAATGTACGGCCATCGGTAAGAGGAATAAAATGAGATTTAAGCCATTCTAATCCAATCTTATCTATCGTCCATCCATTGTCGCTAATGTTGATTTTCCAGTCGTCTGGAAGATCCTCAAACCAGCCTAATCGGGTGTATTTCTTTGCCTTGAAAATAATGTACGAAGGCAATGCCCATCCAATCGAATTAACTGCCTCAATTGCAGTTACCTATTTCTCGATTACCAGTCTGTAATAGCTTTGGCCGAGCATATCAATCACTTCCAGTGATAACTTTTGCAGTCGCACAGAGTCCCATAGCAAAGCCCGTCTCATCAAAATTGTAGATATCTTCTGGCAAGATTCCATACTCTAATATAGCCTCTCGTACGCGATCAAAATATTCTTGGATTATCTTCGGATCTTCGCACTTAGCACGTTCATAGTTATATTTCTGCGAGAACTTTGATTCAATCTCTGGGCGACGTTTGACAAGATTATATACCCAATTCTCTCCAACCTGTTGGTTTCCGCGTTGTGAGAGAAGATAATCAGCCATCTCTCGTACAAGAGAGTGTCGAGGGAATAATCCACGTTTATCTAGATCGAGTATCCATTTACAAGCGATTCCTCCTCACACTGAGTTAATTTATGACTGTTGGCGCGTACTTGAGATCTTTGTTGAGTGCCGTTTAATCTGTCTTGTAGAGTCGCTCGGGGTATACTATAAATCCTTGCAGCTTGAGCCACACGCAAGATTCGTCCATTTTGTAAATGGGAAATAGCTAATAAGATTCGTCCTTCTTGCTCAGCTAAATCTTTCTTATTTTTATTGCGAATTGGTGGCATTTTGGCGTGTTGAATAATATGGAATTGGTATTGTGTACGCGTTCGGGAAAAAGTGCCGGATCGCTTGTGGATTACGTTAGTTAACTAGGGCTGGGGAAAAGTTGCCTGAGTTAATGATACACTTTTCCTTGAAGCTTTGCTGAAGAGAAGTAAATCGGTTAAGCAATTCAACTAAGAGCCCGGATGGTCTAGTGGTAAGATTCCTCTTTCGGGAGACGCTTTGCTTTGCAAACCCGGTTTTTGCTATTCAAAACAAAAATCTCAAATAGAGGAGGTCCCGTGTTCGACTCACGGTTCGGGCCTAATTTTTTGGAATCATTTTTTTTTGTAATGCGCATACTCCGTACACTTACTGACAATCCGCCGATCTATGCACTTAGAAAGGTAGGTAATCAATGAGGGGCATGTTGCTTCCAATAAACGTTAATAATTGAAGCTACTACACGGAGATCCAATTGCTTTAAACCAGTAAACCTTTGAATGGAGCTTATATGTACGTATCAACAAACCTAGTCCAGTACACCGATTTAACCCTAACCCACGGCCTGCTCTTGCGCATATCCCCCGTTTCGCGGCGCCCAGTTTCACCGTGTCCTTTTAAAAGTACTTCAGATACTACACGCAATGTGTGAAAATTGTAACGCAATATGTGACGAAACAAGAATATCCCGGCTTCCGCAGTCAAATCAGCAGGTTCCAGCAAAGGGGAGTAAAAAGGAGAAATTAACATTTATTCGAGAACAGGTATTCACGTATACTTACTTATTCAGGGGATTCGACTCCTTAAAGTGTGATAGGAGAAGCATACTCGTCTGGAAACCCTTCCTGGCCGTTTTCCGTTATACCTTCGAGGGTTTCCTTACAAACCACGATGATCCATTGGACCCCAGGATCACTCACGAACCTCAGGCAGATACGCTTCAATACGAGAGTGTATGAGATTCATCGAAGTTGGAAAAAATTCAACCGCTCGGATGCTCACTGCTGGCAAGCGCAAGGGTGATAACGGATACTTTATTGCGCCTACCATCTTTTTGAATTTTCCTGATGATAATGATGTAGTTACCAAGGAGATTTTGGGTATGAACCTTTCCCAACCAGTGTGTCTCGGAGAAGTGTGTGCCCCAGCTGACTATTTCACAGGCCCGTTATCACCATCTTCACTTTCAAGACTGAGGAAGCTATTATCAGAGCCAACAACACCGAGGTATGAGTTTATCAAACCTTGCAATAGCAATTACATACTAATTATTTGATTCGCAGTACACAGTCTCTTCTCCTCCTTCTTCACTAGAGACATATTCCGCGCTCTTCCCATCGCTAAACAGCACAAGAGCGGTACCGTGACCATCAACTGCACATCACTGCCAAGCCCTCGATATGGTGTTTAGTAGTGTCAAAGGTTCTGGAGATGGCAGAGAATATGGCCGATGATATCTGGACAGCTGGCTTGAGGTAAGCGTTTCCTCTTTCTTATTTCCGTGAGGTTGATAAATTGCTGACGAGTGATGATATCAATTGATGTATTGACCAATTCAGTTTTGAATTTTACTGAGTAAGTTAGCTTATTCGGTTGCATTAGATTAAATGAATTTCTTTAGTTGTTACCTGGGCATTATTCATGCATCTATTAGCTCTTGGTATTCTTCATCGTAAAAGGACTATGACTATAGACTTAACCAAATAAGGTGATGAAGTACCTTGGAAACTCATGTCGAAGGATTCGGAGAACAATGATCAAATCCATGCCCTTTTTATCATTTCTTCTATTGTTAATATATCTGAAGCGGCAGAATAAATAAGAACCCCAACCATTGTCCTTGGTGTAGACAATCATCAGGACCATCATCCGTACCCAGCTCTAACCATGACAAACATAGATAGCTAGCCGTACTGCAGCCACGGATGTAAGACAAGATCCATGATAATAGAAAGAACAATATACACATCGAACGACCAGAAAAGAGAAAAATCTAGATAAATGCATGAGAAACGATTTTGTACGAAAAATGGTATACGACCGAACGAAATGTAACAGATTTTGCTATGCAGAGGGTATAATGTCGAGTCTATGGTTATCCATCCCTTGGACTATCCAAAACTTTTGTTGAAGAACGTAATTAGTAGTATATGTTGAATAAGTTGAATAAATAAGATGCAAAAAACGAGAAGAAAAAAGGACTAAACCGCAGATTTGGACTCCTTCGCAGCTTTCTTAGCGGCGAGATGCTCCTGTCTTGCCCTCTCCTGTTCTTCCAAACCGGTCTTTGCAACTGCATGCGATCGATTCAATTCGATACGTCGGAGGAAGAAACTGATCAAAAATCCCACGCCAGCGACAGCGGTATAAAAGATCCAAGCACGGCTTAGTGAAAAGGTAAATGCTGACTTAACAACAGCCTGTTGATCGGGGGGCAGTGACTGGATAATGGCTTTATCGCCGCCAGAGAATGAATGTGCCAATTTATTAGCTGTAGCGGGTCCGACAGCGGCCTCGAGTTTTGGTAATTGCTGGGTGAGAACGTTTTGGTAGATAACGCCTCCGAGGACAATGCCGATAGCAGAAGCGAGTTGGCGGACAAAGCCAAAAGTTGCGGTGGCTACTGCCATATCAGAGACGTGGATGTTTGCTTGAAGAGCGATGAGAGGAGCTTGGAAGTTGGGGCCAACGCCGGCTCCGGCGATGAGTTGGTAGAGAATAATACGTGGCCAGCTTGCGTATGGTTTGAGATCGATGAAGAGTCCGAATCCGAGAGTCATGACGCCCATACCAATGAGAACGGCTTCCTTATAGCGGCCAGTTTTCTTAATGATTATTCCAATAACTGCGGAGGTAAGTGATAGTGAGAGTACTTGCGGGAGCGTGTAGACACCAGAAAGAATCGGAGACGCTAGAAGAACGGATTGGAAGTAGAGTGGTAAATAATAAGCGCCGGATATGAATACGGCTGCGTGACAGAAACATGAGCCAAATACTGCTAGATTGTGACTATTCTTGAATAGGCGTATGGGAATAATAGGGTACTTGGCGACCTTCCATTCGATCAAGAGGAATACGCCGTAAGTCAGGACACCGAATACAATCAAGCAGATAGTCGTGGCTGAGTTCCAGGGATAATTGAGTCCGCCAAATTCCAGTCCGAAGAGGAACATAAGTGTAGCTCCGATACAAGTCAGGACACCCAGCCAGTCGATTGCTGCTAGGCCATCCAGAATGCGAGTCTTTGGTGTGTGGACATGGAGGAAGAAGGTTAGGATAGTTAGAGAGAGGCCACCGACGGGTACTAGACCATGAAGTTAGTATCGTTGTAACGGATGGTAGTCGAGAAAAAATCGTACAATTCAAGTAGAAACACCACCGCCAGGTAACCTTAGTTGTCAAAGCGCCACCAATAATAGGGCCAAGAGCTCCGGCCAGTGCCCAAGTCACGCCAAAAAGACCGTAATACATAGGCCGTTCTCTATATGCTGCATTAGATGTCTGCTCATCTATATCCGCAGGAATTTTAAAATAAAAAATCACATACCTAACACTGACTAGATCCGAAACGGTAATGTTGGCCAACACGATAATTCCGCCACCACCAGCACCTTGAATAGCTCGACCAGCAATATTCATAGCTAAATTATCAGATAAGGCACAGATAAGACTACCCACCAAGAAAACAACGTTAGCCAGAATGATGATAGGTTTCCGACCAAAGATGTCACTAAGTTTTCCCCAGAAAGGAACACAGGATGCATTGGCCAGCATATATGAAGACGCCATCCAGGAATAACCACTTTGAGAGGCATGGAAGTGAGCTGCCATAACTGGAAGGGCTGTTGAGACAATGGTCTAAACAGTAGTGTGTTAGTGGTCGCCTAATCATTCGTCTCGTAGTTTTAAATTTTTAAGAAAAGGAGCATACCTGGTCGAGAGCGGCTAAGAAAACCGATAACTGTTCACAGAGTCAATCAGGAAGTCTGAAAACTTGCTAAGACATGGATACGTACGCATAATGCACCCATAATGATGATAGTTTTACTCTTGGTCATTCTCTGTGACTGAGACGTAACCGTCTGGGTGACCGCGTTCTCTTCAGGCACGGCATTGGGATCTCCAGCAGCAGAGACGTCGTGCGTTCTCGTCTTCTCTACTTCGGTTGGTGGAGTGACATCGACGGAGCTTTCGTCGTGAGCTTCCAGTGTCGTCCCCGAAGCCCGTTCGTCTTCCCGGGCCCGGTTCACGTTCGGATCAAGTTTCTCTGACATTTTGCTATCTTGTGTGGCGGTCTCTCTGTGCAGTCACTTCGAATGCCGTAAGTGATCGGATTTTAAAAAGTTTATGCCGAAGATATGTTGTATTTAGCGGATATGTGCAATTGTACTGTACTGCCTTTAATGTGTCGATAATTTGTTTGCCTCGGAATGCGACTCTACGCTCAATGTTCGCATCAAAATGACGTACCGAGACAACACGACTTGGGATAAAATGGCGGAAAGGTTGAAAGAAGTTGAGGCTGCGAACGAATATCTAACGAGTCTCAGCCAGACACCGAGCAGTCTGCACTTTTACAGAATGTGAATGTAGCATTGAAAAGGAAAAGAAGGGAGGAAAAAGAGTTTGTTGCCATGTGGGGATTATCTCCGTTTGCTGGAACCTAAAGTTGTCTTGATCGGGGCTAGTGTGTCTTAAATAAGTCTTTAAAGGTACTTAAGATAAATCCGAATTCCTTCAATGGATCATAGCTATTTGAATATGTACATGGCCTTGGCTCTTTCTAGTCAATATGACTCGTCCCGTATTGAAGAGCTCGAATAACGACAATGTCCTGAACGATGGGTAAGAGGTAAGTGACCCTTGAGCGGATATCGGATATGATCCTTTCCTACTTTCTATGCAGACAAAACATAAGCTGTAGGCTAATAAATGTAGATAAATACGCGCTCATACAATATTTGTTAGCTGAAATGCATACATTCTGTTGAAAAGTGTCACCGATGCTACCTGATTTTAATCCAGGCTTGTGTCAGAGTAAGCATATTTGACGCCATCGTTGAAATTGCATTACCAAAGTTACACTAGCAGTTCCCCACATATTGCGTATCTAATACGCGTAATTTACATCCGTTGAAATTTCTCCGCGAATTGGGAAAGCTTGTTTCCTTAAATCCGACCACTCAGGGCGGTCATTGTACGGCGGCTTTTTTACCAATCAAAAGCTCGAATATTAGTGCTATTTTGCCTGAGGCAGAATAGCTTGCGATAACTACGCCCTATGACTAGTTTTAATTCTGGAATACGTTCGCCTAGAAACAAACTATTAATTCTCTTGGGCGATTAGTTCATGTCATTTTCCGGATACGAATAGAAGATCGAAGCACAACAAGCAGAATTGGTACTAACTTCGTGTTGCAATGTTTAGGCTAGACGTAACTCGTAGATTGTCTAGAAGCGGAGAGTCCGTCATTCATGGCATTATCGGTTGCATCTCATACCTACCTACCGGATTTCCTTTGACGCTTCTCGACTTTCCCCTTCCGTTTTAGTGCTCACCCCCTCGTCGCTTTTACTCACTGAGTAGAACGGAGCACGCCCAGAGCACGCTGACCAGATCAGTGAGCTTCGCATATGCCAGGAAACATGCTCAGTGGGCTGAAGCTAAGCACTCTGGTTCACTCACTGAGTCAATAAGCTACTTGACCCCCATGGCGATCTCGCTTCTAAAAAGTTGATACTTTTCAAGTTACCCGTCATGTGTTCCTTCATTAAGGGCAAACGCTTGAATCTCACCCCTTAGTCTTTAGAAAATTCGATACGCCTTGAAAGATTCGGATCGGGCCATTGTATAAACTTCATCAGAGATCTCAGTTTGAAAATAGGACCTCAATCCAACATTTTCTGTTAGCAAATGCTAAGGTTCGGGGCCTCTATAACCCACCTAGGGACTGGGTGCAGAGGTAATTAGTATAAAAGGTATATGGATACTTTATGAGTAACTTCTAAGCACTATGATAATAGTTCTTCAATTGAGAACAGAAGGATATCTATCACTAAATTAGTCGAACTTGCAGAGTGTCTTAGTGTCCGCTCAGTGTCCACTCAGTGAGGATGACTGCGAGCGCCCTCACAAAAGCGGCGGCAGCTGAGAATGGAAACCCCCACTCGCCAAAGGAAATCTGGTACGTATAGTCACCTATGTACCCTCCTTTGTGTTCGTTCTCTGGTTCTTTAATTACTCTAGACAGAGCTAAAAGACGAGCGAACGTCCACAGGTGCCTAGGGAAGTTGAGAAGATACCATTGCTTGACACTGGAATGCCGCTAGGAATCCTAGCTAGAAACAAGAAGGGGGTGATTGCACCATACCGCTTTGCTCTGCGAAGCTGTCGTTGTTCGAGAAGAATCAGCTGCGATAGCAGCACTGGGGTCGGGTGGATTGATCAGCTTAGGCAAGCTTCAAGATTCGACTCAAGGGGTAGGATTAGAAAGCTAAATGTCAACGGAAATAAAGAGAGTACTGATTTAAAACACGCCTGCGGTCATGAGGTTAGTGTGACACATGCTTCGAACTGGAATTTGTGCAACCCTGAGCCCTAATATCGGTACTGACATCCGAGTTAGTCAAGATGTAGAGTAAGTAGACTATGGTCTTGGTCTGAGCAGTAACTAATCCTTTTCGAGCTCTAATCAATCTACTAACCCACTCTTGAAGAAGCTGTCGTGAACAATTCGTGGCTAAGGCACCACAGTTAGTGCTTACTTAGTATGGCCCATATTAAGCCAGCAGGACCAGTGCTAACCAGGTTAGTTTACCTGTTAACCGATTAACTTACCAAGCGAAAAGCAATATATATCTCGGCTTCGAAAGGCGTTGGCTGTCCATTTAATCGCCTCTAGGACAGCTGTCAAGGAGCATGGATATTCCCCTGCATCTACCAACCTGTCAAATCTCGAAGGCCTCTCCATCCTGATGCCCGAGCATCTAGTTTGCTCTCAACGCCGAGGCCTACCTTGCATTTGACCATTGTGGAAATTGTTAGAAATGGTCAGTGCGCTCATATGAGAAATCACAGGCCACTTAGTCGACGATATTCTCGCGATACCTTTCTGTCAAACCTCACAACCCTTCGATTTAAGAGGCCAATGCTAAATTTCCTACTCAGTCTCTTGTCAGTGTCGCTTCTTCTGCTGGCCATACTGAGGATAACCACGGCCTACACATGCTTGAATCCGATCCGCGCTTCTCACGGTTCGGTCCATAAAGTATTCATCATCCGAGCTGGAGTAAATGTACATAAGCCATGAAGGCTCATAGAAGAGGATACTCCAGTGCTAGATATTCCGAGTGCGCATCCCTTCTGTCTTGTCTCCAACTTAAGCTACGATTGCTGGTACGTCTTTTGTGAAACAGTGTCGTCGATATCAAGTTGATAAAAGGATTTAAGGCGCACAATCGTTGCCATTTGGGTGCAGTCGAAGCGGACACTGATGTCCACGACTACAATCTGGTACGTAGCTCTGAAAAAACCGGAGAATTCTCCACAGCTCGCTGGTTAGCTTGAACCACTAGGCCTGTTGCTTCATGAATATAACGAGGACGAGTTTTTCTAAAGAAGCCGGTTGAGGTTGTGAGGTTGTGGTTAGGGAGACTCGTATCTCGTTCTAAAAGAGGACATGGGATGCGAACGGGGCTGTGATTGGCCCACTTCGGGATGGCTGAGCCCCGCCAAGATAGTGGGGCTGGTTGACTCCTCTAAAACTTCGTCATTCACCTTTCTCTCGATTGACGACTTCAAGACTGAGTATTGACTACTACTGCTGCGATATTATCCTAATTGCAACGATCCTGGCATTGTAGCAAGACAATATTTAATCACCCTGAGAATAGTTCATCTTCAATCCTGTTCGCGACCCCAATTCTGCTCCGCCCAGGTACCCCGGTCCATGTACTGAATGAGCCCCAAATCAGGCTGCAAGATAGTCTCCCTGCGATGAAGAGCCTTACTTAAAGCTCGGGATCAGTCATAATCCTCGTCTCTTCTTACGATTACTCAGAAACGTCCTACTTATAAGACGCCATTCAATTTTACTCTGACTGTTACTATTGCGCGACTGAAAAGGCCGTCGCAATGGCCTACAGTCAAAAATTCAATCCTGATGCGCTCCCAGCGTATGAGCTTCCCGAACCCAATTGACTACAGAAATAGAACTTGAAGCTAACTCTACTGTAATGTCCAGCCACATAGAGCCTGATAAGGTATGCCGCGAACGATATCGCGACTCGCCAGCTTCTTCAAACATACAGCTAACTCGAAGCTAAATCTACACAGGCCGCAGAACTGTTAGCGCAAAGCCAACCTCAGACCAAGAACAAATATGAACAACAAAGACCTCCACCTCCCCCTAAATCAAACGGCATGCAGCAGCCGCCTCGCAGAACACCACCTACCAGTACATCGCCTCATCCTGCACCACTCAATTTTGTGAACAGACCGCATCCCGCAGATAGCGCCTCGTCACGATTCCATTCACCCCCTCCAGCAAACTATGGACATGGCCCGCGCCCCAATCCCAATGTCATGGGTCGCCCTACCCAACATCCTCTACCTTCATTGTCACCCGCGAACAACGGTCCTCCACCAACAGGACCCATGTCAGACGACCCTCAACAGTTGTTACCTTTATTCCGTGCCGCAAATGTATCCAGAACCGGCGCACTCACAGAAGCCGAGCTTGGATCGGCATTAGTAAACGGCGACTACTCCGCCTTTGATCCCAACACCGTGAAAACTATGGTACGAATGTTTGACCGCAACGGCGACGGAGTGATCCGCTTCGAAGAATTTGTGTCGTTGTGGCGGTTTCTTGCAGCGTGGAGAGAACTCTTTGATCGATTCGATGAAGATCGAAGCGGGAGAATCAGTCTGGAAGAATTCGAGAAAGCGCTTGTTGCCTTTGGATATAGACTCAGTCGCACATTTATTCGGGTATTATTCACGACGTTTGAGACTAAAGGGAGACGGCGTGCGGGTACAGTGCCGGGCGCGCCGTATCCTGGTGGTGGAGGTAGAGGAGGACGGGGGATGAGTTTTGATTTGTTTGTGCAGGCGTGCATCAGTCTCAAGAGGATGACGGACGTTTTTAAACGGTATGATGATGATCGGGATGGGTACATAACTCTGAGCTTTGAGGAGTTTTTGACGGGTGAGTTTTTTCCAAAGTATTTCTCTGCTGTACAGTTAGCTAACGGTTACAATTTTGCAGAGGTTTTGAGTTTACAGGATTAGAATTGTATTTATATACCTAGCTATACCCAACAATGAGATACCATGCAGCATTTGAAGATCATTTATCTTGTACGTTCAAGGTCAAGTGTGATATTCAGATGCGAAGCCTGCTCCTGGAGGACATCCACAATCTCACTCCAAGCCTGTTGCTTTAGTCTCTTCCCTTCCTCGCCTGCCAAAAGCGTGCACGTTTCACTATGCGAGACATAACTGGTCAGTCATCGATACTAAGAAAAGTATAGATAAAAAACTTACTCGAAATACCCATCCCCCTTCCATATCCTCCCATGAGACTCATAACCCTGCACACATGCACTAACCAAAACCCTACCTCCGACTTCCGCAGGACGAGCAAATAAGTAATTGAAAAGCCGAGCAGCCCAACGCTCGTACCAGCGAGTAGTATATTGTCGTCCCAGGGACGAAGCGCATAAACCCGGCTTAGCTGTGTTTACGATTACATTTAAACTCCCATCGTCGTTGTGTGCTAAATCTGCGAGGGAACGGGATGCGTATTCGAGGAGAAGTTTGGAGATTGCATATTTCTTGCGTGTTGATGGTTGATTTAGATATTCCAGGAGCGGATGTGAGAAATATGAAGAATATGAAGATGAAGAAGAAGAAGAAGAAGATGGTGGTGGTGGTGGTAGATCCTTATGAGAGACACGAACAGCAGTACCACTCGACACAATAACCAGATGTGGTACATCGCTCTCACTTGCTACCGCCCCGGAGGTGTCATATCCTCGCAGCTTAGGAAATAAAAGCGCTGCAAGAAGCGTTGTTGAAAGCGTATTAACCTGCAATGTATCCTCCCACCCATCCGGCGAAAGCACAAAGTCGCGATGCATTATACCCGCATTCAAGACAACCACGTCTAATTTCCTACCCTTCAACTCGGCGTCGTTAACACGCGATGCAAATTCAGCCACGCTTCGGAAGGAGCTCATATCCAGAGGCCATACCTCCACAATGCCGACACGGCCAGTAAGACTTTCGAGCTCTCGTTTGACTTGCTGGCCGCGCGTATGGTCTCGGCTGCTGATTATGAGTGAAGAGACACCTTGCCGTAGAAATTTGAGGCATGCTTCAAAGCCAAGGCCGGAAGTGGCACCCGTAATGAGGATTGTTTTATCGTGGAATGATACTTGGGAGAAGTCTGAGGGAGGGTTGTGTTTGTTGTGCCAGAGTCTGTACAGGCCTGCCATGTTGGTGGGTTTGACCGGTCAGTTCGGGCTGCTAGAAGAGCGTGGTAACAGTGACAGAGACATTTGTCTTCTTCGGTGGTTCAAATAGATATCATTGAGCAGGTTAGACAGAGTCCGTTGCCAGAAAAATTGAGCTTCTGGATTGATGTCTCGAATTTGATTGATCAGTGACAAATCGATAAGATAACAATCTTATCGATAACAGAGAAACAAACAATGCAAACACGTCGTCATTTGTCGATAGTGGAGCCTTAGGCCACTCATCGGCGACTACAGTTCTATTTACAAGAAAGCACGACATTGTCACATGAAGTGATATATCATCAGGTCTCACCAATACTACAGGTATTAGCAAAATAGGGTCGAGGAAGGTCTCAGAGCGGCGATACCATTTCGCAACTCGACGTATCGTTCGTGAGTGCTCGGACCGTAGTTATGTTTTGAGCCGAATTTGTACTACTACTGATTCTTCTCTTAAGGGAAGACCACTTGTACAACAAGAATTGGGCTAATGTCTGTATAGATCTCATAAATCTTTGAGTCATAATTTGAGTCATATGATACATGACTACACAGATCCTGTGCCCGTGGTGTATATATCTACCAATTAGCGGGGTACATTGAATCGGCATAAAACAAGCCAGTCCACTCAGTCAAGATCGAACTATAGGTGTTCAACACCGGCTTGCGAACTATTATTCGGGGAGAGAGAAAGGGGACAAAATGACCAACCAAATTTCTCGAGATGGCCGAACATGGAGGCAACATTTCCCAGACGGCGATCTTTGGGTTTTCGGTTATGGGCAAGTTATCCCAACACCGGGAATAGGGTTGATGATATGCATCTCACTGACAACAAGACAGGAGTCTGATATGGAAACCACCTCCTCATTTCGGTTTGTCTCTCTCCCTACTGCTGCATGACTATCAAAGCTATATGGATTTGGACTGAAAGTGCATAAAAGATAAACGGGTTCCCGGATACATTAGCGGATATGTGCGACGGTTCTGGCAGGTAAGCTCTTTTTCTGGTTATCACAAGAAAAAGATATATCAAACTGAACTGACCACCCTCACACAGGCCAGTACTGATCATCGCGGAACACCAGAACGACCGGGACGAGTGGTCACGGTGATTGAGAAATCGTTCTGGGAGACGTTGGATGATCCGGTGAGTTTCGAATTCATTAACAAAGATGAGAAACAAGAGTTAGAGTACTAACAGATCTAGCATAAAACTCTCGAACCATCCTATACATCAACAGTATGGGGTGCCGCATACCACATCCCCGCTTCTCATGCAGAAGAGGTACATGACTACTTAGATGTCAGAGAAATAGATGGTTATACAGTGCACTACACGCCGTTCTATACCGTATCTCCTCAGAAAGACGGAGAACACACCAAAAATAAAATGGGATATTCGCCCAGACAACAATCACCGCCGCCCTCCGAACTCCTCGCAACTTCCTCCTCCCAAAAACCCATCACTTGCATGGTCTATATCGGCCAACCGACCAACCCTCAATTCCTACGTAACCCTGCCGAACGCGACCCTGCAGCGGTGGCAGAAGTAATCAGCCAAGGGGTAGGGCAAAGTGGTCGCAATCCCGAGTATTTGTATTTATTGGAAAAGGCGCTTGAAGGGTTAGGATTGGGCCTTGCGGATGGACATGTAACTGATTTGGTGAGACGAGTGAAGGTGATTGAAGGATTGCATGATCGAAAGGGTCAGGCGGATGAGGAAGAGGAGAATGCCGAGAGGGAAGTGGAGAGGAATTTTGCTGCTGTCGGCGCAGGTGGGACGGTGGATTCAATAGAATAGACGATATTAAAATAAAGTAGACACTGCAATAAGACACAGGGTTGTGTGAATGTTCTGCACGTGGTACATATCTCACAAAGGCCTGGGGATGGAAAAGGGACCATGCTATATGACCAAATACACGACTCATACAAGACCTAATATGAAGACATCTGCGAATTAAATCATATCCCATCCATCTAAGCAGTATGTTAAGCTGTCGCACACACAAGACAAGACGTATTGATCTACACGCGAATAGCATGCGAAACGAAGATAGAAAACAAAACATAAGGAAATACATCGTCGAATAATCAAGAAACCGTCAAACGTCAAACGCTTCGAGAGAAGAAAAAGTTCGAGTTCGTATGAGCGAGCAATCTAATTTGCTTGAAATAAATCAAAACAATCCTTGAAAAGAAATAATCATCATAAATCAAGACATCTCTCGCCCAGGTATTCAAACATTGGCATTTGCGCGTAATAGTTTCTTCTCGTCCGATCTCATTATCCATTCGTTGGTTTTTTTTTTTTTTTTTGTGTTTAATTTGGTTGTTTGGGAAAGAAAAGAAAAGTTGGTTCAGGAGTGAGTGTGAGCGTGTGTAAGTGCACGTTTCGATCGAAGACATCGACTCGACCGATTGATCATAAATCAGACTTGACTTCGGTATGGTCGCTGTAATTTTTAGGCAGACCCTTGTCCTCCTTGACCTTGGTATTGATTCCCACCCCAACCTGTGTAATTCAATCCCTCAGTATCAGAAACATTTGGACAAACCGATGTCTTCAAGGGGGATAGTCATATCTCACCTCCGTGACCACTGTATCCACCACCGCCTGTTGTTGCCATGATCAGAATGTTGTAATGCTAAATCGACGTAGAAAAGAGAGAACTTACTGTAACCTCCACGGTTGTTACCACCTTCGAAACGGTTATATCCTCCACGGCCGTGAAAACCACCGCCTTCGTTTCGCGAGCTGGCATTGTTTGATGCTCGGTCGACTCGAATAACACGTCCATCGAATCTGTTGCCAGTCAGTGAAAAATTCAAGAGAGGTATGCAGTCTTCCGAACTCACTCCTGGTTGTTCATGCCATCAATCGCAGCGTCAGCTTCGGCATCAGTTGCGAATCGCACAAAACCAAATCCACGACTACGGTTGGTATCTCGATCCTTGATGACGATCTATACCCAAATTCAGTGATGCGTTTGACGACTTGGAACAAGGCGTACTTACGGCTTCTTCGATTGTGCCGAACTTCTCGAACCCTTGACGCAGGGTGTCGTCTGTGGTATGCCATGCCAGGCCACTGCATATTTCCATTAATTTAGGGTCCGAGAATCAATCAGAGCAGTAAGAGAAACTCACCCGATGAAGAGTTTGGACATTTCTGGGTTTGTTTGTTGTAAGGAATAACTGCAATGTCACCAACGTTAATAGACCAACAAAGGTGATATGAAGATGATAGTAGAAATAAAGACACGTTAGATTACAAAGAAAGAATAAGCACTAAGGGAGGATGTAAATGATGTCGGATTTATCAAATACTACCAGTGGAGATCAATGAAAGTGGCTGAATCTGTTCACAAGACAGATAGCACAGAACTGCAGAAATGAGAACAGCTGCAGAATTTGGTTCAGATGAAAAAAGAGATAGAGCAAACGATGTCTGTGTACGGGATTGGTGACCAGTGGTTGAGAATGGCTTTTCTAATCGCGAGGGGCAGATATCTCCAGACTCCAAGAAAATAAGGAAAGGTGGTGGTAGGGCATGACTTACACTGGACTTCGCTCGCTGCTCACTGGAACCCTGTTACTTTTGTCGTCGCTCTTGGATAACAGGTAGTATTGAGAATGTGAAGACGATGTATGCAGTAAAAGAAAGTGTATGTTGCTGATGGGCTAGAACCTCAGACTTTGAGAGGGGTCGCGGGAAAGAATATGCAGAGAGCTAGACTGCATCAGACAAAATAAAAATTGGTCGACAATAAGGACTAGCAGGCTAGAGCAACAGACTGACTAGGTTAATAATCATAATATAGATTTATTAGTGCATGATGGAGCTAAGCTGCTAATGATTGTTCCAAGCCCAACCCCAACGGACATACACCATCGCCGACACTAATGGAATGGGGTTTACTGGAGGAGTCCAATACGCTAACTCGGTGAGTTTGATCGTTTCCAGTGCTAAAAGGATCGTTCTTTTTTTGAAAATCTTCTGTGAATGGGCCAACCAGTTTGACGCTAGACGACACTTCCTATTATTGTTAGTCCGGATCTCAAGGAGGGGTATACCGTTATGCATCAATGCAGTCACTTCGAGGGCCGGAGACGGACTATTGAGTCCTGATCATGCATATTGTGCGAGGAACACCGGAAAAACATGGTTAGTGCGTACTCAGTTTGGTTTTGTGCGATCCTGAGATTAAAGATTGCATTAAACGAAGGATATTGTAGTCCATGTGACAATTCGCTCGAACATGGGGTCAATCAGAATGTCGATAAGCTTCGATTGATGAGCCGAGGACCCTAGGCTCGCTGATTTGGACCACCTACGCCTATCCATCTGGTATTATGCATAACTACAGCTTAGTGCAGGCTGCGGAACAAGGCTGAAGGCACGTTCTAGTCAAAGACAATGTGAGCAAGTAGTCTGACGGGCCGGTCGGGCTTGGAAAGCGCGTGCTCGGTAAGTGTCTAGTGAGTCTCGTCCCACTGCCATGCCTATTCAGGATAAAACGTCGAATATGAGACACAATCACAAAGGCTACCTCCACAGTCGACGAATGGCGTGCATCCCGGATCGCCTCTGGCCATAGCTCCCGATTTCACCCACACGGAAGACGTACTTGAGATGCCACGCAATTGCCTCGCACTCAAAGCGAGAAGAGGTGTTGTCATTCTCAATTAATCTCTCAATTTTCTTATATCAACGCTGCCATGTTCCCTGCAATCCGAAGTACGTGTGACCAGTAACCACTATTTTTTGATCATTGAGCTGGTGAATGATCCTGGCTGGATATCATTTATCCGCGGTGCGCCACAAGCTCCGCAGTGTAGTGGGGTTGTTGAGCGTCTGCTCCAATAATGCTGGGGAATGGTGTGATGTGATGAACTTGCTGCTTGGGATCCTCAGGCGTCCAATCCGTCTCAATTGAAACACGACAAAAATGGCTTAAGCCATCCCCCCGATACCACCAAGCGTTCGCAAGCCGACTTCCCATTCGAGCACAGCGGCATATCGATGTATGTAAAAGTAATGTACGTGCGGAACAACGGAAATTGCTGAGTCAGTTCATCACTGCGAACTATGGATGGTGATCTATACCGTCTGTGCCATTCTTCGTGAGAGTCGGAGTCTTGCCCCAAGTTGGACTTGACGTTGCATGCAATGATCCACTTGGTGTATATTGAGAGGTCCGAGATGAGTCTAATTACTCAGTGCCCACTACCTAAGTAGCAGTATATATTGCGGCAATTCAAACGGGACTATGGAGGCTAACTTCAGAATTGACTGACTGCACGTGCCGGATCTCCATAGGACGCGAAAGGAAGATATGAAGTGCCTGGAGAGAACACTGTGGAGAGGGATGATGGAGGATGGGAGGAGGATGGGAGTATGATGGAGAAGTCAAGAGGAGAAAAAGACTTCAAAAGAAGTCGGCAAATCCCGTGATCTGACGTGAAAAGAAGGAAGGAACGGAGGTGGTTGCTCTTTCCTTCTCAGCCATGTACGCGTTCCTATTCGGCCCATCAGTACAACCTCGAGCTTGCCTCATCGACAAACTACCTCAAACATGACAATCAAAGACATTCTGCCACGGAGGTGGCTGGCTACTGTTGAACTTCTAAGTTGGTAACTAGAGATTCTGACAATGCCGGTTGTATAAAAGCCAGCCAGACATCAGCAAAGCCAGACCAGCTGTACATAGTGCGAAATGATACGAGGTATGTCTCAAATACCCTTCTTCGGATGTAGAGATGTGAAAGGTCTTTGATGTTTGTTCCATAAGGACGTCTCTCCGCCGAGATCGAATGCGACTCCGTGCCAAGAGGGAATCATCGCAACGCACGAAGAGCCTCAGCCGAACCTGTTCATCCGTATGAAAGAAGACCAGGCGAAATGCCAAATCAGATCGATATGAGCCTTACAAAGGACCATCCGTTTCAGAACAAGGCTCGCCCCGTCCCAGACACTCTCAGAAGAGGGCAACCCTGGTGAAGCGGAACAATTCCAGAGTGGCTGAAAATTTTCATGCTAAGAATGTCAAGGCAGGACGGTTGACTGTGAGATGATACCCCGAAATAACAATGGGAAGAAAAGCTGATCTTGGATAAGTTGACATCAAACGAGAAACTGGGCATCTTCAAGAAGGGGGAGGTACTTCTCCTGCACATTGTCAAAGGTATCATTACGATACTCGAAGATGTTGTGTCGCTCATGCAGCTTTAAATCTCGCTTGCTGAGTTCCTGTTTATTAACGCCAATCAGCTGCGCTAAAGGTAATTCTGACGGGTGGCTGATCTCAGAAATGCAACTGATTTGGCCTCTTAGTGTCCTATCCTACCTTTTCGGAGCTACAATTCCTTGCGAAGACTATCAAGCTGCGATACCGGACCAGAAAGGGAATGCGCCTTTAAATGCGGTGAAGCACAATAGGACACCATCAAGTGAAAACCCAGCGACTACATCGATCGTGGAAGAGCTTTTTTCAAGCTCTTGCCGATTGCCGCCATCTGAACGTTCCGTACGAGGAATACCTCCCGAGATTTCCGAATCGCGAACCTGTCTCACTGGAGAATTTAAGTGACCTCTATACGGAGACGGATAAAATGCGGACAGAGAGAACGGAGATTGATGCGATGGGCACGGATCGGTCAACTTTCAGTCACACGAGGATTGAAAGCGCATACCCTTCAGTGTCTGGGCCCAACACTGCCACCAATGTGTCAGGCTAACAGGACGAGATATTCGACATGCTCCTAGAATCGGCTCAAACATTGGACGAGGACATGGCTATGGAAATTTTAGACAAATTGGTCGATGGAGAGAAACTCAACGGCGACAGATACGAGCTGCAACTAGCCGATGGCCGTGCAGGTTACGGCGATATGGTAGCCATGAGTTCTACTTCCCATGGCGTACTACGCATGAATGAGCATCATTTCGGAACTTCTTCCATCTTGGGACTCGCAGGAGTGAATTCGACCACTCATAGCACGACGCAGAGATACTACGACGACAGCATCTTATTAGAAGCATGCCGCGCTCAGTATTATGGACATATGCAAAATGGGTTTACGGCCCGTCATTCTGCAATTGGTAATCTATCTGCCCTTGACGACAGACAATGCTCTAAGATGCGGACGCCGAACAAACCCGAGACGCACACACCCATTTATGTACCTCCACAACAGACGAATACAACCTCACGTCGACACTTTTGGCCATGTAACAAACTTTATTGATATGCTGGTATGAATTTTACTATGCCTTTTTTTTAGGGCGCTTGGGCCTTTTCTCTTGATTACGCAGAACTCGACACAGTTATTGTGTTACTTACAAAAACCCACAACCATCGTCATCGATCGTGTAACATATTAGACACTAGAGTTGGTAGTTTGGGCGCCTTGTTGAATATACCGCTTCCCCCCTCTTTGACGAAGACTTAAGTCGATACAAAGGATAAAAATAGCACCTACTCATCAACATCTCAAAATTGAGAATATCGTTGGATTAGTTCATAACAAAAAGCGGAGCAAAAACTGGTACGAGACGCATTCTCTCCACCACGCCAACGACGCCAAACTGCTGGGTAGGTAGAGGCGTACGGGAAAAATCAATTGCTGGTTTCTTAGAGGTCGCCATTCTATTGGGAAGGACTAGTCCCATGAGAGTCTCCACATGAGCAGGTAAGAACGTAACTGATGCGTTTTGTTGATTATTCATGTTGTATGTAGTGGTTATGGCACACAGATGCATTGCATCAATTTGCATGGGAAGAGAGAGTGACCAGCCGGATCAAGAGCCGCAGTTCCGGCGAGACTAGGACCCGGGCCCTTGGGCTCATCTTGACCTTTTTTGTGTCATTTTCCAGTTGCTTTTTTCTGTGTTGGAAAAAGAAACACTGAATTCTCGTTGGGATTGTCTACTTATTCTCAGGATCCCTGTTTGCGGTTGGCGACGAGGTACCCACTTGAGTAGATAAAGATGATACAGTATGCATGTCGCCATATGTCCGTTCTATAATCAGTTGGCTAGGTATCTTTTGCACGACTCCAACAGGGATTGTATCCAGACATGTTCAGATACCGCACCGGACGACTATCTTAAAATGGAAAATACTATCTTGAACCATTGAACAAATAGTTATTAATGTGCTGATATGCGCTAGGTAAATTATGCATATCTTCTTCCCGGAGGTCTGATCTCCTGCACTTTCAGCTGAGGTCTCGTTTGCTAATCTGTAGAGAGTAATTACTGTCCTAGATATGGGATCGTTGACCAGCATTATGACTCGTGAAACATGAAAAGTAAGTCTTGCTGAAGAGTATGCGGGGGTCTTTTTCTCTCCAAGGCACCATTTTTCAAATGACGGCGCATTCCTCAGCTCGAACAAGGAAAGGAGATACTACTTAAAAGAGGAACAAAGAAAAATGCAGGTTGAGCTGCAGCTTTCCGAGTAAATCTACGCTCTGAGTCTTTGCAACCACCAATAAACAACTTTACTTGAGTGGATAGGTCTCCATCAGAGTGGTATATTTCCCTGACACTATAACAACGGTGCTGATTTTCTTTTTCTGATTGCGTTCCAATTTTTGAAGAAAAATCCAGCCAAATGGTTTACACTACGTTAGCGTGTAAGCCCCCAAAAGTCTGCAGATTCTACTGCATGGAAAACTTGCTTTTATGAGAAAGGCTTGCCCGGAAATGGAAGTAGCCTGGCTTTATTAATATCGGATTGTGACTGACGGAGGAGGAGATGGACTTAGTGCACAAATGAGTTATGACCTTTCTTTAATTTTGGGTAGAACTAAACCTTACTAGATCAACTGGTCTTTTGGAGATATAGTTAGACAGGAGGAATCTAGCCCACCCGACGCAGTGGTTCGGAGACCTGTCAAGCGCGTGGGTTCTTTTTGTGGACGTGATGTGTATTCCAAGGTCGACATGGTAAACTTTGATCTTGCAAGCCTCGTACAGTCGACAGAGTTTCGGAATAAATTCCTTATCGAGGACATTTCCAAGGTTTCATCACCTATGCACACCAAACGGCCAAGGTAACCCAAGTAGCGTGTGAATGTGAGTAATTCAGGCGACGTTCAAAAGAGCGGTGGGAAAGAGCCTCAAGCTACTCCCTATATCGAACCATACACACCATGCATCCTGATGACTCGGCAGGGTATACGTGTTCCTGAACACTCTCTAATCATCTCTTCATTTGCCCAAATGTTGGACGCCTGAATCTTCTGAAAAGCGGTCGGTCGATCCACCTCAAAACAAAATGAGGGTTGTCAGTGCGTCTATTTGATGTCGTACGCGAGTCTGCGAGAATTCCCATTAGACCGAAAAACCTGGGAATGATTGGTGGGACCCCCTGCCCCTGACCCAGGCTACTGGAATGCGTTGCGTCTGAGTAATAGGCTACTGTGCCTACAGTTGAGTATTACGTTGCCTATCAGACAGAAAACTGTCTCAAAGCGGAATACGCGCAACTTGACTACTTTTACTTCGATCATCCGACCTATGAAACGGGGGCATAAACTAGAGAATACATACATGAGATAGTCGTTATTTTGATCGTCTACGTGGCAGGGGGTGTTCATTTTATTCATTCGTTCGACTACATATGTATTTTGGCCTCTTGACCACTTGTTTCATCAGTCGTTCGTGCCGAATCCGGAATAAAATGCCCAATACCTAGATGAGAGTCTGGAAGAGAAGTACTTAAGGTTCCCAGTGCCCCCTGTCAAAAACGAAAATAATTCAATGAACCACAACAGATACCGATTCTAATACATAGAAGGTGCGACATTAAGCAATTTTTCTTATATTTTCCTTCTACTACTTCTTCTGTCTCCCACGTGGGTGACAGCGGCGTGCCGGGAAGAACCAAACAACTCGAAAAGAGCCGCATTGAACAATAATAAGTCATCTTATTGACTTCACCGCAACGACACTATTACTACGCCTGTCTCTGTCTGTCCTTACCTCTCGAAAACCATGACTCAATTAACAGCAAGCGCACTAGCTGCCCAGGAAAAATCGCATGCCCAAGTATGTCGCTGCATCTTTCTTTTGTTTTTCCTCTCTTTTCTTTTCTCATTTCGGATCCTTTTCCGTTCATATATCCTATTTTTTATCAAATCATGTGACAATTTGCGGCTTCAGTCCGTTCTTAAATCCAAGAGCGGAAATCAGCTCCTAACAAGCAACAAATCCGACAGGGAAGAGTCGACAGTATGCATTCGCATGCTGCCAAGGTCGTACACGAAGAACGAACTCATCAGTACTTTTCGCAACTCGGAATTTTAAAAGGTATTGATATCATTAATGCAGAGTATTGGGATGGTGGGAATACTGGTGCTTGTACCCGGACCGGGACTGGTGCTGGTGGTTGCAGTAGGGCGAACAGGGATGATGCACTACCAGATACTGCTAGACGCGATAACAGCGACAACAGCAACGGCGGCGATTTATTGCAATCATTGAAGATTTTTGTTCCACATTTAGTCGAAGATTCGGGGACAACTCCCCTTGAGAGATTTCTGACACTTGGAGAATCGACGGATCCATCGTACATCCGGCATCCTGCCCTGACGCAAGCACAGTACTATGGCAATATGGACAGTGTCGAAACTCGAATAAGTCAAGCACATGTATCGGCAGACAGGATCATTAGTGAGGGACAGGCGAGGAAGGGGAGTACGGGTGATGAACATATGTACAAATGATTCTACTATTCGGTAGTATACATAGAGTACATAGATGAGTTAGGGTTATTGGGTGGAGACTAAAAGTGGAGCTTTTCTATTGATAATGATAAGGTTCGATTCGATTGCGGCCCGCTCCTCGATCCACGGTCCACCACGGAAAATCTTCGGAGATAACTACGTAGATGGAGTATATAGATCGATCGTCTTTTATCTTATCATACAAACATAGTAGATGCTAAATACTCACTCAATTAATTTATCACCTGAATGATATATTTTTATGGCAGCTAGCGGTGTAGAATTGAATGAAACCCAGTATATTTTACTATGACGACTACGTATTCAGTTACATCACGCATCACGCCAGGTCTATTTCGAATATCAGCACATTCAATGAAACGGTGATATTAATCTATTCGTAATTTTCCATTTATTTACGAGGTTGATTCCAGCTGTCTTCGAATGAGCGCATCTTACGACAAATCAGAATCAGAATATTAAGGGCTGTGTAATGGTTCCCTATGATCGTGGCTCAGTAAGAACGTGCTTGCATGAGGACAAGGCAGCTTTGTCACTGGGTAATACAGTCATACGGACTGAAGCACATAAACAAGGCTCAAACTGCCATTTTTCTGACCTATGAAATATTTCGTATTTCAAATCCATTATGTTTGTAGTAACGTCTCCTATTAGAAGCGACGGGTAAGGCAGTCTCGTGAGAAAAGATGTATGTATTGTCACTATTGTGGCTTCGCTGCCTTAACCGCCTGCAGAAAAGAAAAAAGGATAAATTGTTAATTCGACTACATAGTTGTGTAACGATTTGATTTGTTTCTATTCCTTTTGTTGGCGCTGCTGGTCAATCGAAAAGGTACGCAACAATCCTATTCAATGGGTTCATTTCTCCGTATGTTATCACGAGAGTTCGCCAGTTTCATGTGATCCCGCGATAAACAGACCAATAATAACGCTCGAGTGACAGGATAATCGCATTATTATCCGCATTGTCTCCACGAGTTTGAGGCTCTGCTCTTGATTTATAATATGATTGTCTTGGGCATCAATTGCTGCCCGGTCGCGGATAGCCTTCTTTTCCTGAATCGGCCATTGATCAGCTAGTTGTTACTGGATCAAGTGGAATAGACTTGTTTTATTGCTGCGGAGTTCGCCGTAATAAATGTCGTTGACCATCAGTTCCCCAAACTCTATCTAGCCTATACAAACAGTCTTATTGCTACGTAGCCCGCAGGGCAAGCTTAGCGTGACCGGGCGTCAACAAATGATGGGCAACTCCAGTATCCTCCACCCTCACGAACCTGGAGACAACGGGTATCTCCGGATGGTAATTATCTTCCAGAAAGCAGCAGTCATATGACGTTTGATTGGGCACAAAATTAATGAGGGTGGTTCTGTACATTCAACTTGAAGAAGGACATTAACCCTAGAACGGCACCGAAGCAGATCACCGCAAACACAGCCATATTTCTCTGTTGAACGCCCGGTGTGTCTGCTCTACTCAAAAGATTGACTTCTCTGAATCTTTTATTTCACCTCTTAGCTGTCTTTAAAAAAGCTGCAACTTTCCTTTCCCACATTTTTCATTTTGACCTTTCCACGTTTTTCCTCCTTCTTGATAGTACCTCCCACACTCATCTAACTTTTAATTTTTCTTTTCTTCGACACTTGATTGTACGTTGATGAGTCATTCATCTGTATCAGGTAAAAATTTTCAAATCAGTCCATGCTTTTCTTCTATCCTCTTGCTCAGACTAACACCGTCTCTGCTCCGAAGCAGACATCCATACATTTCGACTCATCCTCCCATCCAAAGACATCTGCACGTTACACCAGACCCAACCGATTATCCCAAGTCTCCTTCGCCCTTATCGTGACCAGTCTGATCTTGTCTTGATGTATCAATGACAGGGACAACTTCGACGAGGATAAATTCGAAGGTCAGTTTCGTCAGGAGGGAGATAAAACTTTTATTTATTTTGTCGATTTCCACTGGAGGCAAACCATCATGTGGCCGAAAAAAAAGTCCTCGTTCATTAAGCATTACATCACACTGAATATCAACTGGTGATGCTGACATGTTTGTTGCTATCGTCTAGGATACCACTCATCATTGGTCTTCTTTTGTATCCCAGACTTTTCCTTTGTAAGATCTCTTGGTCAGAGCAGCAGTCAAACCGACAATTCTTCAAACACAATCCAGGCTTAGTTGGCAATAGTTGCAACCCATCATGGACCATATGTACTCCCAGGATAATTCCGAGGAAAGGCCCATGGGCATTAATGGTCAAGGCAGCCCTGCAAACAGAATCAATTTAGCCAGGAGACGCCGCGGTGAACATGAACACCAGGTCATAAACATGCCGGGCCGTGATACCAATTCTTCTCAACCCCCTGGATCGTTTCCTCCCTTTTTGGTTTCAAGACTTAATGACGGTCTTGAAACAAACCCAGCACATTATTCCCACTTTTACCAACCACTTCCTGGAAGAAATTCCCCTGCTCCAGGGATGATTGCCCCATGGATGAATACTCCAGGGATGGAGATGGCAGCCAGCCACATTTATGTTCCTGTTGATGGACAACAGATGCCAATGGCAGAAGGTCATTTAAACCATGTCCCTGATCTTTCTGCTTTGGATCCATCAACTTCCAACGGATATCCCATTGGAAGTCGTCCACCTTGGAGGATAACTGTTGTACCCCCAGTCGAGGACTTGTCTGGGCCTCAAACCCAAAGTTACTATAATCGTAACTCTCATCCTAGCAGCAATGCTACTACCGCTGTGGTCAGCCCTCCATCGCAAGGGTTGCTACCTGGACAATATAATGTTATCCGGCAAGTTGCTGCAGGCATCCAAAGGCCTCCAGAATCACAGGATACTTCAACAGATCCGAATTTTCTGAGTCCACGCAGCCCAAGTGTGATTACTTGGGATTCCCGAACGAACAGCAGCACTTCCATCACGGAATGCCGCCGAGGTAGAGGCAGGAGGAGAATGACGAGTGACGAAAAGGCTCATCAGAGAGCTCTGAAGGCTGCGGGAGGAGCGTGCGACAGATGTCGAAAGCGGAAAAAGAAGGTATGGCAAAAGTTTTGTTTCGATTGAATAGTCTCTTAATAATGTAATGATTGGTAGTGTCTCCACAAGGAATCACAACTCCGATTGGGAGACTCCGCCCAGGCTGAGGATTCACTCAACGTCAATAATACCCATAGATCCGGCATCCTTCAACCTCGATCTAGAGCAGACGTCAGCAGGTCTCGCAGGGTGGTACCTGGTCCACAGCAGCTGCGCCAGCGCCAACCTCATCACCATCAGCGACAAAATCATTCACTCGTCCCTTCCAACGGTCGCTCAGCACCCAGTGAACTGAGCATATCCTCGCCCTCAGAAGGCGGTACTACAAACACCACCATACTCAGCATACAATCTGACGCGACATCGATCTTCGATGATGAGAGGAATCTGCCTCCCCGCCGCAGTGAAGAAGAGCAGTTCAGAATGGATACTATAGGCTTAGGTCAACAGTTTGGGTAAGTATTCACCTCCAGGCTGATCATATCTTTGGGGGACCTTTTTCTTACCTGTATCTTTCCCAACCCATAGTGAACGATATGACCAGTTCGTGGCCTGGATTTTGAGCAATCACGAGTATCTAGAGCGGAATGGCGACAGCTCTACTGAGCTGTAGGGGGCGGGGGCCATCCTCCCTAACACACATGTAGTGAATAATGACTCCTTCTGGTGCGTTCCGATGGTCCACGGAGACTTGACGAGTTTGAGAGACTGTTTCTTTGTAGATACTCGTCTTTCTTCGTCCTCGAATCCGGGAGGGATTATATGTCTCGAGAGGCAGTCCAAGTGAAGCATATGTTAGGCATCGTGGTCACTAACAATAGCAACTTGGTGCTGCGTCGGGTATATCCCAGAGACTTTAATGATTGAAATGTTTTTCTGGCCCCTGAGGGGCCTTTTGTGGTGTCTTGAGATACTTGTCGCAAAGGAGAATGGGTTCAACTATTTATAATGACGAGGCATTGGGCGGTGTTCAAAGGAGTCATCCAAGTTTTTTGAGTCATGCTGGTTCTCGTGAGTCATACTGATCTATGGAGTTACGCTGTTATGGAGTCATTCCGGTTCAGGAGTCTTCTTGCTCTGCAGTCATGCTTTTGTGAGTCATACCTGGTTTCTGTTGTGGATTTATACCAATTTGTGTACGTGGCGATGTTTTCATGAGTGACACGGCCTGGTCTGATTTTCGATCGCGCTACCCTTTTTCTACATATTCACTGCAAGCGTATGTATCTTGTTTTAATACAGCATCGGTCGAGTCTTTCGACATGTCGACCGCTTTCATTTTCATTCCTTTTCCTATCCCATCTATATCACATATATCACAAAGTAGCAGCGCCAATAATCCCTGCTGTACGAAACGCTGCTTTATTCGTAATGACCGCTTCGACAGGGTATTTCCATTCCATAAACTTCGTCCAGCCTGTTGATATTCATCATGTTAGCCAGTTATCCATTATACGAGATTCCATAAAGTACATACCCCAATATGCACACCTCCTCCCCGCGTATTTGCCGATAACAGGCACAAGAACCATTGTGAGCAGTAATTCCAGTTGCTGTAAACTTTCCCGCCATTGCTCTTCCGCGTCTGAATCTTCATAGTCTGAGAGTAGGTCTGATTCGCTTGATGTCTCAGAAGGTAATGATGCTATTTCGTCATCATCTGATGATGTGCTGTGGTAGGATATGTTGAATCGTGAGGGTATCATATAGGCTGAGGCGGATGGAGAAGTGGAGTCGTCGCCGGGGGACAATATAGATGCCGACATTTTGACTCGATCTTGATGAATCTTCAAAGTATGGAAGAGGATGTTGATTCAGGAGTGACTCAGTGAATACAATGAGGCTTAGATGGTTGACTCGGATCGTTCAAGGACGGTGTTATATGTTGACCGGCGGTTTTCTACCGCAGGTCGACGAACAGGCTCATTCGTTGTCAGCGATAACCATACTATCGAACAATCTGCTAATGAATTCGAGGATGGGTCAAATAGTATTATCAGTTCATCAGAAATGAAATAGCTTCATGATTGTTGACAGCTTGAGGTTGTCCGCCGAAACGACTTAATCGGAGCGCACGTGATTTTACCCAGAGACTCATTCGGCAGGTCACGTGCTGCTACCATTATCTTTCGTGGCGAGCGTGGGAATGACTTCTTACCCAGCAAACAGGCAGAAAACAGATCTGAGTCATAAACATCGAAAGCTGCTGCATCAACAATCTTGAGAGATAAATTGCAATAATATTCAGGCTGTGAAACCATATTGAGCATGGCGGATACTGTACGTCACATTTCTTCTGCAATTTTTACCGACTAAAATCCCCTCCCACATTTTTGCAATTTGACATCAAACCCCTCACGTCCGCTTTGGTATTGCCAGCGTCGCCTACACTCGATTTTTGCGTCAGATCTTTGACACGAGATCTACGCAAATTCATATTCATTCAAGGCTTCCATAAAACTGACTACTTTTGGGTTGACAGGAAGCGGTAGCCCAAGAGACAAAACAACGCAAGTCGGTAGCATTCAGCGAAGAAGCCACAGTCATGGATGCCAACGGAGAGGTTACAGAGACTCCTCACGTCGAGAAAGACACAGCTGAGAGCCACTCTGCAGGTACGAGCTGAAATATTACGCCGGAGAATCTTGTGCTGTCTAATCGCTAACTCAATCTACAGACAAGGAAGTCGACGAGGTCACCGAACTGTTCAAAGGTCTTTCCAAGAAGAAAAAGACAAAGAAATCAAAGGATGCGGATGCCGAAGGTGACGAGGCTGCCCCTGCTGGCGATGGCGAACTTGACTTGAGTGCGATGAAGAAAAAGAAGAAGGTTAAGAAAGCCGACGTTGGAGATTTCGAAGCCAAGCTCGCCGAAGCCGGTGTCACAGAGGAAGGTGCAGAAGGCAAAGAACCCGCTGGCGAACAACTACCCGAAGGTGATCTCGAGAAGGGAACCGGTATTTGGGCCCACGATGCTACACAAGCCATTCCATACCAGTTGCTCGTTACCCGATTCTTCTCCCTCATTCAGAGCCACCACCCCGATCTTTTGTCTAGCGGTTCGAAGTCGTACAGGATTCCTCCTCCCCAGTGTTTGCGTGAAGGAAACCGTCGTACTATTTTCGCCAACATTGCCGATATTTGCAAGCGGATGAAGCGATCGGACGACCATGTCATGCAGTTCTTGTTCGCTGAGTTGGGTACCAGTGGTAGTGTGGACGGTAGCCGACGATTGGTTATTAAGGGTCGTTTCCAGCAGAAACAAATTGAGAATGTGCTGCGACGATATATTGGTATGTACATTTTTGGCTCTCGTGAGAATTTTCAGATCAGACACTAACCTGTAACCAGTCGAATACGTTACCTGCAAAACCTGCCGAAGCCCCGATACCGAACTCAACAAAGGAGAGAACCGTCTGTATTTCGTTACCTGCAACTCTTGCGGATCCCGACGATCCGTCACGGCCATCAAGACCGGTTTCCGTGGACAAGTTGGCCGTCGTAAGAAGGCAGCTTAACTATTTTGCTCTTCCTGTTTCTGCTACTTGTTTTTCTTCTATTCTACCTCCCTTTTTCCTCATTCAAAAAGTTCTCTAACGACCTCGGGACTTTTCGCTTATTCCCTGACATGGATATGGATATGAACAAAATTGGTGGCGAGAGATGTGATGATATGAATGTGAATAGATTTCTATGTTGTCATGCCGTATCTAATATGCCCTAAGGAGTTGAATGTTGCATATGAACGTTATACCTTTCCGCGTAGACCATATCCTAGTGCATGTAGCAAGATACTCCAGACACTGAAGCTCTAGCAATGTTTCTAACAATAGACTCCCCCATGCAAGCTATTAACTTAGTCAAATGCATCATCTTCGCACTCCGCAGCTCTGCAAACTATCCTATCAAGAGCTCGTAAGCCCACATCCCCCTCCCAAGCGCTTAACCATGCCCACCAATTAGGGCTCAAACTCCCGCAAACCTTCTGACCTGCGGGGAGCCAAGGCCCCGTAATATTTCTTATCGGACCTCTCTCATCGCATAACTAAGCGCCCATGCTGTCACCCAAGTCGCCGTAATGCAGCCTATCACCAATGCTAAATGGTTTGCCAATGGTCTTGGTTTTGCGGCCATGTAGGTATCTGGAGCGGACTGTTTGGAGTGTATTAATTTAATGTATGAGGGTCGGGAAAAGTGGGAGAAGGGTGGACGAGCTTTCTTTAACCTAGCTTTCCCCTCTTTAATTCTCGGTCTTCATCTTCAAAAGTTTTTCTTGTCTTCAGTTCACTCTATAGTTTTGCATATTTTGTCAAAGTATAAGTTTATCCAAGTGTGCAATTGCACTTCCATCTGACATTCCCCGCCATCGCATCTATAATCGCGAAGAGACGACGACGGGCCTGGTACCCTAATTCTGCGTCACGAATTACCATTATCCGACGAATTTCGCTACATTGTTTTCATTTATATATACTTAATTTATATACAAAATCATGCAGTCATTTCTTCCGCGGCCCTCCTCTCAGGGCCAGCATTATCCTCGTATGTTGCTCCTCGAGATCATCTTGGGAGGGTTCTCAGACTAACAATGTAATTTGTATCATTAGCTCCTCCAAGATCTGCCAGTATGTCATTCGTCTAATCCTCAAAACATGGGACGATCTGATAGAAGCTAACAATAATCAGCATTCCCTCCTCCACCATTAGCTTCACCAGGGTTCCCACCACCACCACAACCATCTCCAGGGTTCCCACCTCCAAACTATAACTATCCGGCTCCTCCAAATCAGCAGCAGCAACAACCACAACCACAAAATGCGCAATCACAGTTCCCACCACCGCCTAGCAGCCGTCCAGCGACTACAAGTCCGCCTCCTCGATTCGAGGCAGCAAGCAATAATAGCGCAGCAGCTCATCAGGCGGCTATGCTTGCTGCAGCGCAAGAACAAAAGCTGCCGTTGTCGCCGCCGCCGATGTCTCCTCCGCCAACGGGTAGGCCTCGTATGGAGCAGATGCCTGGTGGTGCGCCTCCAGTGGGCCAATTTAGGGGTGCACAGGCCACAGGTGCGGATGATGTTGGGACGTTCAACGGTGGGAGTTATAGAATCAGTCACCGGAGTGTGAATTCGATTGTGACTTTTCAGCTTGCGATGGGTGCGCCGCTAGAAGCGAGACCAGGTATGATGTATCGACTTCCTGTATTCATATATATATATATATATATATTGGTGCTAAAGGAAGTGAGAATAGGTGTTATGATTGCGATGTCACCAACTGTCACGCTCAAGGGTAACTTTCATTTTTCGATGAAAAAGCTTCTCATTGGAGGTGAAATGAATCACTCGACATATACGGGGCCTGGAGAGATTTTGCTTGCCCCCTCTGTTCTTGGTGATATCACCGTTTTACGATTGACAGACGACGGACAGACATGGAAAGTTGGACGAGATGCATTCCTTGCCAACACGGCGTCGGTCAAGAAGAAATATAAGGCTCAAAACCTTTCTAAGACTCTCTTCTCCGGTGAGGGTTGGTTCGTGTATAATATAACAGGCCCCGGGTTGCTTTGGCTGCAGAGCTTTGGTGCCGTGATAAAAAAGGAGGTACGTATATCCTCATTCGTCTTTGTCATTATCTGAACGACGGACTAATTGTTGTGTGGTAGCTCGTTGAAGGAGAGAGCTACTACGTGGATAATGGTCACTTGGTGGCATGGAATTGTGAGTACATTATTGAACGAGTTGCTTCTGGCGGTATGATCTCAAGCTTGAGCTCTGGCGAGGGCTTAGCTTGTCGTTTCAAAGGCCCAGGAACTGTCTATTTACAGACACGAAACCTGAATGCTTTTGCTCTTCAGTTGGGCGTGAGCACTGCAAGTGGATGATGATGACATATTCAAACCCGAAGTTTGATATTGACTCTCAACACTTGCGTGATTCTCGACGAGAAGCCAGCGGTTCTCTTGAGAAAGTTGAATGTAGCAATCTGTGGATGAGTATATATAGTCCACCTGGGCAGTCTTTCCTATATAATTCGAAAAGGAAATGTATTAAGACTTTATAGTAGCGTCTTCTGCAAACACATCCATCCATAAATCCAATAATTCACATTAGGGTCCCCGACTGTATTTTGCCCCCACTGCACTTAGATATGCATGACCCTCCATCCAAGGCCCATGAAGTCCTACTCGAGCAGCTATGTCGAGCACACTGTACTGATCATGGTCATTGATGTTCAGATCCGCCCTTGCTGCGCAAAGATACTTGACAAGGGGTAGCTCTTGTCTCACGGTCGCTGCCATTAATGGTGTCCTCCCTCGAGATCCAATCACATTGATATCAGCGCCCTTATTGACAAGAAGCTCAACAATGGGAAGGAAGCCACGTTCTGTAGCAATTATAAGTGCTGTATCTCCAAATTTATCTTTCTGGTCTATATTAGCATTGTGTGAAAGGAGAATTTCTGTGCTTGCAACGTCACGATTCGTCGCTGCCTCCATCAACGCAGTTTTACCATTGCTGTCTGGAAAATTCACATTGGCGCCGCTTTCGAGCAGAAACTTCAATAGTGAATGATGCCCCATTTGTGCAGCGATCAAAAAGGCAGTTTCGTAAGCTCCAGTGACTTTGCGGGAACACTCCTTCTCGAAAATTGCCTCGAAGGCCACGGTATTTCCTTGTCTAGCTAATTCAATTATTATATCCTCTTTTCGTTTCGATCGCTCCGCATGATGTAATACCAAACGCATAGTTTGAGTATAACCCTTTCGAATAGCGTAGACGATGACTGCCAGCAGTCGATACATCTCGGCTAAATCATTAACCAATTTGATTATCAACAACTCTTGCAGGATGTCGAATTGGTTCTGAACGAGCCAATCAAGGGCCATCTGTGACGACTGGTCATCCTCTATCGAAAACCCAACGTCTGAGCCAAGCCAAATATCAAAAAACGTCTGCCGAGACGATTGTGCAGCTTGCAAGTCGTCATAAATTTCGGGGATTGGACTTTCAATCCCAATTGTTCCCTTCAAGTCCTGTAAGATGGTCATCGTTCGTTGGCCTGGATAGCGTTTCGTTAAATAATGGATCATATGAGTAACCATCCAAGATATTTCGGTTCGATATTTGGTGCACCAGGCATCGGAAGGTACGCTTTCAAGGTCCAGATATTTAGAGACAGGAAATGAGGCACGGTCATTAAGGTTTACGTCCACTATAGCCTTGATTCGTTGAGCCGCCAGTTCTTTTGCCGTGACGTCCTGTTCTAAAAGGACCTTCAAACAGATATGCGCATATTCAACGACACAAGGTTGTACCTCCTCGTAGCCGGTTAGAGAACACAGCCATTCACTCATTGTAATGAGGTGTGTAAGACCATTATGATATCCCTGGGAGGCAAAAACTTCCATGCTCTGGCGGATATCAGGTAAACCAGACGAAACTCCGGAAATTAATGAGCTATCAGATAATACCTGCAAGTTGCATATCATCCCTTCTGTATTATTACCTAAGCCCGAATTAGCAAATACGTTCGCAAGCGCCTCCACACGGTCGTTGCAGACTCTGTAGCTGCTCTTATCGCTGCCAGTAATATGAGTGTGACCTCCAATGGATGGGAGCAGACGAAGCATCGAAAAAAGTAAGTGCATGTATATATCTTGAGCGGCTAGCGTATATATATTGGCCGTAACCGCCATTACAGGCGTGTCTTGAATCACCTGGTTGCTAGTCTTCAGATCAAAATGCCCAATTGTCTCACTATCATTCAGAAGGCATCTCGTTGCTGATCGATCTTTGTCAAAGATTGATCTGTCGGCCGTCCAAGTCCGATGTAGTAAGCGTGCTTGATGGGGAGTAATACCTTTGGGACGAAACGCCCGGAAGAAACTGTTCTGAGACTTCTTTTTCAGGCCACGGTTGACTTGCTTCAAAGACCACACGTATAGGCCAAGTATGGCTTCCCATGAGTCAATATCTGTGCTCTTTCCAGTGGACAAGCGAATTTCCCAAGTACGTACAACTGTTTGTTGATCTTCTTTTTGAATTGCGAGAGGAATAACAATATCAAAGGCCGATATTTCTTTTTCAGACCAGGAGCTTATCAGTGTCGCCAATTCTTGTGCTGCTCGGTCTAGATTACGCACCAAAGTGCGGACTGATGTCTCGTCCCAATCGGAGCCTGCCAATTTCCTCAATTTCTCACGAGTCGATACGAGCTCGTGGATAGTATGACTGGACTGTGTCTGCGTATTTTGCCTTCAGAAACTTTATCAGCATTTGGTGTTCATGAATTTATTTCATCTACTCACGCATGCAAACTGTTTGTCGGACAAAGTCTGAATGACTTGATGTTAAACAGGCGGAATACAATCCAGTCTAGCTCGTGCTCTCCACTTGAAACAATATCTTGATCGACTTTCAACATATTATCCCCTTCCCGCATCCTTTCCGCCCTTAAGCCCGTCCTCACAAGTGTCATGACCATTGTAGCTCCCAACTGGGCAAGAATGACAGAAGAATGCAGGCCTCGTATACCGACGAATTGAATCACGAAGCCAACCATGGTCAGGCAGACCACAAATATCAGCTGCATCTCTCTACCGACATTGAGAACCTCGTTCAATGGTTGGTGCCTCACAGACCGGATAAAGTAGACGCCCTTATCGGTCCGGCCCACGAAGGATGGGAACTTCTGATCCCCAACAGTTTGGTTTCCTGGTTGAATCCAGTAAACTCTGCTCTCCTCTGGTAGAGTGAAGATATGCTTCTCCGAGTGACGTTCCACCAAGACAGCACAGAGGAACATGCCCTGGGTGAGAAGGGCAGTCCCTAGCACAAACATTGGAAACGCATAGCTATCCACACGACCACCATTTTTCAGGAAGGATTGTGGCCAGTAGAATACCGTAAGAGCGGCATATATTATTACACCTAAATCAATCGCCGTCAGAATTTTACAAGCCTCTCGTGGTTGAAAGAAAGATTCAAACACACTTAGCTGCAAGACGACCCCAAAGATGGCCGCAAGGTGAAACCAAATCGGTGCACGTCTTCTGATACCTTTATTCAACGACAAATTTGGCAATTTGACGTCTTTTTCGAGATCCGTCCAGTCTTTCCCAGCAACTTCACTTACTTTCCGGATAGTGACAATTCCAGATTGTACTTTGCTCTCATCCGCCACAATTTCCAAAATTTTGGGATTACCGGTGATCCTGGCCACACCGGATTCGGTGAATATCTCGGCGGTGCTATCTGATACGCACGAGAGTATTTCTTTTTCTGAAGAGGCCGGATCTTCCTGGGCTCTGCCTATTATTGCCCGAAGGGTTGGGTTACCGCACACTCGAATGGCGGATACCACAGCCGTCAAGACTCCGAGAGGCGCTAAGGCGAAGATAAAGTCATCCAATGTAGATATAAGCTCTGACATGCATTGTCGAGTAATTTGTTCACCAAAGAGAGTGATCAAAGGTGCCTGCAGAGTGTTAGTATTCAAAACGATCCGAATAGGAATGAATATACTCACGAGATCAGTGGCAAGATTATTGGCGAAATCATCCCAATTATCGGCTGAAACACAGCACGCTAGACAGAAGAATATTGATATATAGTACGACAGAGCCATCCTTACTCGACCTGTGGTCATCAGGTGACTTTTTGTTTTGCTAGGGAAAGCATCCGAACGACCAAGGTCCAGAAGAGGCACATAATATGTAAGTCTATCATTTTTCAGACAAGGCTGGCAAAGCAACGAAATTCATAGCGAGGCTGCCACGATATTCGATGATCATAATTGGTAATGTAAGCGAAGAGGCTCCATGCAGGGGTACATACGGCGCAGCGCCAGAGACAAATCCAGCATAATGCTTGGCCGGAAGGAGTTTTGGTCGAGATTTCAGCCTTGCACTGCCATTGCATGGAATCCTTGAAACGGCTCAAATAACGCTAAATTGGGCGGTTATGAAAAGGTCGACGTGGATGATGAGACATTAGTGGCTTGTCGGTTGCCCACCCCGGCGGCTATCCTGCTCGACATGGTCGTTCAGGAGATATGAGAGATTTAGGTGGAAGAACAGAGAAATTCGGAGTTCAAGGAGGGGTGATAGTTAAATTGTCGAGTTTGCTTTGAGATGATAGAGAACTGGGTTTGTCAAGTTATGTTTGGAAATAAGGACATTGAAGGTGCTCGGTCCTTCCTTGCCTGTGGTACGGCTGCGGTCCTTCCCGCTGCCCCATCATATCGCGATCTCTCTTATCGAGGCCTTGAATATCAATATCTACTGATTTGGATTCCGAAGAGATGGAAATGAGAATGCTCTTGGAGAGACCATACAGACGCTAGCAGTTGACCATCACAGACTAAACCATCGCTTCTCAAGCCGACGTTCATACACACTTACTGTTACCAACTGTCATCAGTCGATCTACTCCAAGCCTCCGAAAAGCCTCAAATCTTCAAGGTTGAAAGCATCTCTGCGACACGCAGATGAGGATACACAAGGGTAAGGAGGCTGAGGATAAGCTGCTTAGCCCGGAGAGTACTACCATCTAGGCCCCGTAGGTGAGACAATTCCGATGTGAGCCTTGAAACTGGTGCCGGTGTCCCTGTGACAGATCTTGATGATCATATGCCATCATGAATTTAACCATCGATACTCTCCAATCATCGAACCGGCGGTATATTTGCACGAGTCACAATATTGCGAGGCGTTACTTAATTATACTTTGCACGTTGTATCGACGTGCGGGGTAGCCAAGTAGTGCAAGGTCATCAATCATCGACATCGAATGAAATAGATTGGAGACTGTAGAGAGTCTGTGTTGCATGTTAAGCAGGGATCATCGTGTAATCGTGGGGGACAATTATATCGCCAATCGAATCATGCTGGACGGACATGGATATTGGGAATGCGGTGGAACGGTAGTACATGATGTTGTTCCTTTTCAGAATGCATATTGCGCAAGTAAGCAGAGTAATAATAGAGTCTGTATGATGCTACCAGGAAGAGAGGAAGCAAGGAAGCACGTGCCAGACCGCATCGGGAACAGTTGGCAGCGTGGTGGACCTGGCTAGTTTAGGCTCCACGGTCCGCCGAGTGTGGCTTTGCTCATATCAACTAACCTGAACAACACAACATTTCAACCTCCTTCAACCTCCTCCTCCCATCATCTGTTCATCCGGCAACTACCGATAATCAAACTTCTTTACTTGTGTCCGTTCCTCGAGCCTGCAGTAACGACTTTCGGCCACCAGTTGTCCGACTAAAGTACACATACACCGTTAACTACCGCCATGGCGTCGCAGGGTGAATTCTCCGCGGCCATGACCAATCGGTCGCTACGCACCATTCGAACTGTATGCCATCACTGGAACCATTGCATTGGAATGCACTGGATTCACGATTATATAAACTAACATCCTGTAATAGGAGCTAGAATTTCTCACAGATGCCTCGGTTATCACACCGCAACAACTGGCAAACTTGCTATCTCAACTCCCGAACCAGACAGTATTACACGCACCCGTCATGTCGGCATCAGGCCCCATACCTGCTCCAGTACAATCACCAGATCCTACCCCAGCATTCAACCCTCCTACGGCCCAGCTTCAGAATACTAGCTTGAACGAAAAGGCGCCGATATCACAGTATCCCAGTCCGGCTCCACCGCCGCCTGCCTATGCCCAAGGACCACCAGTTCTCTCAATTTCATCAGCCATGTACGCCTACACACCGACTGATGCCGGAGACCTCGCCCTTCAGCCGAATGATCGCATTCAAGTTTTGGAGCACATGAATAATGACTGTATGTGTTTCAGGAGGACCACGATGTGTATTCTCAGTACTAATAAACCGAATAGGGTGGCGTGGTCGAAATGAGCGAACAAACCAAGAAGGAATATTCCCACGAAGCTACGTCAGAGTGTTGGACGAGAAGCCTGCCCCTCCAGTCTTGTCTCCACAACCTACAAACTATGGAAACATGCCTTTGGAAGTTGCTCAAAGCGGATCTCCTGCTACCGACGCTTCGGGTCATCGACCCAGCAAATTCGAAGAACAAGGCAAGAAATTTGGAAAGAAGATAGGCAATGCCGGTAAGTTTGCCAGTCCTCACTTTTATGGAATGTTATTAACATCTGTCTAGCAATTTTCGGTGCTGGTGCCACCATTGGTTCCAACATTGTCAACGGCATCTTTTAAGCCAAGTCGATATTGCACTTGGATCTTTTGTGTTTTTAAATGCCTCCGACCCACGAGATGGGAAATTTATAACAAAATATCTTAGGGTTACAGCTTGCGCATTATGGGATTGGCGTTGATGGCGTTCAGGAACTATCGCGTCTGTCCTGGATTGGTTACTTTTGACGATCTTTCAAGAATCTTGCTTACAGTATGACTCTTCTCAGATGTGCAGAGTCAAATTATTGATTGGAATTGATCCGCCATGAGCGTGTCGACATGCTAGAATGCAGTGCATTATAACGCAGATTCACTTGTGGCCGATTACTGATGGCATGAGCAGAAACTTGAAAATTTGACAGTTCTGCGATGGTCTTGCTTCGAGCTGGAATTCATTCCGGCTTTTTCGTGTCTATACTTTATTTTCCTTTGTGACTGCTGACTGGCTAGCAAACATTGGGGCAGTCTTTCCTTGCGTTTTGCTCCGCCCAGGTTCTTTCATTGCCTGGCCCGTTGAATTTGTCATTTGATTGCAGACTTGACTGTCTATTTAATTTGTCTGAAGAAACTAGAGCAGCTCGTGATAATGCAACGGTTTTGAGTGTTCTAGTAGTATGCAAGCATTTAATCTACCCCACAGTCTGAGCGATGCCGGCACTGTGGCCACCCGACCGCCTACCTAAACCAGCAAATCAGCACCCCTCTTTCGGCTCTTTCCATTTAAATTTATTTCCCGCCGACTTTCCGGTCCCAGGAAAATTTTCCAAGTTTCCTTCTGAGGCATTGAGTTGCTCATCAGAGGACTTGTCTTGATAATTCAATTATTTAATCTTTCTTTTTGAGGTGACTTTGTCTAAGGTATAGATAAAAAGAGGGAAAAAAAATGTGTGGTATTCTGGGCCTTATTCTGGGCCATATCAGTGATGACCCCAATTTTCCATGCAAAGCGGCCGTGACGTTACATGAGGCCCTGTATTATTTGCAGCATCGGGGTCAGGATGCGTGTGGTATAGCTACTTGTGCAGCTGGAGGGAGGATATTCCAGTGTAAAGGAAATGGCATGGCTGGAAAGGTTTGCTTTTCCCCCACCTGAGTATGGACGAGTTTGGAGACTTACATGTTGCTAGGTCTTTGATGAAGGAAGACGTGTCCAGGATCTGTGAGTTAGAATTTCCCATATCTTTATGAAAATGGCTAATGATTTCAGACCAGGCTCAATGGGCATTGGCCACCTCCGCTATCCCACCGCAGGCTCCGATTCCAGCGCCGAAGCTCAACCATTCTACGTCAACAGTCCCTACGGTATCTGCCTCGCACACAACGGTAACCTCGTGAATGCGCGCGAATTGCGGGAACATCTCGACAAGGAGGCGCATCGCCACATCAACACGGATAGCGATAGCGAGTTGATGTTGAACATCTTTGCGAATGAATTAAACGAGACGGGTAAGGCGCGTGTGAATCAGGAAGATATTTTTGATGCACTTTCGAGGATGTATAAGCGCTGTCAGGGTGGTTGGGCTTGTACGGCTATGGTTGCTGGATTTGGTGAGTTTTCAGATATTGCCTAGAAAGGGGGGAACTGACTGGAAGTACAGGTATATTCGCTTTCCGCGACCAATACGGTATCCGCCCATTAATCCTAGGAGAGCGTCCATCGGAAACCCTGCCAGGTGCGACTGATTATATGTTTGCCTCTGAGAGCATTGCTCTACGACAACTCGGTTTCCGCAACCTTCGTGACATTATGCCCGGTGAAGCCGTGTTCATTCGTAAAGGCCAATCACCAGTCTTCCGACAGGTCGCAGAACGATTGGCATATTCTCCCGACATTTTTGAATATGTGTACTTTGCGCGACCCGACACCATCATTGACGGCATCGGTGTGCACGCCAGCCGTCAGAAGATGGGAGATAAATTGGCGGACAAAATTAAGGAGATCCTGGGCGAAGAAGGAGTGAAAGAAATTGATGCCGTTATTCCTATTCCCGAAACATCCAATCCATCTGCTTTCAGTGTTGCACAGCGCTTGAATCTTCCATACCGCGAAGGGTTCGTGAAAAATCGATACGTCTTCCGAACATTTATCATGCCCGGTCAGAGTGCGCGCCAAAAGGGCGTTCGAAGAAAATTGAGCGCCATCGATCAAGATTTCGCCGGCAAATGTGTTCTGCTGGTCGACGACAGTATTGTCCGTGGTACAACAAGCAGAGAAATCGTGGCCATGGCCCGCGAAGCCGGTGCGCGTAAAGTCATATTCGCCAGCTGCGCACCCCCTATTACACACCCCCATCTCTACGGTATCGCATTGGCATCACCCGCCGAACTTATCGCTTCTAACAAAGATCGATTCGCAATTGCACAAAATATCGGCGCTGAAGAAGTCATTTTTCAGGACCTTGAAGATCTCAAAGATGCATGCAGAGAACTATCACCGCCCAAGGGACCGCGAGAATTCGAAGTGGGGGTCTTCTGCGGTAGCTACGTGACGCACGTCCCGGATGGATATATTGAGCATTTGGCAGAGTTACATAGTCAAAAGAACAAGAATAAAGCGGCAGCAACACATGGTGCTGTCCCTGGTAGCAGTGGGCCGACTGTGTTTGATGGAGCGCGACGTGAGGATATTAGTCTTCATAATGTGGCTAATGATGCTACATTGCGATGATTTGGTTGTCTTTGTACTTTTCGGTTAGTGGTGAGATAGATCATGTTTACATAGACAAAAAATCTAGACATACCGTTCATCATTTTGTACACCAGACTCAAATATGCATACAGACTGTTAGTAATATCGGGCTCCCAGAACAGTTAGATTTGCCTCCCTCAACGGAGATAGGCCTACACCGCCTTCGCCCCTCCAAACTCCGGTCCCCGCCAATAATGTCATTTAGCCGCGCAGTCATCGAGAAGCTTCTTCCGATTCATATAAATCTGAGTAGTCCCGCTGACTCAATCCTCGTACTTTCAACAAACAACCACCATCACTGCACCACGCCACCTCTCCTTTTTCTCACCAGTTAACAGAAAGAATAGGATCAAATCGACTGTCGATAATCTGAATACCAATTTATTCGACTGTTAATATCGACAAGTGTCGACACACGTGCTCACCGATCTTTCTCCCGATCATCACACACACACAAGTTACATTAAAACCATACAAAATGGCCGACCAGGACTGGGACTCTGTTACTCGTATCGGCACTAAACACCGTGCCGGCGGCGTTCAGCGCGAAACCGTCGTCAAGGGTCGAAGTGCCCTCAACGCAGCGCAACGATCCGGTCTCGTCATCGGCACTGAGAAGAAATACGCCACTGGCAACGCTGTACGTCCCCTTCCCCCTGCCTCCTCTTATCTCACAAACTAGACATCATTCTAATGAATATAACAGGCCGGTCGCGCAGGCGTCCCAGAAGGTCAACACCTAACAAAAGTCGATCGAAGCGACGACATTATCAAACCCAAAACCGTGGGCACCCAAGTCGGCGACGCAATCAAGCGTCGACGCAACGAGGAAGGATACAAAATGACTCAAAAGGAACTCGCGACAAAATGTAATACGACTGTCACTGTTGTACAGGATATGGAGCGGGGGACGGCGACGCCAGACCAAAAAGTGTTGAGTGCAATGGAGAGGGTGTTGAATGTTAAGTTGAGGGGGAATGATATTGGGGCTGAGAAGTTTCCTAAGAAGAAATGATCTTAAAAAAAATGAACGGGTTGTTCGATATGTTCGATATGTTTGATGGCTTTGGTGTGTTTTTGATGATGCCTTGCTTCGATGAGGTTATGGTTTTTTTTTGTTTTCATGGGATACGTTTTCATGACATGACTGAATAGATGGGTTGGAATGAGCGCCAACTTCTATCGTTTGTACTGGTTTCATGCGTGATTAGATTACAGTAGATTGCATGAACTACATATCAGACCAAGAGAAGTAGACTACATCTATATGAGTTTGAGTTTTATTCATTCTCGACCTTTGAAGATTAGATAAAGTGAAGAGACCACTGAAAGAGAAAAGATAAAATAGACAGAACTCCTCGTGCCAACCACTTTTCATTGCAGAAATCTTTAGGCATCATGACACATAACCGGAACAAAAAATCTATCGCCTCATCTGCTCTCTCTCAACCTCATACATAAAATCAAAATACGGCTTATCAAAATGATGAACACGAACATAACCATCCTCTCCACCAGAGGCATAAGCCGTTCCAGCAGGGTGCACAGCGATGGTGTTGAGAGGACCGAAATGACCACGCACACGACCAATTTCGTCTTCAAAGATCTTGTGGTAGAAGCGTGCTTCGAATTTACCTTGACGCGCAGAGGTGGTTGTGACTTCCATGGCAGCTTGGCCACCACCTAGGATCACATAGTCCTTTTTAGGGGTGATGGCGGCTGTGTTGAGGGGGGTGTCGGTGGGATAGGTTTTGAGGACGGCGAGGTTGCGGGATGAGAGGATCTACTCTTTATTTTAGTGGCCTTTTTGCGTAAAGAGGAGTAAAGGAACTACTTACTTTGGCGGTTTTGTCTCTGGAGGCGGTGATAAAGTATGTGCGGTCTTGCGAGAATTGGATGTCGTTGATCTGCAGGTCCGGCTCGTGGGCTTGGACATTTTCGAGTTGTTCGCCAGACTATCTCAGTTAGTATCATTGCAAACATGATCTCGCCGAATTCGACATACCTTGGCATCATATTGACTGACGCTGCCATCCTCATGTCCCGCGATAATGTACTTGCTCAAATAACTCCATCCAGCAACCGTAGCCTTACTATCCTCACACGTAATCTTCAAACTCGGTTCATCCGTCTGCTCATTCAAGTTATTCCCTTCCCCATCTCCATACCGCACATCAAACACCACAATCGTGCCCAAATAACCCATCCGCTTCTCCGTCACAGCCAAAATCCGACTTCCATCGGGGCTGAACTCGACTCGTTTCACGGCCGTGGGGAATTCCCATACTTTGACGCATTCGCCGGTTTTCACATTCCATAATCGGACAGAGTTATCTGCTGATCCGGTCGCGAGAAGGACTGTGTTGGGGCTGACGTCGACGGTCCAGATGGCGCCCTGGTGGCCGGCGTATGTTCCTAGACGTTCTCCGTTGGCGGCGAACCAGACGCAGACGATTTTGTCCTTGGCGACGGAGAAGAGGAGGTCGCCGTCACGGTTGAATTTGATTTGATTCAGAGACCGTTCCTGGACATCATTATCAGCTATTTGGATTCATAAAAGGGTTCGCGGGGTGTTCACGTACATGGCCTTGGAGGAGAATAGGCCTCATGCTGGGCCGATATGTCTGTCCTTTTTCTGTCGAGATATAGGCCGGAAAATGCTTTCAGCAAATAGGTGTCTCGATACGACAACCTACAGACCCTCAACGATCGCGATGTATCCAACTATCGATAAATTTCGTCGCACACTAACTATTCCCGCCCGCCAAGCCTTTCTGCCGCCCACTCGCCTCTTATCTTACCATCCTGTATTAGCCATACCGGCATATATGTATTTCAGGCTAGGGCTCAGCCCTTATCGCAGTATTCTCATATAAAATAGATAAGCTCGCTGGTATCCCGAATACATGTTGTAATTTTAGTTTTTTGCCTCAATTTCTGATCTTTTTGGATACGTAGTCAAAGTATATCAGACTGCTTTAATCTCCGAAAACGCAGGAAGAATTTTGTCTAGATTTCTTGCGAGCCAGAGTCAGTGTCCACTCGCCCAGTTCAATTGAGTACCGGTGAATCCTGAGCCATCGGCTTGAAGCTTACTGCCAAAGGAAACCATCTCATCTTGGTAGACTTGATCTCTCTTTGCTACTACTTAATTCTTTACTTCTGCTAGAGCTTTCAGTTTAGCAGATCGAATTAAGTCGTCACATTCAATATCTTCGGGATTGGGAATCATTGGATACGAACAAAAAAAACGCAGCTAACTTTTATCCTTCCCAAAAGAGGGCAGCTAATGTTTCCCTCGGGGCCATTTCGGTCCCCTAACCACTTGCTCCTGTATGCACCCCGCCATTCACCAACTCTCTTATCACCCCTCACTACTGTTGTACAGAGACAGTTCTCTCTTTCTGCCCATCGCGGGGTATCTCGGTCTTCTGTTTCTCTGATCAATTGCTTGTCTGTTCTTGTCAATCAGTTTCCCGTGCGTTGTCAGAGCTTGGTGGTTTCCCGTTCAAGAAGATTTTCGGTTTCCGCTGCCAATATGACGGGGTCCAAGATTGATGGCACTGCCATTGCAAAGGATATTCGTGAGAAGTTGAAGGGGGAGATTGCTGAACTGCAGGCGAAGAATCCTAGGTTTAAACCTAATTTGGTTATTTATCAAGGTATGCTTTTTTGGGGCTAGCTACAGTCGCATAGTGCTAACTGCTATTTGTATAGTTGGAGATAGATCTGATTCTAGTACGTTGGAGATACTTCGCGGAATTGTTTAGGAGGCTATTACTAACTCTGCGCTTACAGGCACATATGTGCGCATGAAATTGAAAGCTGCTGAAGAAGTATGTGCTGTATACCTTTCCCGCGGAAAACATAACCAAACTAACCGCTTCATAGGCAAACATCCTCTGCAGCATCATCAAGTTCCCTGAAACCATTACAGAAGCAGAACTCCTTTTCGAGATTGAGAAGTCCAACAATGACGCTGAGGTCCACGGTATACTGGTCCAGCTTCCGCTACCAAATCACATCTCCGAACATGCCATCACATCAGCAGTCTCTGATGATAAGGATGTCGATGGCTTCGGCACCATGAGCATTGGCGCTCTTGCCAAGCGAGGTGGCCAGCCATTGTTCGTCCCTTGCACACCTCAGGGTGTCATGGAACTTCTCCGAGTGAGCGGGGTCAATCCTGCCGGTAAAGAGGCCGTGGTTGTCGGTCGTAGTGATATCGTCGGTAGCCCCGTCAGCTACTTGCTCAAGAACGCGGATGCGACTGTGACAGTGTGCCATTCCAAGACGAAGAACCTAGGCGAGATTCTCAAGAGAGCGGACATGGTTGTCGCTGCTATCGGACAACCTGAGTTCATCAAGGGCGATCAGCTCAAACCCGGCGTTGTGGTCATCGATGTCGGCACCAACTATATTCCTGATGATACGAAGAAGTCTGGCCAGAGGCTCGTAGGTGACGTCCACTTCGAGTCTGCCGTTGAGGTCGCCTCTCAGATCACCCCTGTCCCTGGTGGTGTTGGACCTATGACTGTCGCCATGCTGTTGAAGAACGTTGTTAGCTCTGCCAAAGCATACTTTGATAAGCAACGAGACCGACACATCACTCCTCTTCCTATCAAGCTGCTCAACCCAGTCCCTTCAGATATCGCCATTTCGCGCGCTCAGAAACCCAAGGCTATCACTAAGATTGCTGCCGAAGTCGGCATTGCTGCTCATGAGCTTGAGCCATATGGTCACACAAAGGCAAAGGTCAGCTTCTCTGTTCTTGACCGCCTGTCTCACCGTCGCGACGGTCGTTATGTCCTTGTTACTGGTATCACCCCAACTCCTCTTGGCGAAGGAAAGTCCACTACTACCATGGGTCTTACCCAAGCCCTCGGAGCGCATTTGAACAGAATTGTCTTTGCCAACGTCCGACAGCCCAGTCAGGGTCCCACTTTTGGTATCAAGGGAGGTGCTGCTGGTGGTGGTTACAGTCAGGTTATTCCTATGGACGAGTTCAACCTCCATTTGACCGGAGATATCCATGCCATTACTGCAGCAAACAACTTGTTGGCAGCCGCTATCGATACCCGCATGTTCCATGAAGCCACCCAGAAGGATGCAGCTCTCTATAAACGATTGGTGCCTACTAAGAAGGGAAAGCGTGAATTCCAGCCTATCATGTTCCGTCGCTTGAAGAAACTGGGCATCACCAAGACCGACCCTAACGAGTTGACTGAAGACGAGATTCACCGCTTCGCTCGTCTCGATATTGACCCCGACACCATCACATGGCGCCGCGTGCTCGATGTTAATGATCGCCATCTTCGTGGAGTTACCATCGGTCAAGCCCCTACTGAGAAGGGTCTCTCGCGACAGACTGGTTTCGATATTTCAGTTGCTAGTGAATGTATGGCTATTCTTGCGCTCTGCAACGATTTGGCAGATATGCGTGAACGTCTCGGACGTATGGTTGTCGCGACATCAAAGAACGGTGACCCCGTTACATGTGACGATCTCGGTGTTGGAGGTGCTTTGACCGCTCTCATGAAAGACGCTATCAAGCCCAACATGATGCAGAGTTTGGAAGGTACCCCAGTTTTTGTCCACGCAGGACCTTTCGCAAACATCAGTATCGGCGCCAACTCCGTTGTGGCTGACAAACTCGCTTTGAAGCTTGCCGGTACCGAACCCGACGAGGACCACGACGCAAAGACCGGTTTCGTTGTCACCGAAGCCGGTTTCGATTTCACAATGGGTGGTGAACGATTCTTCAACATTAAGTGCCGATCGTCAGGCCTTGTTCCCGATGTCGTGGTGGTGGTTGCTACAGTCCGAGCTCTCAAGGTTCACGGCGGTGGTCCAGAAATCTCTCCTGGCGCTCCTTTACCTGAAGTTTACCGTACCGAGAATGTCGACATCCTTCGCAAGGGATGTGTCAACCTCCGCAAACACATACAAAACGCACGCCAATACGGTATACCCGTCGTGGTCGCCGTCAATAAATTCGAAACCGACACCGATGCCGAAATCGCGGTCATCCGTGAAGAAGCCATTGCAGCCGGTGCCGAAGACGCCGTACCTGCCAACCACTGGGCTGAAGGTGGTGCTGGCGCCGTCGATCTGGCCAAGAGCGTCATCACAGCCAGTTCTCAGCCCAAGGATTTCAAGCTTTTGTACAGCCTCGAGGGATCTGTGCAAGAACGCATTGACCAGATTGCCAAGGTCATGTATGGCGCTGATAAGGTTGAGTTTAGTGAACTTGCTCAGAAGAAGGTTGATACATATACCAGACAAGGGTTTGGTAACTTGCCGATTTGTATAGCCAAGACGCAGTACTCGTTGAGTCATGATCCTTCATTGAAGGGAGCGCCTACTGGATTCACTGTTCCGATCCGTGATGTCAGACTTTCGGCCGGTGCTGGTTATTTGTAAGTTTCTCTTCCGATCAAATACTGTAGATATAACTAACGTTGTCAAGGTACGCGCTCGCTGCTGATATTCAAACCATCCCCGGTCTCCCCACGGCACCTGGCTACCTCAACGTTGACGTTGACCCTGTCACCGGCGAGATTGACGGTCTTTTCTAAATCACTTTTTCATTTTCTTTTCGATTCTGTTATTTATGATATCCGTTGAGATATGATGTTACAAAATATCTTCATCACGTTGCATATAACATGTTTCAACACAATGCATGGATCTGGAAGTTGGGGTAGGGGTTTCTTGTGTATAGGTTAGTGGTTAGTGGTTAGTGGTTTGTATGGTTTATTTAATTCAGTCAATGATTCATATTGTATACTTTCTGAATTTTAGCTTGGAACCCGGGGGCATTGCATAAGACAAGCTTCTACCTAGGTAGTCCATAAAATACAGTAGGATCTGGCTATAACTAACGAACAGGGGGCCTCTCAGGGCCCAAGTCAATATATCGAGAACATTGAAATCAAAGAGTCTGATTTAGGGTTGGAGAGTAACTCCAATATATTGATCACTTTTTAACGTTAAAAAATCGGATGCTCTTCAGCTCCATATTAAAGTCATCCAAATCTGATATTAGTGGAAATATTGATGGAGCGGCCTTCCTTTCGTTATAGGATTCTACTGTACCTAGTTAGACTATACGTACTACATTTTCTTTGCTGGCTTGGGGTTTCCTTTCTTAGCTGCCGCCGCTTTTGTGAGGGCGCTCGCAGTCAGGCTCACTGAGTGCTCACTGAGTGGACACTGAGAGTGTGGCTGTGGACAAGTCACTCTGCAAATTCGAGTAGTGATATATCGAGATATCCTTCTGTTTCGATTGAAGAACTATTATCACGGTGCCCAGAAGATACTCATAAGGTATCCATATACCTTTTATACTAATTACCTCTACACGCAGCCCCTAGTTGGGTTATAGAGCTCCCGAACCTTAGCATTTGCTAACAGAAAATGGTTGGATTGAGGTCCTATTTTCAAATCGAGATTTCTGGTGAAGTTTCTACAATGGCCCGATCCGAATCTTTCAAGCTGTATCGAATTTCTAAGCGAAAGGATATCTAAGGGGTGAGATTCAAGCGTTAGTCCTTACTGAAGGAATATATAACGGTTTATTCAATATTTGTTCGGGTCCCTTCCCCCATACGGACTTTCGGTGGTATTCTGCTAACAAGGGTGCCACAAGGACATTGGTGTAATATCTCAGACAAAAGAGAGAAGTAATTATGTCAACTAACTTAGAGTGATCAGTGTACAATATGTACTCTTATACCCCTAATGGTATGGTACCAAGCCAGATTTCATAATTATCCTTTGCTATGCATAATCTTGAGTCCATTCGACGTGAATACAAAACATGATGGAAGGAAAACAGGAGTACCTAGTGTATGATCGCTGATTGGTGTTGATATATGTATACCTAGGTACTGTCAGAATAATACTAACTTATTTGCTCGACCGAGAATTGCTTCTTGAACAGGACTCTAATATTCTTTAGGGATGGATGAGCTGCGAAGCTTATACTGAACATATGCCGCGATATCGAGATCCACTAGTCTTTCTTCTAGTCGGATTTGTGGGATAGAAAGGATCTCAAAGACGTCTCCAAGCGGACTATTGGGCGCGAGGTCACCAAAACCTTGATATTCTCTGGGCGCCACCGGCCTAGATCAACCAAGCCCCTTAAGAAAGTCATCATCCCCTGGATCCATCTCGTCCAAAGCATCTGTCACACAATATGCCTTTGGCAACCCACGTAAAGCCATCCTAAGATCCCTCCACAGAGCGGTCGGTTACAAATTATCAAGAGCCCGATTTTCTTCAACATATCTATGAAGTTTAGCTTGTAGTGGGGTGCTGTAGCTATAGTAATCGATTATCACCAGAGTGCCACTGCTGATAGACTTGGGTTGATGTGAGCTAAGTACCAGTCCTGAGTACATGCGAGGTGCGATGCCTAGAGTATTCGCTTCTTTCAAAGCCGTATGGAGTTGGGTTGAAGCCATTTCGTGGTTTTGGCAAGTTCTTCTGCCGATAGGGGGAGTATGTTATCAGAGTTGAAATCCCGGGCGTCTCCTGCACGAACCAGGGCAGTGTCGCCGTCGGAGTCTGATTGAGACATGATTGCATAAACTTACCTCTCCTGGCTTACGTCTCTTGGGCGAGCAAAGAGGGAGGGTGTCTAGATAAAAGAAATTGGGAGTGAAAGATCAGACATGGCTGAGGCAAGGCAGGCCGCGCGCCAGCAGGGTCAGAACGCATCCAGCTAAGTGGTACCAATATCCGCTGATTGGGACAGACCATTATTCCACACTACCATCCATACGCACCACCATGCCCATCCGAGCAATCATTTTCGACCTCCTCACGGCCCTCCTAGACAGCTGGACTCTATGGGACAAGGCAGCAAACAACGACTCCGCGCAAGGCTACAAATGGAGAAGAAGATATCTCGAGCTCACCTTTGGGTGCGGTGCATATCGGTCTTACGAAGATCTCGTCCGAGCAGCAGCTAGCGACGTTGGTCTTTCAGAGACAGCGCCGAATTTCTTGCTTGAGAAGTGGGATGATTTACAGCCGTGGCCAGAAGTCAAGGAAACTCTCGATAGACTAAAAGCAAAGGGATATGCGTTGGGCGTAGTGTCGAATTGTTCGGTTGAGCTAGGCCGTCGCGCATTACAGAGATGTGAGACGAGCCCCAAGACATTCGATGCATTCATCACTGCTGAGGAAGTCGGATTCTATAAACCTCATCCAGATACATACCGCTCTATTCTTTCGGCTCTGAATGTGAGGCCGGGTGAAGCCATTTTTGTCGCTGGCAGCAGCGGGGATGTCGTTGGGGCGGCGGCTGTTGGGATGCAGGTTGTCTGGCACAATCGGATTGGATTGCCAGCTTTACCTGGTTCTGCGCCGTTGGTTGAAGCGCGATCTTTGGATGTTGCTCTGAAAGCGCTGGAGTAGATGGGAGGACGAGCAGCGGCGGTTGCGGAAATCCGATATTCGGATTAAAGTTGTTTCTCCATCTCATGGCTATATTCGTACAAAGAGGATAAAGAATAACTCATAAGGAGTTCTCTACTCTGTTCAGCGTCTACTATAGTATATTTTGTCAATATCAAACAGTAACTACTCTAACAGTTGCCCGCGGAGGAAGAGGACAACTCCGGTCGACACCTCAGGCCCACCATACGCTCCGGCTTCGGCAGAAAGTTCCCCACGGGAGCTCGAGACTTCGAATCTTTTTGAAAATCTGCAAAGGCCTCTGACGTCTGAGGATAAATAAAATAGGCCGCTGTCTGTTGTCCAGTGTGCACGTTTCATCAATTTGAGTGCTATTGCAACACATCCGGTCGTCCGGTGCAGCACTTGAAGTGGTTATTCTCCAGTACGTCACTGTCCTTCTCTTCTGTTACATTGTTGCAACCCCATTTTTCACTACGTCGCAAGAGCTGTCAATTAGGCTGTATATGCTTGACAGTCATTTGCCTGTCAGTATTTATTAAGCTGAGTGCACTGCTTTGGTGGTGTTTGAAAGTGAAAGAGGGGAAATGATCCAAGCTCCAACATGAAGTAACCGAACAACTCCCTCGGTTGCGGCTCGACTTCTACATTTCACTTACCTCTTCCTATTCTCCAGTATCAGAGACCACAAAATATCCATCAGCCCAGCAGCGATATCCGGCATCGCCCGTCGGGTAATACGTTTCATCTGTCTTTCAGTATGCAGCTTCGGAATACCTCCGCCGTGGCCCTTCGCGGCGTGCAGCAGCACATCTCCGTATCTTCATCGTGTACTTCTCGTCGATCCATTCTTTCTTCTTCTTTTTCTTCATTTTCTTCTGCCTACTACTCGACTTCCGTATCGCGAGCTACCAGACCAGCCGCCGTTACCAATCTTCGTTCTCGTGCCCTTGCTGCCAATTCCTCGGCTCAACGATTGTTGTTCTCCACTCCGGCGCATATCCATATCCGCACCATGGCTTCGCAGGTGTCGAAGATCAAGGTCAAAAATCCTGTTGTCGAACTGGACGGAGATGAGGTAGGTTTATACTCTTGAGTTTTTCATGTGGCACAACCAAAGGTTATATTTGTAGACAAGACAGCATCGGGTTGACGCGGGGCTGGTTGGATTGGATTCCGACCCCTCTCTAGCAGCTGCCAATCAATCTATATCCCGATGCTGTCCATGTCCTCCGACATTGATGTATATCATATGCAAAGGCGACCGGTGGCTTGATACTGACTCATATGATAGATGACCAGAATTATCTGGCAGGATATTAAGGACAAGGTATGTTTGCTCACCAGCTGTATATGGTTGGGTATTTACTGACGTCGTATAATAGTTCATTTTTCCGTAAGTCTATACACCCATGCCATGAGGCGATGCTGATTGTGTAGATATCTTGACATTGATTTGAAATACTACGACTTGGTATGTTCTCGTCCAATGACCAATGTCCACACACACACACACTAACAATATCTAGGGTCTTGAATATCGTGACCAGACCGATGATCAGGTTACTATCGATGCCGCCGAGGCTATCAAAAAGTATGGAGTTGGCGTCAAATGCGCCACCATCACTCCTGATGAAGCTCGTGTCAAGGAATTTAACTTGAAGAAGAGTATGCCTACTGCTCTTTCATATGTGATCAGGACTGACTTGTATAGTGTGGCTATCTCCTAACGGTACCATCCGAAACATCTTGTAAGGATATTCACCTGTCTGCATCGGTTTGTTGGCCCGTCTAACTCTGTAGGAATGGCACCGTCTTCCGTGAACCCATTGTCATCCCCAACATCCCCCGTCTCGTCCCCGGCTGGAAACAACCCATTATCATCGGCCGTCACGCCTTTGGTGACCAATACCGCGCCAAAGACCAAATCATCCCCGGCGAGGGAACCCTCGAGATTGTCTTCACCCCCAAGAACGGCGGCGAACCAGAACGTATTCAAGTATACGACTTCAAGGGTCCCGGTGTTGCGCAAACCCAATACAACACCGACGAGTCGATCATTGGGTTCGCTCATTCTAGCTTCAAGATGGCTCTCCTCAAGGGACTGCCCTTGTATATGAGCACCAAGAACACCATCCTTAAGAAATACGACGGACGATTCAAGGATATTTTCCAGGAGATTTATGACAAGGATTACAAGAAGGAGTTTGAGGCCAAGGGTCTCTGGTACGAGCATCGTCTTATTGATGATATGGTTGCTCAGATGATTAAGAGTGAGGGCGGATTCGTCATTGCCATGAAGAGTACGCCTTCTGCCCGCTCCCCCTCCCCCCGGTCTAATGCATACTAAACGAAACAGACTACGACGGAGACGTCCAATCCGATATTGTCGCCCAAGGTTTCGGTTCTTTGGGTCTAATGACCTCCACCCTCGCCACCCCCGACGGCAGCGCCTTCGAATCCGAAGCCGCCCACGGCACCGTCACCCGACACTATCGCGAACACCAAAAGGGTCGCGAAACATCCACTAACCCCATCGCATCCATCTTCGCCTGGACTCGCGGATTGATTCAACGCGGTAAACTCGACGATACTCCTGCGGTAGTCGCATTCGCCGAAGCATTGGAGCAGGCTTGTATTGATACTGTGAATGAAGATGAGATTATGACCAAGGATTTGGCATTAGCGAGAGGACGCAAGGATCGGGAGGCGTGGGTTACGACGAGGGAGTATTTGGAGGCTGTTGAGAAGAGGCTCAGAGGTTTTTTGGAGAAGGCTAGACTTTAGACTTTTAGTCCCTAGAGGTATTTTAGTCAGGTGCAATGCACGAATTGAAATCTATATACTTGAAATCTATATACAAGTAAGTAACCCTCTAAAACGCCCGCGTGTATGCAGTCTATATTCCATCATGTCACCATACATCATAGCATACATAACCAATCCAATCCAAATAGGGGTATAAAATAAAAATAAAAGAAAAAGGAAATAAATCAATCCAATAAATCCAACCACTCCCCCGCCCCAACCCGTCTCTCAGGCTCCCTCGCAACCCCCTTCTCAACAACCCTACGCACCAATCCATGCCTCCCACCCAATCGCGACGCATTACTTCCGCTAGACACATAATCCAGCGCCCTCCAACCCTCACGCGACATTGCGAGTCGTTGCATTTCGCTTGTTCCCGGGTAGACGAGTACGTCACCCGTTGCGGCGGCAAGGAGGGTTAGAGCGAGTGCGAAGATGTCTGAGGAGGGGGTGGAGAGGGTTGTGGGTGATTTTATGGCGGAGAGGGTTAGGAGTTCGGGGGCGGCGAAGGGGGGTGTTAATGCTGCGCTTGCGCCGGCGGCTCCTGGATCTTCTGTTATTGCTTCTGCCGTTGTATTGGTAGGAGAGGAAGGAGAGGACATAAGATGCGCAGATGAGAAATCCGCGTATAGAGCGTCGTACTCCATCTCATTCCCCTCAGAACTGTGGCTCGGTCTGAGTAAGATGTTATGCGGTTTTATATCCCCATGCACAACTCCAACACTTCCATGTAACCAATCCAACCCTTTAATAAGTCGCTTCGCCAAATCGGACCAGTGAGGCGTCACAGGCTCAAACATGGTCTTGGTCGAGAATGATTTCCGTGCTGAGTCGGCGCATGATTCGATGTGTGCTGATAATGAGAGGGGGCATGCTTCCAGGACGAGAGAATGGGATGATGGGATATACCCATAAAACGGGACCGCAACATCTTCACCAACAGTGTCCTTCATGATTCGACTTAGGATATATGCCTCCCTCTTGAGGACTGCATGCGCATCACGACGTAGAGGAGTTTTAACAGCCATAATCCGCGAGGAAGACGTTGACTTAGTCACTGGTGATGACGGTGGCGTCACCATCACCGGCTTCGCGGCGACAGTAGTAGACAGTGTCGCTTTGTAGACTGTGCTCCATACCCCGCGGCCGAATTCGATGTATTTCCCATTACTGTCGCGTGCGATATCCAAATCATATGGGAACTCGATAATTGCGCTCCCATGGCTATTGAGGGTAGGCGATTCAATGTCCGAGTCTGTTATCGGGGTGTCTGGTGGAGTGCTGAGGGTTTTGCGCCGGGGGGTATTTTGGAGGGTATCCACGGCCAAGGGGCTAGTAAAATGGCTTGTTGCCATTGATTCGTATAGTCGCGAGTATCAATAAAATATATATATAATTATATCTGATATGGTAAATCAAATATAAGATCAAAAGGTCAAAAGATCAGATCAAATTGGAGTAGACGATATGGTCCTGACGGGCATATCAAGTGGCGATAGTGGCGCGATTGACTTCATGCGGCAAATAATGACAACTATTCCATATTCTTTCTTCGATCCAGGGACGAGCAGATATATAATGAAGTCAAGAATAAAGAGAAAAGAGAAAAGAGAAAAAAGAAACAAGAAAAAAAGCCGAGATGAAAGAAAATGACGGGGTAGCGGGCCCTATACATAGTTTAATTACACCCTCTATCAAAGGCACGATAGGCGAGGCAGTCAGCAATTAGTCACTGGAGCCTAATAATGCGACCGTTGCAGTTTGGTGCTGCGTTCCATAGTTCAAGGTTATATATAGACTTGGTTTTCTGACTTCTCGGCGTGTTCTTTCGTATCAAAGATTTGGGGCTGCCGCTACAACCGCTGCATCATTTTGCAGATCTCACAGATCGTCGGACGGAATTTGATACACCTCTCTTACACCAATACATACTTCATGATCTATCTAGTGGTTGTCAGGGCGTAAATAGATCATGATGGTAATGTGCCGCTCTAGTTGGTTGGCGTTGAGTTTTCCGTTGAGTTTTCCGGAGTAAATTGCATTTATCCCGACTGATCGGAGTATTGCTAGTTTGCTAGAGTTGCTCGGGATAGAGTCTTCTATTTGATTGTCCTGAAATACCCGATAAAGCTTCAAGAAGAATATTCTTCCTCGCATTTGAGCTCTTTGTAGTCATGGGACGTTGATAGGTTAGGCCCGTTAGGGTTGGAGCCTTCTAGCAATCCATGGATGTTGTAACTTAACTAGGTGATTGTGATAAGCAACTTTAAGTTATTGTACGAAATCTGGCAGAGCTTAATACAGTAAAACCGGTTTATAACGAAATAAAGAAAAATGTTATGTTTCAATATTCCGCAATTGCAACACTACGCTATAGCCAGGTTTTCCTGTACTAGTTCTTAGCAGATGAACACATATCTTGGCTTTGACCTGTGCTTCCAACTGAGGGTTGTGTTGCTGGGATTTACATGAATTAGGGCTACAGACAATATGAGGTTTCTGACCAATCAGAACGCTCTATATGAATATTATACGAGACTCATGGGTTATGCTCAAGAATATTAGTTTTCATATTCATGGTAACTGTCTACCTAGGTACAGACAGTGCACGGGATACTCTTGGACAATAGTATGTACTCAATCAAGAGAAAACTGATCAAAAAAGTCAATCACAATATCATTAGCCTCAATCGGCTGCGGGCCCATTCCTGCTGCCACCATATCAAAGTTGATTGTTTTTGACGGCCAGTCATGTCCTATTAACAATTTCAGAACGTGTTGACTCTTCCTTCGAAAGGGGAATAACATACCGTTTTCATCGACTTTCCAGTGCTGCAGTGTCCCGTTTTGCCCGCCACAGATCCAGGACGTGTGATGGACGTTGCCGTTGTCACTGTCGACAGTGGAATTGAATGTACATCCGTTCCGCTGCTGCCAGTATTCAAACCTAAGCCCTCTGTCAGTACTATCATCCTATATCCATAACCGTGAAATGAAGGTATACCAAGTCGGAATAGCAGGCAAAGGCCCTCCTTCACCCTCACCCCCTTCATAATAAACAGTCCTATCACTGCCCCCATGAATCTCGAGAATGGGCAACGGTGACCTCGCAGGCGAACAATCCGTGCCGTTAACATCTGTATAAAACGATCCCGCAACAGGCGCAAAAGCAGCAAAGTGAGCACCAACTTCAGCGCTACATGCAATCGTGCCCACGAAGCCAGCCCCATTCGATAATCCAGTTGCATACATACGGTTTGTGTCGATGCTGTATTTGGATTTGATGTCGGAGAGTAGGTCGGTTACAAATTGGAGATCTTCGGATACGGAGACGTTGGCGTATGTTGGACCGGCCCAGTAGCCGTTAACGCCGTCGGGGTAGAAGAAGTATCTCTATAAAGAGTTTACTAACGTATCCATTTGATTTTCAAGGCAGATAGCTCACGTCAGAAGAATATGGCGTCGGCACTACCGGCAAGGATAATCGCACATCAGCTTCCATCGCAAAGCCGTCGATATTGTAGCCGATTCCGCTACTTCCATGAAATGCGATGATGGCTGGGTATGTTTGCCCTTCTTTGAAATCATCCGGTTCATGGACCCAGTAGGTTCGATCGCGACCACTGCTCCTTACGGTCTCGAGGTCGGCGAGAGCCGGTGCCAGGAGCAGGCTGACCGTGAAAATGAGTGCGAACATTTTGACAGAGAAATTTCAGCATTACCTTCATGCTCGATGTTGTAGACCCAAAAGGGACATCGGTCCCTTTAATATTTCCGCATGCAGGAAAGGGTGACATTGAAGCTAGGATGATCTGCTCCATTTTAACGGCGTAGTATTTTGGTAACCAGTGCTCATAACCTAGTTGGAAGCTCTCTGGTCAAGCTGACAAGGCCCGGCTAAACAAGGATATGATGATCCGAAATGCCCCTGAACCTCCGAGAAGATCAAGTCCAATCACTTGTAGTCACATTGTGATACCATAGGGATGGCTAACGGCATGTGGGCTGGTAACGTGCCCCCATGGTTTCATTCACTAAGCCCGTTATGGGGGCTTGGCCTAGGGGCTTGTCCCCGCCGGCTCCGGGTGATCTCTTATCGCCTGGAGACTTTTTGTACTCCGTACGGACCACAAAGTGCTCAACAAGTTTCAATAAAGAGTGATCGTTAAGGATGCGGTTAGCATTGGATTAAAAAGATATACCATATCGGAACTATACCACGACTGATGAGAACAGTCCGACCAAATACTCCTCAGTGGTAATATCGCGATATGATCGTCCTAGATCAGGATGACCTTACTGTTCGCGGCCTCTTTGCAGATATATCTATTGTTCCTCCCATCCAATGTTCTATAGCTTCAAGGCTAAGCATTACTGGGACCGGATTACCTGTTATGCTCACTGATCTTGCGAGACAACAAGGACATCGTCAGAGCTCACCACATCGGACCGTGTCTCTATCGCTGCAGCCACCCTTGCTGCCGCGGCATTCATCGTATCTTTTTTGTACCTTATTTTACAGTATGTGGGCTCCGCTGGTGCCAGAAATAGATGCAACTGGCCGGTAATACTCCACGCAGCGAAGCGAGTTCGACGCCGCTGGTCATTCATAAGCTGGAACCTCAAAGTTTATTATCTGGAATTAGACTTCACTTTTGCAAATATCCACACGGCGGCAGTGCACAGTCGTCTGTGCCATAACAAAGAGTTGGAAACAAAAGAGCGTGCCACCTAATTCAAATAAAACCTCAGAAACTCTCTCAGAACTCCATGAGTCTGCTATCAAGGAATGAGACAGTATCCGACTCGAGAGAGGCGAAGGTCATCCGGCATACAGAAGATCCAGAAGAGATTTCAAGGCAATGCGAGATACTCGCAGCGCTATTGAAAGTTCGTGCATTGTTCCTTATTGCTCTGTTTATTTTGAGCCTGGATTCGTCAGACGTTTATCTTTCGGGACCCAGCAAGGTTCAAATGCCCTTGATCTGAGATGCGGAAGTCACAGCCAGCTGAGCCGCTTTCTTTAAGAGAAGACCGGTGGACTGTGATCTTCAGTTCCACAGACTAGGAAACACTCAATAAAAGGAACAGCTGCGGAAGGATATTGTCCGTGAGGAACATCAACTGCGGATGATAATACGAGAGAAATCTCCGACTGCTTTGAGGGACATGGGTTTGCGAGACTAAACAAAGGAGGTGTATTTGGCTCAATATCTCTGGGATTATGCGTGTGCGTATTTCTAAGAGATTCATATCATCAATTCCAACTATGGCGAGCTAGACGTAGACCGTAATAGTAGTGCCATTGTATCCTCCATCGAATTATCTGTCTAAACTCTCTTTCTCCCAGCTGTTTACTCTTACCTAGGTAGAACATCATTTCATCTGGCAATAATCGCCTCTACGAACTTTTTACTAGTATTTGAGATCACATAGTATGTAAACTTTTTGTTCTAGGCCCAAGGTTGGTTAGTGATACTGCAGCTAAATATATAGCGTGCCTATCTCCAAGGTTCTTATATCTAAGATAATCTGAGGGCTCCATAGGTATCTCTCACCCGACTATCTCTATACCTAGGTCTAAGTGTGAACAAAAGTTCACCCGAAAATCATTCAAAGTCTACATACTCTCAGAATGGATATCAATACACTCTCAGCACTATCATAGTATTCCATCGTCTCCAATTTCACGACCACAACTTCAAATCGTCTGCGTTGATTTCGAGATAGATACAAACTGTACAGTGAATGCTGAACCGAACACGCCGATACATACACAATAACACTTTTTTTGTGTTTTGGATTAATATCCGATCAATCAGCTTCAGCCGAACCAGGTCCAACCGGCAATTTGTGACAGTACAAAGTTTGCGCATTACAATATGACAAGAGACCTTCAGTACCTAACTCTCCACCTAATCCACTCTCTTTCCACCCTGATAGAAATCCACTGGGGAGTGGTGCTGGATGACTGTTGATAGTTACCATGCCCGCCTGGATTTGCTCTCCAATAGCGACTGCATGGTCCATATCGCCTGACCAGAGACTGGCTCCCAGTCCCGTTTTGATATCGTTTACGCGGTTGATAACTTCTTGCTCGTCTTTCCATGGGAAGAGAGATATAATAGGACCTACATCGTCAGTTGTTGTCTATCTATATATATATTTCTTTTTGTGAAGTTGGGATGGTTGACACACCAAAAGCTTCCTCCATCATAACCGGAGAGTCATGAGGAGGAGTGTCAATAATCGCCGGCTGAATCACAAAATGATTATCTTCATCAAACTCTGCATTACCAAATGCAAAATTGAGACCTTTCTGTTTCGATTCTTCAACGATTTGTTTGACGTGTCGGTATCGTATCTCATTCTGAATCGGTCCAAGGATGTTTCCGGCCCCTGGTAGGGAAGGGCTTGCTTTCCAAAGTTTCACCACGTCGATCATGTGCTGCATGAATTCTTGGTATATGTCTTCGTGTATGTAAATGCGTCTAGTCGCGAGACAAGATTGGCCAGAGTTCAAGAAAGCGCCAACCGATACTTGAGGAGCTACCACGGAGACATCTATATCCGGACAGATGATGCAGGCGTTATTCCCACTTAGTCCTAGAGTCACCCGCTTCAAAGTCTTGCTAGCAGCAGCCATGACTTTCTTTCCCGTGGCAGTTGAGCCGGTAAAAGCGATTTTCTGTATATCAGGATGCTCAACCAGTTTCGGGCCTAACGTCTCATCACCGCTCAACGCTTGAATAACCCCTGGTGGGAATATCGATTTGATGTAATCGACAAATTTCAAGGTGCTATACGGCGTAAAGGGGGAGGGTTTTACAATCACAGTATTGCCGGTAATCAATCCTGCTCCGATTTTGGCTACTGCTAGCAGCAATGGGTGAATCGATGGGCAGATGGCTGCAACAACGCCCATGGGGACATATTTCACTGTCAGTCGGAGTTCGTAGTCGTCTGAAACTACCCTTGTCTCCAGTTCGGGATGTGAAGCTTGTTTGTTAGCATCATCGACAGATCAGGGATATATGAGACTTACAGTAAAAGGACAGAAATCTGGCTGAATGATCGACCTCCATCTTGGCAAATTGCAGCTTCAACATATCAGTACGATATACGTCAACAATATGTTCCAAGGTTGTTGTGAGCTCACAGGCTTTCCCGCTTCTTGCATAATCAAACTCGCCATCCCGTCCCTAATATCCATCAACGCCTCCTTAGCTCTATCGATATACGTGGCTCTTTCCTTCCAAGGAGTTCTTGACCAGTTCTCAAATGCCGTTTTGGCTGCACCAACAGCAGTATTGATGTCATCATCCGTTGCCACTGGGACATCCCATAACGGACGACGAGTTGAAGGATTAATTGCCTGTGTTTTTCGACCGTTCAAAGACGCTTTGCCGTTGATTGTGTTGGCAAAGATAGTGAAGTTATTTGATGACTCTGTGAGCTCTGGAGGACTGGATACAACCTCGGCAGTTGCCATAGAGCTGGGGCTGGACGCTTCCTTCATGTTGCTTTGGCGATGGGATGCAACGAATTGACAGGTGATATATTCAGTCATATAGGACTTGAAGACAGCCTTAACTTGATATCAATCATAACAGCGAGATAATTGAAAGGATGATTCTGGAGCATTTTGACATCTCGATGATTGAAGTACATGACGATTGCCGGGCTGTGATTGGCTGGTTGCTAGTGGAACGTGGGGTACATATCAGACTAACCGGTCTGAGTAACTACCTTGTGAAGCTCTTTTCTTAAGTCTATCTGGACATCTCTCAGATTGATGATTGTCTATTCTTGCTAGAATTCACAGAGACGCTGTGTTGGGCAGGAATGGCAGACACCATGACTTGCACGGCATTGACATCAGTATCGAAGATGAAGAGATGAATGATATATTTCGAAAGACTCGGATTATCGTCGAAGAAATGGACGACATCCAGATCAGACGACTTCTTTCCTCGGTCTCAACATTTTATAGGACGAAGGAAAGGAAAGAAGAACAGACAGAATGAGATACAAGCTGATCCAACAGGAAACCGCTCCATGTGTCCAACGCTCCTTCCTTGTTCTCGCTGCCCTACATGATCTTACGTTCTTCCAAGATAACTCCATCTCATCAACATCTTCATCACTCGTTACCATCAGCATCAACATACAGATACGCTCTTTACAATGCACGCTCCTTACCACTTGATACTTTATGTCTATCCTTGAATCCATGCAACGCATGCACCAGCCACATACAGCAGACTGACTATGTCCACATTCACCCCAAACGCAGTCCAATCAAACACACGAGACCCCCGTCCACTGCTCCGTCCATTATTCCACGTCCTCCGTCCCAACAACCTATGCGTACCCCTAATCCCCGCCGACGAACTACCCAGCTGGCTCGAGGTCGTGAGCACCTACACCATAGACGTCAACCACTCATTTTTAGCCAGCTACACCCCTCACCCTCGCCTGGGAGAATACGATATTATCTGCAGATACTGTGAGACTGCTACACAGCATATTCACGACTGGAATCCCTGGTCAGCTAACGGCCTGGAGGAGCAGAGTAGAATTGCTTTGAGGACCCGTGGGTATGCGCCAACAGCGCATAATCAGTATTTTCAGACGTTTCCGCCGGTGCCGGAGGTTACGCCGCCGCAAATGGAGTTATGGCCTGTACAGTCCATGAGGAGGTTGTTACCTGCGTTTTCGACGCTGATGCTGCCGGCGTCGCAGTCGTCGCAGACGCCAGTATTGCATCAACAGATACCACTGCAACAATTCCAACCGCAGCTCTTTTTACAGCAGTATGGCAAACCGTATCAACTTTACTCACACCACTATCAGCAGCCAAATCAACAGCAGGCTGTGCAACAGGATCGAGGAAGATCAGAGCAACAAGCACAGACGAGCAGGCAAGGAGATCCGGCTTCCGAGCGACAGCATAGATTAAACGCTTCTGCGGAACCGTTCAGACCACCATCGGAGTTAAGCCCACCGAACTCGGTCGCTTATCCGACGTCCTTATTGGAACATTGGTTAGTTGAGTCATCTAATGCTTGGGTTGGGTAATGGTATTCTTTCGAATTCATGGGTGAGCCATGAGGATATCTCATGCCGTTCAGGGGTAGCTCGTTCAGGCGAGTTTTTCGGGACTGACTTTGGAATTTGGTATCTTCATTTATACGAAGTAGCGTTAGTCCTGTTGCATTGGTTATATGATACAGTATGATATTATACATGTCGATTAGTCCAGTGTCTGCATTGAACTTATGCGTTTTCCTCTGCATGCAGTCTTCCCAAGTCTCATATGCAACAACTCCAATCAATGCATCTGTTGACAAAAAGTAGAAGAACGCCGGAAATCGTGACCACAGCGTTATACACATGTTAAGGGTAATTATAAATCAAGATCACTTATCATCAGAAACCCAAGAGCGCAGTGCAAATAATGTGGCCGAACCACCCAGACTGCGATTAACCTGTAAAAATGACCTTGCGTTCGGCGTGTTGAAATAGGCTCTCAACAAGCCTAGAATAGCGCTTAGAGGGAGACATTGGAGAGTGATTTGGTCGGGCATGTATTTGAATTCGTCGTAGAAGGAAGCAGGTATCGATGTAGTAGAGGTAGTTGGTGTCAGGTCCTTCTCAGAGGTAGCAGTAACGTCTTTGTTGATAGAAGTCGCACGAAGTTGCTTTGGTATGCAATCGAATAATTCAGGGACAATCTTGATAACCTCTGCAGGAGGTTGTCCGGGGAACAGTTTCTCGAGCATATCGGCGACTGTCTCTCTGGCACGGATGCCGAATGTGCCGACAACTGAGAGCGCCATTTCCACCGCTTCATCGTGCCTGTCATGGGCGCTATTGATCGCAAACCTTTCAAATAATTCTTCTTTCGATTCTGGTTCGATATATATAATCGAACAGCCACTTCCCTTTGGAGTTACCTCTTTAGGGTGTATGTACAGTGGTTCGTATGGACGATGGTCCCAGAGTAACCGAGAGTTTTTGATATCCCCCGATGCTCCTAGCGCTATACGATAGTCGTTTATCAGATTTGGCAGTTTTCTACTGACGTGAAAGAGAGCTTCGGAGCTTGTCTCAGTGAATTGCTTTCTCAGGCTGACCAAGTGCGAATTTTGCCGTTCAAGCTCGACTGACCCTGTTGTCGGATCCAGTTTTGCTTTGGCGAGTCTCTCTTCAAGAGAAGCGATTTCGATTTGCTGTTTAGCCAGATCCACCGCAGCATCGGCTGCTTTGGCTAGATGTACGACTGACGCGCGGGCCCTTGTATAGTCACTCTTGATTTTCGACGCTTGTTTATCTTTGGGATACTTCTTGATAGCTTCTTGATACAGCCGCGCTTCTCCGAGTTCTAGTGAGCGAGCCTTTGAGGTGACAAATGTTTCTTCGCAGGAGCGAATCTGAAGCTCAAGCTTGGCCAAATCTCCGGCAAGGTGCATAATTTGAGCCCGTACTCTGAAATACTGCCGAGCAGAATTCAGAGATTTGTGCTTCTTTGGGTTTCTTTTGACGACATCCTTAAATCGCTTTGCTTCTTCAGGCTCGGCTGCATTCAACTTGGCTTGGATGAGAGTACTGATTAACGCAATCTCAAGTTTTCGTTTCGCTAATTCTTTTGCAAGATGCACAACTCGAGCACGCGCCCTCGCACGTTCTAACTCGCCTTCTATCGCTCCTCCATGTTCCTGATAGTACTTCTGGATAATATCCTCGTAGAGCTTCTTCTTCTCTAAAAATTCTTTGAATGGCTCTCCTACGAAAAGGGGATACTTTGCAGTATACGGTTCTGCCCTCGGTCCTGCCGGGATCTCTGTATATGACCTTGAAGGGTGCCGTCTGCGTGTCTTGGGTATGACGATCTGACTTTCCGCCATTCGCTGAGCAACCAAGTCGGCGCTTTTACCAACAAGCTCATATCCGCGTGGGATGATATGCTCGGTATTGTCGGTCTCGGCAACAACGAAGGATTGACGTGAGTATGCCTCATTCAGTATAGCCACTTTCCTCCTATTGCGAACCGAGCGTGGGAGGATCATGTCAGCTTCCTCTGGGGGTAGAATCATGAGAGTCCGAACAGTCCAGTCGCTGAAACGGCCACGATTCAAAAGAGTGTGTCCGACAAGAGCAGCCCATATTCGCGAAGCATTTTTAAACGCCCTGTCGGTCAAGTTGGCAATGACGAGCAGATCTTTTTGTACACCTGGAGGCACCTCTGCCGGAACGTACGTGTCCAGCAGCTCCATCCAGCCAATTCCATGGAACGAGCCATAATGTACTTTCTCCTTGTGTATTTGGATTCCGTCCTTCTTCTCACTGAATTCTTGGAGATATTTATGATAAACTCGGGATGTGCGAGGCTCGACGAGGACGTGCCGAAAAGGCTGCACGAGATCGTGAACTTTCGACGATAAGACTGGGCGTCCAGGGTACAGATCAAGAATCACGGATGGTTTATTGACAGCTAACACGTTTGATAGTTGCTGAACAATGTCATCTTTAAGCAAACCTGGTTAACAAACGTCCTTGGTGAGAGTCGATCATGGACTTACTACAAAGTTGTTCGTTGACGATATCGACCTTGGAAGTGTTGCCGGGCGCTGACCCCTTTTTCTTACCTCCTGGCGATTTACTCAGAGTTGATTGTATTATTCGAGTTGTAGAGAAAAGTCGAGAGCATATCGTAGTCATGACCGCGGGGGTATAGGCCCTACTGCGCGCCTCCATTTGAGGGCGTAGGAATCCATTGCGACAACAACGATTCATGGATTGGACGTAAAGAAGCTTAATTTGACATTGAGTAAGTTACACGACTCCGAATACTCAGCAGAATGTTGCTCAATATCGGATCCGACAACTCACGTCGTATCAAAAGAAGCTATTGTTGGCCGGATTCTTCGCATCTGCGCCGAAAGAAAAAGCAACAAGGGTTGGGCGACCAATGGCTGCTTTGGATCTAATCTGATCATCTTGGGTCGCCGCTTGCAGTTCGGTGATGTCTTTAAAGTAACAGAATTCCTGAACTCAGAGCGTGTATTAAAACAAATGAGTATATTCTATACTTTTCTGAGTATCCAGGAAGAAGTTAGTGTACCTTGTTGACGAGTGACGCAGTCGGACTTATCAACCTGGAGACGCCCCCCACCTGCCGCCGTATGACATTTATGCTGCCTGTCCGACACGCCGCTCCAACAACTTCGCGCTTCAACAACTTGTACACCACTCTCAATCCCAGATCTCTCTATGCACAAATTTCCCCTCAGTGCTATTGATTATTCCAAAGATAAAAGCCAGCAACCGTGGTAGATGTATGATACATTCAGTTGACGACATGGCCTCTAATCGGGTCTCTTCAGCGCCGCATAACGTCGAACAAATCACCCGTCTAGCTCAAGATTACGAATACAATCCTGCAATACCGTTGAAATTATGGTTGAGGACGGCAAATTCTCTGGTCAAGGAGGTTTGTCTCGGTTGTCCAATCTTACGCAAATGTGATTCTAGGCACTAACGACGAGTTCGTTGCTAGGCTGAAATATACGAGCGCGAGGGCCACGATGAGCAGGCGTATTTATTACTCTTCCGACATGCGCAACTGGTACTTGTCAACCTAGTCAACCATCCAGATGCGGAACTCGAAAGCAACCGTCAAGGCCTCCTCGCCGCGGAAAAGCAGGTTCGAATCAACATCAAGAAGCTCGAAAGCTTAAAACCCCTGATCAACAAACGCTACGAACGATATCAGCAGCTATTACAAAATCGCGAGTCCCGGAGAACCCAGTCTTCGCAATCACGGCATGAACCTCCCACTTCTCGTTATCAAAGCTTTTCCAACCCGGCGCTGTCTGGTACAGCGCAACCGCTGGAGGCAGGAGAGAATAGAGAGCTTGCAGTGCAGATCGCTCACAGAGAGATAAATCGTCGGGAAAATATTAAACGAGCCAGGGCAAGCGGTATAAGTCAAGATGAAGAACGCACTCGAAGGACTGGGGGTATGTGGGGAGACTGGGAGCAAGCCCTAGGTGAACAAAAGCCTAGTCATCCTGCAGATGATCTCAGCCGGCGCATTCAGGAAGTTCGGTTACGGATGGAAGAGCCTAGGTACAGCCAGTCTCGTCAGAATACGGAAGAGGAGACGTCTTCGACGTACAAATATCCCACTGTACCCAAACATAAGCCATACGATGGACGATCACATGGCGTACCCAAGCCAGCGTACGGTCAACTAGAGCCACAGGAAGCTCCCATGCCACCCCCGAAGGAATTCAGAGAGAACACATATTCCATCGAAGAGCTACCTCCGCGTCCGAGCAAGTTTCTGTCCACTGGTCCACCTTTACCATCAAAAGAATCAACGAAACCACCGGCTGATCCATCAGACCTCAACCCATCAACATTTACATTTAAACCGTCAGCGTATCTTGAAAACGGGACTCCTTTGCGGACGGTCTTTCTACCCCCTAATCTCCGCCAGGAGTTCCTTAGACTAGCTGATTCTAATACTCGGCGAAACCTGGAAACGTGTGGCATCCTGTGCGGAACATTAATCTCCAACGCTCTATTCATATCCAAACTACTCATACCCGAGCAAGAATCGACATCGGATACTTGCGAAACGGTCAATGAATCAGCCATCTTTGACTACTGTGACTCTGAAGATCTCATGGTACTCGGCTGGATCCATACACATCCAACTCAAACATGCTTCATGAGCTCTCGGGATCTTCATACGCATTGCGGTTATCAAGCAATGTTACCTGAGAGCATAGCAATAGTCTGTGCCCCGACAAAGGATCCTGACTGGGGAGTTTTCCGTCTTACCGATCCGCCAGGCCTGAAATCTGTTCTTGGCTGCACACAAAAGGGACTATTCCATCCTCATGCAGAGACGAACCTATACACGGACGCGCTTCGACCTGGCCATGTATTTGAAGCTAAAGGGTTGGAGTTTGAGACAGTCGATCTTCGTCCAGGGATATAGAAAGTGCTTACACGGCTGGCTATTGATGATGGAGTGCATATATATGTAGATCACGAAGTAATGTTAGATATACCCAATTTACAACATCCATTTGAACCTTGAAGACAAATCATCTTCGTTGCCTAACTATCTAACAGCGATCCCAATTCGACTAACAACATAGACATTACGTTTATATTTAAGTCGATTCACACATTCTTTCCCTTCTTCCTCCTCTTCTTCTTCTTCTTTCTCCTCAGCATGCATAGTACTAGAACTTAAGAAGTGAGGTTACACTCTGTTCTTTTATTTAATAGGGCGACGATGAATTCTTATTCAGATATTTGATGTTTGAAGGTGGATCCGGATGTCGCGCCTGGAGCATATACGAACGCTTGAGATGAACTGAGTCCTATCCTATCTGCCTTGCTCGTTGAGTTTTACTCCCTTTCAGTGTGCTTGCATGTTGGCTATAATTATCTGTTGATTATCATTTGTTTAGAAGATTATAAGTAATTGTGTTAGTAGATCGAAGGGAACAATCTCCATATCAACTGATTGTGGACTGACTGTGGGGTAAACCCTGTTAAACTACATAGTGAAGTTTATCTTCCAGCCAAGTTTGCAACCTTGAAGCATTTCAACCATACAAACAATGCACCAAACACAGACAGAATCAACTTCTCAGCATCATTGAAAGATCAATAATCGATATCGCACATGTCCGCTACCAGCTCTCGATCAGTATCACGGTCTGGAACTCCCCTCGGTACCAGACCGCATTCAATAACAACAGCTGCAACATCATCATCGTCGCTATCAGAACCACGTTTAAACAATAACAACAGCAATAGCAATTACTTCTCCTACCCCGTGAGCCGGGTAGTATCCGGCCTATATCGACGATTTACCGAACCACCACAGAAAACGAGCGGCAATAACAATCACAATGCAAACAACAACACCATGAATCCCACCTCATCCTCACTCTACACACCACAACGAACCGCATCACCCTTCCAACCACCCCCTCTCACACCTTTAACCCTCAAATCCTCCTCCACAACAACCAGCAGCCTCCACCCTCCCATCCTTTCGCGCGCATTAGCAGAAGAAATCCGCCTCCTCATCCCGCCCCGCCTCCAACTAATCGATACCTGGCACCTAGCCTACTCCCTCGAGCGCGACGGCGCATCCTTGGGTACACTATACGAGCACTGCAAACATGTCGCAGAACACAATCCGCGAGCGGGCTATGTATTAGTTGTGCGCGACACGGTCGATGGTGGAGCGGTATTTGGCGCTTATTTAACTGATGCGCCGCACCCGGCGTCACATTTTTATGGGACGGGGGAATGCTTTTTGTGGAGGGCTAGTGTTTTGGGAGATGGGCAGGGGATTTGGAATGATTTATACAACAACCCTAAGGACAATGATAATAGGAATGAGAATGGGCAAGGATATGATGAGATTGGAGGTCAGACAATGACAGACGAACAACTTCGTCGCGCCGGATTTCCTCCTCCGCCGAGCGCGGATACCACGAATGCTGTTCGAAGCACGACTTTGAGAGCGAGTACACCTACCTCTACCTCACAACAAAAGACTACCACCTCCAACAACATCAACAACAGCAACAGCAATAATCTCCTCCCCTTACCCCAGACCAAAGCAAACATTAGCAGTGGAACAAGTACCCCAGAAAGAATACGATTCAAAGCCTTCCCTTATAGCGGTATAAATGATTATATGATGTTTTGCGAAACGGGGTTTTTGAGTGTTGGTGGAGGGTGAGTCCATTCCTCCCCTAAATCCTAAAAAAAAATTGTGATAGATCTAACCAATGACTTTTTGTAGGGACGGCCATTACGGTTTATGGATAGACGATTCAGTCGAAAAGGGCGTTAGTGATTCATGTCCCACGTTCGGGAATGAGCCTCTGTCCGATGACGGGACGAAATTCGATATTTTGGGGGTGGAGATTTGGTATATTGGTACATAAAATAACCAGTTGTTTAGGCTCTGTTTAGTTTGATAGATACCTACCTAGTTACACGGGCTTGATTGCAATTGATGTTGATATATCGGTGTTCATTATTGCTACCTAACTACTTGTGTGGTTGACTACCGCAATAGAAATGAAGGAAGGAATTACTCATACAGTGCACGGGAGAAAGTAAGTTGATAGAGCAGCAATATCATTGAACTGCGCATGAAGAATCATATCAAGGGTATGAGCATAAACATAAGTGATATCCGAGTATAAAATCAAAGTGTAGAAGTAAAGGGAAACGCCATTTCCACAAAAACAGAAAACCGTTCAACCATTGCATTGAGAGAGAAAGAAGAAGAAGAAGAAGATTTAATAAGGAGAGTTCACAATATCATTCCGACCCAAACGGTGAGCGGCACTCCTTCGCACCGGAGTCATGGGTAAAGGACCTGCAATACTCTCGCGAGTAGGCTTCTTGAAGCTCTTCTTTTGTACCATGTTGACCTCATTTGGAAGGGCAACGATGACATTCTTATCCGAGCCGAAGCGGAAATTGTCTGCCATGACGTTCTCTCCATATCGCTTGATGGTGTATGGATCCTTTCTACCGGCGAGAACCTTCTTCAAGTTCCAGGTGATAATGAACGGACCGGTTGCAGTAATAATTGAAGTCTCTTCACTGTCGACACCAGTATTGAAACGAGCAGGTGTAAATGCCAGAGGCTGCTTGGTCTCGTGCTGGAATTGAGCGACATGAGCTGGCTGCAGACCCAGACGCCGGGGTTGGGGTTTGGAGTCCTTGGCAAAGGACTTTTCGAATCCGAGCTTGCCTTCATTCTTACCATCCTTTTGCATGGCGTCGATCAAAAGCAAGTATGTCCTGCAGGTAGCCAAAACCCATCGACCATCGGCAGAAACATCAAGACCGATAATAGCTTCACCCAAGGCTGGAATATGAGTCTTGGCGTTGATACCAAGACGATCAAACAGACGGACATCACCCTTGTTAGAGGCCACAGCGATATAACCTTTCTCTGTTGTTGCGGCAGCAGAGAAATCATTCTTGCTTGCGTATTGCTTCAAGTTAGCATCAACCAGCTTGTTGCCAGATTGACGTGGATCGACACGGAAAAGAGCATTGTTGGAGACACCCAAAAATGGTTGTGCCGCGGTCATTTGAGAGAATTTCTGTTCTGGAGCAAATGTCGTGACACCAATGTCATCGTGAACCTTCCACTCATCAACAACTTTGCCGTATTCAAGATCCATACGATACAGAGCATTAGGATTGGATCCATCTTGCAAAATCATGTTCGAATCTTCGGCGTGAAGCATGACTTTCTTAGGGCTGAACAGTTTGCCCCCTGGCGTCTCCACTTTAGAAATGTTTGTTGAAAATTCAAGGTTGTTATTAGGAGTGTGCTTAAAGACACCAATCTTAGAGCCCCGAACGACAAACGACCGATCGTGCTTGTAGCCAACAGCAAGCTGAGAGTTGACGTTATCGTCTTTGAGTCCAGTGAGAACATCGTCTTCCTCCTCGTCGGTATCATAATGTTCACTCCGTTGACCCTCATCTTCCTCCTCCTCCTCCTCTTCTTCCTCCTCCACTTCTTCTTGTTCAGCTTCGTTATCGTCCATAGTAAGATCTTGAAAGGCGTCCAGAACATAATCACGGTCATCTTCTTTCTGTTTTTCCCATTTGATTTCGTTCAGTTGCTCCCACAATGCCTGCATGAGACCCTCTTGAAATCGCTCTTCTGTCGGCTGGTCCCTGAATCGCAGGAGCCAAGAGTATGCAGAACCATCTTCTGCGTAATGATTAAAGATAAAAGAAAGATACTCAAAATTGAACACGGGGTTGATGTCACCAACGACAGACTGCCCAAGCCATTCCTTGTCATTACCCGTGATTTGAAGCCAATACTGCCAGTTGCCAATCTCAGACACCGTCGCCACCACATCACTGTCTTGCAGAATAAAGGTACCCGACGCAAAATCGAACAGGTGCAGCTCAGCACGTTCTTTGGCAAGTATTTCTCTAGCTTCTGGCACGTTACCTGCAGGCGGCGCCGGGGTAGCCTGCCCGGGAGGCTTTATTGTGCCCTTCTTTGTTGCGTATTCCACGTCCTTCGCCATAGCCGCTGCAGAATCCGCTGCGCTTGGACCCTTTGGTGAATCAATCGGACTGGCCGAAGGGATAGGACTGTCTTCTTCGAACGAGAATTCTTGCAATTCCTCTTCCGTTGCTTGCTGGAAGCTTCGTCTATATTTCCTCTCGTACTGACACTGTACAGCCGCAGATTCAAAAGTCGCGACTTTATCGGGCGAAACCGAAGAGTCGCAGACAAATTCGTACAGATCACCGGGATCACCACTCAAATCCCTCCAAGCAAGAACCTTTTCGCCACCGTCACGTACAACTGAGCGGAAATGAAGTGCTTGGTCGAGCAAGAAGACCCGTTCGTCCTTATCTAGAGCATCAGTGGCTCCTTCTTCGTCTTCCTCTTCAGCAAGTTCTTCCTCTCCTTCCTCGTAAGCCCGTTGAACGACAAGCTGATATTGAAACTCCTGTCCTGTCCGACGAATGGTGGCCGCCGCGTCTTTGAAGATCAACTCGGAGTATCCCTTTGGCGACAGGGGTCGGACGAGGTAGAGCTGGCCTTGGGGAATATCAATAATGGCTTCTTTGGAAGTGTCTCCAAAGAGATATTTGCTCACTGTAATGATTAGACTGTTAGTTTTTTATCTTCGTGATGGAATTCGTATCATATCATTAGGGTGACAAGGGTGAAAGCTTACCGTTTCGGAGCATAAACATCTTGCTGGTGGCAACTTCCCTTCGTGTCTGCCTTAGCCAGCGCCAGGAATTAAGTGCACGGGATCCTGAGATAGAGATAAAAGCCTCTCAGGATTCTGCAATATATTGAAAGAGAAATATCCCTGTCAGGAAAGACTAAAGTGAGCAGATGGCAAAATTAGCTAGTTTGGTAAAGGACAAATTTATTTTCTGTCTGGCTGTTGTCCGGCAACCGTCAAAAGAACCCCGCTTCACTAAGAAAATCGAGTGACGCAAAAGACACGGTTTGCGCCACTCGATGTGGCCGTGCATCAAAACATGTGGCGCTGCAGTTAGCTGCCTCAGGCTGTTCTTTGTAACTCCGTATTAGAGCATAAATGTGCCAGCCAATCAAATGTGATAGAACTCAGTATGTCATTTGATTGGTTCTTACTCTGTGGAATGTCCATAATGCAAGCCACAGCAGTGATTGTGGGGCATCCGCAATCCGCGTTAGAGCCTCAGGCGGCTTCTACATAGTACATAGTACATATGTACAGCAAATACAGATACAGAAAGATCGTTGACTTTCAGTGATAGGAAAGAGAGATTTTTGCTGAACAATGTGCTAGTACTTGGACCAAACTGTCTGACTAGAATGTAAGAGACAGAACTGGGCAGTTCATGCGTATGATACGGATACTTCTGCGGAGCCCTTCTCACACTCGTCACCTTCGGCTTCACTACCATTCTCTTCCTCAGATGATGCCATTTCCGCATCAGTAGCACCCATCCCCGACTCCTCTTCGTTTCCGACTTCCTCTGTATCATTCGATTTGGGGTTCTTGAGGATACCGCCCTTCCGTTGTGGAATAACCTTCAAAAAGGCCTCCCCCCAATCCCCAAGTTCCAACCATCGCAGCATAATCTCCACAACGTGATTTGTGGCCAAAACAGGTCTCGAAGCCATGCGCAGATATTCGCCAATGGGCAGTTTTGCAGTTTTGATGCCCTTTTCTATCGCTCTCTGGTAACAGACTCCTTTATGCCTGTTTTTGTCCACCAGTCCGCCAACTATATATGTGCTGTATGGTTTGAGCTCCGTCAACGTATTGGGACTGTCACTGCTCAAGTATATAACTTCTCCGTTCTCGGGTATAGCATCTTCCTTATTCGCAAGGGCGCCTTCCAGTTTTCCACCTCCTGGCCCTTTCATCCATTCCTTGGCTTGTTCAGCGGCATGCACGAAGTCTTCTTGCATAAAGTGGACACCCCTCCAATTCTCATGCATTTTGCGAAGGACCGTATCAAACCGCACTTTCAATAATTTGTCGAAAGAAGATATCGCCAAATGAGTCCGATACGGCGCTTTTGAATTATCCGAGTAAGACCGTGTGATTTGTGAGCCGAGTGATATCCGCTCCCGGTCAGCCATCAATTCGTCCCATCCACAGTCAATCACCACTGCCACGGGGACAAGAACCGAATGCTTTCTGGGCGGAGCCTGGCCTCCATTCTCTTCTACCACCTGTTTCCATTCCTCTCTTTTGCGCATTTTGCGTTGGGTGTTCTTCTCTTTGCGCCGTTTCTTGCGTTCTTCTTTTTGTTCATCCCACTTTTGCTGTCTGAGCAGTCGTTTTTGCTGTTTCTTTGACAGAGGGGCTGTCTGTGTCGTGGTGTTTTCTTCTGTTGTCCCTTCTTGCTCGTCTTCCATTTCGTTCGATTGCTCTTCGATTAGCTTTGCTGTTCGTGTCGGTCTAGTAGCTTCGACGGGATTTTTTTGGTCGTCGACAATAGGCTCATCACCAGCTTTTAGTGCACCAGCCATCATAGGTTCGCCATTGTCTGTTGAATTTGACTCTATTGTTTCATTATGTTGCCTCTTCTGTAGCTTCCTGGGCCGTTCTCCCTCCTCCATCGTGTTATGGTCGGATGAATTGTGAACCTCTTCAATCTCAAAATAAATTTGTCTCAAAGAATCAGGGTTAAAATATTGCCCCACTTCTATATCGGCCTGCACCAATCGTACTGCGACAATTCCGGATTGACAACTGTAGTCACGTGATGTTCCAACATCATCCCTTCAACCTTCCCGACGACCACCGATCTAGCCTCGATTCCTTCAAGCATTGAGCCATATTTAAAAGGTTCATACTCAGTACATTGAAACCAGCAAAATGCCGCAGGATATGCCCCCCATTGGGGGCTATCGCCCTGTCCAGTACAAGGTTTGTTGTTTTTCGTTCGCTCTTAACAATGCAACAAACTTCGAATCTGCGAATGCTAATGCCCGGATGCGAATCGAATAGCGCAACATACCTGCTCGCGGTTTCAAGCCTTTTACCTACCTCGTCGGCATGCATTTGATTATGGGATACGGATTTTATAAGTACTACTACGGAGTTCGCGAATTGAAGTAGGTGCCCATATTTTCCGATGCGGTCCTTACCTACTACCGGAATCCCCGCCATCCTTGTGATGTCCCGACTTCAAGATTCGATGGAGACTAACACGGTTGGAATTGTGCAGTGAACTCGCTCGTGAAAAGATGTGGTCTCGTATTCATCTCATTCCCCTCCTTCAAGCCGAAGAGGACCGCGATCAAGTCCGGCGACACTTTGCCGATCAGGCTCGTGAGAAGGAGCTTCTTGGCACTGAGACTAGTCCATACCACTCTGACAGGTACGTATTCTCTATGCAACCAATTCAAATTTGAAATATGGAGAAAGAGGATAGTGCGTATCCGGGTACTAACAAAATGTCCGATAGATTCGTCCGCCCAAGCTACACATATACCCCCAGCAACGTTACTCAATAGTGAAATTGAAAAACTTCAAATACAAAGACATCAAGTTACAGAAAATGCACTGCAGGGGACTATTGAGCTATATCCTTCCGCAGTATACACAACATGTTCCATTTGTCACAACCACTTGCGCTTTTCCGCTGCTCAAGTCGTGCTGTGCTTATGAGGGAGAAAGATGTTTCGACCTCTGCGGGATTCATTTGAGGACGGCGGGGTCAACAACGGGAGGGGTGTGGATGATTGATGTACATAACATTAGAAGGTTGTTTTGATAAATCAGAATTGAGGATTTCTGCCTTTCAATTTCCCTTTCATTACTACCTATACTAGCTAAATATCAAACATGAACCATGAATCCACGAGTATATACAGCTCTTCTATCGGACAGCTGCCATCAAGAACTTCCAGCAATAGGCGAAGTATCTCAGAGATCTAAAGGGTAGTTTCCTGAATAAAAGTATATAGGTATAACTCTACTTGGATCAAACCTGAAAAGTTCATAATTCTTACACCCCCAGTCCCGGGATTGTTTAGATTACAGAATCTTAAGGTTGCGTTCCATAAGATCCGTTTGTGATAGACCTGGAGCATTCTCAAATGCCTGTCCAGTTGCACCACTTCGTAAAGCGAATCCAGTTTCACTTTGATCACGATACAATATTCTGGATACATTGCTTGTCTCTGGGATCAGAGTCCATGGCCTATTCTGTACCATTTTGTGACAGTTAGAGAGCATGGTGTTTTGAGGTATTTTGAAAATTGAGGTTGCACTTAGGGCATTCGAAGCACCAGCTCGCTGATGGAAATGTCCCTTTTGGTATTTTATGTGACCATGAAACGTATCGTAATCCAACTCCAGCACCGTAACCACAGTGACTGGGCAGATCTCCGCAGCCAAGTTCTCATAATGCATGTCGCCGTTGGTGCACCTCAGAGGACCACGTACTTCAAAAAGCTGGTGTGGACATATATGACTGAGTGCGCGAAGTAGATGACGGTTTGTATTATACACGTCATAGCTACCAACGTAGACGTAATTCTGGACACGTACGTGTAGATGCTCTTTCTCTCGCTCATCATTAAAGGAACGTATGCGTGCTTCAATCGACGCCATAGCCAAAAATTCCTGACCGTGAAAGCAACCATGCATAGGTACCACTTCGAGAAGCGACAGTTTGTCGAGGTCAATACCATAACCAGGTCCAAGTCAGTGCCTGCACATAATTAACTGAAGATGCACGTAAATGAAACAATACAATGACGGCCATTGCACTAATATACTTAGGCACTAGGACGACAAGTATTTGGGCGTCGGAAAAAATCCACCGGCATATCGTGAGTTGTGAAAAGATAGCCCCTTATTAGCCCGGTCAGACTTATACTGGGCGTCCCTATCCATAAGCTCCTTATACTTCCATGGAACAGCGCTTGGGGGAATCGGACGGAGCACTGAAAAGTAATAGCAACAGCAATACCGAGGGACATTAAGTTGGACAAGAAATTTTCTCGAGCCTCACTCTGCCTGGCGTTGACAGCATGGACTGATTTCATACCCAGGATGCCCAAGAGGCGATGACGGGTCAATGTCAGACAGGCTTTTGCTACCGGCAACGAATCGAGGTACCCTATGATCATCAGAATCATCTCGTCGGGAAGCTGACAGGGACAACTTAATTGCAGAATTAGAGGCTTATGACTCTCTTCATCTTGAAATTCAGGTGTTTCTCCGCATGGAGGCTTTCCGTGCTTTCTGACGAACGGAACAACGCCTCCATGTGCGGATACATAGCTTCGATCTCGGAACAACAATAGTCGGTTCCAGATTGAGCTTCCGGCTTCAAGGGGTCTCTAGAAGTGCCGGAAACAGAAGAGTTAGGAGGAATAGATTCTTGAAAATATTCTCATGGCTTATTCCAGGATCTATACATAAATCCATGATTTATCGTCCCATCCCCGTAAAAGGCGCGACACTAAAGATCCCAGTCATAGCACTCATCTCATCAGCAATGTGCGCAAGCGATTTCAATAGCGTCACACATATGAATACCCCAGCAACTTCCATGGCACCATACAGTATGCCTGTGGAGGGCGCATGTTAGGGCATGGAATCTAAGCAAGGAGCTTGTTGTAAGCAAATGAAGCAAATAATTTGCTTATAAAGTGTAGTCCTGCAGTAGAAGCAGGTGTGTCACCTGACCATACCTGCAGACCCACCTGTGCTTTACCTGATCGGTGCTAGTCCGCTTTCTGGGATTGTTCATACAATTCATCCATCGGGCAGCTCAAATTTTGATGCGCTTGTCATCTGTATAGTTAGCTGCTGGAACAGAGGTCCGAAGATTCCTCGCTTAGAGGCTGCATGTTGAGTGATCCGGCGTTTTGCTCCCAGGCACCTCTTTTCAGACTGAACCGGATTCAAATACAAAAAAGAAAAACACGAGAAACCCGTCACCTGGATGTTATTTTGATCATTGAATGAGCCGCCCATTGCTTGATTCCAAAAACTTCTCGATTCACCAAGGCCATCCAACAACAGAGCATCAGAAGAATGATTATCGCCTTGTCACCTTTGCTTTGGATATTGTAGGCACTGACGCGTTTTTCCGTTTTGACCACCCCAACGGAGACAGTCCTGACATTGATTCAATCTTGCCGCGACCCACCAGCTATTTAAAAGGCCAAGCCCAGTTCAGAGCAAAGGCTTCATCCACTGACCAAATCAGTGCATTCTCCCAAATAAAGCAGATTGATTGATTCCAATCCTGTAGATATTCAAGGAAAATAAACGAGCATTTGCGGAGCATCAGGGAACATCCGGCTGGAAGAGGAGGAAAGGAATCACCAAAATATCAACAAACGGGAAGGCACCGGGGGAATGATGATGCCAGCCGTCCAGTCCTGAAGAGAAAAGAAGGAAAGTACAAATCTAAACACAAACACGTTCTTGCTTCTTTTCTCACTGACAAGAGTCTGTATCGACAATCAATCATGGCTACACCTGGTCAGCCCGCCACTGACGGCATGGCCGACATCATCCATGCTCTGGAAGTCTCCCATAGTCCCATGTCTTCGAACGCATTACGTGCAGAAGCCCTCCAGTATCTTGAATCGAGAAAGCAAGATGAACGCGCGGCACATACTGGATATCTACTTGCCTCAGAGATCAATAATTCGCCGTTGATCAGGCATTTTGGCCTGTCACTCCTTGACCATGTCCTGCTTCATACTGGATTCGCCTTGTCAAGCACTCAGATCATGGAACTCAAGGAAATGGTCATAGAACTCTCGCGAAGAATACAGCCAACTGACCCGAGCTACTATCGCAACAAGGTTGCCCAGCTGTGGGCCGAGGTGGCGAAGAGGAGCTGGGGTATCGACTGGAACAGCATGGACCTCGATCTGTATAATCTGTGGAATGGCGGTCCTCTCCATAAAGAAATTGTTTTGTCAATTTTGGAAACCCTTTCAGAGGATATTTTCTATCGAGAGGATACTGCATCGTCCTTAAGGGGCACGGATCTCAATAGGGCATTGGTCGAGATCTTCACGCCGCTTGTTGTGTTTCAAGAAACATTTCCAGAAAGGGAACACCACCGACAGGAAATCCGGCATCTGAATGATGGCTGGCTCTCAAGGATATGTATATTCATGGACGAGTGCCTTGGAAGTGTGAATACCTCACGCGAAGCAAAGGACTGTACATTGAAAGCTCTTGCGGTACTGCGGTCTGCACTGGTCTGGTCTATTCCGAAGGCTATCCTGACATGTGATATTGTTACGGGAATATGTCGCACTCTCACATCACAAAATGAACACATTCTTCTGGTATGCATGTCCTTTTCTTCCCTTTTCTGTGACAACAAAAACCAACTTTTCTCTAGGCCGCTATAGAAGCCTTACATTCACTGTACAGCAGGTCAAATGTCGAAGTCGAGGAGTTTGCGCCTTTGGTAGAGCAGATCTACGATGTAGATCACTTGGTACTTTTGAGACGATTATATGAGTGGACTGCCGTTGATGCTAATGACATTGACGAGACGAGATATAACATATGCAAAAAAGTATCCGAGGTATGTAGAAGCTGAGCTCCTCTTCAGTACGATTCTGTTACTAAATCTTTTGCAGCTGATGTCGTATGCGGCGGCTTTCTTAGAAGATAAGGATCTTGATTTACAGAGCGCATCCACATCTGATATACCTTTCCTTTTCGAGTTCTTGATTGAGATTCTCCGCCACCAGAGTCTTACTGTCTCAATCCCGGTCTTGCATTCCTGGTCACGTCTGCTCACAGCAGAAAGAGTCGAACAAATGGAGTTCGTTACACGTTTGATTGCACCCTTACTAGAAATCTGCACTCAACGCCTAGTTCGCTGGGAAACCCTTCCCGAGGACTCTGACGATCCCACAATCCTTTTCCTGAACGACGACATCGATACGACACCGGAGCGCCACGCTTTTGTTGGTAATTACCGCCGCTATTGCTCTACTGTGATAGAGGTCATCGTCCAGAAACGACCCTATGAAGCTATTCCGCATATTCTTTCCGGGGTGGATCAAAATCTCAACAATCTTTACAATGGTGTTCAGCCCTTCAGCGGTATGTTTAATGGTGTTAAAGTCTCGGAAAGCTCAATTAACATTGTAATAGCCGCATCATTTCAGAAAGCTTCGTTCCCACTTATGCGTGCTGACACGCAATTTTCTGTGGTCGAAGCGACTCTCAAGGGGTATCAAAAGTGGATTATAGCACATGGACGCAGCCCTCAAGAAGATGTAAGATTGATGATCTCAGACTCCGGCTGTGTTTCACTGACGTCAAACTAGGAACAGCAGCGAACTCAACTTGAGCAAGCGATTGAGAATTGGGCTATGAGCTTGATGCAAAGGAATCTCGAGGTAGGTCTCCATGCCATTCAGATAATTATCCGTGATACTCATGACTTTCAGGACCCCGTACTCAAACAGAGAGTCATAAGACTTGTTGTTGATATATCTTCGAAGGCGCTTGATAAAACACCAAGCTTTGCGCTGAAGGTTTTGGAACATATTTTGATGACACATCTCGAAGACCAACCACAATACCCAGCTTACTCGGATGCAGTCAGAGAACTCCACAGCCTCGCAAGTCACGAGTTGCGTAGACTGTCAATGCGATATGCTGATTATTTCTTCGTGAGTACATACGCCTTTTTCTGAAAAATACTTCATGCTAACACTGTTCAAAGACGTTTTATGATGTCTTAGAGCCGAAAGTACGGGAGATTGCGGCTGCACACCAATTAGACGACAAACTGCAGACCGAGCTGATTTCCGTTTTATTGATCATCACGTAAGCTATTGTTTGCTGTAATACTTCTCTACTAATCGCTAATATTCGTCTTCCAGGCAACGTACGAAGAACGTTGATCCTCGTATTCGCGAAGAAAGACTCAATTCCTTCATGGAACCAGTTCGAAGTGCATGGCAGAACGAAGAGTTTAGGAGTATGTCGTCTTCTTTTAGTGGATTTTGTGAACTGCTCGGACTCCAAAAAGTGGGGCCATACATGCAAAGCAAGCAAGCCGCAAGCATCGAAGATTGGTCAGCTGTGCCACTGGATAGTGTTGGAAAGGAAATTCAAGGCGAGCTGGCGAGGCGCTTTCAGGTATGTACACTATAAGCTATTGGTTATATGTTTCCTAACATTCGATAACAGCAACTTCCTCTACGCGGAACCAAGACCTTGCTCGCTGTGTCAACAGAAAAGCTCAAACGAACTGATCCTGCGTACGAACTCGGATGTGCTCTTTGGCGGGATGTGATACCTACCATTCTCCCTACATTATTACAGCTGATTGGGTAAGTAATTCATCTTCCTCGACTCTATCAAAACTAATGCAGTACAAGTCATGCCCATGCCTTTCACAATCCTGCAAACTGGAGTGACCTTTCTCGAGATATGAGGACAGTAGTCGGCCGAATCCTCACAGATCGATTTTGGCAAGCTGGAATCTCGACAGGTAGCCGGGATGACTTTTACGCTAAAATCACTACGTCGAAAGCTACATTGGAAGGATTTGCTTCATCAGTTCGAGGCAAAGTTAGGGCTGTTCGAGAGTCCTGCTACTCTATGCTTTTCAGCATGAGTCGTCTACGGCAATATTTCTACGGGTTTGAGGAACTACCAGGACCTTTATCAGAGGCACTGTTCAAAGATTCGACACATTTATCGTCGCATCAATTTTCTATTCTGCTGAACATATCTCGTTGTCTCATTGATGATTGTCCGGTTCAATTTCGCGAGCACTTTTTGCCACCAATGATAAGTACCTTGTTCAAGCAAGTCGACAAGAAAGTTACAGAGGAATGGGACAATATAGAACAACGCAAGGCAGGTCTCGTTGAAGGAGACCTGACTGAAGAAATGAAGGATGAGAGTATCCTTCGGCAGCTCACCTACTCCGCGGTTATCATGGTGGCCAGTCTTCTGGATCCCCAGAGAGGTGGTAAGAAGTTGGAACTAATCAATACAATATAGGCTCTAGCTAACTATTTCGACAGATCCGGATACAACGACCAGTGATGACCCAAGCGCACCCCAACCACCAGTATCTCTGGAAAGCTCCATGAGACACTTTGTTCTCTCTAATCCAACAATATTAGAGCCGGTCTTTATGTTTTGTACTCATGCTCTACGCATGCGAGACACAAGATGCGGTAGCATCATTACTAGAGTCCTTCGTTCTATTCTTGTCGATTTCGCACCCCCAGTCAATACTCCTACAGCAATTACTATCCGAGAGTTTATATCTACCGAAGTCCTCCGGGCGTGCATCACATCTGTTCATGAACCATACTTTGTCGATATGCAACGAGATCTTGCAACACTCATCGCTTCAATATGGGTACTCTACGGCTCCAGCACATCCACACCGCGCTCAGTCATGTTAAGTCTTCCTGGCTTGAATGAGCAGCGGGTCGCTCAAACCGAGACAGCACTGATGCGCTCAACCTCTGGTCGACAACAACGTGCCCTTGTTTTGGACTTGCTTGAGGGCTTACGCGGCGTTAGTATCTCCGAGCAAGGAAAGATTCTTGGTACGCGTGAAGACCGTCGAAAGGCTCGTAGCGCAATGCAACAGCGGTACATGTCCACTGCTCCCGCGGATATGGAAGGGCAACAGAAAACAAAAGTAAACATTGATGATGGGCCGGATCTTGGTGGTATAGCAGACATGTTTGGTTAAAGATAGACGCACGTCGCTTATGGCGGGGACTTGGGAAGGCTGTTTGATACGAAGCGGTAGCGTTACTTATCTCATTACCTTGCGTATAATACATAAAAATAGACTTAGTGTAGGAATTATCAAGCTAAATCAACAATTGAAATAATAAACACAAGAAATTAGTAGAGGTTGCTTTCGTCATGGGCTGCTTTGGCAGGAGATTAATCAAATCGTGCCCTAACTCCGATTTATCCCCGCGGATTTAATTCGAGGGACTGAGGAAGATGTACGCAAAGTCCCAGTTATATAAACAGGCTTCACCACCTTCAATCTCACCCAAATAGCAAAATCAACTCATCTACCAATTCCCAACAAAAAAAAAAAAAGATTATTCCAAAATGACATCCCCTCTAGCCCCCTATGCCATCGACCACGAGGACCCCAACGGACCCGGTGACGCTCGTCCAACAGCCCTCAAAATAATCCGCGACCAAGGGCTCGATGGCACTCTATCCGGAAAAGTATTCTTCATCTCAGGAGGTACAAACGGCATTGGCGTCGAGACTGCACGTGCAATTCATGCCACGGGTGCTGATGTATATATCACGGGACAGAATCGTAAGAAGGGACTAGAAGTTGTTGAGCATATTACTGGGGATGGGAAACCGGGGAAAGTTATGTTTTTGGAGATGTTTCTTGATTCCTTGGAGAGCGTTAGAGATACGGCGAAGAGGTTTTTGGAGTTGAGTGGTGGGAAGGTTAATGTTTTGATTACGAATGCTGGTGAGTTTGATCCAAATGTAACATCTTCAGGAACGTAGGGCTGATATCTGTGAACAAAGGAATAAGAGGCTACCCCAAAGACAAAACCAAAGACGGCTTCGAGCAACACTTCGGCGTCAACCATCTAGGCCACTTCGCACTCTTCCACGCCCTCAAGGACGCTCTCCTATCCTCCTCAACTCCCTCCGTCAACTCCCGCGTCGTTGTCCTCTCAGCTGCAGGCCATCGTCAATCCAAAATCAGATTCGACGACTACAACTTCGACATCCGTCCCGAAGAATATCAACCTCTTCTGGGTTACGCCCAATCCAAACTCGCAAACATCTACATGGCCACAGAAATCGAGCGTCGATTCTCTGCACAGGGACTACATGCTACAGCCGTGAATCCAGGTTTAATCCCCGGAACGGGTCTGAACAAAAAGACTCCACCGGAGCAATTGGCGCAGATGTGGAAGATGACTCAACTCAGGAATTTGCTCAAATCTGTGGAACAAGGGGCTGCGACGACGATTTGGGCAGCTGTGGGCAAGGAGTGGGAAGGGAAAGGGGGGAAATTTTTGGAGAATGCGCAGGTTAGTCCGCCTGCGGATGAGAGTAAGGGTCCGTTGAGTATTGGGTATGCTGAGTATGCGTATGATGTGGATGCGGCGAAGAGGTTGTGGGAGGATAGTTTGAGGATGGTTGGGTCGGAGTAGTTCCAAGTCTACCTACGTACCATATTTTCTTTGACGCCACTTGGCTTTCCCTTTCCATTTAAGTGATCACCTTTTCGCCGCTTTTGCTCGCTGAGTAGAACTGAGCACACATCCAAAGTCTATCTTATCAGAGTCTACTAGAGCCGGTTCTGCGAATAGTTTTTGCGTTCCTAAAAATTGACATGGTGTTTTTGGGAATTACAGATGATGTGGGAAGTACAATCCTTAGGTGGAACGGCCAACATGTGTTGTCAGAAAGAGGGAGGGCCTTCAACAAAAATACTCATAGGAGGTGGCAGCTACAGTATCAAAGGCGCACGGGATAGATGTGGCAGTCTGCGTTAGTGATGGAATCATTTTTCATTCTACGTGGTTCACATTTCAACAATAATCATACATATCATATTACCTCTATGATTGCGACCCAGGCTGATGTAGCGACAGAAAAAGGAATGCATAGTTAAGCTGTGTGACTGAAAAAGGTGGAAAGAAGAAAGAATACTAAACATAACAGCTCAAACATTTCACCGAATCTCAATCTACTGGGACAGTAGAGTTCATCAGACGGTCATTCCTATGCCCTAACAGCGTCAATTGAGAATAATCATTATCGAAGATAGCGCGCCAGAGTCTAGGATCTGAATGTACTGCTATAATGTCAGCGATTTGGCAGCATCAAGGATGTAAAACTAAGTATAGAATGAGACTTCATACCACTAGTTGGCCAAGATATGGCACAGTCAATAACTATCCACTCCATAAGCATGCCAGCTTCAATCCATGAATAATACTGGCCACCCTCTTTGAATCAATTGCAATGCTCATTGATATTGTTATGTTCCCTGACTAGCTCAATACCCCATCGTTTCTGAGGAATCCAGAAGTCGACTCGGCCACTACCATTCCGAGACCATTCACTGGATATTGACACACCTTGACCTACTACAACACTGAAAGCCCTGTAAAACTCATCTTGATATTGTGCTTCCACGGGTCGAATTGTTGCTGCAGTCGACATTTTACCTTCCACAGAATGCCTGAGTCTCTTCGGAGAGAAGTGCTTGAGGACCTCTATACACAAGCTTTGAATCGTAGGAAATGCCTCGTCTGGAAAAAGTGATGGCGTTTTGCCAATCAGGTGCTCAACATACCTAAATATATCAGTATAGAACAATAAAAGCTGTGCCAAGTTAATTCTCGTTTTGGTTTCCACTGCCCATCATTACTCCCAACCTTGAAAGGTTGTATAAGAGGCAGTCTTACTTAACTTGAAAGTTGTATGAAGAGCTAGATTGTCATTAGTGGTATCTCTATCGTTACATCCGTATATATATATATATATCATCTAATCGCCATTCCCAACTAAACCGCCAGATATTCAGGATGATTCAAAAATGATCCCTTCACACTAGTCGAATCAGTCGCACACTTCCCACACGGACAGTTCTTCAACATACGAAGACTTTCGCGGAGGCTTGACTTATACACCTCGGTAGAGTGAATATTCTTCCCCCTCGGAGTCATTATGCTCGCAATAATGGTTCCAAGGTTCATATACGATAAGAAATGGCAGTACGTCTGACAGATGCGACGAGCCCAGATATCGCGACAACATATTAATGTCTGGAGAATGGTTTCTCGTGGGATCTCAAGGTTGGTCTGAGATGGTCCGTTAGAATTAATGTCCATGGCCACGGCATCGTTGCGGGTCATTATCAGGCATATTGTTAATGTCGCTGCGTAAAAGTCGTGTTTGTAATATTCGCCTAGCCATACTCGGCCGGGGGGACTGTTCAGATCCTCTGATAGCTGCCTCTGGATGACCAGTAGAGCTAGAGCGGATTCTAAAGTAGCCCAGTATGATACCGGATATTCAACATCAGCATTCGGTTGTAGGCCGTAGACCGAGTGAAGGGCCAGTAGAAGGCGGCGAAGGTAAACCTGCAGCATGAATAGTTGATCCTGCTTCCAGTCCTCGAGAGGTACCGGGGAGGACTGATGGTACAACTGAGTTGCTTCCAAGAGTAAATTCTTGATTTTGACGTTGTATATGAGAACATCCTCATACGGGAGATACGTGGTTGGCGAGTTTGCATGAGCCACCGTATCAAAAGCCAGTTGAAACGAATTTGCAACGATAATCAAGAAAGTGGAGTCCGTAAACTCCTCTAGAGGTCGTGGGATGGGGTAAGCTAGAAGAGATGGACTCAAATCTATATCGTTCAAGTTCAAAGGCGGCTGAGTATTCATATGTGACGACCGAAGTGCAAATGGAGTTCCAGTCAGAACCGATATGTTAGTACACATCATCGCAATCGTTGACCATAACTTTTTGCGTATTTCTCTGTCAAAGAGCGATGTGCTGTCACTAACGTCATTCTGAGGGTCCACATGTAGGCCGATGCCAATAGCCATTCTCATAACAATGGCTGAAAGAGGGCCGCAAGCATCAAGTTCGAGGCAGCTGGACGCAAGAATACGTCTAGCAAGGACCATCATACTTAGCGTCCGCAACGACGTAAGATTGGGCGCTATGAGGAATATCGTACTTTTTAGACATGTCTCGGCGCCGCGAAAGTACTGTTTCAAAGTTGCCTCTTCATCCGGCGTTATGTTGACACCCCGCGACATATGATGGCTCATACCGAGCATCACAAGGAACTGTGCTAACCATTCGTCCTCTACCGCTGCTGGATCCTCCCAAAAGTTGTCTAGTTCTTTATAGAAAGTTGGCGGGTGCAGCATTGGATGAGTCCTCTCTATCGTATTCATATAAACGTCGATCAAGAACATGATTGTCGGGCGGTCCGGTATGTAAGTTAGAACCTCTCTCTTACTCGGAAACTGCTCCTGATATCCACATCCAAAGGGATAATTAGAGGGAAATATGGAGGAAGTGAAGTTGTTTGTAATCTTATTAAAAACATCTTCCAGAACGTCGTAAAGTGGGTTGCCGCTCATAGATTTGTGCCCATATTGAATCTATTAAAGTGTAAGCACAGGAAACTACATTTAAAGATTGATAAGAAGATACTTGTCGTGAAACAGTGAGCCAGTGGGTTGACCCTCGGAATTTGGAGTTCCAACTATTATACGGATCATAAATCGACTTGACAGACTCTTCACTTTTGGACGATGATGTTGTCGCCGCCGGAGATGAGTCGAAAAGATCAGGCTCGGTCTTGGGTAACAAGAGCGCAGGCTTCGCTCTGTCAATTGGTGCTTGAGGCGATAGGCTTGATTTGCCAGTCTGATCCTCGTCCGACGAATTTATACTGTTCGCCTGCGCGGTTGGAAACGGCGCATATTGACAGCTCGCGGCCCTGTCGCTCCATACACAATGGCGACAAGGGTGGCCACGATCACATTTCACTTTAAGCCGGCGACAGGGAAGACAAGAAAGAGTTTGCCGCTGCCGACGGCGCACTGGCTTGGAAAACACTGCCTTGTCGTTTAACTTGAGCTTCTCGAATTTCTGGTGATCAAGCATGTTGCACAATCAAATACAGGATGGCATGTTCAGACTGAACAGGACAGAAATGATAATGTCGTCAATGACTCGATCGATTAGAAGTTAGAAACCGCTCTTTCCTAAAAGAGAATAGTCGCCTGAGGTATCTACAAGGCAGCAATCGGCCGTTCGGACTCGGGGCCGAGACCCTTCGGATCCGAAAATTAACTCCGTCTTTCGGCATTATCGCGATAACTTCATACTCAAGAGTCTGTCAATTCAACCATATTCAAAGTCAATTGCTTGCGTAACAGGCATAAATATCATATAAAATGCTAGCAAAATGCGCCATGGCCAAGCCCGAAAGTAAAAAGAAGAAAAAAATAAGATCATCTACATCACAGAGCAGTTCTGTTGACACTGTTCCAGGTAAGTATCATCCTCAGGACTGATGACGAGACTGCTAGCTTTGCGCTTGACACCTTGGATTTTGATGTCTTGATCTCCTTCGCCGTGCCACCATTTGAGAATCTGTATCGTATAGGAAGCCTCTTCACGTGTCTCGACCGTCCACTTTCCTCCGCTCACAGTAACGTCGATTTCCGAAGCAGGGAAGTGAAATTCAGGCAAATAGATCTCAGTGGGAGCTTCCTGGTTAGTGGGCTTCTCACCATATAGTGACAGCGTAAACTTGCAGTTCTTAAGATCGAAGCCATGAGATAGAAGGTCACCGCTGGTGTAGATAGCACTAGGACGGATATATGCCTCGCTTGCTCGAAACCCCGGCTTTCCTTCTGGTTCAGAAGATATGTTAGACGATTGGTGAGAGATAGATGGATATTCTATGGCATTCTTGATATTGAGATGGTTTATTTTACCATTGTCAATTGAGCTGCTGCTCTGAGAGAACGACGGCGAGTTTCGGTCCAGCGTCAATGTAGATCCATTCAAGGAAGTTGAACCGATGCCGGGAAGTTCAAGGTCGTCCTTAGAGTATATGGAAAGATCCTCTCCGTTCCATTGATCTCCCCATTCATGATCATTCTATTAGGAACATCTAGTGAGCAAAGGCAATACTCTGGATGACAGATACGCGCTTACCTGAGTCATATACGCCCATAATGTGTACCCATTCGATCCACTACCTTCCAAAGCAAAGTGGTTTGCATCCATTGCGCTTATCTGACTGCTGTAGTCACCCGTCTTATATGCGGTCTTGTCGTCCATATCATAAGGAATTCCTATTTCAGTAAAAAGCATAGGATGGTCTCCCAAACACTTGAAACTTTCGTCTCGAAGGTACTTGAGCTGATTGCGAAGACAGTTTCGAATAGCGGTCTCCCCGATTTTGACGGCAAACGCTGGTGTCCAGTACTTGCCGCGGAGAACGCCAATCACGTCGACGTTGTACATACGATTCCAATGCTTTGTGAGTAGAGTTAGACCGTCATAATAGTGAGCGGCATGTACCATGTTGGGATCGTCATCCTCCGTGCCTTTAAGCTTTGGAGGCACCTCCATGACGGGAGGCTGGTTCAAGAGGATACAATCAGGGTGCACACTTCGAATGGCGTCTCGATACGCTCTGTAGTGATCCATATAATATGTGTTGGTGAAAACGTCGTAATTCAGTGGTTCTCCTGTTTTAGGGTCCTTAGAGAAGTAGTCCCCCTGCAATAATTCGTCTGTGTTGGGATCCCAAACGCCGTGCTGTGCCCATATACATGTCCCAAGTTTCCAATTGGGGTCTCTCTTCCAACCGTATTTGTTATCATCAAAGTCAGCTGGTAACCATGCAGATTCGCCTTCGGGATCAACCAACTCTTTTCCTGTCTCGTAAGGGCCAAAACTACCAAAAGCCCATGTACTCATTTCACAGGCGCGGCCAGACCCGGCCAGAATGGCTTGAAATGCTGTCGGTGACGTTCCCAACTGGAGTTGCTGTTCAGGAGGAATTACGTTGATGTCCTGATATCCTACCAATCCCCGATTTGGCTCATTGATAGACTCCCATCCAATGACAACTTCATCCTCTAAGTCACCGGCCTCGTGGATCTTTTGAGCAAGATGTTTACAAGCTGCAATAAAGTGTTCTTGCAAGTAGTCCTGAATATTTCGTCCATCGATAATTGCCTTGGGCGCAAAGTCCCGACCTGCCCAAAATAATGTGAATACGGTCTGGCAGACGAGGCGCGTATAATTCGTACTCCAGATCATCTTTGGGAACTCTGAAGGGTTAGGCCACGTATTCTGGACCAAAGCTGCTTGAGTCTTGTTGAAGTTTTCGGGGTTGAGGCCGGCCGCATATAATGTCCATAATGGAGCGCCAGAGCCACCAGAGAACCGCGACCACTAGATACGGTCAGTCACATATGTATCATCAAAACAAGCCCACTAGTATACATACAACATCCTGATGAGGGTCCATAAACACGTAGAAATTGTACTGCTTAGCGATGCGCAGGACTTCGATGGTATAAGCGATCCATTCATCATCATATTTCCCTGGCCCCGAGTGCTCGATGGCCTCCCAAGTAAAAATATATCGAATTGTATTATAACCCCATTTCCGCAACCTGCCAAAATGTATCGGAGCGTCCTCTAAGCTAAATGGTCGACCGACAAACGAGACATTATCGGCGTCCAGAAAGCCGTCTGCGATATGCGATGGAACATCCGGATTCTTCGGGTACTTCGCGTCACCGGCGACGTTAATACCTCTTAAGGTGATTTCACGATTGTATGGATCTCGAAACTTATGGCCTTCGATGTGCAAGCGGAGAGGAGCCATTTTTGTGATTGCCCTGATTCTAGAACAAAGTGAATTGACCTGAAAGAATTGGAATGACCAGATCACTCTTAAAGTAAGTTGAAACTTTTAGTCTGGTTCATAAATAGGGGCCGCAACTTAGACAGTGTTTCCTGTACAAAGGAAACTGAGACTAAGACAGCCTATGGCGAACAGACACATAAATAAATGAAGTTAAAGATGCACCTGACACTGGCCCTTTACCTCGAGATAAAGCTCACGGGGTTGGCGATAAGAAAGTGTCAAAAGAGGGAAGGAGTGCTCCGTGACGTACGTACGATATCTCCGCTCCTTCCCCACATAGGCCACATCTTTTGTTGCTCGTATTAAACCCACAAAACTAACCATCCAAGCCAGAAGATGAACATCGTCGGTGGTCAAATTTGAAATGTCTGCAAAGGCTGCTCTGAAGGCTGTCAAATCAGCCTTGGACTCCAAAGATTTTGAGCTTGCAGCTTCTAAGGCAAAGGATCTGGTCGATCAGGATTCCACAAACTATCATGCGTGAGTGCGGGACAAGCACTGAAACTTCAAAAGCATGACAAACTAATACTTCGCAATAGACATATCTTTCTAGGGCTCGCACAAGATAAACTAGGCAAGCCAGATGCAGCAGAATCATCATACCTCGCCGCTTCCCGTATTAAAGAGAATGACAAGACAGCATGGCAAGGACTTATCACCTTGTACGAGAAACAAGGGTCCAAAAAGGTGGACGCCTATCGTGATGTTGTTCTGAAGTTGGGGCATATCCTAGCAGAGAAGTATGGATGTATACCTTAATTTGAAGTCATATCGCTAATCGAGCGGTACAAGTGGCGAACGCGATCGGTGTGTCGATGTCGTGGACAAGTTTATCAAGTTCAACCGACAGCACGGAAATCGTACGCAACAGAAACAAGCTCTACATATTCAACTGCCGACATGCCCCCTCTATCCTGCACTGGAAGGGAGGGTTCCACATCCTGCAGACACCTACTCAAGGCTGATAGAGCTTACCGAAGCTGAGGAAAAAGAATTCATAAATCGTGAGATCGGCGAAAGACGCACACGTCTCGGCGCAAAAATTGATCAGGTCACTACGGAGGTCAAGTGCGAGGCTCTCAGCAACCCAGAACTCGAGCAATACTATAGAGGCCTTATAGACTGGACAAACGACGATGGGATTAGACATCAAACCGAGGAGCGACTTCTACAGCGAGCATACGACTTCCTGCTAGTTCTTCCGCACGATCAGAAATTTGGAAAACTTGACGAGGTAATCCATCTGGCACGGGATATGGTCATTATCAAGCATACCTTCCTTCTCGCGTGGAAAATTGAGCTTGAATGGAAAGATGTTGAAGATTTCTCGGAGTGGGATCCTGTTCTTCTTCGCGACTTCGCAGAGTTTTTCCCAGAAGATGGTCTCAGTAAGGTTATTCAGGGCTTCCTGAAGGGAGAATTATCGCCTTTCCCCACGGAAACAGAGTTACGAGAATCCGCTGAAGCTGAATCAAATGATGTAAAAGCAGAGATTGCAGAATTAGCAGTGGAAGACAGATTGATATTGATGTCCAACGGTCTCGAGCAATCAGCGGACTCCATAATAGCGCATCGCGTTATGGCTCAGCTTTACTTGAATTTGGAAGAATTTGCAAGCGCGGTCGAGGTTGCGCGTAAGGGCATATCAATCCTTAAAGACGTCACCAGGAAAACGGGTTTGAGCCTTCAACAAACTACCGACTACGTCAATATTACTTTAGCTACTGCATTAATTTCATATCAGTCTCCTCGCAATCACCCCGAGGCAAAAAGCATCTTCGAAAGTATCTTGAAGCGAAAACCCAAGAATACGAAATGTCTACTGGGGATCGGTTTGATTCTAGAAGAAGATCACGATTACGAAGAAGCATACAATTTCTTGCAGCGAGCTCGTGAACGTGATCCATCCAATATAAAAATTCGGTCAGAGTTGGCTTGGTGTACAGCACTCAACGGAAACCTCCAAGATGGATTGGAGATGTTGCAAGATGTCCTTTCGGAAATCAAGAATGACGAATCACAAACTGGAGAGTTCAGGGCCGAGATACTTTATCGTATTGGCCATTGCCAGTGGGAGATAGATCCATCTAGTGCTGCTCGAAAGAATCGCAATGGAGCATATGCCAGTTTTTTAGCTTCAATTCAAGCCGACCTGAATTATGCACCAGCGTATACTATGCTGGGGATATACTACTCCGACTACAAGAAAGATAAAGCCCGAGCAAAGCGATGTTTCCACAAGGCATTCGAGCTGTCGTCGTCTGAGATTGAAGCTGCGGAACGACTAGCAAAAGCTTTTGCTAATAAGCAAGAGTGGAATCTTGTTGAAGCAGTTGCCCAACGAGTGGTCGACTCTGGGAAAGCAAAGCCTGCTCCGGGGTCGAAACGCAAGGGTCACAGTTGGCCTTATGCAGCGCTAGGTGTGGTGCAACTGAATAAACAGCAGTACACTAAAAGCATTGTGTCCTACCAGGCAGCTCTGCGGATATCACCGGGAGACTATCATTCCTGGGTTGGGCTTGGAGAAAGCTACCACAACTCGGGCAGGTACATTGCTGCTACGAAAGCATATGAGCACGCGGAAGCGTCAGAGTCGACTCTCTCCAAGAGCGACGGTGACAACGTCTGGTTCTCGAAATACATGCTAGCTAATGTCAAGAGGGAATTGGGAGAGTACGAAGATGCAATTTCCAGATACGAGGATGTACTCGCCATTCGTTCCAACGAGTTTGGAGTGATGATTGCGCTTCTCCAGACGTTGACTGAAAGTTCATATAAGAATCTCGAGACTGGCCTGTTCAACGATGCTGCCAAGTCCGCACGTAGAGCTTTGAAGATCGCTACTGCAATGGCGAAGGAGACACCGAATGTATTCAATATGTGGAGAGCAGCCGGTGATGCGTGTGCCGTTTTCTCCTACGTAAAGGCGAAATCATGGCATGTTTCTGCATCTCTATTAAAGTCTCTCTTGACCATTGATGCCCCGAATGACGCGTACGACATTCTGGCCGATACAGATGATGTAGGAAGCAAGCATGCATTATTCAGTGACTCGGAAGAAGGTTTACCTCCCCTGTCTGATCTCTGCATTTACGCGTCCATCCTGGCGTACAAAAGAGCTGTGTATGTCTCCGCAAACGACGTTCATGGCCAAGCCGTTTCTTGGTATAACCTCGGATGGGCCGAATACAGAGCCTACAGATGTATTGAAGGTGAAACAATCGCAAAGAAGGACAAGCGATTTACGAAGAAATTCCTCAAGGCAGCTATTCGATGCTTCAAACAAGCTATTGAGCTCGAGGCAGGTAATTCCGAATTCTGGAATTCCTTAGGAGTTGTGACGGCTTCACTCAGTCCGAAAGTCGCTCAGCATGCTTTCGTTCGCAGTTTGCATCTTAATGACCGCAGTGCGCAGAATTGGACGAACATTGGTGTTTTCTATCTGATTCACAATGATCTCCAGCTAGCAAATGAAGCATTTACTCGAGGGCAATCTGCTGATCCTGACTATGCGCCGGCTTGGCTTGGTCAAGGTATTGTGGCGCTGCTCTTCGGAGATCCATCAGAAGCGCGAGCTCTATTCAGACATGCATTTGACATATCCACATCGTCTTCGACATTGACTAAGAAACAATATACTCTCAGCCTGTTCGACCGTCTATTGGAAGATGCTTCAATTTCAAACGAATTGTCACAACTGATTCAGCCTTACTTCGCCCTTCAACAATTACACTTCCAAGAGCCATCTTCTCTATCGTTCGAGCATCTCTCAGCATTGTTCGCTGAAAGAATTGGCGAGTATGGGCAAGCTGAGTCCGCCCTCGGTATTGTTTGCACTGGAGTAGAAGCTGAATATGAAGTGTCTGAGTCATCATCGTCCCTGATACGCTTTGCACTGGCCAATGCGGATATTGCTCGTGTACATCTTGCCAATCATGAATATGAACAAGCCGTCGAAAAGGCTGAATTAGCATTGACCCTATCTGGAGACGATAATCTATCTACCCCTGATCCAGGCATGGTGACGAGCCTTCGCTTGTCATCACACCTTACTGCCGGTTTGGCATATTATTACTTGAAATCAATGGACCAGGCTATCGATATGTTCCGTGATGCACTTCATGAAGCAGAGAACGATCCCGATGTGGTATGCCTTCTTGCACAAGTGCTATGGGCAAAGGGCGGGGAAGAAGAGCGGAATGTAGCCCGTGAACAATTATTTGATTGTGTCGAAAAGAATCCGGACCACAACGGTGCTGTCACTCTTTTGGGGGCTATTGCACTTCTAGACGGTGACGAAGATGCCATTGAAGCGGTTCACGCAGATCTCGAGACTATGAGAACAAGAGACGATATTGAAATCCACGACCGGACACGAGTGGTCAAACTCCTATCAGCAATTTCTGCCATGGGCTTAAGCGGAGACAGCGACATGCCAGAGGCAGAGCGAAAAGTTGTGGAAGCAAACAGAGCTGTCATGCTAGCTCCTGGGTTACCTCAAGGCTGGATGGAGCTTACTGCCGCGACAGGAGAAGTACATCCAGCGACGATAGCAGTAAAGACTGCTCTTCGAAATGTTCCTCCCAACGGTGGGTTGGATGCAGTGGACTTGTGTAAGGCGTATGTGCAAACAGGTACCATTGGAGACTCATTGCGAGCCATCATGGTGGCTCCATGGAAAATGGATGGATGGGATGGTCTGAGTGAGAACTTTTCAGACATTGCATGAGGCGCATTATTTGGATTGCATAGATATCACCTGCTGCATGTAGAATAGATACCCAGTGATGAATGTGTTTATAGATGAATAAAAGAAATAAAATCATTCCTCCATCTCATCTCCATTAGCATTACCTCTGTTTTGTTCTGCATGCAAAGCTTCAATCTTCGCCAACAAAACTTCTTTTCTCTTTTGTCGCCATGTTGTATCCCAGGATTCGATCTTTCCACCTAATAAAGTGACAGTTTCCGGTGTCAATAGTGCTATCCCTCTTGCCACAGTGATATCCTTAAGAACAAGTTTTGCGCCGATGCAAAGCTTCTCGACAGATACACCATCGATATCTTTATATTCCAGCGCGACAATTTTCGTGCCAGCTGCATCTTGTAGAATCAGACGATGAGGCCCATTACTTGTCGTATTTCTCGCCGATCTAGACCCATTGTTCGCCGTTTCGTCGTTGGCGCTGTTATCACCATCCACATTCACATTTCGGACTATCTCTCGACCTCGAATGGTTTCTCCTCGCTCGACTTGCTCTATTTTTTCTACTTGAGACCACAGACTAGAACCGATATCTTCCACGTCAAGAACCTGGACGGGTACCGGGCCGGATATACGTCGCTCTTTGACGGATGGATTAAATATGTCTCTGGGAAGTAATTTAGAATGTGTTGAAGTTGATAGTGTCTTGGTGAAATCAGTCGTTAGTATGCGAAAGAGAGCTGTTTGCGCTAATGCAGATGGTGGTGCTCTCTGTTGGTTTTGGGATAAGGATGCGAGGAAATTGGATATCCATGCTGGGGATACCGGGAGCGATTTGGTGCTTAGGAGCTGGGATTTAATATGTTCTTCTGTCGATGACATGATGACTGGTGTAATTGGAGAGTAACATGTTTGACTGTCGAGGCGAGTCGAGGGTTTGATTTGGAGTTGAAAGAGTCGTCTGGATTCCGGGGAAGGAGAAGAAGCGGGTCCACATCTCAAAAAGGATCACAGCTTCCTCCGTAACCTTCAGGCTTCATCCTCTCTTTACGCCTTTCGTTTTGCTCATCTCTTCTTATATACCCGGATTATTGGCCTTTGATTAACTCATACACTAAAATTCAATTACAAAATGTCCACCATTTCGTCCCCCCGTCTATCTACCACATCCTCACACGCCACGTCGATATCATCTCGCCGACCCTCTATAGATAACAGCTTGAACCCCAATGCCAGCACTAGCGGACTCGGAATCAATAATCATACAGGCTCATCCATAAATCGCGCAGTATCTCCAGCTCAACGTCGAAACCGTGCCGCGCTTAGAGATTACTACAATATCAAGTCATCGACGGGTGACGAAGCGACAAGCTCGGCTACAGGTGCTCCTCGCTCGACTGATGCAAGCGAACTTTTCGGATCGCCGTCAATTACTGTTACCTCTGAACTAGACAATCCTGATTTCGACGCACAAAAATACATTGACCAGTTACTGGCTACTTCCTCTCTATCGACGGTTCTGAAGGCAGAGAATACTTTGGTCGGCGACATACGTACACTAGATGGCGAGCGCAAGGCTTTAGTCTATGATAATTACTCGAAATTGATTCGCGCAGTCGAGACTATAGGGACCATGCGACGGAGTATGGAGGAACGAGGAGCGCCATTGACGATGACGAAAACACTTGGTCCCGCTGTGGCATTTGTTGCTGAGACTGCTAGTGGCTTGATCAAGGAAGGTGAAGAGCTTCGTCGCAGAGTTCAGGATGCGAAGAGCAAGGCGACTGGGAATAAGACGGCTGAACAGGAGACTGTGGAATGGGCTTTGGGGACACCTGACCGACTCAGACAATACTTGCGTGAGGGCCAGACAGAGAAAGCGCAAGAGGATTGGGCAGAGATTGATCACCTATTACAATCTTGGAAAGGGGTCAAGGGGGTTGAAGAACTGAGAGCGGCTTGCGAAGAGATCATGAAAGATCAGGAGAAGGAGTCTGTGTGAGTCGAAACGAGGATCTCTCCTAATCAAAGCCATGTTTACGGACGATGCCATGATTCGATCCTGATTTCTCAGGCAAAGGCACTTTCTCGAGAATGTTCTCATGGCCATTTATCTCCAAACAGAATGTGCTCCAAACTGTCCTACATTCGCAAACTGAGCTATGCCGTGTAAGACATAGATCAGAATGGGCAGATCTTATCGATAAGGACCGCAAACCTCTTATCGCGATAAGCTTTACAGTCCGTAAAATAATCTGACGGACCATAAAAATCACCACCGCAAATTACCGGACCGTCATACAACAATCTGGAGTATGGCAACAGCAGATCGGTACTCTCTTCAACTACACTTATATCCGCTCAATGTGAGGCTTATAATCTGTCCAAGATAGATATTACATGCTCAATGAATCGATTGTGGTGGTTACCACGTGATTTTTAATGTTATTTCGTGGGAGGAACCCCTCTGTCCTATTTCTAGCGAATTTCTAACTGGAGGTACAGCCACTTGAACTTTCCTCAATTGAAAACACTCCCTTCAACAATAAAGACACATTACTGCCATTCTTCTTGACTCCTACATCATGACCGAAGTAATCCAGCCAAAAACTGTATCTTCATTGGTCACAGAATTCCTCGACCAACCACCGAGTTGTCTTGAATTCTGTCCCAAGGATCCCAACTACTTTGTAGTAGGAACCTATCTGCTTCAGGAGCATAAGGAGCCAGCAGAAGAGAAGAAGAGCGGAGAAGGCGAAGAAGAAGGTGACGAAGGAACTGCGCCTAGCTCTGTCAAACAGACAAAGACGGGATCTTTGCAGCTGTGGCATTTGGACATTACTGCTCCTAAGCTGTATGTACTTATTCGCCGTGAGGAATCGCAAATCCTTGAAGGAAAAGTTGCTCGCTAACGCTGCTAGATTTATAACAGACAACACAAGCAAACAGTCCCTCTCTCCCATGCCGTCTTCGACCTGAAATTCCACCCCTTCCGACACCACATCCTCGGTATCGCAGGCAGTAACGGCTCAATCTCCATTTACAGCGTCCTTTCGGAGGACGGCAACAATTACAATATAGGAATCCAACACATCTGGACAACTTCCGCGGAACACGCGAACAATTCAACTTTGTACTTCACCTGGTTCCCACAGGACTGGTTCCCACTGCAAACAAGCCCCTACACAGACGGCTTTGCAGCCTCATTCGCCAACGGCACAACACGAATCTATCTTCTTGACGCCGAACGGGAAAACCGGCATGATATTGCGCAAAACAAAGGGAACTACAATTTCATAGTCAAGGAACATCTACCCGAGCGCCGCAAGAACATTGAGCCGTGGTTCATCGCGTTAGCGAAATATCGAAACCCGAGTGTAATGGGCGGAAGTGAATCGTTCATGTTCACGGGTGATGATATGGGGAACTTGTGGACGCAGAGCTTCACATATCCCGAGGATCGTAATTCGAGCGGTGATCTAGAGGAAGATTTCATGATTTGCGATTATAGGGATACCGATGATGAAGGACTGCGCCATACAGCTGGTGTAACGGCTATACTGCCCTTACCAACTGTGGGCATGGTAAAGAAGATGCCTATCTTGCTGACGGGGAGTTACGACGAGTATATTCGAGTATATCATGCCACTTTTAGAGGCGCTATACTCGCCCAGAAACGTCTGGGAGGAGGCGTGTGGCGTTTACAGCTCATCGGAGACCCAACTACCACCCATACAACTACCGGAGCATCAACGATTACAGAAGTCCAATTCTTGGTCCTGGCGAGTTGTATGCATGCTGGTACAAGGATTGTAAAGGTGAATTGGAAGAGGCCTCAGGTGGGAGCGAATGAATTGGGTTCTTGGGATATAGAAATTTTGGCTCAGTTTACAGAGAATGAGAGCATGAATTATGCCTCGGGTATTTGGAAGGGAGGTGAGACTTCCGCTACAACAGGAAGAGAGTTGGTGGGTGTTTCGAGCAGTTTTTATGATAAAAGGTTGTGTTTGTGGAAGATTCAGATCTGAAAGACTCCTTATGTAGATACTTGATTTGGAAACATCGAGTCTGAATTACGCGCTGAATGCATGTCAATCAATATTTGAGTAATTAGAGTACAAAACCGTCTAAACAATAGTCTCCAGTTCCCGCGCGTAACCAATAGTGTTCTCTATAACAGAAGCACTTGCCAACACAATCCCCTTCTCTGGTCGATGTCCCCCCTGCACCGGCTCTACAGTACCAGGTATCTCCGCAGCGGGGGCCACAACGTCAGTCTGAGCAGGGAAATATATGCGACCATCCTTCAGGGACCAACCACGCTCTTGCGCGAATTGCACAACTGCACCTTCGGATTCTAGGAAGAGGAGATCCTTTGCATTGGAGATGGGGAGGGATTGGTATGCTGTTTCGGAACAGTCGGCGATTTCTCTTCTGATTGTTCCAACGAGAACCTATCAAGTTATCAGTCTAGTTCTCAATTAATAGGAAGGAAGGAAAAGATATACGTTTGAAAACAAGCCAAAATCCTCAGTAGGAACCTCCGAAGACTTGGTTGCTCGCCACACCTTGTCATAACTACCTTCCATCAAACTCCTTTCCAGCTCAACAGGGTACCTGATAAACGGATCATCCTCCACACTGCGTCCTTCCAACGATGCCTCCACAATCAATCCCTCCAGCACCGTGTGGAATTGCGATGTATCACCCGAACTCAAGAGTAATAACAAATACAATCCGGTAATTTTACTCCGTTGACTCGTCTTCGCCGCATCGCGCTGTTGTTGTGAAGATGATGATAATGAAGCTTCTTGCTCAAAATCATAGAATGGTTGTAGTTGTTGATAGTATCGAATGAAAGATGCAGAATCCATCAGTCGAAGTGACGTTATGGCGCCCAGTTCTAGAATCTCGCGAGCCTGTGACAGAGTTTGTGCGGGCGTATCGGCGGAAGGAAAAAGGACATTTTGTTGGAGTAGAGTTCGCTTTGCGCGAGAGAGGACTTCGACAGCGTTGGTGAGCTTCTTTTGGTCGAGGCTTTTGTGAAGCTCGGTGATGAGCGTTTTGAGGTCTGACATTGTGGGTGGAAGGATCGCTTCAAGACAGAATAGTTTCTAAAATTCAGGGAGAAGCAGATATGGTGAATATTAAGTTGTCCCTAGGACTTTCGCTGATTCAGAGCTTGATGATGATGTGTCGTGGTGTTGTCAAGGTATGGAAGCTGTCGCCAACAAGCTCCAGATGACGGGTGAAGCACGTGATCCGTGTCAGTTCTTAAAGCAGCAACACTTCTACAGGGTTCCACTTTAGGTCTAAATTCTAATCTCACCTACAAAGTACAACAGAGATTCGATTTTAGTACACTGTTGCATGATTATCACAAAAATTGTGAGGTTCACTAGAGAGGCATATATTTCAAGTCTTACCGTAGCGCAACCCTTAATGTGTGCAGCTCTGCTGTACAGTAACTAACTAGCTCATTATCGGAAGGCTGGTGTTATCACCTATGGTGCTGTTAAGCCTGTGCATAAGAACATTGGCCTGAGAAAGGGGCTGCGTTGGTATTGTCAGATATATTTAACATCTGTTCGCTTAATTTACTCAACCTCGTCTAAACTCAAATATTCATGGAGCATCACTCAGGCTCATTGATGACCAGTTCGATGGTATGATTCCTGTCCATAGTGACATCCAATTGGAGCTTCAAATATTTGAGCAATGAGGTTGCCAGACTGTTGCTGAAGCTCCAAGCAGCTCTATTAAAGAGTACAAGCTTCTCTCAACGAACAGTCCAAGCAGACACGTGTGGCGAGGGCTTTCGGGCCTGTGTGCGTACCGAAAACAGCTGCCACCTCCTGAACAACAGTTATCACATCGCTTGAGCAAACGTTTCGCGTTTTTTGAGTAATCTGAACCGATCGAGGATATCCTCAACATACATATCGAAGGGCGTAAGAGTCAATTTTGCGATAACCACGGGCGTAGCTTTCATTTCTGGTACGCTGCGTGAGCTCAATGCTAGACCATGAGAATCTTGGGATCATCACTCACTAGCACCAGGCTTGAAGAACACTTCGGCAATATGCTGAAAAAAATCAAGAAGGTCCCCACACAATCTTACCATAGAATCCTGTAATCGCAGATTCGTGGCACCGTCGTCTTTCAGTGACTTGAAAAGCTCTTCGTACTGTGGCAATGGCAACACCACGGAGCACCTGCAGATAAATTCACAGACCTTTTCAGAAAAAGGTCACAAAATTACTAGCCAGCTAAAATATTGTAGAACTATCAGTCACAAGACTTACCGCATCAGAGTATATTCAAAAATACCCGGAGAACGAGACGAAAAGCACCCCAAGCGATGTTTGCCCACTGTGGATTTGGGCCACAGACAATCTCAATTACACTGAAATAGGGAGTTAATCCATCACAAAAGCTTCTGATTTCTGCGTGAAAATCTTTCCTTCCCTCGTGTTCTTCGGCAAAACAGCGAATTTAGAGACATGAACTAGTAACTCTCGGAAGATGAGCAAGATGAAAACCGAACCCGTTCATCGTTCGGAAGTGCGTTCAGAAAATCCGTCTTTGCTCGAGTAAAGAGGACGTTGCAGCGGTCCGCCAACAGCGAAAAAAAAAAAATTCAGGAACATAATAGCAATTTCCTGACGAGCTGGAGGTAGGAAAGGCGCTGTCCAGTCAGTCCTTTAGAACAACGACGGAGGGAAGGTTGCTCTCGCCTCAGTCTCCTTTTTCCATTCGCACTTTGCATCCTCGCCAAATCTTTGGTATAGAGATTTGTACAAGGGATTGATGTTCTCCAAAGAACAAGGAAAGCTTCCACCGAGTTTTCAAATGTAGGTATGTGGTTGTAGAAATGCACCGCCCCAGCACGGAGCCAGGAGCCTTACCTGGTGTCAGCTCTGGGCTGTCACGAATCATTCAGCACTTGCTAAATAAGAGCCGCCTAAGTCGAGAGCCACGCGGCTGATTAATATCAATATGGTGTACCCAGAGACTAGTTTGAAGATGAGCAAAAATCTATGGCAAAGGAAAATTCCACAGGTGCTCTCTTTATAACTTAACGTAAACTAAAGCGCGCACGTCAATATCAATACATTTTCGTATTGTATACCTCATGCCCTACAAGCATGAACAGACTGCCGTCTTTGATCTAATAATACCAATAACAAAAACCTTATGCCTCCAAAGCAAGCCGAGACAAGGCATCAAAAAGAGGCGTCCCCAAACCAGTGGCCGGATCCCATCCAGGAGTAGCATTCCAGCTGGCATGAGGAACGTACGGTGTCGTTTCACCAGATCGAGATTTTTTGCCGGTGCAACCAGTTGAGCCGCCGTCTACGATATCTGTAAAACCCGAGCCATTCAGTGCGTACAGCCATGGATTCAAGAACCCGAGGCTGGTTTGATTGTTCGCTAGTCTGACCGAGTTCAGGTCTGAAACGATTGCTGCGAAAGTTGGTGCGGAGGCGCTAAACAAATTAGCATACCCAGAATAATTGTATGAAATGGTATACTAACCTGGTTCCGTCCACTTGGATGAAACTACCGTGATCTCGCACAACATAAGCATGAGCCTGGGCAGACACATCGGGGAATCCTCGTCCCTCTGGGTTGTAGAGGTCCTGCCAGCGATCACCGAGAACAGACAGATAAGAGGTAACAGCTTTTTCTTGATACGACGGACGAGCAAAGCGCTCTGAAAACCCTCCAGAAGAGAAAGGAACTGCTCGCTCTGGATTGATCCGGTATGTTCCCCCGACAGAAGTGACAAATGGACAGGAAGCGGGATAGATAGGATTGAATCTTGTTCTATTAGTACCATCGTTTGTGAGACAAGCCTGACCGACTCCTTCATCTCCACTGCTGAAGATGATTGACACGCCTCGAGCTCCAAGTTGAGCAAATAGACCACATGTAGTGTTTGTATACGACTCTGGAAGAGTTTGTTCGTTTTCACCATATGAGGTAGATAAAACTGCTGGTAATTCTTCATCTGGAAGATCCAACAAGTAGTGAAGCTGCTCCAAATAAGGTTCGTTGGACGAAGCATTCGGGTCAGGCTGGCTCAGGTCAGGAACTAGGGGACCACGACCTCCTGTGGTGAAGAAGATCGTTGGCACATGGTAGGACAAAGAAATACCGTATTGAATGTCAAGAGAGGCCTCGACGCTGTCGGCATTTGAATCCTGATCGTTCAACCCTCCATTGATTTCATGGACAGTGAAATTAGCACCCGCGGCCTTTGATGCGTATTGTTCCAAAAATGCCTCCAGGTCATCGTATCTCGCATATTGCTCTAGGTAACCCGAAATGCCTAGCTTGTTGCGGGGATCTGGATTTGCAACAAAGTCCCCTAGTTTATACAGTTCTCGAAGACAATCCGGCGTAATAGACACGTTGCAATCAACTTGCGTAACCACTGCAATTTCTCGTTGATCGTAAACAAAGCTCTTATGAGCCTTGTTTCGCCCGAAATGCGTCGTTGGTTGGATGAGCTTGATATGTTGATAGATCTTGCTGGGTACCGAGTACTGTAGAGTGCGCACTCGAAACACGGTCGTGTCTTCATCGTGGAATATATAAAATGTGGTGTTCAGCATCCTCTCTGCTTGTTTCAGCGGAACAATAAACTTGGCCCAATCGCTGTCTATCTCCATCAAGTCCTCCGATATACCCTCTGACCTTAGCCATGATACGACGGCATTCGAAACATCAGCGGAAGGTTGCATGAAGGCCTTGACGTCGTCACGTTTCATGTGTTTGCCGTACAACTCGTGGCCGGGTGTTGCAATGTTAATCGCGTGTTGTTCAAACTCGCCGGCTCGTGGTTGAGTCATGGCAAGACGAAATTGCATTAGCATCGAGGGTGACGGTCTCGGGCCTTGCACCCATCCGTCTGGGACTCTTTGTAGCTGCTCGACGACTTCATGTTGTGTTGTGTCTGCCGCCGTTACTATTGCCGGAGTAGACAACAGAGCCAGAGCTCCGAGGAATAATGAATACAGATACATTTCACATACAATAATGAGTGAATGACCTTCTGTATAGTAATGGAAGAGAGGACGTGAGAGAGAGAAAAGAGGAAACAGGCTACATTTAGCGGAAGGCAGTCGCTTGAGGCAGGGTTGTGACTTCCGCCGAGTGTTGTTCTTATCCCTTCGATGTGAAGAATGGGCCAAGCAGATTGCTCTGAAGACTGACTGGTGACACAGATTTGCACTCAGGCGACTTGATAATCTCGATATTTGCACAACTGTATGCCTGTTTCACCGAGCATTTGTCCTGGGTACGGCCATGTCTTTAAGACAATGGCAGGTTGCCAAACACCGCACTGTGATGGTGTAAGTCTGATTGACCTGCCCACATATAAAATCAAGGAAGGCTTGAAGTAGCTTGCTTGTGTCCACTGTCAGCTCGGTAGTGGAGTCTTGTTAAGCATTCCTTGCACCGAGCTGCAAGGAGCGGTTGTGTTTCGGGGCATTGCAGAGTCGTTTCAAACTTGGCCATTGTGCTCTGTATCGAGATCGATTGGTGTGTCTGCACTATCTTGAGGCTTGTATGTCTACACAACGTGACAATGAACGCTTGAGTAAGAGTAAGTGCAACTATTCAGACAATTTCAGTCTGTTCTTCGTAAGACATGTGCTAAAGAGCTAGTCCCGAAAGGGACACATGCTTCCGACGCTCTGATTGGTCAGTCTGCGGCTCGACGTCACTTTTGGCTTCAAAAGATTCTTTTTTATTTTTGATATATATTGTATCTTCCGTGTAATTGATAAGTATCATTATCTATCAGAATATACAATTGAAGAAACTGCTGACGGCAATCAACTATAGCTGGCGTCTCCTGACGAACGATATCTCGTCGTATCTTCCAGAGCTCCCCCGCAACGAACGGATCGTACCCTCATACGATTCAGTCACTTGACTTGTCTGTGATCGACATAAATACTGAACTCGTCCTAATCATCAATATTCTTCCATCGAACATACAAACACTCGTCCTATCGATTCAACCTTCTTATCACTATCGAACACTTCTCTGTTCGCGGTCTGATACTGTGGACTCGACGTCATCAATACATTTGTCCCGGACTTTGACGACGAGGAGTCCATCTCCGAACCTTTTTATAAGCACAACATATCAGACAACAATCAATACATCTCCAACTTTGAAATCAAGGATAATGGCGGATATTGCACGTCTGACAGAAAACCTCCCTCCGGAGACGAAAGAGGAGATTGCAAAGAACGACCTGCCTCTAAAAGATCGATTCTTTCGTTACTTTCAGCAGGAAATAACTGGTATTTCTTGGAATCATTTCTCTAGAGTTTATAGACTAACAAGTCGCAGCTTTACAGGAACAGATGGCTCGGCTTGCAGATACTTCGATAGTAGCCGGTGAACGCTCTGATGCAACCGATCACTGTCTAGCCGGTATTGCCAGACTATCTAATGAAGTCAAGGATGCATCCAGCTATATCCCCACCTACGATCAACGTATCTACGCCGAAGTATGTTTATCCAATCCTTTGCTGACATTCATTTGAATCTGACTATGTTTATAGGCAATCAAAGCCCTACAAGACAAACTCTCAGAGACCCGGGCAGCAGTTCAGCCCCGAGCAAAATTCTCATTCAAAACAAAGAAGAATCCCTCTGCAATCTCCCTCTCTGACGCAGCCGAAATTGCTGCTCAGGGTCGTCGTATCATTCCAGGCTACTTGTCTCCAGAAGTATCCTCCCAGGACTCTTCCCGGAATCCCACACCCCTCTACTCCTCCACACCAGTCAACGAAGTCGAAACCCTTCAACTCCGGCCCGAAATAGCACCTACTTCATCCCCAGCCATCCTCGACGAAGGAAAAGATACATCCGCCCTCGAAAAAAAATCAAACAACATTCGCCGTCCCACATTCTCAAACGCCTCATCCGTCTCAGTCGATCAGCACTACGGCCTACACATCATGTTACCAGCATCAGCATCCAGCGCTTCTGTACCCGCATCAATCACCTCTCTACGTCACTGTGTAGTCGACATGTCGATTCCGACTACAGACGGAAAACCATACGCCAGCTTGACCGTCAACGGCGTAAAGGAGTCTTTGATTATCTGTGGACAGGTCGATGGACCGGCTCACGTCACTGGTGTAGAGCACAGTACCATCGTGCTCTCGTGTCGGCAATTCCGTATGCACAACTGCACGGATGTGGATGTTTATTTGAGTTGTACTAGTAACCCCATAATTGAGGACTGTACACGGATCCGTTTTAGTAGGATTCCAAAGACATACGTGTGTCCCCCGCCTTTTCCCCCCCCTCCAAAATATTCACAATCTGATTAATGGTAGGCACTGGATCAAAACCATCCCGATGGAACCGACAAATGGAACCAAGTCGAAGACTTCAAATGGATCAAACCCGAACAAAGTCCCAATTGGAGTATTCTAGATCCTAACGATGCTGTATCAGATGAGATATGGGCCGAAATGGTTCCAGGCGGACCTTGTTGGTCATTGGAGGATATTTTGAGGGCTACGAAGGTTATGAGGGAGTAATTCAGTTATATTTTACGTCAGAAGGGAAAAGGGGGAAAGGAAAATCCTGAATTGAGTTCAGTTTGCTGAGTTCTCTCCAAATGTTCTGGAGTATACGATAGTCCGGCGTATAAGGCATTGTTGTTATTGTTGATATTCTTTTCTCTTACTTGTGCTAGTTCCACAAATGTACTTAATAGTCTTAATATTATCGTGAACTATTCCAATTCCTTCTCCATCACTCATCCTCCACCTTTTCAACTTTTAACAACCTCGTCCATACCTAGCTAGATATTTATATCCGAGAGGAAGGGAAAAAGTATATTATATAAACATATACACATATGTAGAAAAGAGCATAAAAAATTATTTCTTCTAAAACAACCCCAAAAGATCATCATTCGTCTTTTTACCTCCAGCAGGTGGTGGCGGTGATGTCGGATTACCATTCGCATTCAAACTCTGAAATCCATTCATCAAATCATCATCACCGAATCCTCCACCTGTGGTACTACCACCAAAACCGCCTAGAGCAGCGAAATTAGAACTACCACCGGCATTATTATTGGTACTATCGTTACCGAATACTCCGAGTAAATCGTCGAGATTATTGCTTTGTTGTGCCGTGGTAGCTGGAGATTCAGTTCGGACTGGTGTCCCCGCTAATCCCTCTAGACCTGACATGCCGCTCGGAGGCTCCTTTTGTGCTGATGCGGGAGCGGAGCCGTCAAAATCGATGTCTAGTAGATTCTCGGCATTGGCTTGCGATTGAGATGGGGGTGTTGCGCCTGAGACTGCTGCGGCGGCGGCGGCTGCTGCTAATGGGTTCTCGCGCGCGTTTTGCAGTTGTTCCCTAGTAGAATTATATTAGCTATCGTCGTTCATATTTTGGAGGTGTTGGGACATACTCAATAGCAGCTCGTTGGACAGCGTCTGCGCCAAAGCGTCCCTGACCCACAAACTGTTCGGGCGGTTTGTGGTAAACCGAAGCCAAGGTCGACATTTCTTCAAGCAACTGATCTAGTAGTGCCGGTGGTAAGGATTGGATAGTGGTCGTGATAGGTGGCTTTTGAGACAAAACGACATTCTTAGCTGCATTGGGATCGGTCGTGTTTGATAACAGTCGCCAATAAACATATGCTCGATCGCGAATATCCGGATTATCGTTTTCTTTGGTAGCGGCTTGAAGGACTTTCTGAACTAGACCTTGAGCTTTCTCAGGACGCTTGAGGAAAAGTTTGACGACTGCTGTAAGGATTTGTAATTGTGTCTGCACAGCTGTTAGTTTTTATTGACCTGAAGGTATAGGTCGACTTACTTGGGTAAATTCCTCATTGAAACCCTCCACAAATCCGGCCAAGATATCACCAGCATTGCTGATCTTTTCCGCATACTCGCCAACAATCCATATCAAAGCAGCTCGAGCATTAGGCTCGTCCAACTCGTCAATGCACTTGCACAACGTCGGGATAATATTTTCATAGCCGGGGTATTTTCGGAAAATGTCACGAATGACAACGATAGCTTCCTGCACCACGTAGTTGACCTTGGTGTTGATCAAGTCGAGAAGAGTATTGACACATCTCTCGCTAGAACTCTCAATCTTGATGGCTGTTTGACCGATAGCTCTGACGGCCCTTCTCACAAAGTCCATATCGACTTCGAGAGCATATTCTCTGAGCTCGGCCAAAAGTTGATCAACATTCTTTTCGTTTGCTATCCGGACCATGATTTCCAGTTTTTGAAACTTAACATAGGGTGGATCGTTGTATTTGCAAAAGAAAACACGGAGCTCTTTGTTGAGAATGTCTGGTTGCTTCTGAAGAAGCAGATCAATGTTCCGTAGAGCGACGTACTGAACTTCGGGTGCCGATGAAACCAAAGTCACCAATGGAGGTGCCATTTTCTTCAAGTACGAGGCGGCGAGTTCCGCGTTAATATACCGCATGTGCAAAAAAACAACCTTGACTGCGGCTAGAACAACACTAGCATTCACATGCTGGAACTGTGGGACCACCCTCTCGCAAATGTGCTCAGCGTCCTTGACATCGGTGGTTTTGAATTCAGCCAGCGAGTTAAGAATCGTAACTCGACCCCATTCCGTACACTCGTTCAAGGCCATGAGCAATTTGCGAAGCGTGTTCGAGTTGATTTCCAACGCCCTTGTTTCCGGCGCCGTTTCCGCAATTTCGGCCAAAGCAGTCACTGAATTCGCAACAACCATAGGGTTCGGATCTCCGATCAATTCCTGCAAAGTCTCCAGAAAACCATTCTCAAGACACATGGCTCGATTCAAATCGAAAAGTTTGGCCACACAGATAGCCGCTGTCTTTCGAACGTAGGGCGATTCATCTTTTAGAGTCTTCCTCAATGGCTCTTCCATGTAATCCACCATTTTGTCAACTCGAATACATCCCATTGTTCGGATAGCGAGCGCTCGAATAAGAGGATTTGGATCTTCGGAGTCTTGAACAAAGGTGTTCACGGCCAGAATGCAAAGATCGGGATGCGATTTGGCATAATTCCTGGGATACAAAATTTAGTCGTGGGTAGTCGAATAGGACAATGATATTCTCACATTAAATAAAGGTATACAAGCTTTTTCTGGTCGAGATCCGTGGTCGCAATGTTCTTCAAAACGTCTGGGAATAGGGCAGAAACGTCTTTACCCAACGTCATCGCCATAATGGTCCTTTGAATGGCGTCTTTCCTGCAATCGGGTCAGCGTTCCGTCTTTAGGGCGATGCAAATCGTCTGTACCTTTCATATGCATATTGGGAACTATGGACAAGAACATGTTAGCATTGAATCAAGGCAATTTGGTAGACTTGCATACACTAATCCAGCTCTCAATTCAAACGTCTCTCCTTTCCTGGGCACCGCGAAGGCGCTCCGTAATCGATTGACCGCCATATCAGAGAGAGTAGAGCTTCAGCAGCGACGGTGTCGCGCCTCCGCAATAGCAAGTAACTCAAAGAAAAAGCGCGATGGTGAAGTTGAGTGTGAGCGCGGGGTGATCACAGTTCCCGAACGATTGGCTGGTAGAAGTCGGAACACGTGCTGTGTAGTGTCGAGGGAGGGAAACCCTGCTTCGAGCCTGTCGATTTTGGGAAATTATAACAAGTGGGACATCGAAGTGGTGGCTATGGACACGATGTATGTGGTAGATTGAAGTAAAAGTGTTCTCCCCTAATGTACACAAGTCAACTATGAAGCGTGCTAAGTCCGTGATGGCCAGAAGCACTCCACTTGCCGTCTTGCTCACCGCCGAGCCGCCCCCCTAAGATAACAACTACAACTTCTTTAGTTGTTCAGAGTTTGCAACGGCATATCGGTCATGGTGAGTTATTTTATATCATATCTTATTGTTGTCTTTACCTAACAAGCACAGGCAAATCTTCCCAACCTGCGACGTCTATTTGTGGAAGCTCGTACAGAAGCGGAGGAGAATGAGTACTCGAGGACTGCTGTAGGGCTATCTAAACAAATCGAGCATTCATATACTAATACTTTACAGTTCTACAATCTAGTCCTGTTCATCTCCTCAGTCGCAGTCTTCAGTATAGTTGCGCAACGAATCAGCGGAGGAAAAGGCCCAAAGTGAAAGGAGGAAAAATAGCTGCATACACTGAATATGTCTGACTATTATTAACACAATTACAATGGACGAAAGAATCAGTTCATATAGTACCGACACGATGCATCAATCGGTTTCTTCTCCATCGTCAGAAAGAAATGCCAGACTTTGACGACCTTTCATCAACCGTCTTCGAGGTCTCCCTTCAGATCCGCTCTCATCCTGTCCCCTTCCTGTCCCCCATCTGGAAGCACCCTCCTTGACAGCCTCTAAGTCCGCCTGAAGCTCCCTTTCCTCTCGGATTTGCCGAGCTTTCTCAAGGGAATAGCGACCCTTCATACCCGCCTCTTCCAGCATCTTCTTCAAACGTTTAATCTTCGCCTTCGGGGTATCATACGGCGCCAATTCGCGTGCCCACATCTTCCGAATACCACATCTTATGAGCCATCCTTGCAAACGCTTGATTTCCGCTTGATCTGGATCTGAGTCGGTAGTTGGTTTTGACGTGGTCTTTGGATTTCGCGCTTTTGGTGCGGTCGCTGCTTTCTTGGGTCGTTGTTTCTTTGGTGGTTCCTCGTCAAGTAATACCGACATTTCACTCTCGGATTGTTCGCCTCTTTCAGCCGCTGCTTCTTCGCTAGGAGGTTGTGGGGAAGCACTTTTGGCTTCTTTTCCTTCGACTTCTTCGTCTTCCACTGGCTGAGCAGTCGTCTCTCGTGATTCTACCTCACTGCTGACTTTTCGGCGCTTCTTCTTTGCGGATGTGTTTTCCTCTGATTCCCGCTTGACTGCCTTTTTCATCTTTGATTTCGGTGGCTCAGGTGACGGTGCGGGAGATTTGTGGGTTTCTTCATGTTCTCGCGCTTCTTCCTGTCTTTCCTACAAACATATCAACCATTGTCCATCCGTGCCTTGGGAGTAAATAGTCGCAAACATACAGCTTCCTCTTTAATTATCCGTTCACTCCTAACCTTCCAATCTCCACGTGTCTTGAAGAATCCCTCATCCAAACCCAATGCAGACTCCGTCGCTAATCGTATGCGCTTGACTGTCAATTCTTCTAATTTCCCCGTTCGAAAGATATTCGCGACAGTATCTCGTAATGCTTCCTCTAAACGGTCATCTGGAGGTATCGAGTTCGACGAACTGTTTGCTTCGCCGTCCGAGGACTCTTCTATTATTGGTCTTCGAGGCATTGTAAAGTCGTGTCGTATCTATACTATTCGCGCAGGTATTGTATCGGTGCATGTAATCGTTACTTCATGAAATCGTCGTGATTGCACGCATACAAGTCAATTAGTCGCACTCGCAGTATATTGGTTGTTTCGCACGCGTCAATCAAGATAGAGATATCGCGTCGTGATGCTTGAGATGCAAGCTTCTAGCTATGATCTTCCCCGTTTAGGCTTTAGTGCAGCCGGAGCTAATGCGGGCCGAGCGCGGAGACTTTTTGATGGTTGACAGGATATCGAAGTATTAATAATAATCTCTTTATATCCAGTCTTCTTTCTGTTTTTTCATCACATATGAATTCCAGGTTCTTCGGAACTGTTGACTTATTTTGTGGATTTTTGTACCATATCGACGCATCCGTCATCATTTATCTATCATACCGCAATTGATCCGGATAGAGACAGTGGGAAGAAGAAAACGGGCAAACAAGCATCATGAATGCCACAGCAGGATCCAGCGGGTCAAATACACTTAGTGACGGCCAGAAGTTACCACCAGGAGTAGTACTGGACAAAGACGGCAAGCCGTATGTGATCCCTCCATCCTGTCTACATCAGTAGCTCGACTTACATACAACATATAGATGCCGAACATGCACCTCAGCGGCCTCCTGGCGCGCAATGCTCAAACAAGCCTCATCTTCAGGTGGAATAGCAGCTGGGGCTGCTGCCGCCACATCAACAACATCAATACCCCCTCCCCCACCGCCAACACAAACCGACTGCCCCCCCGACGTCGAAGAACTCGGCCGCTCAACCTGGACATTCCTACACACCCTAACAGCAACCTACCCAACAACCGCGTCCACCGAAAAACAAACCCAAATGCGTTCCTTTCTCGGTCTATTCTCAAATCTATATCCATGCTGGGCATGCGCGGAAGATTTTCGGAATTGGATGGCCGACCCGTCGGGGAAGAATGAGCCGCGGTTGTCGAGTAGGGCGGAGTTTGGGCAGTGGATGTGTGAGGCTCATAATGCTGTGAATCGGAAGTTGGGGAAGAAGGAGTTTGATTGTAGATTTTGGGAGGAGAGGTGGAGGACTGGGTGGAAGGATGGGAGGTGTGATTGATCTGTTCAACTCTTTACCCATGCTTGGGGTCGGGGTCGGAAGTGTAATATAATCTCTTCTCATGATTGTACATATATACGCTTGCTACGAATTAGATAAACTGTATATCAGAATTCATGTTCATATTTGGCGCGCATGAAAGGAAACCTCACTCACTCCGAATCTCCCGTCTCCTATCTTCCAAGGTTGTATTGAGAAACACTTTTTGCCATAAGAAAGAATGCGCCTCTTTTAGGTCAACAAGGAAAAGAATTATATAATAGTGCAATAGAATAAAGGCAAGAGAAAAGTCTGGCATTACATGCCCTTCATAACGTCTTTACATTGATTCCGCCACAAAAAAAATACCCAAATCAATAATGCAAAACAAGGAAAATTTAAAGACCAGACACGAAAAGTCGGAGACCACTTGCAGGTGCGCCAATCTCGGTAACCTCTGCAATGCGATCTACAGATCCCTTATATTGTTCGTGATACTTGGCGCCGGTATAAGGATCAGATACACTTGGCGAACCGCTGTAGATTGGTGTGTATGATGCTGCGCAAATCTCGAAATCTGCGAATTGGTCAAAGTCAACTTCGATCTTGTCGTGGGGGTTGCGCTCGCATTGGGCTTTGATCTTCTTGGCCTGTGACGTTATATATTAGTATGATGAAGTCTCACATGTATCAAAATCAGTAACTTACCTGCTCTAGCAACTTGGCAGAGCCACCGTTGGCAATCATTCGGTTGGCAAAGCTCAGGGCGGATGAGTAATTCTTATTTTGGAATGCCAATTTCATAGCAGCCATCAAGGCTAGTTGTCGATGGGTAACCTCCAGTTTGGGAATGGTAAAGTATGCGGAAAGTTCAAGAGCTCGCTTGAGGTCTTCGGGCTTATCGGTAGGTGTAGCACGACGTTCAAGCTCAATGGACATTGCGAGGATATATTCCCTGGCAGTTGCAATGATCTTCTTTGCTTGCTCCACCTCACTTTCGGACGAAACAACATTAACGAGCAGAGTGTGTAAGATACGTTTGAAGATCTTGACACCCTCTTCAAGTTTATTAGATCGCATTGCTGCATAACCTTCTTGCAGGTCCACGTTGGCAATGGTTTCGAGGTCTCGAGGAATGATGGGGAGAAACTTGCGAGAGTCCGTCTCGTCTACTGTTCTGCGGACGTAGTTCACCAATGGAGGTAACCCAGTAGAAGCAGGCAGATATGTTCGTGATGCGGTGTAGATCTCTAGGAATCTTGATTTTAGAGGGGCGAAGTTCACAGCACCCACTTGGCGATTGAGAAGTTGCATAGCGGTGTCAAAGGAACCCGCCGCAACATGATCTGCAGCCAATGGAGAGTTTCGAGCCCATAGATCTGCTTCTGAAATCGATGCTCCGGCATCTGCACTCTCGACATTGACAAAGTCATTCTCTTCTTCAACATTAATCTCATCACCCATGTCCCAGCCAGCGACGTCTTCTTCCTCTTCCTCGAGAATATCCTGGCCTGCTGCCACGATGTCCTCCTCTTCCTCAACATCCAATGCTGTCTCGTCTTCGGCTCCACCAACGTCACCAAGAAGCGCCTTCTCGAAAGCGGAATGCCCAGCAGCCTTAGTAGGCCAGTTTGCTTTGTATGTAGGGACAATGGGGACAGGAGTCTGCTGAGATTCGCCGATAGTAGGTAATTTAATCTGATCTTCAGTAAGACCGCAAGTCTCAAGAATTGACTCTGCTTCTTCAGTCAATCCATGAGCTTTAGCAGTAACATAGGCGAGAGGATCTGCATTAGTTAGTATTGGTCACCCGTAATAAGTGCTTGATCAACTTACAAAGATCAACTTCCTTGAACATCTCGATCCTATCTTCAACGTCGCCTCTATAAATTGCATTCTGGAAGCGAGAAGTAAAGTCATTTCTGTGAGTGGCGATTTTGGCCATTCTTGAAAGTTTTTCCTGGTCTCCTGTCGAAAGGTACAAGAAAGAAAGCTTGTCAAATAGTCGCTGCTTCTGATATGTCATCTCCACGGTCTGGTGGTTACCGTGAGCAAGAGCTTCGGTTGCCAGACGACTCCACAGCTTAGGTCGATCAATTTCCTTCGCAGTCTCGATAGCAACATCCAAATTTCCACATTCAATAGCCAGCTCAAAGCGGGTCTGTGGATCTTGAACGAACTGAAGAGCAATCTCTGGATATCCCTTCTTCTGAAGATATGCAATGATACTCTGACCAACCAAGCTAGATGTCTTGATAAGGTGAAGCATCTCGTCGTAATTCCTCTTCACAAGTGCACTCTTGAAGCGGAATTCCGTGGGGTCAATTTCAAAGATCTGTGGCTTTGCATTGCGGTCTAGACAATAAACATTCCGTCCCTTCACCTTCACAAGGTAGACTGTTTGGTCCAGGGTGCGAATAATACCGTTGTCACCATTCAACAGAGAGAATTTGATGTGGTTCAAGCTGGAGTAATAAAGGATACCCGAATCATCCCAGGTAGCGCTCTTGATACGGATAGTTTCATGGATGGAGCTCAACTGTTGCAGGTTCTTCGTCACAATGGTAACGTTGTGCTTGCTAAGAAGTGCGGCGTGTAGACCGTCGTTTGACCACACAACATATTTGACGCCGGATACAGCAAGTTCGGCCAACTGCTTCTTCTGCTGAATATCAAAAAGGCTGACAGATGTTGGCGTAATGAAAAGGAGAGCACCAGAACCACCGAAATAGATGTCTGTTGTACCAGTCGGTGTCTTGATGGATTTGGTAGTCGAGTTACTCAAATCCTTGATGTCGACGGTTTGGTTGGCTTGGCTGAATACAGCGAAACGGTTCCTGGCAACAAATACAGCCGAATTTCCTTGTCCGCGCAACGAGTTCGTCGGTTCAACAGCACCTGTGCCGTCCCGTGGAAGATGGATAAGCTCATATGTACCGTTTTCGGCAGGCGAGGTCACTAAGATGGCACGCTCGGCAGGATTATAAGAAATTGTTCGCAAAGGAACCCAGGGGGCACCAAGTTTGCGAAGGGAAAGTAGAGGTTGGGATTCGGTATTTTTCGTAAAGTCGTATGATTTCACGTGTTTCTCTTTGGTAACATAGAAAAGCTGGTTCTGGTGAAGAGTATGAGCTGGACGTTCTCTTTCCAACTTGAATACCATCACACCGGTATCGTGGCCAGCAGCGAAGAGATTGATCTTTGGATGAGCAGCGATAATCCAAAATCTGTCGTGGTCGCGCTTGAATGACTGAACCGAGGTACGCTTATTAAGGTCCCAAACACGTATAGTCTTGTCTTCACCGACGGAAAGGATGAGATCTTGGTGAGGATGGAAAATACATGCCGATGCATTCTGGAAGTGGCCACGGCATGTGTCGACTTCCCATGCCTTGGTATCTGGACGGGGTTAGCAAGGTGGCTAGATTCTGGACGTTGTGGACTGACCGCTCATTCTCCAAAGCTTAACTAGTCGATCATCACCGGCTGAAACAATCCTATACACAGGTAAGTGGCTATCTCCTGAAAAGAGCGAGATAAGCTTACAGTGGAAGCGTTGGGTGAAAAGCGCAAAAGTTCACGCCTCGGTCGTGGCCCTCGAGAATAAATTTGACAACGGCATCGGTGTTACCGAACATGTCCGCCTGACTGTTTGCCCTAGCCATCTGATCTTCGAAGCTCATCGAAGTCGGCGCAGAGTGTTTCTTGCGCAAACCGGAAATATCCCACACGCGAACGGACTGGTCGAGGGAGGCGGATACGATGAGGTCTTCCTTGGGGTGGAATTGCGCGCACCACACGTCTAAATACTATTAGCAAATTATACAGATGCGTGAGGAACGCCACTGACAGTGGTTGTGACCGGTCAACGTAGCGATGAGACTCCGGTTTTGCCAATTCCAGATTCGAATTGTTTGATCGTCGGAGCATGACAATATCCTGTATGGTGGTCAGATAGGCTCTTCAAGGACAGAGATTGAGGCTGTACGCACCAAGGTAACTCATGATGGAAAGAAACAGTTCGAACATCTAAACCAGTCAGTACAATTCATACCCGGAATCCTGGTTTACGTACAATCAAGATGCCCTATCGAACGTCAGTAAGCTAGCGTTAATGTTTGAACAATTGTTTAGTAACATACCCGACAGGACGGCAATGCTCTTTCGGCTTTGTAACGACCACAAACGAATCTTATAGTCATCTCCTCCACTAACGAATATATTTTGCGTAGGATGGAAAGCCACTGATCTGACAGGGCCATCATGCTCTTCGAATCGGTCGATCAGTGTACCCATGCGGTAATCCCATAACTGAATTGTGCTGGAATGAAGTGAAACAAGAAGCCATGGTCGTGTCGGGTGGAAAGCAAGTCCTTTAGCCCTGGATGACTTGCTTTCGAACTGTAGCAATGAATACAAGTTAGAACCAGCTCGTCCATTGTATACCTTCGTATCGGAGGGAGGGGAACACTTGCCTTTGTGAGCATTGTAGGAGACGACATCTTCGGAAAGCCGTGCTGCAGAGCAGCGAGCTATACAGGCCAGTCAATGAGTAATCAATGTCAGAAATACGGCATCAATCCGCTCGCGCACGATGCTGAAATGGGAATGAGTGAGCAAGTACGCAATGCGAAGAGAAGAAGCTGAGAGGTATACAACAACAACACAGACATGCCAGCTTTCACTTGTGGTTGCCGTCAGGGAGCGACTAAGCGAGTGGGCCCGACCAATAGAATTAGCGGCAACCTCAATTCAATCAGGGGTTTCACTTCATCACGAACAACAATTGCAACTCTGGACGATGTCCGACTATTATCTTCGTGTATGCTCTACAGTCAGTATGAATTGATTTCACTTTGCAGGGGCACCTGTCCTCGATCATCCGATAAGCTCTCTGGCTATTAGTGACTTGTCCGCACGATAAATTCCACGATGCGTGCCCCGCATTACTCTCCTCCACCTACGTCGTCAGTGTGAACCGCCAGAAAATCGAACTTTTCTGGGAGCGACATCCTCGCCGATTAATGCTCTATCCAGAACAGAGCATGGGAAAAAGACCGCTGACAAGAACTGCTTCGGTTGCTTCTGGCTCGTCATGTCCTGGTGGTCGCCGGCCCGGGCCTCCGCCCAAAAGAACTTTCGTTCCATCCACAGAAGACCCGATTGACCACGGTAGAAATTTTACAAACGACTCGAAAGAAGAAAATATTTACTATGGAGATATATCACCGGAGGATGCCATGGCCCAGGATGCCGGGTACGAGGCGGACGTGGAGATTGTCAGACCTTATGCTATTGAGGAGCCCGACGAAGAGACAGATCAGACTCCTACATCGACCACTACACCAAAACTGCTAGAGTCAACGGAGCAATGGCAGAAGGAATTGCTGAATTCTTTACGGGGTCTTTATTGCGACTCGGATAGCACAGATACGCCTCCACTAGTCAGACACAAACGCGGCAGAAAAAGAAAGACGGATTTCTCGATGACTGCGTATCCAGATTTTCATAGTCCTCCGCAACCTGTAAGGGACTGGGATGCTGATATGGGAGGAGGAAATATTCTACTGAGCCCCAAGAGGCGGCGGAGAAAGAGTGCGAGGTCGGGTGAAGACATTGGAGTGTCTCACGGCAGTCTTTTGTCTAGTGAGTATGCGAGCACGACCTCTAGTCCGCCGTACTTGTCTCCGATCAATCATGAAAATGAGAGACCGGTTTTGAAAAGAGAATTGTCTGCGAAGGATCGAATGGATATTGATTGAGCGTTCCTATGTTCTGAGCTGCATTTTCATATCTTGTTACTTGTGGATTTGCTTACGCTGGGCGTAGGCTAGACTTTGGATTTGTCTTGCTAGACTCAACTACTACCTAATTGAAGGATTTTGGGATGCCCTTATAAGCATTTGGCGTCCCCCTTTGTCCATAGAAAGTGCGGATGAGGACATCTGGAATCCAGAACATTCTCAAAGGCGCACCTAGGCCCTTAGAGGCCTCTGTATATTCACCCAGGATCGATTCAGTCAAGTGGTTGACGTCGAATGCTGAATAAACGGATTATATAAGCTCGGGGAAGCTCTCCCCCAGTTGTGACGTCAGCTACCTATCATCTTAAATCGAACCGTTGCGTGAGACCCCGAGTAAACCTTCTACCAACATCAACGAGAATATTGCCATCAATTGAAGGTACGTCGCTGGCACGAGATGTAGCAGATACGGAATAATGTTTCTAACATTCTCCAGGAGAGTTCCCATCAGATTGCAGATCCCCCAACAGTACGTTATCATGCCAGCTAGAGCATCGACACGTCAAGCGGCCGTCAAGGCCAATAAAGCGTTTAGTCAGGGCGCTGGTGCAAAGCGCAGAGGATCTAGTTCGAGCCAGATACCACCAAAGAAGGGAAAGAAGGACGTCAAGCCCAATGAGGGAAACAATTACCAGAAGCCTTCTGTGACCGAGGAGGGACAGGAGATTAAACCCAGCGAAGACCCCACCAAGGCACAAGCTACAGTCAACGAGCAACCTACTGAGGCTCCGTCTAAGAAAGTTGGCGAACCAGCGCAGGAGGATGGTGTGAAGGAAGTAGAACAGAGAGAAGAGCCGGAAAAGGGTGCCAATGGTAAAGATTTGTCTCCAAACTATAAGAATAGGGCTAACAATCCATATAGGTACAGCTACAGCCGAAGAAGAGAAAAGGGAACAACCAGCAACGACAGAATCACAGACCGGTATCAGAGTATCACCAGAACGAGAAGCCGCGCTTCCATCCAGCATCCTTGAGAAAGGAATCATTTATTTCTTCTTCCGTCCTCGCGTGAATGTGGAAGATCCTCATAGCCTCAGCGACGTTGCGCGCAGTTTTTTCGTTCTACGGCCAACGCCCAAAGGAGCAAGACTCGAAGATGGACCCATTGCAGACGATTCGGTCAATTGTCGACTGCTGATGCTTCCCAAGAAGAGATATCCCGCTTCAGGGAGAGAGCGGGATATGGGTTTTGTTGAGAAAGCGCGCGTTCCATTGAAGACAATCCGTGAGAGTTTGATGACGAAAGAGACTTATGAAACAAAGACTCGCGGAGAGCGCACGACGCCAGAGGCGCGGCCGTATGCTGAGGGTGTATATGCATTGGTTAAGGAAGGCCGAAACTCTCACCTGGCCTATATCCTGACAATCCCACGGCATCTGGGCGATGTTCAGAGCGATTTCGGTATTCAAGGTCGTGGTAGCTTTATCATGCAGTCGAAGAATCCTGAGTACCCTGGTCCAGCTAGTGCTCAGCTGCCAAAGGGGCCCGAATACCCAGAGAAGTAGGCTCATCCCTTCAATGTTTTTAAGACTGATATAGACTAACAATACATTCTCCATAGAGTTCAAGAGAAGTTCAAAGGCTATCGCTGGATACCCACTGAGCCCGAATTTCTAGATTACCAGAATGCTCAATTCCTCATGATAGGTGAAGCTCATGGTCATCTTGGAAAAGCAGGGGAAGCCCATATCGACGACAAAGGCACGAAGGAAGATCCTGCCCAGGAGCTTGATCGGTTAGAGGAGGAGAATGAAGAGAGAGTTAATTCTCTATCTGGTAAGATTTCTCTGCCAACATATTTTTCTTCTCCCCAAGCATGCACTGATAATTGCTTTTAGGTGATCATTCCATCTTCCAAGATCTAGGTGCCGATGCGGAGAAATATGAGAGCTTGCCTGCAGAGTGGGAGTAAGGGCATGATATCCTTGACTCCCCTAAGTTGTAATAATAAAATCTGTCTTTCTGTTGTATCAGTGGAAGAAACAAACTGTGAATGGAACGTGCAACTTTCAAATATTGTGACTATCTACGTAATTAATTCAGCTCCATGCCCTATATGTACACTGCTGCATGCAGATCCTTAAATATGTATATGAGTCACAACAAGTGGACGAATAAGCATTTACAAACCACGTATATGAACATGGTAGTCTGAGATCTAGAAGCAAAGCAGATTTTATACCTGTTTGAGGTCGCATTTTAGTGCTCTGTAGCCTACCAGCGCCCCGCGCGTAGGACGAAAACCCTAAGGCGAATAATATTTGCTTAGAGGGGTGGGAAACAATATTGATTCGCCACACCAGCAAGCACGCATATACTAATCCGTATGTAAAAGAATACGCCTCTGTCTGATATCAATAAAAATTCAGTTAGAGGAAAAAGAAAAAAATCGTGCTATAAATACTTTTTCCTTCAGCTTGACTTGTATTAGCCTAGTGTAGTCGATGGAACTCTAGCATAAGCATTTTGCTCACAACAAAAGAGAGCGAGATAGCAAGACAAAATGCCATCGTCTATACCTCTACCCCGTGAAGCCATAAAGCTATTCAAACCAGGCTATGCTCATCTTCTGAACCTCCTCCAAAACTCATTGGGCCTCGATCCTCTGACGCTGGTGAATACCGGCCTGCTTCTTGCTGGCATTTTCACTTTTCTGCGCTACCTCTTCACCCGCGTCATTGTCTTATGGGTAACGGTGCGAATCAACGACGATGATCAACTATACGATAGCCTGATGAGGTGGATGTCTGACCACCAATTCATGAACCGCCAATTTCGAAGCGTCAAAGCCATCAGTGCTTCTAAGAGTACATGGGAAGATGAGGAAGAGGCACTCAAATCAATGATTCGCAACGGCAACAAAAATATCCTAACCGAGCCCGATCCCAACAATCTGATTAGCTATCGAACTATTGTCGGAAGATCACCAATAAGTCTACAGCCGTTCCAGGGAACGCATCTTTTCCGTCGTCATGGGAGTTGGATCCTTTTCCAACATTTAGTCAAACGAGGCAGTGAATTGGTACCTAATGTCAAAGAGACGGGTTATATCCAGCTGAAGTGTCTGGGATCCTCGTTTGCGCCCGTACGGGGACTACTTGAAGAGGCGCAGTTGTATCATCTTGAAAGAACAAAGACGACTACGACGGTACATCGAGCGATTTCGAACGTGCGTGACATGATTCGTTGGACGCGGTTTAGTGCCCGACCTTCGAGGGATATGTCGACTGTTATTTTTGATAAGAGAGCCAAACAGGAGCTTTTGCAGGATATTAATGAATATCTTCACCCGCATACAAGGAGGTGGTATGCTAATCATGGTATTCCGTATAGACGTGGTTACTTGTTTTCAGGGGCGCCTGGGACGGGTAAGACTAGTCTGACATCTGCTTTGGCTGGTGTCTTTGGATTGGATATCTACGTGTTGAGTTTACTAGATCCGAATATGAATGAGTCGGCTTTGATGAGGCTTATGTCGGAGGTTCCGTCGCGATGCATTGTCTTATTGGAGGATATTGATGCTGCAGGCCTGAATCGTCCGGCAAGTGAGCCAAAGCCAGGACACGCTCGAAGAAACAAGATAGGCAACACCGCCGAATCAACTGCGCCGAGTGTGACTCAGGGAAGTGTTCAAGGCATCCAGAATGGTTCTGCAGCGACGTCAGTCTCCTTGTCGGGTTTACTGAATGCAATTGACGGGGTATCTTCGCAAGAGGGTCGTATCCTGATTATGACCACGAATTCACCCGAATCTCTGGATAAGGCTTTGATTCGCCCCGGTCGTGTCGACATGCATATTGCTTTTGAGCTTCCGTCCAAGGTCGACATGCAAGAGTTGTTTCTGTCCATGTATCGAGACGATACTGTTTCTGTCATTCATGGTTGTGAGGTGAATACGAACAAGGAACAAGACAAGACGGATAACCGGCACTTGGAGAGTCTTGCTGTCAGATTCGCGGACTCCATTCCGGAAAGGAAGTTTAGTCTTGCGGCTTTGCAGGGATACCTTCTCCAATACAAGAGAAGCCCTGAAGAGGCTTGTAGCAAAGCCGCTGAATGGGCGGAGAAGAAACTGGCCGAGGATGATGAATAGATGAGACAACAACGTTATGATCAGCAAACTGCGGTTCTGGATTGAATATATAATGTCACCGAGATCAAAATGAAGTATATAGAATGTCACCGCACTCGCAAAACGGGATAGTCTTCAATTTCCAACATCATGGCATGGATATATTGATCATATGGGGTCACTTGGAGAGGAAACGGTGAGAAGAGTCAGAAGATTCAAGACCGCTATCGGCTGGGCTATACCTGATTGGGAATAGTGGGATTTCTCCCGATAATTTATTCCATACCCCTCCTCCTCCTCTTGTTCCAGAGAACTTATTTAACACAATCAATTGATCTGAAAGACTTAATTTGATACGGAGCTTAATTGTCTCTGTAGATTCTTATATCTGGTGTTAGGTATTTTGATATTTCAGAGCACAATGTCACATACACAGTCGCAACGGTACCTCAGTACGAGGGGCGCATCATATGGCGTGAGTCATTCCCATTCACTTTTGAACAGTCTAACGAATTGACCATTTCTTTGATCTTCATGGCAATAGCTTTCATTCGAAGAAGTAGTCTTGAAAGGTCTCGCTTCTGACGGCGGTCTTTTCATCCCCGAACAAATCCCCTCACTTCCTGCTGGATGGGAAACAGAATGGCGCGATCTAAGCTTCGAGGAACTCGCCTTCCGAATCTTCTCACTTTACATTTCCACCAGCGAAATCCCCTCGGACGACTTGAACGATATCATACGTCGCTCATATTCCACATTCCGACATAAACAGCGTACCCCGCTGGTCGAGCTCAACAAGGACAAGAAACTCTACCTCCTCGAACTTTTCCACGGCCCGACATTCGCATTCAAGGACGTCGCTTTACAATTTCTGGGAAATATGTTTGAATACTTCCTTATACGGAAAAATAAGGGTAAGGAAGGAAAAGACCGCCATCATCTTACCGTTATTGGTGCAACAAGTGGCGATACTGGTTCTGCGGCTATCTATGGATTGCGGGGAAAGAAGGATGTCTCTGTCTTCATCTTGTTCCCGAAGGGAAAGGTATCTCCTATTCAGCAAGCTCAGATGACTACCGTCTTGGACGCGAACGTGCACAACTTGGTGGTGGAGGGAACGTTTGACGATTGTCAGGATATGCTTAAATCGCTGTTTGCTGATCCCGATCTCAACTCGACACATAATGTTGCCGCGGTCAACTCGATCAATTGGTGCCGTATATTGGCACAGATCTCATACTATTTCTATTCGTATTTCCAGTTGACAAAACAAGTTGGTTCGGAACCAGTTCGTTTCGTTGTTCCATCTGGTAACTTTGGTGACATTCTTGCGGGATGGTTCGCGAAGCGAATGGGTCTTCCGGCTGAGAAACTTGTCATAGCCACGAACGAGAATGATATTCTTGACCGTTTCTTCAAGAGCGCTGGCCATTATACTAAGAAGCCTATCCGGGGTAAGGCCGCCGAGGGTGGCCTGCCACAAGACGGCGTAAAAGCACATGAGGAAGGTGTCAAGGAGACATTCAGCCCAGCAATGGACATCCTCGTCAGCAGCAACTTCGAGCGACTGTTATGGTTCTTGACCTTCGACTCTGAATCAGGCTCAATTGACGAGCGACGCCAAAACGCCAGCAAGCAGATCAGCGCTTGGTTGAGTGAGCTGAAATCCAAGGGTGGATTCAGCGTCACGGAAGCCGTTCTCGAAGGCGCCAAGAAGGAATTCGAGAGCGAGCGTGTCAGTGATGAAGAAACCCTCGAAATCATTCGCAAAATATATACTTCTTCTTTCCCGGCAAATCTTGGTCCTGGAAGTGCACACAGCTCCAAGACCGGCGGCTACATCCTTGATCCGCACTCTGCAGTCGGTGTCGGTGCTGCCCTACGATCCATCGAGCGCAGTCCCGGTGCGTACCACATTTCATTGTCAACTGCTCACCCGGCCAAATTCGGCAATGCAGTTGATTTGGCTCTTCGCGGCCAAGAAGGCTACGACTTTAGTGAGGTATTACCGCAGGAATTTGTTGGTCTAGAGCAAAAGGAGAGCCGAGAGACGCCTGTTGCTGCTAGATTGGGATGGCAAGGTGTGCGAGAGATTGTCAAGGCTGAAATCGAGCAAGAGCTTCAGGGCCTTCGATGATTGAGTTTCCCAATCAAGGGTGTTTTGGGATAAAAGTTGTTCATGCTTTATGTGATGAGAAGAAATCTTCGTCCGTAATTATTACCGTCTATTTTAGAAGAAGTGGTTTGATAATTAAGTTAGAAAAGGAGTTTTACGTAAGCACATAATTACAAATCGATCTCACATGCTCAGCTTTGAAAATTGTGCCTTCTACAGTACCATTATAATTGCTCACCTGTGGACAATCTGCCCTGGAAGATATATCAATTGAAACTCCGAACATTGAACTAGAACCCAATTTTTTTTCTCTTTTATTTATAGTCTAATCTACCTTTTTAAAATCGTGTATAGAAAAAGATATCAGATACATTCGAAACATTAAAGGATATGTATGTAAAATGCGCCCACTGGCAGAGAGAGTTACGCGTCTCTTTTTCAAGCTTGTCAGAGCACAAAACAGGTAGAAGAATAGAAACTGTAAACAAAATTTCTTCAAAAATCCAGAAAAAGAAAACACCAATTATAGAATTCTTTCAACACTCCACAATGAAAAGAGTTGAGACTCCCACAAGGCCTAACTCTCCACAACTCTCTTCCCGAGTTCAAGCTTTCCACACTCAAAGAAGAGCAAAAGCTCCAAGAGCAGCGACCATAAGCCCGGCAACGGGTTGCTGATTAACAATGGCAGCAGCAGCGCCAGTGTAGACCGGTGGAGTAGTAGTAGACTCGGTAGGAGTAGTGCCACCTTCAGCAGGAGGAGGGTTGCTACCACCATTTGAAGGAGGGTTGCTACCACCCTTTGAAGGAGGAGGGCTACCACCCTTTGAAGGAGGAGGGTTTCCGCCTTCCTGTGGTGGCGGGTTACCGCCCTCCTTGGGGGGTGTGTTAGGGGTGCTGGTGCCGGTGGGCACGACAGTGACAATGGTGCGAGTGACGGTGTGAGTTTCAGTGATTGGTACGACGATGGTGGATGTTCCTGAAACCACGGTCTTGGAGGAGACTGGAGCTATATGTTAGTGAAGGCTCTTGTTGTCTTGGGAGGGATGGGAAAGCTTACTTGGACACTCGGTGGTGGTGATAGTCAATGTCTTGGTGATGCCACCAGTGCCGGTGTGAGGAGGAGGCACAACCGGCTTAGTATAACTCTTGGGAGGAGGAGTGGGCTTGGGCTTGGGAGGCTCAGTGTAGGAATGAGCTGGCTCGGTGTGGGTGGGCTTGGTGTACGTGTGAGAAGGCTTGGTATACGAATGAGCCGGCTCAGTGTGGGAGTGAGATGGCTCAGAGTGAGGAGGCTGGGTGTATGAGTAATGCGGCTCAGTGTAGGAGTGAGACGGCTCAGAATGAGGAGGCTGAGTGTAGGAGTGAGGAGGCTCAGAAGTTGAGTAAGATAGTGGAGGAGGAGGAACATAGGTTGAGTGAGTCGGCTGGGGCTCAGAGTGAGTGGGCTGAGGAGGAGGAGCATAAGTCGACTTGGGAGGAACCGGGGGAGGAGGAGGAGCATAGGAACCAGCTGCCTTGTCTCCCTCCTCACCACGCTCAATGACAGCGGCAAAAGCCGGTGCGGCGAACGCCAGAAGAGCGAGACCTGCTTTGACCATTTTGGCGTTTTTCTTTTTCAGAAAGGATGAATGAAACTCGGCAGTTGTAGCAACGAACAAAAACGAATGTGTTGAGGTGCTGATAGCGATCGAATTTTTTCCCAGCGATAGATTGGCACTGCGAGTGATCAGAAATAGAAAAAGGTTATCGATCAGGGGCGTTGAGATAGTTTATATAACTGAGAAACTAGAGACCTGGAACAAGTGAGCATTTTCGTCAGATATCTTCCATCAGGACATGAGTGAGTCCTGAAAGGAATGACTTCTCCCAAAAGTCGACGAAAGCGGACTTTCCAGAGGCTCTCCATCGCTCTTGGCACATCGATGTAGTATTGTGCTGTAATATAGATGGAGCCTTCGCTCTCAACGAAGGTAGTCGAGCCGCCCAGATAGAGTTGGTGTCTAGAAGCTGGAAATGAATCAGCCAATGGAAAATTACAAATTGGCGAGCAGAATAAGGATGGGACCTTACATATCCAGAGGTACTAATGGCGTCATGAACTTCAAGCCCTAAGTCAGACAGTTTTAAGGGGGATGCTGTGACCAGATACTTCCGGATTAGGAAATTTTTGCTCCGCATATCACCTTAGCCGAACCCAGTCGACGAGAAAACGCCGAATGAGGTTCTGATCTCAAGTAGAGTAACAATTCATGACTTCTGTCATGGAAAAATCTTCTAACTCTCCGTTCGATCGGGGAAGTGGAGAGCTCAGAGGCAAGCAGCCGCAATCGAGAGGGAGGCCTAGAAGTGACGGGTCATACCCAAACAATCTCGAAAATTGCGGCCTGTATGGTATACAAAGCGAGCCTCAAATATTATTGAGCTCACCAAGTAAAACACAAATTCTCTAGTCAGGACATGTGATTGCTTGTAGCCAACTGACGGATCAAAGCTTTAGGGGTTGACGTGACACCATTTCGGCAGTCATCTAGCGGTCATTGAGAAGCAACTCTTTTTCTAAAATTAGCATTATTAAACAACAGTAATTATTTCTCCTTCTGCGCTTGCAGATGTACACTTGGAGTCTAAATGCGGCATTTCGTCTTCTAACCTCTTGCCCCTATCATCTTGACGGACTCTGTAGAAGCTCTAGTTAGGGTTTATGCAACTCTAGGGCTACTGCCGCAGAGCAATATTTCTTTTGTGTTCATGGTTTATTCCTTGCAATAAACTTCAGTGGCATTTCTCCAAAGGATAGTTATGATGCGACACATCGTATTCCATGCTCATGTATGACTCGATCTTTCGTCGCTTGTTAACACAGTAGTATCATGAACCGAAGGAGCACTGTACATCAAATAATCAGCTTTCCAATCCGAGACAAGTTAAACAATTACTACCACAATAGCACTGTCTACGGTGAGTCTGAGTAGTGACATCATGAAGTAGAAAATTTCCAGCAATGCCTCCAACATCTATTGACTTGGCATCTTGGCCAATACAAAAGCCTCACCCTAAGCCGTGAGCACCGAAGAAGCGACGACCATTGGAATGCGGGTCTAATCGTACGTAACATGGGAAAGTAGTATGAACTTTGAACTTGTAATCGGAATGCTGACATAAAAAGACGGTTTGGGGCTTAACATCTTCGCCTCTGCGAGAATCGCCGGAGATGTCGGACGGTAAAACCTGTCACCGCTTCAAGACGAAGCAGCAGAAAGTGGCCTTAGGTTAACCATGTAGAGTCAAGAGCGGACTCGATTGCACTCTGACTGGTGGATTGGGTGTAGTGTATGATGCGGTTCTAAGAGTGTCATTTCCGCTTGCGGCATCGGGCAAGCTCGGTAGATGGACTGGGCTCTAAAGATGGCCGTCTTTTGCTCTTTTTGTGCTCGTTTTCAATTGTGATACTTGCTGCTGAGGGCATTCCGGTACTAGTTAGTGAATTTTAATGGTCTCATCAACGAGCCTGAGAACGCAAAAATGAGTGTAGAGATGAAGTTTAAGTTGAAGCTGATAAGGGCTCCTTATCGCGTGCTATTCCTGATACGGATATATTGATTAGGGTTAGGGCTTTCTCTTTTCGTGACGCGAACGCGTATTCCCGCATTTGGGGAACCGCGATCATGGACAACAACATAATCAATCACCATTGTGCTTAACTGACCTCTGGCAACTGGTGTTAATATTTGGTCTGACAATCGAACCTTTATATTTTATTCAGCATCAAAATGCCTCATTCAATATCGTCAAATGATTCTGCGCCACGCGACAATGGCGACGATGAGATTCTCCCTGACGCTCCTGCGACGGAAAATAATGACACGACAGAAGAGCAAAAAGCTGAGACGAACATAAGATTAGAGGATCTCTTCGCAGATGACGACGATGATGATGACGAATTTCCAGCATCGAGTGCCGCAGACGTGAAGATGGCGAGCTCTCCACCTCCAGCACTAACACCAACACCAGCAGTGTATGCTAGAACTCATCAGGGACATGAAAAAAGGAAATGCTAACATGTTCAATTTGAAGTGCACCGAAGGGCCCCTCTGGAATAGATCCCGAAGTTATGCTTGCCTTCTATCAGCGCCTATTCCCATTCCGACCTATGTTTCAATGGCTCAACCATGGTGTCATCCCCTCACCCGACATGGTCAATCGAGAATTCGCTGTTTTCCTCCAAAATGAAGCCGTGCTTCGATATCAATCATTTGCGACTGCGGATCTGTATGCATTATAACTGCGTGAAATATGACCCAGACAAATACTGACAAATGTTCGGACAGATTTCGCAAGGAAATTTTACGATTAAACCCAACTCGATTCGAGATCGGACCGGTATATAGCACGAACCCACGAGATCGCAAAAGCCGACCCGGTACTCAAATGAAGCCAGTTGCAAAAGAGCTCGTCTTTGATATTGATATGACTGATTACGATGATGTACGGACGTGCTGTTCTAAGGCTAATATCTGCCACAAGTGCTGGGCATTTATCACTATGGCTATCAAGATTGTTGATACTGCTTTGAGAGAGGACTTTGGATTTGAACATATTCTGTGGGTCTACTCCGGTCGACGTGGTGCTCACGCTTGGGTTGGTGATCATAGAGCTAGGACTCTGCCCGATGATAGGAGAAAGGCGATTGCGGGATACCTGGAACTTGTGAAGGGTAATGACAAGAGTGGGAAACGTGTAAATCTAAAGCGGCCGCTGCATCCACATGTCGCGAGAAGTGTCAAGCTACTGGAGCCATATTTCAACCAAACAACACTCATCGACCAAGATGTCTTTCTTGGAGAATCCCAAGCGGAGCGTCTGCTTGGATTGTTGCCCGACAAGAAACTAAGCGAAGCCCTTCGAAGGAAATGGGATTCCACTCCAGACCGCACAAGCACAAACAAATGGAATGATATCGTCACACTAGCCAAAACGATCAATGGATTAGATGCCAAGGCCCTCAAAGATGCACGATACGACATTGTCCTCGAGTACACCTACCCGCGACTCGATGCCGAAGTATCGAAGAAAATGATTCACTTGTTGAAGAGTCCGTTTGTCATTCATCCTGGTACCGGTCGTGTTTGCGTTCCCATGGACGGCAGGAACATCGAAGAATTCGATCCTTTATCTGTTCCTACAGTGACAGAACTACTCGCTGAGATCGATGAATACGACAGGGAAAATCCACCTCCTGCTTCCAACGCGGAAGACGGGTCTTCTGACAGGAAGATCCAGGACTATGAAAAGACAAGACTAAAGCCTTACGTTGATTACTTCCGTTCATTTGTCGCAAATCTCATAAAAGATGAACGGCCAGTAAAAAGAGAACGTGGCGCTGAACAGGCGACAAATGATGCGATGGAGTTTTAACGATACGCGAGGCGATTGTTGAGCAACAGCATATGTTATTTGGGTCATCGATGGAGGCTAGGAATGGCGTTTTGTATTTTCATCTTCAGTAACAGCTAGTGTACATCATTCATGAATTCAAACATCCAACTTGTTTTTCCTATACTCGGCATACCTTTCATATTTGCGGTGCTAATCTCGATTGATTGCCGACATCGCGCTAGCTGCTGATTGATAAGATTGATAAAAATGTACTTCCTGATGTTTACTCCTCCCACTTACACATCCTTGTCCCGACTACATAGCCATTCTACCCGCCGGAAACCTACACGGGGTCGGACAGAGAAATGTATAGCTGGTGCCACCCCTTACTTACGATTGTTCTGCTAACCCGGACAGTCTACACTGCCAGCATCCTCCCCAAGACCGAACGTTGCGTCACTGCAGTCTATACAGACATACACAACTATCTCAGTTATTTGTATTGGGGGTGTATACTTTCATTTGCGATATTACACCGATTGATCCAACATATGCCCGGCTCACATAAACATTCCGGGAAACATGGACGGTTTCAACCTACGCCTATAGAGGCTTTGATCTTCATCATCGGATTTATACCCATGTGATCATTGCTTTTCCTTTCAAGACATCGAACCGACGAGTACTCTAGTTTGGTCTCCCAACTCGTCTTGACACTATGCTCATTGCAGGGTATTGGATAATAAGTGCCATACTCACGTGCATAACATATAACCTCTTCGATGACAACATCTACTGAGTGCTCCCATTTTGAACAAAATCTTTCAATATATTCTTATGGTCTCCTTCAGCTGGCATCAAACATCTCGACAACTAGTTCAATATGTTGCAGATTGAACAGGCATCATGTCCTTTGCGAACTTACCTCTTCTTTGGCTCTTCGCCTGGAGAAACAACGTATTTTCATGGGCTACCGGTTGGAGTTTTGTTAGGTTTAACATCTTCCATCGACATGTTGCTTGGATTGCGACTTTGCAGGCGGTTATTCATACCATGACATATTCTGCATTATGTGTACTTGTGGTCAAGTACTGGGTTCGTTGCTATGGAATTTGTGAGCATGCTAATTACTGGCAGAGTAAAGAGGTCGTTTTATTAAGAAAATGTTAAAGCCATATCTACTTCGGGGTACGGTAGTCAATCCAGGCTAACCAACATCTAAGTCTCTGTAGTGAATTGACATTCTTTTCTTAGGCTACCCTTACGATGGTATTGATCATCTCCCTGGCTATTGATTTAGTGAGGAAACGATCATGCGATATATTTCCTACTTCTTCACATCGCCTTCTCTATCGTGACTGTTATCGGATGCTTCTAGTACGTATCAATATACCTGAAGGATACCTTGTCCAATAGAGGACACATGTACTAACATTGCATAATCCGGTCACGTTGCGATATTTGAAGGCGAGGGATATGACTATTACCTATGGCCTGTTGTATCTGTCTGGGTATCAGATCGGTCACTACGCCTGATTCTCATTGGATACTGCAATTTGCACGTTCGACGGCGGCAAGGGGAACCCCATTCAACTCGCAGTATCGCGAGATACGACGAAGCCTCAAATGTAGTGAGGCTAGAAGTTACTCTTGGTTCTTTATTTCACCGACCTACTCCATCCACCTATTATTACTTGTATCAAACTGTTGGTTTGGCTACGGTCCGTATCACGAAGCATAGACGGTAGCAAGGTGCAAGCACGAAGTGACCTAATGAGCCTGACAATATGGAGCTATCTTGATTCCTAATATTGTGACTGATTCCCAAGAGCAAGTGGGACGGGGGATAGCTAGCTAGATATATACGCAGCACGCACGTGCCATGTCGGACTAAGTAATATCCAGTGCCGAAACGCGTAGGGTTGATATTCACGTTCTGACAACCTCATTTCTGGATTTGCATTCCTCGGTCGAACTGGCCCTGACAATATCTTTGGTCCCGTTGTTGTTGGTTGTGATCGAAACTTCGATTTTACCCTTCTCTTTGAACAAAAAATTCTCTCCATCATCCCTTCTGCTTTGCTGCTCATTTTAGCTGTAGCCAGGTTTTACGGACTGCGAAATCAAGACCCGAAGGCTAAAATCGATAGCTTTTGTCGGCTGAAAATAGTCTGTAAGTTATAGAGTGGCGCACGGACGGGAATTGAAGGACCGGACCGGACCTGGATGACAATTAATTCAGTAGAAAGCCTAATCACTGGGACTGTCTTACTGATCAAGGTCAACGAAGTCGTCCTCTTGCTTGCTAGTCATCAAAGGAATGAGATGACGCTTAGCTTAACGTGAAGGCTCAAGCAATAACATCTTATTGGCAGCTATGACTAGAAAACTAAGCGTGAGGAAAGAAAGAAGAAAGGAAAACATGAAGCTATTCCCATGGCCTTGATATTCGTGACATAACCATGTGCCTCAGCAGCGCTAGCCCTCACCACTTGATCCGAACCTCCCTCCGTAGCCTCGGGCACAGTGGATCGTACATGCTTCTCAGTCAAGCCTGCTGTGGCCGTCACATCTGATATACGACTGCTAAGGGGTTAATTATTAACAATCAGACCGTCCCTTCCCTTCTCTTCTCATTCCCCCCGTCACCCTTTTCCATTAAACCATATTTAGTTTACAAGTCTGTTTTCAACACAATCTCCTTCTCCAGCAAAACGAGGACGAGCGAAAACCCAGCCAGCGCTAACGAAATTTGCCAGATAAACCGCAGCGCATCCTCATACACAGCTACAACCTCATTCCTTGTGGTTTCATCGAGGCGTGCGAGGAATACAGCGTTGGCATCTGCATACGCGTTGCCCGAGTGAAACTGTTTGAGGATCAGTTCCCTGGTGACTGGATCGGCGATTTGTCCAGCGCGCTGACCAAAGGTGTTGCTAAAGATTGCGGCAGGCACAACGACGCCCCAAATGTTGCCGAAAGAACGCACTGATGACCACACGGCCGTAGTAGCAGCCTGGTCGGACTCAGTGCGCTGCGAGGCAGCCTGGCAGGCTGGAGGCAGAGAGTTCATGATAATGCCATTGCCGAGCGAGTTGATAATTTGAAAGATCACCCACTCCGCTGTAGATGATGTTTGATCTAGAAGGATGAATAGCCCTAGCCCCAGCGTGATAGCTGTAAAGCCTGCAAGATGAATGGGTTTATACCTCCCGAAGCGTGTAAGTAACAGCACGGCAGCTATCGAAGCAGGAACAGATACGATAACAGATGGCAAGACCTGGAGTCCGGCCACGGACGGGGAGCTGCCGCGTACGGCCTGGAAATAGATGGGCATGAAAAAATAGACCCAGTACAGAAGGGCAGAGCCAATGAAGGTTACGATCATAACCACAGCAGAGGTGCGGTTGCGGAATAGATGCGGCGGACAGACAGGCTCCCCAGCCCACTTAGTATTCTCGAATGCTACGAAAATGCCAATGCCCGTGAATCCAATGACGAGGGGTACAATGATTTGCGATGAGCGCCAGGGGTATAAGTTACCTCCATATGTCAAAGCAAAGAGGATCGAGACTGACGAGCTGATTAGGAGGAAGTTTCCTCCATAGTCAATTCGGCGGAGCTTTTCAATAAAAGACATCCCCTTGTCATATTGGACTTGAAGGAAGATAAATACCATAATCATGGACGCGCCGCCAATCTATGAATGGTCAGAGATAAAGTCCGAGTTGTCTAGGTATACGTACTGGGAGATTGATGTAAAAGACCCATCGCCAAGTAGATGAGTCAACAATAGCACCGCCGACCCACGGCCCAATGGCAATGCCCACGAAATACGTTGTGAGAAACCAAGCGACATACTTTCCCCTTTCTCTCAATGGCACGAGGTCCGAGACGATGATATTGGGAAGCGTGTTGAAGCCGCCACCCCCCATTCCTTGGATAGCTCGACCAGCAATTAGCATGGCGGCGTTGGTTGCACCACCGCACAAGCCGCTCCCTAGCGCAAAGAGAACAATCACCCCCATAGTTACCCATCGCCGACCAAAAATATTGGCCAACTGGCCAAATAATGGTTGAACAACAGCACTGTTTGAGACAGTTAGCTTGCTTACTAATTTTTATACCCTCTTGATGCAGGGGTATGGATGCGCAGCACGTACGCTGTTAAAAAAAACAACGGTTGTCACCCAGACATAGCTGTTGCCTAGCTCGAGCTCTGTAGCAATGCTCGGCAGGGATGTGGTGACAACCGTATTCTCTAGAGCGCTGAGGACACTGAGAAAACAGAGGGTGACTATGATAACATAAAATCGAAGACTTTTGGTATTGTTTTTGATGGCTGTAGATGTAGAAGTAGTCACTACCGCTTCCTGGCCGTCACTACTAGTTGGGGATGCCATTGTGTATGGTGCATTCACAATGAACTAGGGCTTACATATAATGATATATAGAAGTAATATGGACAATACTAGTCTATGTTGACAGGAAGCATTAACAGTTTTAAATAGGCCATGACAAAGGGACACTATGTAGCCTGCAAATGTAATAGCAAAGTTCCATGATTCAGTGCCTGTTGTATGCTAGCTGGTTGTTCCTGTGGAGTTCCCAGAGACAAAGGGACGTGTTTAGAAGTAATCATTATTGGGCGATGGTCTTATCTGAGATCTAAGTTGATTACTAATAAATGAGCCCGCTCTCAGGCTTCAGCAAGCAGTGCCACACCCTAAGTGCTGACTGACAGTCTGATACCCTATAGTATGTTGACCAACCAGATGCAAGGAGCCCCCTTTGCATAGATCTCTGAACAGGGATCACTTAATAGTGTAGTGCTAGTATCTAGTATCTACACGTGTCTACACGCCAAATAATGATTTGCGGTTTTTACTTTCTAGTCAAGACCACATTTACCGGGGCTATATCACCCCTAGACTACCTTTCAAAGAACACCATATTAAAAAGAATATAATGGCTTCTCCAGCTGGGCCTCTTAATATATTCATAGAACCAGTTAAGTCTGGACTTGGTCCCATGTAGGCTCTCTTTCGCTAGGTGATTGAAACACAGCAGTCTTTTACAGTTGTTGAACATCCTATCTGGAAAGAACTTCTTAAGAGTCTAAATGCTAGCTGCCCTATCAAAACTGCACATACTCTTCGAAATCGAGTTCAGAGTGAGTATTCAAGTTGGAGGAATCGGTTAAAGTAAGACTTAGCTGATACCTGTCAATCAATTTTGCTCTCACTTAACATCTGGACCTCTGAATACCAGATATCATTTCTTGCTGTTGTTGGTTATCGGCTTACTTTAGAGTCTAAGCTTCGAGAAGATCTTCTTAAGTTTATAGAGATTAATGGATTGTATTCACTTGTAATTCCATTCCCTGTCAACAGGACAAAAGACACATTATAACGTCTAGGCTACAACTAAACTAAATATTCAGGATCTTCTGCAGGTCTCCCCACCAGGTCATTCCGTTCTCCTTATACCACCCCACGGTCCTTTTAATGCCGTCATCAAGGCTAATAGACTGCGTCCATCCTAGCTTCTGAAGTGAGGGAAAATCCATGCCAGTACTTGGGTCAATAAATCCACGGCCTGGGACTCGATTGATCCAGTCCTCGGTGTTGGTAGCCTTTGAGCCATAACTTTGGTTTGAAACGATAGCATTGATGATTTGGCTACAAATGTCGTAGTTTAGTCGACGCGCGATCCGAGTAAATAGTATTTGGCTCCCCACGGTACAAGATAGAGTGCACATCGCTGAGAGACTCAAATGCAGTGATGCCATTACTGGAGAGTTGTCCCTCGGCCTGGTGCGGCAGAATCGAATTGGTTACAAGATTCGTCATTTTGACAGTTTATAGCAAAGTCGTATTGAATAGCAAATTGAGTGATTACTCGAGTAAATGCGGATTTGGTCCTAGGAAAGCCTTTCCTGTTTACACTGGCCGTATATATTTTTTTGATTTTGGAATGAATATTATACCAGGGCCACGGAAGTTCTGTCTCCTGGATCCCGAGTCAACTGAGTTCACCAACTTGTGCCTAGCTATCGCATTTCTGCCTTGTTGCACTTGATACAGGGCTCTTTCAGCTGACTGGGATTGACAGTGCTATCACATCACCGGCTGATGACGGACATCACAACTCCCAACGAGACCCCGGAGAAAAATGCAGTGGGACTATTGCTGGTTAGTTCGTCAAGTGGCGAGGCTAGATGCTCCCCATGCAGCAAGTCCATATTAGTTTTTATTAAGGTATGGCGGCGTCCAATCTGGGGTTACCACAAGATGGTGATTGAAGGAGACAGTCGCAGACTGGGGAATTCTTACTGCATATCACACGTTATTGCAGGCAAACCTGTGTCAATCAATCTCATTATAGCAAGCTGAAAGCATCGTCAAGTACTACCAACTCCGTGTCTGTGTACGTGAGCGTGGTTGACTCTAAATCATACTTTGAATATGGGCGCCAGGATGCCCTCATTGGCGATATTTTCCCGACTGACGGCCACACTGACTGTCAATGTCCTACCTGCCGAGTGAACAAACTCCTGATGGTGCTGTATCGAACTAGCTTCGATCAAGCCAGCCGCATCCAGAGCACTACTTACTATGTCTTCATCGAGTTTTCAGGTATGTTCTGCGCGAAAAACAGTGGGCCCAGCTTCAGGTTGACTGTCTGGGAGACATTGTCCGGGATAATGACAGCTCTTGGTCAAAGGGACTGAAGCTGGCGGATGAGGAAACAAAGAGTTTTGTTCTTGACCTTGTTACTAGCCATAGACAATCCGGATATAGGAGGTATTACGACGGGCTTGAAGTGCGAGATATCGTTGAACGGAAAGGAAAGGGGTTGGTAATTCTTTTATACAGTACGTATAATTTACCCAGCTGTTCTTTCGATAAAGTCTCTCCCGTTTACTTTTCTCCACTCTGCATTACTGATTTGGATGTTGGGCTCCCTGGAATGGGAAAGACATCGACGGCTGAGACTGTGGCGATCAAGGTAGGAAAGCCTCTCTTTGCTATCAGCGTGACTGATGTTGGTACGGCAGCTAAACATGTTGAGTCCAATTTAAGGAGAGTATTCACCTTAGAAACTACTTGGCAAGCAATCTTACTCATGTAAGTAGGTCATTAATTTTCATACCCTAGCTCAATGTTACGAGCTACGTACTCATGCCATCTTATCGTATCCAGTATTCCTTCACGTTTTGGAGTATTATCAAGGTGAAAACGACTTTCTTCTGATCCTGACGGAACTCGTTGAAATACATGAGGAGACACCTACTGACGAAAGAGAATAGGAATTCTGATGCTAACCACCAACCAAATTGCCCATTGGCGTCGCTGTGCATTCACACATTCACATTACCCATAAAGTACTGTGATTCGGACGACGAGAGTCGGGCACTGGCCATCTTCCGGAATTTCCTTGAATCCCTCGATCGCAATGGTAAAGTCAAAAATATGCGGCAGATTGAACAGTGGATATAGCATGAGGTTCATCGTATCAAGTTTGATGGTCGTCGGATTCGAAATGTTGTCACTTCAGCATTTAGTCTCGCTCGTGCGCGTGGAGCCAGAAAGCTAGAGAAGGACCATCTTTCTAAAGTTTGGGATAATGTGCGTGACTTCAAGCTTGAGTTTATCTAGCAATTTGAGGTACATAGAACATAACAGGAGGATTCAATGAAGCAGTAATCAGCGCAGGCAGGGGTTTGCCCCGAGATCAATCACAGATGGATCGACAGTAAGGTATTTCTAATGGGGGACTGTTCAACATCAAAGATGAAGAAGTCTCTTCCAAGGTTGCCAATAATGCAAATTCATGACATATGTTCTTGTTCGGTATTATCTCGGTGATGCTACTACTAAATATGCATTTACATGGCAAGGTTGGTCTCTTCTAATCATTCCAACAAAGCATAATCCCGTAGCGGCACCTCCGGCCAACCCTTTACTGGCATTTTAGAGGCATAATCCACCAATTCAGGCATGATTTCCGAGTGCCTTGTTTCGGACCCAGGTGGTAGATGATTTGCCTGACCTCCTCGACAGTGGTCAAAGGTGACGCTGTCTGCACTTCCCACATACGTCTCCTCATTGTTCAACGCATCAAAGATAATTTGATGACTAGCAGGTTCCCATAGCAATGAGTCATGACTCACTACATGCGGTAACGCTCTATGCATGAGCGACTTCGCAGCGCAGAGCTTGAATAGATCTATATTTCGAGCTTGTGGGCCGTTCAGTCGCCAGCTATCTTTGAACATTGGCCAACCTTCACCGTAAAACCCTGGCTGGACAATGAGGTCTGTACTCGATCCAATATTCGTGGTTGGTACCCGAGCAATATCTCCACCGAAACGATTCAGGGTGTTGAGGAAATTAGACCAGGGAATCTGTTGCACCACCGCCTCCGTGAACATATTAAAGTAAAAAAGCGGGACCATGGACCATGAACCGCGATAATCTGGTCCAAGAGCGATATGTCTCTTGACTTTTGAACGGGTTTCAGGGTAAAATGTCAATGTCCACTGCGTTATCAATGCCCCGGCTGACCATGAGATGATAGATATCTGAGTATCATTTTTGTCTGCGAGTTTTTTGATTGCGTGGCTGATATATTCAGCGCTAATCTGAGCATCGTCAAAAAGTCTATGCGGTACAGCCACATAGCAAGGTCGGAAACCTTCGTGGATAAGCGGGGGCACCAATGTATATTCCCAGTTTATTTGAGGACTGTATGTAACGATATGATATGTTAGATGAGGACGTCGCGGCTTTGATCGAAGGAAATCTCGGGCCTACTCACGCCATTCCAGTCCCATGGACTAATAGGACAGTCCCTTTTGCTTGCGGCCTGGATGAAGGACAGGATACCGCTTCATCAAGTTGTCTTTCGTCCACCAAGTACACCGGGTCTGGTCCGGTAAATGTCACATTATTCTTGTGATAGACGAGTCGTTTCTCTCTGACACTAGCACCCAACCAGATAGCAGCGAGTGCAAAGGATATTGTAGGCAACAATAGCAATGCAAGCATCGCGGATATGGACAGCTATGGCTAATGCGTACGTTCTCGCGTATCTCCGTTACTTAGGTATCAGAAGTGGTTGACTGGAAAGTCCAAGAAATAATCTTCAGATTCCTATGCAATGGCTATTCCATGTCTATTCATCCAAAATTCCGAAGCAAGACTTGTCGGGCCTACTATATAACGAATGATCAGTTGTTGAAGCCGACTAAGGCACCAACAGATTTCCTATTTGGGGCATTCGGTGCGCTCGTATTGTAGGGTATGGTGTGGGGCGATTTAGTATGTTAGGCGATAACTTTGGGAATATTGGGTATAGTCTCACAAAGGACGTCTACCAGAGGGACCACTAATATCCGGGGCTAAGCTACAGATTATGGAGTCAAATTTATGAATTTTTAACGCTGTTATATGCAATAATCAATATGTACTGTTTCAATCATGATATCTACATGTATGTAAGATCCACTCTGCTCTATTACACGATCCTGATCAAGCTATCGTTTATTCCGGGGTGACATACCTAGAACCAAGACAACTTCGCGGACCTTTGTAAAATGCTAGAGCCATTTATCGAGGTCTTTTCCCTTTTCGCCTAACCATCGGTCCGGGATGAAGTCATTTGGCTTAGTGAATATGGTTCCGTTGCGATGAACGAAGTGACTGCTCATCTCAACTGACTGGAAATTAATGATAGTCAGACACTGTTCTTGTATTGATAGAGCAATTTGTCAATTTCTTACTCCGTCAGGTATAAGACCTTGTCTATAGTTGCACCACCAGACGGTACAACGCGTGGGAGCGGATATGCCACATCGGGGCTCATTCGAGGCGATTTCCTCAAAACTGCAGTCTGATGAACAACAAAGTCAGTTCAGCAAGTCTGAAGACAACCTGGGCTCAAGTCATACCAAATATGGAAGCTTTTGTACCTCATAGAGACCAGGTGCATCATCCTGTTTTAGCCAGACTAATATCAGCTCTGCTTTCAACCTGCGATACACTGTTGGCGAGGTCAATATGTGAAAGTGCCGTGCATAATCCCGTTGTGTCTGCGCCTTCAAAAAGAAGAGCCTGTGCCTCATAATACAGACTCCCTCCACTGGAAACAGTGCCACTGCGGTACGCTTCGGGTCGAAGCAGCTCATGATAAATAGTCGTTGAGTGAGGTAGATTACGTAGGCTTTCTGGGTTCTTTGCTAGGTCTTCTATTTGTGCTCTCAGGAACTATAGGATAAATGGTTATGAAATGAACGATTCCATACGGCAGAAGGCGAATCACGAACCTGTCGTAAATCGACAATCCCCGAAGTAGCTGGGCTGATAATCTTCGAAATGTTTGGTGGGCAATTCATGATCGCTCTTTTTAATAGAGATGAGTGCTTAAAGCCGACAAAGACAGGCAGAGAAGCGTCCATCGGCTTGATTATCGGCGCCTCATGGCCCGGTGCATCAATGGCGTTGACAGTGTTTCCGAAGCAAAGACCTTCGTTTTGTCAGCAGAGTTAGATGTCGCTCGAAGAGAAGATATATTGAAATTATATCACAGGTAATCACATCGACAGACATCCATCGATATGCATATAAAAGGACCCCCGGTTTTGAGCCTAGCTTCTCAAATGAATTGCACAGTTGTTCCACCCAATACGATGTCAGTTACTAACATGGATGATACGGTTCTAGATAGGAACATACTTTCTCCAAAACTAGCCCCTGAGTATCTTCAGCAGCTTTCTTTGAGAATAGTTTACTCAATGCGTCCTTTCTCGCCTTGGCTTCGGCATAAGTCGAGAAGCCAAAAGAGGAACGATCCTCGCCGAAACTATGATATAGGGTTTTCTCTTGGTCCCATTTGTTCGTAACATTTTAGATCTCCAAGTAAGCTACCGGGGAGTGGAAATGAATCTGTTACAATCTTAGGGCTAATCGCACACACATCGTTCATTTAAGCAGAGCAATCTACCTCATTAGGGTTCACACGGACAACGTTTCCTAGAATTTCCATAGCATGACTGGATTAGTTGAAGTTCGCATGACTTGTTGGTGCTTATGTTACTTACCGTATCTAGCATGTAATCTCTCCAGTGTATGAACGAACGATGATTTGGTGACCAGGTCAATGTACGCTTATACAAGGAAGCAATCGCAACATTAGGAGGACCGGGAAATACGGCCAATCGATGCCAAAAGATTTGTAGCATGCGTCGTAGACAAAGAAGATTGCAATTCCGAATGCGAGCAACCAACAAAGACTGCTAGTATCTAACCGATCGAGTCTATCAATCATGGCGAGCCAGTACTGCTAACTGACCTGCGGATTATTTGATCGGGAGGTACTCCGTACAATAATATAGCAAAATATATCCAGGATTTCATTTCTATTCCAAACATCTAGGATGTACACAGCTTATATAGACACGTAATGCATTTTGCATCTGCAGATTCTTCACCACGGCATAGGTCCGCTTCCAACGGCATTCGAACGGGCCTCAACCCATTTTTAGTTCTTCAAACCTCTTAATTGAAGATATATAGCTCGAAAGGGGGATAGCAGCACTATAAAGCATACATAGTATGTTCCGTACGAGTCATGGTACCCGGTAATTGGCAGCGGAGATGCAACCCCTGACTTCCCCGAGCATGGCGAGCAGGGATCCTTGTTCACCCCAATAAGGTAGGAGCAGGAGTCCTCTTCTCTTTATTCTAAGCGGAGTTATATAACTTAGACTTTATCCGGCACCTGTTCCACGCAGACATGGAGAGCTATATCATACTTTTAGAGAGCCGCCTCGATCAACCTACTTGCTGAGCCCTTTGGGAGACTAGAATGTGAAGCTTGATTAAATACCGAAAATGCCGGATACACAGTATGAAATATCAGCGGTCAATTTAATTGAACAGAAAGCAGGTGTGCTATTGGTTCTGTGCAACATAGTACTGAGACTCGACAGGATTCCACAGACGATTCGGTATATAGTGGAAGCATCGATTCGTGAGTACTAATGTACCGCTTGCTGCTCATCACCGTCAGTAATACTCAAATTACTCTTTTCAGAGAATTGACATCTCTTCGAAGCAGTATTATGAACTATCACGATGAGAATGGCCGACGATGTCATGCATATCATGTTGGCTCCTATTGGTACGCGATATGGGCGAAACCCTAACTATCTCCAATAACTGAATTCCTAGCGGACCCAACGATGAGCGCGCAATGGACCATTTCGATTTAGGGTGAGGCCCGCCTATGCAGTATGGCAAATGATTCGAATCGCACAAGTAATAGTTAATAACTTCATGGTGACTTAGCCACCATCTATATTATATCATACTTCAAGGAGAGTTGTATTTGGCTCCAATCCCGAAGGATCCTCAGGTGAGCTTCGACCAGAAAAAGAATTACTGGCACAAATTTATGGAAGCTTTAGAGAGTTCTGGACATCGGAACTGGAACGGGGATTTGGGCGATGTCAGTATACCCGTCTCTTTTCTGGAGTAAGGGCTTACTTTGACAGTCTTAGTGACTTTGTAAACTTCCACCCATCAGCAAAGGTAATCGGGACTGATCTGTCGCCAACCCAGCCTAGTTTGGTGCCACCAAACCTTCACTTCGAGATTGACGACTGTTGCGACGAGTGGGCATATTCTATTAATAGTTTCGATTTCATCCATGTCCGGGGTCTATATGGGTGTGTCGCCGATTGGGACAAATTCTACAAACAAGCATTGAAGTAGATTCACCAAACAGTAGCAAATAGTTGCGACTATGAATGCTAATTTATATGTATAGACATCTCAAACCAGGAGGTTATATAGAACAAGTGGAATTATCAGTCGAGCCCAAGTCCGAGGATGGTTCTATAGATGGTGCCATCTTCGAAAAATGGGGAAAAGTTTCTGTACAGGCGGGTGAAGCCTTTGGGAAGTCGCTGACGATTGGTGACTAGGCGAAAGAGAGAATGACTGCAGTGGGATTCGTAGACGTTGTTGAACATCGAATCAAAGTCCTAGTGGGACCATGGCCCAAGGACCCTCGTTTGAAAGAGTTGGGGAGGGTGGAAAATGATGTTGGTGACAAACATATTAGGAGTACGTTATTCTTCCTTTTTGAAACGGAATAGCGATATACAGATTTTGTCTAACGATTTGAGCAGTGGAAACGGGAAGAGGTCGACCTGTACCATATGGAGATAAGACAGGCTCTACAAAACTCAAAATATCATGTGTATCATGATTGGTAAGTTCTTATGAACAGATTCCAGGCTTTGTGGAATTTTTCAACTATCACAGTACTGTCACTTATGGACGGAAACCTTCCGGGATTCCCCAACCTAAGCCAAGTGAACAGTAGTCAGAGAACTTTCATATTTCTTTTTGCTGTTGTGTAGTTTTTGAGCATAAGAAAGTACTAATGTTTTAATATGACATTGATCCATACTGTTCTCAAACTCCTTGACTGTTGCGAAAACTTGGAAAAGTACCTATACTCGGTTTCTACTAGGGTAAGTGGAATTGGCTTTGTCAAAGCCACTCAGTATAAACGAGCCAGTAAGAAATCCTAAGACTTCGGTTTCCCAATTGATCAATTAATTGTTAGTGGACAACCTGAAACTTGATGCTTGAAATCCTCTGAGATAGGGCTGATTGAGCGAAGTCGAAGATGTGAACCAACAAACAACAACTCTGATTACGCCATTACTCAATTTATAATCCAGTCTTCTTTCGGCTTCTAGGAACATAAAAGCAACCACGAACGCGAGCTCCACCCTTATTGTGTTGGTTCATCATCCGTCGCCCAAGTTAGGGTTACAATATTGCGAGAGTCATGTTCCGCTTATGTAATCGGAATGATACTTTCCGCTCACAACTTAGGGCTTCTTCATCGATGGATGGGATGGTACGTGGGAATATAAACAGGAGATGTATGTACTCTATTAGCCTCAAAACAATCTATATGTATAGAAAACAACTTAATCAATAAGACTCTTCTTATCAACACACTCGGTACGCATGCTACTTACACATAATCACAATGTCTCCGATCAAGCTTCTTCTTACTGGCGCTACTGGGTATATGTAAGCTGCAATGCCTTAATATCCAAGACTTACGACCACCAATCTAACAGATTTTAGCGGAGGAACTGTTCTCACGCAGCTCCTCAACTCAAGCATCCCGGAAATCAAGGAGCTGTCAATCTCCGTCCTAATCAGAAAACCAGAACAAGCCGAACTCTACGCTTCGAAAGGTGTTAACCTAATCACCTTCGACGGTCTGGAAGACGTAGAGTGTCTACGACGGGTAGCCGGCGAGCACGATATTATTCTTCATGCCGCAGACTCAACAAATCCTTCCGCTGCCGAAGCGTTGACATTAGGGCTTGCAGATACTCAAGGGAGCACCAAGAAATACTTTATACACACCAGTGGAACTTCCAGCCTCGGAGACCGACCTGTCACCGAACAGCTTATCGAGAATAGGGAATTTTCCGATAAGAATGACGATATATACAGCTACTTGAAACAACGCGAAGCCGTTGAATCATATGCCCAACGGGCCACGGATATCAAAACCGTTGAAGTCGGTGAGAAGGTTCCCGGCGTTGACACCCTCATCATCAAAGCGCCTATAATACACGGCAGAGGGACGGGTTTCTTCAATCAAAAATCCTTCCATATCCCAGTTCTCATCAAAGGTGCAGTTGCCGCTGGCCACGCTCAGTATGTGGGTGACGGTGCAGGTATATGGGATTATGTTCATGTGGTCGATCTAGCTGAACTTTTCGAGCTTTTAGTGGCTAAGATCTTGAAGAATGATACTAAAGGTTTATTAACGGGGAGGAAGGGGATATACTTTGCAGGCACTTTGAGACATTCTTGGAAGGAGTTAGCTGAGAGTATAGCCCAGCACTGCTATGAAGCCGGCCGTCTGGAATCGCCGACACCACAATCAATTAGCCTTCAGAAAGCTGCGGACATATATACCGGAGGAGACGAGCATATAGCGGAGGTAGGATTGGCGTCTAAGTACGTATATAACCTGATTAATTTTACTATTTCATAGCTAATTCCTCACTCAAGCTCCCTCACAGTTGCCGATCTGGCTCGTGAGATTGGATGGACGCCGAAGATGAAAGAGACGGACTTTCAGCAGAGTCTCTTGGATGACATTAATCTTTTATTTGGTTCTGCATAGTCATGATCGGATTTTTATTGGATCCAGTCACCAACTGTGTTATACAAATCTTTTGGATTGGGTTGAGGCTAGGGTTGACTAATAAGTCGCTACCTTTGATAGAAAAGGAGCATTCATATGACGCAATATTTGCACATAAATGTATGATTATACATCTTGAATATCTGCTTTGGTACAGAACTTAACCTTTTACATTGTTTTAGGGTCACTACTAAAGGCTCCCTCAAGCCCTAATCCCGCTTTTACCTATGACTCCGGAATATCCTCAAGAGCAACTTTGTTCGCTGATATTGCACATCAACTTTAGCGTTAGTTACCCTTCACCTCAATTTCCAGCCCCAAAAGTCTATCTCCGCTGCTGAATTTCTTTCTACTTGCAGCTTACAACTACAATAAGGAACAATCGGCAAGAAACGCGCCATAAATAGTTCCTGTCCAAGATTCAGAGTGGTCATTTGCGGAGACGCCAGCGTGGGAAAGGCGTGTATCATTCATTTCAAATCACAATCAGACTATTCGTGCTAACACCTTGTGTCCTAAATGGATTTAACAGACATCATGAATAAAAAAACCATTCTCATCAAATTTTGAAACTGAATATAAGCCTAAGATCAGTATAGATGTGCACACATTAACTGTCCACGCTGTGAGTTTTGTCTAGTTTCTCCCCTTCCAAAAGTCGAGCAATATGGTATACAACTCAACAATGAGAACAGATAACATATCAGGTAATCATATACGATAGTATAGAACTTGATGGTGATGGCAATGAATGGCACAATGACGTATCGAAGCTTCCCTACCTAGAGGATGTGTACGCAGGCATTATTATGTTAGATGTTATTTCGAGATTATCATACAGGAATGTTCTGAAGCATTATCGTAGGTTCCAATTCGTCCGAGTCCTACATACAATGAAATCTCAGTAAAGGCTGTTTATAATCTTTACAAGCCATTACTTCAGCTGGCAAGACAGATGATGGAAGATCCTGAACTTGTGAGAATGAGAAATCCACCTTCTTCATCTTTTTTGCTCAGCTAAAAGAAAATGGTCTGTGTGTATTTCGTAGGAACTTATCATGCTTTTGGTGGAGCAAAATGGTCTGTCGGATGATTTGGATTCTGCCCTCGGCAGATTCATGGAGCAGATGCCAGAAAGACAACCTGTTGATACTGTCAACTTCGTACCCGGTCTGAAGTGGAAGAACCGGTAATTGAAAGGAATGACGAAGCACAAGACTCGGCTGAAGCAGCTTCAGAGAAGACCTCAGGGACGATACGCAATCACCGGGTTTTCTTATCTGCCCTTAGCTACTCATTGCACAAAATTCGAATCTGCAGTGTTCATACTGAAAGGCATGTGCCCCATAATCTAAAGAAGCTGACGACTAAGGATCTATCGTTGGGGATTCTTTTGACCTTCTACGTAAGAGGAATAGTCAAAAGGAGGGAATATTTAATTTGAGAAACTCGCAAATCCGATTGATTAGATGCCGTGATCGAAAGCAACAACCCCATATCCAGTTTGTAAACATAATACATAATGATCATCGAAGTAGGCGTACACGTAAAAAAAGGGGGGGCATAAATACATAAGGTAAACTCCCACTCCAAATGAGACAATTTTGTCAAGAGAGGAAAAAGAATGTGCATCATGAAGACAAAAAGGAAATCCATTGCATCCAATATCCACAGGTAAAAGGTCATAAAAAATCAAATCTAGTTCATACTTTTTTTCGTGTTTTTCGTTTTCCCGTTTCCCATTCATATCAATTACTCGTCATCAGTCAACCGACGCAGTATACTGATACTCAGAATCATAACCAGCAATCCAATAGTAACCACGACCAAAAGCCCAAACCCAAACCAACCCAGTACCATAGCCGATGAACCAACGCCACTCTTGAGACTGCCGTTGGCCAGGTTTTGGACCATCGAACTAGCCGCAACGGACGCTGTATGCTGCCATAATACAGATACCAGCACGAATACGGAGGCGATTCCGATTAATGTCAGGGCGACTTGGGATACTGGTCTGGATGGGAATGGTCTGACTTCGCGCTCGGAGCCGCTTGCGTCGATTTCTTCGTGCCAGCCAGGGAATGTGGCTAGGAGGATGAAGCAGAAAAAAGCAAGGACAAGTGCGACGATTCTGGAACTTATTAGCATATGGACACTCGGTAAATAGTTGTGGAGGGCTCACATTAAATATGGAAAGACAACAGTATCCTTGAATCTCTCCGCTAACCAAATCACATTCAACGGATCTTGATCAACAGTAACGACCTCCGCTAATGCTGTGGCGTTGGCATTGCAGATGAATGCACCGTTATCAGGCGAAATGCAAATACCGAAGAATCCCACTCGGACCTCCATGGTAGCACCTCCAATGATATTCGCAATAGCTGTTGATACACCTGGATCCACTTGTGCTGGATCAAAGGTCGGCGTATATTTCTCATAGTATATTGATATAAGAAATATGGTAGGTATTTGTGGCGATGAAGAGGAACATCCAGCTAATAGGAGAGCTAGGAAAGAGTCAGCTTGATGCCTCCGAATGTAAGTGTATTGCAATGCTTACAGAGTAATATGATGGCAAGTGCAATGAGAATCATGAGCACATGATGGTACCCTACCATCTGGTATATTCCTATTGCCGCGTTAGCGTAATTCCTCAGTTTGAGCTATGGCATAAGCAAACGTACTCGCGAAACCCCCCGGTAAGGCCGGCATTTTGAATGAATAAATATGATACTTTCAATATCCGATTCTTCCGTCCCCTTAAATGACCTCACTTCTCGGACCTCCCGAGAAGGAGTCTCTATCCTTTAAACGAAACGTGCCTCTCAGCACAGAAGGAGCTCGTTGCTCGTCGATTCGGTATACCAGTAAATGATATGCGTCAGATCGCTCCTTTGTTTCCCACGTGGTTCTCTGGAATTCTCGAGATAGAGTTGACAGCAACACACTCGCGATCTCTGGAATGCGTGCGTGGGTTTGAAGAATGCGACAGTATCAAACCGGTGCGTGCCTGGGATGGAATCGAAGGTCCGTGACGGATATATGTCTAGAACATCAATTTATATCGATTAGATCAGTATGTTCACTCCAAATACATTACAGACATTAAGACGGTATGTATGAGATAATAGAAGGGAGAGATGAAGAAGAAGAGAAGAAGACCGTAGCTATGTTCCAAGGCAATCAAGGACAGGAGAATACTTTCCACTTTCTCTCTTAATTTCAGCGAGACTCTTCAACCTAAACAACAGAAATTGAGGAGGTCGGACAAGTAGTGCAAGAGCATGTATCCTGCAAGATGCGCCGGTGGTGGCTGGAATTCGCATCGCAAGAGGTAGATGTAGGTGGCTGGGCCAACGAGCATTGTTTACTTTCCCGTTGCTGGGGAACGGGCGGTTTACCGCCCGGCAAAAAGACTCATTTAAAGTGTTCGTCTATGCCCGATACGGTATAGTCGCTGATTCATTGTGGGGGACTTCTGGGGCCTGAGGCAGAAATGGACCCATAGTTAAGTTTTAGGTTGAAGCTTGACCGAAAGAGGAAATACATTGATTATCCTACCCATTTATCCATACGCCAACTGAACAGTCCTATTCCCAATACCAACCTGTAGACCAAACTTAACACCGTACCAAAACTCCTATACAATGCGTTCAATACCCAAATATCATATCAATATCCGTCTACTCCGGAACAAAAGAGAATCGCTTCAAATCAAGGGTTTTTGGTGGTTCGCTGTCGTTTAACGACTCTTCAGTCTCTTCTTCTTCATCGCTACAAGGAATGATCTGATCTTCACTTCCTTGGTGGTTGGCAGCTTTCAGATGGGCCTCTTGCGGCATGTCTCTTGTCAGATCAGACTCGTATCCAGAGTCTCCCGCGGCTTTCGCTAACATCCGTTGTGTCATAAAGGTATCCATAGACTTGGACCTTGCCAATGCGCTTTGCCCCAGTCGCTGTAGTGGAGTGAGCCGGCGGCGAAGCGAGCCACTTCGATTGATTGTTTGTGTGGCAGGTCGTGGCGGCGAGCGAGACTGTGATGCCGCCATGCGTAAAGGTGAAGGTTTCTCAAGCACTGAAGGAGAGGATATGCTAGGGCTACTAGTAGTCCCTTTAAACACAAACTTCGAGAGCAACGACCCATTCTGCGTCTGAACCTGTGCTTCCATGACTTGGTTAAATAGCTCTGAGTTCTCATCGATGCTGACAGACTGCTTGTCGCTGCCAACGCTGTCTTCCTGACTTTTGGTATCTTGATCCTCCACAACAGTATCAGACTCCACGACAGCGCATGACTGTTCTTCAATGCACTCGTCAGCGGAAGTTTGAGCCCCTTCTGGAGTGTTGATTGCCTCTGTTGATGTGCTTAGTATTGACGATTGTTCACTTTCAACTTTCTCATTCGAGTTGAGAGACTCGAATGTTTCCGAAGAAAGCTGGCACATTATATCTTCAGCCAACTCATCCGAGAAGACACCAAAGGTAGATCTCCGAGCTTTCTTTGTCAACGAGAATTTCTGGCTACTCGGGCTGGGTCGTGCACTCGAGCCCGTGAAGAAGCGACTTCTTGCTTGCTCAGGAGGCGTTGGAAGTGCATCATCACCTGCATCCGAGCAAAGTCGCGGGCGTTTGGTCGCAGTCGGTGTGGAGGAGACTTTAGCAGCTCGGGCGAGGAATGATTCCCTTTCGACAGCTCGAGGTGTACCACTAAATTGACGGCTCAAAGAAGTCGAAGAGTTTGACCGAGTCAATCCCAGAACATTAACCGGACTAGGTAGCCATGAACTGTTCGCATGGCGCTCGAGTAGACGTTGTTGAGTTGGAGATGGAGTAAGACTGTTTGGATCCAACTCAGTAAGAGGCAGACGTCTCGGCGTGAAAAAGGACTCAATTGATCTTTTCGGCTTGAGTTCAGCCGAGGATGCTAACGTCTGTCTTCTCATTAAGCCTGGTACAAGCCTTGAAGCAAAATGAGTGTACTTGATGGTCTCTTTAGTCACCGGATGCAAATCGCCACATGCAACACCAATTGCAATTTCCGGATCGTAATCCGCGCCTATATAAGGCATCTCGTCCAAGTTCATGCCAGGGTCCGGGACAGTAAGCGTGACCAATCTCTGCGCCGTAGGACAGAAAACCCGCTGGTACAGAAATGTGTTCTCTGCCTTTCTGAAGTTATCAAGATATCCAGCGGGAACCTGATAATGTCCTTCAAACTGAAGTACTCTGAGGACTTTCTCCACATCCCTATATTTTCGCATGCTGCGATAAGCCGTTTTTAATCCCAATTTCGGTATGTTGGATAAATAGTCGCAACCACTCAATATACACATTCGACGAAAATCAGCATCTATCCATCCAATCAAGCTGATATCTCTACAAGCCGCAAAATCGCCGCGGTTGATCTCAATGCAGTCGCCATGTTGATCCAGTTTCGACAGGAGTCGCCTTGCACCAAACACCAATAAATCCGAATCCTCAGAAATAATACCATTGATAATTCCCTGCTGTTCCAGATAAACCAGCTGAGCGTCTGCTTCATATGGAGCTACGACGTATTGGATCTTCATTCGCTTCAGCTCTTCAATTAACTGTCGGGCCATTTCAGGTGTAACGTCGACAGCCTTTTGGAATTCCTGGTATGCTTCTGCCGTGCGACCTATGCTTTGCAATTCCAATCCCAGTTTTCTGCTGTCCTCTCGCTTTTTGAATCGGTCCGCTTCGGTTCCGGATTTGCTGGGCAAGTCACCGCCATCGAAAACTAGGTAGGGCGTCACACCAAAGAACAACAGCATACGAACACGGTTGAGCACGAAGTCGACATGTCTGTTATAGTCAATATAACTTGTATTCAATCTAGGATCCTGTCAATCGACTAACCTGGTGGTAGGTTTATTCAAGGCCAACTCTGTCGCGCAGGCAGCGGTACCTCTGTGAAGCCATCCATAGGCATCAACACCCAAAGTCTGTCCATCGAATTTCTTCAAGTTGCATGGTTTTTGGATGGATTTCAACAGACCATGAAGGCCTATGTTTTGATGGAAAAGTCAGCCAAGATCAGACTATGGCTAATCACGAGATGAAACGTACCTTTGATACCCATGTCAGGCGTAAGTCCCGATACCTGCTTTGTTTACATCAACATTTAGATCGCTATAGACCTGCATGCAGTATACTCATAAAGATTAAGTGGATGATTAAGATATAGAAGAGAGGAGAGTGTATCCAAAAGGCAAGAGTAGGGATTTATCAACGACTGCTGGTGTTGTATTGATCGACTCAATCGGAATGTTCAAGGTCACTCTGTACGACGCGTCTTAAAAGACGCGATGCTTATCGCCCTGGGTCTTGGCAGGCTGCCCCGTGATTGGCTCCCCGCTTTTGTGGCTGACCGCTTTCTATTCTGCACAAAAAAATATTCTACAGCACTTTGCCCATTTCAACATATCTGATTCAACATACTATCTGACTTTACAATTACCAGAGAAGTTTGATAAGTTTGAATTTATATCACAATGCCTCTCAAGAACCTCAACAAAATCCAGAAGAAGCTGTCCAAAAAGCGCGGCAAACTCAATGCTTTACATGAAGAAAGTCGCAATGCAAAAATACTACGTCGAGCCTCGGCACGAGAAGACCGCATTGCTCGAGTTGCGACGTCTGCAATGATAGCACGACAGAGTTTTTGTAAGTATGCGATCTCGAGGAATGGTTAATGGTCTGCTGACTTTACTGCAATAGTGGACCGGGTTTTACATTTTCAGGAATGCTTGGAAGAAGCCACTGAGCCAATCGTCCTGACAGACGAAGATATTGCTGAACTTATACAAAAGTGAGCTGCGCCGGGAACAATTATTTCACACGTATAAATATGAGATGATGAGAACCGAATGGCTAACTGTATTCCAGGTGGATTCATCGCAGCGACGACGAGATCCAAGAACTACAAGAAGAACGCAGAAAAGGACGGCCGCCCAGCAAACGAGAAGAGAATCTCAAACTGCGCACTGTCACCGAGGAGAAAGAATATAGATCAGGCTTCTGGATGCCAGATATCACGCAGGAGGCAGTCCGTCAGCAATTGAAGTTATGGAACGGCGAATGGTCAAGTCTGAGCGCGATAAAATTTATTCGATTCCTCGAGGGAGGCTCTAAACAGCCGTCTACATTTCCACCAAAAGGCTTATCATAGTCGAGTCATTGTTGTATAGGAAAAGTGATGTGTTACGACGTTATGCCACTGTACAAATAGAACTATAGACTTTTCTTCCATGCAATTGCCTAGCCTTGACATTTCTTTCCTTCTCTATGCCCTTTAAGCAGATATCGACTATTTATAAGTTGTAGTATGTACAGACAACTGCTACATAATTACAGGCTGCTAAAACTCTCTAATTTTTAGCTGCAAAAACTTACATCACCATGTCGAATTATCTCCGCCGCTCATTGGCCAGACTCTTCAGCTCTTAGCCCGAAGTAGTTTAGCGTTTTCCGGAGTTTTCCTAAACTTTTTTGAGCTTCGTCAAACATCATCAGTTGTCCAACATCCTTCCTGCGATACTTCCATCCTGATCAACTGCATATCTGTCAATAACTATCTCGATAATACCCTTATACAAGCATATTCACAATGCTTTCCCTCCGTGCATTCACTCGCTCAGCGCCTCGTGCGTTTGCGCGCTCCTATTCCGTTGCCGCTCGCCCATCAACCATTCGTCTAGCAACCGCCATCCAGCGACCCTCATTACTCCAGAAGTCATTCGTCAGATGTCAATATCCTTCTTTCTCTACAGCGAGAATTCTGCGGGAACCTGCTGGTGAAGGTATGTCTCGAATGCCAATATTCAAAAGTCATCAACTAACAGCAACTATAGTTGACCTCGAGCTTAGCGGAAAATTAGAGGAGGAACTCAGCCACGAACAGAGCTCTGGAGAATTGGAAGAATCTGCGGCTGCTATCAAGTCGTTCCTCGAAAATAGCTCTTGGACGGTATGTGTAGATGAATGATGAAGGCTGTGAATCTGTCTAACTGTCAATAGGTCAAGGATGTTGCTGGAGAGCAAGAAGTTGTCTTGACCCGCAAATTCGGCAATGAAAAGTCTGTTCGCCTACAATCAGCTTGTTCATGTATATACTGACCCCAATGTCCCATGCAGAATCCGCGCTACCTTCACCGTCTCCGACCTCCAGAACGTTGCCGAGGACGAATTCGACAGCCTTGCAGAGAGCGACTACGAGAACGTAAACCAAGCCGCACCCGGTGAACCCATCTCCACCCGTCCCGAAGACCGTATCGCTCCTTCCGACCGCGAATTCGATGAAGACGCTATCCCCGGATTCCCCGCTCGCGTCAACATTGCCATCGAGAAACCCGGCAACGGCGCTCTCCTCATCCAAACCACTGCTTCAGACGGTATCTTTGAGATCCACGAAGTTTCTCATTTCGCCAACGCCGATCTTGCTGAAGCCGAGACCGCGGAGAAGGATTGGCTCCGTCAGAGCCTTTACAGTGGTCCTGCTTATGGAAACCTCGATGAGGAGCTTCAGGCTCTCTTTGACCGATATTTGGAGGAGCGTGGTTTCAATGCTGAGTTGGCCAACATTATTCCTGAATATATCACCGTGAAGGAACAGAAGGAATATACCCGCTGGCTTGAGAGTGAGTTTCCTTTTCCATTTCAGTCAAATTCGATTGAAGCTAACCACATTCGCCTATAGCCGTCAAGAAGTTCGTCTCAGCTTAAGTATCCGGCACTAATCTCTATTCGGATATTTACGATCCCTATTGTCTTGAGTAGACAGTTTTACTGACAACATCTCAACGTACACCCATCCGAATGTGTCGCCTCATCTCTTCACCTATGCCACTCTAATCGCTATGCCGTTTTGGCCTAAATATATGTATTATAGAAACCAGATTTAATGCCAGCATTATCATGTCCATTTTTATCATTCGTAACGCTGCTTCTTAGGAATTTATCATATTTACATATCGTAATGGTCCTAGTCAGGCTGATATCTTTGTCGGGCGTGCTGCAAGCGCCTTGCCCTGGCTGCAGGGTCATCACGCTGATATCGGTCCCCCTCATTTTGCCGACGATGTTTAACCACCCTACCCATCTCAACCCGAGGCGAGCCAGACGCAGATCGACGATCAGAAGCCGAATCTACAGCATCACCCGCCACGGAGACAGATCTGCTCGTACTCGTGCTCCCACTAGTGTCACGATATTGCACATTCCGATCCCAATCCGGCAAAGAATTATACGGACTCCTCAACCACGAATTTAACTCGTGCAAAAACAAGCGCGCATTCGCCCTTCCAATAAACTCCTGTAAAAGCTCCTCTGCCTGTCCTGCACTTCCCTTGATGTCCACGGTACGCAAGATGGCGATTATATATTCCAGTAAGAATTCTGCATTGTTGGCTCGTCGATTTTGGAGTCTTTGTTCGCCTGGTCTTGAGGGTCTGCCGTGCGATTCTTCAGTTCCGTCTGGGTTCAGGAATTCGAAGACTTGTAGTTCGCGTCTGATCCATTTCCGGGCTCGAGAGACTAGATTTTCGTCGCGGTTGAATAGTTCGGGGGTAAGTTCGCGGTATTGGGAAAGGCGGTTGGAGCCTACGCGGAGTGAGAATAGCTGGTTGCGATAGATGTGGCGACGTCGCGCCAATGCGTCTTCGGTGTCCGGGATGTACGGAACTCGGTGCTGGAATGGTCTACGTCGAGGACGTTGCCTGTTAAAGTATCCTCCTCGGGGTATATGAGGATCTGCGACGGTGCGTCCTTCAGGATGTGACGGAAGTATATAAAGCTTCGGACCTTCGGGCGATTGAAGATCGTACTTGATTGCTGTTAACTCTGTTTTACCTGCGACCAATATTAGATGAGAAATAAAAAACCAGGGGAAGCTCACATACACAAAGGACATACACGGCGCTGCAGTAGCCAGCTCGCAAGACACAAAAAATCGAAATTGTCATGTTTGCACGGTATAGCGATGGCCGGCTCACTGACCGCATCTAAGCATATGACGCAAGGACTCGTCGAGCCATCTTCATCCTCAAGCGCTACCTCTTGAAGAGTCTTGTTGAGAATCTCTTGTCGAATATTCGCATCGTCAGCCATGAAACAGCTGGAACTGAGTGTATGCACCCGGTCACTGCTTATCCATGTTTTTTGTCAAGGGAGAAGAAAACATGTTTAAAAGATAAGAAGATACCAAATCATGCGGCGAATTGCTTGTGGGTGGGTCACACTTTTCTACCCCAGCGGCAAAGCTTGCGACGCAAGATCCAAACACTCGTCCAAAAACTTCAGATTTTTCTCAATTTTTCCTCGTTCTCCTCTCATCTCATATGAAATGATAAGATCAGCAAAAGCCGTGATGAGTGGAATTGGTCCTAAACAGCTACACAATATGGCAATGCCACCGGTCAATGGGATGACTTCAGTTTCACATACGATCACGAATTTGAAGCGATGGTCAGTATCCGGAAAGGAGCTTCCTGGTACGCAGATTTCTTTTTCTTTAACAGGTATGCGCTCATTATTTGTTCTATGCTTACGAATTATAGCTGTCTCGCAAATAAAAGCAATTCATGTCTACGACTTCGACAACACTTGTGAGTCCCCTCACTTTCAGCGCAAGACATTGCCTAACATTGAGCAGTATTCAGCAGCCCCTTACCCAATCCACAACTATGGAATGGGTCTACAATCGGTTATCTCCAGACGTACGAAGGTTTTTCCAACGGGGGATGGTGGCACGATTCAAATATTCTTGCAGCAACTGGACAAGGAGCTGACATTGAGGAGACTCGAGCCTGGGCGGGGTGGTGGAATGAGCAAGTGGTTCAATTGGTCGAGTTGAGCATGAAACAGAAAGATGCATTGACTGTGCTCCTTACTGGTCGGGGGGAAGACAACTTTACAGACATCATCAAACGCATTGTCGGTAGTCGCAAGCTTGACTTCGATCTCATTTGCCTTAAACCGGAAGTTGGCCCAAATGGCCAACAATTCGCATCTACTCTCGTGTTCAAACAGACATTTCTTGAATCTCTGGTCTCTACGTATAGCCACGCAGAGGAGATTCGAGTCTACGAAGATCGAATCAAGCAGTGAGTCAGCACGACACGGTTGATGACTCTATTACTGACTTTCTTGCAGTGTGAAAGCGTTTCGCGACTTCTTCACCTCATTAAATGAACGTCTTCAGACTCAAGGCGATAGAAAGCCACTTAATGCGGAAGTCATTCATATCGCAGAAGGCACTCTTCATCTTGATCCCGTCACCGAAGTTGCCGAAGTTCAGAAGATGATTAACGAACACAATCTGCGATATCACGATTCAGCACAAAATCTAACGAAATCACCATATGGACGGTTAAAGATTAGGCGATCCGTTTTCTATACAGGTTACCTCATCGATGAGACGAATTCTAATCGTCTGATATCAGACCTTTTACAACCGGCGTTACCCGCGGGTCTAGCTGAAGGTAACGAGGTAAAACCACTTGCTAATATCATCGTGATCACACCACGGCCAGCACCAAAGTCCATCATCAACAAGGCTGGTGGCATGGGAAAGACAATTAGCTGGCGAGTAACTGGACTAGGTCACTGGGACCATAAAGTGTGGGCAGCACGTGTTGAACCAGTATCAAAGAATGAATCTTACTACACTGAAACTCCTGTACCCGTGGTCGTTCTTGGACTTCGGAGAGGTGCGCGGCCTGTGGATGCAAATCGCATTCAAAAATGGCAACCTGTCCACCCCGAGTCAGCCCTTGTATTCGATGCCGTCGTAGGGGAGAGAGTCGTTCTACGGGTAGATGAGGATACATCAGATGGAGATTGGAGTACTTACCATGGCAACAAAAAGAACAAGAGACGACACCCGGTCGGTCATCGAGATGAGGACATGCCAGATTCGGCAAGAAACAGCTTTGACTCAAATCCCTATCAAGCACTCAATGAACATGCTCCATACAGACGCTCACCTCACGGCGGGCGCAGTCAGAACGATTCCAGCCATCGGGGCCGGGGTCGAGGAGGACGGGGCTCTGGTTTCGGCAGAGGACGAGGGTCCTCGCGCGGTGGTGGTCGTGGTCGTGGCCGCGGTAATGATAATGCCAGCCGTGCATACCATGGCTATCGCTCGCTTGACGAGCAGAGGATGGGTTCCGATAACGGAAACGAATCTCAGAGCAATGCCAATGGCGGTGTACCGTTGATGAACTATTGACCTTGAGCAAGATGATGAATCGTGTGCAAAATGCATACGTCTGAGTGAAATTTGAAATACGCTGAAATGATGATATGACGGCTATTCTGTTTGATGTTTTCGCACAGCTGTGTCGGCCAATCGAGATGCATTATCGGCGTTATGGTGGTGGACGGATTCGGCGTCTATTTGACTGTATTATACTTATGAGCTCCGTTATATTTGATATGTTCGGTGAGAGCATACATAGTCTGAATGAATCTGGTCGGCCTGTTAGGTTTTTGATCCCGCTCAGGGCTCTGCATACCTTCAATGTATCATATGTATTGGCTTGTAGCAATCCAACGCGATATGAGATGAAATTCGTGCCATTATATTACTAATTAGCACGCTCAGATACCTAGGTAATACACGAGTTGTAACAAATTTGCAGTCTCTACTCGGAACTTAGGGCTCACAACACACGGGATTCGGAGTATCTTCTCCGGGATGATCAAGCAGATTCCATACTACGTTTCAAGAGATATTGCATAACTAGTTATATATGTCAGTGGGCTCATTTCTTCGCCGCTTTTCAGTACAGGAAGTCGATCATCATCAGTTCAGTTCTCCGAGAATTATGGATGCCAGCAGCGATCAATGCAGGGCTATATGTTCTAGCTCTAATTAGCCTTATTAACGTACTTACTTTGATGATCTGCGATTCAAAAATGTATTACTACACATATCTGCGAACTATTGTGGTTCTAGCTAGTTGGTACTTTCTAGTTTCTTCATTTATCAAGAGTCCGTAGTTAGTGCTAATTTCTAACTGACATAGTAGTTATTAAGATTACGAACAGCTCTCCACAGAAATAAACTATTTTAATATGCGCTCAGAGAAGATAAAACTGGAACATTCGAAGAAATTACCTAGGTATTCATTGCATATCCTTGACAGGAATGGCAGCATGCAGAGCAATTCCCAATATAACTCGGACTATCGGAGTATTAGAGCTTCGTTGCACGGCATACTGAATTCTAACTACACAAACTCATGCAGTTAAACCTGCATGAACCATTGAATTTATTTGTAAGTACGTCGGCGAACGTCCTTGTTTCCTTGTAAATGCGTGTAGGCTCATTACATACCTTCATTCGGGAAGCCAAATTGATATTTCCGCTTCAACAAATCAGACCCATCGAAAGAATTCGTCATGATTGCTTCGTCATACAAAAACAAACGAAGGGAAAAGATAATGATTAACGAGCCAAGCGGAGTACGGAGTTTGCTACAAAATATCAGAATTCGTTAATTGGCACAATCGACCATGTATCCGCTCCCGGAAATCCCTTTGATACAACATGCAATCTGCATTGGAGAATAGGACATGTAATGTCTACCTCATTCATGATCGTCATTTCAAAATAAATAAAATTGGCTATGACAGCTAAGCACTGGAAAGGCATACCGATTATAGACGGAGTATTGTTTTTTGCTCGTGAGAGTGGTGTTGTACGTCTTTGTGAAGATGGATGCATTGGATTACGACGTCGATACCTAGTTGGGTACTCCCGAAGTTATGGATGGGAATGATGCGGATTGTCAGTTTGTCTGGACATATAAAGGGGTCGTGATATCTGGGTTGAATTTCGTTTTAAGACATCAGCAAGGATCAAGACCTAGCAGGACAAAGATAAGGATAAGAGAGCTGACAGAACAGAGACCTTTTACACATCCAGGTAAGTCTGTCACCCTTGGCAGATGTATTGATTCAACACTGACAAGATCATAGATAAAACGCATATATACAAAATGAAGTTCACCTCTGCAGCAACGGCTTTCGGCGTCATCAACATGGCCCTAGCTGCCCCCCAATTCCAGCCCAGCCGGGTTGAACCCTCCGGTTTCCCTGAACCAGCTTTCAGGGAACCATCTCGATTCCCAGTCGCTGCTGCAAAACGTCAATTCGAGTTCCCTGAACCTTCAGGTGCAGCTGCTCCTGGCTTCCCAGGGTTTGAAGGCCCTTCCTTCGAACGTCCCTCCAGTTTCCCGGTTAAGAAGCGTCAATTCGAATTCCCCGAACCCTCTGGATTTCCAAGTTTCCCTGGCTTTGAGCGTCCTGGTGCTGCTCCCTCCGGTTTCCCAATTAAACAGCGTCAATTCGAATTCCCTGAGCCCTCGGGCTCAGCTTCTCCTGGCTTTCCAGGTCTTGAGCATCCTCCTTCCTTCGAGCGTCCCTCTAGCTTCCCAGTTGCAGCAAAGCGTCAATTCGAATTCCCCGAACCCTCTAGCTCAGCGACATTCCCAGGCTTCGAGCGTCGCCCCTTCGGACGGCCCTCCAGCTTCCCAGTTGCAAAACGTCAATTCGAATTCCCCGAACCATCAAGCTCAGCTTTGCCAACTCCTCCCTTTCCTCGTCCAACGTTTCCTGGGGAACCATCTGGGTCTGCTTTTCCCGTGCCACCGTTTCAGAAGCGTCAGATTGAGTTTCGGGAACCCTCGGGCACGGTTACGTTGCCTTCTGGGTTTCCTACTCCGCCTCCGTTTACAGCTCCTACGCCTCCTGCTTTTCCTTCGGGTACTGCTCCTGGGGGTTTCCAGGGGCTTGTTGCTAAGGCTTTTGGTGCTTAAAGAGGTTCCAGTAGAATCTATACGGTCAATTATCGGATTGCCTTGATGATTGTCGACAGTGGTGGGTAATAACTATAGGGGACGAAAGGTTAAGATTATAATATACTAGAGTATGAGATGTTTGTTGATAATGCTTGCTATTTGAAATGTTAGTTGTCGGTGAAAAATAATGTATCTCACTCTCATTACGCTTGCGCAATCATATTAGATGGTATGATACTATGTACCTAAATAACTGTTCAAACATCATAAACTTCATAATTCAGCCAATACTAATGAGTCATATGCTTCGTTTGTGTGCGAGCATGCAGTCTTCCCAACCAAGACCTTGACGTATATCTCCGAATCCTCTTTCCAAAGATCATAAAAATCACAACAATTAGATTATTAGCAAGCAAAATGCCACAAAATATACCAGAAATGACAACCACGTAACCTCGCTGCATAACCCAATCAAGTACATACAAGCTCATTCCGAACGAAATCGCCTGTTTGCCGAGATTCATGGCAATAAGCATTTCGGGCGTGTTTGCATTGTACGAGTCCACTGCATAGGCAAGCACAAAGGTAAAGTAAAAGTACGAGCCAAATTGATCCATGGCCACACCTGCAAAGTATCCCATCCAGTGCAAGTTGCGCTCCGCAGTGTAACCGAAGACGATAAGCCCGGCCGGTGGGATGAGCATTGGCAGTAACAAAACACCCAGTCTCATCTCTGCCTCTCGAATGCCACCGTTTCTCTTGGTAAGATATGCAGCTAGACGGTCCGAGCTAGAGGTAAAAGGAAAAGCTAGGAGGTAGCCAACAAGAGTGGCAAGAGCAAGTAGACCGGAATTTGTCTGTTAACTTCAGATTAGCTGAGTACAACATCATAAGGGTTCGGCAACCGTACCTGGCTCCAGTTGTATGGTGGCGCCGTAATCTTTATGGGAAAGACGTAGTTGAATGAGAAAGCTCCAAGGCCGATATATATGCCTAAAGCATATGTAAGTAACTCAACCACTGTCAGGTATAGGTTCATATCATACCATAGGTTGTAATAACCCAGAAGACTGCTGGCACAAAGAAGTAGGTAAATGAGCGCAACATCGTAACGAAGAATTGTGCGTCAGGGTCGATGGAACTCCAAGGACGCAGAGTCGAGATATATGGCTTGCGAGCCGGAATCCCTGCCTGACTGACACTTTCGGTATGTGCAGATGTTTGTAGTTTTTCATCAGCAATACTAGCTGATGGAGTACTGTTTTCATGCGGTCGTTTGAAGTTGGTCTCTTCCACAAGGAAGAATGCTGCAATGAGAAGAGCACCTGCAAAAGCTAGAACAACATAGAAGAACAGCCTCCAAGAATATCCGCCCGCAAGCATATACCCGGCGTATAGGGGTCCAGTAGCTCCGAGACAGAGACAAACTGTGTATCAATGAGTTACCGGGCGATAGAACCGTTTGAGCAAACATACTTGTATAGTATCCCAATCTCTTTCCTCGTTCATGCAGATAAAAGATATCATTGACGAGTTGAACGGGGAGTGACTCGCAGACTCCGCTACCGAGGCCACAGAAAACCCGAGCAACCATGAGCCCTTCATACGATGAAGCTCGTGAGGCACCAATCAAGCCTCCAACAAACTAGATGAATCAGATATTAGTATATGTCGGGCACCGCTGGGACAAGGTACTCACGCATGCCATGGAGAGTAACGTCACTGGTCGACGTCCGATCTTGAGATACAGGGGTACAAGAAGGAGAGAACCTAAAGAGTCAGCATCATTGAATCAATATGTAGACATCTTTTACTGACCAAAGCCAAACGCGAGATTAGGATAGGACACCAGTCCAGAAGCCTTGGTAGGAGTAATACCGAATTCTTCAGCATAAATACTAATGTAGACTGATGGTCCAGTAAGGGTGCAGTTTCCGAGGAACGAGTAGAGGGCACAGATGATCAAGATGGAAGATTTCTTCCATTCAGGCCACTGAAGCGGATCATTGGGGTCATCTGTAGGGACTGGGTAGAGAGCTTGTCCATAGCCTGTGTCGTCGCCTTCGACGGCATTGAGATCAACTGTTCCGGGAATATCGACTTCATGTGCATGGCTATAGTTAGCTGTTAGCAACTTTACATGATGCTCAAAAGAGTGCTCTACCTATGGACCATATGCCGGGGGCCATGTTCAATATTGTGTGTACTCGCCATATTGTTGTTTCTGTGCAATCCAACGACGGATGTTCTATCCAGAAGATGGCAGTTTCGATTATTTAAAAGATCTCTCTCAGAATGGAGAGCTTCTCCACAGCATTTCCAGTGCTTCAGTATCAAACTCTAACGGTTTTGCGGGGCTATCGCCTTGTGGGACTAGATCTTACAGCTCTGAGCTATAGCGGATCTTCACCGAGTTGGTCGTTATCTGTGAGCAATTCGTGTCAACTGTGCGAAAGAAGGCAGCTCGATCTCTCGATAGACGAATTAGTGCAGCATCATTTATATAAAGTCTGCTTGACACCCTTAGAAGGCGCTTCACATGTCGAAACAGCCTGCCGAGCTGCGAATTCCTGAAGAATGTGGATGCTCCATAGCGAGTTGCGGTCGTAATGGAGCTCCTTTTTGAGATGTAAGAAGTTATTCCGTGTTTAGATGAAGCTGCCATGGTCCCATTGCAGAATTCATGTGATCTGTGCTCCTTCCTGACGAGCTAGAATCGTCTGGGGAAAGAATAACCCCAGATTGTGGCACGTGCACGATAGCCTGGGGAAGGAAGGAGTGGACCCATCAATATGGGGCTCCTTCCTCTCTTTTGCTGGCCCCACGTCCATCTCCCCGCCGATTATCTGATGTTTTTATCTCTTCTTCGGAAGAGAGATATCAATGAAGTGCGGAGTTGTTCCAGCTCCATACAAATGTATCATCAATGGTTCCGTATCTGTCCGGGCAATTGACCGTGGAGGACGAAGATACTATTGCGAAGAGTGTAGGGAGACTGATCAAATACTGGAAGCATTATGGAGCTGCAGAGGCAATTATATTACGGGGATATCCTTACGTGCTGCAAGCCATCGAGCTTGTTCAACTGCATTGTAATGCTCCTTGCCGTGATTCCGCGACAATTCAAGCCTATACGGAAGCTCAAGATGGAACTAGACCGAGAGTTACTTGATTCTGAATCGCCAATTCGACTCCGTTTCTCTGATTGATGCAAAAATTGTTCCGTCTCAATTTACTTTCGACACCATGACAGGGGATATAAAGGAAACCTGTCCCTATAGCTCTACAATGTTTCAAGTCTCAAGATACCAGCAATGAGAACGACATTTTTCCTTGCTTGTGCCCTCCTGGGTTACTCCGTCTCAGCTCAGATCATAGGTGCCTATGGGCAATGCGGAGGGAAAAGTTATTCAGGCTCTACAGTATGTGCCTCAGGTTATGTATGCACGTATCTGAATGACTATTACAGCCAATGTGTCCCAGGTGGGTAGTATCTTGAATACTAGGTTTCTTTCTAATACCTGAACAGGTAGCGCCATGACTACGACCTCTACGACAACATCCAGAGCAGTCTCATCTACAACTAAGGCGACTTCGACTTTGACCACTTCGTCAACACCAGTTTCAACCGGCTTTCCTAAAGTTAACGGTCTCAATTTCACGATCGATGGAAAAACAAACTACTTTGTAGGAACAAACACTTACTGGCTTGCGTTTTTGAATAACAATAGCGATGTTGACCATGTTCTGAGTGATATTGCATCTTCTGGTATGAAGATTCTCCGAGTTTGGGGTTTCAACGATGTTAATACTGTTCCGCCCTCGGGAACCGTCTATTTCCAGCTCCTCGCGAATGGCACGGCGACAATAAATACCGGCGCGGACGGCCTCGAGAAACTCGACTACGTGGTGAGTTCGGCCGAGTCGTATGGGATTAAATTGATCATTCCTTTCGTCAACAATTGGAATGACTATGGAGGGATGAATGCGTACGTCAATGCTTTTGGAGGTTCGCAGACGACTTGGTATACCAACACCAATATTCAAGCGGCCTATCAAGCGTACATCACGGCCGTTATTAGTCGGTATCGCTCGTCGCCAGCAATATTTGCATGGGAGCTTGGCAATGAACCACGCTGTAATGGGTGCGATACATCGGTCATTACTAACTGGGCAAAAACTACGAGTGCTTACATAAAATCTCTGGACTCGAACCACATGGTAACTACTGGGATCGGTGAGTTATATCGGTAGGATAACATGAATATCCAGGTTGAGCTAACACGTGTTCCCTCAGAGGGATTTGGTCTTGATGCCGGATCAGACGGCTCATATCCATACACGTACAGCGAGGGAACAAACTTTACCGCTCTCCTTTCCCTATCTGATATCGACTTTGGTACCCTTCATTTGTATCCCAACAGTTGTAAGTATTTACCCCATTCATCCCGGAAATAGACTGTACATCTCATGCTAGGAGTGCACTATTTGCTGATCAATAGCAGGGAATGAGCCTTTAAACTGGGGAAGTAGCTGGGTCTCAACTCATGGAACGGCCTGTGCATCGATTGGCAAACCATGCATTCTCGAAGAATTCGGAACGACATACGACCAATGCACGTACGAGGCACCTTGGCAGACCGCATCTCTTGACACGAAGGGCATTGCAGCAGACATGTTCTGGCAGTACGGAGATATGCTGAGCACGGGGCAATCGCCGAATGACGGGAATACAATCTATTACGGCACGGATACATATACTTGTGTTGTGACGGACCATATTAAAGCAATTGGATAGAGGTTGACAAGTCAATTTTGTTTCATATGACTACCTACCTACATCGTTGGTAGTTAATGCCAAGGGTTGATGAAATGACGTGTCAAGAGCTAGTCCGAGCTGATGCAAGGGAATCACTATCAACATATGCATTACCAGTTGATTACTATTCGAATCGCTCATTAAAATGAATAACCATCCATTGTTCAACCGGGATACACTGTACGACAATGATAAATACTTCGAGACGCAGGTGATGCCACTTTACAGCTGATACCCAGCGCGGATAACATGCATGCGCGCCTGGGCATCAACCGGAATTTCAGGCTCTCAACCACTGACAACATGCAACATGTATAAAATTCTCTTGGAACATAATAAACATCACTTATTATAGTGTGCCACCATTCCACTAGACAGCACTTACGTGGCAGTGCTGTGGCAGTGCCCCTTCTCATCTCAATTGATCCTAACTCGACAGAGGTGACACTTAAAAATCGAACTCATTTCTCACCTGCATGATTCAAGCGTATTCTGAAACGTTTCGCATGCATTATCGGTGTATGGTATAGAAGCCCTAAAGTTATTTAGCCACCCAGATTATTTAGACGAAAACTCAAGCCTAATCCCGATCAGGTAACTCGCAGATCGATAAGAGATGCCGCTATTCCGTATGTATACTAGCGTGACAGATTAGATTTGATAAGGGTTGTCGGGAAAGTCAAATGAAACTACAACAGCCACAAAAACTTTTGTTTTGTATCATCTACTTATACATATGTGTCAATAATGTGTACAGTTTTGGGATGAACAGGGAGAATAGCAAGTATTGCTATATCATGTTTGTAGAATTGTAAATCGGTTAACTAACAACTACTAGTCTATCAACGTGATCCACCCCCCCGATGGAGATTTTATGGAGACTTCTATGGCCCTATGGACGGTGTACATGAGTAGCCCGCCCCATCTGCTGCTCTTTTCTTAACAAGTTTCAATAATGAGTAAGGACTCTTGACCCCGACTGGTCGGAAGAAGAGCCCCTCCTTCAACAGTTTTGCATCAGAAGTTCCAGAAGCTAACTAGCTTAGAAGAAACTTGTGAATGAATGCCCTAAAAGGTAGATACCCGCCTACTTACATATGCCAAATCATGGAAATCGTGGGCCAGGCTAGAATACCCTTACCTCACCCTTAATATTACCCGATCTTCAACTCTATTAGCTGGTAGTTACTCGTTAGTTGCGTTATTATCCATCTTTGTAGCTTGTTACAAGGCATTATTAATGGGTTTGTCCACTTCTTTTTTTCTCTTTCCGTATTCTCGGTATTGTAAGGAGGCTCCGGTGTCATACTTATAGATATGATGTGACTACCTCCATATCATTTTACATATTTGCAAATTTGCATGAGACAACGTTGTCGAGGTAGACAAACTTGTCCAGACTCAACATCTATCTCTTTAATGTTGCTCTCAATCAGTAGCAGTAGTAACTCGGGGACAAGTCCCAGATATTACTATCCTGCTTTAACAACCACTTTCCACCTACTCTTCCTACTATTAATATTATTATTTTCCTCTCCATCCAAAGCACAATTCACCCCCAACTTCCCTCTCCCACTACCCACAACCCACTTCGGCCGCGATCCAAACATCATCCTCTACAAAAACGAATACTACCTCTTCTCAACAACCACCGACCTCCTATACTTTCGCGCCTCAGATCTCTCCGGCCCATGGAGACCAGCAGGATCAGTTCTCCCCGCTGGAAAAGGGAGCATAATCCAGGACAAGGGGGATCCAAATCAACCCTGGGCACCGACTGTGATTCAATACAATGATACCTTCTATTGTTTTTATTGTGTGAGCACAATCAATACACAGAATAGTTCGATTGGAGTCGCGACTTCGAGTTCCTTGGATAAAGGGACAAAGGCATGGACTGATCACGGGGCTATTATCAATACTCTTTCCGGCGCGAATGCAGATATTTATCCATATAATGTCTCCAATGCTATTGATCCGAGCATCATCATTGACCCTACCGACAACACTCAACAGGCATGGTTGACGTTTGGAAGTTATTGGGATGATATTTTCCAAGTGCCCCTATCGGCGGATTTGTTATCTGTTGAGAACGCTGATAATCCTGCTGCCACGCATCTAGCGTTTAATGTTAGTTTTCCGGCTGAGGAGGCCTCATGGATTAGTTATAGGGCTCCATGGTTTTATTTGTGGTATAGTAAGGGGTATTGTTGCGGGTTGGATATTAATAATTTGCCGCCGGCGGGGGATGAGTATGTCTTCCTCCCTCGACTACCTAGGTATACCTGGTATTGAATAATACTGATTGGGGCAGATATTCGATTCAGGTCGGTAGATCGTTGCATGTCTCGGGGCCGTATCTTGACAAGCAGAATGTCTCACTGGCAGAAGGAGGCGGGTCGTTGGTCTATGGATCGAATCATAACGGTCAGGTATATGCCCCTGGTAGCAGTGGTGTGGTTACTACCAGTTCTGGGAGGGATGTCTTATATTATCATTATTGTAAGTGTGTCTTCACTTATCAGAAGAGTTTGAAATTACTAACTTTGTCAGTGAATTTGAGTATAGGTGTTTCCGACGGGGTAGGTCATCCCCCCCTGTTTTTGGTCCTAAAGCATTCACTCATACAATCATATACATAGGACGCAATTATAGGTTATAACTACCTCGACTACAATGATGGCTGGCCGACTGTCAGTTCAAGGTACGTCTCTCCTTAATCCTAGCAACAACTGAACAAATCTAATGACAATAGGCGATACGATGACGTCCGAGACGTCAAGTCTGCTGGGTCCCATGTCCTAATGACTCGGTATACATTATATTTATGTAAGTTCTTTCTTCTTTTCCCATGAGTCAGATTTATTGACGTACGTCAGGTATGGTTTTATGCACGTTATGGCTGTTATGAGATATGATTTTGTTTATAGATATCGAGGAGTTCAGATAGAATGAAATTTTAATATAGATGGATTAGATCATGGATATGGTGTTCGGTTGAAATCTTATTTCGTGCCGGGAGGACCTCTCATGGTTACATGTAGGGACCTGGGTAAAGGAATTTATGGATGATTGATAACCCTGATATTGACCTCGGGAGTTGCCGTGACCGAGCTGATTACTCAGATAGCATACCTGAATTAAGTGAAATTAGTCAAGTTCAAACCAGTGTTCATGTCTCATTATACAATCGCTACTATGGTTGGGGCCGGTAATTTTGTTAGCACGATTTTTTTTACAGGGGTTGAAATCCAATGAATTCTGCCAGTCATATCTGATTACTAATCTAATATTTTGTATGACCACCTCGAGCATCTATTACAGCTTGGCATCTAGCGTGCATAGAGTCAATGAGCTCCTTCAAAAACTGCTCAGGCAGTGCATCCCAAGCAGCTCGTACAACCTCACGGAGTCGATCATAAGAAAGTTGCTCATCATCTGGATATTGTTCTTGAATCCAATCCTTCATCCAATTCCATACTGCTTCAATTGGATTGAGATCAGGTGAGAATGCTGGCCAATAAATTGGATATATCCCACGAGAATGAAGCTCTTCGAGAGTCTCCTTACTCGCATGGCCAGGTGCCCCATCCTGCATAAATTGAAGCCAGATATCGTCTCGTAATAAGCGAATATAGCCATCAATAATTGGTATAACCCGTTGACAATATCTCTCCGAGTTAATAGTTCCCCATTCCCTCTCCCAGAATAAACACGGACCCTTGTTATTCCCATGAAAAGTAGCCCAGAACATCCATCCACGTTTCCGTGCAGGAGAGGATCGTATGCAAGTCTCTTCTAACTCTTCACCAGCCTTTCTAGTTACCCAGATTCTCGTATGAAATCCTGAAGTAACCCATGTTTCATCAGACCAAAGGATACGATTCCATTGTTCAGTCGTCCAATTCAAATGCTCTAGGGCCCAGGCAAGACGTACTTGTTTATGTTTATCTGATAGAGGAGGTTTATTAAGAGCCTTGCATTGTGTAACCTCGTTTTTTAAGAGCTCGAGCCAGGGCGTGCTTTCCAATAGATAGGTTAAGCTCTTGTATAACCTTATAATAAGGCATACGTCGCGTACGCTTCGAAGAAGTAATCCATTCGATAATATGATCAACTTCAGCCTCGGAGAGCTTCGGAGGGTTGCCACGGGCCTTTTTAGGGGTTGCTTGCTGGCTTTGGCACGTATATTGGACTTGGCGATAGCTAATTTGAAGTTGCTGAGAGATTTGAAGATATGTAAATCCAGCATCTCGAAGGGTTAATACTCGGATCCGTTCATCCCTATTCAGCCGTGCTGAATTCTGCCTGGAATCAGATGGCTCGAGAGCTGCTGCGCTTGTTGCCCTAGAGGGGCTGGTAGGCTCGGGGGTGGCCATATTGATCGTCAAATGTCATATATCAAGGCTTGAAAGGCTGAAAGCAGACGGATGGTCAATATTCTATTTAAAAGGCGGTGAGCCCCGGAGCCTGACCGCCTAAAAATCGTACTAACAAAATTACCGGCCCCAACCGTAGTAAATCAAACGCCTCGCTATGCAAGTAACAGTCCATAACCGATCCTATAACGAGTATATATCCATATCCACAACACCAGTAGACCTCATAAAGACTTGTCCACCGCACTCGGCTTCAATTGATCATCACAAAACAACTTCAATATCCCATCAATCACATTCGTCGCTGTATCCTTTGCTAAAACCGGCGGTTTCGTCTCTGCACTCGCCATCTTCAAATAATGTCGAAGAGCGAACGTCGCCGCTCTGTATGTAGCATGATACATGGCCTTAAATTCTTCCTCTTCGGCCGGAATGGAGGAATAATCCGGTATTATGCTGTTTTCGCGCTGCTGATGGTGAGTGTCTGGTTCATGGCTTGGTTCGCATGTGTCGCTAAGCGTTGTAGAGGGCTTGGTGGAGCGGCTTGTTTTGCGGTTATAGCCGTATAGACGCATGCATGTTAGAATCGTGCGGGTGGTGAGATCTTTATTTCGTGTCATGATAGTTTCCCCGTCTAGTGGGAATGATGAATGTGGCTCTAATAGCGACGGGCCTTCGTTTCGTGGTGCTGGTTTCACGAAGTTGGTAGTTGGTGAAGGTACGACAGATTGACTACGCATAGACTCACTGTTGGTAAATGATTGAGATGCGGTTAACTTCGGTTTCGAGTCTCGACGATTGATCATTCCCTTTGACGAGCCGGGTCTCCTATCACCTACAGCCACGCTCTCGCTAAGTTTGGTCAACTGACTCCCACCTATAGAAAGCGAGCGGGCTCTGCGCAGATCCAAATATCCCAATGCGGGACTACCGAGTTCATCCGCCTCCTCTTTAACCTTTATCAAGGACAAGTGAGGCATCATCTCACGCTGCCGGACACGACGATGATGCTGCGCAGCTCCCTCGAAAAGAGACAATATCCGTTTGCGCTTGGGACTCGGCGAGCGCAAATCCGGTAAGAAATTGGCAAACGTTGCATCTTTACTGTTATCTGATACTGTATCATCCCCAGCCACACTCGACCGCGGCGAAGGTAGATCTCGTACCCTTTGCGCAAAAGATGTTGCTAATGGAGCTGCATATATTCGCAACTCTCTCTTAATTCTCGAATACTGTTCGTATACGCCATTCTCTCCAATGAGAGAAGACGAGTCGGGCGGTGACGGTGGTCGAATCGTAGATTCATCACTTCCAGAGGATAGTATACCGTATATGAGCAGATCCGACACATTGCTCGCAGATGAAGTATAGCTTCGACTAGCAGTCACACCGACCAACAACCCCACTGGGCACTGAATAGTACTAAAATGCTCAAGCACCCCTCCATCATCCTCATCCAGCCAGATACCGGATAACAATCTCGATTTCAACCATTCCGACGTTTCCTCGGTGGTAGAATGTAGTTCAACGCTGGGACCTGCTCGTACATATAGAGGGATGAGGCTGGGGTTCACCAAGCTGCGTAATGACAGTCTGGCATCTTTTGGTAGAATGTTTTCTCGTCGTTGAGAGGAAGTGGTGAATTTGATTTCTGGTGGTTGGAATGAGGGAATACGTTAGTCAAGAACTGCTGGTGTAGAGTCAACAATGATATCCGGAGAACTCACTCAGATCTGAGTTAGTATCAATATTGATACTACCCGACCAGACTTCCATTCCGTTGTTGGGAGCGACGAAATTGCATCACTAACTGTTGTAGTTTTACGTTGTTGTACTGGTGGTGTTTGCTTATGGTTTGCTCCTGTGATACGCGACGCGACATAACGCCAGATCACGTGGTCTATATGGATTAATTGATTGTCCATCAGTTTTCTACGAGGTTTTGCTTTTATAGTATTGCTTGAATTTCCATGCAAAACACGGTCAATACTCAAGGAAATAATGTAAGAATTCATCTATTTCCTCAATTCATATGGTACATCGTAGCTCGGAATACATTCGAAATCATCAAATTGCTTTGCAGCAGAAAGCATATAACAGTAAAATCGTGCTAGAAGAGAGAAACAGAAACAGAAACAAATATGAGTTATATCGATGCCTCGATGTATGAGAGCGATTCAATTACAATGTCGAAACAGGCTCGATCAATCTCAAAACAGCATCCACGGCTTTCGCAATAGTGAACTAAAACTCCTCCTGCTCCTGGAAAAATGTACTGAAGCTGATAATAGTACCGTAAATCAAGAGCCCTCCAATGATCGACATGACCATTGCAGGAATCCCGATATAGCCACAGTGAGCCAGGACTGCGGGGAGTGCTGTAATGAATCCAAAGTCAGCACTTCTCTAGCACATAGGTTGCTCGATCCAAGCAAACTGAACCAACGTACCCATTCCCATAAGAACTAAAAATCCGGTCAGGAATCGACCAAAGTCCACAATCGCATTTCCAGAACTCTCAATGAAATCATCCGGATTACCGCAGTGACTGCATATCCAGTTCGGCAACGGCGCGAGAACATATGTCGCAACGACGAGTAGTGTGAGATACTGTTGCCATATAGCTGCTGATAGGATGACTAGGAGGAAGCCAATAGCCAGGATCTGTGGAGCTTGCACATTAGTGATGGGTTTACTTCCGAGCTCAGTCAAGGGTTGAATGAGCATAGCTCATGTAGGGAGCACTCACAAATGATAGAATTATTATCGTTCGCAGTCCCTGCGTAGCCATTTTGACTGTTTATTATGAAGGTGGATTGTCTGAGCCAGGCGAAGAAGACGGCGCAGCTTCGTGGCCGGCCGTAGATCAAGGTCAGATGGCGCCGTGCAAAGCCGTGAGTCGCAGATGGAGCTTTGAAGTGGTATATCGAATGCAATATAATTGTAGATCGGTTGTTGTATGGTCAGATCTATCGAGAGACGTAGCGGGGAAGTATGGTTGATCAGAGGTTGGCATTGGCGATTGAATGTTGGCTGCCTCCGAGCTTGATGGCTGCGGATGCCGAAGCTTGGCGCTGCAAACAGAACAAACCTCCACTCATTTCTAGCTTCCTTGTTTCTCACCAACAGCTTTCCAACAGTTCTGGCCATAGACTTCGAACTGACTTGCGAGCGAAAACGACGATATGGACCAGCAAGATGTTCATCTCGAAGAAGTCTTTTGGCGGTCGCCACAACACGTGCAAATGATGGGAGGATTCCTCCATTCAAACAACGGTAAGAACAGCCCTACCTTATAGTATACCACAGGCGCATTCTAGATAACAGATGATTTCACTATACAGTTCTATTCTACTTTGCTGAATCACCATTCTTCGACGCAACCTCCAACAACGCCTCACTAGCTGTCCAGGCAAACTACAATGAAGCATTTCGGCATTTCCTCGAAACTCGCGAGGTGTTTGAAGGCAGACTCAAGACAATGCAAGGGTTGGAGTTCATGGTCGCATACGATCCATTACAAGCTGCAGCGCAATCGGAGACACAGTTCGCTCATGAACCGTCTAATATTTGGGTGATTCATAAACAAATGAGACAAAAGCGACCAGGGATGGAAGACAATGTTGTGGTGCTTTCGACGTATTATATTGTTGGCGACTCGGTATATATGGCGCCTGCTATTTCCAGTGTTATTGGAAATCGAATAGTGAGTTTATTCAGTATGGAGTCATGGAGACCGTGTCTAACGTTGATTCATCCAGCTTTCGGCTGTGACTTCACTCACCAAACTCTTGAACGTCGCCTCCCCTCTTCCTATTTTCACACCATCATACGGGCACACATACATGCCACCAGGTCCCAAAGCAGCAGATGCTCCACAAGCAGTCGCTTCTCAACAGAGTCAACAAAGTAAAGAGTCAACGCCCATGCCCGATACCCAGGCCACCGTCAAATCATCACTATCCACGGCGAACGTGAAGGATACCTCATACCAAGATACGCGAAACCTAATGGAAGCATTCAATCTTTTGTCGAGATATGGAGATGAATACATGGACGAGACACCTCTGACTGGGGAGCCGGGTTCTTTTATTCTATCAAAGGCCACGGAGACTGCGGCCGGTACTCGGCGAACTGGTCCTAAGACTAGTTCTATGCATGCGCCTGCTGTTCCCAGGAGGCTTGGGACTCCGGTGGTTACGGATATGTCGACTCCTTCACGAGGAGAAGACTAATGATTGTCGTTTTGATTATTCTAGGAGTTTGATGATACCCGGGAATTCTACTTCCCATGTTATGCTTACTTTGCTGCATTTCGTTATAGAATCCAGCCGATATAGACCATATGAAATGGAAGCTCCTGCCACTTTTCGTTCTATCCCTTTGAATGGTTTGATGATGCGTCTCTTGTTTCAATTCATCATCACTCAAAGACATCCTATATTCCAACTGTCATTGATGCATGACTGCCTGTACATTCTGTTCTCAAAGAATGTCTCATAGCATGATCAACAAGGAAGCGACACTAGGCATCCAAGAAAGAGCTTTATTTTCGTGCAACAGTAGCCACTAGACGGCAGATCTCAGGTACTCAGGTATAAATAGAGGAGTCTCCTCACTTTGGACCTATGTATAATTATTTTCTGCCAAGGCAAACATATATATTTGGACATATCTTTTGCGTATATAGGCAGATATCAAAAGGTACGTCAACGTTAAATGGTCGAACTCCACTTTGTCCGATATCCAGTCATGGTATCCGCAGAAAGCACGATGGAGACAACTATGCAATCTGTCTACTACTACAATTTTACAGTTTACTTCTGACAGTTTCGCTTTCTGAACAGAATACCTTTAAGACGGTGGTTGTTGTGACGATTTACTTACATTCTTCTCTCCTTAGTATATGCCACTTTTCGTTGAGTCGTACATACGATTCTAAAGGACCGACGTATACGTATACGTATATACATCGCCACGATATCTAAATATCCAGAGAGAGAGAGACAACAAACACAGGATCAGCATAATGAGTACCTTAACACAAGACAAGCCTACGGTGGTTTGCGTTTTGTATGTCTGTCCACCCTCTACAAAGTTCATATGCTGACTTTCTATAGCTGTGGCTCCGTCGAAGGCAACAATCCAGTACACATGCAAACCGCCAAGGACCTTGCACGAGCCTTCCACGAGCAGAATGTGCACCTCGTCTACGGAGGCGGCACACAGGGCCTCATGGGCCAAATTGCACGTGAACTTGTGCGCCTCTCAGGACCCCAAGCGGTACACGGAATCATTCCAAAGGCGCTCGTAAAAGTTGAGCCGGGATACAACCAACCACCTTCTAGTGACGGTGCAGGAGAAGAAGATGTAAAATCCCAAGAAGGAGCCGGCAAAACCCACGAACGGGTCATAAACGCCGACAAACGCACCGAAATCATTGAAGCAGAATACGGTATGACCACGATCGTGCCCGACATGCACACCCGCAAACGCCTCATGGCCACAAAAGTCCTCGAAGGTGGTCCCGGTTCGGGGTTTGTCGCTATGGCCGGTGGGTTCGGCACAATCGAGGAGGTAATGGAAATGACGACGTGGAATCAGCTCGGAATCCACAAAGTTGGAATTGTGTTGCTGAATCCGCAGGGATATTGGGATGGGGTGTTGCAGTGGATTCGCACGGCGGTTAGGGAAGGGTTTATCAGTAGTGCGAATGGGGGCATATTGGTAGATGTGCAGGAGGTTAAGGATGTGTTGCCTAGGTTGAGGGATTATAGGACTAGTGTTGATCGGTTTCAGTTGACTTGGGGAGAAGAGTGATCCTTTTCTCGTCTTCATCGGTTGGTCGATATAGATATTGTTAGCGGCAGTGGCTGTAAGGTATAGATACGATGATATGAATATAACACTCTATAACGTTTTGATCCGTACATTCCTACTAGTAGCCCAGTCGTCAACTCTTCTTAAAATATCGATGCGTACTCAGTTTTCCATTCGTAATCAAACAATCGATCTATGAAGTAGAACAAATTGATCACTGCGTATCAACCTCCATTTCACCCTCAGCAGCAGCACCATCCAACGCCTCCAACAACGCACCAATGTCCTGTCCATCATATAGCTTAAACTTCTCCAACTTAGTACCCGAAGGCGTCGCCGATTCCTTAGGAACGAGTCCCACAACTCCAACAGTCGTATTATCAATCGTAAGCTCCTTATCCTGAGAAAGAGTCTCCCTCAAAGCCTTCAGACCATGACTAATCAACTCCTCACGCGAACAATCCGCGAACTCAGCCAGATTTCTCTCCAGATAGGTTCGCGCCATCTGTGACCGAGCCCCAATTGCGCATGCAAGCATCTCCTGCGTCATACCGGATGGTTGAAATTCGAATAAATGGGGGCCCGCGTCATCGACGCCCGCGACTAAGAGGCCCACGCCATAGGGGCGTTTGCCGTAATGTTGTGTGTTAGTTTGTGCGCGGTCGCCGATTTGGGTTACGATTCGGTCTAGGGGGATGGCGCGGCCGTATGTCATTCGTGAACCGAGGGATTGCTGTTTCATGAAGTTTGAGAGCACGCGGGCGTCGGAGGAGAGGCCGGCGATGGCGATGCCCATATGTGTGTCGATTTCGATGACTTTTTTCTGGTAGGAAGAGAGTTCTTCTGCGTTTCGCTATGGATTATCAGTTGATGAAACAGTATAATGTCCTTGATGATGGGATACCTTCAATCCAACGAGAACAGCATGTGTCTTGCTAACTAATCCGACCACCACGGAACCTTGTTTGACAGCTTCTTGGGCATATTCCACTTGGAAGATACGACCTTGCGGCGAGCTATAACGGAATTAGCGCCTTGATTCTTACGCTCTGTAGTCGTAAAGAGCTGGATGATGAGCTTGCCATCAACTTACAAGGTCACCGAATCGTTATCGTAATTGTTTCTGAACATGGCTGTATGAGGTCGACGTCAGGGAAGGAAGATGTATTATAACTGTAGTTCTGGACTTTGCAGAAGCTCCCTCTATGTTTTTGATTCGAAGAGAATGTCTGGAAGTTGATGTTGATTGAGAAAGGCAAAGCCCCAAGGCAGTAACCGCACGTCGTTGGTTGTTCGGAGCTCTACTGCACTAGTCCTGATCTGGATGGCTAGCTGAGCTTGTTAAGTTTCAGGCAGTTCTATCTATTCTACCTACTTTATCTCCGAAAGAAATGGTAATGATAGAATTCTCTTTCGTCCGATCCGGACCTATTGATGATGGTGTAGTCATATTACAAATGACGAGCACTATGTCAAACTGTAGTAGTCAGGTTGAGTTACCTGATAGCTCACCAAGTTGATTACTGATAATGTGTATAATGCATGTGTGTTCCAATGCTTGATATAACGCAGATTCCACATTCAAACGTAATTGCAATAATACATACATACATAAAACCCATCCAAACGCCATAGATAACAAATTACATCCTTGTACAAGTAGAATCAAGGTAATCAAAGACAAGTGCTGAAAAACAGGATCTATAAAGCAAATATAGTCGAGATGTCGTCCATATATGACGGAAGAATGGTAGAGTATCGAATCAAGACAACAAGACGCATTCGTCCGAGCTCTGATCTGTAGGCGAATATAGAGCTTATAGGGCTAGGTTGTATGTATAATCATCCTCGATGTTTTGCGAGATCCAAAGGACGACAGAGCTAGAGAAGAGATTAGCCCTGAATAGGACGAAAGATATCAAAAAGCTTACCTGAGCATAACAAGCCCGTTCGCAACCACATTCGCAATACCGAAATACAACGTCGGCAGAGGATAATTCTTCATGACATATTTGAGAACCAAGACCGTCTAAAGAGCCCGTCAACTCAATACTCCATCCAACTAGAAAAGTCCGCAAAATAAGATGAGGGAAAGAATACTCACCACACTCCCCGCCAACCCCCCAGCCAACAACGCAAACCCCAAAAAGAGCACAAACCTCGCCTTCCACGCAACCCCGCTACCACTATAACTAAAACTATCCGCACTCAAACGCGACTTCTCAATGGAATTAATAACCAACATCCCCAGGGCGGAACAGATACCGGGAATCCAATCGACGAATTTCACATGTACGTTTGAGCCGTTTCGCGGACTGGCGCTGAAGGCGGAGGCGTCGATGAGGAAGAAGAAGCCGAGGGAAAACTGGATTATATTCTTATTAGACATGCCTAAATATAAAGGAAAGATGGAGGATGTACCAATGCGCCGGAGACGTAGACGCCGGCTGTTCGGATAGTTGAGTTGTTGAGCCATTCGGGCTTTTGGAAGCGCCAGAGGCGGTTTTCTGTGTCCATTTTTGTATATTATTTTCTCGAGTCTTGTTGTACTATGATGAGCAGTGTATTATAGGGTTTATGCGACCGGCGATTCTGTTGAGTTCGCTGTGCGCTGTTGTCTTGAGTTCGATGATTGTGATGAGCTGCGGCCTGCGCAGCTCGATGTATGTCGTCGCCGGATGTGTCTAACCCAAAGAGGAATAGTTGTTTTATGAGTTACTCAAAGTACTTTCGATGTTTAGCTCGATATCAACTGCGAAATGTTCTGATTTGAGAAAGTAGATCAAGAATTAGAATGCAATCTATTACTTTGATATCGATTTATAGTGGCAGATAATGCGGAAACAACGGTATTCAAATTGAATACTACATCTTCATCTATCAAAGGGATACCCAAACCAGTCCCCCCATATCCATGCTTCTAAGACCGTGTATCCAGGCACTGTGCCTAGGCAATATGGTTTTCTAATGCACTCATAGCCAAGTACTAATTTTTCGACGGACATGGCTTGTTGAAACGAAGCGAGTCTGTCCAAAGGTCCATCCGCCTCTGGCCCTGGCGAGAAGCTCGGCATGAGCTTCAATCAGATGTTTTTTGGATCCTTCCAGTGATTATATTCCGCATTCCATGAAGACATTCAGATAGGAGCTCCTCGAAGCTTATCCAAGATTGTGTCAATGGCTTCCATGTCTCCTGCATCCACATGGTCCGATGTCTTATATTCAGCAGGTAGATGCGACATGACTTCATCCATATTGGGCTGGAAATTGCGGACAGCAGATGAAAGTGCATACACAGATTTTCGGCGGACTTTGGAGTCGGAATCGCTTGTGGCAAGTGACACCAGTGTAGGGAGGGCATTCAGAACGAGTAACTGTCGAAATCCAGTGTTAGTAATCTTTTTAACCGAACATAGCAACCGAGAAGGATAACTTACTTTATCTTGACCCTTTTGGTTATTCTGTACTGCAGTGCCAATACACCATGCAGCCATGCGCCTCATATCAGCTTCCTCGTGCTGCAGCAATCCCACAAGAGGTGACCATAAACCTAGCGGTTCCATATTATTCGCATTATCAATTGTTTCCACCAGTTGCTCAAAATTGTCAAAGGCGACCATCTTGTTCTCCAAATCTACTTCGTCCGACAGCAAAGCCGCCATAGATTCTTTCATTAGGTCTGCGTCGGATGGTCCTCCCATCAAGGCCCTTAAGGCATCTTCGTTCAGGCCGCGAGTTGTCGGAGGTGGCACCGAGGTCGGGTCATCGTTGATGTTTGCTATGGATTGTCTTGAGGCTTCTGAGTTCTCGACACTCCATTTGAGAAGTTCGTTTAATCCGCGATCCATGGTGAAAGAAAGTGTTTATTCGACTGTGTATGAATATGCGGCTGGATAATCAAAATTCAATATGGAAAATTGAGTTCTTGAAAAGGAACTGAAGAGACGAGATATTTCTGAAGAAGCTCAGTTTTAAATTCGTAGAGCCTTTTGTCAATGACAAGCAGTAAGTTCTCGCAGATGCGGCTTTCTTCCATGACTTTCTGTATTCTGGCCAATCGGACGACGCCAATTCGGCGAAGAACCCTGAAGTGTGGCTGACTCATCAACTCCATGCTTCATCTGATGAAGGTGACGCCTAGAATACAGGATGGAGACCTGACACATCTAACGAGCGGATTCTATTGTCTACAGACGCAGGTTATCATCGGCGTTTCACCACCCGTCAATTACAAAATCGAGACAAGGCCAAACAATGCCCCTCCAGTTGTGGCTGAAGATCGGATTAAAGCTAGTCCGAACACACCCCGCGATCCCCTATTGTTGATGCCTTGGAGACCTGGCGTCAGGGAGCGGAATGGCGGTAAGTCAGTTACTCAGCAGGCAGTTTTTGCTAGACTCTCCCCCAGCCACCGTCACTACATGTCAAGAATCGCACATTGACTATGAATATGAAGACGTGATAAGCTTAGCATTTCCAATAGTCAGTGAAGTCAATGGCAGTATGGTGTTATGGGATCTTCGTACGGGAGTAGAAGATGATTTGCTAATCGTCCGGCATCTGCAAAACATCTCGTTTCCTGCTTGGGAATACGAGTATTGTAGCCGACTGTCCCGTCCTCGTCAAGCAAGAAACAATGCGTATTTGCTCTACGGAGTACGCAGTCGCATAGACAGATCTATATCATCTTTCGATGGCAAGATGAACCAGCCGCCACCGACAGGATGGTCCCCGCTATCCCAACCACCGGACTATGATTGGAGACCACCCAGAGGATGACATAGGGTCCTATTAATAACATAAACGTCCCATTTGGTTCCAGTCTTCGCAATATGCTTATGCCTAAACCCATGACGCGGCTCTGTCTGAAATGGAATTGTACAGCCTGGAGAGTCGAACCGTTATCCCTTTATATCGTTGTAGAGTACGGAGAACTAGCGGCGGAGAGAACATGGTCTGTGGTGAGCCTGGCTCGAGGTCTTCCCTAGTGGCTCGCCAGGGTGGGCATGGTCAAGCTATGCCAGTCCCACCAGGAGGCGGTGATGGCGAGTGGAAGCCGAAACGCTGCGCCTAGCTGTCAGTCAAGAGTAAATTCCTCGCAGTCTTCAAAAGGTAGACAATGTGCTTAGGCGTCTGTGTTTCAAGTCAAGGCTGCTGCATGTTGAGTTGTAAGATGTTGTTGTTGCGTTGTTGGATGGAGCAGGCGGGCTTAGTGACTTTAGGTACGTAATTTATGTAATCGGGCGTATTGGTACGGCGCAAACAGTGCATCCGCCCCCCGTAATTCGGTATCGGACTAGTACCAGCGAAACACACTCAGCCATCTCCACTGACTCTGCTCGCTGCTTCTTCTCGCTTCCCACTCTTGCTTCCTTATCATCCTACCCAAACATCTCTCAACGTCCGCTCCTATATCCACCCTCTCAATTCCATCTCTCAACTCCTCTTCAGACCCTTTCTTCCATTTCTTCTTCTTCGCTTTTTTTGTTAACATACACACACATCCTTCATCATGGAAGGTAGGTAACTCCCTCGTCAAACAAACCACACCGTTTGTTTTTGGACACCTCATCGGCTTCTGCCCGCACAACCCTTTCCCCCCTCCCCTCCTCTCTCGAGCGCCACCTGCTCGCGCGCTGCCATAACGCTTCTTTCCATCAATTTGGGATGCTAATTATTTCTGGCAATTACAGAGGAAGTCGCTGCTCTCGTTATTGACAATGGGTATGTTGTCTACAATGGCATCCCCTGCACCTCCTGAGTCGCTGGGCTCGAGCGCTGGTCGTCGTAAATCCGTTGCCTGTCATGCAATCACTTTCGCGCCAGGATTTCGTCGCTAGTGATCCTTTCACTTGAAAATATTGATAAATGTTGATGGAATTGATGACTGATTCAACTTGTTTAGTTCGGGTATGTGCAAGGCCGGTTTCGCCGGTGATGACGCACCTCGAGCTGTTTTCCGTAAGTCAAGCCTTCCACGATCCTGCCGAGTCAAGATGGCAATAGCGCGGGGATGCCCTTGCATCTATGCGTCGCGCCAGACTCGTTGCAAAGCTTAGTGAAACGTGGCATACTAATAACCATTTTAGCTTCGATCGTTGGTCGTCCCCGTCACCATGGGTAAGTGTCTATGCGGGGTTTGACCCGCCAAGAAAAGAAAAGTCATGGTCTAATAATCAATATAGTATCATGATTGGTATGGGTCAGAAGGACTCGTACGTCGGTGATGAAGCACAGTCCAAGCGTGGTATCCTCACCTTGAGATACCCCATCGAGCACGGTGTCGTCACCAACTGGGACGATATGGAGAAGATCTGGCATCACACCTTCTACAACGAACTTCGTGTTGCTCCTGAGGAGCACCCCGTTCTCTTGACCGAGGCTCCTATCAACCCCAAGTCCAACCGAGAGAAGATGACTCAGATTGTCTTCGAGACCTTCAACGCTCCTGCCTTCTATGTCTCCATCCAGGCCGTTTTGTCCTTGTACGCTTCCGGTCGTACCACCGGTATCGTCCTTGACTCCGGTGATGGTGTCACTCACGTCGTCCCCATCTACGAGGGTTTCGCTCTTCCTCACGCCATCTCCCGTGTTGACATGGCTGGTCGTGACTTGACCGATTACCTCATGAAGATTCTTGCTGAGCGTGGTTACTCCTTCTCCACCACCGCCGAGCGCGAAATTGTCCGTGACATCAAGGAGAAGCTCTGCTATGTTGCTCTTGACTTCGAACAAGAAATCCAGACCGCTTCACAGAGCTCCAGCTTGGAGAAGTCCTACGAATTGCCCGACGGTCAGGTCATCACTATTGGCAACGAGCGATTCCGTGCTCCTGAGGCTCTCTTCCAGCCTAGCGTTATCGGTCTTGAAAGCGGTGGTATCCACGTTACCACCTACAACTCCATCATCAAGTGTGATGTTGATGTTCGTAAGGACTTGTACGGAAACATTGTCATGGTGAGTTTTCTCTACCCTTTCTTCAAAAAAACAATATACTAACTGAAATAGTCTGGTGGTACTACTATGTACCCTGGTATCTCCGACCGTATGCAAAAGGAAATCACCGCCCTTGCCCCATCCTCGATGAAGATCAAGATCATTGCTCCTCCTGAGCGTAAATACTCCGTCTGGATCGGTGGTTCTATTCTTGCTTCTCTCTCCACCTTCCAACAGATGTGGGTTTCCAAGCAGGAGTACGACGAGAGCGGTCCTTCCATTGTCCACCGCAAGTGTTTCTAAGGTATTTACATCTTTCTCGAGTAGCAAAGGTGTATACTTATTGTTCGATTTTGATACAGTTAGCCGTTAGCAAATTTGTCAAATTCTTACTCGGGTGCTTTTGTCATGTTTGTTCTTCCTAGCTTGGTGTACGAAAATATGATATGAAATTGCGGTGGGTGGATTTGAAATTATCTTTTCTTTTCTACAAAGTATGGTAAACTCTCCCCCTCCTTGAGCGTTGCACTGAAGGGGAAAAGCTGGTGAAGTTATTCGTCTGTGTGTATGTGGATTGAGCAGACAAGGACAAAGGATTGGTTTGAGATTAGAGCAGGGAGTCTCATGTGGAGGATGAGAGTGAATTAAGAAGTATTTCTTTTCCCTCTCCAACTAACTTTGATGGAAGGAGGGAAGTCTCTTAAAAAAATTCCCTCTTAGTATTTTGTTTTGACTCTCTGTCTGCTTGTTGAGAACCTTGAATTTGTACAAGCCTGTTTTTTCTTCTTTGAGAATTATTGTTCTATACTAAATAACCCTACCCAACCCTGGACACTCTGATCAGACTTAATCGATTATTTTCAACTCATTTACCTTATCTCTGTTTTGGTGGACTCTAGATTTCTTATACAACAGTGGCTACTGTCAAGGCTTTCGAAGCGGTAGATAAACATCCCAAGAGAAAAAGGACTTTTGATATCTCGATTGGGTACTACATAATATCACATATCCACATCAAAGTAATCCACACGTAAAAGACGACAGCAAAGCAAAAAAATATCTAAATATCCCAACTCTCTAACCCAGCCAAAACACACCCTTCATCCTTCCCACTACCTCTAACCTCCAACTCACCAACCCTATAAACCGTCTCCCCTTCCTGCTCTAATACCTTTGCTACAGCATCAACACAATCACTATCCACGACGAGTACCATACCAACACCACAATTAAAAGCGCGCGACATTTCGTGACTTGATACATTACCCGTGCGTTTGAGCCATTGGAAAACCGGTGGTAAGGGCCAGGATGAGACGTCGATGTGTGCGCTGAGTGTTGGTGGTAACATTCGAGGTACGTTTTCGATTAATCCGCCTCCCGTGATGTGTGCCATTCCCTTGATGGCGGCTGTGGAGGTGGTGTGTTGCGAGGAGGGGATTGTGAGGGCTTTCAGGAGAGGCTTCACGTAAATTCGTGTTGGGGTTAGGAGGGCTGTGCCTAGGGTTTGTGGTTTTGTGGATAAAGAGGAGGATGAGGGAGGTGTGAAGGTGAAGGGCACAGCGGAGTTGTAAGTTAGACCTGAATGATCGACGATTTTGCGGACGAGAGAAAACCCGTTGGAATGGACGCCGGCAGAGGCAAGGGCAAGGAGTTTATCGCCTGGCTTCATGGAGGATGTATCTGGGAGCAAGGTGCGGGCGTTGGGACCGCTGGTATTGATGGCGCCTACTGCGGCACCGACGGCGTCGTAGGCTTCGTCAAGGAAGAGACCGGGCATTTCGGCTGTTTCGCCACCGATAAGTGCACATCCGGCTTGATAACATCCTTCTGCTACACCGGTGACGAAGTCTGCTGCTGTTTGGACGTCGAGTTTGCCGCATGAGTAGCAATCCAGGAAGAAAAGGGGCTCGGCGCCCTGGACGACCAAGTCGTTGACGTTCATGGCGACCAAGTCAATTCCAACCGTGTCGTGGATACCGACGGCGTGTGCAATCTTGAGCTTTGTGCCTACCCCGTCAATGGCACCGATCAATGTCGGTGATTGTGGGTGGTATGCAGGGTTTGCTGCTGCTAGAGAGAAAGTACCACCAAATCCGCCAATGACTGCATCAGAGCCCGGGCGACGGGTACGAGCAACAGAGGCTTTGATCTTGTTGACAAGATCATTTCCGGCGTCGATTGAGACGCCAGCGCTGGCGTATGTGAAACCTTCTTCAGTCTTCTTTGCGGCATCACGGAATGCCCGGTGTGCGATATCTTTGCGGTAGTGCATGCCGTCAAAGTGAATGGTGGAAATACCAACGTAGCTTCGTCGTACCGCCTCTTCTAACGAAGATGCTATAGATGTGGCTGCGATGACACGGCCGCCAGAGGTCTGGAGGACCTTGTCAACGAGGGAGGTGCCGGCATGGAATATCAAGGTATCTTCCGGTACGGGATCTAATGTAATCGGGGTACCCTTTGCGTATGAGCCGGGATAGCCTCCTGCCACGGCGATGACGGTTGCAGAGAAGTTGGGTCCGACGGAGATTGACACACCGTCCAACCAGTGTTCTGTGCATGCAACCATAACCTCTGCCAAATCTGTGTCCTTGCTCAGGAGTGGAAGTAAAGTCTGGGTTTCTGGATCGCCTCCACGGACATTATACTCTAGGACTTTCGGGCCGTTCTTGGTCATCATCAATCCTGTGAAAAGTATACCGACGAATGGGAAACCTAAAAAAGCACATATTAGCAGTCTGGACGCTGGTAGTGGAAAAAAGCAACGCACCCTCTCGTCTCATTCCATTAATTGATGGCTGAACAATGTCCCTATCAATCTGCTCCAAAGTCTCCTTCGAAGCAATCCGTGTCGGCGCATAACAACCCATGCCTCCAGTGTTTGGACCTTGATCTCCATCAAAAACACGCTTATGGTCTTGTGCTGGCGGAAGAGATTTGATAGAATAACCATCGCTGAAAGTGAGGATACTGAGTTCGTCTCCATCGAGAAACTCCTCAATAACAACCTCATCCCCAGCAGCTCCAAACTGATGGTCCAGCATAATCTCACGAAGAGCTCTGTGTGCTTCCTCCTTTGTAGTTGGGATAATCACACCCTTTCCTGCTGCTAATCCGCTGGCCTTGATGACGACTTCATGATTCACGGAATCGAGGTATTTGCGCGCGGCTTCGTAGTCGGTGAAATTCTCGTATGCGGCGGTGGGGATATTGTGTCGTTTCATAAAGTCTTTGCTGAATGCTTTGGATCCTTCCATCCGAGCTGCAGCTTTTGTAGGGCCGAAACATCTAATGCCAACTGTTGCCAATTAGAATCATTGTTTTATCGCGCAGTGTACTGAACATGATAGGGCATACCAGCTTGGAAATAACCCTGAATACCATCAACCAGAGGTGCCTCGGGTCCCGGAACAACCAAGTTGACATTGTTCTTCTGTGCGAAAGCGACAAGGCCGGGGTAGTCATCCGATTTGACTGCGACATTGACAATTTTCGAAGGTGCGTCTAACCCAGTACCGCCGTTTCCAGGCGCAACATAGACGATATCCACGGAGGGCGACTGGCTCAATTTCCAGGCGAAAGCATGTTCACGACCGCCGTTACCGACGACGAGGACACGCAACCTTTCTTGGAGCATACTGAACGTGCCCGGGGCTATCTAGATGTGAGTCAGAGGGGTTCCTAGATAATGACTGCAAAGGAATATCGAGGACAATTGAGAAAGGAAGAATGTTCGGAAAGAAATTTAGCAAAGGATCAACAATAACAATGCTTATTCGTAGAAAATAGCATAGAAACGGTGGAATTGAGTTGTCAATTGATTGATACTCTGCTTCGACACTGAAGGAGGGGTAGATGAAAGTGGCGAGGAATAAACCCTCCATATAGCAACATTGCAAAGGTAGAGTTTACTAAACCTAAAAGGAATCATTTAATATATCAACGTACCTTCTAAAATGAGAATCAGGCACTGAATCGCTCAACACACAAGAAGCGATGTATGAGCGATTTGAAAATTGCCCGCATCTGGAAACTTTTTTTCTTTTCCATAAATGGGACGGTTAAAGTGTTTCTCCGACCCCGCATTATCTTTTATCGCAGAGGTGACAGTCAACTTCCTCCATATTTCTCCAGTACATCCTTTTCAGGACATTGGGGGACATTTTTGACCGAAATATGAAGGGACATTGTTTGACAGTCAGATGACTACTTCGTGACGGCCAGAAAATCCACGAAAAAAACCCTTCGCGCGACCTACAGAACCCAACCGATCCTTTATGTTTCCACTCCACGCACTCAAGGCAGTTCACCAGTCATATCATTGTCATGTCGGCAATGCTTTCAGAAGTGTTACGCACTCGGCGATTTCTTACGATGTGAATGAGCAAGGACTGGCCAACAATCGTATCTCCACGCTCCACATCGTCTACGGAGGTTATAGCCATACGTGCAACTGAGGGAAGACCTTCGAAATAGATATGCGCATGATTAAATCGATTGAGACACTGGCGCGTTGTCCGTCCTTTGGGTGTCGTTCTTTCTCCCAGATTACGAGTAGCCGGTCGTTACCCCCCTGGTACTAGGGACAATTGCATCGCTTCAACGAACATGCTGAAACGGTCTCTGGAAGGTGTGAAACTTGACGGTCCGCCGTGGTTTGTATGACTCGTAAAACGCAAACCAGGTCCTGCTGCAGTTAGGGTTTTGCGCGATGAGGACGTAAACATGATTTGGTATGGCGATCGCCAGGTGTCGATACGAGTTGAAAAGTGAGACTATAAGCACTTTATACCAGGTCAGTGGAATAGATTGCGGACATCAAGCCTTGTAGATACGTATAGAATATCGAAAGTATCTGTATTCTACTACATAGGCAAAAGTAGATCAAAGAGATGTGATGAATGCACTCAGGATTAATACAGCAGGCGGTGTGACAAGGAGCAGATCGCGTCGGCGGCAGAAAAGAGCCTGAGATCGACTTTGCCAAATATTTGCCTCGAAAAAAGTATAGCTGACAACTTTTTCCTATTGACAGCCTGTATCGGATTTCGTGTGGACTTCGCTACTACAGACACTTTCTAATGTCTATATAAGTTCCAAAATACTGTTTCTGGATGTTTCGCACGTCGTTAAGGTCTGCTTCAGGACCTATTCGCTGCGCATCTTGCCTCAGAGTTCCGCGAAGACATGTGAGAAACCACCGATACTATTCAACACCAGCAAAAGAAGATGAACAGGACGGGGAATCGAATGCGCCTCCTCAGGTGGCTAGTGTGAGATTTGCGACATTTCCAGAAGAGACATCAACGGTACTTTTATCCAATATGATCCTAGTCTTGCGGTAATAGATATGCTGACATTGAATGGCTTATGCTAGTCGACTTCTACACCAACCAGCAATGACTCCACTGAGAACGCCAACCAGTCAAAGAGTCCTGACAAGAATGATTCAGACGGTGTCGTTATCTCCAAAGTTTATACCAGCGATCCTTCTACTGGTAACGCCGATACGTCAAAAAGTCATAGCAAGAATGGACTGGCAACTTCAGACCGTAGCGATATCTCCAAGGTTTATACAAGGGATATATTCAAAAGGACAAAATCATCAGAGAAGGGTAAACCTGACCAGAAGGAATCCGACGGGACACAGCCAGACGAAGCGGGAAAATCAGATAAGAATCCACCAAAGAAGAAAACTACACAGAAGAAGAAGAAGTCGGGGGAAAAGAATCCACCCGTGACGGGGAAATCAGCACGTAAAAAGACTGCGTTGACACCGCGGCAGGCTGGGAAAAAGTCAAAGAAGGTAAAAGAGCCTGAGCCCAAAAAGGCTCCGAGTCCGAAGCCAGTCCTCGAGGCTTTAGAGGCCCATACCGGGTCTTTACTCAAGGAAGATATTGACTTTAAAGGTATGGCAAATCAACAGAGCTCTGGTAGGGAATCTTGATACTGACTTGATACTAGCACTCGATTACGATACGCCACCAGTTCCCACTTTGTCATTTGGTCTGGATAGAGTTTTGTTCAAGTAAGTCCACTTTGTAAGTGATTTTCAAGTCAGTTATCTAATATCGGCTCAGCCCTGGCGTATACCACCTTCGGGATCCCAGGTCGCGAGTCTACAACTTTGACCCTGCATTAGGGACTATTATGCCTGTTACCGAATTCGATTTCAAATCTCTCAAGGAATACATCACCTCTTCGAAAGATGAGACACTTATCAAACTTGCCCGAAATACAAACAAGAAATATGTCGGTTCATCGTCGAGTATGACTGGAGTTCTGTCACACTTTCATTATCTGTTGTCTCAATGGCGACCACTCAAGCAGGACATAATTTCTCGGGGTTTCGGAGAGAGCGAGACGAATTTCACAAGGCTGTTGAGAGGTCCCTCTGCCATGTTTCTACATTATAAGGATGGAGTATATGCGATTGATGCGGACAAAGAGTTTGATTCAGCTAATATCCTCATGAATCTCGGAAAATCAATGGAGAAACAACTCACACTACCAAAGGAGGAATTTGAGAGATACCGCCGATCTGCCCCGAACAAGATCACTCCTGAGGAAGAGAATGCACTTCCAGAATCATTTCATTACTCTACTCTGGGTGATTTTGTCATGCGCTCACAATTGGACGCATACGATCCCCGACTGCCTGGAAGCGGCATGTTTGATCTCAAGACCCGTGCTGTGGTATCAATCCGCATGAGTGTATTGGACTATGAGCAGGGACTAGGTTACGAAATCCGCAACCGATTCGGATCTTACGAATCCTTTGAACGGGAGTACTACGACATGATCCGAGCTGCGTTTCTCAAGTACTCGCTCCAGGTCCGCATAGGTCGCATGGATGGTATCTTTGTCGCATTCCACAATATCGAACGCATCTTCGGTTTCCAATATGTGCCTTTATCAGAGATGGACTATGCACTGCACGGCCAGTCAGACTCGGAGTTGGGTGACCGAGAGTTCCAATATAGTATCAAGCTCTGGAATGAGATTCTGGATAGGGCGACAGCCAAGTATCCGAACCAGTCGCTTCGTCTCCATTTTGAGACTACGGCTGATACGCCAGCGAAAATGATGGTTTACGTGCAACCTGTAACGGATGCGGATATTCGACGGATACAAGAGAAGAATAAGGCGCAGATTGAGCGGGTGCAACAGCAGATGTTGTACCCTGAGACTGTTACTCAGGGGGACGAGCTTGCTCTTGAGGATGATGGGTCTGATGGTGTCGCTGAAGTTGTCGCTGAGACTACAGACACTATGACCGAGGCCAATGCTGTTGCTGAGGCTGCCGACGAAGCTGTAGTGGCTACAGCTAAGGTCAATGCTGCCGATACTGCCAACACCACAATCGAGAAGACCGAACGTCAAGCCGAATCAACCACCGACAAAGATACAACATTCTTCACCACTGAAGCTCCCTCCACCCCAGAAACCGCCTCACAAGAGACATCCTCACAAGAAGCCCCCGCCTCAAAACCGAACCCTATCTTCGTCATCGGCTTCAAACTAAACCGCTCCGAAAAACTCCTCCACGACCTCAAACAACAATACAAACAAATACTCCGCACCTGCGAAGAATCCTACATCCGTCCCAAACTCTTCGGCATGGAAATCAACATCCAAAACATCGTAAACGGGCGCGTCATAAAAAGGCCCACCAGCTTAAAACCACATCACACCTGGCAAGTCTCCTACACCATTAGAGAATTCAAAATCGGCACAGGACAGTTATGGAATCAATTTGAAGGGATGCGGAAACGGAGACGAGAGGCGTTGTCGTTTGGGAAGAGAGGAGATGAGGAGAATATGACGCCGTATATTTTGAATTTGAGGAAGTTGGCGATGCAAGGGAAGAAGTTTAGGGAGGAGCAGGATCGGATTGATAGGGAGAAGGGGATTGTGGTTTATGAGGAGTTGAAGGCTGGCTCTTCTGGTCCTTCCTTTAGTGGTTCAGGTGGTTCTGGGACGGTATAAAGTGGATATTGCTGGGTTTGATGATTTTTATATTCATGTCTGTATAATAGTATATAATTGGCATATAATCATTGCATATGCGCTGCGAATTATTGATAATGCTGCCATCCATGTTGTCATGTTGTATTTAGGGTTTCTCTCTTCTTTGGGCCATATGATGGATCTACTCATTTCTACCAGGTCTTGGGATCTGCACTCAGCACATCATTTATTACAACAAGCCCCTTAGGGTGATCATGCTACATAGTCAAACTCACCCAAGGAGTTCAACATCCAAGGATTAGGTACATGTCTCTGGCAGTAACGACTCCTCAAACACGAAAATCAAAACTGACACATACACCGACGAGTGGGAAAAAAAAACGCGATTGGTATCATAGTTTTCTGAACACAACCAAAAATAAAAAGAACGCCGTATAATGAGTTTTGGAAAAGGAGGGAAATCATGGTGACTGACTCTGACAGGTAGAAAATGAGATGGAACGAAGGGGGAAAGGCAGAATGATTAGGAAGAAATGAGTTGACGTTTGCTTCAACGCTCGTTTCATGCAGTGTAGATGTAATGGATTGAATAACAACTCTAGTTGCTTCGCTCGAAAGATTGATATTAATGAAGTGTTCGTAGAATGATCCGTGTTTGAAAATGAATGGCTGACGACACGAAAAATCGCCAGCATGCAAAGATAAAAAATTCGTCGACTTAAACAAGCCATAGTGTTATCAGTTATAAGATCAAAGATCAACCTTAGGAGGCGACCAGATAATTCTCGGGGGTTCATCAGACGCAGCCAACCCAGTCGCCGACCCGGTCATGGAACTATTATTGCTGCTATATCCACCACTAATCTGGCGCATTCCATTCATAGCAGATGAAGGTCGAGTCGAGAGTAGTTTACGTAGCGAAGACGCACTCAGTGAACTTGTACCGCCCGTGCTTCGAAAACTTGGTGCCCGAGGTGCCGTGCTTGTTGACATGTTGGAACTGCAGTTGCTTCGAATACTGGCCGCAGAACTACCGTTCTTGATTGATGGTGGAGGAGGGACTTTAAAGATTGCCGGGACAGGGAGAGATAACTGTGGCGACGATGAAGAAGAAGCAGCATATTCTTTCAGCTGTGTTGTGGGTTTATTTTCTGATGCACTTGATGCCGGAGAAAGGGGGCGTAATGAATCCATCAACTTGATTGAATCGATCGTTGGTGTGGATTGTACGCTGGACATGGTCACCACTGGAGACGAGCTGCCTGAGCTGTTTTCCATCATCACCAATGCGTCCCGCTCGCTATCAGTGGAATTGCCGGAATTACCGGAATTTGACTGGAAAATATTTTGCATTGTCATCTCATCCATAGACAAGTTGATATCGAGTTTCTCAAGTTCGCTAATCATCACTCCGAGGCTAGCTGATGTGGCCGGGCGAGAGGCTTCTGCTGAATCGTTCTCTTCGACTGCATCCAAGTCCTGATACCCGTCTGCGTCGTACGGGATGCCGTTCAGTGTGCAATAATTTCTATACAAATATTGACGCAAGCGGTCGACTTCGATATCCCATTTCCTATTCAATGACTGCAGTGTAGCTTCAACTTCCTGGTCCACTGGCTCTGAAGCCGACGACTCGAGCATCTGGGCTGCATCTTTCGATCGAGCAGCCAGATTCGATTTAGCGAGTTTGTGGCCGCCAGATGGCTGGCCGATTGCTATGGCAGCGTGAAGCGAGCGGCGGATAGAACTAGGACCTGATTGGTGAGATGTATCACGTTTGACGTTGACAAATTCCCGTCGAACTCTTTCCAAAGATTGGTGGCGATCTGTATTCATTACAGGCAGGAAAGTGACTGAGTCGTTGTGTTGAAGCCCATTCACTAGCACAGTGAATGACTGGAGGTTCATATCGTTGTTTTCGCAATAGATCTCTCGCAGAGTAGTGTTCTCCTCCAGGACAGATGCAAGTGTGTTAGCACCTTGTAATCCAAGCTTTTGATGCTCGATTCTGAGGACCTTCAAAGATTTGTTCTTTTTCAATCCCGTCAGTGCTTGATTTAACCCAATACCAAACCGAGCGACATCTAGGTGCGCATATTCTCCACTAATATCCAATTCTTCCAAAGTCTCGTTCTGCTCAAACATTAGCTGCAATGCCTCGCAAGTCTCCGGCCCGGCATCATAAGGGAGCGATGCTTTGGAGATATCCAAATATTTCAACGTATTGTTCTTTTTCATTGCCTCAATCAGTTCCCTGAAATGATCTTCCTTTTTGAAATCAATCATGCGCATCGACAAGTGGGTAGGCGTGTTATTATCTGCAATCGCGTCGAATAAGAGACTATAATTCGTATCCAAATGATTTTCGCTGACGTGAAGATGCATGTCTCGCGCCTTGTCGGCCGGACGGGTCATGCAACGTAGAAAAGTAGCAACATCGCCGCCAGTCAGTCCGCATTGGTCCAAACGCAGAACCCGAAGAGACGAAGAACGGTCACTTGCCAAGTAAGCAGCAATTGAGTCCACAGTCTCTTTGTTGACTGCTGTTTGACTGAGTGAAAGTTCTTCCAGACGCCAGTTCAACAGGGTTTCGGGCGCAATAAGTGGTTCCGGTCCAGAAGTTCTAGCGACCCTAGTGAGATTGATTTTGCGGATCTGACCAAAGTACCCGATTTGCTGTTGGAATAATTCCGGGCTAAGCCGTCCTTGAATTCCGGAAATGTTAACAGCTTCTAAAGTCGTCTCCTGGGCAGTCAAAGTCGACAAGATGAGATCCAAATCGTGAACAGAAAGGCCACATTCTCCAACTTCCAGAGCTCGAAGATGACTAGTTCTCTGCGAGGCAGCGTCGACAATATAATCCAAATCCGAGTCGCCCAACTTGATTCCGTTCAACACAATCCAATCGACATTAGTCAACTGGCGGCGGCACAAGGGAAAGATGGCTTCTGGGATACCGCAGCCAGGATCTCGGGCGCCTCTGTCAGAAATCGGAGTCCGCGAAAGACAGAATGAAAAGTCGAGTCTTCTAAGTCGCTTACTCTTTAGAGCTAAAGCACGAATTTCCTGCGATAGTAGCGACAATCGATCCTGACCGGCAATACTTACCTGAGCACCAGCTCGGGTCAAGAAAGCGGTCCAATCAGCTTCAAAACGGTCACGACAGTTCTGTAGGACATCGAGATTGACACCGCTGAAAGATATCGAGATAAAGGACTCGTTGTATCGCAGCGCACGCATCAGGGCCAAGAGTTCGAGAGCATTGTATTGACTGCGTCGTTTCGAGGCAGGCGGCAGGAGTCTAAAGCAAGGTGCATCTTCACATTCAAGATCAACCGTGTAACGAATGTTGGACGTATCGACATTGTAACTGGCCGAGTATGCAACGAGCGTCCTATCGAAACAGCCAAAATCTTCGACCAGTTCTGGAGACGGGATGAGATCTTCGTCAGCAACTTCTGCAGGTCCTATAATTTCGTATGGCTGGTGCAGCCAAAGCGGACGCAGAAACTCGGTACGTTGTCGAATCCATAGGGCAATGTCCAATGAATGAACAGACGCGAGATTAACCACCGTTGCACTCTGTAGTGGGACGCTGCGGGTTTGACCTGTCAGTATGACTTTGACAATGAGGTCATGGGGAGGTATACCGAAAAGCCAACTGGAATCGATCATCTCCAGAATGTACCATCAAAGAAGTCAATGCCATCAAACCGAGAGAAGCACCTAGATCCATCTCACTAAGGGAAACGAGAGACGACCGGCTAGAACCTCTATACAGAGGGATCAGGTGAATCCTATGCAAACCAATTGCAAGATAGCACATGGTTGCCGACCACTTCCCCAAATCATCCGTCGACGACCTCATATTCTGTTTGGTGGGGGCTCTCTGAATAACTCGAAACAGATTGAAATTTTCAGGGTCATAGTCGCGATCTTGCTCCAGGATTCGAACAACATAATCGATAGTCTTCGTTTCAAAGGTGAACGGCTCGGCGGCACGGGCTGATTGAGAGGCAGAGCGAATACCTACTAACCAGAGATGTTGCTCTTCCGGATCTGTGAGTTGGATTGCCATAAAAGCAGCTTTATTGGTGCGATCATCCAAGTAGGACAGTTCAATGTTCGTTTGACGCCCGTCCTCGACGCCGCTAACAGATACAATGCTGTTCAACGCGATAGCCGCGACGTCCCCACTATATGTAGCAAACGTATGGTCTTGTGCTGAGGCGACTGAAACGATGGATTGGCGGTGGTTCACAGGTGTTGCCCGGCCTGAGGACACATTGATAGTGGGGAACAAATCTGCTGCTTTGTGTTGACTCTTGAAGCGGATTAGATGAGTATCAGTCAGTACCAAATAATGATTTCTCTTCCGCCACATAGTCCCAGCCGTTTGGACTTCGCCATGATGCAATACCACATGGCCTAGCGACTTTTTTGTTTGGGTCAGGGGCGAGTTGATCACATCGTTGTCGTCAATTGAATCGCTGCGAGATCGCTGGCCAGCCAGCTCATCTTCCATCGACTGCAGGGAACGAAAAGAGCCGAACATCGAGGCGCGTCTCGAAGGTTGCTGCGACTTGCGCTTTTGCTTGTTCGTGTCTAGGGCCATCACTTCTGACTCGGACGTCTGCGGGCGGCGTAGGACATTTGGTGTTGTGCCCCTCGGACTGGGATCACGGCTTCCAAAGAACCCCGAGTTGCGACGAGGTCTTTTCACTGTCGATAACCCATCCGAGGCAGATCGGTCATGGGAGAGTGAAACAGATGGGACTGTTGTGGTTGTGGGGGAAGAAGAATGCTGGTGTGAATGGTGAAAGAAGGTGAAGCTCTTTCTCCGCTCTCTCTTCCCAACGTTTGTCTCTGCCATTGTGAAGGCTCGGCGAGCAGGCCACTGCCTAGAAGATCGTGGGAACTGATTGGGTGCAACAACTATGACGAATGTGTCATGAATCTGTTACACAAGTTGACACCAAGTATTAACATTGACATTCAACCAACCAGGATTAACAAGTGGGAAATTGAAAGACGCAATCACCAACACTGCACAGCTATACCAGGGTCTAAAGAGAAAAAGGATATACAAAGCACAAGATCAGAGGGAGGATATTGTGACCTACTGCTGATTAGAGAGCCATGGATGATGGCATGAACCATTCACACAATGACTGTGATCTGGTAGAAGCCAATAAGGCAGTAAGTAGCAACCTGTGCTTAAACCACCTGACTGACTGCAAGTGTGAAACTATTACTGCAGACGGATACAAAATTCCTCCGCTGGTGGATCGATGTGTTCGTGGTTGTATTGGAGAATAATCTCCAGTCTCCGAATGGGGAGATTTTGCTTTGGTTCTTTCTAGACGGTCCTAGGAACCGGAGTTAAAAAAGAGAAGTAGAGGAAAGAATCAAAACAGTGCAGCGGAGAAAGAGTTCAACTAGATCTTGTCTTGGGATATTGAGAGAGAAGGGGGGAAAAAAATATGTGCCGAATGCGGATCTGCCAAGGATGGCAAAGGGGATGGTGGCAGAATTGGTATAGTATGATGTGTATGTCGGTGACAGGGAGTACGTACAATGTACCCAGATAAATATTTTCTTTTTCTTCCTTTGGATAGGATGGGAGAAAAGGAGAAGAGAAATGAGGAAGAATAATGGTACAAGTACAGGAAGGAAAGCGCGGCTGCAACGATCAGCAACAGGCCATCATCGGTACGGAGATAAGAGCAGATAGGGCAGGCCGAAGATGATCTGATAGAGAATTGTTGAATTGGCCGCAAAGAGAAGGGTGAAGACTGAGCGGTATGTACTGATGCAGCTGTATATGTATGCAAGATGGTGAATGCAGCGATTGTTGATGAGAGACGTCAGGTCAGGTCAGGTCAGGTAAAAGGTGGGAAACAGATGATGTCAAGCTTCTGCAAACGGAACGGAGGAGGGATCTGCCGGAGCTGATTGGAGCTGGAGATGAAGATCGTTAAAGAAGTTGTCGACCGGCGAGGGAGAAGACGAAGGGAAGAAGAATCCGGGGATATTGATGAGCAAATGAAGAAAAGAAGAGAAGGGAGAATTGAAGAAATGAAGTCGACGAGGAAGAACAGAAAGAGCCAGAGACAAAAAGGAAGAAGCTTCCATGAGGTGCCTGTGAAGTGGGTCTATGTATGTTGCTTTTGAAGCTTTTTATTGGTTGCTAATTATGAGCTAGTCCCGCAGCGGCTAAGTGTGGTGCCTGGCTCAAAATTGGCGGGCTGCCATTGGCTGGCAGTCTCAACACACAAGTTCCCTGCTGAGACACGCCTTGTTTATCTTTAGCTTCATCATATCGGTACATCCGCTGCATACTTTTTACTATGGCACACGATGTACTCGCTGTGACCCTCGATAGAGACTCATGCTTGTCTAAGAATTATATTAATATTCCATAATAATATCACCACCATTACGCATGCACTGACTCACGCTCCGAGCCATCTCCATCAGGAATTCAGCTAGTGAATTACCTAAGCTGTCACTAAGTTGAGTGCATACTGCCTTAGGCGTTTCTCTAATCACCGCTAGCGAAGTAAACAGAACAATGTACGAGTAGGATGACGAGGCAGAGACACGCCGGTGGATCATTTCTCGGCTTTAAAGACCATTCGACATCAGCTTCTGAATGTTTCTCTCGAGTTTAGAGACAAGCCAAGACATACTTGACCCTAAGTACATCGCACAGTGGTAAAAAGCCTTGACGGTACAAAGCAAAATGAAACAAACCTTCGCCCAAGATCTCAATATTTGAAAATATGGTTTACGTATTCGGTTGATGAAACGATACGCTATGGACTCCCCAACAAACAGGTACAACTAGGCGATCGCCGTACCAACGATTCATTCATTGCCAATCATTATTAATTTAATATATCGAAGCAGATCTACTGCGCTGGCCGATATCATGCTAAAATGACGACGACGCATATAACGATCAACAGACATGACGGAGTATTTATTCTTTCTGCCAACAATTCGCAATGCTCTTAGGATATTACAGTATACTGACATCAATTGACATCTCTTATCGTCTTGTGAAGGGGAAGCGGAAGTGCCGGTTGGATCATAAGTTATCCCGATGACAACGACAGATCGAAGCACGACTTGTGTGACACTGCGTTTCCGGAGACCCGGAAATGGGGACTGGAAATTTTCTCCAAGGTTACCTACATTTCGAGAGCTTGTTCAGCTGTGAAGGAAACTATTGACTTCAAGCTTCGGACACCGCCATCTGCATTCTGACTAGCAGTTAGATGTATATTGAGGTCTTGATCGTTGGGAGATCGATGCGTCAATACTTCCACATCCGATCGAATATAAACAAATGGCTGGACCGACTATACACGTGCAGTCGGTCTTCGGAGTCGCTCCGTCCACATCCTTGGTGTCTTGACCACGCAGGAAACTGCTCAATATATCGAACTTCTATTTATCTCACATTCAAGGCATACTCATGCTGCGTGCTTCCCTCAGATACTGACGCTATAACTCTTATTCTTGTACAGCAACCCTCCGTTCCGCCCGACGAAGCTTTCGCAGCGCGGACAAATACTCATTCACCCTCCTCTCAGCCCAAATAGTCCCACCCAGCGTCATCGCCGCAATCTGAATAAATATCTTAAACTGCGGCGTCAAACCACGATAGATGCGCGATAAAGGTCCGATACTTTCCGACAAGGACGAAAGCGGTCTGTAGAACAAGGTATTCCGGATCCCGGACGGTGAGTATCGCGACGGTGACGGTGAAGGTCCAGTTGTAGAAGCAGTAGTAGGAGGTGCTGCATTATTGAATGTAAAAGGATGAGGCATGATCAGTATCATGTGTGCGAGAATGGATACGGCGCCAAACTATAGGAACGTGCATCCTAGTCTGTTAGTTTTCTGCAGAGACCTCGCCATCATCATCTCAACCGAGTGCTTTTGCTAGCAACAAGACAAAAAATGTATACCGACCCGTAATGCACCAGTAGCGAATCCCTTGACCGCTTCTGAGGTAACCTGCTCGGGCGGCTCAACCTGAGCTCGTAGATTTGATGGCGGCGGCATGGCTTATGGACGATGTGAGGGGTTGGCGAGCTAGTGTTTTTTGCACGAGGAAAGATAGCCAAGCTTGGCTACAGTAGTTGTCTCGGAAGTGCAATATCAGAGGTGTCAAGCGAAATGCGATGCCGAGTCTGCCGCCTAAATCGATGAGTCGGTTTGATAGATCCGATAATCACGTTGCGGTCAGTAGATTCGTAGCCAACAGGATTCAATTATGATGGTCAATTTATACAACTGGACCAGCCAGATAAATTTGGTAACCGATGTGAAGAATCGTCAATTGAAAAGCAGAGGAAGAAGAAGTTCGTTCGATGATATCGAATGTCATCATGTGAGCCAGCCGACCAATGGGAGTCTGGACCGGATAGACTTTTTGCCAGCCAATCAGAGAGCTTCACTTCGGCATTCCGATTGTATGGGGAAATTTTATCAACCTCAACTTTTTGTTTCTTCCGGTCAATATTTCGTTCACTGCACAGCGTATAGCCATTTACTTCTGCTCCGCCCAAATTTAAACGCACTTATCATATATCCGAAAACCAACTGCAACGAACTTTCCACTCGATTGAGAAACCACACACAATGGCCCTTCCCCGCCGCACAGTATCAATCTCCCGCATCACCAACGAGACCAAAATCCAAGTCTCCCTCTCCCTGGACGGCGGCGTGCTTCTCCCCTACGAAGAAAGCGACCATTTCCCTTGCCCGGAAACCGCCCAAGACAAAGCCGCAGTTGCCAAGGGCGTGATCCCAGATAAAAATGCCCCGCATTCTACACAGTTTACTTCTAGCCAACAGATAACTATTAATACTGGGATTGGGTTTTTGGATCATATGCTACATGCTTTGGCGAAGCATTCGGGATGGAGTTTGGCTATTCGGGCTAAGGGGGATTTATACAGTACGTCTTTCCCCCGCTTTCAAAAGAGGTAGTACAGAAGTAACTGATTCATGTCTAGTCGACGACCATCACACAACCGAAGACACGATGCTCGCCCTAGGAACAGCATTCACAAAAGCCCTTGGCGCACGAACCTCCCTCGCCCGCTTCGGCCGCGGCGACGCCCCGCTCGACGAAGCACTCTCATGGGCCGTCATTGACCTCTCAAACCGACCCTACGCCGTAATCGACCTGGGATTCAAGCGCGAAAAGATAGGCGATTTGAGCACGGAGATGATCACGCACGGCCTTGAGAGTTTTGCGCAGGCTGCCGGTGTGACACTGCATGTTGGTTGTTCGTATGGATCGAATGATCATCATCGGGCGGAGAGTGCGTTTAAGGCGTTGGCTGTTGCTATTCGTACTGCGTGTGCGCGGAGGACAGCTGGGGAGGTGGGTGCAGGAGATGTGGTTTCTACCAAGGGTGTATTATAGATGATGATCATTAGATATTTGTATATGATATGATACCTTTTTGACCCCTTGGGATGTCTACATAGATATACGCTCTGATAAGTAACTGGGCAACTTCATGTTGAATCAACCATCTACATACGTACCTATATGCTTTCAGGTCTAGTTAGTACTCTAGACACCCTAAAAAAAGCATACCTAGGTATCCTGAGTTCAGCAACGTCATTCATTGGCTCGCCAGTCAGCTATTGTACGTACTCCAATATAACAAACTTCCGGATCAACTGATCCATGTACAATCAACTATATATTGAGGTATGTACTAGTCTCACAACGATGACAAAAACAAATAGATAAGATATACCAAATGATAAATGCCTTTATGATCGTCAGTTTTGAGCTCTTTCACAAACTGACAATGACCTCGACACCATTTAAATATAAAAATTTTGTCTAAGATTCATTATCAAAGTTAACTGATATCAGATAGACGCAGCTATCGTCCAAACTCAGGTAAGCGATGATTTGAACGGATAGTTACCTAGATGGGAAATATGGGTTGAAACAATTAGGGTTGGCCCGTCACGGGACCCTGGGACATTTTCAAGTTTTGAACACTCTTCTCCCGACTCGTTTGAACGATTAGATATCAAAGGTGAGATAAAATAAGGAGTAACTAAAACGCCTCTCATAATCACGGAACTCGATATGATCTTGAATTTAACTCCATCATCCACAGTCCAATCTTCCACTTCCATCCTTTATATAACACCTGAGTAAACTAACCAGGGATCTAAACACCAAGCGCCTTAACAGCCTTATCCCAATACCCCTTCCTATCATCCGTCACCGACGTGCCCACACATTCACTAATATACCCCTGCCAACCCGACAAACTACCAGACTGCAACTCCGCTCTAACAGCCTGACTACATTGCGTCGTCAAAAACCAAGCCGCAGAACCAAAATCATATTTTCCGTCGGAAAGCAACAGATCCAAGACGGCGGTGACGTTGCCCTTTGCAGAGGCATAAGCGGGGCTGAACTCGGAGATGGAGGAGGCGTATTTTTCGTTGAAAATTGGGGATTGCATGTTTCGTGCTATTCCATTGTTAGTTACCTAGGTACTATACGATTTGGGAGGGGGGAGGGGGAACATACTGCCCTGTCCAGGAACACCCGGATAATGATTACGATTATACTTGAAATCGCCCGTCTCAAAGGCCATCAAACTAATCAGCGCAGCCTGCTCAGCAGCCGAATCGATCCCGTAGGTAATAAATGCATCACTAATAAACGGTGCCGCTGCTGCAGCGGTAGCGCATTCACCTGCTGCAGGCGCGTTGTTGCAGGTTGCTGATTTGGGGCATATGGCTAGGATTTGGTTTGCGGTTACTTCGGTTGATCTTGTTGTAATGCGTCCTGTGGAATGGTAGGGTTTGGGATGGAGGTTTGGTGTTGATGTCGCTGTAGCCAGCACGGCGAAGAGGGCTGTTAGAGGGAGTTGAGTGTGCATTTTTATATATTTTCTTTTCGGAATATTAGTAGAAGGAAAGCAAATGGAGGTAAATAACATGCAGCGGACCCGATATAAATAAATAAATATGCAAACCCCAAATTCCAGAACAAACCCGCCTCATCTACCCATCTATCTAGCCCTAATCCACAAGTCACAGTCCAAAGAAACATTGACTCACTCCCCGCATGAAACATGCATGAAACATTTACGTACAAACCTCAGGTCTCAGTCTCAACACAACAATGAGTATTCGCTGGTAGATATCACTCAAAATCAAAAATCTAGTGTGCTTTTCGAGGCTAATTATTGACTTTTTTACCGGCGTGCTATTTTCATGTTTGGGAGTGGTTGGTCGGATGGTATGTAACTAGGGCTATTATTTGTGCTAGAGGCTGACGATCGAGAGGTATGCTTAACCTGGTCAATGCCGGTCAATAAATATAATGATATCACTTTTCTAGTAATCTACTAATCTGCATGTCTAATACGTTATGTCAGAGGTTGTTACGGAGGAGTACATAACTTAAGGCTGAATAACTCTAAGTCAGCACAGATGGTACTACGGCCTTAGCACAAGCCTTGATCACTAGTTCGACAGTTATTGTATTACTAGTTCCAAATCACTTCAAAACATGTAAATATTCCGTATGTGGTTATATTTATATGGCTATGCACGGCAAGTAAGAGTTATATGCTGTCCATCCAGCTGTTTCGAGAATGGGTCGATGTACAGCGAAATAAGGTAAGAGCAGCAGTTCAGTCGTAAACTGCCATACAGTCCTATTTTTCTGCAAACCCACCTCATAAAAGTCATTTCTTGCCAGGTAGGCCGATACGCTAAATAGATATACCAAAAAGACTAAGTAGAGTCAAAAAAATTTATATTCCCAAAAAGCGCCAATCAATGACCAACATCAATATCCAACACCAACAACCACCAGCAAGCAAAAATATACACACAAAAGAGTATAACGATACTAAAAGTTATAATACTATAAGGGAAAAAAAAGAACAAGAAGCAGAAAAGAGGGGAAGCGAGGCCGTGAAATCCGTTTCCAAAAAAAACCACTTTGGGTAAGAATTGCTGTTGTGTTGTTCGTTTCAAAAGATGTTTTGGGGGTCATTGATATGCAAATGCTAAAGAGCAGAGTAGGGTAAGAGACAAGATATATTGTGTTCTTTTGTCATCGGATGATAAGTCTGACCAAAGATGTTGTCAAGACTGGAAGAAGGGCAAGGCGCTGTTCTATGGTCATTATAAGCAAAAAGAAGTAGAGCGCATATATGTCGAGGCATGTCAAAGCGCAGTATTCCTATTGGGGTCATTGTTTGTTCATTCAGAATAGGCTCCTTCTTTGCGGCCCGATTCTTCGTCTGAATATATTGATGACGAACTTATGCGTCGGAAAAATCTAGGCATTCTGGCAAATGGTCGTCGACGTATTTTCGAAACTGATATACCGCCGGGTGCGAGTCTCGTGTAGCGGTAACGGTGTCCGAGTAATAGTAAACGTCGGTATACTACCCACATACAGAATCCGACGCAGCCAGCGAGAGTGAAGCCGACGACGGTCAACAAGACCCAATAACGACACATCTAATCAATTATTAGTTCGAGGCGCAACTCCACCATTCTTAAGATTGACATACCCAGAAAATCAACTGTGCATCGGCTCCATGCCAGCTGTTGCCGACATGGTGGGTGAAGAAACTCCAAGAGAATCGGTTATATTCATCAGGCATCAAAACGCGGACTCTGTCCATACCAAACGATTCGGCCATGTACTCTTTCCAAACGACAGACAAAAACAACGGGCCTGTCGAGTACATCACTGTAATATATGGCAGGAACCAATGCTTATCGTAGGCTTGGAGGGACTCGACCACGCGCAAGAAGAAAGGATGTTGAGGAACGGCGCCCATGGCATCGTTTGAAATTCCAGTCGGCTTCGTTCGGCGAACCCATGCGGGGTAGGAAAGAAGAGGGTCAAGACGACGTTGGCAGCCCTGTGATCAGTCAGTTTTGAGTAGAGAAGAAGTGATAGATATCACACACATCATCCAAGTCGATATAAGTACCGCCGTAGTATGCTAGCACAAAATAGCGGATAGCGTCCGCCCGCTGAATCGGGTAACGGTAGCCGTCGAACGTTTCTAAAAACCATGGATATTCTTTTGCGATAAACTCTCTCGACTTTTCATTTGTCCACAGCTATCCATGAGTTAGTAAACTTCACATCCAGTTCTTGAAAGGCGGCTAACCTTGTATTCGTAATCAGGATGAAGATTAATGCATGATTGTTGAGGCTCAATCCAATGCTCAGGGATTGACTCATTTATATAAGTTTGGTGAATGATTTTGGGTATTATTTGAGGTCTAGACTCAATAAGACTCGAATTCGGAGAGGGAATGTCGGATCGGTGTATAGCGTCCGCAGAGGCATCCTCCACTAACAGCGTCAGGAGTGTAAATACGCTCCTGACGAGAAAACTGAGGATGAGGACATTGACGAGAATGAAGAGAACTACTCCGCGCCGCATTATGCTAGCGATTCAAAGTTCGAAAGGTGAGCTGTTCCAACGAAGCGGGAAAGGAGAGGCGGAGGGGGTTGAATGCCCGCGACACGAGTTATTAGGATCACGAGAGTTGATTGTCGTGCGGTGTAAACATGAGGTATATAAAAATCGGAGAGAGGAAATCGACTTGGAACAATCCTATGAGGTATATAACTGTATAGCGATCACGTAACGGGTCGTCAATGGATGAGCTGCGCGCTTCGCATTCGACGAATTGAACAAGCGCTGATTAAGTGAATTAGCTCGTTCGACCTGGAGATAAACATTCAAATCCCGATGGAACGGAGGAACCGAAAGTATGCAACCCACACAAAGGAAGCCAGATTAAAACAAAGTACGTAGTCGTTGAATAGTGAACTAGTGTAGTAAGTGTTTGAGAGGGAAAAGGAAGCGGTAGTGGTTAAGGAAAGAAGAGTCTATTCGCCTCGGCAAGAACAAAGCAAAAGGCGAATACTAGTTGGTTTTAGGGAGTGGAAATCTGCGACGCCATCAGAAAGGAAACGCTCGTCAAGTCAGAGGAGAGAGAAGGAGAGTTCAGTCTGTGATTAATCCAACCGTGGATAAGTCAGAGTTGGGGCGCCCAGGGGTCAACACGACGGGCAGTGTAATTTATTTTGGTGTTACTAGCGCCGTACGACTAGTGGCGGCGCCGCATCGCTACATACGAGCAATGCGAATGTGGCTGTACCGATACGTACTTAATACTATGTACATACTGTATTATGGTATTCAGCCAAGTGATCAAGAACCTGAGCAGCTTAATGAAGCACCGTCACCAGTTTTCAGATTGTCAGACATGCATCGTCGTACATAGTCGCAAGGGATAACTGATACAATTTAATAGTATTGATACAGTGAATACATATGGACGAGTACATCCGTAACTTTGTACGGGTCTAGCCCCGTAATAAATTACTACCTATTCCGTATTTATTCACCTTGGCTCACTTACAGTATGGAATACATGCCTATCACCGTTGCACGTACGCAATTCGGGGGCTAAGGGGAGTTAATCATCCCCGAGATTCACGACGATTAAGGGACTATGAAACCGATATTCAGAGCCAAGGAAGTTTGATATGTGACAGTCGTAAGTCTTGGCTCTTGGCCAACAGAATACATACCATACATAGCAGAGAGAAGCCTATAGTCAGTATCCTCTGCGCGGAGTGTTAGTTACAGCCGTTGAACTGATAGAATACAGATAAATTACTCGCGCAATGAGCCTATTCTGTATCACCACGATGCTATCCGCTTTTAGTAGGTATTGCCAGCAATTACAAATGGTAAACTTGAGAGATCTAGACACAAATTGTATGCAACCCATTTATTTGCATACGATATTTCTCTTTCAACACGCGAAATCTCAAACTTCAAAAATGTATCCATCAGCTCTCGGTTCGATAAACGAAGAAAGAGGAACCAATCACAACACATACCATTCAGCACAATTTCTCCTACCCCATACTTTGTAATTTACCATACGATCAAAAAAACGTTTCTGCCTATACCGATTACCACAATCGGCTCATTATTCCAGGGAATAGCACATCGAATGCGTTCATATATGGCGTCATGTGACGGGCCGAATGATAGAAGTGGTGGTGGTGGTGGCTACATACGTACGTAGTTTATCTGCTGACTCGGTCGTATCCCAATGACGATTGACAGGTTGTAAGGTATGCTCAGCCACTGCTGCCAATACGTATCAGTAATTTTGTAACCAATTTGTGCTTGAAAATACATATATCCCTGCCGAGGTGAAAATGGGTTAAGTTATCTGATTGATCATTGCGGAGTACTACGTATGTACAAAACCAATGCCTAAAATCCCAGCTCACCACGCCGAACAAGCTCCCCGGTTCCCGTAGTCCAAACATACGCCCGTAACGGCGTACATAGTAAACCCAAAGTCGAGGATTCGGTCAAACAAACTCAAAAATTACTGTAACAAGTAAAGTTCGTGCTTGGACGTTCCTCTGCTAAACCATTAGCAGTAAAGCCTCGGCGGATCTCAGCCACTCAGATTGTTGGTTCTTTTCGTACCCGTTACCCCAAAATGGAATGGCCCACATACGCGAATTGCGAGAGCGAGAACTAGTAGCGAGCCACGCGGCCATTTCTCGCTGTCACGTGATATATCATCCTATCATACTAGTTTATTCTTGCATCGCGGCCATTCTACATTAAGGATTAACTCTTGCTGTTTTAGGAAGGCAGTATGGTGAGTTTACAGTGCATGTTCCACTCTGCTCTCAAAACCAATTAGCTAAGATAGCGCTTATCGAATTTACGCAACCAACCAATGAGCATCGGAGAGAATGATTCTGTTGTAGATTAGGGGACGCGTGGCATAGCAAGCCACTTATCCGTGCTTTCGATTTGGAAATACGTACGTATGGTACGGAGTACAGTATGTAACATGGTTCTGTCACAGTATGTGTCTCTTGTAACATTACCGATGCGAAATACTACTCCATTCTCCATAGTTTACCCCAATCTGGTGGCTTTATACGGACCTTCTCCATGGATCGTTCAACGAGTCCACCAATCCACCAATCCACCAGTCCACCAGAATATCGACGGACCTTCCTCGTACATAGGTGTGTCGATCGGCGAATCCTACTACCTACGAAATTTACTGGCACATTTTGCGAGTTTGGCCTGAATGGCGATCTTGGGGCAGGACGAGCATGACCTACGTCATGGGCCACGTTGGGTGTACAGTTAATCTACGAGTTTAACTACCTATGGCATAAAGCTGAATAGTTACAACCTTGTAACTACCAAGGATGAATGATTACGAGCACCCAAGCGACTATCTCTGGAACAAAAAGATTATGTTTTCGACGTCATAAAAGGTACGTACACCCGAGTCAAGAATACGAGCAGTCCAAACAAATCAGATTGACTATCGATATGCTAAATATCGTACATGCAAAAACGCCTAACATGCTATCTTTCGCAAATGACAATGAATTACGCAGATGAGAGAGAAAGAGAGATGAAAAACGAAAACTCCAGCCTTATTGTTTTGCCAACATATGGTATCAAGCCCGACGCAAAACACCTAGAAAATATGCAAAAATTGCGAGTGAGATGCCTTACAAGCAGGTAAAGCAAGGTTCTTGTCCAACTTCTAACCACTTATCGCACCTCCGGCGCAGCAGCAGCCGCAATATCTTGATTGATATTAGCAGCTTGCGTATCGCGAATCGCATCCGTCCTGGTATTACTGCTACCACCCTCAAAAATCCTCCTCCACCACCCCGGCGGGTCCAAAGGTCGATGACCACCATGCAACGATGGATAGACATCTGAAAAGAAATACCACACATGACCCACTACCACTCCACAGATATCATCCTTGGGCACTGTACCGTGCACCAAAAAATGGAATGCCATTAACACCCACGGCAAATACGGAGCCGTAAAGACCAACAATCCCAAAAAGCTCAGTCGTGTATCTGGGTTTCGACGACTCCAGATGTAGACTAGAGTTGAGGAGAGGGCTTGCCCTAAATAAGGGAGAGAGACGAAGGGACTGAGGATGAGTAGGGAACTCATGGCGTAGAAGAGTAGCCAGGAGAAATGAGCCGGGGAGCGGCCGGACGATTCTTCGAGGAGACGGGAGTAGCGTTGGAGGAAGAAGACGTGGAATAGGAGATCGAGGTTTAGAGGGCCAAAGTAGAGGAATGTGGTTATTAGACGCCAGTACTGTTGACACACCGATTAGCCTGGATTCAATTCTATCCAGCGTCTGGATCGAGGGGAACATACCTGCGATCGTATATACACAGCGGGTAAACTGTAATATAGCGACATCGGCGACACGGCCTCACATTGTACCAGAACCGACGTGGCCACGGTGGCAGCTGTCCACCATCGTGTACAGGGCGGCATTTCGTAGAACCATTGCTCGAGTGGGAACTGGCCCCCTTGACCACCGTTGCCAAACACCGCGGCCATCTCTGTACTCTTGAAACCTTAGCGATTGTTGTTGCTTGTTGCTTGTTGCTTGTTGCAGAAGCCGCTGCGGTCTTGATATCGATAGGGTAAACGCGACGATGACGTGGAGTGTCAAAGGTCAGCGGAAGTAGCCTGTTCCGTTTCACTGCACGCAATTCGAAACAATGGCTGTCTGTGTCTATGTCTGCTAGTAGGTAGGAATCGCACAGCGGATATCGACACAAGCAATGTTGAACGAGGTGGCCTCAGTAGATTAGGTGCATACTGTCGAGTTAATCGATGAGTAGCGGAACGTTCCATTGGTGGAGTAATTTAGTTGGCTTAGCAGCCAATCACATATGGGCTGGTTACAAGGGGTTAGGGTAAACTAGAACATCAATTCGTTCATTTGATATGGATGCTATGAACAGACTACAGTCTAGCTAATACTTTATTGTAATTCTGAGCTGGTTCTCCTTGACAATTGTGTCACTTTTTGCAATGAGTTCAGGCATGTCCCATGTGACATTGATAAACCTCCCTCCAACCCAGTCTCTCTCTCAGAGGTGAGGAATGCCAACGTATTCCCACAAAGCTCGGGAGTATCCACGAAGACTATATCACAAATTAGCATGTTACCTTATACTTAAAGAGTCAGTAGGACAAACTATGCTTAAACTCCGGAGATTTATCTACGCCAATAGTAGTCGCCATATCGGTAATGACATTACCTGGATGGACGCTAAAAGAAAGTATACCCTTTTCAGAGTATTCCTCATTGATAAATTCCGAGAGTCTGGTTGCTGCCGTCTTGGAAATTTGATACGCGCTCAAAGTACGATTAGTCAAGAGTGCACCGGCACTAGAAACGTTGACCACGTATGCAATTCCAGTCTTGAGCATCAGGGGAAGAAGGGCCCTGGTAATGAGGAAGGGGCCTCGAACATTCACGTCAAATATATTAGTCCACGTATCCGGGTCGTAATCTTGAATTAGTTGAAAACCACCAAATATTCCGGCGTTATTGACGATGATATCACATCTGCCAAATTCTTTCTCGAACTCTGCGGCTGCTTTCTCTACACTTTCACGACTGGACATGTCGACACTAAGTGGGAGGTACTTTGGAGGTGGACGATTGGCTTCTTTGGCAGCTTTCTCGACTTCGGAGGCGAGTTCGGCGGTACCTGAACGGGCACCAGCAGCGATGAATGATGCGCCGGCTTTTGCGTATGCTAGGACAATTGCGCGCCCTATCCCTCGTGAGCCTCCGGTGATGATCACAGCTTTTCCGGAAAAGTCGAGTTTGGTTGGGTCAATTGCAGGATAGGTGTCGCTATGGACCGTGGATGTCACATCATAGTCTCCTGCACAAAATGAGAATCACCGTTCTATTCTGTATGGCTGTTACTTACCGGGGGCTTCAAGTGTATTTAGGACTCCTCTGGGTGGCGGCATTGTGAGTGATGAAAGAATATGGCATTTGTCAATCTGTCTCTCTCGCACTTTATTTCGCTAGACCGACTTGATTGTCATTGAAGCGAACAGGATATGGGCTTACTTATAGCCCCTGCTAGCCAATTTGCTGGCTTAGAAATCAGGATTTAACTAACTATCACATGTCTCATTCTTACTAAGTCGTTGAGTATATCCCACTAATAAAGGACGAACTATCTGCATGAGCTCTTGGTAGTGGAACTGCCTGTCAAGAACATCAACAAATGAAAAATGCGCCGTTTCAACTTCAGTTGACATCTCCGACAATGGGTGCCGAAGAGCGAGACCTTGATGCGTCTGATCAGGATACATACCCATCTAGATACGCGTCAAAGCAACTACTGCGCTCTGCATGTACTCCACTAATGCAAGTCCATGTGAAAGCAGGGATGGAAGATGCTCTGCGAATGCTTGACATCCAATTGTGTTTCTGGAACTCAACGGATGTATGCAGTCCTTCATTGGTCGGCTGCCTGGTGTCTGCAGTCTGAGAAGCAGCAAGAAGCAAGAAGTTCAGTAACAGGATTTGCAAAACACTGTATAGTGATTCGACTCTATGCGATCTATCGTAGACGTGTGAATTGGCAAAAGAGCCGTCCCTTCTTGAATTCAATGAATCGTCGCCGAACACAGACTAAGCCCCTTTTGGCAACAAAGCTATATATCCTTTTCAGGACTAGCGTCAACGCCAGACCGCGGGATAATGAACGAACTCGCGCCGCGAAATAGAGGTGGCTGGGGAATCCAGAATTCAAGATTCCCTTTTCCACCACGAGCTGTCATTCATTCTTTTTTTCTTCTTCCTCTTAACAGATATTTCAATCGAGCTTTTCCACCCTTTGATCACGCTCTTGACCTGTATTATCCTCATAAAACTCGATCTACGTACAGCTAGTTCCATACATTCGAGGTATCGCGACCTTTGAGTGCTCACATCACCCGATCAGCGTCCTTCTACAGTCAGTTCGACCAGGATTGAAATAATCCATTCATTTCGTCTCGCAGCTACGCAGTGAAAGACGACAAGATGCCACCGAAAACCGGTCGAGGGCACCCAATCATATCCGCCAGCGCTTTAGGATCTCCAAGCGCAAGCAGAGCCCGCCCTTCATCGAGAGCCGGTCGCGACGAAGAACCTACAATAACAAGAATCCCACAATCACCCTCCACCAGCAAACCGAAACCAAGGCCCTTCACAACAGCAAAGACGACAAATAAAGTGACAAAGCGACCATCCGCAGGCAAAGCGCCACGACCATCAAACATACAACGTAAGCTCACATCTCCTCTCCTCCCCCCATCTCCATTACATATTAATAAGCTTCTATTAGCCGGCGACCCAACCCCCACAGGCAAACGCCGCCGCTACAAACCGGGCACCGTCGCCCTCAAAGAAATCCGCAAATACCAACGCTCCTTCGATCTACTCATAAGCAAACTCCCCTTTGCGCGCCTAGTCCGCGAAGTCGCACTAGACCTGTTACCGGCCGAAGTAGGCGCTGAACTACGATGGCAATCGCACGCAATTCAGGCACTTCAAGAAGCCGCTGAGGCGTTTTTGGTGCATCTCTTTGAGGATACGAATCTGTGTGCGATACATGCGAAACGGGTTACGATTATGCAGAAGGATATTCAGCTTGCGAGGAGGATTAGGGGGATGTGGGGTGGATTGGGTTAGTTTCTGAGTACAAGAGAGGAAGGGATGTAAGAGGAGGCTTTGCAAGAACGGTGGCTTTTTTCTGTTTGGTTTTCTTTTGATTGCATCACGGCGATGGTGTTTGTGGGAGTTATATACGGCAATTTCGGATATGTCGAGTATATCAAATGTGCATTGCTGTTGCGGTTTGGATGCTTTTCTGTTTGTGGCATTGAGATGGTATTATTTGTCTATTGTTTATTAATATCGCCTGGTTTCTAGCTCGTCCAGGCATAGAAGTCAAGAATGGACTTCTTGAAACAATTTACCTATGTATGAATCAGAGTCCATATCTATTTAGTTGCGATATGCAGATTATTTGATAGCCAGAAGACAAAAGGGTATTTCTCATTTCCATGTAGGCAATACTAATATCATTAGGATCGTAGGTAAGGCAAAACTCTGGATATCAACCAACACCCCGAACCTCCATTGAGCATAAACGCCATTGCCAAGTTGACTGGACACCTCCATGCTATAGACCTTGTTCGAAATATTCAACCAGGACTCAGAAAAGGAAAAAGAAAGGGGGTGATACGAAATCACAAATATTCCGTCCGTTTCAACGCCGCAGGTAACGCCATCAACAACCGATCAGCCTCTTCCCTTACACTACACGCCTCATCCGCTTTACCTTGTCTATCCAAAGTTTCAGCAAGCATCTGATCCGTAACAGTAACCCAAAGTCGATCATTAGCCTTCTTAGCCATTGCGCGACCTGCGCGTGCACTTTTCTCGGATTGTTCGCCTACAACGCCACGGAAGTATTTCCAGCTCATGAATGTGAGTGTCATGCATGTTATTTGGTTGTTGTGGATGGCTGTGGCGGATTGGAGGGCTTGTTGGAGGTATTGTTTTGTTTGGATTGTGGATTCGTTGTGCACTGTGGCGCAGACGAGGTAGTAGGCTGCTTGGATGTATTTGTTGGAGCTGCTTAGGCATTGTGGTTCGACGAGGGCTAGGACTTCGTCGAGGCGGGAATGTGAGGGGTGCGAAGGTTCGCGGAGAATGAGGATTGTGTTGAGGCCTGCGAGGATGGCCGTGTCGCGGCGAGGATCGTTGCGCATTGTGCGGTTTGTGGTTGAAGGAAGTGAGAGAAGAGGAGAGTCATATGCCGCTAATGCAGCTGCAAGATCGCCATTGCCTTGCGCAATGACTCCTGCAGCGTACTCCATAAGACACGAGATAGACTCTGGAAGTGCACTGCCCAAATCTGCAGACGCACCGCGGAGCTCCTTTAATGATTGACTAGCGCTTTCCCAGTCGGTTCTTGCGCACGCCAAGAATGTGAGATGAAGCAGTATATTGCAGTATAGAATCCGTCGCCATTCAAGTCGTTTACTAGCGGCCACGACTGACTCTTTGATTTCTTCAGGTGCCTTGAAATTTCCTACAATGTGTTAGAGAGGATCCCAAATTTACAGAGGTACTGTGATACTTACCACGAACCATACGCAAGCCCTCTTGTAAATACTTTTCAGCTTTGCGGCCATCGTGTGAATTCTTGGAACCTAGGGTCATCGAGCTCAAAAAGTAGCAGAGGGCATATAGGTCGTGTTGCGGAAGCCAATGCAGTGTCAACGACAATTTCCCATTCTCAACACGTAGAATGTCGCCTATCTCCGTCGGCTTCGGGGGCATTTGCGTATTCAAAGGGACCAGAAAAGACCCATCCTCGCGCCACCGTGAGTCGTTGATTCGCTGATCCATCATGCTTTGCATCACCTGTAGCTTCTGCGACGCTTGATTCAAGTCATATTCAAGCAAACTGCAAGATATATCGACCATTTGAAGCATAGAACCGATCTGGGGTATCTCCTGCACACGAGGATCCAACTGGTGACTCCGCGCTACTGCCACTGCATGTTGGGCTTGCTCAACAGAGTCAGGGCTCGTGGACTGTTGCAAATGTGCAAGAGCCTCAATCAATGAAGCGACAACGACCACAAGTTTGTCGCCGTTACGATTAGCCAAGTTGGTCAATTTCTGAAGATTATGAATGGCAATGACAAAGTCTTGATGAGATGAAGACGACAGCGCAAGACTGATTCTAAGTAAACGAAACGCGTATTCCCAAGGAGTTTGCTTATACCTATGAACGTCAGCATCCCTTGTCCAGGAGTGATTTATCAAGATACGCACGTCTCAACATCTTCAATCATCTTGTCAACAGCTTTCGCCGCTGCCTTGGGGTTGGTTTTGTGAAGCATACGAGCCAAAAGTTGCTGCATAGTATACTTGAGATCTAAAAGCTTGTTCTATTCACAAAGTCAGTTGGAGTTTTGAGAACGCAAATGCCATAACTAACCCGTTCGCATATTTCGATCTGCCAGACATTAGTAATGATGCACACCAATAGGTAGCTTTGACTTACCCCTTTGCTCAATGCGGTTTCCGCTGCCAAATCGTTATCAGTTTCCTCAATAAGTATACGCGCAAAGCGCAATCTTGTCAAGGCTTCTGTAAGAGGTGGCATTCGAAAGTTCTATTATAAACATCACAAGATTAGCCTAGAATACACCTCATCAGCTTCGTGGAGACGAACAGTTTGTGCAGCTTCCAAACACCCTAACCCAGTGGCAACCAGTTTATAATACTCCTTAAGATCCAACTCGTTCTTGGACAGAGCAAGAACTGTTCCATTACTGTGAGCGGCATTCAGATATTCATCTGCAAGAGCTAATAGCAGTGGCTGGTAATCCACATCGCCATCAGCAGGTGAAGACTTCTGAGGTTTCTGCACCTTATGAGGTGCTACCATAGGTGTTTTGGCGGGGGTCTTGGTGGACGTTCTTTGAATATCTGCCAACGATGAGATGACGACTTGTGGCATCCTAATAAAGGGCGAAGCTGATTGTGCTGGCGCTTTTCGACTTTGGCTATTCTGACGAGATGGAGTCATTGTGTTTTCTTTCGAAGAGGGTGCAGATGCTGCTAGTGGACTAGGGTTATATGGTTCTTGCTTGATTTGTCCTTGGCTTGAAGTAGATTTGTTTGATACAACAGGCTGGGACACTGTCGTGGTTAGCGTCGCGACAGGAGCTGTGCTTTGCTGTGGGGCACTGGGCGCTGTGAAAGAAGAGCTAACTTGATTAATTGACGAAGGGCCAGCACCAGCCAGTATACCACGAGCAAACGTTGGTCGTATTGGCTCTGTAAACGTATCACTGGGGTTCACAAATAGTACAGGAGGATCTTGATGAACAGGCTGCGGCGGCGGTGATGGTGGTTTTATGGAGTTCAAATTATTTTGATATTGTCGCTGAGGAGGCTGCGAACGAGGTTTTGGTGAAGGTTGTGATATTTGTTGTTGTGGGTTTTGGGGCTGTTGGGCCACCGGCGAGTTGAGTTGTCGCTGCTGCGTTTGTCGAGACGAGGGTAAAACTACAGGCTGAGGTGAGGGCTGAGGCGGAGGTTTTGGCGAAGGATGTGGTAAGTGCTGAACTTGATTTTGCTGAGGCGACGGCTGCGGCAGGGATTGCGGTATACGCTGCTCCTGTTGATGTTGTAGCTGTTGTTGGATTGTCGGGGAGCCGTACTGCTGCTGCATTTGTATCTGTTGAATAGGTTGCGGTGAAGGCTGGGATCGAGGTTGCGGAGAAGGGTGCAATGATTGGAGTTGATGTTGTTGTATAGTAGGAGAGGCATATTGCTGCTGTCGTTGCACTTGTTGATTCAACTGCGGTGACGACTGAGGCATAGGCTGCGGGGAGGGCTGTGAAAGAGATTGGCGTGGATGTTGCTGAACAATCGGCGAGCCAAACTGCTGCTGTACAACCGGAGAACCATACTGCTGTCGCTGCAGGTGTTGATTTTGTTGTTGTGGAGATTGTGAAAGCTGCGGAGAGGGTTGCGATAGATGTTGCTGCAAGTGTTGATGTTGTTGTATCACCGAGGTATTGTACTGTTGCTGGCGTTGCTGCTGCTGATAGATAAATTGCTGCTGCTGCTGCTGCTGCTGAGGTGGCTGAGGAAGTGCTAATCCTCGCTGGTGCGCCAAAGTTTGTGATGGCGAGGGATGTCCATATCCCTGAACATAAGGCGGCAGTGATACCGGAGAATAACCAAACGAATTCGTATAATTCATATACTGGACATTATTTCCCACATTATACTGCGGCTGCGATTGAGGAACCGTTACAGGAGACCGAGTAAACGCGGCATTCTGCGGGATTTGTTGCAAGTATTGCGAGGGATACTGCGGAGGAGGATATTGCCCATTGTCATTGTTATACGGCGGTGGGTAACTCATTGCCTTTGAGTATCGGAGAAATTAATAATGGGGAGATCGTCCCGAAAATCATGAGGCTATCATCTGATGAGCCATGGAGACGAGACTGGCGACGCGTTTCCTAAAAAATGATCATAAACAGTCAAACATAATGTTGGATGATGCGCGAGCGCTGGCTTTGCGGAGATCGGATCGGATAAACTATGCTCCATCCTAGTGCTCCACTTAGGGCTGTATGAACGAATATGTATATAAAAATCTCTCAATCTTATAGGTACGAATATTATCAAGTATTATCAAGTATCTATTTCTCTCAAGCTCAACTAGCAACCCATTATCCTTTCTTGAAGGCAGCGTCCTGTCTTTCCAGGCCCGAAACTCCAACGCCTGCCTTTCGACATCATACATGTCAATATGCAAGAGAAGGCTTTTCCAGAGTAATCATATAATGGCAAGAGCTCCTACAGTATTCCCAATTTGGCTCTCCCTCTTTGTCTTCATCATAGAACTGATAGGCTTGGACTTCCTCAGTAGATGCTCCCGAGCATACGACGTTGTTGAAGACGTGATTCAATGGTGACAAGCTCGCGTCACCGTTCAACAATACTGGGTAGGCTGAGTCATATCGTAGACATCGCCTTCCATTGATATAGTTTCCTGCACCTACTCCCGAGGCATACGAGTCCCCTAATGCAATCCACTCGAAATCCTGGGAGAAGACACTTTGAAAGGAAAGAGGAAGTATGAAAAGATATCTCCACATGGTTTGTGATCTAACTATGCCTATCTCGTTTATTTTTGAAAGCTGCTCGAATACTTGATAACGCAGGACAAGTATGTACTATTTATACTTTAATCTCTGTCCCAAAGCCTCACACAATGTCTAGGTAGGTGTGACACTTACAATAGGGACGGAAGATACGACAGAAATTTCAGATTGTTCCACTGTCGATGAGCCTGAATATAGGGTAGTAATGTCATGTTCTCATCTAATTGATACTACTCCTAGACCTATACAGGAACCAAATCCGAATCAACTGTGGGCTTTAGGCGAACGTTGGATTCCAAACATGATCTATTTTTTGAGCCCTTTGACAGTTCCAACCGTTCCGAGCATCATCTACTAGCTTAAAGCTCGGCTAAAGGGGCTTGGATTGGTGATCTAGCTGTAGATATTAGTGCTACTACTACTTATGGAAGTTTAGTTTCAAGTGTAGACTGTTGAGTCGTTACATGTGTTAAAGCACTTGGCTACCATTTCAAATTTCTGTCATTCAAAACTTCTCCTATCACACCATTCCTGCTTTAGCCGCCGAATTACTAGGGAAGTTGCGGTATTGCACCAAGGAACGCCCATTTTAGTATCAATTTTCTTGAGAAAAATGGTTACAACGCCTTTTAATTTGACTGCTGCGAGTCAGTAAAGTCTGGACATTATACGTTTCCATTATATCTTGCTTTTGTGGCTATGCTTCTAGACCTTTTCATTTTACCTAGCTTACACTTACAGCAAACATGGGCGTTGTATGGTCTTCTGGGATGAACCATGCTACTCTAGTAAGTGCCCTTATGTTATATTTGACCCGGGAGTATGGTTCTGGCTTATATTGCTGATAAAGAAGTCATATGTGAGTGGTCAGACTGCGAGGGATAGAGACACAGGAAAAATCGCGTAATATATGTTCTAATCCTCTGATAAATGTGATTTCAAAGCGGAGTCTATGATTACTATGACTAGTTTCGAATTCTAACATGATTGCTACCTTGTTAGGAAGAGAAAGACCTCACATGAGGAGCATGGCTAGAAATACTGAGATAGGTGGAGATGAAATGAATCAAAGAAACTTATTTCTCGTTTGGAGCTACTAGTAATTGTGTACATTTAATGGAACCTGCCGAAAATATCCCCAGCCTCTGCTGCTAGTATTTTCCCTCTGGGTATTTCAGCTCAAATTCCCCATCTAAACAATAAATCCTCTCTCCCTCCTTCGTTTTTGCATCAAATTTCACGGTAAAATTGCCCTATTCCGTAGACTTAGTTCGTACACATCCAGAACGGAAGAGAAGGAAAAATGGTAATCTCAACGTACTGTGCCTACAAACCATGGCACATATGCATGAAGACTCATGATTGCAAACCCTTTCAGTGGTGGGCAGTCCTTTTCTCGGCCTGGATATGGCTGTTCGATGGTGTCCATGGAACCGCAGAAAGGCGTTGATCCGGACCTTCCTGGATTATCAGTCGAGTTCCCTCGGGCATACCAATTCCAGACTGGGTCATCTGAGATATCTGAGAGAAAGAGTCCTGAAAATTTTAGTGAGCGTGGCTATTGATAAAGCATGATACACAAATACAATGATTACCATAAATATAGATATCCAGATCTTCTTCGCTAAAAAGGTTGTTTGATCCAAGGTGAGACATAGAGACCAACATATTCAAGGAATAGGCACTTCTACACAAGTGGAGGTGTTGGATGGACTTCAACTCGGTCGATTTGGAATAGATCATTATCGCGGGATTCAGGACAGAATTTTAGGTTCGACTCTCCAGGGATCACGCCCGGGATTGATAACGAAGACACCGGAGTCATAGGGTGCTGGACTGGCATTGCGGATTGGAAGACGGCAAGCCAAGACAGACTGTTCATGAAAAAGGACTGTATTTGCTCCATGGTCTCTGTATTTCCAGCTGATTTGATGATAGCAATCAAGCCGTTGCCGCAGGGTTATAAGATTGAAGTCCGGGCGAGTTGAGACAGAAAACGTTCTTCTCTCGAATTGTAAAATATTTTTCAAACGAGATATCGCGCACAAAGATCTTAAGTAACGTCTGCCTTATCAAGCCTAGATCATTAGCGTCAAACTGGTCAGATTTGAGGCTTGTGGTGATTAGGTAGTAGTTACTATGTAGTACATATTGACCCAGAGCCATTTAGCTACCGAATCGACTGCGGCGTTTGATCTAGCTGCCTGAAGTGGTACAAGATAGGCCACAGCGAATTTAATTCAATCGGCCCGTCCGTCTGATTACCTTGAGCCGCGAAACCCATTTTTGAAGTCCGGCTGTTGGGAGGGTCCAGAGCTAGGGCCTACTTCCTATAACTGCGATGGAATGTCAACAAGGAACGGACGATCAAATCGTAAGACAAAACATATTGTTAGTTTCGGGTAAAGTACGTCTCTGAAGGAAAAGTTCATTGGCTGTCGGTTGATCCAGTTGAAAGGTATTAACTTTTTAGAAGCGAGGTCGCCATGGGGGTTAAGTAGCTCATTAGCTCAGTGAGTGAACCAGTGCTCAACTTCAGCTCACTGAGCATGTTTCCTAGCGTATGCGAAACTCACTGATCTGATCAGCGCGCTCAGGGCGTGCTCAGTTCTACTCAAGTGAGTAAAGGCGGCGAGGAAAGTCGAGAAGCGTCAAAGGAAATCCGGTACGTAGGTATGTTATGAACATTAATAGTAAATTCAATATGAATTGTAATCCAGGTAAAGCAAACCCAATAGGAAAAATTGACCTGAATATAAAACTCAAAAATAGATAATTGCAGCACAAAGGTATAGATCACTCAGCAACAAACCGGCCCTGTGCTCATAGCGAGCTACCTTCTTCCAGATACTTATTATCCAACTATCTATCCGTGCTTTATATCTCTCTTGCCAAATTCCTATTCCGAAAATGCGCCGGAATTGACAAGAATATGAATACATACTAAGACCCTGCTAATAACAATTGACTAATCGTCTGGTCAAGCAAACATCCTCCTCCATACACTTCTTATACCTGCCCAAGTTGTAGCGAAGAGTACATCTGATTCGCGAATCGGACGCTGTTATCCTCCAGCGCCGGCTGCAGTATATCACTATCAAGTGAAGGCGCATGAATAGGCGGAGGATGCATCCAAAGTGTCCAGGGGCAGTTTCTTATTGAGATATGCGGACTGATCGGATGCATTCTTTGAGCTGCAAACTCTCCATCGGGCATCTGCGTTGAGTTACCGAGACATCTCAAAGTCCAGAAGTAATATGTCGCCTTGTCATTATCTGCAGATAGATGAGCTCGCCGTTGTGGGCATTTCAGTACTGTTCCACAAGTGCCGCAGGTTGAGATTCGTCTACATGCTCTGCAGAATGTGTCGTGTCGGTGGCAGTAGAGGGCTTGACATACGCTAGACAGCCATAGATCTATCGATCGATGAGCGCAGCCAAGGCGAGTAGTGATGTGTTGCTGTTTTCCTAGTGTATGGGGTACCGTGGTCATCCGATACTCCGTCCTGATGATCAGTTGCTCTGCATCGTTAAGCTCGGGGTATATATCGATTTTGAACTCGGTTGATTCGTATGCCACTGTGCACGAATGCCACAGGTATCTTTCGTCGTAACCACGGCTTCCGAATATAGCCGATGGCATCTTTGTCAAGACTTCACGATCCTTCAAGTGTTTGATCAGATTCACTTTATCCTGAAACGTCATTTTGATACATGGGCACAAATCGACCACTCCCGCTGATTCGCCTAGACTGCAAACTCGGGCAGTAGGTGATGATCTGAGTTCTCTTGCGGGGAATGCCGTTCGTAGATGGAGCTTGAGACATTTGGAGCAAGCCAGCCATCTCCCATCTTCGAGTCTTTCAATTAATTTCCACCTCTCGCCGGAAAAGGTCTGAGAAGCACGGTAGTGATGAAACAAGGGTGCAAAGTCTTTTTGAAATCGTAGTGATTCGGAGAGGAAGGATCTTCCGGATACTAGTAGTAGTCGTTTGCATGTTAATGCGAGGCATGCTTCGGAAAGAGGGTCCAGGTGCGCAGATATGAGGACTAATAATTCAGTAGGGAGGTCCATGATGAAACATTTTGGTTCCTGCGGAGGGTTGTTTTCGAGGCGTCTTTCCGGGCTCACTTCTCGCTCCTTAACGGTGGTCTCCTTGACGGGATTCTCTTTGATAGCCTTCGAGACTTTGAGTCTCGCAAAGAAGCTGAAGGAGCGTCCACCCATGATGCAAGCCAACCAATATCGTAATTGCTGTATGTTCTCTATCGTAAAGCTGTTATCGTTACTGCTTCTTCATAACTGGAGTAATAAATCTGGGATACCGATCAGTAGAAGTATTGTCATATCGTGAAGAATAATAAATAGTCGACCCTATATATGCACCTGTATGTCAAGTCAGACTCCAATGTCATGCGAGGCTCCCACGAGCCACTATTTAATGCACCACAAAAATGCACGAACGCGGAAGACAACGGTAAGCCTAATACACTCATAACTGAATCAGGATGACATCCGTATTATCTTATTTCTGTAATGGAACCTTGGGAAGTTAGTTTTGGAACGAACCCTAATGCTAATAAAGGCCATATTTGGTTCTTCAGTCTAACGACGTTGCGAGTCATGTGCTTGAGACAGCTGATAAAATCACGTCGGTATCCGCTTAATTATGTTATTGTTACTGTCGTGTGTATGTGTATGAGAATGTGGTGTGGATGACTAGAATCAGAGTTTCCGCAAACGGAAGTCGACATGTATGCTAGCAGGAGCAAGCCAAGATCACCTGCAAATCTCCTGTATGCAGCTCAAAGATGTTATCGGACGAATCCTTATCTGACTCTTTGTTCGTGCTCCCTTTCAAAATCTATATCCTGACTGCATGTTTCTTTCAAGCCGTTGGACTGTCACATGGCAGATCTACTCGCGAGATGGGCACCAACGGGTCCTTGTGACTTTTGGCAAACGCCAGCCTCTAGATCATTCATATAGGACGATAGAGTACTGTTATCTAGAGTATGACCAAGTATACAGCTCGATAAATAGAATGTAAAAAGTACGATAGCATGTTTGCTAAGTTTGCACTTCTTATCGATAAGATATCTTATCGCTCGTGCCAGATGGATCCTGGCATGCCATTGGCTGACCCACCTACCCAATCAGGCTATGATGCCGAGGTTGATGCTAAGAATAAGTTGCACGACGGAGTCTATCGGACGTAAGAATTCTTTGATGGATCCAGCCAGAACAATATTTTGTTATTGTTTATAGAAGACATTCTCATTCTCTCTGGATACACTATACGTGCACTTCTGTTGTTTATCTGTGTTTATCTGTCAGCCACATCAACATCATTGACCAGCTATGAGTCTCCTCTCCAGATTCTCTCCGCAAGCCAAAATCTCATTGGTCCACTGCGAGGAGAATCAAGTCCTTTTGACAGCAAAGCACCACACCAAATCCGAGACCGAAAAACAAATCAAACTCATCGATATATGTCGCGAAGCCACCCCTTCAACATGCAATCTCAACCCTCTCCTCTTCAACGGCCACCTCCAAACAGGCTGGACAACCATCAAGGAAACAAACGAGATCCCTATCTACTACAAACGCAAGATCTTTGAGCAAGAGATCCCTTCGCTCGCGGGCCAATTCGCGGTTGATTTCGTCGTGCCTGCGTACCCCAAAACAACGGGCCCGGAAGCTACAGATGAAGCGAGGAAGTATACCTTGCCCTCGGGACTTCCCGCACGAACGGCATTCTTTTCGCAAGAAGAGCTTGCCGCGTTACCGTCGGATGATACGAAACCGATGCTGGTGGCGTTGCATGGATTGACCGGTGGATCGCATGAGGTATATCTGCGCGCTGCTCTTGCGCCGCTCGTGCTGGATAGGGAGAGTGGGTGGGAGGCTTGTGTTGTGAATGGTCGGGGATGCGCGCAGACAAAACTTAGTACACCGTTACTATTCAATGGACGTGCGACATGGGATGTCCGGCAGGTGGTTAAATGGCTTCGAAAGACGTTTCCGAATCGACCATTGTTTGGGATTGGGTTTTCTCTAGGTGCTAACATTATGGTTAATGTAGGGCTTTTCCTACTGCTCTGTATAATCACACGCTGACTGTTAAACAGTATCTGGCAGAAGAAGGTGAAAATTGTCTTCTCAATGCCGCCGTTATCTGTGCCAATCCTTGGAACTTGGATGCGACTAACCTTGCTCTTCGGACTTCGTGGTTGGGCTCTGAAGTCTACTCGGCACATATGGCTGTCAGTCTTGTCAATCTTTTCAATCAGTACGTTTCCTGACTCGGTATGAGTGTTTGAAACGGGTGTTGCTGACTGATATAGACATGTGGACGAATTAATACATCATCCCCGTTTGAAGGTCGATGCTATGAAGGATGTCAAATACATTCATGAATTTGATAGGTACGTTCCGTTATGCCACCTGATAGCGAGTACTAATATAAACAAGGGCTGTACAATGTCCTCTATGGGGTTACCCAACTGAAGGAGCCTACCATCGCGACGCATCCTCTACAGACTCCTTACTGGCAATTCGAATTCCGTTTTTGGCCATAAACGCTGAAGATGATCCTGTCAGTCATTGATTATATGTACATTAATATACCGTTCAACTAACTCATTTGGACGAACAGATCTCCGTCAAGGCAGCAATTCCCTACGACGAATTCAAACAAACACCCTACGGAGTATTGTTGACGACCTCCTGGGGTGGACATCTCGGCTGGTTTGAACTGGGAGGTTGTCGATGGTTTACCAAACCGGTATGTCATTCTAGTGAAGCACGTCCGCGATGGTTGAACCCGCTAATACTGTCTTCATAGGCTACAAACTTCCTAGATCTAATGGCCAAAACCATCGACTTTTCAGTCACACCCAAACCCGAAAAGGGTAAAGAAGGGTTGTACGGAGAGTCACTCGCAAATGGTAGCATACACAAACCGCCTCAGGTGCCGGTCTTTTATCCAGTGAACCGGAAACTGTCCATGACCATCGGCAACTAGAGCAGAATATTGAAGGTGTTCCTTCAAAACATGTATTGAAATTCCTGATAATACCGTCAATGAGTCCGTGTCACCTTCGCCTCAAACGCCGGAAGAACCGCAACCAACATTCAGAATATCCCTCATCAAAAACGAATAATGACCACCAATGCATGCATATATAGCGCATATAGAGATAGATATACAAAGAATTCGCTCAAACTAGAAACATTGTTCTCAAGAGTACATCGTAAAGTTTCAAACAAATGAAACACTCTTCCGCTTCTCTCTAGGCTTAGAAGTCGATTTTTTATCTTCGGTAGGACCATCGTTCGATCTCTTCTTTTTCTTGTTTCGTAGTTCATCTTTGATATTTTCCTATTCGACATTAGTAAAACCCATTATGGACTCTCCAGGTTTGTTAGAAGGAAGGGTTGGCGACGCACCAATTTCGACTTCCTCTTCTCAGCCCTAGCTTCAGCTTCCTTCCTCTTCGCCTCCCGGATTTCTTCCATTTGTCGTGCCTTGATCATTTTGGATTCGATTTGTCCTTCCTTTTCTGCATTGACGATTGCTAGAATAGTCATCATACTCTCCTAGCCAGAAATCAGCCACCCAACTCTACAAGTCAATAAGCAAGGGAAACAAACCTGATCATCAACAAAAGTCTTCCCCTTCTTCTTCCCCTTAGGTGTCTGCACACCAACAGGTGTAATCATATTTAAGGCTGGTAATCCCAATTCCTTTTCTGTGTATTCTCTCGCCTTGGTTTTCTTTTGTCGATTGGGTGCGCTGCGGGATTGGGATTTTACTTCTTTCGGGGATGGGCGCTTAGATTTGGATTTGGATTTAGATTTGTTGACTTTGAAGGCTGAGGATGAAGATGATTTGGAGGAGTTCTTTGAAGTACCCTTGGAGGGGCCTTTGGAGGATGTTGGTGCCATTGCGCTGTTTCTATATCTTGTTGAATATGAAGGTTGTTGCGGGTCGATGGCCGGAGAAAGAAGGTATGCTCGATAGTAAGTAAATTTTGTAGTAAGAGCTCTATTTGATCCTCGCAAATCAAAAGGAAAAACGATGTCAGCTGAAAATATCAACAGTTTAATCAAGACAAGATATCGAAAAAATTTTCTGAAAGGGCAGGCGGTGAGAGCTTTTTACATTTACTAATCCGGATATAGTATAGTCAATTCAAGCCCGCCGGCACCGACAAGCCGTAACAACCTCATCCACCTTGAGATCATATCGACCATCCAATTGAACTGCCATTGCGACCGGCATAGCCATACGCTCGGATTTCTCGCCGGTCAAAACAATCGAAGAGAAATCATGACTATCAATCCTACATATCTCGCGCAGCGGACGCGCACTTGTATGTGATCCTTGTTTCCGTCGACGATCCTCGACTGTGTCGTTCGCTTGTCCATTGAATGATATTAACTATCCAAAAGCAATCAACTGGGCAGATGCAAAAGCCAGAGTTCGCAAGTCCTACCGAGAATGGCTCCGAGCGGTTCGTACCCCAACCCAGAATTTCCACAAATCCCACGACGTACCGACACAGTGAACCAATTGATTGACTGACGATGATATAGTCCCCCGAAATCCAAACAATGTACTCCCTCAACATCCCCGTATCCGTAATTCGAACCAAGATCCGCCAACAATTCGAGCAACATCGTTATGTTAGCCAGATCAATGTTGTTGATGTGTTGTTGTACAAGAGTCATGCTGAATTTCAGGTTTGTTCTTTTCTTCTCTCGTCTCGGGGGGGGGGGGGGGGGGGAATTCACGAGGTTTATTGTTGGTATGCTAATTCAGGTATGATTGGTAGGAAACATTGAATTACTGGAAACAGCTTTCTCATGTTATGAAGTATTTCCGTGCGGAGGAGGAGCCTGCTGCTAGACTGCCGCCAAATTTCATTACTGGGTTCTTGGAGGTATGTTTTTTTCTCAATTCCAAAGGGAGATGTTAGAATGGTAGCTAACTGATTGTTATAGGGCCGCAACTAATGCAGATTCAATGTCACAATATCAGTTTGTTCTCTGTGTTTGAATGTCTCGGAAGATAGATGTCTTTTTGCAGTCTGTTCTCTGAGAATGTTGTATATAAGTATGTTCTAGACAAAATCCGTTTTTACACATCTTGCCTGCATTGTAGGGACTAGGTATCCGTCTGATGTCTTTCTACTCCCATAAAGAAACGTAATCAAATCATATACATTGAATCAAAGCTTGTCGAATATACAACCAAACGCCATCTACCAGATGCTACATACAATAATATCAAACCCTCATAACAAACGACCAGACGCTCATCCTTCGCTCTTCTAAAATCAAACCTTTTTTTTAAATCGAAAAGGACGATTAAGCAGTCATCTGATCAGCCCGCTCAGCATTAAACGAATCCCTGGCAACAGTAAACTTGTCCGTGACCACATCACACAGATCCATGAGATCATCCAATCCTTTCTCAAGGGCCTCAATGGCGGTCGTATTTTCTACGCCAGACAATCAGCACCGAGACACCGCAATAATTAAAAAAGGTGAAGGAAAGTACCATATGTCTGAATCCGTAGATTCATCTTGGCCTCTGAAGGATGCGGAATCGTGTAACCGCAGAATTCGACCGCGGGGCTACCACCATTAGCATCTCATCTAAAAACAGTGAGAAAGGGAACTAACTTACTTCTTCATAATCACATATCGAAGCGCATTTCCGAGGGTGTGACCTTCCTCTTTAAATTGGAAAGAAGCCGCTGTTTCAGTTGCGCCGGATAACTTTATTCAAAATCATCAGTAAACTTAGTTGTTTCAAGGGAATAGAAGCACGTACGATAGTGATCCGATTCTCGCCGTGCTCAATAACAGTCTCGCCGTTTTCATGAGCTTGGTCGACGTCGACCATGGACTGATCTTGATCTTCGTGGACTGAGGCGGGCATATTTTTTGTATCTTGGAATATATCTTTATTCTAACCCTGGCAGTTTCTGAGATTGGTGTCAAGTGGACAGGTTTGTTTGGGAAAGTGGTATAAGTTTTACTATCAGCAAATTTGATACTGGAAAATGGCATATAAAAAATTGTTATCGATAAAGAAGTTTGGGGAAGTGAGAGCGTCTACCTGATTGGCTAAAATGTCAAAAGCGGGTCTAATGATTAGTCAGCTGGACATCTGCTCGGTGCTCGGTGCTCAGTGCTCAGTGCTCAGTGCTCTCTTCTATCTTCTACTACTGTCAATACTTTTTATCTGTCTAGAGACTGCATAAGTTGGATATCTTCCCAAGCTTGAACTCGGTTACGGGTCAGACGAACATACCGGGTAAGTTATGTTGCCAATGATTCCAATGTTACCTCTCCGAGTATGCTCAAATACTACTGTTTTGTTGTATTGTGCAACATGCTCAATTAGGATACTATCTTCCAAGGAAAATCATAAATGGCCTGATTTAATATACTTGTAACCTTGGCATATTTCTATCGACGTGTACTACGTATATGTTGAGGCTAAAACTTATTCATTTAACCGAATCTATAATATCGGTTGTTAAGCAGATCGATCGATCAGGGTTAGGGTTGTGTTAGTACCGGTACGTACGGCGTACGCTAGAACAGCTGAAACGCAGAGTGGGGACGCTGATCGAACTATTGATTTTGTTCGGATGCTTCATTTCTCTGACAGGAATAGAAATAATCATGTTGACAATAATCCGTTCTGATCTATGCTGTTGTCGCAGGCGAGATCGATGTCGATAAGCATATTGATCGAGGATAGAGTTATCATTATGATCGCCGTATGATAGCAGTGCGTAAAAATATTTATTCTGCGAATATAGTAGTACTTCCAGTTTGAGCTGTCTGTGTACGAGTTCCACGGTACACTTATATACGTAGCAATAATACGAATTGATTGACAGCCCCTGTAATAAGAATCATCAATAGCGGTCACATGCCTTATTGACTCCTGTTTCAGCCAAGAACGAATGGCAGCGCAGAGACAGTGAGTCGTCTCAGACCAGCGATTCAGGAAGACGGACGCCCGCCAATCAACTTGTATATACAGTCAGAATTGCAATCAGCCATATTGAGCTCCGTGCTTTATGCTTGAATGCAGTTGAGAACCGGATACTTGGTCTGACATAAATTTCAATTGCCAAGAGAATAAATAAAGGTATGCCGTGAATACTCGTGGGTAGGCCAAAGGCACGAGTCTGTCACGTACCGTCACGTGTATCGTATGTATTGAAAGGTCTCGACCATTACTCCCGTCCGTCCTCTGCTCAATCTCATCTCATCTTTCGTACATTGCAAATGCAAACAGCATATACGCGCTATCAAGAAGATGGCATGAATATATCCATTTCATAATTTGATATCGTCAATTCGTTCGGTTCTTTTTCCTCTTCTCTGCGAACTGCATTTGCAGCCCCATCGGTTTCCAGGATCCGTATCCAATCACGCCGTCTGCCCGAGCGCTGTTCTGAGACAGCGAGCAAGTGTCAGAAAGAACAGATCCTGTTCCAGCCAGGGTCGAGACCCGCTCGGACTACTAACCCTGAGACATTAGGCGCCCACCACTTTTGCTAAGTTTGCTCTAGACCAAGTGTGCAAGCTGAGCAAGCGCCGTGACTTGCCTTGCCTTGCAATCTCTGAATTTCGGGGAAGACATTCTTTTCTTTTCTCTGTTTTTTATTTTATTTTTTTATTTTTTTATTTTTTGCTTCTGCTTCTGCTTTCTGTCTGGTTGATCTCTTAATTGCACGGGAAAAAAGTTCCGTCTGAGCAGGCGTCTAACTGTTGCCCGCTATCCGCCTTGTCGGTAACTCACGAACCAGCTCGAACGGTTCTGACACATCAGATAACTCGAAAGCCTTGGACTCAGTATCATCTCAGGTCCAACGATTCGGCTACCGTAGCCAGTCCCTCGGGACGTCCCTCTTCCGCCTCTCCTTCGTTTTTATATACATATCGTCCCGAGACGACATCTCTTCGATAGTCAACCCCCCCAGTGTTATATATACGACAAAATGTCCACTGCAGTTGCGCCTGCGACGGCGGCACCTTTGACTTCTCATGTCGACAGAGCGCCAAGTCCTAAGAACCATCACTCACTCGCTCCCACATCAGCAATGCCGTCGTCTCGAATGCCCTCCGGTACACAAGAAAAGTCCAGTCCTGAAGGGAAGAAGACTCCCAATTCGTAAGTTCTTTTGCATCGTAGCCCAGACGTCTGTCTCCAGCACTGACGTTCCGTTCCAATATAGGAATGCCGCACCAAAGATCATAGTGAAAAAAGAACCTCCGTCTTCCCCCACAATATCCTCTCAGACGAGGCCTCGTCCCAGAAAACTAGATCTCTCTGCTAGCACGTTATCAGTCCGTGGTCCGGCGGGCCCAATGACTGCTCGTGACGGCTTAGGGCTACACGAGGTTGGGTTGGCATGCTTATCACCCGGTTTTCAGACACACGATCCCGAACGGCAAGAACAGCTACAACGCAGTATTGCAGTACGCGAGCAGCAGAGATCCATAATTGAGTCGAGACTACAAAAATCCGCAAAAGGTGATGGCAGTGATTCAAACAAATCATCCGAATCGAATCCCTTTGGATCTTTAAAAATTGCCAAGAAGCGTCCTCCTCCTGGCCTCTCTATCGTCCCTCCCTCCGCTTCCCAATTTGCAAACGAACGAGTTGTGCAGTCTGCTCCATTAAATAAAACATTCACCGGTCGACACGACCCTATGCCTATAACACGTCACCTCATTGGCCATACTGCAAACCTTCCCTCGCCTTCTCATATCCATCATGTGCCTGCTCAGCAAACTAATAATCGTCTACCTCCGCTTTCAGATGTGTTTGGCTCTGATCTAGCTTCGAGGCAAGACCGGGAGCGTAATGGACCGTTCCCTGGCTCTGGCGTCAACTCCTCACAATCTACCACTACCGCATCGACAATCCCACCATTTTCATCTTCTCCCGGTCACAACGGCACCTCTCAACAACGACCGCGAGAGTACCGATCCGCCGAGGAAGCCGTTCAAGAGCTTTCCGGAGGCCGAGAAGAACTCCTACCTCGTATCATTCACTATAACGGTCACCAACAGCCGGCCACCCCACCTTCACCATACAGCAATGGAAATGTAGGCAGCACATCCGGCACACAGCAGACATATGCACCACCTCCAAGCCAGGGAACGTCCCGTCGCCGAACGAGAAGTGAATACGAACAAGACAACGGTAGTCCTCCATTGGGCACAGGACCAGATATGAGGTTTCGAAACGGGCCAGGCCCGGCGGTGTCATCGTACGGACCTTTTGGAGCAGGCCGGGATTCACCAGAGACGCAGAGGAAAAAGAAGGAAGAATTCCTGTCTCTTTGCTCGCGAGCATGGGACCTTTTTCACTCTTAAAAAGATATCCGGAGGGTCTATAAACCTGAGAATACCATATAACTCTCGTCACCATCGTCTATAACAGCAACTCGGGGCTTCACGATATTAATTGAATGTCAATCCAACCGACAGATTCGTTTACGCCACGACTCAAAAACATTTGTGTATTACTCGAGATATCCATTCCACCTCTCCACGAGGAAGCAAACATCTCTTGCGTTCAGCCGGTGGGTTTCATTTGAGCACACTTTACTTTTCCCTCCCAGTTTTACATTCTGCGCCAAATCGGACTTGGGGAACTCGAACTCTTATATATACGATATACAATAAATCTCGACTTGTGTGACTGAGCTTTGTTGGCAATTGAATGAACATGAGGCATGAAAGGGACATAATAATTGGGATTGGCTTTTTTTTTCTTTGCCCTGGTTGGCCTCTTTTCCATTTTTCTTCTTCATGCTTTGAAAAATTTTTATACCATATCATGTTGGATTAACAACGACAATCAGTTTTCGATTTTTCTTTCGCATATTCTATGGCTTCTGGCTTTTGGGCGTCTTACATATTTCGTTCTTTCTATTTTTCTTATTTTGGGTCTTTATGTTGATATCCCTTTTGCATCGCAATGCTTTGCGATCTTTTTTTATCTGGTCTGCTCGAATCCAATTATTTAGCTCTTTCTGTTCTTTTTCGTTGTCAATGATTGATCGGTAGATATGGAGATTTCTACTGTTTATTTCTATGGAAAAAAAGGCTATACCGTTCGTAATATCTTGAGCCATAATCTTAACATTCAACCTGTACCTCTAAAGGAATAGAATAGAAGATCACTCTACTCCCCTCCTCGCCCACGGCAGATCCTTCTTCCCCTTGGCCGCAATCTTCTTCCTCCTCCTTTCCAACGCCTTTGTCCTTTGCCTCGATCCCATACTCTCATACTTCTTCTTGAGCACCTCCTTCTTCAACTCCGATTTCTTCAAAAAGTATGGTTGCGACTTCTTCCCTTCCTTTATGAGCTGCTTTTCTCTCTGTTTGTGTTCTCGTAATACCTCTCGTTCCCGCTTCTTGTTTTCGAGCGTTCGTTGTCGATCTTCTGCTGATGTTAGTTGACGCTTGAGTTCTTCGCGTTGCTTGGGATCTTTGGTGCGCGCGAGTTGGTCTTTGAGTTGTTTGATTTCTGACGCGCGGTATTCGTCTAGGAAGGTGTAGGCGTTTGAGGTGGAGTTGCGTCGTGCTGAAGAAGAAGAGACAGCTGGATCGAAGCGTGGATCTCGAGGTTTTGTGGCGTTGGAGGGTGGTTCGATAACAATGCGTTTTCGGCTTACAGCCATTTTGGAGGATTGGACTGTTGGCGCGTGTTTGGAGGATCGCGTTGGTGGTTTTGGTTTTGAGTGTCCTCCACTATTATTATTTTTAGTCTCGTTGTCCCTGGTCAGACCGAGTTTTTGCTCGCGTGCTTTTCGGAGTCGTTCTCTTATATCATTCAATGTGGATTGCGTCTTATCGTCTGTTTCTGGCTCCTCCCCTCGTTTTCGTTTCTTGCTAATCGAGTTTTGTGCTTTGGCTAATGCTCCGAATGAGATTTGACGGAATTCGGATTGTAGGGCTTTCTTATCGTTGGTCGAGGCTGTGGATTGGTTATCGCTTATATCGTCATCGTCATCGTCTTCTTCTTCTGACCCTTCTTCTAATTCTGCTGATTCTTCGGACTCTGAATTGGGACGATCTACATCGGAATTGCTCTCGTCGTCCTTGTCAATGTCCTCCATCTCGTCGGAGACTTCGTCTTCGAAATCATCTTCTTCGTCTCGACGAGCGCGAAGCCGTTTATTTAATGCGTCGCTGATTGCCATATTATATCAATATCCCCTTGGAAAAGCGCTTGATAGGATTTGCCGTAGTGATCTTATCAAGCGGAGTAAATATTTTTTTTCCCACAATTCTGCCATTTCCTGAAAGCGGTGAGCGGATCACAACTTCTGACTCGTTGGGGCAGACTTTATCTCCTATCAGTCAAAGAGATTCACCTGATTTCATTTCAGTCAAACATCCCTCGTTCTTTGGTTTGATCCGTTTATTCTGTCATTTTTCAGAGTTTTTGCACTCGTTCTGTGTGGTTCCTTTCTGTCAATACTTGCTAAATGTGGCATTACTCACTGAAACCGTCACTACGCCCAAGTTCAACTCTATTTAGTCCATATGGTGTTTTAAGCAGAGGTGGACCTTTTGCCCAATGTGGACGGCGCGCTGAGGTATACATCTCCTAAGAAGCAGAAATTCAGATTTTTCAGGCGGCTAACAATCGACTCAGCGTCCGTTTCACTCTCTTCCAATGGGAAAAAAGAATAAAAAGAATGCGGCTCGATCGACGCTGCCAGATGGCGCAAGCCAACACCAACATGCCATCCCCTCGTTTCATAGTGGAAATGTCGACGGACTCACCGACGATGCCGTTCAGTCAGATCAAGTCACCGCTCAAAGTGAATGGAGACCACACAGCAGTCGCTGGAATGCGCAACACCAATCCTTACAATCTGTAACTGCCAACGGTAGACAGAATAGACGATCACGTCGATTGCAGCAGGGGATGGAACAGGGCGGTTGGAGTGATGGCCAGCAGATGGCTTATGCTTCGACTGGTGTTCACATGGACCCTTCTGGATACAATAACATGAGCAATGCATCGAATCCATATGCGAACAGTGGTTCGGTACTTCAAAATTTAAACAACACAACGAATTTCGGCTGGGACTACACACCCAATACATTCTACCAAACACCAGCACCTATAATGAACCCTCAATGGCTACAAATGCAATTTGCGCAGCAAACGATGAAGACCCAGCAGATGTTGGGAGCGTTTGGTGGCTCGGCTTTCATGAATAATACCAGAGGGATACACCAGCAGATACGTCCAATGTCCACCGCAGTCTTGCCCAGGGACAGCGTAACAAAACAGTTTGGGATGACACCCGAAGCACCACCTGCCACTTTCGCCCCTGATGCTACTGCCGAAACGAACAATAATGCGCAATCAACCCCATCAGTTCCAATCAAGTATGTTCGTACCGAGAGACCCCCGGTCGAACCACCACAAACCCCCTTACCGTCCGCCGCATACCTGGAGCAAGCGAACAAAGAGCCGTTAGACCTCCATTTCATGCAACCACTCCTTATCATTCTAGACCTAAACGGGACACTCCTGTATCGCAAGCGCAAATCATTCCCACCCAAATTCATTCGACGACCGGCACTTGACTACTTTCTCGAGCGACTCACAAGCCGACATCACGTCATGGTATGGTCAAGTTCACGACCGGAAACCGTCGAGGCAATATGCGACGAGATATTTTCCGAGGGTCAAAAGAAAAAGTTAGTAGCGAAATGGGCTCGGAACAAACTTGGCCTAAATCCAGAGCAGTATAATGCCAAAGTGCAGGTTTACAAAGAACTGAATAAGATTTGGGCAGATGAGAAGATACAGGCATCTTTCCCTCACAAGAAACATCGAGCGGGGAAAGCGGCGTATAATGCACTTCGCTACGCGCCTGGTCTCGATGAATTGAAAGAAATGACGGGGTTTATTGCTAAGAAATGGGATCAATCAAACACCGTCTTGATTGATGATAGTACTCTGAAAGCGGCCGCAAATCCGTACAACATCCTCCAGGTCCCCGAATTCACAAACGTGCCAAACCAGGACGATACCACCGTTCTCAAAGAGTTACTCCTCAAAATCCGAGTCCTCGCAAAATCAAACGACGTCAGCCGTCGTCTTCGCACCTTGGGCCCAGAAGGTATCCAGATCAGACGCGAAGATGTATTATCATCTGCCTCTTCATCTTCCGGATCAGAGTCAGAGTCGGAAAAGTCTATAACAAAAGGCTTGAACTTCGGCATACGATATGACGAATTCAGGAAAGAGGAGCGAGAAACCGGGGAACCGGTCGTTGGCCCTGGTGAGATTTTTGAGACGGATAACAAGATTGTCCCGGTTGCGTTGCCGGATGTATCTACTAAAAATCAGTTTAAACAGCGAGCGAAAAGTCAGAAGGCGAGACGGAAGACTATGAAGAAGCATAAGAAAAAGCATGCTTCAAGTGAGTGAAACGCCGTTGTAGAACGACTCTAGACTTATTATGCATCGAGTTCGAGCGTCCATGTATCATTAGAGCTTCAATGTGTTCTACATATCATCATCTCCTGAATATCAATTCTTTCATATGATAGTGGCCTAGCTGCATTGGTTCTAGTGTTGTTTTCGAGCTGTCAACCTGAGTCAGCAATTTCAGACTTGTCAACTACAACTCTCTGCTCTTCATCATTTGACGCCATAAAAACATCTATTATCTTTAAGCGAATATATTTGTTTGATCATTTGTACCATAAATATTAGACCTGTGATACACACAGAATGGATGACCGTCATACGCGGAGAAGAATGCAAAACCGGCTCAACCAGCGCGCCAGCCGTGAGGACCAAACCATACACGAGAAACATGTAAGCAGTGAAATAACTGACACAGGGAACAGGCAGGAGAAAAGCCTTATTATCCAGAAATACAGGTCACTCTGCTCAAAAATGGACATTCTACGTCCCTCCTTCGGAGACCGAGGAAAGCTCAGCATCTAACAACGACTGTGAATGATTGAGACCATGATTACATACCACCAGGATCAATGCTGAAGGCCCGGATTCCTTGACCATCCAATTCTCTGCAAGTATCTTGACAAACATGACTTCGGCGGCATTGGATTGGCAGTATGCTGTCAAAGGCTCATACGTTCTACCGTCCTATTCAAATAAATCAGAACAAACACTATAAAAGTGGACAAGGAACTCTTACTGAGAACCCAATATCTTCAAAGTCAATCTTCCCCGTCCTCGCCGCACTACTTGAAACAAGAGTGATCGACGCTCCGACCCCAGCAGCCCTAACCTTCGGAAGAAGCAACTTCACTAACAGAAAATTCGCCAAATAATTCACCCCAAACTGAGTCTCGAATCCATCCTTGGTTTTACCATAAGGAGGGACCATGATACCTGCAACACACGCAAGATGGTTGATCTTGGAGATGTCGTGGAGAGTAGTATCAACCGCGGTCTTGATGTCATTCAAATCTCCAAGGTCCATTTTGAGGAATTTGGTGGCGACATGGGGGGCCATCGCTTTGATTTTCTCAACAATAGGCGCGATTCTGTCCTCTGCTCGAGCACTGAGGATTAGGAGATGGGGTTTTGCGGCGCTTAGTTGGATGGCGAGTTCGCCGGCGATGGAGTCGCCAGATACACCAGTTATCAAGACTGGGCAGAGAATACATTAGTACGACCCCCAAAGGAAGAGGGACATATATGGGATGCGGACATACTGGTTTTGCCTACCAGAGAGCTTCCATACTGTTGTATGATTTCCTCCGAAGGCAGAATCTGTTTGGAAGACATATTATTGATCAACGATTCTTCTCTATTTTCAAGAAATCACTCTTTGTATAATGAAATGCTGATTGCTGAACTGAACAAGGAGACAATGCAGTCCATTTCCACCCTTTATATATCTTCGCCCACGGATACTCTGACCATCTTCGTCCAAGCAGCCTTTTTCTAGTGTCTTCATCCGAACAACTTCTTCCAATACACCTTGCTCGCAATCCTTTACTTAGGATTTGGACACCTACCTATATAAGAAAGTGGTCCCAACCCGCATACGGTTAGTATTATGTCAGCTCTGTATAGTTATTCCACTTATGCTTCGGGATTTGCAATGACAAATCCACACCAGCTGAACACGCAGTGAACTATTCAGAAAAACCCTAAGTTCATGCTTATTTCCATAGGAGGACCCTACAGCCAGATACAGAAATATTTTTTACGTACTACGGATGTATTTGATAATCGCCGGTGTTAACTCCGTTGTCTGCTGCCAGTTTCAGGGTTGATTCTTGTCTTGTTCTTGGATTTAGTTAGTGTGAATAGCTTGACAAGTAAGCCACCTAGGCATTGGTTGAGAGGGGTTGATGAAAGTGATGTTGAGGCAGAGGATCAGGATTATGTACTACTGAAAGTTTAAGAAGTCAGTATGTCGAACAGGAATGTGTGTCAGGAGTCGCAATTCGTTAATGGTCTGACCAGACTGGTTTCTATATCTAGGAGGGAAGAGGTAGGAGTCAAGTATAACGTCCTATTAGGGTTATTCGAGTTGCACTAAGGTTAAAAGGTCAAAGGGGTGGACTCATGAGTCATTCCATCCTAACATTTTCTTGCAGCCTCAGACCTCAAATAACTTATATGCTACAACTCAAGCAGTGAATACCGTTTACAAGGAAAGATAATCTTGACATCGATTGATGACAGTCTGATATGTTTATTCATTAACGAGCCATAACCATCACAGTCTCATCACATCACATATCACATAAATTCTTTTGGTTGCTTCTCGTCTTCTTCTCATGAGACAAAGGAAAATCATATGAATTCTAAACGTGGGCAGAAGAAGGGATGGAATTTCTGGTCGAGCGCATCCCATTTTGGTATATTAGGAAAGGGGTAGAGGAGGAGGCATAAGGAGGTGAAGAAGAGAAACGACTGAAGAATGCATCAATTCATCATTTATTTGAAAACGTGACCGTCAACGTGGGGGTACTCCTTGCCGTCACGGACGACAGGGGTATCCCAAGCCCAGAGGTCTTCGACCAACTTGCGATCCTCCTCCTTGGTGTGGTCGAGCTTCTTGAACTCGTAGCTCTCCCAGTCGGGAGCGACGTCGAAAGCAGGGATGTGCTCCTGGCCGCGAACCAAGAAAGCACCACGGATGAGGCACTTGTAGTTCTCGCCGTAGACGGAAGCGGCACCGAAGAGGTACTTGCGAGAAGCCTCAAGACGGGCGAAGAAACCGCCAATCAAGTTGTTGGCCATGAAGGTAAGCTTGAGCTCATCGTTATATTTGTAGTCAACGAGCCAGAGAGAGTACTCCTCAGGCTTGTAGTGTTCCCAGAACCAGGGCATGGCAACAGGGCGGGTATCATTGTTGGAATATTGACGCTTCCACTCATCAAGGATCAAAGTGGGCTTGCCAAGGGCCTCAAGAGGGTGCTTGGCCTTGGGCTCACGCTTGACATCTGGCTCTTCCTCATCATCTCCTTGGCAGCAGCAGCAGGCTTGGGGGCAGCCTCCTTTTTAGGCTTCTCCTCCTTCTTGGGAGGGGTGTATTTGATGGCCTCCTCAACAAAGGTTGACTCGGGGACAGACTCCTTCCAGTAACCCTGGTTGATGACAGTGTTGAACCAACGAGTCACAGAAACGAACTCAGAGCGCCACTTCTTGTCCAAGACAGTGGCATATCCACGGCGAATGATAGCGGCAACAAAGATATCAGCGAGAGTGATGCGCTCGCCAACGAGGAAAGTGTTAGCGGTGAGGTGAGTCTCCAACACCTTCATGGCAGCGTTGGTAGCGGCAACGTTCTCCTCAACGGTCTTCTTGTTGTAGGGGATGCTGCCAAGGAGAGGAAGGTACCAGCTACAAAGGCGGGTAATAAGGTCGGTGTTGGCGAAAGACATCCAACGGAGGATAGAAGCATAGTCCTGCTTGGTAGTGCCCAAGAGGGTGGTTTTCTCATTCTGGGAGGTGACTGCAATTCAAGTTAGCCAATGAACATGGATCCTTTTTGGCTTACTTCAACATATAGTAGTGAGGGGAAATCGCAATCAGAGTTGGTGGGTTATCAACATAAATGAGATCTTCCGTGATTTAATTTGAAGACACGTTCTGACAGGGATAACAACTAGTCATCATAAAGCGATGGGCGAACAAAAAAAGAAAACGAAGATAGCAATCGGACGTACTGTAGATGGCGATGGCCATAGCCTCATGCAATTTGAAGCCATTTGCACCAACGAAGGCAGGAATCTTGCCGAGAGGGTGAATCTCGAGATATTCAGGGGTCTTGCTGGCCTTGGTCTCGACGACTTCGATGTCGAGACCGTTTGCTTTGGCTGCAACTATGGAGGGGATGGTACGGCCATGGCCCTGAGGAAAAACGGTGTTAGTGACGCGTTTAGCAAGAAGAGCTCGCAGAGCAGAATTAAACACTTACGGTTGAGCCGTAGATCTTTCCGAAAGACATCTTGAAACCTGTAGCGACTTCTTCGATAGAATATAGAATTTGAGAAGAAGAGAGAAAATGGAGAGAAAGAGGAAGAAGGAAAAAAAATAGGTGGGCGGGGAGGGGCTAAGAAAAAGGGAGGCGGGAGAGTCAGAGCTTTTGCCTGAAAATTTGTGCGAATCAGGCTTAAAGGCGGTAAGGCTCTGAGGTATCAAACTTCGGCGGCGGAGAATCCATTTTATCCATTGCTTTAGCCACGTGATTTGGATCCAAAATTATTCCTGCGGAATCATCACGGAGAGTGTCTGGAAGTCGATTGATATAGGCCGTTTCATTCCACCACTCCTTCAAGCAGACACACTGTAAGGCCAATTAATTTCCGCAAGCTATTTGGAAAGCAATAGTAAGGGGATAATGGCCTTGCAAAGGTCGACATACCTAGCGCGTACGGCGCAGGGTGTCTACGGAGCTATTCAACGACCTTCGCTGCTTCACAGTTCTACGTCACCAATTCTCTGCGCTTCGTCGCAATTCCTAAGGCAGAAACAACAGCGAAATAATTTCTCGACTTCAATCCGACGTCATGCCGAGGAACTTGAAATGGTCCGGGCAGCCCCAGAAATCGACTTCAACAATTTCCAAATACGACCAGCACGTATAGTCCCGGCGTCGCCGGCATACTTCTCTGGTAGTCCCAAGTTTATCGACCACCAGATCAGACTGGAACGACTCTTAGAGAAATATGCGCAGGTACCGACAGTGCAAGCCGCGGAAGCGCCTCGAATGGCATGGTTCAAACTGGCACAATTTCGAGACTTGCTAGGCGAACCTATTCCCGCCAAGAAATACAAAAACTTCCAAAAAGTACTCCAGCGACTCAACAGAATCCAGCCAAGCTTGTTACCTGAAGAGGTTCGAGAGGCATTGTATAGCTACGTTCGTCCAGGTAACCCGTACGCCAACAAACCTGCTCCAGCAGTGGTGGATGAGTTCGGTCGAGCGCGCGGAAAGGGAAAACGAAAGGAATCCTCTGCGGTGGTCTTTCTTGTAGAGGGAGACGGAGAAGTACTCGTGAATAACAAAAACATTGTGGATGCTTTTCCCCGAGTGCACGACCGAGAAAGTGCGCTGTGGGCGTTGCGATGCACGCAACGGCTCGACAAATATAACGTCTGGGCTAAAGTTTCGGGTGGAGGAGTAACAGGACAGGCGGAAGCCATTACATTGGCTGTTGCACGAGCTTTGATGGTTCATGAGCCAGCGCTTAAACCAGTCTTACGAAAAGGTACGTTCTTTGTGTCTTGCTGTTTATGGATTATATTCACTAACGTCTACTTGCAGCCGGTGTTATCACAGTCGACGCCCGTCGTGTCGAGAGAAAGAAACCTGGTCATGTCAAGGCGAGAAAGATGCCTACCTGGGTCAAGCGATGATGGGTTGTGCTTGGAAGTGTGTCAATACTATATCTTTCTTTTATTTGTATTATATCAGCATACATGGCGATAATGTTACGAAAACCAGCCTTTTATCCCGCTTCTCGCTCCTATGCTTGTGGATTGTAATAGCAATATCACGGCCATACCTCGGCGACTCGATCTACCAGTCCAGGTAATGTCAAGAAGACTATATCGTCCATTGCAGCTTTCGGGGCTATCTGAGTGAGGAAATGGTCTCACAGGGTCTGATTCAGTGGAGTAGTCACGGTTTGACGAGTCTTGGGTTATATCAGAATGTCCAAGAATCAACTATAGGCTGGCCATAATTCATGACCAGTGGAAAATATCTATTCCCATCATAAGATCTGGGTGCCTTTCTCCAGCCCTCCGGATTACCGTAGATTCAATGAGCAGTCTTAGTACAGTACCCAGTCAAGAACTTGTGCACACCATCCTCACCATCCTCACCATCCTTGAGCTCACGAGTTTTCCATTGAATGTTAGACCGGTAATCTCGCAACATTTGGTCGTCCGTAGTGAAATAGTAGAAGCGTACCTGCGTCTCTATGCTCACAACGCCATACAAAATACTATGCTCTCCTTGCTCCCATGCACCAACTTCATATATTTTGTGAGCTGATCAGCAGTTTAAATCCACTTGAAAGCTTAACTCACATGCTGCCTTCGCTGATCTTCCACCTTTAGAACTACGGTTCATGATACACGATCCGTGAAATTAGTTGTCTTCAAGAATTCTCTGGTCCTGTTCCAGTCCATGAACCCTATCCGGAGTGAAGTAAAGCATCAAGGTACTATTCCAGAAGTTGTCGACGGCCGCCTCCGTGTATTCAGACGCCTTTGGTCTGCTCATGTATATTTCAATGATCAGCGTCGGTTGCTCAGATAAATGACTAACTTAGTTATTGAAGAGGGTGAGCAATTTACGTAAGCCATTTTTCGTGTAGTTAACTAACTACCCATCTTAGTGACTGTAGATGTCTCTTTGACTTAGAGTCACTTACCTGGGCGGAAACGCCATGCTCGAGATATCAGTAGGCAGTCGTGCCCATGCCAAAGTCACCAAAGAAGGAAAATGTCTGGGGCAAACGTCTGCACCAAAACCGAACAATAACAAACGATACCCAGGTATCCTGTTTCATTCGTGGTGATTGATTTCCCACGTTTAATGTGAGAGTGTCTATACCCAGATTGAATTGTACCGGAATGAAGACGCTCGTGCGTGCCTAATAGCCATTTATTACATCTCCGCCGTGAGGAGTAGTAACTGTACTCGGCCTAGATTATACGAATAAACAGCCTGATGGGCAGATGTGTGTAATCCAGGTCTGGCTCATAACCTCATAAATGTCATAGAATGCATCGTATGTTGACTGGTCAGTAGAGTATCCATCGAAAGTCAGAATGCCAACATCACTACTATGTATAATATGACTAGGCTTTATTCAATAGCTTATTGCTGGCATCCAGCTATAAGATCCAGTATAAGTAGTAGTATCTAGTTTCGCACATTACTCAGACGGTTAATTATCCGGGGAGCTCACTACCTAACTAGGGATTTAGTCAGATATCACCATATAACATATTAAAAACAGTTATCGCAGTCTCGCCAACGCAGTTAAGGTTTTAGTGTAATTCACTCATAGTAACGTCTCTGAGAAACTACCGAAAGAACAGAGTATTGTGCCTTGATCATGCCAGTGATGGATTCGAGTTGAGTGCTCAATGAACAAGCTTCCCGTCCGCTATCACATCCGCGCAGGAAACTAGCCTCAATCAAGGCCTTACAGACTGTTCTAGGCTCTCTGAAGGTGTTCGCAAGTTTGCAAGTGCCTATAAACTGTAATCAAGAACAGGTCTTATGCAGGAACAATGGAACATAGAGAAATAAACTTCGATTATCGGAATGATTTTTCTGAATTGTCTCTCCCCATGCATCCGAAGAAGAACCGATCGAATGCCGTTGACACCTAGGCAATTGTGTAGTACAAATTAGGTTTGTGTTGTAGCTAACAGCTAGAAGCCTAGAACGCTTGCCTAGCAGTGATCATCTTAGAATCCGGCTAATATGCTGTCTTCCTGGCCTAATATAGGTATGACTACGTAATTGATGCTCACCGGATCCAAACAGCCGCAACACATACTTGTAAGCATATTGATGAAGTTCGAACATATCCTGAAACTACCGGGCGATCTCCTTTCTGCGTTCTTAAGGGGCGCAATATTAAGAACCCCTTTTCGGGAAGTACTGCTTGAACTCAACCGGAAGGATCGCTAATAAAAAGAACAAGGACTCTTGCATTTGAACTCTGATTTTTCAGTCCAATCCAGTCGTCAAGAATGATATTTCAGCCTTCATGCAAAACAAGAAAGAAGGTTAACGTCTCCAACGGTCGCATTAAAAGCACGTGGTGAGGCTAGCTGGACGGAACCTTCTTCGCTACGTGATTGGCCAATTGAGGAAGAGGATCTGACACTTTGCTCGATCAGGAAGTACAGCTCACTTCGGGATGCCGGAGATACCCGAGACCCCACATCTGTATAGTATCTGATTGGTTGTATAGGAAGTATATTTACCATATGGACTCCACACCCACAGGGCTGTATCAGTAATAAAGCTATGTGAGATGAGCAATCTATGTATGATGATGTAGCAAAAGTTGCTCCTGTACACTCATCGCGATCTGCATTTGTTCTTGTTTATGCAGTTCTTCCGCGATTAGTGTGTTTCTGATGGATCATCATAATCGAAAGTTCAAACGGTGGATTCTGGCTTGTTTGAGCAGCTTCTCCGTAACTCTATTTAGCCTCACCCCTCTCCTAGTCTCGTCTTAGGTGTGAGAGGTTACGTACCTATGCTATTAGCATAACCTTGGACGGATAAAGGCTATGTAATTGTATTCATTCACTCTATTATTCTAACCCGAGAGCCGGCTTCTCGGCAAGCAAGTGGTAAAGCATATTTTTTGTACCAGGCAGCGTACCATTGCGGTATCGGACGGGAAAAGAGACATCGGTTCTGCACCGTCCGTTACGATGTTTGTGCCCGAGTGAAATCTAGGAGTTCATATATCCCACCAGCTTGCAGGATAACTATCTGATAGTGTGTAATATGGAATATCCAAAACCTGTACTTAATAAATCGCCCCATTCAGATCATAAGCTATGTTTTGCATGCGGCCCCACTGCAAGGTCGAGAGATTTTGTGGTCTTTAGTCCCAACTGTGGAGAAGCACATATATAGGTACTGCGTGGCTGCAGTAGACCTAAAACATTTCATAATTGTCGCAGTCAAAGCCACTTGTCGTTTCATCTGGGGAGAAATGTAGCTATTTTTTCTCTCCTCGAACACGAGCTTTCTCCTTTGTAAGTGGGACTTTCAGGGGATAGAAAAATTACTCGCAAATAATTTTCTGTAGCTCCGACGTTTCCGGCAGGTGATCGGACTCTTTGTTGGGCATCTCTGAATTGGGATATCATTCGGGGGGTTTGGCCGAGATAGAACAATACCTTCTGTTTATACAATCGGCTTATATAGTTACCTTACTTAACGCCTAAAGACCCAATTCTAGCTAAGCCGGAACCTTAAATGACTATCAGAGACATATTATGATCAGTTATAGCCTTGAAAATGCTACCACGCATGTATTCATAGTTCGTATATCCAACGACAGGCATGGGTTAGGTCGGTAAGGCGGTTCTGCGATACGTACAATCCGATGATTTTCCAATAGGATCTTTTTCCTTTCATTCCCTCGCAAGGAGACTCTCCACTTATCTGTAACCTTAGTTCAGATGACGCACGTCAGTCATTTTAAATCCTCATGCCTGAATAGCTAGCTGAGAGCTTGGCTGGGTGGTGAGACCTTCGCTTGCGACTAGGAAGTAGATGATTGAGTAGCAGGGTCGAGAGCAGAGGACACTGATATCACTTCGATGTCAAATGGATGTTTCAAACTATCTAACCAGATCACAGTCATACAACGTTTTCCGACAGTGTACATACTGCTACTATTAATAATAGTTGCAAGAAAATACCAGATCCGTACTCCGTTGACGTAACTTACAGTACGTACTTCGTTCTGGTTTCCCGAATAGAAAAAAATTTACAGCCTCATTGCGGGATACATTATTGGCGTCTACGGTGATGTCTGGAAGCGTAGATCATTCATTGTGAGGCTCCAATCACATTTCGCCTATATTTTTAGTTTTTTTCTTTTTACGAAAAGGTGGTGGCCTTATTACAATCGATTTGCGAGAATCTCGAATCCATACTGCACACGTCAAATGTTCATTGTCACCACTAGGGATCAAGTATTTGTAATTGACCACCTGATCGAATCTAGATACGCTTATTATATCGCGCGCATTGCCGCGGCTTGCGGGCATGCAGGTCCCCGGAGATGGAACCAGAAGATCAGGCTATGGCTAGGGGGGCCAATAATAGTACGTTGATGAGGCGAGACTACTGTAATTAAAGCGATAAATGCGTGTTTTCTTTTTCTTTCCCTTTCATCCATTTTTACTCTATCAAGTAATAAAGTCTCTACGAACTATATAGTTAACGTAGCTACCAGTGTTTAAATAATAGAGAATTGGGACATTTCCCGAATGCCGTCCGAGTCCTTAGGTATCGACCAACTATCGTATCCATTGGAGCCCAACCACAACCTTGAAAGATTACGCCATACGATCTCCGACAGTGCTGGAGTTAATTAAAGCAGTAGTATTACTAGACTATTTTAGCTCTTATTATTCTCAGGGACTCCGGGCTGAAATACTACTCTTCATAAGCCGTAACTAGGAGAATAATAAAACGACCTGATATAGGGTTACTAACCCCCGCGCAGCCCCATTTTATCAGCGCTAACAAGGGCCTGTTTACTTTTTACTCAAGTCCCATCACTCCTTGAATAATAATAGTCAAGTCACTACCAATACCGAACTCAGAGCTTCATATAAACGTTAGGTGAATAGGGCGCAAAAACTGATGTTCTTGTATTGACTACGATACCTGATTTGAATCCAAGCCATACATGGGTTAGGGTTTCATCGAGACTGAATCCAGGCTATAGCTTGAGCGCGCATTATTTTTCTTATCCTCGATAGTCATGCCTCGTTTCGCCTTGACTCGCCCTACCTTTTACGCTTCGTCTCAAGTATCTCTCACTGCCCTAGAAAAGGACTTGCCCTTTTGAGATGATGTCAACTACATACTGAAAGCCCGTGAGAGTCTAAGTTCGACTTTAAGAGTGAATGGATTGCTTTTTCCTTATTTTCCTTTGCTTTTTCTTTGTGCACCCACTTTAGACAGCTAGCGTAGATCCAGACCCATAAAATAGTCTTTGCTATTCCATCGGGCATGAGGCAGAGTGCATTCACCTAAATCATAGACGCTGTGACCAAATGACTCCTGTCTCTCTCATTCCGCGGATATGATTCCTTCGGCCCTGCCTCTATCTTTCGACCTGGAACAGATAGAAAAAAAAAAAAAAAAAAGCAACAAAAATGGGTCTTCGGATTAGATATCAACAGTAACCGACTTTCATACTACGTACTAGTAGTACGTAGTCGGATCCGTGCCAGATCCTTCAATTAATCCCCGTATTGATCTCGTCACACACGTAGGTACATATTACATCTTTCCCCTTGCACTAGTATCATGCTACCATTCCTCCGGGTAAGCCTTATTTTTTTTCTTTTTTCCTACTCTTCCCTTGACTCGAGCCCCGCCAACGCTAACTAACACTTAGCTACCAGGTGCTAAGGTCGTCACAGGACTAATATTATTAGTGATGTCTCTTTTCTTGATCTCACCTGAATCTTTCCTTGAGGCCCAATCTAATTTGGCGGCCAGAAGATACATCTAGCGCTCTGAGTCCTAGGCTAATGACTATTGCTGAATAGGAATTACTGCCCTTTCATTTGACTGTTGCTGATTCCTCCCGAAATCTACCTGCCATTCTATCTATCTTATAGTGTGAAGAAATACTTCGTTGCAGCTGAGGTCAGAAAAGAGCCAACAAGAAAAAAGAAACGAAAGAAATGATCTTGCCTATATATATATAGGATCTCGGTAACATCACAGAAACACCAACCGATTACAGTTGCACTCTCCATCTTGTTTCCTCTGTTTTAATTCAGAGTACCACTCTCTATTTATGATTGTGTGAGTGGTTAAACCTGTTTGACTACCTCCGACTGTCTTGGCCAATCTCGGAACTCTTTCTTGATCTACGGGACGTTTGCGGAGCTTGAAGCTACCGGGATCATCCTTGAAGTCCATGAGTGACTTACTGGTTGACTGGTAACTGCAGTGTCACCGTTCATACCATTCATCCTACTGGAGGCCTTTTGAAAGAGCAAAAAGACTTGTCACGCTCTCTATTGGGCCTGGAGAGTTGCGATAATATACGAACGGAGTAGGGACTTCGTTGTCGCTCAACTTATAACCACGGCCGGTTCCTTGACTTAAAAAGAACGCAACTTTCAAAAACCAGAGAAACAAACTTGGAGAGACTCGGGCCGCAAAATCGGCAAAACCGAAAAACTGGAACTGTATCTGACTCCTCCGTACTCGCCTCCGTTGCGAGGCGGGCTTCTGGAAGATTGTCAGAGTGGAATGGATGAAGGTACAAACCAAAGGGAACAACAATATCATGGCTACTACCAATACCCGTCAGTACCTGGCCATACACGCCAGGTTGTACAGCAGCAAATCTCTCCTGTACAATCGCCGGAGAGTTTTCGACGGTCAACCGCGGTTCAATCTGTACACCGGAACCGAGCGCAACCACCGCCACCTGGTCGAGGAGGCGCATCTAGACGCAGAATTCACCGTTCGTCTGGCACCGCAGGGTCACATCAGGGCAGTATTTCATCGACCGATCCACTACAGAACGTAGCACTCCAATTTCAGCAACGCCCCTTTTCTCCAGAGCCACTGAGACATGTGCAATCACAGCAAATTGGTTATCCAACACAGCAGCAGCAATATGACACAGCATTCATGTACGGATTCGACCAGTCCGGAACAGCGCAGACGGCTTATGGGATGTCGTTACCAGAGTCTATTGGCGGTCTACCCAGTGGTGGTGCTCGATTTCACGTTTCACAACAATACTTTCCATCGCCGGACGATGCTGAGAGTGTTTCTCAGTTTTTATCTACACAAGAACAACTTGCGGCAGCGTCATATCAGCAACAACAACAAAATCTCCTGGATCGACGACTAGATACAAGTACTTCAATGACTAGCTTCAATCCTACGGGAAGTATAGGAAATATGCAGCAGCCGGTAGAACAAGACATGGCGAATCTGGAGGAAGGGTATAATCGATATCGACAAGTACTAATTACGGTATTTGGCTACACCCAAAGGGGCCATTTGAACGAAGCCAGCCGGTTATTGCTTGATCTATCTGCATGGCTTATTGATAATGCACAAGATTTGGGTAAGACGATCCATGCCTCTTTTTATGTGAATTCCGAAGTACTAAGACAATTATGGTTGGTATTACAGGTCTATTCCGAGACGATCCCAACACACTCACAAAACATAGACAATTATGGAACGAATTTAATATCTGCTGGCTATCGTTATGTCAAAAGCAAAAAGATCTAACAGAGGCACTATTGATGAATGGTCATCATCATCGGCAGCCACTACAAGCACTGCCTGCGACGATGTTGAATGCCGATACCATGGAGAGAATGGGGCAAGAATTGATTCGACTTTGTGATCAGGTTGAGCCACATGGATTAGTGGATTACCAAATGGGCATATGGGAGGAGGAGATTCTTGATAGTAAGACAACAAACTTGCTTTTTCTTTTTTACACAATTTGGCCTTTTTGGAGACCAAACACTAATACGATGCCGTCGTTATCTTTTTAGTTCTTGGTCAATGCCTGGATTTGATAGAGTCATAGATCAATAGACCGATTTTCGATTTCCCTCTAAGAGCGATCCCGGTCGATCATTCCTGTCACGAGCCGATAGAAGCCCTAAAAAACAAACGGAATCCCGCGCGACGCCTCACTTCCTCTTTTTCTTTCTTGTACGAATACGCAATCTTCTCCTCAATTATCAGTTCTTTTTCTATTTATATATATTGGCTTGACAATCATTGGTTGTATTTATATTTTAGTTTTCACTTTATGCGTGATGTGATGTGACGGATTGGAATGGAAATGGTCATGGGATTGGGCGAACATAGATATACATTTTGTTTTTGTTATTCGGTACGTACATTCTTGTTTTGAAGGAGATTATCGAAAGAAGGACGAGTTCGACATGTTACGAAAAAGGGATTATTGGGAGGGAAAAAATGAGCCCTGGAAGACAGGAGGGGAGGTGAGGAGTTTGGGTCACCTGTACAAACTAGATGGTTGTCTTTTTCAACTCTTTGTATGATACCTGCTTTTTTCCCCTTCCTACATTTTTTTCTGTCTAATACGTACATACTTTGGAACACTATGGATTGATCGATATAACAGCAAATATTGCCGATGTTTTAATCTATACCCCCCCTCGAATGCCACTTCGAAGTACCAACCTAATTCAGAAAGGTAGATGCTCTTTTCTTTTTCTCATAGTTCCTTCAATAAATCACGTTCTATTATTTTCTCTTCAATCTCCGCGCTTAGCACCTTTGATAATAATATGGATCTACTATTAATCTAGTTCTCATAGATCAGTGCGCTAAAATAGATTAATCATGTTACCCAACCCCGGGGATCCGGGAAGTGGTGAACACAACCTGTAATATGTGTGTTACTATAAGACTAAGATATCCATGGATGACACTACACCTGTATTACAGCTAGAAGGAAAAGCTATTGGTTGTCGGATCTAAATCCGAGGAATCCCGACCCAAATTCTTGGGCCATCATAGTAAAGTCTAAAAAGTTGATCGGCCTAGTAGATTCGGATCGCGTTGGTGATGGTGAGTTGATGGGAGAAATGTGAGTGACTACGGGGCAGCCAGTCGCGAGCCACAACTTATGTAATATTTTCACATGAATAGATCGTGACATTTAACTACTCAAACTTTAATTGTGTCAGAGCGATCGTGGGATCTGAGTTCTATAGATGCGGTACCTAGATACCATTCTCTAGGGTTAGGGTTGGCTGTGAAGGTGAACAAGCAATTGTACCATATTCATCCTCTAGGAGTACGTGCGCCCTTGGCCTGGTTGATCATAACCATCATTACTAAAGCATTTAGACTAAGTGGTATACAGATAGGGCGAAACCTTATAGCTCTCCTGAATCGTAATCCATAGCTCAACTTCTCAATTAAACGATCCCTCGTAACAGTTGACACTGTCGAATCTATCCCACAAGCGAGTCTTCAGTCACGGTTTCTAATTGGCTTGCCCGTACCACGTATACGTAACCCTTGGCCTTCCTCAATAGCTACTGAGTCTTTGAGAAAGATTATTGCCTTGACAGATTCACCGGGTTGGATCTTTCCAGATCCAGAGCCTTCAACCAGTGCCATGGTAGCTGATACATCAATCACGTTGATGAACAATGTAATTCCAAGGGCAGTGTCAATAGCCACACCACCTTCCTCTTCGCTATTCACGGTGATAGTTCCTTCGAACTCCTTGTAGGCGTTGACCGAGCCGGGGAGGGCAAAAACTGGACCTCGCTGGATCTCCTCACGCTTGATTCCCCTAAGCAAGATTCGTGCCACTTATTGCAAAGACATCCTCTATCGGCATCAAAAAAAGTCTCTTCTAGGTGTTAGTTTAGTTCACTGAAAGTTTGAAATTTCAGGCGTATTCTTACCATTCTTAAGACCTTGTGCTATACAGGAGGTAAAAGCAAGCTCATTAAAGTTGCAAGAATGAAGTAGCACATGATGAAGATGGTATTCGTATATGAGAGATATACGAAGTAATTTGTAAGAGACTATAGTAACAATAAAGTGGTGGAATATGTTGCTGGTATTGGATGTAATCTCGCTTACTGACACTGGATGAGGCAAAGGGGTTTACATGAACGTGATCTACTGGGAGGTTGGACACTGTATTTACAAACCGTCAACCAAATAGATTTCCCGAGGCCGACTTGAAGTCATGGTGATTTATTTGTAGCACTCATTACTTTTGTTTAATTTTATCGAGATCGAAGCAGTACTCCTCATATGTCAAAGAGGTCTAACAATTAGACCTCATAGTAGTCCGCAAGCGATCCATAAGATATCAAATTGGAGTTTGTCAACACTATACTTGACATTATCTAGTAAATGATGGAATACGACCGATAAGTGAATGCCTATGTACTGCACACTGCACATTCTGCATATTTACTACGCAGTATCTACATGACGCCATGTAGTCTGACGTGGGGATCAACATAGATGATCAATGTATGGAACCCGAGATCTAGCTGCAGATCATCAGATCCACCCTGCAACCTTAATCTCTATAATGAAAACAAACAAGACATGACAAACGGAAATATTACATTTATAGCAATACTTTTAAGAATCGTGCCTCATGTTGAGCTTATGATAATCAATAAAATATCGCGTGGATATGCCAGGAACCAACTGCCAATCTCTCAGATGCTGAAATAAGATCTCACCAGGTCTGTGGATCACTTACTATCGAGCATTAGTAAAGTAAACGCAAGGTTAATAGTGATTCTTTCTATGTATGTTACCAATAAGCACTCTTTATCTACCATTTAGCGTCTAGACTTTCCTTTTATTCTTCCAATTTTTGGGCAGTATTTACAATCGACTTGAGTCCACCGGTTTTAGTTTTCTTGGGCGATTCGCTGAAATCGCAAAAACGTAGAAGAATCGCTGAGTAGACCTCCACGGTCTTCTTCATCAATACGACTGATAGTTATGCTTTTTCTATCACTGTTGACTAGTAATACATTTCTACAAAGTGGCCCTGAGAAGAAGGTTTCGTATACCAGTCTCGTAATGCATGAAATATACGTAGTACTGAAGGAAGTTCAACTATCTGATACTAAAGCCCAAAATTCAGTTACCATTAGGAACAGTTACAGTACGCAGGTAAAAGAGCAATTCTTTACGTGCATCTTAGCTAGGTAGTACGTACGGAGTACATATGCCACTCGGATTAAGTGGATCATACGCCGGATTATGGCTGGGATCACATTCAGGAGGACCTAAAATTATCACACTGTTTGTTGAAAAGGAAGAAAGAAGAAAAAGAAACGAGAAAGGGGTTCTCGATCTAGTCCGGGGAATTCGGGTAGACCGCCGGAGCCCTAACCCATGTCTGACGCTACGAGACGTAGGCCCAGTCTTATTGCTTAAAGTCTAAAGATCTAGGGCCTATATCACAGCCTACTATGTAGTATTTCACCGAGGTCGCACTAAAAACGGGCGATCTCGATTGTAATACCGGTCAAGGATCATATTCGCTTAAGGATATTGACATCGGTTGGAATCCTTCGTCTGTACCTGAAACGGATTATGGATGGCCATTTGATCGCAACATGATGGATCAGTATCAGCAGACTCTAACCGAGACATGCTATTTTAACTTTACGTATCCAATCCCCACAAGTTATGAAAGTAACTTAAACGAGGAGATATCGATCCCTCCACGAATCAGGGTTTATCCATCTAATTAGTTTTGAAATTGCCCATTTATCAACTCTCTTCGTATCAGAAGGAGTGACAAAGTTTTGGCTCACCGGTGGAGAGCCGACGGTGCGTAAAGATATTGTTCTCCTATTCTCCTAAACCAAGCCATTGGCAAGCTTTCGCCAGAATGGATTACGGGAATTATGCGTCGATAGGGGTTTGGTGCCCAACCTTATTGCCCTACAGGCTCTAGAGTTTCTACTCCATGCGAAGTATTACTACACCTGCAATAGCACGTTACTAGGGTGCATAAGCAATGTCCAACTCAAAAGAAACGAGGCCCACTCCTGTCATGTTACGCCTGCCTAAACTCTGTGCGAGTCATGCCGCACAACTTACCACATCTCCGGGACCAATGGGTTTTCAGCCGCAATTTGACTTAGTAACCCTGCAACTTATGAATCTGACAATAGTTGCCCTTCATCTCAAACCTTCTTGCTTTAGTTTTCAGCTGAAGAACCAAAGTGACTCCCCGGTCTAGACTCTATTTTATGCGGCATGGTAGTGCTGGTGTATCGACCTTCCTATCTAGGTACTTGATGCATACTAGGGCAATATCCCCAGGTTTGGTTTGAATACCTACTTTGTTCAAGTTTCAGGGCCTGAGGAGATCTTGGAGTTTGGTACTTTGATTGTTAACAGAGAACACTCATGTCAATCCATGATTCTTGTACGGAGTAAGGGGTCTATGGAGAGTACGTACCTAACTACGAGATCTGCTATCGATGATCCCGGATACCATCGGGTCATCATCTCAAAAACCAATTCTCATATTTGGGCAGATTGAAAAACAGCAGTTCAAGATATCTAGTTTCACTATGCAGACTATGGCTCGTGCCTGGTGCCTGGTGCTACCGAATCGTGCCATCCACCACTCGGCTCGGGCCCCGATTTCAGTGTTCGCAACTGTATACCTACATAATTCAATACACATGGGTATGTTTGTACCTACGCATAGGAGCTATTGAAGTCTTATTGGGATTGCGTGCAAGTTAGCCCTAATCTGTATACTCTCGGGCAACCCATCTGCACATGAGTATTTCCGTTTGCAAAATGTTTCCAACAGAGAAGAACAGAATGTGCGTTGTCGATCATGAATTAGCCTTCTTGAGGTCAGATACCTGCTAATATCTTCCTTTCGATAGTGGCTTTGACATGGCTCTTCCAAGGTTTGAAATCGCCAAATATAGAAGTTCTCGGGCTCATTGTAGATAATACACATTCAATGGTTAGAAGGGATACGGGGATTGATCAGTGTATACGTAGTATCGAATACTTCTTTATCATACTGATGAGTCCAAGGAGAGCCATAATTGGGTAATAATCTTATCCTCATGTCGAATTAAACATCGCAACACGGCCCATGCTACCCAGTTCCATACAAATTCTGTGAATGTACTCGTTCCTAGCAAAGCATAGACTTCCACTTCAGTACAGTCCGTCATCGTCTTGGTGGTCCAGGAATCTGTGCAACATGCCCTTGAGTCATGCATGTACTTTAATTTAGTACCCGAAAGTAAGCGGCCGTAGTCATAAGTCATATCACATTGAGAAAACAGCCTTCTCAAGAACTTGATAGATAGACATCAAAAGGAAAGAAACAGATCAATCGTGATAGAATCTGGTATGCAACAGGGACAAATGTTGTAGCATCAAGGATATTTATATTTCACCTACATGTAGTCAGTATCATTCATATATCGAACCCTTCTCCTCCACAGGAATAATCAACTTACTCAATGTCATATTCATACTGATATCAGTACTCTCCACCATATGCTTAAACTCCTCAAAACTGATTTTCCCATCCCCATCCTTATCGGCTTCCATAATGGTCTTATCTACAATCTGTTGCAATTGCACATCCTTGAGATTGCTACCCACCATCATCTTAAGCACGATAAACAATTCGCCGTTTGAAATGTACCCGTCCCGATCAATGTCGTATACTTTGAAAGCGAAGTGGAGTTTCTCGTCTTTGTTACCCTTGGAACTGAATGCAGATAGACCAGAGACGAATTCTTGGAAATCGACATCGCCGCCGCCGTCTTCGTCGAAGATGGCGATCATTCTATTTGGCAAAAGCTGTGCGTCAGTTGAGTCCGGAATTGTGTGCATAGATCAAAAGAGGGCCTACCGTGGAGCGAGTGGGTTGGATGATACTTGTGGGAGCGAAAGGAATTCTTCTCGTTCAATCGTGCCAGAGTTGTCCTGTATTCCGCCATAAGCCTTTCTGCACCGTAACTCCATATGTTAAATCTCAACATACTTTATCTAATTTCATGAATCGCTTGCGCAAGCGATCGACTTCATCGCGATCAACTATTTCGTGATAAGGCTGTTAGTTCGATTGACGGTGACGATTGTCAAGCACCCAGCAATGAGTGTGAAAAGCTAGGGAAATCTTACAGTTGGACGCATCGATAATGCGATCGAGGACTTGGCTTCCACCAATAGATCCTTGTCGTCTTCTGGTATTATACAAAGCAGCGTTGTTGACCTCGTGCGACTCCATGACGGGCTCGTTTTTGTGAAGTGTGAGGAGGGACGTTTGCGATGGTATTTGATAACGATGCGCAGGGTTGCGAAAGATCGCAGTAAATATTCCAATATAACAAGGTATAAATCCTTGTTACTCGATCAAAGTAGCTAACAGTAATCTTTAGTTGATTGTTGAGACGATAGCGATAGAGGCGATATCAACAATTTACGGAGCCGCCAAGACCAACTCTAGCTAGCCTTAATGCCTTAGCCTAATCGTTTACGGTGGCTATCAGCAATTTGATATCACGAGTCCCCGCACTAACCGCATACGGATAGACAAGCGAGCCCCTGAGGCCGTGCACCCGCCCAAAACAGGCTGCAACGCAGTGAGATGGCAACGTCAACTCAACAGATCGCTGTGGCGCTACGAGATTTCAATCATCATTATCTCCCCATTTTCCATCGAAATTCATCACGAAAATACGACCACACGATTTTTCATGACTCAAGCTATTGTCCAATACTAATTTTGCCTACCCTTTCGCATGGTCGCGCCTACCGTCGCGTCCCGAAGTTCACATGACTAGGTACGGGGGTATGGGGAGGACGCGCCCGAAGAAACTCACCTCCAAGGCGTCCATCCCCATAGTTAGGGAGGATCAAATAGATGTCATCGATGAGGATATCCAGGCCGCGCTCCAACAAGTCGAGACAGGCGTTGAAAAGGCAGAAGAATCGGTACGTGTCTTTGCTGCTCATCCCTACCCAGGATGATATATGTCACGTGATACATATATGATGCTATCCGCGAAAAATTTTTTCCCGATGCCTTTGTGATCGCGATTGTTGCTTTCCAGAACCACCAGCTAAATAAGTCATTTGAAAATGTGTAGGAATTCCACCTTCAAGCTGCCATCAATGCCGTCGCCCTCGGAAAAATCAGCGAGGCCAATATCCCCACGCCCGAAACCGTCCTGAGTTCTATCAGATATGATGAGCTCTATCCTCCCACATTTTCACAACCTGCGACTTACATCCGGTTTTCTTCCACTGTGGAAGACTGTTGTGGATGTTTATATAACCTCGATGAGGAAGATGACGTATACCTCAAGATAATGAACGAAAAGAGGGGCCCCTCCACCCCCGCGTGCACAGAGAACCAGTTTGAAGAAGTGATGTATTTCTTCGAAGAAACAGCGCAGATGAAACAACCATTCGCGTCCGTAGACAGTCCTCCTGTGCTTCCATTCGCTGAGATTGAGGAGTGCTTCGATGCCGCCGTAGAGGAACATATCAAGAGGTTTGCCAAGGACATATACGAACACTGGCGGAAGAGGAGGATGAGCGTCGGGAACCGTCCCTTGCAAGTATCTCTCAAGGTGAGTCCCTTCCTTCATTGACCATTGCTGAATGAGGCATCTAACTTCATTCAGTTCGAAACGGGCCAAGAAACCGATGATGGCGATCCATATGTATGTTTCCGTAGGCGTGAAGTGCGACAGATCCGCAAAACTCGTGGTAGAGACGCGCAAAGTGCGGAGAAGCTGCGCAGGCTTCGCAAAGAATTGGAGGATGCGCGCCAATTGGTCGCCTTTGTGCGACAGCGCGAACTTGCAAGAAAAGAGATGTTCAACATTGAGAAGCAAGTCTTCCAACAACGCGCACAAGTCAAAGAGATGAAACGGAAACTTGGCATCAAGGACGATGATGAGGATCTCATCAACCAAAAGGCAAGTAACCAAGCTCTCGGTCTCCCAGTATCCATGACTGACATTTCAAAGCCTAAGAAGAAGCCCGAGGTACCAGCTATCCAGCGTGCTGTTCCACCACCACAGCTTCGCATATCTCAACGGTCTGGTGCTCACGCTGCCGCCGAAGACTTGCAACTGTTGGAGGAGGTGCAAGCTGAGAAGGAGAACGAAATAATTCGCGACATCAAACAGAATCTGCAAAAGCATCTGAAATGGAACGAAGGATTCGTTGATCACACGACTGCTCCACTGACGCCATCCCCTAAGAGGACGTTCGAAGCTGCCTTCCGTCCTGCAATCACCACACAACTGCCCACTCCGCCATCTTCAGATGCATCGGATACAAACGATGCCGTTGCGCTAGATAATTTGCATCCATACTTCCGTGATCGTATTGCGACTTTGGACATGGATGATGATACCACCAAATTACCTTCTTTCAGAAGACGTGTAGGTCGAGGTGGTCGGATGATGATAGATCGCCGCAATATGGTTGTAAGACATAAGGCAGACATCGATCCAGTGATACTTGACCGGTTCAAGTATGATGATGATGAGGATGAGGACGAGGATATAGTGTTCGAGCGAGATAAGTATGATATTCAAATCATGCAACATCGTGCTGTCATGGCCGCGAAAGCTCGAGAGGTTGCGCAAATGCAAGCCCAAGCACAGGCCCAGGCCCAGGCTCAAGCCCAGGCTCAAGCGCAAGCTCAGGCGCAAGCACAGGCACAGGCTCAAACAGCTCGACAGATGGCTGGAGAGCGTAATGCACCAGCAGGCGCAACCATGGGCTCCAATCCTGGCATAGGAGCAGTCACGAACGCCTCGACCTAATGACTGAAGTGTATTTTTTCCGATTGTTTTTGCATAGCGGGAGTTCATGATCTTCTGGGGGAGAATGTCTCGTCCGTCCACAGTTGTTGTATACCTGGAATTGTCTTTGCTTTGCTCCTCTTTGGCCGTCCTTCATTGCCGTTGCCCACTTTTACTTACCTCATACGCGAGGTGTACTTGATTTTGGGTGCTGTGGCAATCTTTCGATAAACTGTACATATATCAGGAACCATGGCCGTGGTTCACTTCCTGTATGACTAGACACATTATTAGCAAAATTATTTTGGAAGCAGTCTGCTTGCATCCGAAATTTTCTTCAAGTATCTTCTCATACCTGTTTTAGTTCTTCAGAGTCAGAACCTCGGTGATCCTTCAATTGTGTTTTGCCTTCTTCTGATGCTTCTGACCTGTACCATCCGTCGTACGTTTCCCAGCACCCTTTTCTTCGGCGGTGAGGAAGTCCTGAAGCATCACCGAAACATGTTGTAGAATTTCTTTTTCTCCGAGACGAACTTCAACAGCCATCTTGCGACGACGTTCGCTAGTCGAAAGACTAGATGTCGAAGCGAATTGCTGCAGTATAGCTTTATCTTGTTCGACTGTCGTACCGTACTGGGACAACTTGCTTTTGACTGAGTCGAGTAGTATACGAGCTTCACGTGCTGCCAAAATGGGTTTGGGGGGCTTCTGCTTTGACTGTAATCGTTGTAACTCTTCGCGCTCGAGCGTTAGCGATTTCAGGAGGGCGAGAAGCTCATCCGGTAATATGTCGGTTAAGCTATCCTCTGCCGAAGGTCGCAAGATACAGTAGCCGTCTTCGAGAATTTCCAGTTCATGAAGCAATTTGAGCTAGTCTGATGTCAGTAAAATCAGTAAAAGACAGGTGCTGAAAAAAATGCATACATGAGGATATTCTTGGCTTTCGATATTGTCGAGGCCAGCAGCATGACAAATGCCAGTCAGAGGAAGTTCGACAACATCATATTGGGCATAGTTATCGGTAACGTAGCCGTATCGTCGGAGGAGATCTGAACGTGGTAATTCGCCGTAGTCATTAAATATCTCATCGCCAGTTTTGATGGGTTTGATGGCCCTCATGACCAGCGCCCCATCTTCCTGAAACAAACGTGCCTGAGGCAAGTCGAGTCAGTCAAGCGGTTCCCGCAAAGATTGCGCTCAACCAGCTAGCTTACATTGTTTCTATCAGCATCTGCATTGAGCAAATCAGCCAGGGGAACCATGCCTTTCGGCAGTTGTTCCTCATCATCTGTCAAGTACCCATCTTCTCCTTCACTTTCTTCCTCTTCCCCCTTTTCAATGTCAAAGGCATAAGCCATAATCAAGGAGCCCATGCGATGCGCCAATTCTAACAAGGCCTGTGCTCCTGCGTCGTCATCGTAGGACATAACACCGTTGACAGGTGGGAAAAGGTCTGGGTGGGAGCGAACGAGGGGTATTATTTTTTCGAAAATATCTTCTTCCGCATCCTTCTTTCCGATCTTGTGGATCACTGCACTGGCTTGAAGTTGGGAGAGTTCCTCCCCAGACCAAAACATCAACGTATCGAATTTCGTTGGTAGTACTTGAAAGTACTGGTTCCAGTTGGACCGTTCGCCTAGCGAATATTCGTAGATCATGACAACAACGAGAGACAGCCAGGGACCCAGATTTTTCAGTTCGTCTGCGAGAATTTCATTCAGGGGAGAGGTTTTGACCATCAGTACAACACGCTGCGGGAGGTGGAAAAGGTCTTCTCCTTCCTGTATATCGCTGCGAGCAACTGAGAAGATGTCGGTTAAAGGATGCGGGTCGGAATAAAAAGCGTGACAAAGTAGCTCAAATAAAAAAGGAAAAGAAAAACTTACCAACTCCTCTACCAGAGCCTTGATGGTGAAGATCTTGCACCTCGATTTTGGAACTGATTGTCACGCCGGTCTGTTGTGAAAGCCACTGCATGAACCCATCAGTCTGACGCTGAAAGTCGTCAGCGTCAGGGAAATGCTCCGTACTCGACATAGTATGAAATAATGAGAGCAGGAAGAGTAGGGAAAGCGAAAAAATTTTACAACAAAATAAAGGAAACACCCAGCAAGATCGCTGGCAACAAGGAGGGGAAGCGAGAGTGAAGGAAAGTGGTGAAGAAATGGAGGATGAGTAAACTAATTCTCCTCATACTGATGTGTGTATAGTCTGTGCTCGCTTCGGATAAATCCAACGGCCGGCGGATCTGCCGCTGGGTGTGCCTCGTGGCCAATCGATAAGCATTTTCGCATATCCGCCAGAGCCTTCGTCAACCAAAATTTCACCCATTCCTGATTAGGTCCGTCAATTTGCGCTGCAAATTCATTGTTTTGCACGGTTCACTTGCTTTCTTTCCTGTTTGTAGCTTGCTTTCTATTGAGAACGGAAATGATTGCCATCGGCCTTGAAGGCTCTGCCAACAAGATTGGCGTGGGCATTATGCTACATCCGAAAAATGGCGGCCCCGCTCAAGTACTCGCAAATATCAGACATACCTATGTTTCGCCCCCAGGAGAAGGATTTTTACCAAAAGATACGGCCCAGCATCATCGCGCGTGGGTTGTGAAACTAGTCAAGGCAGCTATCAAAGAGGCAGGAATATCGGTAGATGACGTGGACTGTATCTGCTACACCAAGGGCCCTGGTATGGGAGCCCCGCTTCAGAGCACAGCTGTCGCGGCACGCATGCTGAGTCTTTTATGGGGGAAAGACTTGGTTGGTGTAAATCATTGCGTTGGGCGTACGTTGAGCTCTGTTTATTTTGGTTTCTAATACCCAAACGAGGGAGAAAGCGTGTGTATGACTAATTCTCGAGGTACAGATATTGAAATGGGACGGCAAGTAACAGGGGCCACGAACCCTGTTGTTCTGTATGTATCCGGAGGCAATACCCAAGTCATAGCATATAGCTCCAAACGATATCGCATATTTGGAGAAACACTTGATATAGCCGTCGGAAACTGCTTGGACAGATTTGCACGCACGATATATATCTCAAACGACCCAGCGCCAGGCTATAATATCGAGCAACTTGCGAAGAAGGGAAAACGTCTAGTTGAAATGCCTTACACTGTCAAAGGTATGGATTGCTCCTTCTCTGGTATTCTAGCACATATCGACAGTTTGGCAACATCTTTGGGTCTTAATGGGCCTGATGCTGCGGCCTTGGATGAGTCAAATCAAACGGAGATAAATGGCGATGGCGACGCCGACGCCAGCGGCAAAATCACCCGTGCAGACTTGTGCTTTTCTTTACAAGAAACGATATATGCCATGCTGGTTGAAATCACCGAACGAGCAATGGCCCATGTTGGTGCAAAAGATGTTCTTATTGTTGGTGGTGTTGGATCCAATGAAAGACTGCAGGAGATGATGTCCCTGATGGCACGAGACCGAGGTGGTCACTTATACGCCACGGATGAACGCTATTGCATTGACAACGGTATCATGATCGCCCAAGCGGGACTAATGGCATATAGTCATGGTTTCAAGACGCCGATCGAGGAGTCAACATGCACTCAAAGATTCCGAACGGACGACGTCTATGTAGACTGGCGAGACTGATCCTTCGGTTGACAGGTACTATCAAAGCAAAAGTGCTGAATTGAGCTTTGGGTTCAGGTCCTTGGCGTTGTCGGCTCCAGCATAAAAACCGCATTTTATAAAGCATGTATCAGGTCGGAGTCACGGTTCGAGAAAGCATGTTGCAACTTAGATGCTTTGGGGTGGAAACTCTCCGGGTGGTCTAATCCCAGGCCTCTTGGTTATCGTCATCTTCTTCTATGATTGCCGACGAGATTAAACTTGGTTCTTTTGATGGTAAGAGTTCGTTTCGGTCCATCCAGTCAGCATAAAATTCGCTTAATGTGAATCTGTTGGAGCTTTTGCCATCTGATTGCTGTTTCCGAAATTGGCTTTCGTGAGCCTCAGAGACTGTTGAATCTGAATATTCGTCTCTTTCTTGAGCATGGTCATCCGAACGAGATCGCTTAATTCTGGGCAGTTCGGTTTCTGGATCGCTCGACAAGTTGAATATCTGTCCGATGAATCGGTGTGTGATGCAAAGCAATAGACCAGCAGTTCCACCAATCAAAACTGCATATCCAAGGAAATAATAAAGAGGCTGTATTAATGACTTAGTCTTGGATTATACTCTACCAATTCGAAGCCATTATCTGCTGCTCCTTTAGGAAGATTCAATAATACTAAAACTCACCTCGAATTTCGCCAAAAACCTGAATGGGGCGCCAACGATATAGAAGACCACTCGTCCGAAATACACAAAAGGTGCTAGAATAATTCCCAAAAGTGACAGCAAAAGAGAGGAAAGGCTCCATACGAGCAAATATATAGGATACACCAGGTAGTGAACCAGTGCTCCTGTAAACCGTAGGATGCGGAGCCAAACATTGGAATCCATAATTGGAGACTCACGGAGAGATTCCACCAACGGCTAGTTTTCGAGTTAAAAGAAAGTTCCATGACAATTTCTAAGAAGAAGTTATTGCTTACCTCGCTTTTCATCATTCCATCTGTGAGTTGAAGATATTGTTCCAGATGGTTGTGAGGAAAGTGAACGATGACGATGCTTGTTTCGGACTTCCGAAAACAGTAGAACTAACCTAAGCCGCAAAGAGACTAGCGTATCCATGAAGAGGAGTGGGGCTGCCAAGAAGCCATTCAATGAAGGCAGCTTCGATCCATCTCATTGTCCTCCCCTCTCTAACTGCTCTGGGCAACCGCTTCACATTGCTTTTTCTGCGTACTCTCACTAGCATCAAAAAGAGAATCTCAATAACTCGATCGTACAGACTCATCAATCCTTATCACCTCACTCATTCAAAATAGCGTCGACGTCGAATGCTAGCCCCTTGATTTTCTTCATCCGTCATCCCCGCAAAGGCCGGCGTGCGACCTCCCCGCTCTAGATGGGAAATAGTCCCTCCAAGAGTCCGCCAGGTAACTCCCACGCTCCGCTAGCCGGGTCTCACAACGTTCCTGGCCAAGAGCGAAGGGTGAACAGGCGGACTTCAATCAATGCATTGTCAGGCACAAAAGCGAGCGCCGCAGATCCCTCGGCTACCAGAGAGAGCGCCACAGGCCAACCAGCTTCTCATGGTGTGGCTGCGGGACAGCAGCAACGTCCACAGTCGCGAAATGTCCCTCCTCAAACGACACAACCGATTCATGAAGTGCCGGATAGGACAGGTGGTAGAAGATTTGATGGTCGACACTCGGCAAGAGAGGCTGTAGAGGCCTCTAGTCCAGTTCAAGTCCCCGCAGCGACAAATCGTCCAGGGCGAGATGAAGGCTACGTACCGCACGAATCTTCGGCGAACCCTGCAAATACATACTATTCCGCATCCCACCTCCAGAGAGGTCCTCCTCGATTACCGCTGCCCATCGGAGACGCCAATGCTACCCCAGGTTCGCCGGTTATTGCGCCGGTAGATTCGCAAGTAGACTCGGTTCCGTTCGAATTGGAAAATCAAATACCTCAAGCAACAATATCACTTGATGATCCGCATGTCGATGAAGATGAGGTCGAGGATGAAATGCAGGCCTATGCGATGCATGGCCCGGGTAGCAAGGCTGTGCCAACCGTGATCGAATGGAGGGGCACTGGGGATCGTGTATTCGTTACGGGTACATTCGTTAACTGGGAAAAGAAATTCAGATTACACAAAAGGTGTGCATCCATAAAATTGCTGTGATTGCGATACAGATGCTAACACATAATACAGTGACACGGAGCCTAACGTCAAGTCAACAACTTTACACCTTCGACCTGGAACGCACCACCTCAAGTTCATTGTCGATGGAGACATGCGAGCTTCGGACGACCTCCCAACAGCCGTAGACTTCACAAATCATCTTGTCAACTATATTGAAGTAGTAGCAGACGACATAGGAGGTCAGCGGTCCAGGCGAGAAAGTGAACGAGCAATGAAAGCCATGGTCCCCGCAGGCGTTCATCCACCGCAAGTTCTCCCCGAAACCGTAACCGCACAACAGAATCAAGAAGCCCTCGAAAAGGACGAAGAACCCGAAGAGGAGCCCGAAGAAGAAATACCCATGGGAAACTTCCGCGGCACCGTCCCTCAATTTCTCATAGACATTGACCGTGAAGAAGAAGATGCTGAGTATCAAAGAGCAGCAAATGTGATCGCTGATGCTCCTACGCCTCCAATTCTGCCTCTGTTCTTGGGAAGGTCGATTCTAAACGGAACAACGCCAATGAAGGATGATAACAGTGTACTGAATTATCCGAATCATACGGTGTTGAATCATCTTGCTACGAGTAGTATCAAGAACGGTGTTTTGGCCACAAGTGTCACGACTCGATATAAACGAAAGGTATGCTTCTCTTTTTTATATTGTACTTCTACTTCTAATGCGTGCTATAGTATGTCACAACTATATTGTACAAACCAACTGGCGATGTTATGTAATACGTAGTTCTAAATGGCGACTTCTTCCAATGTGTTCATGCAGAAAGATTCCTTTTTAATACCTTCTGGCCGCCTTGTTGATGTATGTGATGGGCCGATGAATGATTATAATATGGAATATGCCTTTCTATTCTCTTTTCTATTCTTCTGGGGGCAAATAATCGCGGGGATGCCCAAATGACAATTATGAATCATGAAGCAGGTAGCGACTTTATGGGAGATTTGCGTTGAAGACAAGTGCTTTATTTTCACTTCCTTGATTTTCTAGACATGTAATCTATTGTATAGGGCTTAATGGTTCCCATAGATAGCTACCGAGATATATTGCGTAATTGCAAGCATTTAAATGAGTATCAGATGTCGTTAATACTACGTATTGTCTATTATACATGTGATTTTTCATCTATCTATCTAGTATACAAAGCGCAGGAGCTGTTCTATCTCACTTGCCCATCTTCCAGGAAGATATCGAACAAAATGAATGAAAATGTCTATCTCCGCCCAATAACATCTTTAAACATCTCCTTACAAGGAACCCTACTCTCCAATTTCGCACACAGCAAAAAAGCACCACTCAACTTCCGATGTAAACTATACGTCTCTTCGGGCGGAGGCGCCAACCTCTCCCTCAACATCGTTGGAATCAGCGACCGTACTCGATCCGTAATCGTTTGATCTCGGAAATCATATACATCCGGTGCAGAATCGCGGTATGGTTCTGCGAGAGTCATGATGGAATCAATATGTGCATCAACCATTGCTTGGGATTCGTAGCCTGTTAGATAGCCCAATTTCAGAGAAAGTTCTCGGCAGCGTTCTCTGTCATCCCGTGCTGCGGCGATGAGGGTGTCGACGTATGTTCTGATAAATTCATCGGGATACTCGCGCGAGGCACCGAAATCAAGTAATTCAAGACGATTCTTTTCCGCGTTATAGAGAAAATTAGTCCAATTGGGATCAGTCTGCATAAACCGAAACTCGACAATCTCGCGTAGACAAAGTCGAAGAATTTCCGTGCCGATCCAGTCGCGCTGTTCCTGTGTGAAATTCTTGATTTTGGTCACGGCTATACCGTCCATTCGTTCCATGGTCAGAACCTGTTTACCAGAGGCTTCGTGGATGATTTCGGGGACGACGAAGGAAGCAGAATCATCTTTGAGGAGCTTGCGAAAGCGGTCTGCGCATTCGGCCTCGCGCTCGTAATCGCATTCCCAGGCGAGTTCTGTGCGGGCATTGGCGATCGTCTTATCGAGGAAGAGACCTTTGGGGAGTAGACGGGTTGCGGTAAGGAGGATGGATAGATTGTTGAGATCAGAATCGATGGAGTCTGCTACTCCGGGATACTGGATTTTGACAGCTACACGTCGTCCATCTTTCTTCAGCACTGCGCCGTGGACTTGGCCTATCGAAGCCGCGGCCATAGGAATCTCTTCAAAGGACTCGAATAAGTCTCGCCACTTGGGGCCAAGGTTATCGACGAGGACTTTGTCTCTTTGAGAAGCTGGCATGTAATCAGCACGGTCTTGGACTCGTTGCAAGACCGCAGCGATAGGTTCCGGCAACATGCGGGAATCTACAGTCAGTTTAGGTTAGCCAGGCAGTAAATATCTCCTTCCCGAACAGGTGAACAAACCTTGAAAGCTCATCATTTGGCCTAATTTCAGAGCTGCGCCTCTCATCTTAGACAGCTTTGCGACAAGACGTTCCATATTGCCGGCACTAAACATGATCGAGCCATTGGATCCGTCACTAGATCCAGTGGCTCTTCGAAAACTTTCGCCGAAAGCGCCAAATGCCATCGATGTGGCGAGGCCACCGTATTGCCAGATTCTACCGAGACGTGTAGATGGGACACGCGATTCGGACATTTGATAAGCAATTTCCTTGGTTATCGGTGCTCCCGCAAGGGGTTCCTTGATGATAGTTAGCTTGTGCCATGATCAGATACCATGGCGCATATATACCTGAACATCTTTTGGCAATGTTCCGACTGTGGATGTCACATGTTCTTCCCTAATTATTGGTTGCTCTGATATATTGCTGATAGTTTCCTTTCGGACCGGTCCGTGTTTCGCAACATCATCTTCGCTGTTGTTGTAGAGATTTCTTTTCTTCTTCGAAAGAAGCAGGCCTGCAACCCTTGGGCTACGGAATACTGCTTGTAGAGCTTCTTCCGATGGCTCCTCAGACTCGTTTTTAGGAGTATGGAACACATCTGAATTTATGGGCCCGGAAGAAACGTGTGGATCGGTCCCTTGAGCAATATTTCCTTCTTGAGGTATTTTAACCCTAGGAAGTGAGGAGAGTCCAATTTTCGGACTCAGAGACGGAGTGTAAAATGTATCTTGAGCGTTGCTGACAGTGACTCCATCAGAACTTTTTAATGTCTCGGGGTCCGCTTGTTTGGCGGGTATTTGGAACTCGGCCTGTCTTTGCAGCTTCCTAGCTTCCTCAGAAGACAATGTGCTTTCTGGGATAACAGCCTTTACATCGTGTGGCTGGCTTTGACTGCTTTGACTAGCATCACTTTCGGATGTGCGATTGATAAAACTCTCATTGACTGATCCGGTTGCTTGATCACCCGAATATGAAGCAGTTGGCCTCTTCTCATCAAAGCGTCGAGCCAATGCAGAAGCTGCTTGTGCAGTAATGACCAAATTGTCAACCTGCTGCTTGAGCCCCTTTGTCAAAGAAGACGTGCGTGTATAGACATCTAATTGCCGTTGTCGGATAGTAAGATGTTTGCGCGCAACAGATTTGGCGACACTTAGGAGCTGGAGAGCATCCAGCAGGCGCTTCCCCGACATTTTGAATTGCCCGGTATATTTCTTGACTATAAGAACTGCATTCCGAAGAAAATGCGGTAATGCGATTTCAATTGCTTATCGAATTAGTAGAAAGTTGACTGGCCTGAACGATATATGGCACACTTTCTGCCTGATTTTCCCGCCCTGTCCCCAAACTCCTCTTTTGTGACAGTCCAGTCAAGTTAGATTTTGAGCAACAACTTCTTCGACAATACAGCCACATTACTGATAGCCATAGCATGCAACATGACTCAGATTGATTGTATAGCACTTGAAAATGAGATACTCGAACTCGAACTGCGACTTAAAAACGCCCGGAGTCGGTTACAGAAGACACACGAAAATGTCGCCCATGAAGAGTCTCCTGATTCGGGGTCTACAGACAGTATGTTTGCAATATCTGTGACAATCTCAACCTAACATGACTTGAATTTCTGAGTAACCTTACTACTGTAGTCAAATATCAACTATCACCATTCGTACACTCGCTCCTTCTGATATCCGACTCGGCTTTACCGCTCGGCTCATTTGCTTACTCGAGCGGCCTAGAATCATTTCTAGCGCATCAGAAAGCAACACCACAATCAATTCCACCTATTCCGCCTATTGTTTCCTTTAGAAAATTTCTCAATTTGTCAATCTCTTCCGTATCAAGGACATCTTTGCCTTATCTTCTTGCTGCTTACCGCTCTCCAGCGGAGCTTGAGATTTTGGACAATGATCTCGACGCATCCACGCCCTGTACAGTAGCTAGAAGAGCGAGCGTTGCGCAGGGAAGAGCTCTCCTGGGTGTTTGGGAGAAATCCTATCGTCCATCTTATCTTCTCAAAGGTAATCATAATAACACGAACAAGGCTACTAACCGGCTCAGCGCCGAGGCTCAATCTGCCGTAGCGGCAATTGAGGAATTTTCCGAAGCGTTGAAGACCAGCGGATTCGACAACATTTCTTTAGGCCCTAACGGCCATTTCGCTCCGTTATGGGGTGCTGTATGTGCTGCAATGGGTATTGAGATGGGTCTAACTGCATATACCTTCATGTTAAATCATGCAAAAGCAGTTCTGAGTGCCGCTGTGCGAGCATCAGTCATGGGGCCTTATCAAGCTCAGACCATTCTTGCAAGCGATGAAATCCGAGATCTGATTAATGAGCGGATACGACATGATTTTGATACGAAACCTGAAGATGCTGGTCAGATTGCGCCGGTATTGGATCTATGGTTAGGAAGACATGAGCTGCTTTATAGCAGAATATTTAACTCATGATTGACATGACGCCGGGGTTAAATGAGCATCATGTTGTAAAGAGCACACACGTCTTACTTTGATGGAAACGCTGACTAAAAATTGCACTACTGGTACATTTGCAACGGTACATGAAACGCTGCCTCTAATCCTCCCGACTACCCAAAAAGTATCCGTTCGCTTGCAGTGATGAGGCATCAGCTCCCCGTGAACGAGAAGGAAACAATACGAATTCTGAACGGCCGAACGCCAATCGCTTTCGAATCAAAATGAAAACCCACGCAATATCCGGATTAGACGCCTTGAAGATGAATCTTGATAAGTGAAGTAACAAGAAGAAAAAAAGAAAAACATAGTATACAGGGGTCATTGGAAGGGGTGAAGCATGCATGAATTCTTGCTTAGAGTGTCACATGCATGTAATCGTTGCTTCCGAAAGATTTGTTACAGTTCGGGCACTTTCGTGACCGGGAAGTTTGTCGCTCTTCAACACAGTCCTTGCAAAAGACATGACCGCATGTCTTGATGGCTGTATTCTTGAAGTTGCGTCGACAAACCGTGCATAGTGCGAGCGTCTAAGGTACTGTTAGCTGGTGCAATTGTCACTACTCGAAAAAGAATACTTACCCTCAACATTTCATATTCGGATGAAGAATTGCCTAGCGATTTGGTCTTCCAATTTTCCAAGCTCTTCTTTGTATCGGATAGTGTTGACTTCAAGCTCTCAACTTCCGCCTCGGCTTTTCTACAAGCAGCCGATGTAGAAGCTAGTGTGCTATCCTTTGCTGACATGAGGGATTTGAGTTCGGCAACCTGAGCTTTCAGTCCATCTATGGTCAGGATATTCTCGGTATTCTGCTGTTGAGAGGCACGATATTTGTTGGACACCGATGTGAGGGCTTCTTTTCCTTCTGCGATCTGTTTTTCGAGGTTCGCAACAAGAGAACGAGTGGCAGTTTCGGCATCTTTCAGTTGGGAGATGATGTCGGAACTCTTAAGATTTTGCAGTCGCAGCGTGCGCACTTCAGCGTCTCGCACCTCTTTGCTCTTCATCACAGCAAAATACTTCTGATCGGCTTTGGACTTCTCTGCAGCCAACCGCTGAGCTTTTTCTTCAAGGGCACTGATATCTGCGACTTTTTGTGATGCCAGGCTTGAGTACTTCTTGCAGACAGTCTGCATTGAAGTCAACTCTTTGTTGAGCATAGCATATTGTCGGTCAAGATTCAGATATTTTATTCGCAAATCTTCCACAGAAAGCCCTTCGATGTGCTCAGCATTACCGTCCTTTAGGCCATCGACTCTAATACGCAGCCTTTCCACTTCCGATTCCAGAGATTCAATCTGCGCCTCTCTGGCTGCGGCTAACTCTTGAGCCTTTGAGGCTGCCGTCGACTCTTGTTCCTGGGTTGCTTTCCTCATCTGCTGATCGGCAAGCAATTCGTCGCGAGTGCTTCTGATTCTTGCAAGGTCGGATTCCGCTTTTTGTAACTGTGCGTCTTTTTCTTCGATTTCCTTCTGCTTCTCTGCATCAAGGTTATTTCGATATGCGGCTCTTTCGGCCTGCAACTTTCCAGCTTCTTCCCTCAGTTGAACATTCAGCGCCTCCAGATGGTTTACACGTTTAATCACATCCTCATATTGCAATTTGAGTTGCTTGAAAAGATCCGTATGCGCATAATCGTCATCAGTAAGCTTCGAATTCTATATCTTCGGGTTAGCGTTGCTGCGGGCGTCCACGAGAGTTTGGGAGACATGACCGACCTTGATGTTCAACGCCGTGATTTCACTTGTCAATTTCGCATTTTCGGCTTCAAGCGTATCCAATTGTTCTCGCTGTTTCTGTGAAAGAGCCAGAGTTTTATTGTACGCTTCTTCCAAATCTGCATTCTTCTCAGGACTGGGCGTGGCGCCGTTAACTGGGGTTGCAGTATCTTCGCGAGTCGCAGATGATGGTCCATCTCCTCCAGGTCGCTGTGCGCCAAGAATATACTGCTTTTCCAATTTGGCTACCGTCATACTTCTCGCTCGATCGAGTTTCTTCTCCGCCATCATATACCGTAAAGACGCTGCTTCTAATTGTTCCTCGAATTGCTGTCTTTCAGATAAGGCCTTTTCAAGCTCGACTATGGTAACCTTCTCTTCGGCTAATTTCTTGGACAACTGCCTTTGTAATTCCGACAGTTCCTGGGTCGCTTGTGGCGCTTTTGCGATCAATTTAGAGACCGTATCTTTGATGTCACTTGATCGATTTTTAAGGTGTTTCTGGAAGTTCTCGTCATCTTCGAACAGGAGGGAAGTTTGAAAAGGAGCGTGATCTTTAAAATGTCAGCATATTGTTCTGAGCGCAAATTTCAGAAAAGCGTCTATACCTTTGCCGTTCACATTATTATCTCCGAATAAAATTCTGACTTCATCGATCAACTGATAAGAATCACATATCAGTTTCAATGTCGCCAATATTACCAATTCTTATAATCTTACTTGTTTGAACCAGGCATCGATTATCCGCAGGTGATCTTGATGATAGGTAGCGGCTTTTGTCATCTCTTTAACCTTGGATTCCAATGTAACCTTCTCTCGCTTGAACTCCTGCATCTGGCGCCAAATGGCGTCTTTCGTAAAACGCTATAAAGATAGTATTCGGTCAGCAAATGATTCGGAAAATCTAGTTGTACTATTTGGGGAAAAAATAGCGCTTAACGTGCGGTGTCCAGAAGTGGGTATAGACTTACCTCCAAGTCATCTTTCCATGGCATGTCAGCATCTGGATGAGGCTTGTTTCCATTTACTGATGTCGCCTGTCTCTTTGATGGCGGCGCAGCATCATTCTGATCATGAACGGCGGGTCTCTTCCGGTCTTCCATCTTGATAAGACCGGACTCAGACGATGAAACGGGGGTTGCTTCGACGGCCGGCATCAGTGGCTAACGCTACTTCCCTGATGGAAACAGCGGCTAGAATTAACTAAACACGCGCAATCAGATGGATGAAATTGGAAGGGCTGATAGCACATGTAAAAAGCACAGCCAGATGTGAGGGAGGTGACAGCGAGGACAATGACGGAAGGATAGTCTCTGGAAGGACAGGAGGATTTTCGACTTCGGCTTCTAGGCGCTAGCGTCGTTAGCGCCTCTCACGTGACCTCAGCCCACTTCTCCGCAGATTTCGTCCAGCCAGTTACTCATCAGCATGAACCTCCTCAGATAAGAGCATTGGAGAACAAAGCGGAGCAGCACAATCTCAAGCAGGCAACCCAATAGTTTGAACATCAGTGTCTTAAATATGTGACAGATGTGATCTATACACAATGGTGTCCTTCACAAGTTCTGCAATTAGTGAGTCAAAGACCCCGCACCTGTATGCTTCTTTTATCTAATACCGCTATTCTCCTCGCAGATAAGTCCGGAAAGAAATTTGCTCCCAAAGCAGCCCCTCGTCGCGCTCCTGCGGCAGCTGCAAGAGCCGGTGTTAGCGATCGTAGGCCCTCCGCTACACCTGGGCTTGAGGCACAAAAAGCGCATGCCCCACCTGCTGCTATCACCAGCGCGGATACGCCTCAATCAGCACAAGTAACAGAAGGACCACGTATAGAAGATGCAATTGATAGCAGCGCAGTTGCGGCTGCTTCCCCTCAACCAGTTACATCGCTATCTGCTGCTACAGAGACTGTCCAGCCTGTCGCACCTCAAGAAGGACCCATCGCGTCCAAGGAAACGCCCGTGCCAATACAAGTACCAGTACAGTCGAGACATGAAAGACGAAATGATGTAGCTGATACACAACTGCTGGACGTTCATCGCGCTGGTATTAGCAATGAAACAAACATATTCATGCCTCCGGTAGAAGCTTCGATACGAGCGCTCGCGCAAGTGACGGAGACCACACCTATTCCTACACCAATCACACGGCCTACAACCCGTACTGTCGAAACTCGCGAATCAATAAACAGGAATGAGTGTACTACCGAGTCGATCACTGTAACGGCTACAAGCGAAGAATCTACACCTGGGGCAGGAGCTGCTTCGTCCACTACCCCTAAGCCCAGCGCATCTCAGAATAAAAGAGGCAAAAGCACAACATCTGATTCTGCCACAGGCACAGACGCTTCAAAACCTAAAAAACCTCGAGGAAAGCGAAAACGAGAGCCAACTCCTGAGGAATCAGAGAATATTGAAATCACACCGACAGTGGTGAAGATGTCGGATTTATGCAAGGATCTCAGAACTGGCAAAAAGTCCAGACGAGAAATGGAGTTGCGGAATCTTGAACAAGTCGAAGCGGAACGAAAAGAGAAAGCCAGAGAGAAGGCTCGCAATACACCTGTCAAGACGGATGCAGAGAATGGATCATCAGCAAACGGCGGTACCAATACAACCCCCACAAAGCCGACACAGAGCGGTCCACGGATGAGAATTGTAAATGGTGAAATTGTGGTCGATAGTGCTTCTCTGCAGATTGATCAACATGCCGAGGCGCGTGAAATTGGTGAAGGAGAAGACGTCGTTGAAAGTCGACTCAACAGAAAGATCAACCAGGCCACATACGGCAAACGGACCAAAGCGGAGTCATGGGACGAAGAATTGACCGATTTATTTTACAGAGGCTTGAGAATGTTTGGCACCGATTTCTCGCTTATCAGCAAAATGTTCCCAGGACGATCCCGACGTCAGATCAAGTTGAAATTCAACAATGAAGAGCGCAAAGACCCCGAGCGAATCAAACAGACACTTCTGGGACCTTCTGAAGCCGTTGATATTCAGACTTACTCGGAATTGACTAATACGGTCTACGAAGATGTGGAGGTTATACAGAGGGAACTCGATGAAGATAAGAAGAGAATCGAGGAGCAACACGATAGAGAGAAGCGACAGCAGGATGAATTGATGCGCAATCCAAGTGGCATTACGAATGATGGTGTCGTTTCTAGTATTGAGAATAATTCCGTCAAGAAGAGACGTTCTATATCAAAGGCGTAATCTACTGACGCAGTTTCTGGGGACGGAATGTTGAAGCAGTCACGATAATCATGCCAACTAGACTTGGGTTATGTATTTTACGAGGCGTTATTAGGAACTTTGCAAGGAGTTATGGTAAGAAGAGTCTCTGATGGTCTCCGGCGTTTTCAAAGGAGGATTGGTGTTCATTCATTGATTGAATTCATTTCTCGCAATAGAGCTTTTCTCAAGCCTCGGTATCATGTTGCTACATTATCATTGATACTAATAAATCTTTCACTTCCAAAATCTAAGGTCAGTCCTTCCCGTTCATCTCCGTCTCGTAGACCCAAACCCGGTATCTGACCTACCAGGGGAAAAAGATCGTGACGGTCCTGGAGCCGGCTCCGGGTCATAATCATAACGCCTCGTATAAGATGATCCTGCTCTGGTCTGCCTGTCATCTCGTCGATCATGTCTCCGACCCATCGCATACCCAGCCGCTCCAGCAGCTGCACTTCCAGCAGCTGCTCCAGTCCAAAATCCCGGCCCAGAATCGGACTTCTGACGTGATGACTGAGGTTGATAATCGTATGGAGGAGGAGGGTCGTCGTCGTCACCATCTCCGCCTCCACCTCCTCGGTTGGTGTTTCTTGGTCGTCTTCCACGGTTACCATCCCTGTTAGGGCCCCCGGTGATAGCAACTATTATGATAAAGAGGAGAGCGATAAAAAATATCACCATAATGGCTTTTCCCACTCCATTATTTTCATCACCGCTTTTTGGCGATGTACTTGATTGACGCCAGCGTCCGTACCGTTCCTCACCCTTCTCAGTCAACAAGAGACGATATTCCACCCCACAGCTCCCCTTGAGAATCCATTTATCATCCGCATTTCTGTATCCCTCGCAAATAACATCTGTAGAACCAAGCTTGAATTCCGACGGTAAATTGGCGGAACAGCTCCATTGGACGTCTTCTTCGTCGTAATCATAGCCCTGATTTGTGCATCGCATTGTATCGATTTGATACAGTTTGCATACTTGTTCGGGGCCGACGCATTTTAGCTGTGGTAGAGGTAAGACGCGACGGTGGGAGGTTTGGCGGCCTGCGCGGAGAGTGAGGGTTTGAACGTTGGAAAGGCGGACCGCGTTTGGGCTAGGGGGTGTTTCTGAGAGTGCTGTGGACAGTATTGATAGAAGGAGAAGTATGTAGACTGAACATATGCCTTTCATTTTGGTTTGGTGTCACCTGCTTTCTCTGGTAAGGAATATTTGAGATGAGACACGTAGACGCTGTTGGCAACTTCAGCCTAGTCTGAACAAGACAGAGAGTAAAGTAAATGTGGCCTCATCTGCGGATAGATATGAGCTTGGTCACGCCCAGCCAATTAGATTTGACAAGAAGTAGATTTATCTTGAGGACCCAATGTTCGTCTTTCAGCTTGTTGGGTGTTAAAGAATTGCTAGTGATTGATTAGATGTTAGATAGATACCTTGACAAATGCCACGCACCCAAGTACTACTGTCGCGATACTCGTGTCACGATAGCATAGACGTATCACCACGTGGTGACTGAAGAAAAAATAAAAAATAAAGAAAATATTCCAGACGTGTCAAAGTTGATCTGTCAAGATCACATGTGACGACATAATCGATCGACTAAGCCGTAACCCGACTAGCCTCAATTTTGGCGATCTTCAATTCTGCGTTCATCAGCTCAAGGACTAAAAGAACATCAACGCCATCTCACTCAATTCACTTCGAATCCCGATTCTGACAAGGATGGTGGGCACTTCATGGATTTAGACGTATCAGTCTATCATGTCTCAACACTCCCAATGTGAGCCGTCATTCACTTCTTTACCGAGGTAGTATACTAATGAAGTGGAACATCTAGATGGCGTTCCTGGTGTCCCTGCGCAGTCCTCGTGAGCCCGCCGAAAATCTTAGATAGATTGCATTTGACGAGTCAGGATACTGATTGAATAACAGTTTGTCGTTCACTCAAGGGTTCCTCCTGGGACAGCTCTCAGTGGTATTATTAATCGGAGCGTTCATCAAATTCTTCATCTTCGGCGAAGCGCCAGCACCCCCCTCGCGCGGACTAGCCAGTCGCACTGCATCACATCATCGATCCTACTCTATAAATCAGGGGGATAACAATGCCAACAATAATACGAACAACGGTAGTAGTCCGCGAACACTACGCGAGAAGCCGTCTACTTCGAACGTCCTACGACCCGTCCCCTCATCCGCAACTAATACACGCTCAATCTTGAGAAAGACATACTATAATGCGATTCCCACACAGCTCTCGCATACGAAACAAGGTCGACATCGAATACAACATTCTACCCATCAACCCGAGTCTTTGGATTGGTTCAATGTCCTGATTGCGCAGACTATTGCGCAGTATCGTCAGACAGCATATCTACTGAAAGATTCACCTACGAGCTCAATCCTTGATTCCTTGTCCGCTGCGATCAACGACCCTCAAAAGAAACCATCTTTCATCGACACAATCAAAGTTACCGATATATCGCTAGGCGAAGAGTTCCCGATATTCAGTAACTGCCGAGTCATTGCAGTGGACGACTCGAACTCAGACGGAGGCAGACTACAAGCGTTGATGGACGTTGATCTGAGCGACGACAATCTATCGCTCGCAATTGAGACATCACTAATCCTAAACTATCCCAAACCTCGCTCTGCGGTTTTACCGGTTGCATTGTCCGTTTCTGTGGTTCGGTTTTCGGGTACATTGTGCATTTCTCTAATCCCCGCTAGTACGCCGCAGAGTCCTTCTTCTGCACCAACACCTGACGCCGGCAATCTAAACATGCGATCATTATTCCAACACATTTCAGCTGAATTAAACGGAACAGCACCAAACCCCACCGCGACCAACCCATCCGGGAAAAAGGGCGTACCCAAAACCAACCTCGCATTCTCGTTTCTTCCAGATTACAGACTAGATTTATCGGTCAGATCACTGATCGGGTCTAGGAGTCGATTACAGGATGTCCCCAAAGTGGCGCAATTAGTCGAAGCGCGTATCCAGTCTTGGTTCGAGGAAAGAGTTGTCGAGCCTCGGGTTCAAGTTGTCGGATTACCCGATTTCTGGCCCAGGATGGGTAGAACGGGTGTCAGACCTGGTGATGATGTTGAAGCTGCTGCCGCGGCAGCTGCCGCTTCTGTATCGTCTCGTAGCGGCGGTGGTCCAGTCGAAGCGACGACGCTGTCTGGGTCGGCTGAAGAGGCTATTATTGATGATAGTCCTGTACGGCCTGGATTGAGGTTTCGGGGATCAGCTACTGCGACTGCGGGCAGATCTGATTCTAGTTTTGAAGAAATTCCGCGTGCGAGTCCTCAGACTCCGTTGGATATACCGGGTTCGATGCCTAGGGTTGTTCGGACGCCGTGATGTATACTAGATGATTTAAAAGACACCACTGCTATACAATTATAATTATTCCCTGCTCGAGGTATTTTGACGTATTGACAAATGATTATATTACTTTTAATATATGTACTTGTAGTCCTTGCTCTGTATGGACATGATGATTCTTGACAAATTGACACAAAGAAACAAAACGAAAGACAAATCTATATGCGCGCTGAATCCGTACGAAAAATGCAAGTCTACTACTTCCGTCTCATCAACTTCTTCACTCCCCCAACCACAGCCCCAATACCTCCAAACAACCAACTCATCCCAAACGACCACCCTCTGATTCGAACCGTATAAATAAAGAAATAAACCAAAACCCAATTGATAATCACATAAGCCAAAAATATGCCGAAGCAATGCCATTTGTCGTCATCGTGGACGTTGAGCGTATGCATATACTCTGTCCCAGTGGCATAGGCGCAATATCCACACTCACCAGACCCCGAGTCAGGGAGTAAATACCCCTTTCCAGCGATGCGGGATACGAAATTCCCGGCGTAGGATTGACATGATTGACCATCTGGGGGAGTGAAGTAGGTGACTTCTTGAGGTGCGCAATCGACGTTCACAGCCGGCAAGACAGCCGACAAAGTACCTCGAATCCACCATGTGATCGGGTTAACGTAGTAGAGCCAATATTTCCAGAAGACGGGGTATGAGGCGTAGGGACGGATAACGCCATTGAAGAGGTTACACATTACGAAGAAGAAGGGGAGAACCTATACCAAACTGCGTTAGCTTACGAAGCAGAAGGGAGGGAGGAAAAAGGGAAAAGGGGAAAGGGGAAAGGGCTTACGTTCGATATAACCGTAAACGAAGGCGCAAAAGCGCAAATCCATTGTCCCCAACTCGCCTGGAAGAAGAAGAATAGCATCGTCATCAGGAACACGTATCCCGCCGAACTCGAGTCGGACGGTAGACCGACGGGGAAATACCAAAGCACGAAATAAATGACAGACGTGACGATGGCAATGGGGATTTCTGCGACGACGTTGGCAGTACAAAACGCCACCCAGCCGTAAATTCGACTCGGGTATTCGCGCGATTCCCAGAGTGACCGATTCATGTAGAATTTAGGGACGATACTGTTCATGACGATGGGTGGGATGAGAATAATCAAGAATGTCGAGAACATGCGATCCTGAAGAGCTGAAAGGGTATTGTTGAGTTTCCAGAATGTGAATCCATTGAATATACCCAGTATAACGCTGACGAAGATCTTGCCGTAGTAATACGAAGGGTCGCGCCAGTATTGCAGAAAAACTCGTTTCGTCAGCATTTCAATCTGTGTTGTGACAGGGGCTGCGAATTCAGTTGGATTATTTGCTGCATCTTCTGAAGCGGGAATTTGACTACGCTCTTTGACGATTTTGTCAATATCTTCTAGTAGTCTCTGGTTTTGCGTCGAGTTGCGCCATTCTTCGTTCCAGTCTATTCGTTTACCGTTTCGAATCACGGGTTTTGCTGCTGTTTCGAGGATAAATTCGGCCACGTTCTTGGAGGGAGGGCATACAACGCCGCGGTCTGCAAAGTATTCGACTACGTCGCGGCCATCGGGGCCTACAGGCCCGAAGTAGAAGGTGTTTCCACCTGGGTTGAGGGCAAGTATCATGTCGAATTGTTGGATGAGCATGGATGAGGGTTGATGGATTGTGCAGACGATAGCCTGACCAGCGTGGGCGAGTTTTCTCAGAAACCGAACAATAGAGAACGCGGCCTGGCTGTCGAGACCGCTGGTCGGTTCATCCAGGAACAGAAGCAGACTGGGTTTGGCTGCTAGTTCGACGCCGATGGTAACTCGCTTCTTTTGCTCGACTCCGAGTGACATGATGAGTGCGTCTTGGATATCCTCCAGTTCGAGCAGGTCGATGATCCGATTGACATATTCAATCTTCTCATGACGAGGGATCTCACGATCTTGACGGAGAATAGCTGAGAATTCCAAGGCTTCACGAATCGTGGCGGTTCCATCGTGTAGATCCATTTGCTCACAGAAGCCCGTTCCACGTTGGAAATCGGCACCTAGAGGACGCCCATCGACCAACATGTTACCAGTGACTACGCCCATCTTTTGTCGTTGCGCAAGAGTGTTAAGTAAAGTCGTCTTTCCGGCACCTGATGCACCCATCAAGGCAATCATAACCCCCGGCTTTGCGTATCCGCTCACGCCGTTGAGGAGTTTTCTCTCGCCGTTGCCGTAGGGGACGGTGTATTCAAGGTTGGACCAGGTGAAAATACGATCACTAGTACTCAACGAGTTCATAACCTTGTCATCGGAAGCTGCATTGGCCTGCACAGGCTGTGAGGTTACTGCACCATCTTCTTCGTCGGCACTTTTCTTCTCGGCTTGGGCTAGTTTCTTCGATCGTCGCGATTTCTTAAAGACAAGAGCACCACCTCCTCCGCCCGTAAACGTCATCATCTCGTTCGCAATAACCGTGACAAGAATGTAGAGAACGGTGAAAGCAATGAGAACACCAAAGTTCCTCCACAAGTGATGTCGCGTGAATCCAAAGGACGTTTCCAAATACGCGGCTCCCGAGACCCGAGTCTGATCAACAGAAGATCCTGTAAGAGCGCAGCTCTGATGACCAGCCACAACCCCTGGACCTTGCGGCACAAGCATTGAAGGATCACAATCCATTTCTCGATTCGCAAACTCATTCGTCAGAACCGCCTCGTAAGCGTACGAGATGGGGTTGACATAGAATAACCAGCCGAACCAGATCGAGCCGTGGAGCAGAGTACTTTTGGGGATCGCATAGCCGACAAAGATAACCAACAGATTCAACGCTATGCCGCCGAAACGAACTGCGTCGTCGATTGTGGGCGACAGAGCGGCGAACATGCGGAACATGGATGTAATGCAGATGGTTGTCGTGTACACGAATAACAAGTAAATGAAGAATTTACCTGCATCCACGTCCAACTCAGACAGGAAGTAAGTGATGATACCGAACATGGAAACCAAGCAAGCGAGGAATGGAAAGTCAACGACGACACGAGCGATGGAAACTGCCGAAGGACGGTAAAACGCGTAATCTCTGTGCCGTTGAATCATAGTACGACCAGAGACAGCAGGCATCAATTCAGTCATTTGCAGCCATCCAAGAAACAGAACAGAAAAGAACAGAACACCACCTCTGGGGAAGGCGCCGCTGGAGTTGAGGGATTCACCGTAGAACAAAGAGCTGACAATCAAGGCGTTGGCGATGGCAATGAAGAATTTCGTGTAGAGAGATGTCTTGTCACCGAGCAAAAGCCATACCTCGCGCTTGACACAGGCGGCTACCTGTTTCGGAAACGAGACGGTGTAAGACGATTTTTTCGAGACGGTTTTGCTCTTTGATGCTCCGACGGTTGCTTGGAATCGCTTGGTGTCTTCGCATTGACTTTCGGCTAATTGGCGTTCATACAAAGCGACATCGTCAAGAATGCGTTTGTAGACATCACTCTGTCTGAAGATGGCTTCCAAATCTTCAGCTGTTTTAGGGGTTGAAGCCTCTTTACCAGGCTGGAATTGACGAGCGTTAGGGTCACAAAGAGAAGTAAGAAAGTCGGCTGTGGTCGATTGTGGTGGACAGTAAAATCCCAAATTGACAAAGTATTGTTTGGCCTCTTTGGCTGGACCTTGGAATAACATCCTTCCTTCGTCAATGACGAGCACCTTATCCATCAACTCATAGATACCTTCGCCGGCTTGGTACAGAGTGACGAAGGTGGTTCGTCTGCTTATATCGGTCATGATACGCAGAGATTTGGCATAATCCAAGGCAGTACTTGCATCCAACCCTCTAGTTGAATTGTCCCAGCATGCCACTGTAGACTTTGACGCGAGGGTTTCTGCGATACTGACACGTTTCCGTTCACCTCCGGAGACACCTCGGACGTACTCATTACCAACCTGGGTGTTTCTGGTATGACTGATGCCAAACATCTTCAGCAGTGCATCTAGAATAATAGGTACACTGCCCCGATCACCCTTTTTGGTTTTGGTTATGAGCGGGAATTTCAACGTCTGCCAGACTGTAAGAGTCGCAAAATGTTGATCATCCTCGGGATTATAGTTGACTTCTCCACGGAAATGTTTATGCTGTTCCTCCGCTGATATACCCCCATAGCTCACGTCGCCTAGAACAGCGGCGTATGATGAGCGGTCATTGGCGATTGTTTTCAGAAATGTTGAACAGCCAGCACCCGGTCGGCCCAGCACGAGCAACATCTCACCATCACGAACGACACCAGTGAAATCATTAATGAGGGTTCGGGTAGCAGGCGGCTTCCCAAATCGAAGCTTCGGAAAGAAATGCTGCACAATATGATACAAATCTGGTCCAAAGGTACCAATTATAGCTTCAGGGAGGGTTTTCACAAAGGATGCGGAAGCTTGCACACCCTTGACGGTCAGGTTTTTGTAAATCACGCCTACCTTTTTAGCCGGTTCGCCTGCTGTAGTTCTCGGTTCCAGGGTCCCGCCCATCAGGAACTCGCCGAGATCAAAGTCGTCATGCTCATGTTCAGTAGTTGACTCGATTTCATCATCCTTTTCGACATCCTTAGTCTTACTTTTTGTCGAAATCGCCGAACGCCATCGACTAGCAGCATGATGTGAGCGACGGGAAGCCTGGGATTTCGTTCTCTGAAGACTCAAACGACTCAATTCCCGGCGCATTTCTTCGAAATCTTCCATTGCGCCATGACGGGAGACCGGGTCTCCTTCGGTTTGTTCGCCCCATCGGCCATCGTCGATGCTGAGTTGGGACGGGCTGGCTAGGGTTGATTCTGCGGTGGAATTTGAGCTGGTTATGGGGGCATGGTGGACTGGTTCTTGGAATTCGTTGTTGTTGTTGTCGCTATTACTGGTCCGGTTGTGGTCCTCAACGATGCCCGGGACAGCGGACATTGTGTATACTTGGATTCAATTAATTCAATCAATTCGATAAATCTTCAGCGACTGATTGACAGTCGGGTGAAGTGTAATATTGTATTCCTGTATGGGTTCAATAAAGATAGAATGGCAGTAAAGGAAAAAAGAGTATAACCCTAAGAAATAGCGAGCCAGTGGCCACTGGGTCTGCTGGACTGCACACGAGCAGAGAGGGAAGAGCGGAGATGGTAAATTCGAACAATAAGAAAAACAGAAAGGAGAAGAACGTTAACGACCAAATTCTTAATATATGTTGGTTAGTGGTGGTTTCGATGAGATAAGCAGTAGGCAAGTTACCTCCACAGAGACACTATATCGCGGACATAGCGTGCGCCGTACAGCCAAAATCCGAACCATCTCGAACTGTATTTGTCAGGCAGGGCATGATGAATCCACCTCAAGCGGCGACCTAATCTGGTAAATCTTCAAAAAGGGCCTAAAAGTCTTAGAGAGCTCAGAAGATAAGAGAGAAAGCTGAGAGATGTAAGGCGGCCGGACCAAGTTGAAGTGGAGAATTTGCTAGTGGCCAAGTCGCCGAGTAAAAATGGAATCATAGACCACAAACACACACCTTTGCAATTGGCTTTTTTGACGCCGGAAATAGTGTCGGATGCTATGTTAGCTCACGTATGAATCATGCCTTCTGACTAATTCGCCCACAATCTTTCCGAGATGCTCTATATCTCCGGATGGATGTTCGAGCCGGGTGGGATGGATCCTTATATGTAATCCAACCGATCAGCATGCCCATTTCTAATACGCTCTTTAGTCCGGATACGCATATTTTCGTCCGTAGGAGTACCTTGGGATTGATATGGAACAGAGAAAGACATGAGTCATTCTTGCTCAAGTTCTCGTATCATTAATCAATTAAAACTTTACGTCAAACCAGAATTAAAGATCGGCCAGGCTTAACCTTCCTTAACTAACTCCGCCGTGTCTAAGTCGTCAGTTTGTAGTCTAGAATGCTAGCTAGATTCCACGTTACGTACGTAGAGAGAGAGATACGCATATGACCTGTCCATTTCAATTCTGCCTTCTCACCTTATCCTCTGCTGGCACGAGCAATGCGTTGCTCAATTTCTTTGGCCGACAGAATCTTGACCGCATCTTTGGAAAAACGACGTAGCTCAATCCGGACCAGACAGTGGTCGCTGCGAGCCCTGCGACGAGGTATCTACGCATGTCAGTACGTACATGATCTGCAGATGCAAAATAAGAAAGAAAAAAAAATAAATAAAATAAAAAAAAGGGGGAGGGGGGCATGCAACAGCTTCGAAAAGGCATTTCTCCTTATGTGGAGAATTGACAATCTTTATATATCAAACCACGCCGAGACAAGACGCATTGTATTGGGCCCGTGGATGATATTCGATAACAACTGTGATCTGCACCACGAAATTCTAGGTCCATCCGCAACTAGATTACTCCATTGATCAGACTGACTAAATCAAGCAGTTACGGCATTGCTTACTGAGTCGACAAATGTATCCTTTTTAGGCGTTTGTTTTCCTTGACTCGTAAAAGTATTCCAGGGCACCAAGACAGGGTGTTAACAACGACTACCAATCTTCAAAATTTATTCTGCCATAAGCTAATTACACTCTCTCGCAATCGCCTTCAGCTTTATCCTCGAGTTCACGCCCCAGAACCGTGCACCAGCTCCACAGTTTTATTCATACCAAAACTTTGCTAGGAGCAGTATAACTCGGCTCATGACACTTGCAAAAAGCTTCCACCCTGTCACCGTCATTGTGCACTAAGTAAACCCGGTTAGAAAGGACGACTGTTATCATTGGACTCGCCGCCCTCAGCCGTGTACTCCGCCGCCGGGGTAATGGTGCTATCTTCAGAAGTGTCAATCACAACGGAAATCCACCCAAAGATGCCATCCGATACATCATCGCCCAAGAAAACATATTCTACAAACGGATCGATACCACTGTCTGCCTCCTGCGCCAAGATCGAGTCCTCGGAATTCTCGGTCAGAGTTTGGGTGTTGGTGCTGTAAGGGTCCGTGTCCTCGACGGCGGAGATGAGGTCCTGGTCGAAGAAAAGCTGGCCAACATGCGATGCGTGCGCTGAATACAGCCCAGAAATGGTGCCGTTGGGATAGACGATTGTTTCGTTGGCCGGATGGGAAAGAACTGTAATTGTGTGTCAACATTCAACAGATTTTCAACCATCTGCAACATATACGGGGAAAAAAGGGTTGTTAGAGACGGGGTTCACGTACCGTGAATGTGATTAGCACGGCTAGTGTAATGTCCCGGGAAGATTGTTTGAAACTGCACCACCCCATCTGGACCAGTCTTTTGCACACCTCGCAAAAACGTTGTGTTCAAGTTGCTCGAGTCATCGGCGTTGCCATTGCCATTTGCAACAATACCCGAGTATACACCAGTAGCGTTGCAGTGCCAAATATCGAGATATACTTCCGGAATGGGGTCGCAGGTGCTACTATCGACGAGCTGGATATCCAAATACAGTGGCACGCCCTTTTGGCTCTCAGTCAGGTCATTGCGAATCAATTCGCCGGTGACATAGTACGGTCCCTGAGTGACGTCTTCCGAAAGAACGCAGGTCCCGTTCGAGTGGAAAAGCATGTCAGGGTCAGTGAAAGGGGTCAGGCCTGTCAGGTTTGAGTGGTGGGTTCTGTTGAGCAAGGTATCGAGATCACGTGCTTTCATGTATCTCCTTAATCCCCTGGCCTCTCGGATTTTTTGGAGAGCGGCTTCGCGACGAGCAATATTCCGAGCTTCATAGCCACGCGCTTTCAGACTGGAAGACAGACAGTTGGCGATGCTGCGCGACTGCAGGGACTTGCTTTGGAGGAAGGCTGCACGCGCTGCGGCTTCGGCATTATGGCCCTCCCCCGGATGAGCTGCGATGAGGGCGGAGAGACTGGCAACGCCCAAGAGAAAGAAGGATGTGAATTGAACCATATTTTAAATGATTTTGGATTCGAGGAATTTGCATGAATGCCGGACAGAAAAAGACATGGCATCAAACCGGACGATCGATCTTTTATAACCACTCCGTCTGCATTAGGTCGCTGGAAATACTTGCAATATGTAACCCCATGCTTATTTTCTGCTCGAATGGTAAAGGTTGACTATGTGTTTCGAAACTTTTCCGCATAGAAAACAGAAGCTTACGACTGCATCTGCGCCCAGAATCAGTAAGTGGGTTGACGCTTGGAACAACCTCAAATTTGACAACACTCAAAGCTGGATAGTTGCTGCCGATGATCATCTGGCTACACGCGTGCAAGATACGAGTCTCAGCGGAAGCCGACAAGCCACAAGCTTAAATCAACATGATCGACACGACATACCTATACGTCGACTTAACTGCCGAGCCTTCGCCACGTAGTTGTGCCGTATAAAACGCCTAATATAGGTATTGCTCCATTGTCTGTTTTATGTTCTACAGTTCTAGACCCGGTAAATCCATGCTTCAAAAGGCTGAGCACCACCCTTGAGCCGCTGGATTCGTCATATGTGCGCGTAACCAAACATACGAGTTTTTTCATTCGCAGTGTAGGTGTCGTAAATCTTTGCTTGAAGGGTAGCCAGATCAGAGTAAACTCGTCACTGAACTAAGGTTCGGGGGTATTCTGCTAATGAGAGTGTCACAAAGACGTTGTCGTGTTATATCAAAGAGACAATAAGAGAGAAGTAACCGTGTTAACTAGCTTAGAGTATAGATGGTATAGGATTGTTCATAGTAAAATGGATGTGTCAATGGCATGAAGGTCAGGCTATTTTTTATCATTTTTGCTAGCACGAGCAATGCGTTGCTGAATTTCTTTGTCTGACAGAATCTTGACCGCATCTTTGGAAAAGACATAGCTCAATCCGGACCAGACGGTGGTAGCTGCGACGAGTAATCTGAGATGGTTAGTATGATCGAAACCAAGATAATTGTCAAGAAAAGCAGGGAGAAAAGTGAGAAGGGTTACATGCTGTTGCTGACAGACTGCACATTGATTTGCAGACTTGACAAAATCAGGGGAAAGGGTGAATCGACATGTGAAAGTTTAGCCGAATGCCGCGTCAGCTGTTCATTGCAAGCCTGGGGGTTGAAGAGGCAAATAAAGAGAAGAAAAAATACAAAAAGAAAAACATACAACAGCTGGGATTCGCTGGTGGTCACCCACCCAACTACTAACCAACCGGCGTGTGGCTTAAGTACGGCTGAGCGGACGGGAAGCCCTGTTTTCCACACCCTATGGTCGTATGTGATGACCCTCACCAAACAAGGGCTGATATAGCGCGCAAGGGAAACATATCTCCAATAATAAAGAAAAAAAAAAAAAAAAAAAAACTTACTGTAACCCAACAAGCCCATTATACAACCCCCACGCCCCAGCCAACGATTCCGGAAGCACAGGAAGTGCTATCGACGAGCCGACCAGGAGTAATTGCAAAGCTGTATTCACTTTTGAGATTGCTGTTGGTTTGACTTCAGCAGAAGGTAAGGAAAAGTCCCAATATCGTGCCATGGTTTTTGGTGGAGGAAGTGATATCCATCGGTAATATATAGCCGAGATGCTGAGACCGACGTCTCGGCCAAGGATCAGAACGGCCAGCCATGCTGGTCTGGTTAGCAATTGTGCTGCAGGAAAGAAGGAGAGAAAATACCAGGCATCCACCCATTTAATGCCAGACAGACAACACTAATCGTCATCAATAATTTGTCCGCTGCTGGATCGATAATGGTTCCCACGACAGTTTGCAGGTTGTATCGTCGAGCGATATACCCATCTATCAGGTCTGTGATGCCGGCATACGCGAAAAGAGATAATGCAGCTGTGTGATGGTTATGGACTAGTAGGTAACCAACAGCAGGTGCAGCAAGTAGTCGTGAAAATGTCAGGATGTTGGGTACTGTGTAAATGTTTTCATGCACGGGCACTGGTAGCCGAGATAGTAATTTTGACTTGGGCTTTAATTTTAATTCTTTTTCTGGCCTGGAAAGGTCAGCTATCTCATTTGTATATCAGTCCATGAAGAAAACTCACTTATCCGGCGGTGAATTCGTGCTTCCGTTTCGTCGCTTTTGGTTGAGGGTGACTACTCTGGGCTGAAGAAATGGATTTGTGTTGTTACATCTCCAACCATCTGTACTAATCAAGATCAACTTTGCGACACGTCCATATTAAGATTGAACTACATACTTTCCTACCAATGGGTTGGAGAAGATAGTATGCACCACTCTCCGCTGTCGAAAAGCACTATAAACACCAGAACTCCTGGTAGAAAGCAATTGACGTCTCCGCAGAACGGCCGACAACATGCCGTGATGAGAGGCGCATGCCGTTGAAATTGTCGACTTGAGCGGTGTAAACAGCCTCATTTGTCGTCTGCTAGGTGTACGGGATACACGTTGACACGCTAGAAGCAGGTTGTCTGTATAACCAGAAAAGACATAAACCCGCAGCAGTAGGCTAAATACTCAGCCGAGCATCAACAGCCACTAAACCATCAGCATACTACTATATCATATGGTCAAGACATATATACATACCTGATGGCAATGATATTTCTAGAGTATGTACAGATGTAGTGGATGCATCAAAGGATCCGCGGAAGCTTTTCTCCTGTCCGTTAAAACCGAAGCTAAACTGCTTTTAGCATGGGCTCACGTGATTTCAGACTACACAACTCCTTGCTATTCACGAGACACATTTATATCTTAAGAATGGAAAAATATCGGAATATGTAAGAGATTAGAGCTAATTTCAAAGCATAATCTCATCTAATATCCTCCATCAAAATGTTGTTCATCCGGCTTTCAGGGATGGTTTAGATACTAGGCTTGATTCAGCTTAGCGCGGCTCTTAATATCAATCATTTATTGATGTTCAACATCGAACTTATCCATTTCTTTCTTATACCTTGCTGTTTTCCTTCTTTTGTCTTGTCAGGCAATTCAAAGGGTTAACGGTATAGAACTTGACATTATCAATCATTCCGAAAAGTATGTGGGAGTCGATCTTGTACAGCTCTGCCATCAGTTTAGCCTTGTTTTATTCAACCATGTCTAGGAGGGATTGATCGTGGACTAGGGAAACTGCTCTTGCTTGACTTCCACGAGGCTGTTTGCCCAGAATTCAGTGTACACAGAACCTTTAACCGGAGAACGACGTCGTCACCTGTCATGAGCTTTCTGACTGGCAGCCGCTAACTTATTCTTTCAACAAAGACCCTTCATACAAGAATATCAACTTTCTCGTCGCAACACTACCATCTTCAAAATTTCATCAGGCCAGCAAGATTATTTACAGCTATGGCTTACGAAGATCGCGATGATGCAGCCATCAAAGCCGCTCTTGCAGAATCGAAACGAGATGAAACGACACCTCGAACAGATTTTGTCGATCTGACAGGCGACTCTGATGATGAATCAAAGACTCTTACCCCGCAAAGGAATGTTATCGATCTTGAAAATGAGGAAGAGGATGAAGATCTTAAGCTGGCTATTGCCTTGTCTATGCAGGAGATGCAGCATTCTCCTCCTTCCGGCCGGTTGAATGGGAATGAAGCTTCAAATCAGAGAGCTAATGACAGCGCCAGGTTGAAGGACGACAGACCTGTTGATACACCATCTGCAAAAAACCTTGGAATTGAAGCAACGCCTCCACCAGCCTCTGGTTTTGGTATACCAGGACTGGACCGCAAAAAGTTAGAGGAAGAAAGACTTGCGCGTGTAGCCAAGCGACAAGCAGAGAGTAGCATCTCTCCTCCACCACTCAAGCGTGACACAAAGGTCGCTAGACGTGATTTCCTACCGTACCAAAATGGTGATTTTGATGGACCGAGAGGTCTGCCGACATCGGCAAGCTTGAAGAAATCTGGGGGAACAAGAGCTTCCACTCCAGAGTCAGCATCTTTGGTGAAACCATCCTCAACTCCGTCGCCACAGTTTCCTAAAGGAGTTGTCAAAAAGACCTGGGTATTTGGCTGCCCGAGAAACAATAATGATATCAAGATCGAGGAAGTCTTGCAAACAGCTGATCTGGAACTTGCCGTTCTGAGCGCTTTTCAGTGGGATACGGAGTGGTTGTTCAGTAAATTCCGTACTCCAGGCAAAACGAGATTTTTGATGGTGATGCAGGCCAAGGAGGAATCCACCGTGAGTCTCACCCCCAAACTCTGGAATATATGAAATTGAGTTAATATCATCTAGAGACTACAATACCAGCAGGAAACTGCCGATATGCCTAACATCCGTCTATGTTTTCCACCCATGGAAGGACAGATCAAATGTATGCATTCGAAGCTCATGCTCTTGTTTCATCCGGATTATTTGAGGATCGTCGTCCCAAGTGCGAACTTGGTGCCGTACGATTGGGGCGAGCAAGGCGGAGTCATGGAAAATGTACGAACTTCCCGTTTAGAATCAATCTCATTGCTAATCTAACCATGTGCAGACTGTCTTTTTGATTGACCTACCTAAAAGGTCTGCACAAGACGTTCCCGATACCCCTAAAAAAGCATTCTATGAAGAGCTCGCTTTTTTCCTTCAGGCTAGCACGGTGCATAACAATATCATAGCGAAATTGTCCAGTTTTGATTTTAAAGAGACTAGTCGCTATCGTTTTGTGCATACTATGTATGTGTCCCCTTCTTATTGAGCGATAAACCGCTAACAGGTGCTAGTGGAGGTTCTCATATTGGCGAATGTAGGAGACGTACAGGTCACTGTGGACTTGGTCAGGCTGTAAGCTCTTTGGGACTGAGAACTCATGAGCCGATCAGCATTGATTTCGTGGTATGCATTGAATTTCCATGAGCATTGACAGTACTAAGTTATGACAGACATCATCCATTGGCTCCCTCACAGACGAATTCATGCGATCAATCTATCTCTCAGCGCAGGGTAAGTAATCCCCATTCCATCCCAACACGTCATTAAACCATAGTGCCTAGGCGACGACGGTTCAATCGAATACACCCTCCGAACCTCCAAATCCTTCCCCACCAAAGCCAAACAGAACACCGAAGCAACCGATATCCAACGAACCACAGGCTCAGAATGGAAGTCTCGGTTCCGAGTTTACTATCCCTCAGAACAGACGGTGGTACAATCAAGGGGATCCAGACGATGTGCAGGCACTATTTGTTTCAAGGAGAATTGGTTCGTGGGACCGAAGTTTCCTAGAAATGTTTTGTATGATTGTGTTAGTCGGAGAGAGGGGTTGTTGATGCATAATAAGGTATGTCTCTTACTGCATTAACGGGGGGGGATAGAAGGCTGATTGATGTAGATGATGTTCGTTCGTCCTGAGAAACCGATCAATTTACCTGAAGGATCGAACTGTGCAGGTTGGGTGTATGTAGGGAGTGCAAACCTGTCCGAAAGCGCCTGGTAAGTCATAATCCTCTTTAATCGCTGGAATTCCAACTAAAGATCAATAGGGGCAGGATCGTCCAAGACCGCAGCAGAGGAGAACCAAAACTAAACTGCCGCAATTGGGAATGCGGTGTACTAGTACCAATAACGGAGTCGTCAGTCTCATCTTCTAGCTCGGATGAAGAGAAGAAGTCTTCAAAAGATGAAGATATTACTCAGACATTTGGATCTACTGTCCCAGTTCCGATGCGAGTTCCTGCGCCGATTCTTGGGGATGGATTGAGACCTTGGTATGGGGCATGGTAGGATTGTAGTTGCATGTACGATGTTCACTTTTACCTCGTTGCGTTGTGTCTACTTTGACAGTTAACATGACGAATTGGCACTCCTGAATAGGTGGACTAGGAATTAATGATGATATTGTCCAAGTGATAGATATCAACGCTTCATTCGACAGTTTAAACTGCAACTTATGCAACAGCAGTAGTCTTCTTAAGATACTCCCGCCGATGAGGATTAACATCAACCTCTGGACCGCGATTTAACGGAGTCCATTTCGGCTCATCCTGGAACAGACGCATAGCTTTGATATACTATACCCACCCATTAGCCCATCCACCTCATAACCATAACCCTAATACGAGTAAGGAGGGGGGAACTTACATTCTTCCCATCGGTAGTAAACCGATGATAAATCCCCGCCGGCAAAATCAACAAATCATTCTTTTCCAGTCGAATCCTAATCCAATCATCATCCCGACTCCTAACATCAAAAAACCCATCTCCATCAAGAATATATCGAATCTCTTCATCTTCATGTAAATGTTCACTGAAAAAAGATTTCACTTTTTCTTCATATACATCTCCCATTTTCTCGGGGCTGACGGTTATTTCGTCCCGGTTTTTGTAGCCGCGTTCAGAGGCGAGGGCGTTCACAGAGGTGAGGGAGGGGAAGTGGTGGTAGATTACGCCGAGGGATTGGAGGTGGGATTCTGTCACGGGGCGGCCGGAGTCGTGGTCTTCGCGTTGGTCACCCTGTTTGTCTTTTTGTTACTTGATTGACTCCTCTGGATGTTTGATGGTGTTGAGGGGTTGCAGGGTGTTTGATGCGATATGATGCAGACGGCGCCAGTGTAACATACCGGCGCATTATCATAATAATAAGCCTTCATCTTGAATTGCTCAAGATATCCCTTCCTTTTAAAAGTGGGAAGTTTGTCGAGTGACAGCAATATCTTGCGAACACAGAAGAATGCGCCTTTTTATGTCCCGATATAACCTTAGCACGAACCGCCAACGACGCTAATGACTGGCTGAAAACTAAGAATCAAAAAATGACGTGCTGAGCTTGCGTAGTTAAGACTGAGCTAACTCGATTGGGACAGATTGATCATTGGTTGCAGATGCTGAGTCAGATTGCTGATGGTCTTGCTGGGAATGGTGGATTGCTTCATGTTTTATTCATCTGATCCAGTTAGAGATGTCCACATTACTAAGAAGGTTCTCTAAGCCTCTTGGAGATCATGTTGTTAGTGCCTGAATGGACTTTCCTTTCAGGGAAAAAAGCCTACGAGCCCTGCCGTCATGTGACCCATTCCCGCAGTACGCCTCCAGTGTCGCCCTAACCCTAACGCGCGAACCCGTTTCTCTGCATATCTTTAGACAGCTTTCGTATATGGTTGTGTAATCATTCAAAGATCAAGTATTGATGCTATCAGTCTCGAAAATATCATTTCAAACGTTCGCTTGCTTCAGAAAGCTAGTCAAGAACCTTTGCTAGCAGTCCAACCAACTCCTCCGTATCGTCGAGGATGCCTTTCTAACCACTCCTTTGGAGGGATTGCACTGCCGTACTTGGTATAGAATTCAGAAAGAGCATCATTTACTTCTGCGCAAGGTTAGTAAATGAATCTAGTGGTTGAGATCATCTAGCATACCATCCAATAGCATTGAATACGATGGTTGAAGAGTGAATCTAGAAGTTCTCTCCCGGTAAAGGGTTAAAGAGTTTGGTATTGCAGTTCCTTATGAAGTCAGCTTACAGAACCTTTACGCCTTAATACGTACTGAGATACCACCTTTAGTAATGCGCAGGTAATGAGGGTTAGAGGCTGCCTGACCATCATCTACAGCGTCTAGATAATAATCAAAAGATCGTCTGAGTTATTTCTTGTACGAAATGGGTATTGGGCTAAAGAGTGCTCCATTTGAAACCATGGTCACCATTAGTGATCATATAGCAAGATGTAGTCAAAAAAAAATACGTACCATCTGCGGTTATGTTTGGATGGACTAATCCATCATCTGCGACTTGCACTCCATCTTTCCATTCCCAGTCATCCTGTTCCAACTTCTTGTCATATAGTCTTAAACCCAGCTGTACTTGGAACCGGTACAATGTTGCTGGAAAAGCGGAATAGGTTGACACATGCGAAGAGCGTTTTGGTCTCCTGTTGACTACGCGGGTACAATCGATGGACAAAGACGAGTACGAACTAGATGTCGAAGCCTAGTAGCATGCATATCGGGAATATCGATCGACGAATGGTTGAAGATTCAAAGGGGATACCAAGTCATACAGAGTTAAGAATGGCTGTGTAGTGTATTACAGCGTAGCAGTCTGCAAAGTGAAGGTGTTCAAAATGCTTCGTTTACTGTTCCTTGACTGCAACTCCGAAGTTCCGGCCTTCTGATTGGTTTATATCGGAGAAAGACATGTGACTAGCATAGTCACGTGAGCTTATCTCCTATCTATAGGGAACTTTTCAGAAATAGAAAAGTTAAACCGATCAGTGTTGATGTCCATACAGCTCAAATGTCGACAATGGCATTGCGGATACGCTCTACAGTGCTGTCTCGTATCAGCCATCATGCCAATAATAATTTTAGGCTTGCATGTCAAAAACGACTATTAGCAACCTCTTCTGATGCTCGGTAAGCCATCAACCCCGTCCAAAGTTTCTATCAGATCACTAACATTGATAGACCATACGATGTCGTCGTCGTCGGTGGCGGCCACGCCGGCGCAGAAGCATGCGCTGCCGCCGCCCGCTCCGGAGCCCGTACAGCCCTCGTAACTCCATCACTATCCAACATCGGCGTCTGTTCCTGCAACCCCAGTTTCGGCGGTATTGGCAAGGGGACCATGATGCGCGAAATCGACGCCCTGGATGGTGTTGCGGGGCGCATAATCGATAAAGCCGGTGTTATGTTTAGGATTTTGAATCGATCAAAGGGGCCCGCAGTTTGGGGTCCTCGGGCGCAGATTGATCGGGATTTATATCAGCGTTATATGCGGGAGGAGTTGGTTTCGACGAAGAATTTGAGTATTATTGAGGCGAAAGTGGAGGATATTGTCGTTTCAAGGGATGATAATGAGCAGAATTCGCATTCGGCTGGAAGGATTGTGGGGATTCGATTGGATTCGGGCCAGGTGATCCCGACGAATCGAGTAGTGATTACTACTGGCACTTTCCTAGGAGGGGAGATTCATATTGGTATGGAGGCATATCCGTCAGGACGAATGGGTGAAGCGGCGACACATGGTCTCAGCAAGTCTTTACGACAAGCTGGTTTCCAGCTGGGTCGATTAAAGACGGGGACACCGCCACGATTGGATAAGAAGTCGATAGATTTTTCGTCACTTGAGGTTCAACGTGGAGATTCGCCTCCTAATCCTTTTTCGTTTATGAATAAAACCGTGCAAGTGGGCGATGAAGGGCAATTGACGTGCTGGATGACACATACCAACGAAGCGACTCATCAAGTTATAAGGGACAATCTGGATAAATCGATACATATCCGGGAGACGGTCAAAGGACCCCGGTATTGTCCGTCACTTGAAGCTAAGATTATCCGTTTCAAAAATAAGACGCAACACCAGATATGGCTTGAGCCAGAGGGTTTCGCGCCGAATGAAGTCATCTACCCTAATGGAATATCTATGACAGTACCTGTGGAAGCGCAGGAAGCCATGTTGCGGACAATTCGCGGTCTGAAAAACGTGCACATGCTCCAGCCTGCTTATGGAGTGGAATACGACTATATTGATCCGCGTAACTTGAAACCGACACTAGAAACAAAACTCATCGGTGGATTGTATCTGGCTGGCCAGATCAACGGTACGACAGGTTACGAAGAGGCAGCTGGTCAGGGTATTCTAGCCGGCACGAATGCCGGTCTGGCTGCGCAGGGCAAGTCGCCTATGGTGCTAACCCGGGCAGATGGATATATCGGCATTATGGTCGATGATCTGATTACAAGGGGGGTCTCGGAACCATATCGTATGTTTACATCTCGCAGCGAATTCCGAATTTCAAGTCGCTCTGATAACGCCGATCTCCGTCTCACAGCCATGGGTCGAGAAGCATCTGTAGTCTCTGACGAGCGATGGAATCATTTCAATGACACCAAATCGCAAATAGAGGAACTTTCACGACTATTGGAAAACACGAGATACACCTCAAACCAATGGTCGCGCATGGGCTTCCAGACTCGAGTAGACACTTCTTACCGCAGTGGTCTCGACATGCTTTGCGTCGAGGGTATCAACATCGACTCACTTATCCCACATATTACCTCACCAAGTGGAACAACCTATACAGCAGCATCATTTGACTCCGAAATCAAGAAACGCGTAACTATCGAAGCACAATACGCCCCCTACGTCAAACGACAATCCCTCATGGCCGAGAAATTCAGACGAGAGGAGCGCATGCTTCTTCCGTCGAATATGGATTATTCGGCTGTTCATGGATTGAGTACGGAGGAACGACAGGCGTTGGAACGTGTTCGACCTGAGAATATTGGTATGCTAAGACGGATTGAAGGGATTACGCCGTCGGGTGCGGTGAGGATTATGATGTATCTTCGCAAGGGGCGGCTGGTAATCGAGGATGATGTTGTGAGAGAGATGGCTTCTACTGTATAATGTGGATTTTGGTTTATTTCATGTATTATGATTTGTTTCGATATAGAGCATAGCGCTGGTTGGCAGATATGTACAATACAATAATCTTTCCAAGTCATCCTATCAGACAGGTACATCCCTAGGTAGACGTAGGTACATACCATGAATGGTACACAAGGTGAGTACAACCTTGGGAAGTATGCATCTATTGATTACTTCTACATATATTCAAGCGCTATTTTTCAACACTAAACACGCCACATAAATCCATATTTATATATGCAATATGTCTGATATCTCTCTGTCACGATACCATAAACGCGGAAATGGCCTATCAAAAAATACGAGAGCTTATCTTATCTCCGAAGCCGAGCCTCGACATATCTCCGTAATCAAGCTGCTTTCCAATCTTTCCAACAATCATTTGCCTTTTTTTTTCATTTTGTTTTTTGCCATTTTATATTTCGTCCTGTGGTTTTGGTACGACCTAGCTCCATGATACCCCAATAGATTCCCTTCGCTCCGCGTCATTTGGCGCAACCTCCCCGCCATGTCACGATTATTGCAATCATTGTCACGACAATCTCCTCCCTTCAAGAAACGCATACCCGGCGACTTTCTCCAAACGCATACTCACACACCATCGCTTCGGTCAATATCATCATCAAAAAATCCTCCCTTCCCAACGATAGCGACATGCCCCGATCCAACATGTACATGTGCGCCAACTCCGACGATGCCCGAGGACCTACCGATTGATCATTCACGACCACTCAATGCGACCATGGCGCCTTATACGCAGCAGATACTGATCGCAACTGGACAGACGGATTGGAGTAGTCGGATTGAGGATGATGGCGCCGGCGCAAGCTGGGGTAGTCTTGTGCGTGGACTGAAAGATATGTTTCTTCGGGGCGGGAAATATGCTGACGTGGGTGCTCCTCTCTTTTGATAATAGGGATTGTTGCTTACATGCCCGATCTTCTATGTAGCCATATAATAATTTGGTGGTTACGAATTCCTCTTTCAAGCCTACGTCGCAGGCTTCATCTCCGTATGCGTCGGCTTTTCTCTTCCCGGCTTTCAAATACGTACCTAAAATACCGATTTCAGCAGTCTCCGATGCCCACACTGAACCAAATCTCGAGTCGTTTGCGCGCGCATACTTGCTACCCCAGAAGCTTCACTCCGCGCATGCGCACATCACAGAGTCACAGCGACAACTACTGACGCGTTCACCGGAATATGCCTCTCAATATTTCCCCGATGCACTAGATATCAAGCAGTCACCTACAATACTGATATGTGGACATGGTGGGCGAGATATGCGATGTGGTATTATGAGGCCTGTCCTGCAAGCTGAATTTGAGCGTGTATTGCGGCGGAAAGGGTTTACTATAAACAATGAGGACGGAAAGAATAAGATCGATGGACCGGCTCATGCAAATATTGCGTCTATCAGTCATATCGGCGGACACAAATATGCTGGTAATGTGATCATGTATATCCCACCAGCCCTTATGACAACATCTTCGACATCGAATAAAACTGTATCTGATCCCAGCCCCCTGGCCGGTAAGGGAATATGGTACGGACGAGTCGAGCCTAAGCATGTGGAAGGTCTTGTTGAGGAGACAATCTTTAACGGAAGAGTTGTTGAAGATCATTTTCGTGGCGGGATTGGCATGGATGGGGAGATTTATAGATTGTAGATAGGTGTTATAGGTCTTGAAGACTCCAGTTAGAACCTAGCCATTGTATACCAAATCAATTCATGAAAGTTTCCTCTCGAATTTACCACACTTGAAGCTGAGTGATGCACTTGATCATAAGATGGCGCTAACCTTTTTGGGCCGGAGATGAGACTTCTCCGCAGCTTCCACAGCTCTCGCATCCGAAAAAACTCTCCGCCTTCGCTATATCAAGTCGCAGAGGCGTTCGGACCAAGTCTCTGAAGGAATTGAACCTTCAGCTATCTACTGCGCGAATCTCATAGTCTGTAAATACGATATGAAGTGAAGCGACGATTGTCGTGCGTCATACCACGATTATTTTTCCGACTACGAGACGATTCATGAACTATATGAACTCGACAGACCGCAACCATGTTGCTTTCAGCAAGAAGCTGCCTTTATAGGCAAAGCCTACGAGGTCCTCTTATTAATCTAAACCGAATCGACGCACGAACAAAACTCGCCGCAATCCCTTCTCAAATACGATTCTCAAGACCAGCCTCAACATCCTCCCCATCGCCCCGATTAGACATTCGCGCCATCGACAAAAAATGGCAAGCAAGATGGGCAGAAACCGAACGAATAAAATTGGAAGAAATAGCAAATGGTCAACGACCATGTTCCGGAGTGGGATCATCGAAGAACGACCGCCCGAAATCATATATTCTCTCCATGTTCCCTTACCCTTCCGGTACAATGCACATGGGTCATTTGCGGGTCTACACTATCTCCGATGTATTATCTCGATTTTATCGTATGCGTGGACACGATGTTTTGCATCCAATTGGTTGGGATGCATTTGGATTACCGGCTGAAAATGCGGCAATCGAGAGAGGGGTTCAGCCGGCTAAATGGACGGCGCAGAATATTGAGCGGATGAAGGAGCAGTTACGAAGTTTTGGACCGGGGTTTGATTGGGAGAGGGTATGTTCTATCTGATCACCAATCTTCATGAGTTTAGGCGTGCTGAGGATATGGTAGGAATTGATGACGTGCTCTCCGGAGTTTTATAAGCATACCCAAAGGATCTTTCTGATGTTGTATGAGAAAGGATTGGCATATCAGGCTGAGGCTTTGGTTAACTATGATCCTGTGGACAAGACTGTGTTGGCTAATGAGCAGGTGTGCGCTCCCATCAAAGAGAAGGAAAAGAAGTTCTGACATCTTTAGGTCGATGCCAATGGCTTCTCATGGCGATCAGGAGCCAAAGTTGAACAGCTCAAATTGAAGCAATGGTTCTTCCGTATCACTGCATTCAAAGAAGAGCTACTCAAAGATCTTGACTCTCTTTCAGGTGGCTGGCCAGACCGCGTTCTATCTATGCAACGAAACTGGCTGGGAAAGTCGAATGGTGCGAAGATTAAATTTGCAGTCGCTTCTAAACACAGTGGAAATCGTGATGTTGGAGTATTCACGACACGACCAGATACGTTATATGGCGTGGAGTACATAGCACTGTCTTTGGATCATCCTCTTGTTCAGGAGTCTGCCCAGTCAGACGCTGGTCTCAAAGCTTTCATTGAAGAGGCTGCATCTTTACCTTCAGACTCAAAGGTAGGCTATCGCTTGAAAGACGTGTACGCTTCAAATCCGTTGCAAACCATCGACAAGGAAAGTCCACATATCTCAGAAGAGTTACCGGTATTCGTGGCTCCCTATGTTCTAAGTGGCTATGGAGAGGGAGCTGTCATGGGTGTTCCGGGGCATGATACAAGAGACCTAGCTTTCTTCAAGGAGAACCTGCAGCCAGAGTTTATTTCGATGGTCATTCAACCCGAAGCCCAGGTTTACGAAGATTCATCCGTTGTTCCCGCACATGATGCCAAAGCTTTCACGAACGAAGGTTATTTGACATCACGATGCTGGAAATACCAAGGCCTCAGCTCCAAAGAAGCCGCAAGACAGATCGTGTCTGACCTGGAAAGAATCGGCCGAGGCGAAACAGCAGAGTCATGGCGACTTCGTGATTGGCTAATCAGCAGACAACGTTACTGGGGAACTCCTATTCCCATGATACACTGTGCAAGCTGCGGTCCAGTACCTGTACCAGTTGATCAATTACCTGTCAAGCTCCCCGAGATTGAGGGAGACTGCTTCAAAGCACAAAAAGGAAATCCACTCGAGTCAGTTGCAGATGACTGGCTGCACACGGAATGTCCACAATGTCACGAACCGGCAAAACGTGATACAGATACAATGGATACCTTTGTGGATTCGTCGTGGTATTACATGCGTTATCTGGACCCTAAAAACCCCGACGAACCATTCTCTCCTGCTGTTGCTCGACCAGTCGATATATACATCGGAGGTGTCGAACACGCTATTCTTCACCTTCTTTATGCAAGGTTTATATACAGGTTTCTGACCCAGACCGAGTTTTTCCCGGAACTGGCACATACTCAACCCAGTCCAGCGGCTCCAGCGGTAGCAGAGCCCTTCCGGACTTTGTTATCGCAAGGCATGGTTCATGGAAGAACCTACTCTGAGCCATCTACAGGCCGATTCTTATTACCCTCTGAGCTTGACTTGACAGATAAACAGAATCCTCTGATCAAGGGCACAATGGTTCGTCCGAATATCTCGTATGAGAAGATGTCCAAGAGTAAACATAACGGCATTGATCCTATGATATGCGTGGATAAATACGGAGCAGATACTACACGTGCACACGTCCTCTTTTCTGCTCCCATTGCTGAAGTCCTCGAATGGGATGAGGCCAAGATCGTTGGTATTGAGCGATGGTTTGGCCGGATGTGGAAATTGGTTTCAGATGCTGCTACAACGCTTTCGCAGATGAAGTCAGGAGGAGTAGAATTGACAATTGAAAATATACAAAACCAACCACACGCATTCCCAAAACTGCCGAATCTCATCAATCTTTCGGACGCAGATATTGAGGCCCTTCTCGCTACGCATGAGACCATTGTTTCAGTGACGAATTGCATCGAGAAGAATCCTTATGCCTTGAATACGGTCATATCCGATTTGACCAAGCTCACAAACACGCTTTCTTCCAGCCGGTCTTCCTCTACCAACCCAGAGATACTGTATACATGTATCTCCTCACTTTTACGGCTGTTAGCACCCATCGCCCCGGCTCTCACCTCCGAGACTTGGGAAATTCTGCATTCGAGAATACTCGAGTCCGCGGATGTAGGGTCTATCAACATGGCAACAACAACCTGGCCAACGCCACTCCTCACAGAAGCTGAAGCAAACTCTCTTCGATCTCGCGGCGGTCAAAATGTCGGCGTTCAGATTAACGGTAAACTACGTTTTAACGTGACTATCCCCCGATTGATATCTGGCGCTACCACAACGCCATCATCAGAAGTGCAGATCGATGAAAAGACATGGATAATAGATCAAATTCTGGCAACAGATGAAGGGAAAATGTGGCTCAAAGAGAAAAATGACTGGGGTAAGAGGAAGAGGGTTATCGTCGTTCCAGGGGGCAGGGTTGTGAATATTGTTTTTTGATCATCTACTCTGAACATGGTGGGTACGATAATGTACTATATAGATTCAATATATAAACGAAGGACTTCCTAGTACTCTCCTCTCACAAAGCAACTATTTGTCTGATATCTCAGATACCATCCATCCAAAAACAGCCAAACTTTCAAGCCATCTGATACCTATACATGGACAGGTAGGGCCTAATTGTTATTAACAGCATACGATGCAGAACCACTACCACCCCAGCCCTCAACAGCAACAACCTGATAATTCAACGATCCCAAATTCATCCCCAATTTACCCCAAGCATTGAAATGATTCTGCACCGTAATCGTCCCCTCTGTACGCGGCGACTGACGCACAGAGATGTACTGATTGAATGTCGACGTGCCTTCAATCGAAGGCTCATTGTACCGCGTATTCTCCCAGATTACGTAGTTGCTGCCGTCGCTGTAGACGGTTCCCTTTTGGGTACCGAAACTGGGTGGGTTGGCGTAGTCTTCGATTATGTAGTATTCTACGAGAGGGTTGGTGGACCAGCCGTAGACGGAGAGGAGGCCTGTACCGGAAGAGACGGAGAATTGGCCGCCGAAGTTGATGGAGCTGATTCTGTCAATTTCTTTACGTCTTACAGAAGGGGAAAAATGGGGGAAGGGACATACGTGGTCGAGCCAGGACTCCAGCCAATTCCGACTACGAAATCGTTCTGAGTGCTCCAGTTAACTTGAAACCCGGTGCTGGAATGATAGTAATTCACTGTTCCGCCGGTGGTGTAATCCTGATTGTAATTGATGGCGGATCGACGAGCGAGGGAGGAGGTGGCGTTTGTTGCGTTGATGACGAAGTTGGATGGACCTCGTTTGGCGATGTCATCCTTGACAATGCTCTCTGCTGGAGCAGCGAGGGAGCCAGCAATGGCTGAGAAGGCGAGGAGTAGGCTTGAGTATGAAACCATTTTCTTGGTCTGGAGGAACGAATTGCTTTAAGGTCTTTGAACTAGTTGATGATTGATGATGGATCGAGAATCGCAGTTGATACCAGGGGTTTATATACCCATCTCCTGACTCCAACAGTCCATATTATTCCTCTACATGTTTCATTCGTTTCTCACAAAGAACTATCTGCAAAACAACCGGGCAAAAGGGACATCTACCACCACATCCTTGCGATGACTCCATATCGACTCCGAATATCCTCATCCGGCTATTTACAACTGACCTATCCCCAGTTTTCCTGCATGGTCATACACATCCAGACAGACGCATGGCTGCCTATGCCCATTACCCCGGGGCATCATCAAATTACTTTTATCAAGCTACTCCCCTGAAAGGGAGACACAATTCAGCCTAAGTTCCCATGAAACAATTCCACATACCCAGGAAGCTATATTCTCCTGAAGAAAGCACACTTTAGCCGGATCAACAATTAGAATCGTTTCAAATGAATCGGAGAAAAGGAGAAGCCAGTAACAAAACAAGCTTAATCTCAGAGCGGATTCGCGGGGACCCTAAACCTATAAAAGTTCTGTTATATGCTTAGGATTGAAGAATAACTCAGCCGGCAAGCTAGGCTAAACACATGGATGGAAACATGCCGGTAGTTATTATTGGAGTCTTTTAGGGCTAAATTACCAGGTAGGGTTACATCTGCTGCCAACTAAGAATTACGAAGTATAATGCGAGTAAGCGACCCATTGAGGTATCAAGACACGGAATCAGTACACAAGCAATGAATCAAAACTTGATAGTTCAGATATATTCAATGCGTGCCTACCTAGGTATAGTCTACAGACAAAAATTCGAGACAAAACCCGAAATCAAGAACCAAGTCGAGTGAGGATAGGGAAAAGAAAACCCAGACGGCTACAGGACATATCAGGGACATAAGGAATGAGTGACCTATACCTAGGCACAAAAATAATAATAAATAATCAAAAATGAAGGAGGGTAGAAGAAGTGAAGGGGTGGTAGTAATAAATACAAAAAGAACATTTGATAAAGTACCTAAACATTTCAAAACTATTCATCAGGATGATATGTCGACTTTGGCAAGATGTCTGGTAACGAATTTCTCAGTGGCCAGGCTTCATGATCCGCTGCTGCTCTTTGTGCAGCTTGGAGGTCTACTTCTAACATTTTTTGAAGATCGTCTAGTTTTCTGTAGACTGCTGGCGATCTGGGTCCGGCGCTGGTGATGGTTGGGGTTGGGGTTGGTTGGGTGCTTGATCTTGCTCGTGAAACTCGAGGGGATGAAGACGAAGGAATAGAGGCTGATGGAGGGGGGAATGTCACGTCGGGACGCTCTGTAGCTGGCGATCGAAGTGTAACGGGGACTTCGAGAGATGTTGCGGATATGTGGTTGTTATTTGCGTTTGGAACAAATGTTTGAGGAGAAAGGAAACGGGAGTCTGTCCTTGAAGCAGTGCCCATTGCTGGACCAAGTCTTGACTCTCTATAAGTATCTCGCGGAGCTGGTGGAGGATCAAGATTGCTTAGACGGAATCCGATTTGCACCGTTGCATGGCTGACATCGGATGAATTGCGATTATGTGCTGCGAATGCAGGACGAGGTGGGATTAGGAAGATGTCATCTTCATAAATGCTTGAAGCCGGGTATCTGGGTCTACGGCCACTGGCTTTGGTAGGGAAAATTGAGTAGGAGGCTTTGGGGTTGGTGGACTTTTGTCTGACTGTTGGCGTCGGTGGTAAGGATTTGTCGATATTCATCCGACTGAAATAGCTCCTTCGTTTGGACGGTTCTTTTTGCACCCCACTATCGGAAGCAGTATATTCGCCCTGGGGAATTGGAATTGGTGATGAAATCTTCCTCTTCAGTCCATTGTCCCAGCGGAATTTCTTAGACGGTTCGTGTCCGATAGTCATGCTTTCGGTATAGGAGCGAAACAATAGTTGGAAGAATGACACAACAATTCCAATCACGTTGATCGATACCACTGCCATCATTGGAGTAATTCCTCGCGGTATTTGGAGTGTATTTTTCACCCAGAAAGGTAAAAAGAATGTCTACACTCGTTAGTTGCTTTTACAACGTTGAAATAGGCGTTGCACTTACAAAAACTGCAGTGGCTATTGCTAGATAATACACCATCTGCGTCGCAGCAAGTCTCTCCATTGCATCAATGCCCCGTGAACGAAGCAGTTGTGTTGCTATTAACGATGCAATCAATGTATACAATACGATCAAAACGATTGTAATCACGAGTGCAACATCACTCCACGGTATCACAATTGTAAGTAAGCCAAATCGACATTTACTGAATGTGGATCGTCGGGCTGCGGTTGGAATCCAGGTAAACAACGTGAGCAAAGCTACCACTGCCCAGCAGATATACAATGCCATTTTCTTGCGTGGTGCAAACCTGTTCTTCTGGAAACCTCGGTATAGCGTTTCGACTCCGAAGACGAGTATAACGAGCCCTACTATCCACAATGCTGCATCTCGTTAGAACAAGCTAGATTGATTGGGACTAAGACTTTACCTGGGAAGAGTATCTGTCCAGATGTATCGCAGTTTTCACCAATTGATGGAGACAGCTGCATTGACTGGATAATAACCAGAACCACGCCTTGAACAAGTACCGCCGCCGTAAAGGACAGAGTCAGGACTTCACTAGGTCGAATAAAATCAAAGAACGTCTGTCGCCCGCTGTTCTCAGTTAGTATATTATATCCACTCCAAAAAAGTAGTAAAAATCATACTCGCTCCGTAATGAACCATTCTTCCTTGACGCCTTCCACATATCAAAAAACACAGTAGCCATCAAAAGTCCCGCCGACGCCATATTGAATGCAATTAACAGAATTGTCGATGTCGGCGTGCTGTCCGAATACCACCACACATTTCGGCGAACCAACATCGCATGATCATCATGTCGTGCACCATTATTCAGGTTCGTAAGTCGCTCCAAGAAAGATGATATTGTCATCATACAGCCTCCGTTGGAACACACCGGCATTCGTCCTAGAAGGAGGACTATACCGCTGTACGAATTTGCATCGATGACTGACGTGTATGTATTCGAATTGGAGGGGTTTTCGATCGATTCAATTCGCCGTCAATTATTCGAAGAAGAATAATAATAATACCATTCAGAGAACGTTCGAGTATCTGCCAGAGAACCCGCGCATGAAAATAAAAAATAAAAGGAATCGAAAGAAAAGAAAAGCATCCAGTTCAGACCAGCTGAATACCTTTTCGCAGCCGTCCGGGGCTGTGGTAGAAACGAATGACACGGACAATAGGTATGTAGCAACAAAACAAAAAGAGGAAAAAGGAAATATCGAATAGCGAAAGGAAAATATGTGTCTCGACTTTCTTCAGACACATGGGAGATAGGTCCCTAAAGGGGTCTTGCTTCGATGCTCTCATACTGTAGTAGCGTATCAGATGTTCGTCGCCGGTGACTTATCGGTTCGTCCTATCCTCAAAAAAAGTAAGACAGGGTACCTATTGATCCAGGGCCCTGGGTCTGAGGAGTGTCGCAGATTTCGAGATGTAAGGAGAGCTAAATTTCGTCATATTCCCAGAATAGGATAGATGACACAGTTGGGTGCAGACTAGTACCTTGCGTTGACGCGCCGAATAGGTCTGATCCATATCAGTGACTTATTTTCCTGAGGTAATAGCTTGAATGTCGAACAGGAGTTGAAATCATAAGGGTTTCGTGTGTCGCGGAGGTTCTGTTAAAGGAAGGACGCGGAAGGGTCTGGTCGTGACAGGAAGAGGTTAGGGCTAGGGTTTCTTCATGCAAGATGAAACCGTACGGGTTTTAAGCCGCCTCCGTCGCTGGTTTTCTTCTCGTCTATTCGTCTTTTGCTCAAACTGTCATCGGATTATGGTTCTGAGATTTTATCAATTCGAAACTATAAAGATATTCTATTTCCAACGTGTTGGCATGGTATGAGGGCAGGCGCCTAGGTGCCATACTACTGACTGAGTAAGAATCACAAATTCGGTAATCCACCAGATTGATTAAAATTGATAAGTTCTACAGCTCTATAAATAAGAAGCGCGTCACTGGTATCCAACCCATCCAACTATTTTGCCACACAACGGACTCCGACATCAAACTAGGCTGTTAGAAACAGATGGCAGATTCCTGAGGTAATTAGACATGCGGTCGCCAAATCCTGATACCTCGTCCAAGGTCTCCCGCAACTTCTGAAAAGCGTCCAGTGTCGTGGTATAGTCTGGATGGTCGTCTCCCACGCAATAACGATGAACCTCCAACCCTTTCTCGGCCCATAGTAAAGCAATCCTCCCATGTCCCAGCCGGGTATGAACTCTAGCAGCGTAATAATAACTAAAAAACGTTCAGCTTGACCACATTGGCCGCAAAGAGTAACTAGCTACCAACATACGAATAACGTAATTCATGACCCACTAGCCCTTCGGATTTTTGTATCGCAGCCAGTTTCTGCGTTAATTTCAGTGCCTCCTCCAGGGATTCCTCTGTCTCAAGGCTCAAGAGATCCTGGAATTCGTCGGTCAGATAGGATAATTCCAACCGTTTCTCCTCCTTCGCTCTGCCTTGAGGGGTATCTTCGCAGACTGGGCAATTGCACTGAAACCCCCATTTCTGCAAGTATTTCTGGCGTCTGCTCCGGTCCCAGTTGCTGCCGTCGATGTAGGTTATCAATAACTCTTCGCCTGCGGTGATGTCTTGGATAGTATGAAAAGTCTCCTTGTCGAGCGAGGGGTGATACGAATGAGTGGTATTCGGAACGCACGAATGATTGAAGCGAGATCCGAGCAAATAAATGGAAGGAAAGGAATTGGCGGTGTAAATGTTAAGCACTTTTCGGTGCATTTCCGCCATCTCATCCCAAGTCTGTCCCATTTGAGCCTCGAGAATCTGCTTGTCCGAGTCGAAGGTGTAGCGATGGAGCTCCAAGTATGAGCTTTGCTGTGAGGGAGTCAGGTCCTCAAAGGCTTGCAGAATTTTTTTTGCGTCTGGGTTATCGTTTTCTACTTTGAGAAGGCTTGATTCCGCTAGGATACGGGTGCCACGGGGGATGTTGTCTTTTGCAAAGACGCCGAGGCCTTTTCCTGGAGACTCCCTGACTTCGATGAGATGGCGCGCATCTCGGCAATTTTCAGCAGATGTATGTGAGGGCAGTTGGATGGTACATACCCCGGTTGATAAACATGTTGCTATGCCTTTTAATTTCAATACAGCAGCATTACTAAATGGTGCTGAACTGAAGATTGAATCACGGCAAAGAACGAGATACGACGAGGGAAACCCATCGCGATTCTCTATATCGAATATTCGGTAGGAGCAGAGAAAAGAGAACAAGAAAGGACCATCCGTCAAGAGGGCTGCATATTGGGAAGGCACAAGACACCCACCGCTTCTTGCCATGGTCTGACTACCATCGTCAACAGATGAAGCTGTAAATCAGCTACATGCGGTCACCTTAGTTTCCGCCCTTAACCGGTACTGTAGCAGGACTCCTTGTCAATCAAGAGACACGGTAAATGATTGAAAGATAGGGAAGAATTGAGGTCTCTAGCTCAAAGAGAGAAGGAAAGGAAACGAGGGAAGTTGAGATCCCCGCACGGTACAAAACTTCCCCTCACATGGTGTGTTCCGTAATAGGCTTAGGGTGAGGGGAGCATCCCCTCAGCAGGGCTGGCCATTCTCATTGGCTGAGAAGGACGGGGCATGCGGGGCATAGCAGACATACCAACCAATCACAGCTGTTACTTCTCAAACAGGCAAGATATGACGATGATTTCCACTTCCAACTTGGAATGTGAAGCACTCCGCAGTGAAACCTCAGGATGTCGTCTGAGCTGGCAGAAGGAGAGGAGAGAAGAGGGGTTTGCGTGAGGAGAGAGGTGCTTCCGTTAATACCGGCAATTATTATATAATGGCATGATCTGTCCGTTCTTCCCTTGACTAATACTCTATCCTCATCTGGATATCCATTCAGCCTCGCTTTGATTCAGGTATGCCAATTGCATCATGTTTATGTTATGGCTTCTTGCCGATATCCGTTTCTGTTCTTATCGGCTGACTGACTGATTGCAGATATTTAAACCTCCTGTCCCCAAGGATACCAATCTCCCCTCTTCATCTAACACACTCTCTACTCATCATGGTATTTGCTCGCTCTGTCTCCCGTCAATTACAGCGTCCTGCTGCCTCGCTTTTTGCGGCCCCGGCCCGCCATTGGCGGGCCCCCGTTCTGCAACGGTCCCCTGTTTTTTCTGGAGTGCGTACACTAACAGCGAGTGCTACCCGACAGGGTAAAGTATTGATGGTCCTTTATGATGTAAGCCTCTCCTCCTATATATCGACAATAGACGCCAGACTAACCATTGTATAGGGCGGCGAGCACGCCAAAGACCAGCCCGGTCTGCTCGGTACCACTGAGAATGAGCTCGGCATTCGCAAGTGGCTCGAAGACCAGGGCCACACTCTGGTAACCACTTCCGACAAGGAGGGCCCTGACTCCGTCTTTGAGAAAGAGTTGGTTGACGCCGAAGTCATCATCACTACTCCGTATGTTTGACAATCCCACGGAAGTCGATCAAAGTGACTGATGGATGTAGCTTCCACCCTGGATACCTCACTGCAGAACGTCTTGCCAAGGCCAAGAACCTCAAGCTTGCTGTCACTGCCGGTATTGGATCCGACCACGTCGATCTCGATGCCGCCAACAAGACCAACGGCGGTATTACCGTTGCGGAGGTCACTGGCTCCAACGTCGTCTCCGTCGCTGAGCACGTTGTCATGACCATTCTTACTCTCGTTCGCAACTTTGTTCCCGCACACGACCAGATCCGCAACGGAGACTGGAACGTTGCTGCTGTTGCCAAGAACGAATTCGATTTGGAAAACAAGGTCGTTGGCACTGTCGCCGTTGGCCGTATTGGTGAGCGTGTCCTGCGGCGTCTCAAGCCCTTTGACTGCAAGGAGCTTCTTTACTACGACTACCAACCCTTGAAACCCGAAGTTGAAAAGGAGATTGGCTGCCGTCGGGTCGACACTCTTGAGGAGCTGGTCTCCCAGTGTGATGTTGTCACCATCAACTGTCCTCTCCACGAGAAGACCAAGGGTTTGTTCAACAAGGAGTTGATCTCCAAGATGAAGAAGGGCTCATGGCTCATCAACACCGCTCGTGGTGCCATTGTTGTCAAGGAAGACGTCGCCGAGGCCGTCAAGAGCGGTCACTTGCGTGGATACGGTGGTGATGTCTGGTTCCCTCAGCCAGCTCCCAAGGATCACCCACTCCGATATGTCGAAGGACCATGGGGTGGTGGTAACGCCATGGTTCCTCACATGTCTGGTACTTCGATTGATGCTCAGATCCGTTATGCTCAGGGTACGAAGAACATTCTCGAGAGCTACTTTTCTGGTCGACACGACTACCGCCCTGAGGATTTGATTGTCCACAAGGGTGATTACGCTACCAAGGCTTATGGACAGCGTAAGTAATCAAAAAATAGGCGTTGGATAATGTACATTGAATATTAATTTGCATGATGAATGAATTTTGTTTAATGAAACCTTTACTTTGGATCCACGCCGGAAGTCCAATTGACCACGGTAAACTTTTTAAGGTCTGCTGTTTGATCCCACAATTCCCACCGTAGCTTTCCACATTCCTTGCTCCTACAACTTTAATCCAGAACACAACCAAATCCAGTCAACTGGGCAAATCAATACCCAAATCCAGAAACCTATGCGAGTTGATTAGATTAGCGAATGGTCGCACAAACGTCACCGACAGCTGGAGCACATTCGTCTATTTTTCCTCAATGGAGTATCCCCGTGAAACCGCGTCTGCGTAACGTCATACCAACTAAGAATATAACAGACTTGAAAGAAGATCTGTATCTCTGAGACATACGCATCATCTACATCTCGTCGCAGACAGACATGCATGGAGCCCTGATACATACGCCTCAAAACCCGCCCGGCAGGCAGACATACATCGGAGAAACGTAGATCAAACACTGTCCTACTCCGGAGAAGACCGTTCTTCCACTGTGTTTCGAAACATGCATATACATACCATTATCTATATTCAGAGTAAATAAGCGAGATATCTCTAATTTCTAAGGGATATTTGTCCCACGTACATACCGAGATAATTGTACTGGTATCAGGTTCAGCTTCTAGAAAATTCTGTTGCAGATGTAGGATCTAGGATGCCGAGATGCATGCATGCATGTATGCACGCCCTCATCCATATGTACGTACATACCATTTATTTACGGACGAACTCATCCAGGATGAACAGGGTTATTTGACAAATACTTGAAATCAACAAATAACAGCACAGAACCACCCCTCCAATCAATCTCATCAGCCACGTGGATAAAGCGCTTACATTAAATAAAGACCCCTCGCGTGGTGGTCCATAGATTATATTGGCCCCCCACCACTACGATCCTGGCTCAGTTACTGAATATCGTATTTCTCTAGAAGGTTTCTATGCAGGTAGTCAACATCGTCAGGTATGCAGGAATGTGTATGTAAGTAAGTAGAGAAAAGGTTCGCGAATGAGTTTACTCAGAACAGTGTACGGAGATAGGGAGTTGAGACTATCCATGTATGCAGGCATTTGCGATGCAGGAACATGTTTCTTTGGAAGCACGTACGTACCATTTAGTAATATTACAGCTGTAGCACGGTTCAATGGTTCAAAATGAAACTTATCTGTAAGGCCCTGAATCCAGTTTCGTCTGAATATGGTATACGCGTCCATTTCCTGATTCGATTCACGCTAATCAATTATGATGAGTGAGCTTTGAGAAATATCAGCTTATATGTACCACTATCTCTGCATTTGATGCGTCGTGAGGTTGACTATGAATAATCGACAGATATCTACGTGGATACGGAGAGCCTCATCTGATTGGAGGTTATTTATATTCCGAGTTTCTCGGTCCGTCCCAGCCTGTTCCACTGTATGTACTTGCTGAAGTATGTATGTATGTAACGTACTACATGTATTCTTACATGAAGTATTATAATACTTCTAGTTTGTCACCAACGGTCTGACTATCGACAATAGCAGCTGTAATGAGGAACTATCAGTGCATTCTTCTTGGGAGAACACTGGTTCTGGGTTGTGACTGGATGGAATTTAAGTCTATAGAATGAGACATTAATGAATCCCGAGAATCGGGTCAAGTATTACGCTACCTGTGGACAGCTGAATGTAAACTTACTCTCAAAGATGAATACATGTAGAAACGATGCATTTCTTCGATACGTACGTAATCTGACTGAAAGAACATTTTGACAATATGGTACGAATAGTCTATGTAACGTATATGGTAGATTATTTGTGCCATGCTGCCAAATTCAAAGTTTCATTGCCTATATACCTACATGTTAGTTAACTTATAGAATCCCAATGTTGTCGATGACCCGTGTCCACAGATTCGTTCAATTGTATAACACACTACCAACCACATGGCATCCGCCCTGACTCGTGCATATCAAAAACCGTCAGCTGAGATTATGATCTAATCTACTTGCATCCAATTTCTCCACAGTATTACCGTTCCATTGGAGCCTTTCTTACAAGCAACTTTGGACCCCACGGGCAAAGAACCACCGTCTATTGGTAGATTCTAAAATACTGTGGCATATACTAGGTAGTATGTATACGTCGCCCTGGTGCCTATATCTGGGTAGTCACACTCGTGGCCGTGCAGGGATTTATATTGCTCATATGCTATCAACAATATCATTGGCCCGTGGTGCTATTTTCGAAAATACTTGAGAGATATAAGTACAACTTCAATCACCACGTACTACTCGAAATAGAATAACTAACTGACTATGTGACTAGTACACATGTTCGGCCCCCAATACTTTGATTTGCTAAGAATATAGCACATGCATGAAGTACGGAAATGTAACGCTGTAATTTTTTGGTATTTATCATGTCCCGTAATTAAGATACGTAGGGCTGAATATTACATAATTCCCGACTATGTGGGTGGCGAATTTCGATACGAAAACGTTGCTCGTTTTGCTGGTGGGAGGTCATATTTGACGTTTCATGTCATTATTTTTATGAGATATTGATTTGGAAAAGGAAATATTAATCTGCCCATACATACTTGTAGGCACATATTCACTCCCGTCTGACTAGGCACAACAGGTTTACCCGCGAGTAAAAAAATTGTCATATTGATTGGTCTAAATACTTACTGCCTGGACAAGACGAAAAATGACTCATAGGAGATCACGAGCTATATGATGTAGTTAATATCGTGAGTGACTAATAACTCCTATATTCCTCAGTTGTGATATGATATGTGTGGCTTCTCATCTCGTATCTTGTGGCTATGTCTATCACTATTCAGGTATGTCGCGGAAAGATACGACGAACTGATAGTCTGATACTAACTACTACGTATTACTCAGTGACTCAGTGACTCTACTAGTAGTACCCTTCTAGAACACTTCCTATTACGGAATCTTCAATCATACTGCATACATGCGTAGTACGAAATATGTGAAATTCCGCCCCGAAATAGACCTGGATGTTCGCAGAGTACTCCGCAGGCTCTGTCTTGTTTAGACTAGCCAAGAATAAATCGATTATAGACCATCCAATTATTGGCGACGAGGCTGTGCCGTAAGAACTGAAACTTAACGGTCGTACAATTTCAAACATTCCTTGCTCTTGTATGCAGTGATTCGAACTGTATTCAGTAACGATCAAGGCTAACCGCGCTACGGTTTCAACGGTGATTTCGGCGAGGACACTTGATTCATGTGCAACAATCATTTATATTCATCATAGATACTACGGAGTAGAACAACGTACGTACTCTTTTCTCAACTTTGGTATTTTATTGAGTTTCTGTCCGGGATTAAAGTCATTCTTCCACTTCTCATTGGCTACCTGCAGATATCTTACAAGGGTCCATAATCGGGATACCGATGCGGGTACGGGTACGGATACGGATACACGATCCGAAAGATTGATTCAGAGATGTAAATTGGTCAGATACATATCCCATCAAATGCGTATCCTTGACTACAACAATACTACTTTTCCATGATGATGATGTAACGTGACTTCAAAATCCACATCCCGTCTTCCCCGATTTCCCCGTTCATTCTCTTCAGTCTAATACGTAGATTGTTCCAATTGTCGCTAAGCAAACTAGTTACTAATTAGCTATACGAAGCGACAAGGGTATCGCCAACGGTTCCAGCTCCGCGGGACCAGTCACTACAGCCGGATCAACTTCTGGATCCGACCTAGTCCTGTTGGCTACACTACAACAACCGTTGTAGTCATCACAAAACCTAGAACACGCTCAGGTATGTAGCCATTTAACTTTTTGATTGGCTCCCTAACCTGACCCAATGACCCATGACTAGTTCACAACGGCTCGTGTCGATCAGGGATTGTTTTTTCATCCTTCGTGTTGGCCCTGTTGGGAAAACGCGCATTTTTGACTTTTATACTCCGCAGTACGTAAGTACTTTATTTGAATCCGTTCGTTGGTTGGTTTGGAAGTATACTATCGTGGCTTAAGCTATAGTTACTAAATAAGTTGAGCCTCTTTACATGCATTCCCGGGTTGCCCGTTCGTGTTATGTATGCTATCACTGTTGTATCCCAATATGAACTATTTGGGCAGTCAAGATGTAACAATCTGTCGACCTATATGACGATACTCGTCTTCGTCTTCAGGCGTCCCTTGTTAATAATGACTCACTCTCGATGCGAAGTGAGTCGACTATACATGAAATCTGCAATTTGATTCAAAAGTCGTGTAACATGCTCTCTCAAGATGTTCAATCTGGCTACGAACGTTCTTCGGCGACTCTCGATTCGAGTCCATACATATTGTAGCTAATACGCAATACTCTGTATTACAAATACGATACCCACAGACCCACTATCTAGTTACCCTTTTTGGCGTTCAGCTTACTATGTATATCGAATCTCCACCAACACAGCCAACACCAAGAAAAAAAACAAAAACAAAAAATAATAAGCACTTAGACAAATCCTCATGCAGGGAGACGGTTTTTGCTGTCACTTCTGATCCCGCGGCCGGTTCCGCATTTCTTCAGGCCCGCGCTGGGCTGGAGACGAAAAGTGGGTAGCAATACGTAAGTATCACTTACCAATATGTAATCTATTCTCGAGTTCTAGACAAGAAACAAACCGGGCAACCAGCCAGGCACACAATCATATCCTAGCTTAACACAGACTTGTCTCGGGGGCTTTTTTTCTCTTTCGTTCCTTTTCTATATGCATGTAGAACTAAAATGACTAACATTGTAAAGGGAAGGTGCAGAAAAGACCATGAATGGATGGGATGGGATGGGGTTTGGTTACAGGGCTATGCAGTCAGGGTTTCTTGGGATGTTATTTCTTGAGTCATAGCACGAAAACCCGATCTTCAACGGCTGGTTGGCTGAGTCCGTGTGTCTTTGTGTGGCTTGATTATTATTAGTCTGGATCTAGGTAGTATTAGGGAACCTGACGTTTTGGGAGATATGCTTGTGTAGGATTCATTATAAATATATGTCTGGGTGCTTTGTCCTCCATCCTGAAGTTTTATTCCTTCACATCACAGCAGAACACAATCGAAGAGATTCTTCAAGCAGTATATTTCTAATCAGACCTTCTTTCAACTTCTCTGCGGCTTTACTATATAGTGTCTTCTTCGCCTGACTACGACATATATTCGACCAGACCAATAACTTCCAGAATCAATCTCAAACCACCAAGCTCGATTAACATCTCTATCTACTGAAAGTTTCAGTCATCACAATGGGTCGAGGAGGTTACAACGTTCCTAGCAGCAGCAACCCGCCAACTCCACCACCATCCAGCTATCGGTTCACAATCCAAGACCAAGGCGGATACAATGGACCCGAATACCAGGGACAAGACGAACTTCTGGCCCAGAGACAAGACCAATAGTCAGATTTGACCATGCATCATGAAAAATATGATTCATGACAACGTAACGAGGAAACGTGTGTTTTTCAGTGCCTGACTATTTGATTTTGTTCTCTTCGAAATTACTTGCCAACGCAGAATCTGTTTCAGTACGGGTGGTCAGCATGTGGTTCGACCACAGGGAAAAAAGACGCACTTCTCAAAAACCACACCCAAAACATCCTCAACATCTGCTCCGCCTCGTCCTGTGATCTGAGCGAGACTTTCAGCTGCAAATCGCAAATTCTCCGCGGCTGTGACGATGTCCACATCAGATTCTGCGTTGACCATGTCTGTATCATTATTTTCGGCTTTTCTGCTTTCATATCCATTGTGATTTTCGTCCTTGTTTGAGGTATAGATGGCATCAAATGGCGTTTGTGCTTGGATTCGCATCTCGTGAGCATAACCGTCAGCGTCGGCATGAGCGTGGGATTGGATATTGGTGTAGAATTTGGTTTGGGAATTGGCATCAGCGCTGGTGTTATGGCTATAGACGGATTGAGTTGTATTATCAGAGATTGGTTTTCCTTGTTGTTGTTGTTGTTGTTGTTGTTGTTTCAAGTCACTCGTTTTTGTCTCATAGAGGAATCTCTCCAGATGTTCCAGACATTGTTTTAGATTAGATTGTTGTCGATGTGTGACTCCCAAAGAGTCTTCCCAGTATGAAATATCATGCATGTCGTTTTCATGTATACCTTCTGGTCTTGCGATTTCCTCAAACACTGATATAAGCCCCTGTAAAAACGATTGTATGTTACCAGGGTCAGTAGTAAGTGACCCCAGTTCGGTACCCCGTTCAGCCTCCCGGCAAGAAATTGAAAACACTCGATCATCCGTAAGCCCCTTGAATAGAGCTTGGACCTGTTTGGATAGACTGGCCACCGCTTCATCCCGCGTATTGACCGAGCCTGGCAACCTGTCGGTTTTATTAATGGCAACCACTATACTCTTCCCGTGCTCTTGACAAGCATGCACACCCTCAACGACCTCAGGGTCAACTGTAAGCTGTGATGGCGACCCACCTTCGCCCTCTTGAACGCTCAGTACCACCACGACGACATCAGATTCCAACGCACGCTGCTTTGCTCGACGAATACCCTCCAATTCAACAGCTCCGATTTTTTCTCTCTCATTCTTCGACGACCGTAGTCCTGCCATATCTCCGATCTTGCAGTACCATCCTCCAAGATCAATGCCCACATCTACAATGTCTCGCGTGGTCCCTTCCTCTGTACTGACGATAGCCGCCTCTTTACCAACGACTCGATTCAATAAAGAACTCTTCCCTGCATTCGGCGCACCCAACAATGCGATCTTGATTCCGTTCCGAAGTAACTCTCCCTTGGACGCATTCTGAATATGAAATCTAATTTGTTGTCGAAGAATAGCTACCTGCGCAGAAACCGAGCCTATCAGTTCCTGAGGCGACTCATCAAAATGCTGATCCTCCGAGAAGTCAATCAGCGCCTCCAACTCCCCTCTTGCATACAAGAGTTGTTGGCGCCAATCTTCGTAGCGTGCAGAAAGAGTGGTGTTTGCCCCACGGACAGCCAGACGTCTTTGCTGCTCGGTTTCTGCGTTGAGTGTCTCACCTAATGCCTCGATTTGTGGTAGATCCAGAACATCATTCATGAAAGCCCGTCGTGTAAATTCCCCTGGTTCTGCATATCGTATGAAAGACGAAGACTGGGAAATATTATCATGCTCAGATTTTATAACATCATTGCACTTCTCAATCGCATTCAGCACAGCTTTAACCGTCGCAGGCCCGCCGTGCACATGGAGCTCGAGGACATCTTCCCCAGTCACAGTTCGAGGACTGGGAAAGTAAAGCACCAAAGCACTAGGGTCAAGGAGTGTATTCGGTGACGGAGCTTGCGTCGGGTCGTATAACGCTCGTACCGTTGCCATGCGCTGTTTGGGATCTCGAGCTCGAGGACATAGTGCCCGATATATCTAATCAAGAGAAATCAATCAATGTCCTACTTTTCCCGCAATGTTTCATGCAGAAGACAGGACATACCTGCAGACAAGCTGGTCCAGAAATCCTAATAATTGCTATAGCAGCTCTACCAGGTGCCGTAGAAAGCGCGTATATCGTAGAATCGGTACCCAATGCGACTGACGGCGATGAGAGTGACAGGTCGTCAATTATAGTGGAGCCTCTTTGACTCCTTCCTTGACACAAGAAACGACATCTTCGGAACTCCTGTTGAGGTACTGGTTGAACGATACGATAGTAACGCGGAGAGAGCCCGAAGCCGTTATGGCTCGTAATTCTGAGTCCTCTGCTATTACGACCAAAGGGCAAAACCCATGGTTCCGAAGGGAACAGAAATCTTCGCATGCGCAAATATTTGTATTGAAGTGATAACTGATGAAAGCTGCAATCTGATTGAAACATATGTCAAAGAGAATAAGAATGTTGAGCTGCCTTTTTCTGGGCCCTTGATAAGAAGCTATATCTAATCTTATCTCCACGTGATGAATACAGATCTATCGATAAGCTTGTCTGAACACTTTGTCATAGCTGGGAAGCTTCTATTTCTTGTCTAAGTTTGATCTTTGTACTGAAGATTCGACTGGAGTATACCCAAGATTTCGATTGTAGTGCTAACAATAGTCGGCTAACGTAATATACACTCTCACTCTCGAAGATCATCACAACATCATCCTCAATTGAGCATTGACACTTCCACAATGAACACTGAACCGTCGATGAGACCGTCACGCCGAAAAATATATATGGATATCATATAAAGCATTAACTTGCTCAGGACGAAGCTAAAGTGGACCGGAAAGCAAACATGGCTATATAATGAGTTTCAGAGGCCGTTTCAAAAATTACCATCACAACTGAGTGACAGCAGTCATTCGCGGGCATAATCACTTCCTCTTAAGTTTCTCCTCGACCAAAGCACGAAGCTCTTGAGGAGTAGGCATCGATGTTATGGCACCATTCTTGCGCATCTCTTCAATTTCTGCTGAAATCTCTTTAATCGCATCTTCGACTTCCTGCTCTAGATCGCTCGGAAGACCCAATACAGGAGCCTCGACGCTCACCTTTCGTGCAATTCCTGGCCGACTGCGTTTCTTCTGCTGTGCGATAAGATAGCCTTTGGCAGGGCTAGAAAAGAACACCATTGCCGAAGCAACGCCCACAATGCCGTAGAAATATACATGGCCCCAGACTGCGATTGTGCCACTGAAGGATAGAAGGACGAAAGGGGCGACAGTAAATGACATGATCAGCTGGGTAATAACCCAGGATGCAACGTCATAATAAGGCTTGGCTGCAGTGGGTTTAGACCCATCTGGACTCAAGAAGAACGGACGAACATAACGTCGGAAATCTGCAAAGCGTTAAGAAACGATTGAAAAGCAGAAAGGGTAATCCACGTACTCTTTGCTACAGTCTGGACAAATGAAGCCAAGACAAACGCCAGATAATAACCAGGGTAGAAGCCGTGCCAAAACGCGCTGGTGCTAAAGGTTGCCAAACTGGCTCTGAATCCCGGTTTTTTACCTTTGGGCGTGACTCGCAAATATACGTAATTTCGCAGCCAGTGATTTGTGTTCTTGTTCCAGTTCTCAAGATACCCTCTGGTGTTTTGCGCCGTCTCCAAGCCCCAGGGGTTGACATTCTCGAGGCGGTCCCAGAAGACTTTGCCTGTTTTTGGATCAAATCCATTATATCCAAGGCCTGACAAAATGCAAGCACCTTCAGTTAAGGCCCAGCAGCCATAATATTTCAAACGTGTCACAAGCCCAAGCATATACAGCTGCCAGATGCGACGTGGAAGCGAGTAGGCCTTGAACTCGTCGCCGAGATACAAGGAGAACGGATAATAGGGGGCCAGCTGCACAAAAGCTAGGATCCATAATATACCCATGACCATCTTCTTGAACGCTGGGCGACCACTGCGAGGAATTTTTCGCTTCTTTCGAGTCGGTGGTACTTTCGAGGGATCAGTATCGGGAGGGACCTCGAAGAGAGTTGTATCGATCCACCGGCGATAGTCGACATAGTCGAAGGCAGGGCCTGCGAATAACGAAGGGAAAAATAGAACATAACCAGCATAGTCGAGTATACTTGGGAACTCCCTGATTGCTGCATATTTCTGAGCGTCTGTGAGGTCTTTATCCGGGAGACGGCCATCATGTACGTTCCAGCAAAATGCCGACAGTTTCATAACAAGCACCATTTGGGGTCCAGTGATATCAACAACCGAGGCATCGTTCGCAATTTGTCGGTAAATGTGGCTAATGGACATGTGGCCCATCAGGAAGATGAATCCGATCCAAGGCATCAGAGAGCCATCGATATAATAAGCAATCAAATAGGTCGCCACGGAGCTATACAGCAACGTGAGAAGGCCATCCCAGAGTTCGTACAAGCCGAGGATGTAGAACAGCGACACGACTATAATGAAGAGATCCTTTTTCCATGGGTCTTTATCCGGAATTCGCTTGAGAATGGCAGCCAACGGGTAGGAGAGAAGGAAGGATCCGATGAGTTTGACTGTATATCGATAGATCAGTATAACGATCGCAAGTTCTGCAAAGGCTATAAAAGTACCTTCATCAAGAGATGCTCCGAGCACGTTTGCCGCAGAAGCGAAAGCTATATACAGATGTTGTTAGCGATGTCAGTCAGTCGGGAAGCAATTTAAAAAAGTTCTTACGAGCGTCAATAAAAGCGCGCAGTGCAGCCATGGCGGGCTTTGGCCGATGGTCTGTCTATTGAATAGCTCTATAACCAGTCATCCAAGAAGATGGGAAATAGGTGAAAGAATGAATAGGAAATAGTGTAGTTATAGAAAAAGTTGGAAAAGAAAAAGCGGGAGCGATGCCGTCATGTGCTGGGGTAGTTAAGGGAAGGAGCTACTTTTTGTTGAGTGACCGCCTCGACTGACCCGCCAGTAGTATACACGCCGATACAGCATCTAGTACGTACGATGTCTAACTAACCAACTTAACTTACTGCCTGCTGGTTTACATAAATCAACAAATCTACTTCGGCCACAGTTTCACGTGCAAATTCATTCCTCTAGCATATCGACCTATCAGAACCGTCCGTTCTCCCCTCGGTGGGCAAGCTTATGACGGCACAAAGCACTGCCTAGCGCCGACAAAAGCGCCGACAAAAGCGCCTAATTGAACGGAGCTCCTCCGCTTCAAACTATCTGCTCGCCTACCATCAAGCGAATATCGCCGTGATATATTTATTTATTTGAACCGGCGCACCGGCATACAAGACAATGGACGTCGTCGCAGCCGTGTCCGGGTACCTTACCCGGATGGTGTCTGTCGGCGACTCGTCTACAGCAGGCTCCTCATCGTCCAAGATGAAGATTCTACTTCTTGATAGTGAGACAGTGGGCAACACGGGTTTTATCGACTTTCTGAATTCGTACTTACTATGATGGCAGGTACCAATCGTTTCGACAGCGATTACTCAATCGGCTCTCCTGAATCATGAAGTCTACCTCGTCGATCGATTAGACAACCAGGCACGAGAGAAAATGCGGCATCTACGATGTATTTGCTTTGTACGCCCGTCGCCGACTTCAATACAACTCCTTATTGACGAATTACGAGCCCCGAAATACGGAGAATACCACCTCTTCTTTACAAATATCATTCGCAAATCATCATTAGAAAGACTTGCCGAGGCTGACGATCATGAAGTTGTGCGCGTGGTTCAGGAACAGTTTGCAGACTTTATCGTGATCAATCCTGATCTGTGCTCGCTCAATCTTGAATTTCCGCTGCATAGAATATGGAGTAATAGCCCCGATGTTTGGAACAGCGATGCGCTACAAAGGGCGACAGAGGGTGTGATTGCGATGTTGCTGGCATTAAAGAAGAATCCATTGATTCGATACGAGAAAAACAGTCTGATGGCTAAGAAGCTGGCAACAGAAGTTCGGTATCAATTGACCCAGGAAGAGCAACTTTTTAACTTTCGCAAAACCGACACTCCCCCTATTCTTCTTATACTCGACCGGCGAGACGATCCCATAACACCACTTCTCACGCAATGGACTTACCAGGCTATGGTACATGAATTGATTGGCATTCACAACGGACGAGTAGATCTACGGGACGTCCCTGATGTCCGACCGGAATTGCAGGAAATAGTACTGTCCCAGGATCAAGACCCATTTTATAAGAAAAACATGTACCAGAATTTCGGAGATCTTGGAGGGAATATCAAGGAGTACGTTGAGCAGTACCAGGCCAAGACACAAAGCAATATGAGCATCGAATCGATTGCAGACATGAAGCGATTTGTGGAGGATTATCCAGAGTTCCGGAAATTATCTGGAAACGTCAGCAAACATGTGACGCTGGTTAGCGAGCTCAGTCGCCGTGTCGGTGAGGATAATTTACTGGATATCAGTGAATTGGAGCAGAGTTTGGCATGTAACGACAACCATGCCAGCGATCTACGTGTGAGTTCCTTGAATGAGCTTCTCTCGATATCTTACTGACGTGTCCCAGTCATTGCAAAGAATAATCCAACAACCTTCTGTAAAAGCCGAGAACAAAATTCGACTGGTCGCGCTGTATGCTATACGCTACGAAAAGCAACCAAATAACTCACTTCCGGTCTTACTGGATTTACTCACAGCTGCTGGTAATGTTCCGCAGCATCAAGTGAACATCATTTCCAGGCTCCTTGCATATCATCACTCCCTACAAGCTCCCCCAGTTGCTGGCGGGTTCTCCGATCTCTTCGAGTCTGCGTCATTTTTCTCAGGTGCGCGTGACCGGTTCAGGGGGTTGAAAGGTGTCGAGAACGTCTACACTCAACACTCGCCTCGACTAGAGGCCACACTACAGAACCTCATCAAGGGCAAGCTAAGAGAACTACAATATCCCTTCTTAGAAGGCGGTGGTCATACAAGAGACAAACCGCAAGACATTATTGTCTTTATGATAGGTGGAGCAACTTATGAAGAAGCCAAGTTGATTGCCCAGATCAATGCCAGCTCTCCAGGAATCAGGGTGGTGCTGGGAGCGACCACGATTCATAATAGCACAACATTCTTTGAGGAGGTCAACGATGCGGTCAGCAATTGGCCGGAGCCTACTCCTGGATCAGCGGCAGGACGACTGCGCAGGGAACTTGGACGTTGATTATTCTACTGTCTGGATAGTAAGCAGGCGTTGGCGTTATCGGTCAGTTCTCATATGGTAGCTTGACGTAGATACATTACCTATACAATTTTTATGGCTGTATATCCGCACGAGTCTTTCTCAGTCATTACTTCCGATTATATTCGTCTGAACAATCTCTTCTTGCTTGAATATTAGGTATACTTGGTAGTGGTAGAACAGGGCTGGACAAACCCAGGCACATGTACTAGCCTCGTACATATACAACCTCACTACTAGCCCAAAAGGCTTTAAATGTCATACTACATCTGAAGTACGCCGAAGAAACCAATTCCGACTACAATTAGTGCTACGAGAGATATGGTATGTAGGATGCATGAATACCGACATGCGTAGTTAGTAGGTCATCCATGTCATTTTATACATGAGACTAATGCATGCATGTTTCCAAGCAACACCAACATGTCTGTGCATGGTTACGCATTGATTAATAGCATAAACTTGGTCTCATCAGTATCCATGTTCATATCAACTATCGTTGGCTATACTATAACTAGCTCAAGTCAGCAACCTATAAATAACGCATATACATAAAGCTCTAACTACGTACTAAGGAAATGGACAGCTATGTTTCATGTCCATCAAGAACTTAAGCAGGCCCTAAGTTTAGTGAAGAATATATACCTTAAGTTAGTGATGTTACATTGAGAAATGGAAACTTAAACTAGGGCTTTAGGGCTATCCTTCTGGAAGCCTTATGCGCCGGCATCACTAAGGTTAGCTGCATATCATTGTTACATAGGGTATCGTTAGTGTCTGATTTTAACTATGTATGCCCTAATATGCTAACATCTCTTAAATGATTAATTTAGATCAGGGATTTTGGGGTGTGTATGACTGATGTTCTATGGAGTATGCTTCAAAGTAAGAAGTATTCTAGTGCACCCGGGTAATCATATTTGTCGAGCTGGCACAGTGACCTGTTGATAAGCCGCCTAGGTACTCAGAAAATTTTCTAAGTGTGCATCTCGTAACTACCAACGATGTATAAATACATTACCCCCTACAAGAGCCAACAACCTAAAGTCCTATGGAATCACTTGGAATTAAGGTCTAGTAGTCTATCGATTTCCGAGATTTATAGTGGACCTATGATTAGGTTTGGTCAGAAGATTTTGATAATTGCCTAGTTGGGTAGTAATCGAAATTGGTGGGTTGGTAACTTTTCGACATGACTATCAGGTAATTCAACAGATGTTAGAGAAATTAGCCAAATTGTAGAGATATATACATAGTCGCGCGTTCATTATCTGTAGAACATGGTTATCAGCGCATTCTGATAGAACTGATTGGCTCATCGATAGGAGATAGATGCTCAGATAGACGGAGGTAGTAGTAGATAAGAGCTACCTTAGGTTAAAAGTGATATCAGGACATATACCTAGGTAGTCCTGTGAATACTTCGACGCTTACATGAGGTCGGGTCTCAGATTCCAGTCCGCTCTCGTTTGACGCTTGCTGCTAAATACTTGACTACAACTTATATAGCCTTCATACTAAAGGCAAGATATGATAGACCCAATCGATCCCTCAACAACTCGCTTAAAACATCTCTAGCTAGCAAGCTGTTCTAAAGTACGTACTTGAAGATAGATCTCGTACAGACAAACAGAGAGAGCTTTTGGACCCCAACCTTCATCATCCCAGTTCCGGCATGACAATCAAAAGCTGAGTCGGCATACGTAAATTGATGATCAATCGATTTGAAACCAGTCTAGAATTAGAATGAATGAAAGCAAGGACGTATGTGAGAGCCCGATAGCCGTCGAAGATCACTTTCCAGCAGCTGATCAGAGAGTCAGTACGTCAACGCACTGAGTAATATTTGCTAATTATCCCAGGACATCCATAACGGCCGACAAATTATTACTATGATTAGCGCATTCTTCAAATTGTTCATCATATCATGCATCAAGACTTATTCAGCACACTGCATATCTAGTGTCTTTGCTCTGAGGGTCTGATCACCTCAACAATCCTTCCGTGTCTCAAGTTGAATCATCTCTGTTTATTGCTACAACCTCTCGACTCTTACAATACTGTAGTGAAGGCATAGGCCATAGTCGTTATCCATAAAATATTTGAATATCAAGCAATATGCACTCCATACTGATCAACAAACCAAACCTTCCAACCCGTACGCGATCAAAAAAAGTCAGAAAAGTGGTGTTGATAGTGGGTCGAACCTACCTATACATGAGTTGACTAACTATAAAACAAGCCCCTTATTAACCTATTCCAACTCAAGTAGGTAGTACGTAACTCAATCACAATTAGACTCCCTAAAATCTTCAGCGTGATCCCGATCGAAAGTTATCATGCTGGCCAGATATAACTGTACTTGTACATAAGTAGCCCGTTGACAGTTGACTCGGTGGTAAGCCACGCGAATCAGCTCTCGCTGTTTTTTTTTTTTCTTTCTTTTTCTTTTTCTGCTTTTCCCCTCTCGTGTTTCCAAGGACTCCGTGGCATACATTCCGGCATATTCTTAGACTAGTAAGACGTGAAAATGGTCAAAGCGAGGGGGGTTTCCCATGTCAAATTTCGAAAAGAAACCATGCTAGAACTAATATTATTTTAATTGGCGCGCTTAGATGGTGATGGTCTCCAACTCCAGTCTCCTTCATACTACGCATGCACTTAACTACTTATAGTTAGAGACTCAACAATCAAAAACTGCAAGAAATAATCAGATGGCCCAGATCATGATTGACCGCTCTTGAGATCCGCTTCTCGTTCCCCTCACAGTGCTCTATTCAAATCCCGGAGATGCGTTGATGGCGTCCTATCACTGGCAAGTGGAAGCGAGTACGTACTAGACAAGATCACGACGTCCATCGTCTAGACAGTACAGCCAGTGTAGCGGGGTAACCAACAACGAATGTACGTACAGTATTTTTAGACTTACCCAACAACTAAGTCGACTATCAAAGTAAACCGTTGAGACCAAGATAGACTTTTGGGTGGATTTCTGGAGTAAGCCCTTCTCCTACGGAGAAAGCATTCCGAGGAGTATGATGTTGGTCTTTTATGATTGGCTGGGAAACAGAGGCTTGTACTATATACTATATATACCGGTATTACCAATCGCTTAGATACTTCCTCGTGTGTGAGTCTGCTGTATGTATTGGTATTACATACAGCCCTCAATCGGGAAGCTCGACGCTGCAAACAGTCCGTGTCAGACGTCACGACAGTTCTACATTAGAATCTGTCAGGCAAGACTATTGTCCGACCATGCCATTCATCTAAACACCACCTGGTATCAATGTTACACAAGATCAGACGTAGTACAAGATATGCTTGACTTTAATATCATCGCAATTGAGTTTTCTCCCATGATATGCTGTGCGAGTCCGGCGCCGAATTGTCGGGTCGCGCTGTTTCTGCGGGCCGTCTGGCTTGGTTTTGCTTTTTCTTGTTGGTATCCCTGTCACTTACTAAGAAATTAATAAGATACGTATTTGTATGCTAGGAATGGCCCGGGAGGATACGGGAGTATTGACGTATTGAATGATTACTCTCGTATAGATCGATATCTCCACCGTATGTACTCCGCAATATCTGCATACAATTCACTACTTGGTTGGTCAAAAATCACAGCAATAATAACGATTGTAACATTTAAAGGCACTGACAAATGGCAAATGCATTGTTCGTCGGGATACTTGCCTTACAGTAATAAGGCTAGGCATGAAGCGGTTACCGTAGTGTCTTAGGGCTATGTAGGAGCTTGAAACTGCCTATCTAGGTATTTCGTCAGGCACATTGCCGAGCCATGGATGTTTGGGCTGCAAGTGACCGTAACCACTATCACTGACAACATAATTGAGGGCACTGGGGTGATCGAGTAGCAAGATCATCTGATTTAATTGTAGGATTGTCAAGTACTTCGTATAAAGTAGTCAACAGTGGGTGGAAACGACAAACTCAAAATGCTGAGCATACCTAGTCTCTGCATCTTGACATTTAATCAATTTAGACTCTTGACTACGGTAATCCTTGCAAAGTAAATCCCAACGTCGTCTGTTGATTATGTATACGAGTTGCCTAGACGGGATATGATTCTTCGAATATTAATGCAGATAATATTGACAGCTGACATCGTCATCTGTGACGCTTCCTCACGGAAGACGGCGGGTGAAATATATCATAGCAATATCATTTCGAGATTGAGTACCTGGGTACAGGTTTGAGATGTCCACGGGCTGAAGTAGAGTTTGTCTGTGCCTGGATTGTGATCGATTAGTGAGGTCCCATGGTCATGGTATCGATGTCACCAATTTGATATTTGCATGTGACCATGGTCCGTAGCTAAACATAAGAGTTAGACAATATGAGTAGCCGGATGCTTCCGTATACCTGTCTATCGCATAGTTCTGGGATGTTTCGTGGGAAGTCCGCGCAAGGGACAGAATTCGATATACCTCGACCGAGCCAATCAGGATCCGTAAATTAATAACCAATCTTGGTATTAATTACACACTAATTGTTCCCCAGATACAAGTCCATCCTCCGTACCACACAAATCAACATCTCCAACAACTACGGAAATGTACAGTCGCATGGCAAATCCATTGAATCGCAATGCAACCAAGATCTCTCGATCTCATCTCATCTCATCTCATCTCAGATATCGATGAGCCTTGTATTCCGTATTCCATATAACTCGTCCGGAATAGTACTAGCGCACCTTGCTGTTAACGGATCCATGTCTAGATACATTTGAAATCCTTGCGAACCCCACACAGCCCTGTCCATACCGCTGGATTCATGCACGTAAATAGTAGAGCTCCATCGGAATACGAATTGAAGACGAATAACTTGAAAAGAGGAGAGACACGGAGATCTGTTCTCCGTCTATACTGTCGTCTGGCAACCAGCGTACGCTCGGTCATCAGAGGAAACCAATTCGCCAAGGGCTTTGAGCAACAAATGCCGAGAAGAAAAAAACCCCCCAAGCCACTCCTTTTCAACTTGTCAAGCTACCATGTTGTTCAGCTCTTTGAGTTTTCAGGCAAGCAAGTAAGCAAGCAAGCAAGCAAGCAAGCTCTCTCCGGAATCTCCACATGGTACATGGTTAACGGAGTAATTAGTTACAAACCTACACCGAAACTTTCTCTAGCAACTTCAGCCCTGAACCCAATGAAACCTCTGTCAATGTTAAGCTACTAAAAAACTTAACTTTGTACTCCGTACGTTAAGTCAGTAAAGTTACAAGGGAAAACAAAGTTAAGTTAAGGGTACAAGATCGGACCTTTTTGGGCCATTTTACTTTCTTGTCCCCCCCCCCTTTTTTTTTTGCCCTAATGCGGTTAACGGGCATTTTGAAGCTAAGAGGTTTTGATTAGTCGGTGTCGAAATATTGTATCGGCCAACTGCCAATCAGTTAAAATAAGACAAATCTTACGAAATTGATAGGCCTGCTGACGCCGTGTTTTCGCTGACCGGTCTCCTGTCTGTGATCTTGGCATGTTTCTACTGCTTACCTCCCTCTTGGCTCTCACTCTCGGTCAATAGCCAAACATGCTCACATAATAATACGTACTGCAGCTACGATAGATCTTATTCCACTTTGGTTCTCCCATACTCCATACAGACGTGCTAATACGCGACGTGTGGGTCAACCTTAACTCTCTACGTATCGGACGACAGGCTGGTCTCCGTGGCCTGTAAATTACATTCAGCATGTTTAATATTTAATTGAGACAGTATTGCAAATACCGTCAGATGTGAAACTTTGGGTTCCAAAATTGTGAATAGAGGATCCGCCCACGCCAGTCTTCCCGACGGCCTTTTCCTCGGGACTGGACTAGGCTGTTTTCATGTCACGCGTGACTTTGAGTTCGATGATACTTTTCATTTGTTTAAGTACATGTAACCTATATTGATTCCTACCTACCAGTATTTATTTATATATTTATTTATATATCTATTTATATATCTATTTATATATTGACAATGACAACTCTGTCAACGGTCCCATACAGAAGTGCTGTACATACAGAATACGGTGAGTCGGTGACGGTCTCTTAGAACTGCCCGGCCAGCTCCTCATTGGCCATGTCTCCATGGTCGGCTAGCTCCGTCCAATCATACCGCAGTGCAGCTACCGCAGTCCCCACTTTCTCCCGATCTTGTACTCCGTACTCCGTATGTAGTATAGTACTATGTATCCAAGGAAGAGAAGAAAAGGGTGGCTCGGAGACTTGTGCTAGGCCCGATTCATCCTAGTGCATGCTTTCTGCCTCTAATTCGCCCCATACTGAGCTATGGGGGTACTTGTCGCGACTTGTTACCTCACAAGCTAGCAGTGGCTGGTGGCTTCTTGCGCTATGACTATCGACTAGTGCAAATGCATCTGCAGCTGCATTTGGGCAGCCACTTTCAACTCCAGTCAATACGTTGGAAAACTTGAACTCGAATGCCGAATGTGTTGTGACCCGTGCTAAGCCACTTGGAGAGTAGTCTGTTGGTTAGTCAACTTAGCTGCTAGAGGGGGCCGCCGGCATAGTCGTATTTAGCGGGACTAGTTAATCTCAATTTCCACTTGCAATGCTTGCAGTGCTTGCAGCCAGTGACTTATCGCAATTCGCAACTCGCGACGGTGTCGAGGTCAACTTTCTATTAAGCGCAGACGGACACCGCGATTAAATTGTCCCTGGATTCTCTCATCAGTGCAACTCCGTTCAGCCCAGCCTATTATCAAAAGATCGTGGTTTGGCTGGGCAAAAGAGGAGAATAACAACCATGCGCTTGGGCAGCGGGTCTCGCCTCTGTGGCCACTGGGGAGCCACGACAGAGGAGAAGGAATAACCGGCGGCGGCTCGCCTTCTCCCTCCACCATCGATGATCTCTCTCTCGTTCCAATTTCCTCCTCTTGTCTCTCGGTAACATGGATGCCCGATTTCTCTGGCTGTTCGTACGTATGGAGTTGGCAGCACGGTGAAGACCGATAGATGGTGGCGCGTCAATCGTCAATTTGTCGAGCGTAGTCGTCTAACCTATAAGACCTATAAGACCTATAAGACCTATGAGTTTAGTGGCGAAAATATCAGCGTGACGAGTTAGATAGAGACGAGATAAGCTTGCGCACATTGCCAGAGACAGGCAAAAGTGGAACCATCAGCCAAATGCGATCGAGTCCATACAGCTCCGTCGGATGCGACCCGTCCTATTCTTTTTCCCATTCCATTTCTGCGAATAATGATTAATCAACCATGATCGAATCATCATCCGTCGTCATGGCCAACTAGTTGCAGACTAGATCGTGGTAAGGTTTGCTTGTCATGGGGGATTAGCTTGTTCCAAAAACACACACACGGTAGATGGATGGGGCAGGACCAGAGTCCAGCCAAGGGCCAAGACATTTTCTTTCAGCAGTGAAGAAACCCCCAACCCGAGTCCCAGTGGCGCATCGTCTAGTGGCTATCCGTGGGCCACTCGTCGAGTCTCAGACTAGACGGATATGGCTATGGACGATGAGCCGGAAATCTCCGTAGGATATGGTAACGAGAGCCTGTCGTCTTGTTGGTACGATCATGAATAACGACGTGCGATTCTGTAGTTGCCTTGTAGACTGAGGCAAGCATTGTAGGATAATACTTGTCGAGTAGATCAAAGTAGAAAGATAGATGGATAGAACGTACGTGAGAGAGAATAATAGTAGTCGCTCCTTCCTTTCGTACTGCCATATCCACAATCATCCACTCGCTCTTTCCCTTCCCAAGGTTCCTTCCCCCCCAATCCGGCCCGTGCTTGTCTTGTCGATCCAAACAAGCAACTTGGGCAAGTGCCTGCCTGCTTACCTGCCTGCCTGCCTGCCTGCCTGCCTTCCTGCCTGCGCCTGCCTCTTCGACTAGACCCGATCAATCTAAGGGCAGCTACCATCATCTTACCTTAAATCCTTAAGTAAGCACCATCTGGCACTATCCCGGTACCTACCCTTGTAACTATTTGTCTCCTCTACACCACACCTCACTTCAGACTCATCCCATTTACCTCTCCCCGGTCCGTCCATCCATGGATTCGGATCTCCTCCCAGGGTACAAGAGCGCGACTTCTTCCATCTTGTTTCTTCACTGACCCGGCTAAACCTCGGCGCTGTCCGCTGTTTCCCATCGCTTCCTGCGCTTCCTCTGCTTCCCTCCTCCCTCCTCCCCCCCCCCCGAGATACTTTTCCCCGTGATCGCGCTGCTCTTTGGTCTGTCTTTTTCGATTATTGTCCTCCAGTATTACGCTTCCTCGAAAAGCTACCTACATTCTGACTTATTCCTAACTCTTATTATCCTTCCCAACTTGGAAATATTGACATATATCACTTCGAGCACGACGGGCACTGCTGCACCATTCTTCAAAAGCGTGGGAACTGGGTGAGACGATCACTGCTACCTATCGTTTTGTCGAAATACACAAATCAACAAAGTTACTAGTCATATGTCTTGAGTTGGAGGTACCTCATCGAAATCAAGGTTCTGCGGTCAAAGTCTGTGGCTGAGAGACCCTACACATCTATCTACTGTTTAGGTGGCTTTTGTCTGTTTATTCTGCTTTCTGTTCTTTCTTTCTCTTTTCCCAGCTCCGGGTCACAAAGGCCGGGTCACAAAGGCCTCCAAAATGGCCGGCGGCACAGCGGTGCTGGAGCCGACCTACCACGGGTATGTGGCTACAACACAAGATGCGCTGATCCTATTTGAAGCTTGCTTGACTGGTGTGCTGCCTCACGTGCCGCGACGACCGCACGATCGAGAACGCAATCATCTCGTCCGCAGTGGGAGTGTGTTTATCTATGAAGAGAACACATCGGGGATCAAACGATGGACAGACGGCGTAACCTGGAGCCCCAGTCGGATCCTCGGAAATTTCCTGGTTTATCGTGAACTCGACAAGCCGTTTCCTCCAGGCGAGAAGAAGCGTGCCATGAAGAAAGGAAACAGGCGGCCAGTGCAGGCTTCTCGTCCTGGAGAGCCTTACCCGCGGTCAGACAGCAATGGCCAGTCTTATTCGCCAACGACACCAGGGTCAAATTTTGGAGATCGGCCTCAACAGTCCGATGTCGAGCGAGCGTTGGTTGGCTCTTTGGTGGACTCGTATGGCTTCAAGAATTCGGGACTTGTCAAGAAAACTATGAGTGTTACAGTGGGAGGAATCACCCACCATTTGGTATCTTACTATAGCGTGGAAGATGTGATGAAGGGCATTTTAAGTCCCCCGTCTATGCACGAGGAATTGCGTTATATCAGACCCCGGGCAGAGTTGATTTCGAAGCAGAGCTTCCGGGCTCCAATCGATGATGTTGAAACAGGACTGGAAAATACGAGCGATCCCTCACAGGCCATTTATGGATACCGCACCGCCATGATACCTACCCCAACCTATGGGATACAGAATACGCACTCGTACGATTATATGCACAGTTCGCCGTATGGCTCACACCCGAGTCAGCCGGCCCCAATCTCGTCATATGCTAGTGGACCCCTTCCTCCTCAGTCCGCATCGAATCCGTATCTACCGACTCCTTCCGGCGTGTCGCAGCTATCTGTCAAACAGGAACCCGATCAAAACTCCTATCGTTCAGGATCATACGGTACGGCGTTCGATACAATGGCTCAGAATCATCTGCCCACGACTTTACCTCCTACCCTGAACGCAACCGGCATGTCCAATTCCTTGGACCGACACCGCCATCAGCAATCCAGCAGCCCGAGTATCTATCGAAACACTTCAATGTCTGCTCGTGGAATCAGCACCGATGTGACATCTCCAACCGAACCGCATGCGTCGGCTACCCCATATTCTCGAAATAGCTTCGGTATGCCACCGCAGATGGACGCCTCCAATCACCAATCATTCGAGCAGCGTAACGTTGCAGCAGCGTCATTTGATCCCACGGTTCCACGCCGCGAGCCCAATGCCATGCCGTCGTTCTATACCGGTGCTGCCGATCGACAAAGCTACTATCCTGGGGTAGCTCACTCGAATTATCCGACAGCACAGCCAATTTCTACCTGGACCACGACCGCACCAGCTCAACCACAAATGTGATATGATACAACCTCTCTCTCTCTCTCTTCGTCTTGTTGTAACGGCCTATTGAAAATCAATGATGGATGAGCTTGGCAGGATCAAACAGGATATATACCCTTCTATTCTTTTCTCTTTTTCGCGCGCTTTTGTCGTTGATTTCAGCATGTTTTGTTTTTTTTTTTTTTTTTTTTTTTTTTTTGGTCCATGCCAGCCATTATTCTATGTGGGTGTTTGGTGTGTGGTGTGAGTGTGATTTCTTTGTATGGAACGGGTGGTCAGCTCTTCAACAAGCATCAGGGGAGGTTTATTCGAGGTGTTGGCTCCATTTCCAGCAGCAATGTTTCTTTTTTTTCCTTCTTCCTTTGACGTGTTTATGAACCATTAATTTGGTTGAAATGAAAGGGTTAGGCTGGGCGGCTTTCTGAAATCTGAATCTCTGCTGTTTATTTGCAACTTTTTTTCCAAGTTATTTATTCTTCTTTTCTTATTATTTAATATCTGTGTGTGTGGGTGTTTGAAAATCATTGAGCGGGACTTTCTGTTTCTTTCTTCGTTATTCTTACCCAAGACCGACTACCGAGAGATGGCTGAAATACTCCAGATATTTGGAGACGAGGGCTGCGCTGTCTATCCCTATTGTATCATTCTTCGATTCTTAGCCGTCATCAATACTGAATCACCATTGTCTTGGTAGAGATATTCATACCTATCTCCGTTTTGAGTCGGATTTAGTACTTCAAGGCAATTGTAATGGAACAAGTAACAATAAAGATTTGGGGAACCAGCTGAGGATTTTCATCTGCAAGTCTTGATCATTCTTATATTCGAGGATCTAATAACTAGTCTGATATCTTGCCCATAGACTCTCCTCTCCATTTTCTCCCTCTTTTCTCCTGATAAAGAGTCATCGGGATAAGCTATAACTTATCAGACTGGGAAGCCTCTATAATGATTGGCTGGGCCGGTGAGGAGAAAATCCGATCTTAGCTTCCTCACATCTCAGTTCTATATAGATACCCTCCCTTTCTTCCAATAATGCACTGATTGTTTTCCTCCTTTGTAGCGCACTTCAGAGACCCACAATCTGCCAATTTCGAGGTTTACTTTTCATTGAGTCGAAAGGTACTACTATGGTAGACATTGTGAACACGGCATCGTACGTGTGTGGAGCTTCCCGAATGATGACACCTTAGAACCTGGGTTGTATAGCAGACGAGACTATGTGCTGACGCATTTGTCTGTGCGAACCCCCGAGGAACTACGTGGAAGTCATCATTCCCTTCCTGGCTTCGCCGTTCAACTCGCAGAAGAATTGGTGGATTTCGAATTTCTCCAGCCAATACGAGTCAGTCGCTACCTTTCACGGGACCTAGCAAAGAAGCAGCATCAAATGACGCTGGTCTGTCTATCCTTTCTTCTGCTTATCATTTTGTCACCTCTAATAAATAGTGGACTCAGATATTCTTGACCCAGACAAACTGTTTAGATATACTTCCGGTCGGTGGCTGATTAATGAAAAATACCAACTAGAGCAATGCTTTGTGAAGTTTGATGTGGACAAGCTTTGTCCCCAGGCTGCATCTATATTCAGTCCCAGAGCGAAATGTGTGCACATCGGTAAGCTAGAAGGGAATTTTAACAAGGCTTTCATCCTCACTATGGAATATAGCAACGAAGTTGTAGCAAAAATTCCTTGCCCAAATGCTGGGGTACCCTCTCTGACGACAGCATCAGACGTGGCCACCTTGGAGTTTTGTATGCTCTGTGACTCGAATCTTTCCCGTCTTAGTCATGCTCATATATTCGTTTTCTAGTAAGAACACATACATCAACTCAGAGTACGAGAAGTGTATGCCTGGAGCCCGGATTCAGCTAACCCAATAGGTGCGGAATACATTATCATGCAAAAGGATCCGAGGAGTCACACTCGCCGACAGCTGGGATACAATGAGTACTTTGGAGCGCTACAAAGTGACTGACCGCGTTGTGGAAATGGAGAAGGAGCTTTACACTGTTCAGTTCCCCGCGTACGGAAGCCTCTACCGAGATTCGGTGCCGCATGACTGTCATTATCACCCACTCCCGCCTAATTTAGACCCTACTGGGCTGTTCTATATTGGACCGTCCTGTAGTCGAACAGTGTGGCATCGGAACTCGAAAGATATATCTGAGCCGGATGTTGGCCCGTGTTTAATATTCGCTTCATTTGGTTATTTCCAGCTCCTGACACATATGAAGCGACCACTTTCTGGGAGCTTGTTCTATCCAGCCCAAGACGTGAGTTAGCCCATCATTGCAAATAACAAATACGTCGTTCAGCAACAGCCCAATCATTTTAGTCAGAGTCAGTCGGCTGAGGAGTATAAATACCTCTTGGAGAAGGTGATACAGGTCTTGCTAATTCTATCGCAAGACTCACATGTGCTAGAAGGCACAAGCCCAGTCATAGGGCATACTAATTTACATCTTGGAAATATCTACGTTTCTCGCGAGGATCCAACTCTCATTGAGGGGATCATTGATTGGCAGTCAACTCAAGTAGCTCCTCTACTGATACAGGCGCGGTTTCCAGGCTTCCTCAGGCCGCCAAAAACCTACGAGTCGGGTACTGAAGTCCCTAGCTTATCAACCAGCTTTGATGAGCTGGGCCCCAGCGAGAAAGCAAAGATTACCAGTGAAAATGAGTTAGCGTCACGATCCAAGTACTACGAGATGTCTTGCCTTGCATACAACAAACGCGTCTACAATGCAATGGAGCTTGACAGAAGGCTATGGGGGCCTTTCACCTGTTGCCAACTTTTTTTCAAGTGGCAGCTTGGTTCTACTACGAAACTCTCCGGTTCGCATTTTCAAGACTGGAATGTCTTTGATCTCCCAGAAAATTGCACGCAAGAAGAGTTACAAGGATATGATGAGCAGGTGGTACAGTACCAAGACAGGCTATATCTGTGGGATATTGCAAAGACCCAGCTTTGTACTGCTGACAGTGGCTGGGTGCCGATGTTTATTATATCTCCCTCTTTGCCTGCTCAATCAACACTTGTGTCACGCGCTTGCCTTCTTCTGGCCGCTCTCTTTCTGGGGCATTCTTGTTCACCTGAGCTGTTGCGAGCTTCCCGTGAGGGTTCTTCCGCAACCAGTCCTTTAGTCGTTCGCTTTTTCCTGACTGTTTACTTGACGATACACATTATAATAGCCTGGCTTATCCTTGACTTCCTCTCCCATATCAATTTGGCATTGATACTCCGCATTGAGGGCTCCAGGACACTCGGCTATTCTTAAGCACTCGACCTGACAGTCTAGCCAGGATATCGAGCGCCAAGTTACAGAAACGATTGGTTTGGTCTTCCGTAGATTGGCACCTAGTCAATGCGTCAAATTGAAGGAGACTTACGCGATGAACGAATAAGAGGCAAAGTCTAAGCGCTGAATCTCTGAATAACTTGATAGCGCCAAACGCAATAGGAGCACACTAAAGGATCATCTCCATCACCACCCCACCAAGAGCGAGAATATCCGTGTTCGTTTTTGAGGATATGGAAGCGCAGCTCTATTTTACGATACAAAAGTCGGCGCCTGTAAATGATCGAACATGTCCTGTGATTAGGCTAATTGAGATCTGTAAGATAAATACGTACGGTGCGGTAACTAGTATAACCATTATTGACCCATCTATCAACTTGCTATTTAATAATCAACGTCAATTGTGTGTTCTCTTTGCGAAAGCATGATATACCATGCTTTTTCTTGGATTATCTCAAGACGCGCTGCTACACGATCTGCCATTTTGCAGAGCTTAATTGCGTGTCGTTCTACGTTGACATACTCGCTGTGGTCTCGAATGGATCACATCTCGTACTTTTCTAATGTTGATGCCGAACTTCTTCATCGCTATCGACCAGGAGGCTATCAACCTATAGCCTTGGGAGATACATTGAAGGGCGGAAGGTACAAGGTCCTTCACAAGTTGGGATGGGAAGATTATTCAACTGCGTGGGCTACAAGGGATCAAAGGTTGCTACATAGCCTACTATACTTCATCAGAGCATCTGGCGAACTGATGCTACTTTTTTACATCCCTCAGAGAGGAGAATTATGTCGCTGTTAAAGTTTCCATTTCGGAAAGCGAAAGCTATAGAGAAAATCGCGAAGCCTCCATTATGAAGAAGTTGGAAACTATACACCCTTGTCCCCAGCACGTAATGTGCATGCTTGATGAGTTTGATATAAAGGTCCAGATAGAATCCATAGGTGCCTTGTGGTTGATTTGCTGGGACCTAGTGTTCCTGACTTGATTGATACGCATTATTCCGATGGAAGGCTCCCTGGGAAGCTTGCAAGATTATTGCGAAACAGGCCCTTACTGGACTTGATCACCTCCATCAATTGAAAATTTGCCATGGAGGTATGTATCGTACAGTGTTGATCTAGCGGTTAGGACTTATCAGGATAATAGATCTTCACACCCGCAACTTAGTTTTTCCCGTACCATGTATGAAAGATTTGTTAGAGGACGAGGTCATTCAGATACTAAACAAACCTGAAACCAGCTTTGTTGAAAGTAAGGACGGGGAGCCGATAGATGGTGCTGGTGTACCAAAATACATTGTCAGACCTGCGGCATATCACTTCTCACTTACCCGGTCTGTGCTGCTCGACCTGAGTATAAAAATAATCGACTTCGGGGAATCATTTTGTGAGACCACGATCCCTCGGACTGTTCATACCTCATTGGTATTCAAGCACCTGAGGTCATTTTCGGAGATTGCCCAGATTATCGTGTTGGTTTGTGGAGTATGGGTTGTATGGTGCATCATCCCAGTTCCCTCCTTTGAAATTGGACATATTGCTAATATGAGTCAATAAAAGCTGTTCGAACTTTTCGTAGCCCATCCTCCATTCGATAATCTCATGCGACCGGCGATTCTTGTCGACCAGATGCGCGAAATGGCTAGTGACACGATCCCTGAGAGGTGGAGAGAAGTCTACACAACAACAATATCATCAGCCAATGTGAAATCTGTCCCAGAATCTTCATTGCAGCGATGGTTAGAAGAAATACTTTGACGGTGAACGTAAAGCAGATCTGACTCACGAAGACATCACGGAGCTGGGACGAATTATTAGCAAACTACCATGCTTTGAGCTGGGCAGTAGAGCGTCAGTAAGGGAGATATTGGATGATCCTTGGGTTTGAAGATTAATTTCGGTTATTATGATATCACTCAGAAGAAATGGAAGAGAACTCCCGATGTACAACATATATACATTCAATAAGCAAATACTATTAATAAAATATCACTCTAATCTCAGATCTGAGGATCAGATCTGAAATAGGGTTATCGTAGATCGATCGGACGATCGACCCGACCCGCCCGATAAGCGCAGTCGCAAACATCTAGATCGCGACGTCATTTGTGGTCATGAGGTTTCACCTTGATCGAATATAGAGTATTATGACTATGGTAAGAATGTAGGATGAATATCGATATGTAATGTAGATTTTTGGTTGTATAAATTGAGTCTATGGGTTGTCTTTCGGGAATTAGAGTCCCTCCACAACATCTCGAGTTAAGAGATTGAATATCACCATGCCAGAACACATGAAGAAGAGAGTCGCCGTAATAGGCGCCGGAGCTGCAGGAATGGTCCGTACCCTTTCCAATATACTGAAGCATACTAAAAAACGAACAGTCCTGCGCAGTAACCCTCGCGAACCACCCCGACAAATTCGACATCACCATTTTCGAAACAGCGCAACACGTCGGCGGCCAAGCCACAGCCATCGACCTAGACAAATCCAAATACGACGCCAGCTGGCTCAACGACGGTGTCCAGGGCGGTTCGGGCATATTCCGGCACACATTCAACTTCTTCCGACACTACGGCTATGAGCCTCAGGAAGTGAAATTGCAAATCTCCTTCGGTAAAGGGCGGGAAAATTTCTGGACAAATGTCTTTCCCAGTCCACTTGTTGATAGTTGTTCAGCCGAGATCAAAAAATTGGGGAGGGTATTGAAATGGATCAAGTATTCTTTGCCCCTTACGGGTATATTACCTGTTCAATTGGTTCTTCGATTGTGTCGATTTAGTACCGATTTTAGTAATAAGATGGTTCTACCGTTGTTGGCGCTATTTTTGGGAACGGGGAATCAAACACCCAATGTGCCTAGTGCGTTGCTGGAACGGCTTTTTGATGATCCCAATATGAGTTTGTGGGATTATGATCCGGATACTCTCCTGCCTAATCTGCCGACTATGTATACGTTTCCGAATCTCGGGGCTTTTTATCGTGATTGGGCGGAGGATTTGAGGTCAAAAGGGGTCAAGTTCAAGATGCACTGTGAAGTGGAGATTGTTCAGCGAGATAAGAAGAAAGTTGTTCTTCGGACGAGAAGGAATAAACTTGATGAACATTCACGGTCAAAGTCGAATGTGACTAGGATTCTGTCGGAGACGGATTCTGCGGAAGATGTGGAGGAGGAATTTGATGAACTTGTGCTGTGCACCCAGGCTGAAGATACGTTGAAACTGCTCGGGAGACATGCAACTTGGAAAGAGAGATGGGTTCTGGGGGGCGCAAAATACTACAACGATATCACGGTGACACACTCGGATTCAAAATACTTTCAGAGTATCTTTGAAAGTAAATATCGCGATGAACTGTGCGCTGAGCCAACATCAACGAAACGGAAAGATCAAATCTCATTTGCGACAAGTGAGCCGCAACGTCGCAAAGACGGATGGATTGGGTTCCAGCCCATGTATTATACGCATGCATACCCGACACATCTTGACAGGATTGAAATGGGATTTGACTGTACAAATTACCAATATCAGTTCCGTGAGGATATTGAGGATGGGAGGCCGCCGCCGGAACACGACCGTCATGTTTTCCAGACCATATTCTTGAATGACGCCGAAAAGCATCTGTGGACAATCGACGATATCAACAAGGACAAAATCATCGAAAGAAAATGGTGGCGTCAATTAGGTCATCGTTGGCAACATTATCTCCGCGTGATTCCTGGGATTATGTTTATCAATGGGAAGAATCGAACATTGTTCGGTGGTAGTTGGACCTTAGTTGTAAGTCAATTTATCCAAGCAACGGTCTCCAAGCTGACTTTTCTGGTTTAGAACATGCATGAAGTTGCTTGCGTTTCTGGTATTGCTGCTGCGTATCGTCTGGGGGCCGCTTATGATGCATTCGACGAGTTTGCAACAGATTTCTTTTCAATGTATCTGCTTCTCACTCATGGTGTCCGATACAAAGCTAGCAAGAAGTAATCCTTTGATATCCTGAATGAACTTGCTAGTTGGATGTAGCCGTCGCAGGACCGTCTTCATTCTCATCACTCTTGTAAGCTGGTGACTTCTTTTGCTCGGTGTTAGGCCCGCCCACAGCCTCGCCAGGTAGGGGGAAACTTAAATATTTCCAATCCTCGATCTCCTCCGTAATGCATCGCAGTCTATCACGAATACTATCCACCGCATAGGACCCTAGCAATAAACGCAGTGGAGGAAACGAGCAATGACCCAACTGCCATACTAGTTCTGCCGCTTTCACAGCACTAACAGGCTGTTTATCCCCCAGCCAAAGCAACAATCGCCGCGCATGTGCTGCTGGGGAGGAATGAGTTCGATATGGTTCACTCGTAGGTTTGATGAAGAAATGCCCGTACGCAGGCAACTGAGCTGGCGGATCGTCCCATGTCCTCGGAGTCAGCTTTGTATTGACATCGTCACGCCGTACATGACCCGGCTCAATCAAAGCAACTTTGATATTAAAACTGTCAATCTCGTACAACATACTCTCAACCAATCCCTCAACAGCGTACTTTGACGCGCAGTACGGCCCCAATCCCGGAACACCAAGAGCTCCAGACGTAGAGCTGAAAATGACATATCTTCCGGCCTTTCTATCCCGAAAATACGGTAAAGACAACTGAATTATATTTAGAGTACCCATAAAATTAGTCTCGAATTGATTGCGAATATCATAATCATCCTGATCCTCGCAGGCGCCAATGACGCCGTAGCCGGAACAGTTTGCGATGATATCGATGCGACTGAAATGCGCAATTGCGTGATCAATGACTTCACTGACTGTCTCGCGTACACGAACGTCACATAATAGTCCTAGACAGCTTTCATTCTCGGTTTGCATTCTCTGCATTGATTCGTGGCTGTCTTCGAATGTGCGGCCGACAGCAGCTACAAGGTCGTTATGCAGCAGAGCAGCTTTGACGAGAGAACGGCCCATATGACCTGTTGCGCCGAATATCTTCGTAATTTTCACTTAGCTGAGATCACTTTTGTTAAAGGTATTGTACCTACAAGCCATACAAGCTGTTTGGGAGGATTATTCGGACCCGGAGGGTCGGTGGTTGTGGGAAGCTGTACCCGGGGATCACGGGCAGCTGATGACGGGGAGAGTGCGTTTATATTCGTTGGAGGACTGCCGAATATTTCCATGACTGAGGAGAATAATCATTGGATGAATTGAGGACAAAGCATTATCGTTGAAGATTACAGGTTGACAAATCCTTATTTCAGAAATCTCAGACTGCGATAGCCAGCGTGTGGGGCCCACGCCCAGCCTACGGGAAGCCTATACTGCACTCGGCTAGTGCATGTATTCTGCCACCGCCGGGTCCTCTATCCCTGGCCTTGACGGCTTCTTTCATACACACTCATGAGTCATTTGATATTATTCACCACAGCACAGATTCCTATCATTCTGGTCGCCAGTTGAAACGATCAGTGGATGAAAATGCATCAATCAATCAGTCAAATCATCAAATCAATCTTCGAAAACGCTAAAATGCAGAATGTGTCAAGCTTCGGGGTCTTTGCAAGGATCAATAATCACGCAGTAGCGACCAATTATTTGGAAAGTATAAGAAGAGCTTTTGACTCTGGTTAAATTCACCATAGTAAGCCTTGAGTAACTAGTTTATCTATAAGCGCGTTGATTTTATGGGAAGTGGCAGTGAGGGTGACCATTTCCGGGCACTAATTGACAATGGAACATAGACCCTTCCCCTCGACTTATTTGGTCCATTCACGGCTTGATGCTCACCACCTTGCCGATGCCCGTGTGCTCTGCAGCAACATCAAATGCCATTTTCCAATCTTCCATGTCGAATGTCTTCGCGTTGACGAATTCCTCCCCACGGGGGAACAGGCCAGCCTCCAGCATCTTGACAAACTGCAGTATATCCTCTCTCTCATACATCAACTTCCCTTTAAGTGCGATATTGCGGCCAATGAAGCTCCACGGGTCCATGGGGAAGCTCGGCCCGGCGAGTCCCATGAGAATCGCACGGCCGTTGCGCCTCAAGTTCGATAAGGCACACTTGAGGTGGGTGGAATTTTCGGCGAACAACGGCGTCAAGTCAAGCACCGCGTCGGTGGGTCCAAAGGCTCGCAAGGATGCTGTGTCGACCTTCTCATCCCCCGTAATCTTGACTATATCAATGCGAGCCGTCGGCGTGCCCTTGTTGATGTGTTGTTTCAACCGGGCCAACTCCCTTTCGTTGCGGCCCATGGCAATTACTCTAGCGCCCATGGCGATGGCGACTTGCACTCCGGCACCACCAAAGCCACCAGTCGCAGGAGATATGACGATTGTCTCTCCTGGTTCAAGCCTGATGTCGCGTAATCCTCCAAATGGAACGAGCAGATAGCCAAGATAGGCCAGCTGTTGAGTGGTATATCCTAATTCATGGCATAGCCTGGTCTCGTTCAAGGGAATACAGTTCTCCAATGGCGCTCTAACGAACTCGCCAAACGCCCCATTGCGCCAGACATCTCTGCACAACTTTTGACTTCCTTCCGTCGAACCGGAATGAATGGCGCTGAGGAACAGATCGTCGGGATTGTCACGTCCGTGTATCACGCTATCGACGTAGACAAGTTGACCGGGATGCAACAGGGTAGCGTCAGGTCCCGTCTCTGCGATACGCCCGATACAGCCAGAGCCCCCGACGATGGGCTTGGGGAAATCGTAGTGCCGCTCGCCATTGTAGATGTCCCGATGGTACGAGAACACCCAGGCCTGCTCAACCTTGACAATGGCTGAGCCGTGGACTGGTGATGGGACAGGTAGCGATTTCAACTCAAAACCATTCTCCAAAGTATCGAGCTGAAGGGCTCGGTAGTGCGAAGGAAGCTGTTTCGAAGATGCCATGACGGAGACAGGCTTGTTACACGGTGTATATCTGTTAATTGTAGGTCGAAAGGCATCCAATACTTGAGAGGAACTTATTTATACATTAGATCTGTAGTAAAATTTACGGAGTTAAATTCTTAACTCATATATAATTGCTAACAGCTATGGCAATGCTCCCTAACGAATTCACACCAAGCAAAAGACCGAACCGAGCCGCGGCGTATTCGGAGATAAACAAGAAATTCTCAATGTCACGAGTGTATACTTATCATCCGAGAGCCGTGCGTGGCCAACAGGGCCTAAATAACGCTCTCCCTTACTGGTTGATCCCAACACCCTTGATCTTCAGTAACTAATCTTTCAGACAAAAGTGAGATTGAATCCGATTCCACGCTCCACGTCAGCGCCCATGGGCTCCCATATATCATCAAAATTAAAGAATTCCAGTGCGTCAATGTCCTGAAACCCTTCTTCAATTTCAAAAAGGTCATCTCTGCCTTCCCCTCGGCCATAGTCGGGCAGTGCTCGGTTTTGGACAGCCGCAAAGCAGCTTTCCAGACTTGCTTTGCCACTCTGTCCCATTCTTTGTTGAATAGAAATATTATGCCCAGTTTCTTCAGCCTGGATTAGCAGCATGCTCAACTTCATATGCAACTTGATGTTTGTTTCGCGGAGCTTGATTCGCTCTGCCCACTGCCGCTGCGCCTCGCGCACTTCCTCGATCAGCAATCTTCTATATCGGCAAGGTTCGTCCATGATGCGGTCTTCTCGGTGTTCTTCGATTTCATTGAGCAGCTCCAACGACAGCACTATGGATATATGAATCAAGCGGTGTTTGAAGAATCCGCCACCCAGCATCGTCAGTCGTGTGAATTCGGCGCTTGGCTTTGGGGATAGCAGTGCCATAGCTGCATCCAGGCTAAGTTTTCTAGAAGAGTATACAAGTGACCGTTCCTCTGCGTGATCTATCAAAAAGCGATGGAAGGGAAGTAGGAAACGACGGAGGAGAAGATCCGCAAAATTGCGCTTGAAGACACGACTGCCTTCGCTGTAATCCTTGATGCAAAACCAGCACTGGCGACATGCTTCATTTATTTTATTTATTGAGGTGCTAAGAGAGTGTGCCTTTTCTTGTATATCCTCTGTTTTAGCCCAATTTAGACACCGCAGTATCTCAAGCCTTGGCCGTATGCACCTTAGGAGGCACAGTTGGAGAGACGTGTCTGTGGTGACTTCGCTGCCCAATGTTTCTAGGATTCCGACCCTGTCAAAGAGATGATCATCATCAACATTGAAAGGGGGCTCGGTGTCAAAGTCCTCGAAAGAAATTGAAGGCGGAACTCCAGCGTCTAACGCAGCTTGAAGGTTCATCTCCAATATTGTAGCCCACAATCTCCGTCTGAGCTCAGCATGTCTATGATTTGTAGTTAGCAAGTTTCCCGCTTATTCTTCTGATTGAGATCTTACAGCATCGTCATGTTCTTGAAATGTTTTGGGTCGCGATGAAGGCCCATTTGTATGGCCGTTCGCACGATGGTCCCCATAGAAACCCATATCAGATCCCCGCCAATATACAAAACTTGACGGGCCAGGACTAAAAGGCACTGTATTTGAAGGCCGGAGATTGTAATTCTACTTTTCTCCAAGGGAGCTGAAATCCAGTTTTGTGCAAAGTGCACCCATCGAAGTGTTTCGTGGCGGAGCGGGTCGGCTTGATTGCTCGGTGGTTCACAAAGGCTATATCCTATGGTAATCACCAAGTGAACCTTGAGTCGAAGGGTATCAGATGCCTGTAGGGGATCCCTCCAATACTCTTCATATTCAGAACGGAATGATGGAACATGAAGAATGCGGAAAACCGACTCGAACCGCGACATATACAATTCTGTCATCTGATCCGCCAGTTGTTTGGACGGGATGCCGATTTCCTGAGCGCTTAGAATGCTCCCAGGTCTAGATGGTTTTGTATTTCGGCTGATCACCTTGAACTTCTGAATGATGGATCTCATTTCTAACTTCAGCCTTCGAGTCGCTTCGTTTTCTTCGGCATCGTCGGATTCTGCATTCAAAAAGGCGGAGATGCCACGGAACTAGCGAGTTTGTTTAGCGATGATACTGAACGTGGACTGTCAAAAGTTACAGCTTACAACATGAGAAGCACCCGACCAGTGGCTTTCACCAAAGAGTTTGGACTTGTTAAGAGAAATATAATCTTGCTTCGCGACTTGAGGGTCATCGGTGGTCAAGCCAGGTGCATCTACATCGCACAGACCGGTGCGATGGGAGACGAGTTGTTCTACTGCCCGCAGTCGTGTGACGATATCAATTATAGCCTTGTCTCCAGCAGATGTTGGACTGGGTATTACGTTGCCAGGTAGAACATCTTCATTCTCTCTCGATATTGGAAGAGGGCCGCCGTCAATTGGCTGGCCATCAGTTTCTGGACCCGACCAGCCAACAAGAATTTGTTGATGGGTCAGCTGCGACAGATTCGCTTTGTCAACGTAGACGCACGGCCTTGTCCATAGAACGCAATGGCAGCATGGTTGTTTGCGATCACACTTGACCTTGCGCCGGCGGCATTCGGTGCATGAAAGAGGAGGCCTGCGACGTTTCGGAGGAGGTTCCATTAGATTGAATGTACTACTTTAAAATCAGAGACCGCGGTGATTCTGGGCAGGAATAGAAGAAAGCTGAATTTGCCGCGGCGATTAATAAGGCGGCCGCGGCGTTAGGGCTAAGTTTACCGCTCTTGTCCGACGTTCCCTCTGCATCAGGCGGAGCTTGTCATGCATTGTGAGCGGGAGGAAGAAGTGTTGAACGGATATAGGGTGGAGATAAAAACAGAAAAGGATAGAAAAGGAGATTGTTGGAAAGATTGGAAAGCAGCTTGATTTACGGAGCTACGCTCTCGGGTCTATTGATAAGATATCTCCGTGACATGGGATGACTCGTTATAGAGCTGATCAGATATGTTGCAAGTATATAAATATGGTGTCGATTTGGCATGTTATTCTTTGAAAACGGCGCTTAATACCTAGGTACATGTACTACTGTTCAACGTATATGTATGCTTTGTTGTGGTACTTGCCTGGGCATCTAGGAAGAATTATTTTATATACAACACAAAATTTAAGTGTTCTTCAAGACACCTAGGTACTAACCGTGGAATGCCCAGGTGAGAGACCCTGGGACTCACCTAGAAATATTTGCTGCTGAGCTGATTCAAATCCGGTATGATCTTAAATCATATACATTAGACCATTGACTTCATATCATACAATATACAATTCCATCAACCATTCATATCCACGGTTATTGCAACATTATATCACATAGAGCCATATCAGCGTAATATACACCATCTAAAAAGAAGCCAGCGCCAACTTCGACTCCGTCAAAGGCCACAAGAGATAATAAAACTCAACCGCGCCCGACACAAGAAGCGCATAATACGCAACCGTCCAACTAACACCCAACTGACTACCCGCAACTTGCAGCGGACTAACCTCAGTATCCTCCTTGGCTCGCATCTGCGGCGGTCCGATGGGAACACCGGCTTCAACACGCCCCCACAATCGAGGCAACCCGCACCAGTTACAGAAGCTGTGGACAAGAATAACAGCTGGAAGGGAGCCTGTTCTTAGATATAGAAAAGCGGCAAACCAGCCGAAGATGGTTGTGTATGCGAACTGGAACATCGAGCGGAATAGAACGGCTGCGACTGGTGTGTCTGGGTGCGTAAGTCGGAATTCGTAGAAGTGATGTATATGTGCGATGCCGAAATATAAGGGGGTCACAAAGACGATGCGTCCTGGGGAAATTTTGGCTAGTAAGTGAAGAGTAATGATGACTGAGCGGAAGATGATTTCTTCCGTGATAGGGCCCTGGGAATATCAGCATCTGGGTCTTTCAGACGAGTTAGGGGACGTACAGCAACATAGTTACGAAAGCCAATCCAGCTCCGAAGTGTCTCTGATAGACCGTCTCCCCGGACCCACGATTTCCACCCATCCTCTGCAACGCCTCTTTCAAATAGAGGACCACTGAACAAGACAGCAGTCAAGAGAAGACTTTTAACAATCTCCACAATGCCGATAGGCCACCAGCCGAGAAGTTTCAGGGCCAACGAAAGTGGATTCTCGTCCGCCTTCAGGGCAATAAGAAACAAAACAAAGATGGTGCTGGCGATACAGGCCATTGTCACGGCCCGCACGCGACTCCGAATCACGGATGGTGCATCTCGACTGAGGGATGGAGATGGGCGGGTAGTTTTGGAGATGTAGAATGGTACCACGTATCCCAAAGTTGCAAGAACCTTTTTAGTCAGCGAGTACATACATGGGAAGCATACGGCGACCACTTACCGAGAGTACGGCGGCAGTATTGGCTGATAGAATGGGCGGGGTGATATCTATCAGTAGATCAGCATTCGTTCGCAGACAAGGCTATCTAGTGGATACTTACAGGTTTGTTTCATGTAGAGCATCTTGAAACGATCCACGATGCCGACTGGAGCCATGGCGAGCGAAGCTTATCAGTGACGGAAAGTTCTGTTGAATCTAGGTGGAGTTTCTGTCTCGGTCCAGACTTTAGCGCCTATTTCCGAGAACAGTATGTCACTGGCCAGTACTGGTATAGATCGCTTCGACAAGCCACGACTGGTTAGTCAGACATGATGGTGGTGAGATCTGTAGAGGACGTTGTTGAAACTTGAGATAAAAAGAGATGTTCGCCAAGATCTGGCTGCCAAGACTCGGCTGTTCTATATTTATCCGACAATCGAATTATTTCTGAAGACTGAAGAGACTATTTTAACACCAGCGAGTGCAGAATGATGCTCAGATGAAGGGTCAGCTATGCATACGTAGTACTCCGTATGATGATAGTAAGTCATTGCTCCTCATATCAGTGACCTGTACTCCGTACTCCGTAGAGAAACCCAATGAAACAATCCGGGGTCCTGGACGGTGATTGGCTGCCCGGTGTCGAAAATAGGAGAATGTCCTGCAGCCTGATTGGACAATAATTCACGAACCGTTCCGTCTGGCCATTCCCAAACGAGTTAAATTAATACAGATGAAACGCCAATTCGACGTGGCAGCCCGTGATTTCTTAGCCAAAATGCTGCTAAACTTTAGCTTACGGTTTTTTATTTTTATTTCTTGCTGGATGATTGGTCAATATTAGTGGGTATACCGTATCTTACGCGCCGCCTGGTTCCTAAGGCGCCAACTGTCAACGGCTGAAAAATCTTCAATTGATCTATTGACTTGTAGCAGAGATGAATAGTCAATTGAAAGCAATATTTCCTATCCAGACCTCTAGGTTTCTGCTCAAGCAGGGCGGACATCACTATTTCGCATATTGCTATTATTCAATTATCCTAGAATAATACTATTCTGCAGGTCTCACTCTAAACCAATGGCCAATGCAGTAGTAGGCGTAAAAGTAAATCTGCAGGAACATTTCATATTTCTTTTTCTCTTATCCACTCTCTCTTCTCTCTGTCCACTTACCTTGCAGTAAAAAGTTCACCGCATTCCACTCCTCGCTGCACGGCAACCCCATTCCACAGCGAGGAGCTGCACCCCTTGACTCCGGCAGGCCTCGATGCTGAACGTGCAGATTAAGCCCGATTTCATGCTTGCATACGGAGTACTACGGAGGACCTAGTCCTTGCAAGTACTTTCCTGCTCTGACTGCCGCCGCTTCATCTTCTCTTTACTCCTCTTCTCTCTCTCTCTCTCTCTCCCCCTCTCCCTCTCTCCATCTGTCAGTGTCGTTTTTCGTCGTTTCCTTGCCAGTCGTTTACGCTCATTACACTCTTTTTCTGACTTTTGTTCACATCGTTCTTTAATAATTATTTTCTTCTTCTGACGATTGCATTGATATGATATACGTAGTAATGTTTTAATATTCTATACTCCCCACAGTCGTGATCACCACTATTGATAATATCGCCCTTGCCCTAGCATTCCACCCATACAATATTGTTGTGACTATCGTTTTTATTATTGTTTATTTTTCTCGATCTTTCGAGAATCTCTTGCCCCTCTGCTACCGACCAGTCTTGTTATATTATACGATTGTTGGATCTGTCACGACCTCGACATCATTCCGACGCATTGCACGTTCTCGTTGATTACAGCACGATTGTACTACTCACTAGGTTTTGGACTTTAATGGCGATTTAAGACTGCAGCATGTCTCGGCCATCGTCAAGCGTCTCTCCGAGAAGAAGACCACTCCATGAACGCACACCATCACAGACAAATTCAAACGAGGCCTCACCAGGTCGAAGAAGCAAGAGAAGAGACGATATTGATTTCTACTCCTCCACACCTTATCCCACAAAACCGGCTCAGGTACTCTTACCCCGTCCGGGGATTGGCCAAGATTATGCGCTTCACGGCGCTTACGGGGTTTCAGATGTATCATTAGTCTCGACTGAAACAGATCATACGGCAACGGCGCCGGTTAATGTCGTGGATCATGCTGAGCATCAGCGCCGCGATGTTAGTGGGAGTAGTACGTGGGATTTTTCATCATCTGTTGATTTGGGCTATTCGTCTCAAGTTTGGGATAATGATCCGCAGTCTAGTTTGTCATCGTTTCCTACGCCACTAATACCTTCAGACGACGACAACTATGATGCGGGCGGTGTTGATGTTGCATATGAGGATAAGGCGACGTCCCGATTACAGACTGGAATGCAACAGCAACAGCAACAGTACCATCACGATATATATGGCGGCGAATTTACTGAGGACATTCTGAGGGAACCTGAAGATGAACATGAAGATGAAGAGGATGTAATCGCCCTCCCCGGACCTCCCAGAGCTTCAATCAAACCTGTACGGGATTCGTCGCCAGCAAACGAGTCAGTCGAAGAATATTCATCTTCTTCAGAGAACTTTGTCACCTACGACCAAACATCAAGCCCTAACGTGGTACCAATTGGTGCACCTTCAAGTCCGAATTTTGTATCATTAGGAAGCTCAAGTCCAAACCTGGTCACATACGGAAGCTCATCACCAGTGGCCGGGGGAATGAATCACCGTTCTGATTCAACTTCTTCGTCTTCTAATTCTATGGGCACAGTTATTCATAGACACAACAATGCCACGGGGTGGCCAATCCCTGTGTCAGCAGGTGCTTCGTCACAGCCTGCGTCATTTACCTCGAGTCCACCTGAGCAACTTCTTCGAGGGTATCAATCGGCTTCTTCTTTGGCACTATCCGGTGGTGAAACACAATTATCGCGATCAAGAACTACATCTACAGGCAGTGGCCGATCTGATAAATCGTTGAGTGATACGGCGTCGGCGGTGGTCCAGTACCCTCAGATTCGTGCGCCATCTTATGCAAGCTCTTACGCTGAATCCTCGATTCAACCAGCACCCTTACAAGTCAGACGCCCTTCACGAAGCATATCAGAGCGCTCAGTCACACGATGGAACCCGACTCTTTCTCCGGTCCCGGCTCAATCTGTGCCGGATCCATCAACCCCTGCAAGTGATGCCAACGCTGAAAGGAAACAAGGTCTAGGATTGATAAGCGCCAGCAAATCCGCATCCACAATCTGGCGCGTGGAAGAGAACGATGAACATCTCGACAGTGTATCAAACTTACCACGATCAACACTCCGCCACATCCCATCGTCATTGATTGGCAGCACCGAGTCACGACCTGGATCTAGTTCCAGTACAAACGGGTTTTTGAACGTACTCCCCAACTGGGTTCGACTATACTACCTAGGCAATAACAGCCAACTCGTACAAAATGCAGCCATGTCAATACTCGAGTCTAGTCGACCTTCAACCGCGGCTTCTCGTCCGCCGTCTCCTCATCGGTATATCAGCCAGAACCCAAATCCTATAGGCGCTGTCTCTCGTCCACGGCGTCATCCTTCTAATGAGAAGGCAGTACCAGCTCCTATCCGAGTGGTTTCCGATCACCCAGCTGATCCGCGAAGTCATTGGAAACCTATGCCCGAAGAGCAGCAGCAACAACAAGACCAAATCGAGGAATCCGCCGAAGCGACTGGAGGAAACACATCCACTCAACGCCCCTTCGCAAAAGCATCTTCACCACATCTACACCCGGATAAAAGCCATCCAAATCCGCGTTACACCTGGGTTGCACCATCCCTCGATTCAAGACAAGAACCAACCCTTGGACGCCGCAATATCCAAAAATACGCCTTTTGTCTCGGGTTCGTGTTTCCATTGATGTGGATCATAGCTGCTTTTCTGCCCTTACCCCCACAACCAAAACCAATAGACGAAGAGCAGCAGGATGCAGTCGTATCTCAGCCCGGTGCACAATATCGAATTGCGCAGTACGAGAAGAAGCGGTATCAGAATGCTCGGTGGTGGAGGAATGTAAATCGCGTGATGATTCCGGTGGGGATTTCGATTATTGCTATTATTGTATGTTCCATCCTTTTCATCTCGGTCTGAGCGAATGAGCTAACCGTTGGTAATAGGTTGTTCTAGCAGCTGTTGGAACAACAGTTGGTTTATAAATTGCTTTGCATCTCATCGACCAACGACATTACACACTCATTGGTCTTCGATTCATCCACATACTTCAGCACATTGACGACAGACATTTATACATGATTTATTTCTGACATATTTATATTCACATTTATCTCAACATTTATTCATTTCACATACGATCCTTGCAACGACTCGACAATTCTTTTCGACTTGGTTCGCGCAGCCCATTTCCATACGGCTACCTCTTCTCTTCTTCTGTACGACTAAATGACTTTAACGTGTATATATGATTGACATGTCCATTCGTCCATTCGTCGCGTCTAGTTTGACTTTTTACATTACGTACTGTCATTGCCATTTTTTGATCGAATTACACTTGTTGTTTTCCTCCCCTTTTTGTCTGCTTTTTGTTTCTTCAATGAAGTGGATTCCCAACCTTTTGAATCGGTTTGGCTCTTTTATATGTTTCACACTTGGTATAGACTGATATATATGTATATATATATATTTTGATTCTTTCCTTGGACTGGGGTGACTCCTCGTAGATTTATTTCTGGCCTTCCCTTTTTGTGCATATAATCAAGTAGATATAATAGTACACTCGACTAGGGTTATTGATAGGTCAGATTTCTGCTGCTTCAGTTCGGTCTGGATGAGAATGGCAGAGTTCTCCCCTGAGAATCCTGCATCGTAACTCTGTATCTCCTGAATTTGGGAAGAAATACAACTATCGCTAGAAAGAGATACCTAGGTACCTTCTATTCAAGAAACATGGATATTTCTAGAACGGATATGGAAAGAGAAAAGAAAAAAAGTTCTATCCATCGACAAGCATCAAGCTTATCAACGAATAAATGTTCAACGGTGTTGGTTTGTGGAAGCAATCGAGATGCCTCGCTCCGACGCACTGGGCCGCAGGGCCTCACGTGACCTCTTCTAGGATAGAGGGATATAAGACTGCGTCGGGGCGTGATTTAGATAGAGGACACAATCACATACATTTACCCATACAAAACTGCAGTACCTGGTAAACACTCTACGTACGTACGTACATTAACGTGTACACGTGCTTTATGCACCCACATACGGGCATAATGAATCAAATCAGATTACACACGATAAAACGAATAAAAAAGGCGTCTGAAAAGAATGAATATCGCTATAGTATCACTTGTGTTAATGCAGATAAAATCGGAGGAAAGAGAAAAAAGAAAGGGGCTATGTAACTGACGCCAATAGCTTAAATCCATGTACAAAAGAGTCATAATCTCGAAATCAATTCGATGGATAAAAAAGGGGGCAAAAGAATGCAAAAATGAGAATCGAAAGGGTAAAAAGATAAGTCATCGCTTATGAAACTATTTACTTATTTATTCACAACCAAAACACAAAGATTCCATTGATTGATTGATGGATCAATCGGATATTTCCACAGGTCTGTCCGGACTCGAGCCATCCATCGCATTGTTGTCCTCTTTTTCTCTTTCATTATTATTATTATCATTATTATCGGTAGTAGGTTCGCCTGATTCGGACGATACTACTATAGCTGGAGTTGGTGGCGGTTGTTGTTCGTCAGGAGGAACAGATGTCTCCTTCAACGACGGCAATAATCCTTCTGTACTGTCCTTAGTACCATTCGTGGTTGTGTTGCGAGATCTCATGCGCAATCTCCGCGCTCGTCGTTCGTCTTCGGCACTTTCCCTTCGTCGGCGGGTTCGCTCTTCATCTGTGTCTGTGTTATTGCTGCGTAGACCCTGTAGGAGATTGGCTGCTCGGTCGGCGATGTCTTCCCCTTCAGACACGGATTCGTGGCCGTTCATTGACTTGTCGTCTTGTGGTGAAAGGAGGTCACCGCTTGTTGTATCGGCTGTGGAGATTATTGATGCGTCCTCGCCGTCATCGGCTTCTGCGCCTAGGAGATTGGGCATTTTTTGTCCGGAGGCTACTCGTACTTGATGTCTCTCTTTCAGGCGCGCTCGGCGACGTCTGTCACGTTGATCTTTGGCTTGAGGTGCTGCTGCACGGAGTTTCTCCAGTAACGAGTCCATTGCACCGCTTGATGTCGGCGAAATAGGACTATCTGTACCACCACCGTTGGCCAGTGTAGGGTTAACTCGTTTGCGTGCCAAGGACGATTCTATTCGTTTCCGGTTCTCCTCTAGCGCTATGTTCTTCTCCCTGGATTTCTATCAAATCGTTAGCATTTCCATTCACCACTCCCCAAGTCAGAGAAACTAACCTTCCATTCTTGCAAGAAAGAAGCAAGCTTGCTGAAGAAGTCACGACGCGAGTTTTCATCCGTATTATCCTCGCCATAGAACGTCATAATATCATCAAACGTCTTTGCTAGATCATCAAGTAATATCTGCATCTGCTCGGCTTTCCGTCTGGCTTCTTTCATGCTTCGCTGAACCACCTGACTGACTCGATCCTGAGGATGGAATTTCTTAGGATCACTCAAATTGCCCGAGTCAAGGCTCGACTGCACATTCTTAATAGTGTTGATGTATTTCACAGCATCCTGACGTAGATTGTCGATGTTGAGTTTGTGCACACCAGCCACGCCACCAATCTCATCTTGGAAGCCCTCCCATTCAGGGTACTGATTACGCACGATACGTTCCACAAGGTCCGCAAACGTAGTCTCATTCTTGTCATCTTTGACCATACCCAACCGTGCAAGCGAACTCAACTTGAAACCCTGAGCTTGCTTATTGGCATCGTTCATGAAATTACCAATATCCAGAATTAATCCCAAAACATTCATGAGCGATACGGAGTCACGTAGAGAATCGCAAACTTTGGACACTTCCTGAATCTTGCTTGAAATATGATCGTAGTCATTCTCATAGCTCCTCGTCAATGCTAGCGCGCGCATTCTAGACTTCCAATAATGGTTGAGTTCATAAGCTGTTTGCAGATAAATTTGATCCTCTCGAGTAAGTTCGTTCATATCTTGCTCTCTCTCCGCTGTTGCAGCGTCAGGAGCTGTCCAGTCCTTGCTGTACGGCGCCATTAGTTTGGCCGTATTTTCAGGAATATTACAAAGATCGTCGCGTTGCAAGAAATCCATAACGACATCATTCTCCAAGATATCCTTGTCGCAATGTATAATCTTCCGTACTAATTCGTCCACAGGCGTTTGCGAAAACTTGGCCAAAGCCACTTGGAAAGTTTTCGACAGCTCGTTGGAGATGATCTGCTTCTTGTCTTTTCGCTTTTGCGCACCGCTTCCACCACCTAGGATCTTTGTCTCTTTAGCCATGAACAGCCGCTCCACCTCGTCGAGAACACCTTTCTTTGCCAATTCGGTGTATTTCTCTTCCTTTGCTTCGTTTGTTGGGGCATGAGTGGCCCATACTGTAACTTGGGGAGTATCAATCTTATCCCAGTGAAGAGCCTTGAGTTTCTTCTTAGGTCTGATCGAAGGCATAGTGATTGTCGGACCGTATGATTGGTTTTGTTGTGACATATAGTTTGCTCGCCAAGCGCCAGGAACAGCGGCACCAGGAGGACCAGGCGGCGGCGGTGGTGGTGGAACACCAGGAGACATCGGGGGTGGAGGGGGAGGTGGTGGTATACCTCCAGCCATACCAAAAGGAGGAGGTGGAGGCGGAGGAGGAGGGATACCACCAGCTGACATGGGCGGAGGAGGTGGCGGAGGAGGAGGAGGAGGAATAGCGCCTGACGATGAGGGAGGTGGTGGGGGAGGTGGAGGAATAGCACCAGAAGATGGCGGCGGCGGCGGCGGAGGAGGAGGAGGTGGTGGTGGTGGAATAGCAGCAGCATCATCTTTAGTTTCGGGCCCTTTCTCAGGAGCAGTCTCGGCTTTTTCTTCTGCTTTCACGCCCTCAGCTTCCTCTTCCGAGTCGTATTTGCGAACCTTAGCGGCAATCTCTCCCAACAGACCAGTAGCTTGCATGGGGTTCATGCGTGGGCGTTCATAAGTCTCTAGTGTAACCTTCTCCTCGGCCACTTCATCCGTCTCACTGACTTCGGGAAGATGCTGTGCCTCTTGCTCACTTGAGGGAACCTTCTTGCGCGTGACAGATCCAAGAGTGCTGTGAGTTAGGGTTTGTCGCGTCTTCTTTTCAAATTCCTCCTCTGGCTGCGCGAGAACGCCTTCCATTTGTTCTCGGAGCTCGCGCAGACGGTCTGACGGGCCATCTTGATTCCAAACCTTGCCCTCAAGCTTGAACTGAGTCTTTGTTCGCTCAAGTTGACGTTCGAGCCTTTCAAGGAGTCTCTCGCGATCAAGGATACCTCTCATTTGTGCCGGATCAGTTTCTCCTAGTTTATTTTCAGCCGCCTGTTTCTTTGCATTGGACGCGGCAATATCTTGCGCATCCCGAAGCATGAGGTACAATTCGCGGGTCTCCAACTCATTCCGTTGCAATTCATTCGCTCTCAGACGATGAAGGTCGTTAAGTTCGGACTCGAGAGCCTCGTTTCGGCGCTTTTGTAACTCGAGAACACTGGCCTGTTCATCAATCTGTTTTTGCAGTTTCTTGACTAGACCATCCGCTCCGAGTTCGATCTGCGCTTTCATTTCATCACGCTCGGCAATAGCGGCCTCAGCAACTTGACGAGCCTCCAAAGATTCGTCGTACGCATGTCTGGCTTCGGCATCTGTATGCAACTTGTCCAGCAAGTTTTGCACTGTAAACGTCAATCCCTGGCGGAGATCTAGATCCGGCAGCCGACGATCCATAGCAACATAGCTAAGCATAGCTTCGACCAGTTGAAACATGCGCAACCCATCTTCGCCTGTAGAATTTTCCCGTATAAGAAGCATATGTTGCATTGCAGAAAGAAAATAATCTCCTGCTCGCGTACCCCGTAACTTCGCGTTGATTGCATCGGTAATCTGTGTAGGGTCAGTCATGTCCTTGACTTCCCCTTCAACGCTATCCTTGGCACTGCTAGCCTCTCGTTGCAACAAGTCCTCGTAGTCAATAGCCTCGTTCTCCCGAAATCGTTCAATCTGTTTATCAATGACTTCATATTGGAAGCCTTCCATCTTCGTGAGTAGGCGCTTGATGCCACAGGATATGAATTGGGCTCGAATGTGACATCGCAGCTGCAGATCATATTGCGGCGCATCCACAAGCATATTGATCATCATCATAGTCGCAACAGCGTATTCCATGAGTTGATTCTCCATGCCTACACCTCCGCTGCGATACTCTTCACTCGCACCCACAAGACTGCCCATCTTGCCACGGCCGTCAATTGTCACCTCGACAATACGCATCCAGGCATCAAATCGACCCGTTTCCCCTTGATGGCTTTTGACCTGGTCCATTGCTTGCAGAACCTTTTGGTGGCCTTGCCCATCGCCCCAGTGACAGAGGAAAGTAAGTACGTCGCTGACAATTCTTCGAGTTTGCAGTCGAGGTGACAGCAGGGAGCTAACCAGCGCAACGATAACCTGCTGATGGGCCAGAGCATCGTCCGCACCATACTTGTTGTTCATCAAGGCCTTCAAACATTTGGTAATGTCGTATTCACGTTCGAGATCCTTGTCAGCGCTTGAGACTACAGGCCCTGGTCCGGCAGTCTTGCGGCGATTGATTTTCAGTAACACATTGGTCAGAGCGACCTGGCCTTGAGCTTCAACAAAAGCTTTGACCCAACTTTGTGATGTTAAAATTTTTGTTTACCCAGTACAAAGAAGACGGCATAGACTTACCTAATAGGTTGCGTCCGCAGACTGACACTCAAACTGGCTAATTGTTTCGAAGTAATTGTATCATCCATAACTTTCTTCACGTACCACTCTGGGCTTCCCTCTTCATCGGCTCGGCCTATCACAGAATGAGAGCCACCATCGTAGCCGTGGGTGAGCCGGGCATTGTTACGTCGTCTCTGCTCCCCTTGGAGCTCGGTCAACCGATCTTGGTGAACAAGCGTCCATTTTTTGGAAGCAGGATACGCGAGCATCTGTCTTTTGGCTTGTTCTGGTAAATTTTGCCAGCCTCGTTTCTGCATCAGCTCGAGAAAAAGCTGGTCAACCATGCGATCATCCTTTGGCCGTGATAAATAATCCCCTGACGCTACAGACGATATCGATGGCGAAGGGGTGACAACATGTGGCTGCTGCGATGTTGGCCATCCCTGCGCGTTTGAATATCGACCTCCACTTTGATATGAAGTATTTCGATCGCCGCTAGAATACGAAGTGGTGAGAGTGCGGGAGGAATTGCTGTCGGAGAAATATGAGGTTCGTGTAGCGGAGGATGATTGCGACGAATGGACACTAGCTTGATCGAGAGAGACTCTCGAAGCAGACGACGAATCGGCTGAAGCATAACTGCCAGAGGCGTAGGTAAAGCTGTTATTTGCGGCAGAACTACCAGGCCTTCCCCATTGTTGATACCTAGTTCCGCGGTCCCCAGTAGAACTACTCGTCATTGTCAAATTCGAGGCGTGCGGAGGGGGGCGAGGCCCGGTCATTGTGGGTGTAGCGGAGCTCTGTGAGGATGTAGGTCTCGAGTCCCAAGCTTGATACTGGTGAAAATCGGCGCCGGACTTCCCGAGATGACTGGGTGAAGGCTCTCGGCGAGCGTTTGCTTCTTGTTTGGGAAGATAATCGACGGGTATGGGAGTCTTTGAATCCGAAGGCATACTATCAAAGGGTATGGACGTAATTATGCCGGCATTCGAATTGAGAGCAGCGACAGCGGCGGCTTCGTCAGCGTCAAATGAACTGATAGACCCCCTCGTCGAATACCGCGAACTGCGTGACCCAGCGAGACTACCTGTGATTGACTGTGTTTCTGCGGTTGAGTTTAAAGAAGCAGCATATCCATCATCTGTCTGCCTATCCTTGTATAATTTTCTGCCAAAGAACGATTTGCTAGAGGTACCTGGTCTTGGTTTCTCTGGAGCTGTGGTGGGCATTGTGATAACGGCGGTCGCTTGGAAGACAGCATGGGCGTAAGGTCTTTTGTCGCTCAAATTTCGCCCTCTGCAGATAGTTGACTCGTCTCGGCTGGACGGGACGATTGGCGAATAAGTATGTCGACGAACCCTCGAAACTTGAAAGTGATTCGATACGGCGGCGTCTGTGGATATCCTTCTGTGAGGGGAATCGTGTTGCTTCTCGTCGATCAACAAGCAGTCACTTGTTTATCCCGTTCACGACCTAGTGTCTAGGATCGACTAACTCAGCTAGTCAGTGAGCACGTATCGTAGGGCCCCGTAGACCGAGACGGGAACTCGACCGCTGAGCAAAGCGGCAGATAATTCCCAAGACCTCGGATTATCTCTCAGGCTCGGTATCGTGTTCTTGAACAGAGTAGACGTAAGGAAAAACAGAGACTCGAATAGTGAGCTTCTAGAATAGCCCACAGAGTCGAAGAAAGTTATGCAAGAAATCCCAGCAAGATCAGACAGTGCGACGCTGTCCCTCCAGAAGGAGTCCGCCTTCGTTCTTTCGGGTTTAGGCCGGATCCGCATATGGACCAATCAGAGTGCGCGGTAGCGAGCTTCGTCAGGGGAAGGAATTCCGAAGCAGCCAATCAGCTTGCAGTCAATTGCCTGACTCAGTCTGCGATATCTCAGTCTTTATTCTCTCTTTATTCAACCTCTACAATCGATAAGCTCGAGTCGATCGAACTTTGTCATGGCTATTTTGGGATCAATTACTATCTTGATCCATTGTTCTGGGTTACAAAGTGGTCCAAACGCTCGGGATGACGAACAATTTAACTAGGAACCTCGGAAGCTTCAGATTGGGTTCCTATAGAGAGAGAGAGTGGCATTCGTAACGATTCAACGTGACCACGACGCGCTATCCGCAGATATGGGTATGGACGGTATTTAGGGGGCTTCCAGGCATAGCGACTACAATTTGAGGTTTTAGTACCACAGGACATCCAATATTCTCGGCGAGTGTTCTTACGGCTATAACAACATTCGATATGCGCAGCTACTCTAATCGGCCGTGCCCCGGCGCTTGACGTATTGGATACTATCCTCATGTTGCTCGACCGAAAAGTCAATTTCTCCTCCAGCTGGATTTAAAGAGGACTTGATCACTTCAACTCATACGCTCGTCAAATACTGAATATGCATGAACACTGAGTTGAACGGGGAGTGGTATTGGCGGATCAGTGTATACGACGGATGAACGACTGTCAAGACGACATCGAAAACCATCGGTCTTGAACAGTGTTTTACTCACGTGGCGCGTGATCAATGCAAGGGACAGGACAGAAGAATACACCTAGAGCAAACGACACTACCAACACTTCCTGCTCTAAAAGAAGAACCTCGACAAGTGAATGGATTCGGTTGGTATCGTTGTTTCGGAAGACGACCTCGATATATCGGTCCTTCCAACGGGTATTCTTCGAGCTTCTCGAGTCAGTGGAAGAGACTAAGCTCCGGTGAATATCTCGAATTCGTCCCTTCCTAGCGCGCACAAGCTAGTGAGAGGCAGCGGAACTCTCGCACTTGTCAACACAGCCGAACTCCGAGACCAAATCGCGGGAGTCGTGGAATCTACGAACATTGTTCTATCTACTAAAACGATTTGATGACTTGGACGATATGTGCACTTACCACGCAGCCGCTTCGGGTTCACACAATCTTTCCTGGAAGCTTTTTCATTCTGTACTGTTTCGGAAGTTTCCTAGCAGAACTATCGCAATCGACCGGCCAATACGTAATATGATTATTACTTTGCAGAATACACTAAGCCACAGGGACACTGCGCGGAAGCCGTCCGTGTGTGAGATAGACAATAACGACTCAACGATTTGAGTACTCGAGCAGCAGTACCATGAGCTTTTGAGATCAATGTTAGTGCAGCCTAGTTACGAATTCTGACGGGTTGACCTAGAAGTCCAGATGTCCGGAACACGGTACTCCAGGGTGGAGCGGGTTCAGCCCGAGATTGCGGGTGACGGCCCCGCTCCGCATGTGGATACACTAAACTCCGCTCGATAAGATGAAGCTTTCTTCGCGAGCTGCACATGATGCAGCCTTACACAGATTAAGCCGACTTTGAATGACAGTGCATGCTCATCATGACAGAACTGTCCCAGCAAGTCTACTATGTTGCACATTCCAACCTCCAAGCATTTGTCCGACAAATCCTAGTGGGTAATGACGTGTCTAACGAACATGCCTCAATCATTGCCAAATGCTTGGTGGAGGCGGATCTGCGTGGCGTCGATACGCACGGCTCCAATCGTATACCATCTTATATGAAGCGAATTCGAGAGAAAGTGCTCAATCCAGCTGCAATCCCGCAATTGCAACAAGTCACACCCGCAGCTGCCATAGTAGACGGACAGAATGGCTTCGGCTTCGTTGCGGCTCATATGGGTATGGCCAAAGCCATTGAGATGGCACAGACATTTGGCATTGGGTTGGTCTCGGTCAAGCATTCGAATCATTTTGGCATGTCAGCATGGCTTGTTCAGCAGGCGATTGATGCAGGCATGATGTCGCTTGTATTTACGAACTCGTCGCCGGCCTTACCTGTCTGGGGAGGTAGAACTAAACTCATGGGAGTGTCACCTATTGCATGTGGTGCACCAGCTGGTAAAGAACGACCATTCATTCTAGACATGGCACCCTCAATCGCCGCGCGAGGCAAAATCTACAAAGCACTGCGACGAGGCGAGAAGATTCCCACCGATTGGGCGCTAGACGGCGAAGGAAATCCAACAGATGACCCCGAGAAAGCTCTCGAGGGTGTAATGTTACCTATGGGAGGACCCAAAGGATCCGCCCTCTCAATCATGATGGACGTCTTCTCCGGCGTCTTCTCCGGCTCTGCTTTTGCGGGAAACGTGACAAACCCTTACGACCCATCCAAACCAGCAGACGTGGGACATTTCCTAGTTGCGATCAAACCAGATCTATTCATGGATTTGGAAGAGTTCAAGTCACGCATGGATTATTTGTATCAGCGGGTTGTAGGGTCGGAGAAGATGGCGGGCGTGGAGAGGATTTATTATCCCGGAGAGATTGAGCATATTACGCGTGAAAGGAGGTTGGTAGAAGGGATACCGTTTACGGTAGCTGAGATTATGGGGTTGAATGAGGAAGCTGAGTTGGTGGGAGTTGAGAAGTTGTCTGCTTAAGAAGCAGAACCTAATCTTATCGATAAGTCGATTGTATAGTTATTCATCATCAAAAAGCGAATAATAACACCACTTCGGAAAAGTGCTTCTCAGATATGTAAAAGCATGCTGTATTAATTTATTTTAGAAATGTATCCTCATAGAGTGTATGAAGTAGTATGGTTAAGTCCCTTATCAACACCAGTTAAGGAAGGCGGTAGCCTAATCCCAGTCCGGCTTGCTGACGAGGCCGATTCGTCCTCTTCTTCACTCCACATATACAACATATGCCTGAGACATTATTCACTGTCGTACAGTCACAATCATGAACTGATCTCTATTCCTCGGTATATACTATCGAGGTCAATATCACCAGACTGCAAATCCATCCGGCCTCGTCATCGCAACAATGGGCTCCTCCCTTGACATGGTCAAGGTACTCTCCACCCCCCTTATCTCCTGAACATTTCATCTCTCTAACAATTGAAATAAATAGACCCTCCTAATCCCCGCCTTCATCTCACTAAGCATCTATCTCCTCCTCAGCCACCTCCTCCTCCCATTCTTCCGCCGCTACCGCCAACGCTACGCAAATTACCTGCCCCTAAGCACAATCTCAGCCCAGACCCTGCCCATCCGGGAACGAATCGCAGATGCTCTAATGCATTTTTTCTTACCGACTGCGTCCTGGCGACGACGTTTACCACGATTTATGCGTTCATCCACTGGCCCCGAAGATGAAGATGATGATAGCTCGGTAGATCATAATAGACCGGATAATAATGACTCGATAAGTATATTCGATGAAGAAGGGGAGAATATGGCGGAGATGAATATGTCGGCATCCAGAAGAGAAGCGTTAGAGGCGAGCAGGAGGAGGAGTTTTAGGAGTGATGAGCAGGTTAGGTTGAGTAGAGATTTGGAGGAGGGGTTTATGGATGATAGTGATGATGATTCGATACGGAGTTTACAAGAAAGACGGTGATATATATTATACTCTGGTGTATTGAGGATATGTTATTAGAACTAAATATATGGAATAAGACATAAATAAATCCCGTTCCTATGCCGATTTATCGTAAACATTAACTATCATTCTTGATCTGCAAGTTGAGTACTCGTATCACATTACAATCCCATCTAGAGCGGTATACGGCTGATGATGAGCCGGTAGGACGCCCTGTGCATGAAACGGAGACGATACAACCATCCCCGGGTGACTGCTCGTATGCGCATGACTAGGGAGAAAGTCCAGATGTTGCTGTACACTAAGCGCCCGCTCATGCGCTGGGATGTAATATGGATAATGAACTGCCACACCATTAGCTGTGTTTCAATATACAGAAATTTGGGTGACGTGGACTCACCAGGTAACCCGTGCATTGACAACTCTCTATTCTCGTACTGTTGCTCGCCGTCAAAATGCGACAAGCTCGGCTCATACGTGCCGGTCGATAGACTACTGCATGAACTATATGGAGTCGCGGGAGTGGGTGTTGGAATAGAAAGCGAGGGGCTAAACAGTCCTTCTACAGGCATGTCCCAACAGTACGAAGATGAGAGACCCGGAGGAGTTGACAGAGACCGTTCGGTGCCGGTGTCATCCCTCCCGAGTACCTGATCATGTAAATGTAGATGTACCTGTTGGTTTTGGGGGGACGGGTCGATGTGTTGCTGAGAGGGAATTATGATAGAAGGTGTCCCGACAGCCGACAGGGACGGCGACGACGAGGCGGGTGTTAATCGTGGGAGGGGCGACTGCACCGCAGGCGTGAATACTTGTTGCTGTTGCTGCGGCTCTTGCTTGATTGTCTTCGTCTTGGTGGATGGTCTATGTTCCCTCTTCCGTTTCCGGGTGAGTTGTCTATGTCTGATTTGAATTAGCTTAGACTTGTCCATACCTAGGGAGGGAGGTAGGGAGACACATACCGATTCTTTGCATCCAGGCCCGTCCGACCAGGGAAATATGTATCAACAATCTGTTTCCAAGCACGGCCAAACTCGCCGATTGCGAGTAAGAGTCGACGATCTTCATCTCGTGTCCAGGGACTGCGATCAATAGCCGGATCGAGCACATCGTTCCATCGTTTGAAGCATTCTGTCTGTGTTAGTAGACCAGCGAGAATAGAATTGGGCAAAACATACGATCACCATTCCGAGTTCCCACTACCTGCGCAACTCGAGACCAACTATCCTTCAGTCAGTATACATCTATGTACGACAGTAGCAGCTTGGTATGACATACTGCGTCCCATGTCGATGAATACCCATCTTCAACAACTCATCCTCAGTCTGTGACCAAGGACCCAGATTCATCGTCGCAGCGACACGGTAATGCCATCGCTTACGACAGTCTTTATTATTTCGACCGGGGAGATAGGAGGCAATGAGGCGCCAGTCGACTTTGTCTTTCTCTATACCCAAGATCTCGGGTTAGGGCTTGAGATTTCCGCAAGCTGGGGTAAGGGGAAAGCTTACCGCAAGCTTCAACTAGTCTTCTGAGGGTGTTATCTTCCTCTTGACTCCACAGGTTACGAGATCTATTCATCTTGTTTCTTCCGGTGTTGATATGTTTTGTTCAGTGTAGGTATGTAGAGTCAAGGGGTTTGTCTTCTTGATGAAAACGAAGCGGGGTTCAGAAGATGTTTTAAATTAAATCCCCAAGCTTTTCTCCAGGACTTTTAGCTTAAGTGCTCCAGGAGACAACGGGAAAAAATAAAAATAAAAGAAAATAAAAGAAAATAAACGTGCTATTAGCTCAGCCTGACCAGGCTTGGGAGTTTGGGACCGGCCGTACAGCGTATTGAACAGGACTGGGCGGCTTGAGAGCCGATCTGCAAGTCTACTCAATTGGCTGTGTCAAGAAAAATTACATATGAAAAAAAGAAAGAGCGAGAATAAAAAGAAAAGAAATCACCGTTCGTATGTTAGGGTCTAGGCTAGTACGCATTGTGTCAAAAGAATCATGTGTTGACAATGGCGGCTCGATTTGCCTCCATTTCTCCTCAGGCGATGTGCATGATGCATACATACTATGCATCGATGCGGGCTGCCATGAGCCAGACAGGCCACGGACTTGCCGATGCGTCAAGTCCGGCGACACAAAAGCAAGAACAAGGCCAATGGAAACGAGAGCCATCGAGGTGGGAAGGGGAGAGTTTCCGCCTGCTTTTTCTCCGTGTCTCCTCATGACAACAGAGACAATAAGAATAAGGCTGGGAGCTGTCAGATCCGGTCTGCCAGCGTGGGGGAACGATCTCGGACCTAGTCCATGCATCGACAAGTGGCTCGCTGGACAAAGCCAGAACGGGAATCGAGCATCAGCCTCATGGGAGTTCCGTATACACGGATTGGATTTCCGGGGGTGGTTTAATGGACTAAGGGTACGAACGACGACTGAAGAAGTCAAAATTAGCGAGCCGCTCTTCGTAAGGTAAAACTCAGCTGTATTGTATGTTTTATGTCGTTGAACTACTTACTCGCTTTGCGCCCAATGTATTTTGATTTCTGCAAATTGATTTCTTTTTGTGGCCGTTCTGACAGGGTGTATCCCTCTATCATTTTGCATTCAGCATAATACCATAATACTACTACTACTACTACTACTACTACTACTACTACAGTAGCTGGGCTGATGAAGAGTGACTGAACACGGATCGATGCTTCCACGATGCGGGCTCGTATTGTACTGTCACGGTAATACACTACTGAAATAAGCTTATTCCCGGTCAAACCTAGTACCAATACCGCATAAATACGTATAAATACGGTATCGCCGTCTGTCCTACCCTGCTTATTGATTGTTCCCATCGATTTACTACGTATCATCTTCTCCCCATTCACCGCGCATTACACAAGATCTCGCTTAATCAGTCAGATCTGAAGAATAAATAGAAAAGAAGAAAAAGAAAATTCTGGGAGTCCTGTTACCGATACTCTGGATCATCAGCCCACCAACTCAACTCTGCCAAGCGACGAAGCGAGCTATATTTGTCTGCATGCAGGTTGCATCTTCCAATGAGTGCCATTCCCACGCGAGATGTAATCTCGCTAACGAAACAAAAACAAAAGAAAAGAGAACGGATTGATCGCTTCGACTTGCTCCGCTCGGGTGAGAGTACTGGGTTCATAGGAGTTACGTTTTGATTTAACGAAGAAGTGAGTTAATGACAATCGCCACTGCGGCTGATCTACAGGGCCTCGTGAACTGTCAGCATTGAAGATGTTGTGTCCACGATCATGCATGATTCTAGACCGGTGTACTACATCTATTAGTCCGTAGCTTATTCCCTTGCTTCAATAGACAGGATGTAACAGATTGAATAAGTTACTGCATTAGGACTGTTATTACTAATGCATAGTTAACTAATATAAGCACTTCTGCGAGGGTCCCCCATGATCGTCGCTAGTAAGCCACGCATCGATAGAATCAGAAAAAGGCCGAAGGGCTCAAATTGGTATCATAATCATAGAAGTAAAGAAAATAAAATATTTATACACCAATCGCGTTCTTCACCCAATTCTCCAACCCCCCCTTGGCGATAATCTCCTGCACATTAGGAGGCAATTCACCCACGCGATGCGTCCAGGTCGTGCCGTCATGCTCCCTAACCTCGATCTGACTACGGCGCACGTCCCAGGTCAAAGTCCATCCTGTCCGGCGCGTAGGGACGTTGCCCTCGCCAAAACTCTCCCGTAACCGCTCAACCAGCCTGGGAACTTCCAATCCCATAAGCGCATTATTAATACTGTTGCGTGAAAAGATATTTCCAAAGCTTCCAGACACTACAAGCGGGATCTTCTTGGCTAGGATTGCCGTCGCGGCCTGTTCGCGAGAACTGCCGCAGCCAAAGTTGAAGCCGGATACGAGGATATCGCCTTCCTTGGCGATGGTGGAAAATGAAGAGTCGTAATTGGACATGCATACTTGTGCCATGGTTTCAACGGGCACGTTGTCTTGGTATGTGTATTTGCCCGGATATATGCCGTCGGTGTTGATGTTGTCTGCGTCACAAAACACGATTTCACCCGAGATACGTTCTGGGAAGCCAGGGTACAATTCTGTCAGAGCACTATCGTCTTTCTTTTCTTCTGATGTCGTTTCCTCTTGCTCCGACAAACCAAATCGTTGTTCGCCGTCTGCAATGAGATTATCAAGTTGGCCAATGACCTTTTCCAACGCCTCTTCAGCGGTAAGCGTGCGGTCTTCCTCCTTGATACCATCCCCTTCGCCGCGAATCACACCCGTCCATCCCTCCGGCTGCTCATACCAGCCAGGCCCCTTCAGAATACCAGACAGGGCACTGGCGGCCACCACTTCGGGACTTCCCAAGTAGGCTTTCGCATCCGTACTACCCATACGACCTTTGAAGTTACGGTTTGACGCACTAATACCCACTTCACCGGGCTCTAGTAGACCCGTTCCTAATCCAATGCAAGGTCCGCAACCAGCGGGAAGAGCCTCGGCGCCAGCATCTAACAGAACCTGCCAATCCCCGGCATCTTCAGCGGCTTGCTGTTCAGGTAAAGACGCCGCGGCGATGTAGAACTTGACCCCGTCTGCGACCTTGGGTATTTTGCCCCCGTTAGCTTCGGCGGCTTCTCTGAACACGCGAGCAGCAGCGGCAATGTCAGAGGCCCGTGAGTTGGTGCACGAAACAAGATATGCCTTGTTAACCTTGATATTCTGCGCCTCTAATTCGCTGATCGGCGTGGCGACTTTGACCGAATTGGGGCCGGACACGTAGGGTGACAAAGAAGATAAATCGAGAAACAGTTCCTTGGCGTATTTCGCACCCTTATCTGCTGTCAATGCGTTCGCGAACAGCTCTTCTAGTCGCTCATGGGTGAATCGTTGCGCGGCAAGAGTCTTGTAAGGACCGTCCGCTAGTCCCATGGCAGCAGTGGTGGCTTTGCCTCGCAACCAGCCCTTGAGTACGTCGTCGATAGGGAATAAGCCGGACAAGGCACCCCATTCTGTAGTCATGTTTGCAATTGTAAGACGGTCGTCTACCCTGAGACTGCGCATCGTTTCTTCGGAACCTGTGAATTCAATGGCGTGGTTGAGAACGTCGTCTTTGCCAAATAAATGGCACAGAGCGACGATTACATCTTTTCCAGTAACGCCAGCAGGTAAGACTCCAGTGAAATGCTACCAGCTGTCAGTGTGCATCCTATACCAGAATTGTATAAAGGTACGTACCACTCTCGCAATATTAGGAACCTGCCACCACGTCTTCCCAGTAGCCCAAATACTAGCTCCGTCGGTCCGCACAATAGGCGTTCCCAAACACCCAACACCCCCGTACATATTACTATGACTATCGGACGCCACAACCAAAGTTCCGGGCCACGCAAATCCCTCTTCAACCATAATCTGATGTCCAATACCTCTTCCAGCAGGATAAAACTCAACTCCATGACGCTGAGCAAATTCTTCAATTTGTCGGTACTTTTGCAGATTTTTCTCCGTCTTATTTTGCACGTCGTGATCTAGGGTCATAACGATCTGGTTGGGATCGTGTAGTTTCGAAGCACCTATGGACATGAATTTCAACGCGACGGGCCATGAATTGTCGTGTGTCATGCACCGGTGAGGACTGATGGTAACGTAGTCACCGGCCTTGACGAATTTTCCGGGTGCTAGGCCGACCGCATATTTCTGTACGATTTTCTCGGTCAGGGTCTGCGGGACGGAATCCTTCGATTTCATTGACGATAAGATGGCTGAGACATCGGGGTTGTCTAATTGAGTGTGGAAAACATCCTGGGAGAGGGAGGAGCGAGACGATGTGAAGGATCGTCGAAGTTGGATTGCAGTGCGCAGTGAGCGCCGGTGCAGCGTCACGCGCCTGCTTAATGAAGTATGGAATGGCATCTATTATATGTTAGATCAGAGAGGCTGCTATAAGAAAAATTGAGGCAGAATTGAATACCTTGAGTCTGGTGTTGACAAATGAAAAAGCGTGCATATAAGCAGAGCTAAATTTTCTGGGGAACGGGCCGATCATGACTCAGCATCTACCGATATCGGATCGTTCTACCGAGGATACTTTTGTTTTTAACAGGAACAAAATCCATTAAACGACTAACTCCAATGCTATGCAAGAATAGATGCCATATGTACATCTTACAACTTCCAAATCTCCCAGTCCTTGGCGCCAATCTGCTGAATGATTCCCTTTACCGGCCCTTGTAGCTCATACCCATGCGCCCAGACCTTGGGACCGGCCATGTAATTTATGAATCCCTCTGGACCCGAAATGATAATCATTTTCTTGGTATCAGGTGAAGGCTGCACCGAGTCAAGGTACGCCTTGATCTCTTTCGTGCTAATGAATGTGTTTTCCTCGTCGACAAAGTAATCGACTGAAACCTGACCAGGGTATCGGGTTTTGAGATCCTGCAGCTCACGAACTATAGCGCCTTGAGTTGTTGGCGCTGGGCTGGGTTTGGCGGTTGTTTCCTTGTGGAATGGCCACCACCGTGTTGACTTCTGTTGTATGATATTCGACGTATCACTAATCCCCCCGGCGCAGTCTTCTCGTTTCCTATTAGCCCATAGGATATGAATCTTAGGCCGTCTTCCTTCCACAGTTCGTCTGAATATGATGTAGGCAGCCTGTAAAGCCGGCGCAATACCCGTACCACCAGCGATGAACAATATATCATTTACCTCCGGGGGTATTTCGCACTCTATCTGCGGACCTCTCATCTCAATATAGGCTCCCTGTTGCAAACTGTGTAGATACCGAGACACCTCTCCATGCGGATCCCGACGAATCAAGAATCGCAAAGAGTCCTTTGTGTCTTGTTCATTCGCATTCTCAACCGGCGGAAGTGGTGTGTAATCTCGCCCGATTTGCAGCTGTGGTTGCTTGAACATCACACTCCACACACCCGTCTGCCATGCTAGGTTGTACGTCTCGCGATTATCTGTCGCCGCCGCCGCCGGTTCGACTGTGAATATACTATTCGTTGATGAGACTTGCTCTCTCGAGGCCAATTTGTAGCGTGAAAATGTCAAAGGATTCAGATTGGCATCAAGCGTGTCCTGTCGTGATCTGAAATAGGCTCCAATTGCGGCAGCTGTCAACGTGACCACCGTTAAGCGAATCCATACCCGGTGTTTTGGTGTTGAGGCGGCGGTAGAATAGCTTCGTGATGCGACGGGGGAGGATGACGGTCGGTGAATATATTGTCGGGTTGCCCTCCACTGAGGACAGCGAGTTGAGGCGAGCATTGTAGCGATTCGATCAGTAGTATATACATGAAGCCATCGTGGCTCGAATTGTTGAATGAAGTGGTTGAGCGGGAATGGCAAATCAGCTTAAAGCTTAGCGCGGAGCCACTTTCCCTGCGGATCATTGCATCTGGATTGCCCCTTGTTCGTAGTTTTATTCGTTTTTCCCATCAATTATCTATTCGTCGATTTGACTCTTCCATTGACAAACAGCATCGAAACTGGGATTGTAGTCTGTGACCAAGACGACGGTTATCACGGGCATGGCGACCCCGTTATACTTTCTATAAACTGAGACTCGAATAATTGCGCAATGTCTCCAGTGACATTTTCTGCAGACAACCAGGGCCATCCGCCGCGCGATTCCCTAGAGCTTGCTTCTCTCGCTTCCACGTCCGACGCTGGCTCTGCCGGACGGTCCTCATTCGAATCCTCACAATCAGGCATCTCTTCCTCCCGCAAACTGTCACTAGAAGCGGACGACCCATTGTCCGAACAAGCTGGTTTAGGATCGAGTCGCACGCGACCGAATCGCTCTTATTCTGTCTCTTCCGCTTTTGACTTTGGGAGTAATTTATTCCCCCTTTCGCAAACCGCTGGCGGCTATGCTCCTCTCGGCGCACCTTCTGTGACATCGTTGGAACGGTATGCGGGGCTTCGCGATGCCTCTTTGGAAAAGCACAAGTCTTTGACCTATTTGAATGGTTTATCGTTGATGTTGGCTTGATAATTGGTTCGGGGATATTTTCGTCTCCTAGTCAGGTTAATTTTAATGCTGGGTCGCCGGGGGCGGCTCTGATCGTGTGGGCCGTGGCAGGTCTTTTGGCATGGACGGGAGCTGCGAGCTATGCAGAGCTGGGAGGCGCTATACCATTGAACGGTGGACCGCAGGTTTATCTGTCCAAGATTTTTGGCGAAATTACGGGATTTCTGTTCGCCTGGTGTGCGGTTTTTGTACTTAAACCAGGTTCAGCCGCCATCATCGCCATCATATTCGGCGAATATGTCGTGAGAGCGTTTATTGGAACTGAGGTGGAAACAATCAGTCCATGGATCAATAAAGGTGTTGGCCTGGCTGGGGTTTTGTTTGTGACCATTCTCAATTGCGCATCGACGAAGCTTGCTACTCTTGTTGGGGATCTATCCATGTTCTTCAAATTCGGCGCACTGCTCGCAGTTACAATAATTGGAATCATAGTCGCCATTACCGGGCTGTCATCGAAGGGGCAGGCTAATCAAGATTGGAAGAATACGGGTTGGTTCGAAGGGACAAGCACGGATATCTCTGACTGGGCTGTCGCGTTATATGCAGGGCTCTGGGCGTTTGACGGATGGGATAATGTAAGTTTCTCTAAGACAAGACTCTCTGACATCTATCTAACCTTTCCAGACAAACTACGTGACCGGCGAGTTCAAGAACCCGAACCGTGACTTACCACGTGCGATACATACAGCAATGCCTGTGGTCATTATTTGCTACCTCATGGCTAATGTTTCGTACTTTTTTGTTCTTCCACAAGCGACGATAGCAAAGAGTAATACAGTGGCCGTTCAATTCGGAGCCAAAGTGTTTGGTCCAGTTGGCGCACTCATTCTGGCTCTGGTTGTATCCGGAAGCTGTCTAGGCGCTCTCAACGCGACATGCTTTACAAGTGGCCGTCTAGTGTACGCTGCAGGTAAAGAAGGCTACCTCCCAGCGGTTTTTGGGAAGATCGGGTTTGGCAGATCAAACAACACTATGGGAGGAAGCCGATTGCAGCGTCGGTCTTGGTTCCACAAGGCATTCTCATGGCTATGTGGAGGCAGTGCAGCCATAGGATACACCCCAGTCAATGCAATGCTCTTCAATGCTGCAATCACTGCAGTATACGTTGCGGTTGGAGAATTCGGCACGTTGCTCACTTTCTACGGTGTGGCAGGATACACCTTTTACTTCCTCACGGTTCTCGGGTTGATTGTGTTGAGGATACGAGAACCGCATCTCGAGCGCCCTTATAAGACATGGATCACGACACCTATAATTTTCTGCTGCGTTAGTCTTTTCCTTCTTAGTCGAGCGGTCATTGCCGAACCTTTACAAACCCTTATTGTCGTTGCTTTTGTTGCAGCTGGTGTTCCTGCTTATTTCTGGATGATGTATCGACGGGATGGAACTATCAAGTGGCCAGATTGGAAATTCTGGAAAAGCAGGTGAAGACATCTGCTTTTTGACAGTTTCACCGCCCCTGGGAGACTAGGTTACTATATCTTTTAATCATGTATAATACCCACCTTCATGTATACTGTTTTTGGTTTTGCGATGCATCCCACAGTGGGTGGGTCAACGGTGTTGGTATGGTGATTTGGCGAGTGAGATGAGAGCTGTATGTCTTATGATAGTGTCATAATAAATAATTCTATATAATTATTGTACCTGATGTTGATCTTTAAAGGTAATTTGGTAAACGCAGAGCTCCCGCACGGACCACCACTTTAACTATTTTTGTCGACGCGCGCTGCGCGACTATCTCAACAACAACTTTAAGACGACTGACTACTGAGTAAGAACATACTTCTTATCGTACATTCAAAAAGTCAATATGGCTCAAGCAGAATCATCCAAAGCTGCTGCCCGCAATGGTCTTCATGCTTCAACAGCCGGAGCTCCCCCAGACTACGAGCTCCCTTGGTATGATTCCCTACTCCTCTCTACTCAAATCACTAGGAAGAACACAACTAACTATCAAAGGGTCGAAAAATACCGCCCAGTCTACCTAGACGACATCGTCGGCAATACCGAAACAATCGAAAGACTCAAAATCATCGCCAAGGATGGAAATATGCCCCATGTCATCATTTCCGGTATGCCGGGTATCGGAAAGACGACTTCTATCCTGTGTCTTGCGAGACAGATGTTGGGGAATGCATACAAGGAGGCTGTTTTAGAGTTGAATGCGAGTGATGAGCGAGGTATTGATGTTGTTCGGAACCGAATAAAGGGATTTGCACAGAAAAAGGTTACGCTTCCTCCGGGGAGGCATAAGCTTGTTATCCTTGATGAGGCGGATAGGTATATAAATATCACATTTTCCTCTGATTACAAGAGCTAACGATTATTAGTATGACGCCCGGTGCTCAGCAAGCCCTCCGACGCACAATGGAAATCTACTCGACCACCACCCGCTTCGCTTTTGCCTGCAATCAATCCAACAAAATCATTGAACCTCTCCAGTCTCGTTGCGCGATTTTGCGCTACTCGCGTCTAACAGACGGTCAAGTCGTAAAACGTCTCAGCCAGATATGCGAAGCTGAAAAAGTCGAGTTCTCGGAAGATGGTATTGCGGCACTTGTATTCAGTGCAGAAGGCGACATGCGTCAGGCAATTAATAACTTGCAGAGTACTTGGGCTGGATTCGGCTTTGTGAGTGGTGATAACGTCTTTCGTGTTGTCGATAGTCCACATCCGATCAAAGTTCAGGCAATGATTAAAGCTTGCTGGGAGGGGAAAGTGGATTCTGCTCTAGACATTCTAAATGAGCTATGGTATGTCATTCTCGTCAACTTTGGCCGTCGGTGATGCTAACTGCGATAGGAATCTGGGCTACTCCTCGCACGACATCATTAGCACCATGTTCCGAGTCACAAAGACCATTCAAACACTTTCAGAACATGCCAAACTCGAATTCATCAAGGAGATTGGTTTCACACATATGCGCATCTTGGATGGCGTCGGCACTCTACTGCAATTGAGTGGTTGTGTTGCGAAACTTTGCAAGATTAATATGAAGCCTGAACTTTTTGTGCCGTCAAATAAATAGTACTCTGGTCAGATGTGGTATGCATTTATTGGCGTTCTGGTGTGGGCATTTGAGTTTGGGGCGTTGATCTATTTACATGATGATAGGAAAGAATTCTATTCATTTATTCAGAGTCATTTGTTGGTGAATTCTAAGAATCCGGGTTTCAAATCTACATTAAGTGGCCCACGTGGGTGCTAGTTGGTAGAATAGTTTAGTTCAACCTCAACCTCAACATGTCAACAATCAGCCCTTAACCGACCATGGACTAACATGAAGGAGACGATAACCTGAAATGATCTTCTCGAATCCGTTCACCCACGATCTTCGCACGAGACGATGACACCCCATGTCTCTATCTCATTCATCCTTAGCGCAATACTAACAACAACCATACGCGCGGTCGACAACAGCTGGCACCCCCCAGATGCAAGTGCCATCAACAATCTAGATCTCAATCTGGGCTCTGACGGCGTGTTCGATTTTATATTTGACTCCTCTATAACTCCCGACGAGCGATATGGACGGTACAATTACTGCAATATGCCGCATGTGCGCAGGAGAGAATACGCCGTTGCGTCGGCGGAGTATGAACTTGTTTATGTTGAGATAGTATGCTCCATATCCCTCATAGTAAGTTAATCAAAGACTAAAGAGATCACAGATTCATCGCCATCACAAAAGAACACCGTATCAATCCAATACCTTCCCCTTGGAAAATGATACATGGTATTGCAACGATACACAACTCTATCACTACGCCCAACCTTCAGCCGGACAACAAATGAGCACCAATACTTATTGGCAGATTGAAGAAACCAGTGCATTCGATTTGTTCCCCGTATCTGGATTTCCGGGTACGTGTATCTTTCCGCAGATTACTCGTGAAGGATTACAGGATTCATGGCAACATGGTCGCGACATTTATGAGGTTTATCATGATCTTTTGGGGTTTTTACCCGGTGAGTTGGATCAGAGGAAAGTGAAGTTTAGGGTTACGAATAATGAGATTACGAGTCACGTTGCGGGTATGGTTATTGGGGGGATGTACGGAGAGGGGGCTGCCGTGCCGTTGCATGTGCAGGTTTGTTTGCTCTCGACAGCTGTTATAGAAAACATTGCTAATGATGAGTTTAGAAGGCAGGTGTTGATTCCTTGGAACCACAATATCCATGCCCTGGTGGCCAAGCTCTATTCAACAACATCAAACACCCCAACTCTCCATCCTCTGAACAATGGAAGACTCATCTCGAAAAGACCAAGGAATTAATGGAGTCTTTGGACTCCATATCCGGCATTCCCTCAGATGCAGATGATTGGCACACCAGCTACGATCACTACTTTGACAATCTTTCCTCTCGACTATGTCACTCCAAACCTCTACCTTGCAAACAAGAGCAACAGTCCAACGACGCGAAATGCATAACACGCTCACAAGCAAACTCCGTATTCCGTCTTGGACAATGGGAATACTCACGTTTATTTCGTGATGCGCCGTCCTCGCTTATAGCCAGCGCAGCGTTATATGGTGTTTTCATTGCTGAAATTGCGCAACATCTACGCGAGCAAATCAGATTCTTAGATGAGGATATTGATCAGAGTGGTAGAGTGTTGTATCGACACAACGTCGCGCATGATGGAAGTATTTCGCAGATACTATCGCTACTACAAACCAGGCAGATGGTTTGGCCGGGTATGGGGGCCGAGATTGTTTTTGAACTATATCGGAAGAGACCTTCTTCTTCGAAAGAGAGTGGGCTCTATGTCCGTGTTTTATGGGGAGGACAAGTGTTGCAGAGCTCAAATCCGGAGCTCGGTGATATGAAGTTTGTGGATTTGGAGAAGTTGCTGGGTTATTTTGATTCTTTAGTTGGACGGAAAGCAGAGAGTGTTGCAGATCTGTGTTGATTGAATATCAGTGCAGTTGCTGGAAACTGTTTTGGATGAGACCAGTAGAATGAATTGGCTCCTCTTAACTAGACCAAAAGCTGTGCATATCAATTGATATAGTATAGAACTAAATAACTAGCATGAGGTGATATTCCAGAGTGGGTGAGTGGATGTCCCAAGGAAAGATAACGGAGTAAAAGCGGCGAGGGATAGCTCAATGTGGATCTGAGTGGGAGCTCCCCACCAAAGTTTGAAGTTGACGATCCATTATGTACACAAACAACTTCACTACGTACACTCGAACCCTTTTACGAACCTCTACATTCTGATCGCCATGCCCCCCACGCGCCGAAACCTCTTTCCAAGCCACCTCAGTCGTCGTCCAGCATTCAATCCCGCTCAGGACTCAACCAGCGACGCCGACAACACGTCCTCCAACAATGACACCAAACACCACAACGCTCAAGATACAGATTCCGGACCAATGACACCTGAAACCACAAACACAACCACAGCGCTTCTACTAAACAACGGCGACATCATCGCACGCGACAAGAACGGAAAGTTCCAACTAGACATCCCCATCCTGCCGCCCATACCACTTGACGAGGAAGACGGAGAAGACGATGCTGAAGATGAAGAATCAGGCGCTATGGAAGGGATAGAGGGTGATGGGACGCGACCTAGTGGTGGTAGCTCAGAAGTTATAGGGAAGGATAAGGACAGTGAGTTTTCCGTCTAAAATCATTCGGATAGGATAAGATGGCTGATACGGATGGTGAAAAGAACTAGAGGATTTGGTTGAGATGATGTATCGGAATCGGAATAGGCATTTGAGTGGTGAACCAGGTAGGGGATTTTTTCTGATAGACGTCAACTTGGTGCTAATAGGGTGATAGAGCTACTGAATCTACTGCAGCAGAGTTTACATAACAAAGTTGCGACTTTGGAGGAAGATAACTGGATGTTTGAGCCGGAGGATGATCCTCTCGTGTGAACGGCACGTTCTTAATCAACACATGATTTTATTAAAAGACAAGGGTACTATTCTGTGGTCGAGAATGATCATATACATGCCACTTCGGACACATCTAGTCCAACTCAGCACTGGCCGGAGCCGCTTCAACTCTCCTGCTCTGCCCTCGCTGGTTTCCACCACCACCACCACCACCACCTCCGAAAAACATACTACCCATCATATCCAACAATGGATTCCCCTGTCTCGGAATCTTGATGTTGAAATACATCTCTCCAATAGTCGCCAACGCATCATCCCAAATACCAACCTCCTCAATGTGAGGGGTGTAATGCCTCGTCAAATCCCGGAAGAGATCTGCACTACCGCGCTGAACGGCAATCAAGAGCAGACTAAGGAAATTGAGCAGGGGCAATGATGGGTAAATCCGTACGTCAGCGCTTGTGCTGCTAACTTGCTGCGAGGCGAGTGAAGGGTACGCTGCTGAGAGACGGGATGTGAAGATGAGAAGGGCTTTATTGGCGTTGCGCAGGTTTGCTGTGAGAAGGTATGGGATGACGGCTCTGGAGGCGTATATCCCTGCTGTATGCGCGTCGTCGGCTGTGTACCATTCGAATTCTAGTTTTGCGAGTGTTTCGGCGGAGTCTGTGGTACCAAGGATGAGATGTCTTTCGGCGTCATACGGCTCATTTTCTAGGTTGTGTTAGTATGAATAGATATTTTCCATACACGGGGAACATACCTTCAGCATAAACAGATCCAGCAGCATGGTGAAGTTCCGGATCTCCACGTTCTAAAGGACCGAATTTTGAACTCCAGCTAATTATCTCGGTTATGTATCTCTTCCGAGAAGGTTCATCAGGAGGAAATTCACGCAACAATTCAATCAGACGTTCTAGCATAATCCCTCAGTAAGTTTCAATACCCGAGATATGAAGAGGGACAAAAAAAACATACTCTTCCGTCCCCTCGACTCAGCATCATCCAAACCAATCTCCCACTCAGCCTTGTTGTAAACCTCAACGACAAGCATAATCGCCAAATCCCCACCACTCGCAGAGGCACCCTGTTGCGAGCCAGCTCTCAAAAGAGCCTTTGCGCCGCCCGTTAATATTTCGGCTGCGGCATCGTAGTTGGATTGTTTGAGGTAGCGGGCTGCGATGACGCGGAGTTGTTGGTGGGCTTCGTAGTAGGAGCCTGCTGCAATTCTGGATTGATGCAGTATTAGCACTGTAGTCTTGAAGTAGTCCTTTCATGAGAAAACTAGAAGAAGATCGTTGGTGACGTACTTTTCTTGCTGTCGAGCAATTGTCTTGTCGATTTTGGATGTCATAATGGCGAATCTAATATCTCTGGAATAGTCTATACTTCTGCTGTCTTCGATTCAAAGAAAACAAGGTATAACGCATGAATATTCTCAAGACTATCGTTGATGTTGAATGATGAAGCCGGCGGGGCAGAAAGCAGGTCCAGCTCATTCTTTGCGAAGTTACCGTGTCAGCCAATCACATGGTCAATGTTGATGAGCTCGGATTCTTCCTTTCTCACATTTCTTCTACGCTTGTTCTCCGTCTAGGAATTTCAGCTTGCAAATACTTTCAGGTGCTGAATAAATATTCTACTTGATGATACAGTTCTATGAAACGCTCTGGTTTTGCAATTGCAAAGCGCGTCTTTCGACAATCCTTGATGCGTTCAACCATAATGAATTCTCACATTTTCGACATTCAACCACTTCATCGCTTCTCCGGTTCGAATGCAGCAATTCGGCGGCCTAGGGTGAATACATTCTCACCTTTTTAATGGATCGTCTAACAACGTTTTGTCTACAGGAAATCGCATACTTCTCCTACGATGACGAGCACAACTTCCGCCTCGATGAATCTTCAATGCGATACTACTACCCACCGCAACCGTCGCAATTACCTCTCGATTTAAGCGCCGGGTTCGACACGTTTCAGAAACTGGATGATGCGCCGGACGAGCACTTGGATGCTCTATTGGATACGATAGTAGCGTTGGAACAGAATACAGAGAAGAAATGTGAAGCGGATATTGTTACCTGGAGGGGTATGATGACGAAGGTGTGCTCTTTTTTTTTCGAGGTTTATTCGAGGTCTGAATTGGTTGTTGATAATTCCCGGGGTAGATCATGACGGCGCCTTTTGACATGCTGAATGGGTTCGTCTAAGTCCCAACAATGGGAAATTCGGTGACTGATTTGGCGCAGGTTCGAGATGAATGCGACTTATTTTCAGGTGGGTAGCCTCTTTCACCTTTGGCTCGGACAGTATACTGATTGCAGTGCAGGGCTCAATGTAAGCATATTTTCTGTCCTGAATGTCGAAGTCACATCTCACATTGCTTGCGGCAGTTTCATCGAAGAAAATAATACATATAAGAATGCACAAAAGGAGATTCAACGGAATCAACGAATGCCACCTGGCATGCCATCACAAGACATGATGGCCTATTGGGGTATGTCAAACCGTTTCTTTGTCTGTCAGAGAGACGAGTAACCCATAAATTTCGCAGGATACAAGTTCGAGACAGTCTCGGTCATTCCGGATACCTGGGGTGAAACAAGTCGCGAAAAGATTGAAGGACGAATTCACGAAATCGTAAATAACAAAGCTCAGTACTGCTCGGTTGTACGGACTGGATTTGGAAAGGTGAAGTTGGTGATAGGAGGTGAGGTAGATGCAAGTAAGAGTCCCCTCTCCTTATTTTCCTTTTTTCAGTGCTTACTTGTCACTCAGTCTGGGACTGCAAACCCGTTCGCAAAGAAGACCCAATCAACTGGGTAGAGCTGAAAACAACTGCCGAGCTATTCAACGACAAGGAGAAGCTCAAATATGAGCGTAAACTGCTCAAATTCTGGGCACAGTCTTTTCTTCTAGGGGTTCCCAAGATTATTGTCGGATTTCGCGACAGAGATGGCATGCTTCTGCGGCTCGAAGAGCTAGAAACTCATGGGATTCCTGGCAAGGTCAAACGAGAGGGTCGAGGCAGTTGGGATGGAAATATCTGTATCAACTTTACCGCAACTTTTCTTGAATGTAAGATTGATATGCTCGATGTTCTGAATCGCTTTGCTGATATGTACCAGGGCTTAAAACCATAGTCAACACCGAGGGTACATGGCGGATTCGCAAAAGAGAAAAATCACCAGTCATTGAGGTTTTCAAGGTCGAAGAAAGTGGCAATGGTGGCATATTATCTTCCAGTTTTGTCGAGTGGAGGACGAAGCAGTGATGCATCGACTTTTCCAAGAAACCGAAAACCAAGTGACTCTTGCAGAGAGGATCTAATAGCATCCTAGGGATGCATAGCTATGCGCAGTGATCTGTTATTCGAGATCATAGTGACCTCCCGGTGTCGATACAACGACTGCCAACCGCCGATTCGAGTCCGAACGGGTGTTGCAATCTTGGTTCCCTAGACTAAGGCGGCTGCGCATTAATAACCTCAACAGGCGGATGATTTCGCAGCCACTCCATATTCCGCGCTCTTTTTGCAGCTGCCTTGATCGCTCGCCGATGACTTGCAGCATGGATATGAATATCCCACTGCTCCTGGCCCATTAATGTTTTCTTGCACATCTCGCAGGTCATCTGTTTTAAGGCTTGGGCAGGCGGTATGGTACCCTTTGTATAGTTCTGCTCTCTCTCCCTGAGCATTTCTTCGGCCAGCTTAGAGATCGTCTTTGCCTCTGGAAGCTGCTCACTGCGTAAAAACGCTTGCACAATACGCTCCATCGGCTCAGTCACGCAACTATCCCACGCTCCTGGATCGGTGCTGTCCAGGACATATAACCGATTGGTAGCACCGATATCTGCCAGTGCAGTCCATAGCTTATTCCGAATCCACTTTACCTGACTAGCGGAATACTGCCTTGTCGAAGTCTTCACACATTCCAAGCAAGACTGTTTTAGGTTTTTGAGGTCATCTTCACTGTAATTGCCGGCCCGCAAAGCAGTGAAATAAGGTTCCATCTCTTTATACCCTATAGATACCCAGATTCCTCTCGATAGATCAATCTGTTTTCCCTGTGCCGCCTGTTCCTGCGCATACTCAGACAACGATTGAGCCTCTGCAATCAGACCTTGCTCTGACATAGTATCCACACGATTTTCTAGTCGCCTGTAGAGCTTCTCTCTTTCTGAATGTACCCAGAATACTAGCGTCTGAAATCGTAGCTGACCCGCCACGATACCTTCAGGGTTATCAATCGCAGCCTGTCGTAGCCGCATTTGCTCCTCGTAGATCTCCGACGCAGGTCTACCTGTTTGAAGATATATCTCCAGAGATCTCCGAATCTTCCTCACTTCGTTTATGTGCCAGCGATTCGCCATAACAGGATCAACCTCCCGCAGTTTCTCCATCATGGGCCCAACGGGTGCATCAAGAATCGCCCATTCTTCTCCTTCTTTCCGCTGTCGCTCGGATTGCTGCCCATTGTCGTCTGACACACCATTTTCCGCCCCTTCTCCAACCAATGCATCATTGAACAAGACAGATTGCACATAATACGAAGTTCCCCCCACAAGCACCGGAATTTTCCCACGCGACTGAATATCCTGTATAACTCGCAGACACTCCTTTTTAAATAGACCAATTCGCCACGACTCTTCCTCCAGACCGATGAAGTCAATCAGATGATGCGGAATTCCTTCCCTTTCGTGTAGTGGGATTTTGTTGGTGATTATAGGTAGTCCGCGGTAAAGCTGCATTGCATCGCCGTTGATGACTTCGCCATTGAATCGTTTTGCGATGTCGACCGCGAGCTGTAGAAGAGTGAAGTTAGCTTGGTTAAAGAAAGTCAAGGAAAGTGTATTATGCAAACCTTTGATTTACCGGTGCCAGTCGCACCGACAACTGTTATGAGTGGCTGCATGATCGCTAATTGTGATCGGGTGAGGAGTGGACGAAAAATGCGCATTTCAGCGGATGCAGAGTTGGCCCATTATATTTGTGTACCAAGAAGAGTCGATACAGCTTGGTTAGTCGAAAAACACACAGTAGGGTGTGTTGAATTGCCCTGCATTCGGCGTATAGATGCGGAGTTGAAAATAAAAATGAGTCAATTCACGGGAAGAATAATGTCATCAGAAGGGCGTGATATTTGGTCCCCGCCAAAGGGCCCGTTAGTGTAATATAAATTTCGGAGTTTACCCCTCGCTTCTTTCTACCTTCAGCAGTCTGTTATTTATTTATCAATTTCATTTGGCATTGACTACATATTTATATAAAGTCAACATGGTACCTTCAATCGAGGTACATGGCCTCAGCTACAAATTCCAGGATGGATCCGATGGCCTCAAAGATGTAGAGCTCAGTCTTCCTTCAAACAGCAGAACGTTACTCATTGGAGGTTTGACTTTTCCTTCATATTTCTTGTATAAATTCAACTAATGTAGAAAATAGCAAACGGGGCTGGCAAAACAACACTCCTGCGCCTTCTGTCCGGCAAAAAACTAGCACCAACCAACACAATCGCAATCGGAGGAAAAGACCCCTTCAAAGACGGTCTTGAAGGCGTCACTTATCTGGGTATGGAATGGGTTCTGAACAGCATTGTCCGTACAGATATTGACGTCCCCACGCTCCTCGCCTCCGTGGGCGGAGACGCATTCCCTGAACGCCGCGATGAGTTGATTGATATTCTCGACATTGATCTCGGCTGGCGCATGCATGCCGTCTCGGATGGAGAGCGTCGTCGCGTCCAATTGGCAATGGGTCTAATACGGCCGTGGCAGATCCTACTTCTTGATGAGATCACGGTCGATCTTGACTTGTTATCTCGTAGTAACTTCCTATCGTTTTTGAAACGCGAGACTGAAACGAGGGAATGCACGATTGTCTATGCTACGCATATCCTGGATAATTTGGCGCAGTGGCCGACTCATCTGGTGCATATGCATTTGGGACAGGTTAAGCAATGGGGTCCCATAGAAAGTTTTAATGAAGAAGTGCCCAATCGATCGACGGAGAATAGTCTGTTGGGAGACTTGGTGCTCCATTGGCTCAAGCAGGATTTACAGGCTCGTGGGCCAAGGAATCCCAAATCTGGGCAGGGAAGGACGTATTCGAGTGCTGAGGGGTTGGGTGGCTATGGGTTGGAGAAGAGGCCTCCAAAGGAGTAAACCAAAAACTGAGGACTTGTGTTCAACACTGTTGTGATGATGACGATGTTTCAACTACTTGCATTGAAGGAGTACGGTGATGGAACTTTTTGCATAGATCCGGCCATGTTCAACCAGCTGGGAGGCTTCAACGCCATGTTATTGCTTTAGGATGGAATTGTGTTTTGCTTGGTGGCTACATTTACAAGGTTAGGACTTTTGGGTTTGCGTGGAATAGCAAAGCTTGATATTATATGTCATTTCCAATTCTTTTCATAGTCTCGAATGCAACATGATCTATACATGAGCGACTCTATATATACGCACAGAAGAGTCCTCGCTTGCGACTGCAAGCAGTACGCCCTCTTCATCTCCATTATTCTTGAATGTTAACGATCGTTTAGGCCGCCAGGTGATTTGCGTGATTGACTTGGACGGAGAAGATGTTGTATCAAAAGTGACCAACTCCTTAGCCTCAAGACTGTCGGTCGCTACTTTTTGCACTGATATTTGTCCAGTTTCCTCACCAATAGCCAGTAGAAAGCCATCAGAGAGAATCTCCGAGTGGAACGACACCGCAGTGACGGCAGTCTTGAGTGTGATGGTCGATATGCATTCAAATACATCTGAGGAAGCTGTCTCTCGCCAAATTTTTACGCACTTGTCTCGACCTGCCGTTGCGAATATTGATTGTTGTCCCGATGACGGCGCCCATGCTGCTCCAAGGATCATTCGCGAATGAGCCTTGGGATTCGATTTGAGCAGAGAATAGGTCGAAGGATCCTGTTCATCTCGTTTGAAAATCGCCCATTGACGGTCACGTCCCACGCTCAGCAAGTATTGATCAGAAGGCGAAAAGCAAAGTGATGTTATAGTTAGTGAATGTGCGGTCAGAGAAGGTTTAATTTCACGCCAGTTCTTCGTGTCATATAGACGAATGACTGCATGGTCGATAGAACTTGCTTTGCATGCTGTAGCGATCAGAGAACGGTCATGGCTAACCGATACTGCTGAGATTTCGTATCCATGACCATATAGTTTCTCGTGCTCTGGCCATAATGTATGTCGAGCGAGATGGTCTTCCAGGGGAGGTTGATGCATAGGTAAAGACACCGGTGCTGCTTGCTGTTCCCTTTGATCAGCTCCTTGCCCGCCGAGTTGGTCGTCTGTTAATGTGATGTCTTCCCCGACAGCCTTGTTTGAGAGACCAAGAACGGGGATGTTGGCTGCTTCTGGCAATTCCTCTTCATCCTGCGATATACCACAAAGTCTTTCCAATAGCTGGGCGATTTGTTTAGGCTCGTTGAAAACGCGTAGAAGTTTTTCATCCGCACCAGAGATGAATCTTGCAGGTCCCAGCGTATCTATGCAGTTGAGATCGTACCCATGAATTTGCGGCCGCGAGAATTCATGCCATGATGATTCTCCAAACCGTAACCATTCAGCATGAAGTCTACTAGTCTGATCAGAGCTTGTAGATAAAAGATATGCACCCTTCGCCTCCCATTGAATGTCGTTTACGGAACGAACATGACCACTGATCCCAAGTCGTTGCTGCCAAATATCCGTCTCTTCATCATGTGTCCATGCCCTCCAACTACCCGTCCGAGTCAGACACACAACTTCTTTGCCATCAGGAGACCAGAGTCCAATCCAGAAACCGCCCGTGCTACCTGTTGCCGTAGTCGAGCCCTTTGTTACACTGAATTCTCCCATTCTTTCCATTGTAACCCACACGCCGGTAGTTGGATCTTGCTCCCATATCGTCAATGAATTATCTGCAGATGCAGATAGAAGCTGTGCTTTTTCGGTTGTGGGACTCCAGTTCACGGTATATATCCAATCCTCATGACCTAGTAACAGAGCTTCAAAGGTTATGGAATAAGTCACACCAGAAGCGCTGAATGTGTGCGCTTTATTAGAAAGTGTCGGCTCATCTCCTCCAAGTGCCATGTCATCCTCATCCTTGGGGAGTGTAGATGCTATTTCACCACGATGAACTTTCCATAGACGAATGTACTTATCCTGACTGGCTGATGCTAGAATGTATTCATTGTCAAACTTGCGGAAAGCGAGAGACCGTACCCAAGCTTCATGGCCGGACAATTTGGCGCTCCGGATGAAATCTATTTCTTGAGCGGTGGTATCTTGCGCGGAGAAAACATATACGTTATTGGTTGTGCCTCCAACAGCCATGACCATTGGCTTCTTCGGGTCCGAGGCGTCCAGCACTTGAATAGCCAGGGTCAGCGGGAAGAACCTGGGTATCATAGGCATGGTCTGTACTAGTCGTCCAGACACTTGACCGTCCTGGAAATCCAATCTCCAAACCCTGACTGTACCATCAGCAGCTCCAGACGCAAATACATTCGAGCCGTTATCCACGCCGATAGTGTTGACAGATCCCGTATGCCCGGTAAGCTCACAGACGCATGTATACGATGACGATTGTTCAACCGGTTTCCAGACTCGGATTGAGTGGTCCACAGACCCGGTAATCAGCAAGCTGCTTTTGAATTGGGGATAAGCGACGAAGCGTACGACGCTGACTTTGTCGCGATGGCCGACGAGCAATGCATGGACTCCGCGGTGGGACTAATGATCATGTCAATTAGTTGAACTACTCTCGTGATCATGGATATGGCTCAGAGCTATTTACCTTGGGCTCCCACAGAGCTACATTGTTATCCGCACCATACGCAAACACACCTGAGCGAACGTCCCAGTCGGCAGCACCAGCATGGCGGTTGCCGCCGACGCTGATATATTCTGTAGCAACACGAACCATTGAATAAATTCACATCATTCAATTCCTAATCCTTGGAAAAGAAAATTTTTAGCGCTCAGTAAGCTGGCGCGTGCTGTCTGTAGTGAAAAGTTGAAGTGGGATGACGATGTGACAGACTGCGAAATTTTAAGCTTATCGATAAGCGGTGGGCCATGTTTCCCCTCCGGAACATTTTCTCTTGCGTATCAACTTGATCTTTTTATTACTATTTTATATATGATATTCTCGAAAGTCCCAAATATGGTCTCGAATCCAGATACTGAGAACCCATCCCAGCCCGACGAAACCATTTCCATATCCGTAGAGTTTACGTGAGTCCTCGACCAGCTCATACCTATATTCAACTGACTTGAACCTGCGTCAAAACCCAGCGGTGGACTGGAGATGCTCTTTGCCAACGAACGAAAACATAACCTCACAATTCCTGCAAAGACAAACGACGGAAAACAGCCGACGATTGGGTGGCTCATACAGTATCTTGTTGAGAACTTGATGCAAGACACGAGGAAGGAGTTGTTCATACTAGATGATCATGTGTAAGTTTTTATACAATATTCATTGATTGATTACAAGTTTACTAAGGTGATTTCAGGCGTCCCGGCATTCTAGTTCTGATTAATGACGCAGACTGGGAACTCGAAGGGGAAGAGGCATATGATATACAGCCCAAGGATAATATATTGTTTGTCTCCACGCTCCACGGAGGATAGTCCAGTGGAGGTTGAATGATGTATATTGTCAAGAGAATGTCTATCTTTTTATGATAAAGCAAAAAAGCCGAGAAAGTGCAACGCTTGGTGAATGAATAGACATGATTGAATGCTAATAATTATAACCGCTGGTAAACAACGCCTATACCACATCCTCTACATGCTGCTGAGTAAGCCTCTCGGGCTCTTGAGGAGTTCTAAATCCACTTTGAGGTGTGGATAAGCCTGTAATAGGGCTACCCAAACCCACCTTTGGTGTTGTATAGCCACTGGCAGGTACGGGGATCTTTATATCTTCTGGAGATGGCGGGATTGTTTCCTCTGGTAGACCTGGGATGGGTATCCTTCGGGCTTCGTTTTGATAACTGGCAGGTATAATCTGATAATGGGTTAGTTGGAGACGTGAAAAATAGCAGGTGAGTGAGACATACTTCGATAATTTCGTTGCGAGGAAACGACAGAAACGGGATGTCTGCAGCGTTACACGCCATCAAGTATCCGTACAAGACTCTCAACACACTCTCGTGAGCTATAATGAGTAGGTCGTTTTTCTCCCGTTCTAATTCAAGAATAATCGGTTCTAGCCGTACAGCTAAATCGTGATATGACTGCGACCGGTCTAGTTAGTGTTGATCTGGCCACTCAGACGTTGGATACATACCTCTGCACGAGGATAGCGATGATGATAAGGATCCATTTCGTGCTTCGCTACTTCTTCGGGATATTCCTGTCTGATTTTTTGTTCAGACATCGCCTCGCAAACCCCTGGGTTAAGTTGACTCAATTGCGATCTTTGGCGCACGGAATAGCCCTTTTCGTGCAGGTATTTGGCAGTTTCGACTGTTCTGAGTCGTGTTGATGTCCACACCGTCAATGGTTTCAGTACAGCATCTGACACTCCCTGGTCTTTCATGGCCTGTCTCTCGGACTCTCTGTGTTGAAGCAACGTTTCGGTCATTTTCTTCGCGTAGTCCCGTCCCTGCTCCGACAAAGAGGAGTCTGCTTTGTAAGAGTTTGCATCAAGTGAAATACCGGCCTGGAATTAACTTTAGTATATAATTAATACCTACTCGAGGGGTAACTCACTCTAGCGAAGTATGTATGTCTCGATTTTATGTGCAAGTTCAAAAGATAAAAAACAATCCGGTTCGAGAGATACCCGAAGCTGCGATTATTGATAATTAGGCGTTCCCCAGCATTGATCATCTTACTTGTTAGCTTAATGCCCGAGATAACGGAGAGATGTCGTACCTTGATATAGTTGAGATCTTTCTCTTCCATAGTTTCAACATGTGGAATTCTCGCTGATATACGGCCTAGGTAGTGCTTGACCGCATCGTCGGCGTTCCATCCTACATACTGGGCTATGTCAGTTGCCGTTCAACTTTTAAGAAGATACTACTTACATCGGGAGAAGATATCTTGACACGCCGAACATTTTCTTCTATTATTCTTGGGTCGTCGCACTTGGATTCTATAAAGAGGGTCTAACTGGTCAGTAAAAAGAAATGGCAATACAAACCAACATACCTCTATGTTCTGCTTCGCAAACTCCTTGGCGAGCGAACGACGCCCTGCGGCTATCGGGTTCACGGCGTCATAAATTGCTATCTGGCCATTTTCCTCGCTCAAGAAGTGTGCTATATCGTCGCGGCACTTTTTGACAATTTTCTGTCGTAAAAGTACTGATGAGGCGGATGCTAACAGAAGTCAATTTATAGCTCTCCTATTCCGTTATAGGAGAGAGACCAACCGTTGATAAAGAAGTAATCATCGGGCATATCTTGTCCTGGCCCGATAGTAGCACGTCTATAATCACCGAGATGAAATATTCGAGTCTTAACTCCAAGCCTATAATAATGAGCATACACTCCTAAGGAGTAGACGAATGAGCACTAACCATCGCAGGTAGCGTGCTAGAGCTACGGAAATATGCCTTGAGACATGTTAGCGGTCCTGTTCCGGTTGGAGTAGCCTTTTCATGCTTACGTCTTCCCTCTAGCTGGCAAGCCTACTGTGATGATGACAATGCGGCCAGAGTGGAACAGTCTTCCAGACTCTGTGCTGTAGAGTTGAGCTGGTGCCAGCTCCACCTTCTCTGGAAGATCGTGAATGGCATCCACGAATGTACTTGACTTCCTCCGGAATCGCGGAGAGTTTGCGACCACGTCGGCAGTGCTATATATTGTCAATATCTGAATACAATTGTATAAAAAGGGTGGCATACAGCAAGGTGTCCATGACTCGGAACCCGGTGAATACTCGATAAGCGCTTGAGACGAATCAAAGACAAGACCCAGAATTTCCGGCAGAACAGCAATGAAATCAAGCTAAATACTCAGACAGGAGATCTATGTTGAGGGCGTGAGACTGAGTCGATACAATAACGCTCGATCGAGATAAGCGACGTCAGATGCCGGGACGAAGTGGCAGATCGATGTTTGAGTCTCGGGCAACGAAGTGAGATGACGGTTAGAAGCGATACCACCACAAGAATTGTTTTTGAAACGGAAGAGGAAAACAATGAGAATGAGCTAGATATGCATACAAATAGAAAAATACCGCAAATCAATGGAGAGGGATAAAATACTTCGTTGATGCAGCAGGTGATAGAGAAGCAATGCCCAGAACGGTTAGGCCGGACAGACAGTGCAAACAGTGCAAAAAGGAAAGACACGCCTTGGAAAAACATCCGCAACGACCAAATTTCATCAGCCGAACGACCTTTTCTTTGACAAGCACTATCAATCCAACATCCTCTTGCTTGGATTCGTATCTGGGGCGTTACAATTAGCGACGCTTCGTCTCTTGTCAACGTCCTCCTCTTTGTCGTCGAATATACGGCTTCTTTTTTTTTCTTTCTTGTTTTTGCTTCAGGTTCGACTCACGAGTCTTTTCTTCCGATCAAATTCATCATCTCTCGAACCATCACTCCATTCATCTCGAAGCATTCTATAGAATATCAATTACGAATAGTATATCTGCAATATGGCCGGCCTGTCATCATCGCTGTCGTTCCTGACAGACAATTCTGTCGCTGCTGCGATCAAAGATGCATACGGATCGTTCTCCGAGCGAAGAGCGGCGCTGGGTTTACCCAACCCCGGTACAGTCGATAACATCGCAAGAGAAGTGCAAAAGGAGGTGTTGTTGTCCAACTTTATGTTCACGGGTCTTCGCGCCGATCTAACCAAGGTCTTTGGCATGGCTCCTCTGTTCCGGATGTCGCACGCTTTCGCTATGGGTTCAGCAGGCAATATGCCTCCATATAACTTTAGCGCCATGTACGGAACGCCAAAGGTTTGTTTTGCGCTCTCTCGACAAATTATAATATGTTAATTGTTGCTCGGCAGGTATTTATGCAGGGAAACTTGGGCAGTGATGGCGGCCTCAGCGCTGTTGGCAATTACCGCTGGAACGAGAAATTCGTGACGAAATCGAACGCTCAGATTATGTCTGGTAGCGCACAGGGCATTCTACAAATTGATAATGACTATACCGGAGATGATTTCTCTTTCTCCCTCAAGGCTTTCAACCCGTCCATCTTTGAAGGTGGTTTGACCGGTATCTATGTTGGAAGCTACCTTCAATCTGTTACCCCAAGTCTTGCTCTCGGATTCGAAGCCATCTGGCAACGACAGGCCATCACCTCCCGCCCGGAATCGACTCTTTCGTACTGCGCAAAATACCGTGGCGCGGACTGGATCGCTAGCGCCCAACTCCAGGCTCAGGGAGCTATTGCGGCCTCTTACTGGAAGAAATTATCCGACAAGGTGGAAGCTGGTGTGGACATGAACCTTCAATTCGCACCCAGTGCTGCTGCGATGATGATGGGAGGACCCAGCCGGGATGGCACAGCAACCGTTGGTGCCAAGTATGATTTCCGTGCGTCTACTTTCCGTGCCCAGGTCGACAGTACCGGTAAGGTCAGCTGTCTGTTGGAGAAGCGGATAGCTATGCCTATCTCTTTGACCTTTGCGGGAGAGATTGATCACGTTAAGGTACCATCTCATCCACTCTGAAATCTTAAAAGATGAAACATGCTAACGAATCTATAGCAACAAGCTAAAGTCGGTCTTGCCGTCTCTCTCGAGATTGCTGGCGAAGAACTTATGGAGCAACAAGAAAAGGCCGAATCTCTCGGAGCCATCCCCCCTCCTTTTTAAACAATTGAGTGTACTCTCCAGTTCCGTTCAGTTGTCTATTCTATCAACGATACGAACTGATTAATACCGACCTTCGACCATTGTCTTACTAGTTCTTCACTCTTGTCCACACTTGGCAGATAAAAAAGGCCCCCTGCATTGCGGCTGGTTCCACATTGACACGAGGAGTAGTGCAGTTTTGGCGACGTGGGTGTACGCCTTCGTGTATAGAAGTGATGTCTGTTTCTTTCTCTTTGACATTTGGCAAGATGTCAGAAGTTTTGTCCTTTTTTTCTGTTCTTAATGTGTCTCGATATCAGGATCGGGGACGTGTTTCTTTTTATCTTATCTGCATAGAGAGGAGCAAATGTAAAATAGCAATAACAAACAATGACTTAATATGCACTATACTGTGTAGCATACCATATCGTCGCTTTATTATCTTGCGAGTCATATCGCAAAATGTGGAATACAGAGTCGAGACTAGACGAATTCTAGACTCGATGATCTACTTATGCTCCTGGATACCTGCCCAACAAAATTTTGAGCAAAGAAGAAAAAGAAAAGAAAGAGTCTAGATAGTGGAACGCAGACAAATCACACAATGCCACACATAAGTGCATATGTATGTACATACATCTAACATTTGAAACAATATCGACACTCAACAGTCGAGACTAAAAAAGCAATGAGCATACATACATACATAATGTCGAGATCAAAATTCTCAACATTGATAACTTGTTAAGGAATATGCTATACATTAGTCGCTCACCGACGACTCAATGCGTTTATTTCTTCCGTTTGGCACTGGGTTTAGGTTCCGAGGTATGATATCCTTTGTTGAAGGATGGGAGTGACAGGGTATGTTTGCATGCATATTTGCCATCTTGACTTCTGTCTCCCTATAACTATGTGGTATGTAGGATGTTGTACCTGGTTAGAAAAAGGCCCCGACATTGGCCGGCCTTGGTATGGAACATGCATATGTACCTGATGCTATTCCGGATTGTTTTCTTTGATCTTTGTTTTACTTTTCGGTGAGAGTGTGATGTTCTAGAAGATCTAGATCTGGATAAATAGGGTATGGGTTAGGTAGGAATGGAGGTTGGCCGTTAGGGTTTGTAAGAGCAAGGCTTCAGTAAGGGAAGGGTTGTGTGCCTGACAGCGACCAGGAGCCAATCAACGCTTTGTCTTGGTCTTGCAGGAGGGCGAGGTCACATGTTTACTAACATACATAATTACATATATATCAGTTTATCGAAGAAACACTCTTTCATTGGCGGTCAGGGTCTCCAATAAATAGTGGGCATTATTATCAAAGTTCTCCACGGAGCCCTACCTGCTCTGGGAATTAATAGATCCAGGGATCCATCCAGGCTCCATAAATCTTCTCCATGATTAATTAAACGTATGGAGTCGCTTGTAGGTCACATGAGCTGAAGGAAAAGGGCCATATCTGCTGACCGTGCATGGTTGGTTAGCTAGTTAACTAGTTGATACAATTGTCAATTGTATGTATATCTGGAAGGATTATTAGGGGTAGAACGGCGCCCATCTCGCTTGGGAACCGGGATACTCTGGCTGATGTTCTTTTCGTGATCTTCCAATCTGATCGGATTTATACACCGGGTCCGATTGGTTCGCCAATCCAATCAGCAGCGTCTATCAAACCATGGGAAAGGAGATGAAATGATTTTCTGGCGTGTCTCATGTGATGTCGAATCTAGGTGAAACTGTACGTAGCAAATAACTAGCAAAAATTCAGAGTAGCACGTGGTCTGGTGGATATCTACCAAGGCGAACAAGCACAATCGGAACAAATGTATTGTTCCGGTCGAGTCTCGCCTAAACGATGACCGACACAACGGCCAAGGATTATTCCAAGTATCGCGTTCAACAAGTGTATGACAAGTTTGATATCTCTTGTCTCTGTCAGGTATACCATCAGCTCAGATGGAATGGAAATACATCACATCACTCGGAGGATTTTCTTCACAAGACATAGGGTTACTCAAACGTCAAACCAAACATTCAGTGTCACACATGTATCAGGGTCTCACAGAAGCGAAAATGGTTGCAGCTTGTGTGCTGAATAATTGAGCTGTGACACGTCGATATGTCTAGATCATGCCATGTCAAAGCTTAGCTGAGCTAGATACTGTGTGGAATGCGGAATGCGGAATGCTGAAATGGATCGACGAGATTATTTTCCATGTAGTAGCTTTCTGTGCCTGAGTGAGTATCCACGATAGGTAGTAGGTACCTGGTACAACAACGGGTGGGTGGCGTCTCAGTTGAGCTGCTCTGGAAAAGAGACAAGACCAAGCTCAATTAATCGATCAATCGAGCAAAGCTCTCGATATCTCTGGATCGTACGCTTACATAAATATGATTTGTCGGATCAAGTCGGAAGTATCCGGCAGAAAATGACCACATGTGCCGCTTCTCATTGGCTGGAATATTTACTTATCACATTACACTCAAAACCGTTAGATCAGTACTTGACCGTACGGTTTACATACGGAACACTGCATCCTCTGTATCAAATAATACGTACGTAATCAGGTCACCCGACATGAAAAAAATGGGAAACAAAAAAGAATCGAAAAGATCCCGTGATCTTGGATTGTGACGTTAGACTTCTATTGAGGTGGATATGTTTTTTTTTTTCCCCTCTTGATAATAATAATCGGGGCATGCAAACGAGTATGTAAATACGTACGTGGTAAATTGTCGAGATCAGCATGGTGGTCAGTGTTTAGTTTACTGGGTTACTGGGTTAGCGAGCATGTATGCAATAGTTTCTTGCGTTTATGCAGGCCCTCCAAAGGTAAATTGCGGAACAGCGGTTAAACAGCAGGATGAAGACGGCTGTAGTGGCGATCTCTTTGAGGACAACAAATAACGATGACCAAGAACTGAGCAATTGAGAGATGTGTTGAATCATGAATAGAACTGGAGGGGAGGTGTAGCTTGAGCTTTGGGGAGTCGGTACGAGGACGTACGATCAGCCGATATAATACGCACTAACCACTCTGGGCTATGCAAGTGGATTAGTTAAAGTTGGGCCCAAGCACGGACAGACGCACAGTCCATGATCTGTATGTGTAATATCACATACATTACTTACCATACACACTCCTTGGCAATGACGAAGGTCCTGTGCACCTGACCAGTCCATAATTCACTTTTATATGCAAATTCAGATCCAACCCCGCCTATGACACTGCCAGCATGAAGCAAGAGCATGGCTTCTGCGACAATCGATTCCGGTATTCTGCTATATATCAGAGTAATAAGACGTGCAGTGACTGCCTGGTGTCATCGCTCAAAGCTGGACCTTCCCCTCTCTATATAAACGGCACATACACATCTAGTCTCTCCCGAGTCCCAATTCCCACTAACTACAGCCGTCTCGTATGCAACTGCCTCCATTTGCTTGGTTGACCCAAGCTGCCGGGGTGCGAAATTCGGGTATCGAGCCCTGGACAGAGCCAATCAAAGACTCGCTTGGTCTAATATACACGTATATGGCCATGTGCAGCTATGCAGTCGACTACTCCGTACATATGGGTTGAAAATCTCTCATATCAATCTCGGTTCTCTGCTCTCTGAGTCGAAGACATTTCCGATGAGTTAGCCATTCATATAATTCCCAGAAATGAAGCAGACACTTTGCACCATTAGCATTTAGTCATGCCATAGACTTGGCGCTCGACCTGCACGAGATCAATTAATGTCAACCCCTGACTGCTAACCTCTGCATTTGCCGCCATTTCGCCTCGAGGAAGGCGAAAAGGAGAAGGGGAAAACAAATCTGGTAAGTTCGTGATAATAATAGATCTGGACTTTTGACGCCTGACCTTGAAAAAAAAAGAAAAAAGAGAAAAAAGAATGTAAACACCTGATTCTTTCCCGCGTTCAGTTTAGAAATGAGGTTCGTGGCGTATGTATGTAAAATGGCGTATGCTGTACTGATGGAATTACGCAGTACAGCGTAAATTACGACGATACCTGTACCAGAACTGACCCCTCTTTTTGGCATATGGCAGCCCGTCGACCATATGGTGAATGATGGAGAGATGATGGGATGATGGCATGATATACTGGCGAGAATTATCTGATCTGTCTGGACCCTTGTAAAAGTAGACATAGCAAGCATAGCCACATTATGTCCTGATAGATGTACACAAGGAGCTTCTTGCCTAAGGCACGGAACTGCCGTCATTCCTAGGCCCCGCCGGCCAATCACGCGGCATCTTTTCACCCATCATCGGTCATCACGAAGAAATCAAAGTCCTCCTTTTCCCTCTCCATTGTCCATTGCGCGCTGCTGCTTAAATATCATGAGCTTCTGCCCATCGCATACTGTCCGCAACCACCAAGTCCATCAATCCAACTACCTCACTGGTCGAACTAGCAGTAGCAGCAACTGAGCAGGGTCTATTACCCATCAGTAATTTATCTCCACCACTCTGCCTGCTTAGTTCAACTTCCCAGTCTCAGCCTTCCCGCTTCATTCGCCTACCCACCGCCCACTTTACGAATACTCTACTTACAGTTCTTACACGACTTACTTGCTCTTACCTTCAGACTTTCAGCAACGGTTTCTGTCTGTCCTTGCACTATCATATCAGATTGTGTTGCTGCTGTCACCACTTCTGCCGTCACCACCATCTGCAGTACCACTTACTGACGACTGAAACTCACGCAGTACGTATGCCCTTCTTTACTTCTAATCTTCTAGTACTACCTCCATCCCAGTCCTGTACGAATCATTAAATCCCCCGGTCGAATCCTCACCTGCACATCACTCTACTCATCCTTTCCCGGAGCGGTGCTTCTGGCTCGACTGTACACTGAGCGTCCTCACTTTTCTTTTTCCCCCTCGTCTAGGCTTTTCCCTTTTTTACACCTTTTTTTTTCCCTGTCAATTTTTCTTCTCATTCTATTTTCCCTGCTTGCTTTCGTCTCTTCATCCTGTGCATCGTCTGATTCCAACCTACTCTGTCTTGTCTTGCGTGTTTGGTCATTCTGCCCTCTCAACGGGACCGTTGTGTCATTTGTTTCCGACCGCTCTCTCTGCTTTCTCCCACTCTCCCACCACGTTAAACAAACCACTTCACCACCAACATACCTCCTGTCTACCATTACATTTACCTGACATCCACACCGTGTCGCCCACGTTCGTACCGCTGTCAGTCTGGTTCGATATCTCGATTTCGTGCTTGCTACATTCCATAATTGTGCGTGCAACTGTTTGCTCTTGTCCCCTCTCTGCGTCAACCCGTCCTCATACTTCATATTCCATACTTGACCTTTCGCCCCCCCTCTCCTTTGCGGAGCTTTTCTCTCTCGAACCCACCCGTTATTTGATCATATTCGAATTCATCCCTTGTTGCGGAATTCTTCCATTTGATCTAGGCTGATCCACTCTCGTGTCTTATCTATAGTGGCCCCCGAATAATTGTGCTATTTCGAGCCACTCGCAAGCATTCTTCGGGACGTCTGATACGATACAGCATTTTGAATCCGATTTCGTCGTTGTTCCGGCCGACCAAAAATATTTACGGGAATTTGTTCGCTAAAAGGGCTTGACCTCTTGCTATCAGTGTAAACGAGGAGGAAGATTATTGTGCTAGAGACGACGTGCCCTTTGGTTTCTGTGTACGAAATACCAAACGACGTGCGTTTACGACAATCCAACCTGATCTACCAGAACAATTTGCTCGCTGGCCTCATTCCAGGGCAACTGCATCGGCATTGTTTCTCGTTTCGAAGCTGCCCAAGACGGACCGTTCACCCATCACTCAGCAATCTCGGCGTCACTCACTGCTAAAGTGCAGTCCTCCTTATTCTCGATAGTATCACTTATTCTGCTTTCACTGGTCATCAGTCAGATACTTCCGTGATGTCGCAAAATCGGTCCGGAGTTTTCTCGGGCCTGCGTATGGGGGGTGAGTTTAACTTTCTGCTGTTCTCGCTGTATACCCCCTGCTCAGGAGATATGATCGCTGACCCTTTTTTGAATAGAAGTCGTACGTGAAAAGGTTCAAGATGGCCTGACCGGCGAGACCAAGGAAATGCAATACACCCAGTGCAAAATCGTGGGGAATGGCTCCTTCGGCGTCGTGTTCCAGACAAAGATGTCTCCTAGTGGTGAGGATGCTGCTATCAAGCGAGTTCTGCAAGATAAGCGATTCAAGGTTGGTCTCATACAGTTTTCTTCTGCGCATCGCATTAACGCCAAAGTATAGAACCGTGAACTGCAAATTATGCGTATTGTACGCCATCCCAACATCGTTGAGTTGAAGGCTTTCTACTATTCTAATGGCGAGAGGGTGCGTTCTCATATCTATCCAGACATGATAAGTGAGGCTAATTATTGTCAACAGAAAGATGAAGTCTACCTGAACCTAGTTCTCGAATACGTTCCCGAAACGGTTTACAGGGCTTCGCGCTACTTCAACAAACTGAAAACGACCATGCCAATGCTAGAGGTCAAGCTCTACATCTACCAACTTTTCCGCTCATTGGCCTATATCCATTCGAGAGGCATCTGTCACCGAGATATCAAACCGCAGAATCTTCTGCTTGACCCAAACACGGGCATTCTCAAGCTCTGCGATTTCGGCTCCGCGAAGATCTTGGTCGAGAACGAACCGAACGTCTCTTACATCTGCTCTCGCTACTACAGAGCACCAGAATTGATTTTTGGCGCCACCAACTACACCACGAAAATCGGTAATTCGCCTTGGCTACTTAACCTCGAAATGTGTGACACTAACTTCTACAGATGTATGGTCTACTGGTTGCGTCATGGCCGAGTTGATGCTTGGACAGCCTTTGTTCCCTGGAGAATCCGGAATCGATCAATTAGTAGAGATCATCAAAGTGTTGGGTACTCCTACCAGAGAACAAATCCGAACCATGAACCCGAACTACATGGAACACAAATTCCCTCAAATCAAGCCTCATCCCTTCAACAAGGTAATACAATACACCCTTGTGCCTACTAATCGTGCGTCTAATATGGAATCTTTCAGGTCTTCCGAAGGGCACCTCACGAGGCCATTGATCTCATCTCCGCCCTCCTAGAATACACACCCACACAACGACTCCGGGCGATTGAAGCGATGTGCCATCCATTCTTCGATGAATTGCGGGATCCCAACACTCGATTGCCAGACTCTCGTCACCCCAGCAATCCACCTCGGGATTTACCAAATCTATTCGACTTCTCACACCACGGTATGTTGATCTACTGCTCTTCGAGTATAATATAAAACTAAACTAACGATATAGAACTTTCAATCGCTCCCGAGCTGAACAGCCGACTGGTCCCAGAACACGCAAAAGCTGCTCTGGAGGCTCGCGGATTGGATATTGACAACTTCACGCCCATTTCGCAAGAAGAAATGCGAGCCCATCTCGATTGATCTACTCTTTCTTTTTCCAACCTTTGTTATCATGCTGAACGAAACGAATTCGGAATCTAATTTGGGATGCTACATAATGTGATCAAAAACGAATAAAAAAAGGAATTGCGAGCTTGCTGTTTGGCACCTCAGACATGCCTCCCTTCATATCTATGCATTGGGTGGTCTTGCATATTGAAAGAAAAGTTTCCGAACATGTTACTTACGGTTTTGCAAGTCGAACGGTGTCAGGTGGGTTGACGACTGATCTCTCTGCTACAAAAAGTTTTATGGAGTTCCACCATGCGATGTAAATGGGGAAAGCAATGGAAGAGTGGCAAAGAGCAGTTGGTCTCGATGTGCGAACGAAGATGGATTCGAACAGTTAATTCTGTCGAACTCCATACTTTGTCCATCTGCAAGAGACAAAAATGATACCCCTTGTGTGTACGAGTCTTATGATGTATGGATGGGAAATCGAGGACCCTGGCTGAAATTTTCATGGCATGGACTGAATTGATGGGCATGGATGAATGAGGACAATCGGAGGTGCTTTTTTTTGTATGATTCCATCGGCATCATCTTCACAGCAACTGATAATGTTGGGGGGAGGGGGGGATTGAGCCTATGTTTCGTCAACTGCGCTGTAGTATTGTTGCAGATAGATGGAAATGGTTCTGTTGATGCCTAGTATATCTCTTCAACCTTTGTTCATTTCTTGTTCTCTTTTTTTCCGTTTTCTGGGTTTCACGTTTTTCGCACCATACACTTACTTTTGCGTTGTCGTTACACCTTGTCCTCGAAGTCCAGAACCATCTATATCTCTCTATCGTTGATGAGATTCCCCTTTTGCCTCTTTTCTTTTTCTCGCATTTTCTCTTTTCTCTTTTCTCTTTCTTTTCCGCTTTTCTTTTTGGTCCTCTTATCTCTCTGTGTGTGGTATCTCCATCCTCATTTGACTGGTCTCGAACTGTCTAAACCAAGTGACTGAATTAGAGTGACTGAACTGAAATGATGAAATAACTACTACTATTACTTCTTACCTGAATCTTTGGTCTTTATTTCTCCATCTATCATCTATTCATGTTTAGGTCTCGGTTAGACTGGTGGTCAATGTCCACATTCTTTGGAGTCTCATGTTTCGGATTTCTTTTCGTCAAGGTTAGAATAAGCTGGAACTTATTCAAGCTATACATTTATTCTTTGATACTCAGGGCGTTCTTTGAGACTTTTTTAAGCACAAAACCGCAATCAGCCGTAAACGGTCTAGCGTGCCCCGGACAAGCTCAAGTTTACCCGCGTAAAGCTTTAGCTACGTAGTTTGATTTACCTTCCGCGCCTAAAAATTCGCATCTGAATTCCCCTTTACGCAGCACTTTGCGCGATCAGCATTGTGACTAGAATAGCTAGCTGCCTCATTCATCGAGCAATTGGGATGGCTGATTACGATCGTCGGAATCATGGTCATCGCGGTGGTGGTGGTGGACGAAAGAGGAGATATAGAGGTGTGCATACCTCCTTCATGTCTCAATGAAGTCCTACGTGAGGAATCAACGACTGATTTCTGCTTGATAGATGACGATGATTTCGACCGTCGGCCTCTGAGACGTCGATATGAAGAACCCCTCGGCTCAAGAGTGAGGAGACAATTATTGTTGATTGCGGAATCGGTATGCGCTCTTTTTTAAATCGTCGTGCTTACGTCTGGATTGTGCCTAATTACTTTTTATCTAGCCCGCTCGCAGAGTGGAAGATGATGTTGTTTATATCGCCAGAATGGTCTCGGATAATACTGACGATGTCGATGTTTGCGACGCTTTTTTCGAGACTGTTATTCAGCTGTGAGTGTCTCACTTTTTCTGGTGAAAACTGGTTGTCTAATAATGGTAGAACTCTTGAACAACCGTTTAAAATACCTTTTATCGCTGCCGTGGTCCTGGTCATTAATACCTTGAAACCTGATTTTGCCGCTGAGGTGTTGAAGAAAATCTCTTCGGCCGTGCAGGATGCTGTCACCGCCGGCGTATGGCGCGACGTGAAACTGCTGGTGCGTCTATTGGGTTGTTTGCAGGGCATACTTGAAGGTGAAGGCGTATTTGTGGTATTGGATGATTTGTTTTCGAGAGCGGTCGATTTGCAGACTACGTCTTCGGAGGATGTAAGTTTCCTTATATCCAAGACTTATATGAAGTTAAGGCTGACCTTTTAGTCACTGGGTCTCGAACTTGTCAAGATTATCCTTCTTACCATTCCATACGTCATGGCATCATCGGCGACTGGATTCGAAACTCAGGCGACGGCGCTACTCGAAAAGACGGAGATTATCGCGTCTACTCCACATGCGCTCGAAGCCCTTGTGACACCATTTACGTTCGATAGTGAGATATCGGAGCCTTTGCAGAGTTTCATTGGAGTCTTGCAAACGCAGTTGCAGAATGAGGCGGCGAATCGAAACTGGGAACTCAAATGTCTCCCTCGGCCGTGGAAGTCGCTTGAGTTACCGAGAAAGAAGCAAGCAGTAGAAGGCGAAGGGGAAGAAAAACCGGAACAGTCATTGTCGCTTGAGAACGCAGAAAAACACGCTCTGCCTGCGGTGGATGTACCGAACCCTGTGAAGAACGGGCCGAATGCTATATACCCCGAAGTTTATTTCTCGGTGTACTTGGAGCAAGAAATTGAGACGGTGCCAGGATCGGGTGAAATCACCTCTACCTTATTACGAGATACGCTGGTTGATACGATCAATATTCTGGATTTCAACCGTATGGCGGTTGCCAAGTTCCTCATCGACGTGGATTGTTACTTCTCACCCGAAATTTTCGTGAAACGAGCAACACCCTTTGACAGACTTCGCGAATTCCCCTCAGATCGACCAACATGGAAACCGGAAGATGTTGCTGTCGACGCTGTATTCTCGCAGCTCTTCCAGTTGCCGGCACCTGAACACAAGCTCGTTTATTATCATTCTGTGCTGACGGAGTGCTGCAAGGTTGCGCCGGCTGCGATTGCGCCTAGTCTTGGTCGTGCCATTCGGTTTTTGTATCGGAATCTGGAACGATTTGACGTTGATCTGGTGTCGAGGTTCTTGGATTGGTTCTCGCATCATTTGAGTAATTTCGGATTTACTTGGAAGTGGACTGAGTGGTGGGTTTATTCGATGCATCTTATGAAAGAGGGATTAACTGACTGTCACAGGATTGATGACTTGCAACTTCCCGAGATCCACCCCAAGATGGCATTTATCACTGGTGCGTTGGATAAGGAGATTCGCTTGAGTTTTGCTCAGCGTATCAAGGGGACGCTCCCTGAACCGTATCAACCTTTAATTGCCGAAGGCAAGGAGAAGGATACTCCGGATTTCAAATATACTCTAGAGAGTAAGTTATCTCTGACGTTCGAAGAAAGAGAAGTGCTAATGATATAGCCACACCGTATTGCAAACAAGGATCGGAATTGATGCAACTCATCCGCAAGAAAGCCGCCGACGAAGAGATCGAGCCAGTCATAGCAGAGATTGAGACTCAAGCCAAAGACCACGGTGTCGAGGATCCGATGGTCCCATCCACCGACGCATTCGTCACATCTATATGCTACGTTGGATCCAAATCACTATCTCACGTTCTATCGTGCATCGAGAGAAACAAAGAACGATTGCTAGCCATCGGTCCTCGCTCTGCACCGGCTCGACGACAAATCATCACCTCCGTCATGGAGTACTGGGTTGATCAGCCGGGTATTGCAATCAACATCATCGACAAGCTACTAAACTACACGATCCTCACTCCACTTTCTGTGATTGAATGGGCATTACTTGACCACATTGACGCGGGTAAAATACTTGCAAAAGCTCACATCTACGAAATGCTTTCCGCGACAGTGGGCAAAGTGACGAACCGTATCCGCCAAATCGTCGCCGCCAGAACTCAACTGGGTCTCTACGAACCACAGTTAAGCGTCCTAGATGAAACACTCAATCGCGAAAAGGCCGATATGCAAACCCTCTTCACTCTAATCGAAGACTCGATCACGCCCGTAGCCGCGGGAAGTAATGATGAACTCATGGAAAGAAGTGAAGATGACCCGAGCACCCGCGACGAGAACGAAATCATTCGCCGTTGGGCTGTGCGTTGGAGACGCGTGTTTCAGCGCAAGGCGGCTGTTGAGGCTGCTTTTGTAGCTGATGCGATGTTGAATGCGACGCCGTTGGGGACTATGCCTCCTACACCTCCTCCTGTTGAGGATGCAGCGGAGGAAATGGTTATGGAGCAGTCGGAAGCGAATGGGGATATGGATATTGCGGACATTTCGTGATTTTACTTTCTTGTACTGTACTGTCCTGGTAGTTGTGTGATTGTTGTTACTGTATACTGTAATTTATCAATGGTTTACAAACACAGATTAAATTAGGGTAAGCTAGATATCGGACCCGCATCTGGCTAAGCTAGAACATCAACATCCTAACCTCCGCGGTCAAACACAACTGTACATATTCACTCATAGATCAATCGAATCGAACCTGATAGAGCTTACAACAATAACTCTACATCACGCGCAAAACCAGTCTACACAACTCAATTGAATTCACACAACCAACGTTCCCCCTCTGATGCTCTTAACCGCTCATTCACCTCCAAGACTCCGAATAAACACAAAACAATGTCCCTCGACTCCCAAAACCCCTTCAACACCTCCGACCCTCACGCCCGCTTCGTCAACACCTCCAGTCTCGACCTCCTCCTAATCGAAATCGTCCCCATGGCCGAACGAATAACCCACGACCTCCTCCTCCCTTCACCCTCGACCGACGGCACAACAACAATCACAAAAATAGAAGATGACGAATTACGAGAAGCTACATTCTATCGTCTTGAGATGCTGGGGTATAGAGTTGGACAGGGTCTTGCGGAGCGGTATATCCCTTCCCTAGTACATCTGTGTGATAGGTGAGCTGATGAGGATAGATTCTCGCGCGATCGACCCCGGTTCACGGACAATCTGGACGTGATAAAATTCATATGCAAGGATTTATGGACAATTCTGTTTAGGAAACAGGTTGATAATCTCAAGACCAATCATAGGGTATATCTATCTTTCTACTAAAGGGAGAGGAAGGGGGGGGGGGAGGCGCGGGGGAACATATGGTTGTGCTGATACGGTCAATAGGGTGTTTATGTCCTCTCGGATAATGCGTTTCGACCCTTGACGAGAATGAGTATGGCGGTTAGAAGTGAGGCTGTTGCTCGCGCGGAGGCTGTGTGTATCCCTTTCCCTGATTTGTGGCATAGACTAATATTTGAAGTTTCTGTGGTTTCCATGTGGTCTTATTAGGGGTTGTTTGGCGAGTTTGGGGATTGATGCTACGGTGCAAGCCGAGACGTCGGAACTACCTGGGGCTACTTTTCAGATTAAGAGTAATCAGACAAAGACGTGAACTATGCTCTATGTCCATGCTTAAATCAGAGTACAGTCTACGTACGTGCAAACGGTCTACTTGGAAGAAGATCATTCAAACTGGCAATTTATTGATACGCCAGAACCGGCTATCGAATTCTCGTGTCTAACTGTAAGACAGCGAGTCACCGGCTTTGCTTCATAATATTGGGAGTCATATATCTCCATCACGTCATATCATGTATCACAATCTATCTTTCATGACAAACAAGTTAGCAATGTCCTTAAATTGCATTGGAAGCCAGCTCGTTAAACAATTTGTTGCGAAACAAGGATGTTCAATAGACTGACTTGCTACTAGTCATGGGTGGCACTGGAGTTTACTTTGGTGGGGTGTTCTTGACGAAGTCAATGCCCTTTTCAATATTGGTCTTGAGACCCTTGACGGCAACTTCGAGCAATTTCTTCTCAGTCTCGGTGGTGTTTTCGAGGACGTTGACGGCGTTGGCTACACCTTCGGGCTGTAAACAGTTAGCAATATGCCCCCCAAAAGATGTCAGCGACTTGAGTATATACCCCGAGTTCAATAGGCACGGAGAAGAACTCCACGCCGGTGGTCTTGGAGATGGCTTCACCGCCTGGCACACCAGGGAGGTAGACAAAGGAGGGCTCGACGATACCCTTGGTACCCTTAACAGCCTTGATCACGCTCTCGGCGAATCTAATCAAAAATTTCAGTCTTTTGATTCTTAAAGAGTAATAGTTCTACGTACCTGAAACCAGCATAGGCCATGGAAAGGGTGGCTGAGCCAGCACCGTCCTTGGCCTTGACAACCTCGTCACCACCGAATTGGACTCCTGCAGGAAGTTAGAATATTTGTCTTGACGACCGCACAATCAGGTAACGCACTGTTCACGAGAGCATCGTATTTGTCGGCAGGGATCTCGAAAGCAGGCTTGGCTTGGCTGAAGAGTGGCACAATGGTGTCACCGGAGTGCCCACCAACAACAGGGATGGTGGTCTGGGAGGGATCCTTCTGGCCACTGTACTCCTGGACGAAGGTCTCAGCACGGACAACATCCAATGTGGTAACACCGAAGAGACGCTTGGGGTCGAATACGCCGGCAGCCTTGAGGACCTCGGCGGCGATGGGGACGGTAGAGTTGACGGGGTTGGAAATGATGAGCACGAAAGCCTTGGGGCTGAACTCTGCAATGCCCTTAACCAAAGTCTGGACGATACCAGCGTTGACCTTGAAAAGGTCGTCACGGGTCATTCCCGGCTTGCCTGGTCGGAATTAGAATCGTTTCGGAGCGGCCTTGGCTGAGGTTACTCACGAGGAATACCGGCAGGGATGACAACAATGTCAGCACCGGTGAGGGCCTTCTTCAAGCCATCGTCTGCAGGGAGGTAGCCGGTGATTTTCTATATACATGAGCTGTGTTCGACGTTTGGTACTTCGGTCGGGTGTACGCACAGCAGGGCTGGAGATGTGAGAAAGGTCGGCTGCAACACCAGGGGTGTTGACGACATCGTAGAGGGAAAGCTCATCAATGAGGGGGCTAGCTTTGAGCAGGAGTGAGAGAGGCTGTACGTTGGTTAGTATGCCACTCTCATGTTAACAGATTGCTATTAACGTACCTGGCCGATACCACCAGAGGCACCGAGAACGACTGCGTAGATCAGTTTCTGTTGATAATGCGATGGACGGTTCAAGTCATACCTGCTTTAACCATGATCTGTACAGCCAAGAGCAAAGTTAGCTTCTTGAACTAATGTAAACAGTCCAAATGCGGGGTCAGGAATAAGAGTTACTAACGGTCTGTATGCTGTGAACTCGCGATGAGATGGAAGAAACAGATCAATTGAGTGGAGAGAGTCAATGAAGAAGAGAGAGATGATGATGGTGATGAAGACGAAGCAGAGAACAGGAGTATTCGAGGGCCAAGTCAACAAGAAGAAAGTCGCGAAATGCTGGGGGAAGTGGGGGGCTTTATAAGAGGGGCTGATCCGGCGGGCAGGCGCGGTGCATGTGAGAGATTATTCGTTCACCGGAAGGAGAGAGAGTTATGCCTCAGGCTGGCAGTGTCGAGTATCCCGACAACAACCCCCGAGTATAATGACATTCAGTCTCTCTCTCGGAAGACCTCGCGATGTTGTCATTCGTTCTTGATCGCTCCTCAATCCGAATATCGGGAAAAGGCGGGCCCAAGGATAAAGAGTTCGGCATATGCTCCTGTTGCCGAGGGAGTTATTACGAGTATCAATTGTTTGATCAGGATTGTGGATAGAAACTACTAAAGGAACGCGAATCGCTTGCAGTCGATCTTAGACAAGTCCACATTCGAGAGACACAATCTGATCTTATTGGCGTTTGCATTCCTGTTGACTACCCAAACAGAATCGCAGCGGAGAAATGGAATAGTCTCCTAGACACATAAAACGAGAGACTGCCGGTATTTCCTGTCAATTGCGCTCGATCTAACCTCGCTTTTGACGATATCGGGTAGAATTGACACCTCTGAGAGAATAATTGAGTGGTATCTGCCATCACTGACTTGGTCAAGGTGTCTTATTTCTTTTATTATATCAAACAATACACACACGTGACTCAAAAGTCCATGGAAAAACCTGGCGCCATAAAAATATCCAGTTTCACCATCTCCCCCTCTCTTCGCCTTTTCATATGATGCATCGAAGGAAATCCGCTTACTCCTGAGCAGCGGCCTGCTTAGCCTTGGTACCACGGAGCTTGGGGGCAGGAGCATCCTTCTTGGGTTGTTGAGAACGACGGATAGCGCTGACACGAGCGACAGCGACTTCCCTCAAGTCCGCACGGTATCCATTCTTGGCGGTGTTGCTGGCGACGCTCTTGTAGATCCTGTTCACGTGAAGCCTGGTAAGCAAATGTAGCTGAAAGAAAACTGAATGTCCTCGAGTTCAGAAAGCACTAGAGGCACGTACTTGCGGCTGGAGGTGTTGGGTCCGTATGTGAGAGTGCGGATGTTCTTAGCAGGGTTCTGGGTGTTGCTAGCGTTCTTAGCAATGAGAACGACACCACCGTTCTCAGAGGACTGCAAGCCGAGGGCCTAATTCCTATCATGTCAATCGCATGTCCCCATCCATATCTTCCATATCGCAATATCTGTCCGGCGTACCTTGTCGTTGGCGTATCCAGCATACTAGTAAATGATGTCAGCCTTTCGCATCCTCCAATTGCAGATATTCGAGTATATTCAGAAAAAGAAAAAGAAAGAGAAAAGATTACCTTGCGGGAGTGAATGTTGACGGGGTTCAAAGGATCGCGGGAGAATCGCACACCTCCAGCATTGTTGCGCTGCACGAGGAAGGCATTCTGGTTGCCTGCATCCGGTAAAATAAATGTTCAGTATCTAGTTTTCCTTCGCATCCATTCAATTCGTGTCCAACATACGGGTGATTTGCCAGACGAGGTCGGCGGAGACGTTTGACCTTTCAGCAGCCATTTTTGTACAGTCTGGGATTTTTCTTGGGGGAATAATCGATCAAAGATTGTGTAAATATCTCGATACCTCCAGAATCAAACATTCAACTCGAATCGGGAAGCTGTGTGTCTCCCACTCGCTAACGGGGCTCGATCGGGAATAGCGGCTGACATAAGCAGCCTTTACCTCATTTCGATTTCCGAAAATGGGATAGTCAAGAAAGACTTGGCATCAGGTGAACCTTTCTGCCTCGTTTCTCAGGCAGAAACTAGGCGGCAGCGGATTCGCCGGAATTCGCTGTGACAGTAAGACAGAACCGCATCCTTCAAGAGCAGCGACATTTCATGCTGTCTGTCTTCATCACGAGACACACAAAGACGCGCTCATCGCGAAGAGATGTGGTGACATTCTCGGTGTCGTTTAAAGCTCAGCGACATTCCTCGATCTATACTTTCATCAAAACCATCCATCAACTGCTCAAGCTCAGCGACTACATTCATTTATCTAATCATGGCTTATCTCCTCTACAGCCTCACGTTCATGGTCCTTGTCGTCGGTACAGGTGAGATTCACTCTACGTCTGAAACAGAAATTCCTGCGCATAGCTAATAGATTCCTACAGCTCTCTATCTAACCAGATCACGATGGCTCCCACTCATTGAGGACCATGTGCCCGACTATGTATACGACCGACTACCCACAACCTTCAGCGGAGACATCGAAGCTGGCTTCACATCCTCCGAATTTGATCTCACGAATAACGTTCTCGAGGGCGATTCCAGATCCGGTCTCGATAATAAGGCAAAGCGAGAAATACGCAGAATCATGAAGAGACGAGGTGTGGACTTTGACGAGGCGCGTCGACTGTATACTGAGCAACGCTTTGCGAAGAATAATATCGGACCGGATGGGCGACCGAAGGATCCCAAATTCGTCTCTTTCTCATAACACTTTCCTTGCGCTGTGACGCTCTTTCTCCAACACATAATACCATCTTTTAGCTTTTCCTTGTCCCGACTATATTCATGACATAGCACACACTTGCGATCAGAGTTTCTGTATCACCAGTGTGGTTTTTCCTTTTGAATATCCCATCTTTCATTCACTGTGGCGCCGTGTTCGTTTCATTTGGTTTGAGCGATTTGAGTATCAATGCAGCATGCCTCCGAATATTAAATTCCTTTCCAAGCACAATTGGACAATACTCTATATTATAATTCCTTCTCAACGAGCCCTAGCATATCCAGGTGGTTGAAATCCTGGAGGAAATGGTGGCGGGGTTCCTTGCGCACCAGGCATCGAACCACCAAATCCAGCCGGGGGAGCAAACCCAGCTGGAGGTTGCGGCGGGAAGCCAGGTTGTTGAGGCGCATTGTTGAAGCCTGGTGGAACAAATCCCGGTGGAGGAGGACCACCGAATCCTGCTTGAGACGGAGGTGGCCGCGCTGGTAGACCCGGATGAGGTGCCGATAGTGGTTGTGCGGGAGGACCAGGTCTAGGTGGTTGTTGAGAGGCTTGCATAGGAATAGGACCTCTACCTGCGGCAAAGTCTGGTGGTCCACCAGGGGCAATATGACGTGCTCCGTCTGCAGCCACCGGGTTACCAGGCATCATTCCAGGCGTTGGTGCCTGTCCCATCAATTGCGGAGGTAGTGGTTGGGTTTGTGGCTGAACATTGTGTTTGCGAGCCTGAGCAGCAAGCATTCGCTCTGCTTGATCACCATGTCTTTCACCTTTTCCATCTTTCTTGTAGGCATACTGAACCGATACTTCCTTGTTCATTAGATATTGTCCGTGCATATTTGCTATAGCAGCGTCGGAAGCATCAAAGTCGGCAAATGATACGAAACCATAACCTTTGGATAAGTTGGCATCGTCTCTTGCAATCTATTAAAATTAGCCACATCCAGAAATTAGGGTTCTGTGATAACATACCTTTGGCATAGAGAGCAAAGTCCCGAATCTGCTAAAAGTATCGTAGAGTACCTGCTCCGTGACCATCGGGTCAAGGTTTCCAACGAAAAGCTCAGCACCAACTTCGACTGTCTTCTGTTTATCTGCAGATGCTTTATTGACACGAATTGGCTTTCCGTAAAGACGGACCTGATTCATAATTCTTGCAGCGTACTCGGCATCCTCTTCGCTAATGAATTCGACGAAACCGTAGCCCTGGTGTGTCTGCGTAACTCGATCTTTGGGCAGATGAACATTCACGATACGTCCGGCTTGAAGCATCAGCTCCCATACGAGGCTGTCGGTTACTCGTTCGTCAAGGTTGCCAATGTAGACAGTGGCCTCTTTGTCCTGCTCCCTGCGTGTTGTTAGCAGTGTCCACCCATATGACAAGAAAACATACCAGTGCCTTGCGCCCGACATGGCGCGCTGTAATATATGTATTTAAAGCGAACAATCCCTAGATCCGCAGGTTTAAACACTCTGAGTTGAAAATTTCAGTGTAGTCCTGACGTTGTTGAGGACGGAAGGCAGAGGCTAAACTTGGTTGAGCTAAAAAATTGTTAGCTTTCCGCCATTTCGGAGCCAACGTCAACTCTTTCAACTGACCTCTTAGCCAGCAACGAAATCACATCTCTTCTGTCAACCAGGTTTATCTATAAATTGCGACGGACAATTCATTCAATATGGTTCAGTTCTCAGAGGAAACCAAGGTTAGTTGGATTGTCGCAACAAGTGCCAACGAGTTACTAACTAATCCTCTACAGGAGCGCATCTCCAAGGTCATTGAAGTTTCCAGAATCGCCGTTCACTAGTGAGTCAAGCCCTCGACAGCTTCATTATCCGGTATATCTCAGGCGAATCTTGCGTCTAACAAAGGATGCTTCTTAAGTGGCTATCTTCCTTTCATAGTCTATCTCGGTGAGCAATCCAACGATTCTACCATACCCTGGTATATCATCAACCCGATGGCTAACTCTTCGCCAGGCTACACATACAGCGAACCCAAGCCCACACTTTTCAAGTACTTCCCCTCGGCGGCCGATCCTACATTTGCGTCTACATGCACTAACTGATCACGAACAGGCTTTTCTCCCCTCTAGCTTAAACATACAATACAACATACGAAACAATAATGTGCTCGCCAACGCATACGAACCGATTGTTGAGAGGACGTTGATATACAGGATTTTGAGTGCATTGGTCATTGGTCATTGGGTGTTCTTTCTCTTCTTATTTCAATGTCTTAACACGCCGTCAATATGCCTGCTGTTATAATGTGTGGAGCGGTAAGGAAGGAATATGAGGAGAAGGGTCTCTCCAGTATTCTGGACTAGTTGCTCTTTGTACAATATATCTGAATTTGATTATAATTGTTATGCGGAAGGGAATGTTGCTATTCTGAAGCTACGTACAATCCGGGTCCTTTTTTTCTGGCAGACAGTTATTAGAACGATAAAGATACCATAGCCTAATCAATGCCATACGTATGTAAGATTCTTATTCCTTGAAAACGCAGTCCGGTGCTGATGTATAGTACTCGGTATCATAGCCGGCCGGGCCGATAAACTTAAGTGCGGCGTGCCGTCATCGAAATATTTTGAGATTATCAATCATGATCAATACTCAACTCACAACAACCCACTGTTCAGCAACTACTACACACGCTTCAATGAGAGAATACCATAATTGATATTCTCGCCAAATCCTCGCGATAACAAGTCAATGAGCCAAAGAAATGGATCATCCACATCCATCATCGAAACGGTAGCCGGACTCACGGCCGGAGTCGTCTCAACACTGACTCTGCATCCGTTAGATCTAATAAAGACTCGTCTACAAAGTACGTCTTAACCCTCCCTCTCATAGTGTAGATATATATTCTAACGAGATGAAACAGTTGATCGCATCTCTCGCACCCGCGTCGGCAGCTCTCTACGCATATTCAACGAAATATACAAGAGAGAAGGTGGACTTCGAGCTCTGTATCGCGGACTAACGCCCAACATAATCGGCAATTCGGCGAGTTGGAGTCTTTATTTTTTGTTTTATGGGAATATCAAGGATGTTCTTGCTCAAGCTCGAGTTAAGCGTGTCGATGACAGCGACGGCAAGGGACAGAAATTAAGTGCTTCAGAGTACTTTTTGGCTTCGGGGGCTGCTGGTGCGTATCCGCAAGACTTTAAAGACCCAAAACAATCTAATAATGTGAATGAAAGGCCTCCTAACTTCAATCCTCACAAATCCAATCTGGGTAATAAAAACCCGTATGCTCTCCACCGGCTCCAAAGCTCCCGGTGCATACCCATCTTTCATAGCAGGCGCAACCCAAATCTTGCGCACAGAAGGTATCCGGGGATTCTATCGAGGACTTGTCCCCGCTCTTTTCGGGGTGAGTCACGGCGCGTTTCAGTTTATGGCTTATGAGAAATTGAAGAGTTATCGACTTCGAAGTACTACTGCAGGAGAAAATCAAAAAGGGGAATTTTCGAATATAGAACTCCTTCTTATATCGGGTTTATCAAAGACTTTTGCGGGATGTATTACCTACCCGTATCAGGTACTACGTACCCGATTACAGTTACAGGCATATAATGCAGATGCTGCAGATGCTGCTGCACGCAGCACAATGACTAGCAGCACTTATTATCGCGGTGTATGGGATGCGACGAAGCAGATTTGGGCTCAAGAAGGTCTTTCCGGATTCTATAAAGGGTTAGGACCGAGTCTGGTACGTGTCTTGCCTAGTACGTGGGTTGTGTTTTTGGTTTATGAGAATACCAAGGCGGCGATGTACAAGTATTGATCATTTGTACTACTACTAGTTTTGCTATTTGGAGGTCTGAATGTACGATATGATGTATATAGCACATGAGCATTTCCAGTGGATGTTAGTTCATCCTAGTAAAGTACATATCGATACAACATCTCATCGATCACTCTTGGAATACATCGACAAGGGCTCTCGATGGTGCACAGCATGCCCTAAAAGACTTGCATGCCCCCCATGGTGCGCAGAAGGCATAGCATGATGCATATACCGTTGTTGCTGCTCATGCAACTCATCGTCTTCCCCATCTTCTGCACTGTAATAATCACTTGAACCAGCATCACTGCCACTAGCCGGTAGATGTTGATGATTGCCGTTGCCGTTCCTGTTGGTAGTAGTCGATCGAGCGCTACGACTATTGTTTTTGCCATTGCCATTGCCATTTCCATTGCTGGTGTGTGCACCGTTTTTCGCTTTCGTGCAAGCTATCTTCCGATCTTTACCTCGGCCTTTGATACCCTTGTTGCTATTCTTGTACAAACTGGCAAAATAGGTCCACAGTTCTCGATCAGCCGGCGTCATGATTTCAGGATTCGACATATTCGCAAATCGAGTGGTTAAATCACGTAAAGTTGTAGCATGGAATTTATTCTGATGCGACTTTTGCCCTCTATTAGCCCCTGATACGAAATAGACAACAGGGAGAGGTTACCTTCAAATTCCCAAGCTGCGTAAACTGTTTCCAACAACCATCCAACTGACATGTATACGGCTTCGCCTTGGCGTGCGTAAACATATGTGCCCTCACATTCCCCTTTTGCGCAAATGCCTTGCCGCATTCTTCGCATGTAAATGGTCTCTCGCCCGTATGTCGTCGTTCGTGGGTCTGTAAACGCACCACGCAAAAGATTTCTGTTCAATACACGTTCTTCATCTTCAAGAATAGAATAATTATAAGACAAAAAATTTGTCGAATAGAATCTTTAAAAGAAAAAAATAAAAAATAACAACATACCCGAAGATTTCCAAGTTGCGAGAATCGTTGTCCGCATGATGGTTCGCTGCATTTCTGGATCTGACATCAGCCATTGCTAGTCTTCGGTTTGGAGATATACTTACGAATGGTTTTATCCCCGTATGAGCTCTTAGATGAATGTCCAGATGAGTCTTTTGCGTAAACAGTTTTCCACACCCCGGAAACGTGCATGGATGTTTCCGTTTATGTTTCGTACTTCCATCCGAGCTATCGCTCACTAATCGACCCCCGGATTGACTCTGCTGTTGTTGCGTTAACGTGTTTGCATTCGGTGTGTTTTCGTATGAAGGATAATTCGTAATTCCGAGTTGGTATGCGGATGAGAAATGTGGTTGCTGGTTTGTGGAGAATTGATGATGGTGATGATGGTGATGATGAGGTGGTGGTGTACCTGCTGATGTTACAGATGAAGGGGTAGGTGTGGATGTAGAGCTGCTGGAATTATGGACAGAATGATGAGACTGGATAGTCTTCATCAAGATGTCGACTTCTGTCGAGAAATTAATGTCCTTTGCGCTAGTCGAGGGTTCGTTTCCTCTATGCGGAATAGTGACGACGGTGGTATTTGAAGATGGGGAAACAGGTGTGAGTATATTCCCACTGCCGGAAGCTGTGGTAGTGGTGATAGGTGGCGCAATGGCGGGAGATGTGCCGGCACGATAGTCGTCGATAACCCGTGGTTGCTGCTGTTGGGCAGTCTGTGGTGTCAGCCTGGCAGATTGAACATGAGGCATCCGCCTCGAAACCGGATGAACATCTGGGGAAGGCGAATGAATAGGCGTGTGTTCTGTAGACAGACGTCCTGCTGTTGCAGCTTGTTGAGGATGATGAAAAGGAAGACTCCGCGCCTGAGGATGTGCTTGAGCAGCCGCAGTGGCATGCAGCTGAGAATGAAGAGGTTGAACATGCGCATGAGTATGAGTCTGAGGAGGCGGTCCTGAAGATGGATGATTGAATAGATGTGGCTGATGATACGAGTTATGATACCCATTCATAACGTGTCCGGACACCTCATATGGTGGTGAAGGTATGTGAGAGGCATATGCGACTGGAGCAGCATTCTGGTAGTATGGGAGTGTACTCTCGACGTGAGAATCCATGAACCGAGGTGGCTCCAAGACCCTTAGTTCGTTGTTGGAAAACCTATATGACATTGGAACCGTTGCATCCATCATGGCTGCAGCCGATGGACAACCAGACGACGTCGACGTTCGGTTTCGAATCGAAACACCTGCTATCAACAAGAACAAAGTCTTTGAGTAATGCTGGAAAAAACAGCAGTAGAATGTATGCAGGTATCCTGGTTATTATTTCAGACCGGAGATGGCAAAGTCCGAGTTTCTTGTGTCTTGTGACGGGGGTTGTAACACTGGTATTCAGCCACGGGCAGTTTATAACGTCTGTTGCTGTAACTGTAGCTGTAGGTGTAATGATAAGCACGCTGGACGCCTAGGTTGTTACTTTAGAAGAACCGACACGCAACGTCAATCGAAAACAGATAAACAGGAACAACCAAAGGCGAGATGCATACTACAGGATGACACTAGATAGAATCCGAAAGATAAAAGAAAAACAATGCCGAAAAACGAAAGTGAAGATCCACACGCCAAGTATGAAGATACAAGGATGAGTTAAGAATTAGGTCTGCAATGACGGTGAACGGAGATGAAGAACTAGATATACAAAACCCGACTGTCTAGACCTCTAGCTCTCAGTCCGACTGTAATTGTATCAAAAGAAGTGGAGACCTTGCACTTGAATTTGGGGGTCACTGGGCAGAGACACAACAGTTCGTCGTTGGAGTAAACGTAATTTATGAATAGGGTTGACTGCTTGTCGTCTGCCTGTATCAATTAGCCAATCTTGCAGCCTTTTGTCAGACAGTCAGACAGTCAGTCTAGGCTTGAAACTTTTTTCCCTTTCGTTTCTTTTTTGCTCCCCAATTCCAAAACTAAGGATAATGATCACCGGCTCCAGGTCCCGAGAAGATGGGAGTGGGAAAGTGGCTCTCTTTCCACTTTTTCTTTTCTTTTTCCTGTCTTAAAATTTTCGGCCATCCGGTGAAACTGAGCGAGTGAGATCATTTGGACATTTTGCAGTAATTTTCTCCCTTTCTCCCCTTTTGTCGTTGGAGCTGGGCCGGAACAGGCATGACACTAGGCTGGATAGAGTATCTTGTGTGTGTATGTTGTTAAGCAGTTAATGCTGGCTGGATGGGGCTGAAGGGCGGACTAGCGAGCGGAAAATGCTAGTCGGAGAGGTCCGTATGGGGCCCTTATGGGGCCCTTTTTACTCTGACCGACCCATCCCATTTGATCATTGCATGTCATCAAACATAGAAACACGGCCGATCTGAGTAGATTGGACCCCGGGCATAGCTGTATAGCCAATCGCGGAAGCTGTGGAAGAGTTCCGCCTTGAGGTGACCAGTCGCTCGGAGACCTGCTAGTCTGCCGACTAGTCAGTTCATCCCTATTCCTTTTTGCATTTCAACCGTGTTTTACAAATCTATTTTCTGCGGAAATACTACTCCGTTGTAGAGGATGTTCCGGAGATCGATCATTCTATTGTGACAGGCGAACGGGTCTGACTCTGTGTCATGACCAATTTTTGTTCGTTATCATCGAGCATCTCCGGACCGAGTACTCAATACGAAGAGGCAGTCATAGACGGAAATCTCGTTTGGCGCGCACACCAGAAAAAAATTCCGTGGGAGAGTCTGAAACTTGTTCGGCGAGGATGTACATAACTGCCTTCTTGTTGGGTGCTAGCCTGCCAGGTGTGCATAACAACAGTACGTCTCTGATCGTTCGACCAGATCTTGTAGATGCCGTGGTGATATGATCCATGCCCATGGCTGAAATCGACTGCCGACGTATAAGATGCTTCCTTCAGCCAGTTCCAGATACGTCGTTGTTACACAAAAGCCAGCCCATTTCCAGTTTCACAATCAATGGAAGAGTCGATCCGTACCAAGCTCGTAAGCTGCTGCTCTGGTTGGATAGCAAATGGTACATACAGAAAATATGCACCGCCCACAGCACATCCTTGAATGACTGACCGGTGACCACTGCGTCAGATTTGTCTGTGAGATCTCGCAAGGTATGCGATCGGCGAATCAACAAGCACCTGGCGTATTCTAGCACCACGAGCCAACAGGCATGGATGACGGGCCGCCATTAAGACAGAGCGGTATCCGCGGCCCATCGATGATTTTTTTTTTTTTTTTCTTTTTTTACGTTTATCGCGGTGTGCTAGGCTGCTAAGAGTGTGCACAAGGCGAAGTATGGTGTGTTGCTGCCAGCATCTGATTCGACAGGGGTATCAAGCTCGGGGTTAGCGAAGAAGGGAGGAGATTTCAAGCCAAGCTAATAGAACTAGGGCGTCCCAATCACCTTCCTAGCGGCCCCGGAACGGCGCGAATGCAAATCCTGAATAATTCAGCTAATCCCACTGAGTGATAGTTCAACAGCCGTCTTCAAGGGTGTGCCGTTACTGCTACGCACCCAACCAGAGCCATACCGCTGGTCCCGCTGGGCCCAGGTTGGGGATCCTGGAGGCTGGGAGCTGAATCCTTGAAGGCTGCATTGCATTCCGGTGACGACACATAATACTTCCATAGGTCTCAACTCTTGAGACTTGTGCAGACTAGAGGAATTGAGATTTGGAATCTCTTCCACTCGTCGATTTCTCGAGTCAAACGTTTCACACTCCACTAAACTTTGAATGAAGGCTGCGACGGATGACCTCTGTGGCACTGACCAGTGGCCGACTAATGCATTTAGTGTGGCAGAGCATCACGAGGCATGGTCGGAGTGTGATCTTAGATCGAGTCGTACGTGTCACTGAAGAGGCTAGGGAGGTCGACTGTCTAAGGTGTTGTTCCACAGTCTGACACATGCAGCCCGAACTTGTTTGCAATTCAAACTTTCACGTCCTCCTAGAGAGTGAACACTGATCACTAACCTAATAGTAAGTATCTTTTGCCATCAGAGGCCGATACTTCCACGGATTCCGTGGACGTGGTAATACGTAGTTCTGGTTTGTTTTCGGAGTCTGCCGCGACAGGTACGTAGACCAAACTCAAAAAATTCATTCATCCCGCGGCTACCGATGCAATGCCATTGGATCATCAGTTCGTGACTCTCACCAAAGAGTCTCGGCCTTTAAACGAAGAGTTCATCTAACCTGAAGCGGTATGGGAATGGCCTAGGGTTCACCTTGTCATTTGACCCAATTTCCGATCTCAACAGCCCCATCCCGGGCTTCCCTTAACAAGTTAAACACCTCAAGTCAGGAATGCTAGCCAAAGTGGGGGAAAACAAAAGGGAATTACTTTTTGTCTTGTGGAGAAGCGGGCTGCGCCGTCGCGAGTAGATTGGATGGGTTGTTGAATGGAGGTGAACACTGACTCGCTGATGTTCTCGCTTGACAGGGGTGTTCTCCTTGGCAGTTTGGATTCTGGAGGTAAGCTAACTGTCGCATTTCGGCCCCTGAAGTCCTTTGTCATCATAAAGATGAATTAATGATGGGATCGTGATGGCTGATAGTTCTAGCCTTGACGGACAATCGGACAGTTGGAACAATTCGGCAGAAGCTCAATTAACCCAGTTTAGCAGGGTGGAGAGCCAACAACAGAGCATGTCGAGTGATTATATAAGTACTACCGACAGTAATGATCATCGCTGCAATGCCAGTAGTAGTCACTTATTTGAACGAGGCGTAAATAGACTGATGGCTGCTGATATGGATGGGACATGAGAGAGAGGAAGAAGTGAAGTTGCAAGAGAAGAAGTTAGTGGGTCATGTGCCTTCCCCAACGACATGTAGCCTGAGGCTCATACGGCTACGAGCGATGTAACTACATCCTATCCATATATGATACTGAATCCTATTTAAGATGTCTTCTGCTACCTGACATCGTACACCCACCGCCACAACCCATATGATAAACCATACCATTTACCTTTCTCGGAACAGATTACAATACGTGCTACACTGTACAGTGTAAGCTATGTATGTATTTCAGTCAATGTAAAGATATGACATGTCCCAGCATTACGGACTGTGAAGCATTAGATGGAGTACCATCTAGACCTGTAGTTACATACACCTAGTCTAATGGAGATTAGCTAGTTAGATATGATCAAGCCTATCCATGGCCATAAACAAACTGATACTATCTTGATCATGCCTCGCATCTATCATCCACAACTACATACATAATACTTTTCACCTACCTTCATTGTTGAGAGTAGACGCGCCTCAAAAGAAGCAAAGACTCAGGGTCTAGACTAAGAAGAAGCTAGACGGTCCCAAAACTGAGTCCAAGGCTGTGGTTCGGGAATAAGCAATGTTCAATTTAGTGTTTGAAGTGGACTGCTTTCTTTGTTTTTTTTTTCTAATAAATTAATAATACGTAGTCTACACTAGTAGCAGTAGATCATACTTTTGCTAAAGCATGCATATGTTTACAATCCAACCACCTAATAATTACTATGGCATGCACACCAAATATTGAAAGAAGACATACATTTTGTAAATCTGCGTATGATTGAATCAAGAACCACCTAGCCTCCCCGCTCCGTTTACTCAATAACAACGATATTCCATGCGTCCAACTTCCATCCCCCAAGTCGATTCGGCGTTCGATCGATCCATCTGTCATCACCCAAATTACAAACAAGCAGATACAAAACTTTGAATTCAATAACAAAAGGGGGAAACAGTATAAAAGAAAGCAAAAGAGGGGGGAAAAATCATATTGCGCCAAACTTTCTGATCAGATGTCTCATCTCGTACATTCAACCCTATCCCTTCAACTCAATCATCGCCCATTGTAAGTCGAGTATCTATTACCGTATGTTAGAGATTATGTCTTTTTTTCTTCTCTCTCCTTCACCTATTTTGTTTTATATGGCGCAATGATACTTCGAGGGCTGGTGGAAAACCGAGATTTTGACGTATGTACAAAAATCTCTCCAGTAGCGTTTCTCGTTTTCTCTATCATTGCAGGAATTCCACATACCTCCAGATTCTTGCTCGCATGTCACCACTTCCGGTAGCGAAGAGATTGTTGCTAGGGCTGGGTGCGACGGAAATGACTGTTTCTTGTTAGACTGTATGCAAGCATAGAAGAAATTCTAGTTCTCACCTGAGTTCTTGTGTCCCTGCAACATCATCTGTGCAGCTCCAGTGTTGGGATCCCAAAATTGTACTCCGCGATCTTTGGATCCACTCATAACCCAGTGTCCATCAGGAGTCAAGCAAACGCTCAACACAAAGTCCTGAAATCAAAGTCAGCATATGCTACCGCATTGGCAAGTCTATCACTTACTTTGTGACCTTCGAATGTGCGCACACACTTGCCACCCTTGACGCCGGTTCCAGGAAGCATGCCCCGGGGTGCCGTGAGCTCCCACATCTTGATAGTCTTGTCCAAGCTACCACTGACAAGATCGCGACCGTTGGGCGCAAATGCAACGGAATAGACACTATCCTTGTGACCATCGGGGTTTTCTAGGCGCTCAACGAGGTATCCAGTAGTTGTATCCCAGACACGAACGCTCTTGTCAAGAGAACCAGCTGCTACATAGTGGCCATCTGGAGACATAGCAACAGTGGTGACGCCGTCTTCGATGCTGAGAGTATAAACCAGCTTGCCCTCCAAAACGTCCCAGAGACGCACAGTCTTATCACCACTGCCAGAGGCGATGTAACGGCCGTTGCCTGCAAAGTCGAGCGAGTAGATGTCTTGTTCATGACCCGTGAACACATGCTTAATCGAACGAGTGGCAATATCCCAAACCTATTATAGTCATAGTTAGTCTTGCGGAAAATAATGAACGAGCCATGAAAGCTTACCCTGATCTGCTTATCCTCGGCACCCGTAGCAAGGTACTTTCCATCAGGGCTGAAGCAAACGCTACGAATATAGAGATCGCCGTCCTTGTCAACAGACTCATCCTGAAGAGTAGCTACGTTCTGACCAGTCGCGACGTCGAAAATCTGAGCGGATCGGTTGCAGCCTGTAGCAACATATTTGCCATCCCGGCTGAATCGCACACAGCAAACAACACTGTCGTGCACCAAATGGTGGACGAGCTCAACGTCCAAAACCCGCTGCACTTCCGGGTTGAAAACTGCGTACCAATCGGGACCTTCCCGTTTCTGAGTAGCAGGAAGATCATCTGGGTTCCAATTGGCCAAGGTGTTACCCGGTCGCTCACGGATAGGTCCTGTTGGGGTCGGTCGAGGAATTTGGGGAGAAGCGCCAGGGGCCGGATAGTTTAGCTGGTGAGCTTGTTGAGGAGTAGCAGGACCTGGTGGAGCGCGGCCACGGCCTTTGCCGGGTCCTGGAGACGCAGTGGGTGGGGGAGGAGGTCCGTATCCTGCAGAACGAAAACAATGTTAGTTTGGGTAAACGGAATCAGCATATGACCATAGACGCACCATTAACACCGGCACCGGGCTGGTATCCTCCGTAAGAGCTCTGCGGAGGTTGAGGGGGTCCTTGTTGGGCGGCGGGGGCAGGTTGTTGAAGACCATGCTGGGGTGGTTGCTGGTCCTGAGGAGGTGGAGGCGCCAGACCGGGACCACTGCCTCCTTGGTTGGCCATTATACCACCAAACAAGTTGTTTGTACCATGTCCTAGAGCTGGAGGCGCTTGCGATGGGCCTGCGTGTGTCGGGCCACCAATGTGCGATGGAACAGTCTGCACGCCACGCGACTCGAGCTCGTGGCGCAAGACTCGAATCTCATTTTCGTATCTGAAAAACAAGGCATGGTTAGTACACAACAATGGCCAGAGTGATAGGATCAAACGTACTCGGTCTTTATTTTTATTTGCGCCTGCTCTAGCTGATAGACCTTTTGCCTGATCATTTCCATCTCTTGAATCTGACCAGTCACTGCAAATCATCGTTAGTAACGTTCAACCACGCATATTCAGAACCCGCTGAATACGCAGTAATAGTTGAGACGCGACAAAGGGCACAAACATTGGTGTTCAAACTCGCCAGTGCTTCGAGACTGGCTCTCGAACTCTTGGCGCAACTGCTCCAAGAGCTCGTTCAAGCGGTTATTTGGTGCAGGCACCATCCCGCGGTGTGCGTTATACATTATGGACGACCTCGACAACGAGCGATGACGAAAGTCGATGAAAAGATAGGTGGTGGTAGCAGAACGAGCCCCTCAGCCTGCAAAAGACAGCTAGCTGTTAAGGTGTCAGTCAGCGCGAAAGTCAATTGAGAAGCAGAGCGAAGCACTCGAAAACAGAAGCATAAGAGCGTAACAAAATCCGTCGTGTGACAGACACGTGGCTGTGGACGATGAGTTGAGAGAAAAACAAAGGCAAAGAGCTCACCTTCCGGAGTGCTAGTGTTGACTTGCGCTGTTTTGAGGATGATCCAAGTTCAAGTCGGGCGCAGACAAGAAGCGTGGTGGTCAAGGCGGCTAGACGCTGGGCGGCTGTTTCCTTTCCTTTGGCGCGGCGGGCGGCTGATAGGCGACTGTCGAGCCGGTGTGCCGTGCGAGTGGCCACTTGGGAGGGATGGATAGATACTAAGGGAAAGACAGCTATCCTCACAGATAGATCCTGGAAGATAGACAGTGATGGCGAGCTTTACAAAGCAATGAGGCGACACAGCACAGCAGAGGAGAGTTGGCTGGAAGAAAGAGAGTCGAGGTTGGGAAGAGAAAGGGTAAGGACGCCCCACACGCGACGATTCTTAATTCCAGGGTTGCAGCCTCAGGCAGTGGGGCAGACGTTTCGGGCTAGCTGATTATGTAATACATAGCTAGTGGTTCTAACTAACTAACGTTAAGTTACACTTGTTTAGAAAAGATAGACAAAGACAATTGAGATAGGTAGAACTACGAGACAATTTTGGCCAGTGCCGGCAATCCCGAGTTCTGGCTGACCAGAAGCTTGTCCTAATTCTCAAAATATCAGCACCTTTACACAGAAATGGATTCGAAAAAAATAACTTACCACTATCCACCTTGGAAACCAATTCACCACAAACGCAGTCATGCCAGAGTTCTCTCCTCTATATACCACGCCGTTCCTCCCTTTTCCGACAATATCTTCATGCACGAGCTGAGCAAACTCATCAACAGATCCTCCTGGCGGCTTAGCGGTACCCGTAACCCAGCCAGCAATATAATCCTTGATACTTGCATAGAGAGATCCCGATGGAAGGGTGAATTCAGTACAATTGGCATCAAATTTTGTCGCAACGGTGCCTGCCATCACAGCTACAACATTGACGCCAAAGGGCGCGAGCTCAAGACGTAGAGTTTCAGAGATGTTCGCCATAGCGATCTTCGCCGAACAATACGCAGCGTGCCATGGTAGATTTAACAATGCGCCGATGGAGATGATATTGACGATGCGGCCGTGACTCGCGATCAGCAAGTCTTTGAAAGCCTGGATCATCCGAATGCTACCCCAGAGATTGGTATCGTGTACCCTCTTCGCTTCCTCAATGTCCATGTCCAGGATGGGCGTCACATAGCCAATCCCTGCGTTATTGACTAGTACGTCGAGTCCATGGCCGCTTTCACTGACGGCTTTGGCAGCTTCTTTAACTGAGGGCATCGACGTGACATCAAGAGACAGAACTGTGACATTGGACAAGCTGGTCAGCTCTTCCGGTATCTTTGATGTATTGCGTGCCGTCGCAAAGACGTGATGTCCTTTTCTAGCCAGCAGTAGCGCGATGGCTGACCCAATGCCGCCTCCAGAGCAGCCTGTCACCAAGATCGATTTGAGGGGCATTTTTCTAATAGTAAGATCGTATATACTGCAAGATTACGAGCTAGAAACAGAACAAAAAGAGAATTGCATTGGGATGCTAATTTATAAACATGACTACCAACACTCCCATTCCATTGGCATAGTAACTATTGACCCGACGGCCGAGTGTCGTCGGGCTGGCGGGCTTTATAAGGGCTAGCTGCGCCACAGACAAGCCTCAACCGGGTGATGGTCGGATGCCGGACTTCCGTTCTGGTGTGACAAGCCTGCTGCGCGCTGATTGGTGGGATCCCCTCGCGGATATTAGTTGTTCCGCCGCAAATCAGACAAGGAGTTAAAATAAAATGAACGAACGTAATGAAAGACGAGATAATTCTTCTTCTTGTCAACTGTACATAGCAACAGAATTCATAGTAGGTCCTCGACAAGACCGTACTTGGAGCTATCGCCCTCTCATCTGGTACTCCAGCGCGCAATTGGCCGCCTCGACTTCGCCATGGATGTCGTTCTCGAAGTCTTCGACCTCCTGATAGGGGATCGATTGTATGCGGCAGTCCTTCCGACCACTCTCACCACATCGCTGTCGCCAGCCCTTTCTACTTTTATTGAGGACGCGAATAACACATTGGCCATTTTTGGTGATGCCTCGTCGTATAAATATCAGCCGGCGACGACATATCTTTACATTGAGCCGTCCAAATACGCTTATTTGAGTGCCTGGCCGCGCGATAATATTTACAGACAGGCTTTCAGTCTGTTCTTGATTACATGGTGCGTTAGAAAAAAAAAAGTCATTGAGACTTTAGGTTCAGTTGACTGATTGATTCGCAGGCTTTTCGGAGTTCTCCTATATTTCGTCTTCTCCTCCTTATCCTACGTCTTCGTCTTCGACAAGAAAACCTTCGATCATCCCAAATACCTACGCAACCAGATCCGCATGGAAATCGCCCAAACCATGGAATCCATGCCCATTATGTCCATCCTCACCACCCCATTCTTCCTCGCTGAAGTCCGCGGTTACGGGAAAATGTACGACACGTTCGCCGAGGAGCCTTTCCCATATTACAGTGTCCTGCAGTTCCCTCTTTTCCTCCTCTTTACCGATTTCTGCATCTATTGGATTCATCGTGGTCTTCATCATCCATTGATCTACAAGAGGCTGCATAAACCGCATCACAAATGGATCATGCCCACTCCTTATGCTTCCCATGCCTTCCACCCCGTGGACGGTTGGTCGCAGAGTGTCCCGTACCACGTCTTCCCATTCATCTTCCCTTTGCAGAAATGGGCTTACGTCGTGCTTTTCGTCTTTATCAATTTCTGGACCATCATGATCCATGACGGTGAATATGTCGCTAATAGCCCCGTCATTAACGGCGCCGCATGCCATACCATGCACCATCTGTACTTCAACTACAACTACGGCCAATACACGACGCTATGGGACCGAGTGGGTGGCAGTTATCGCAAGCCAAATGAGGAGCTGTTCCAGCGCGAAACCAAAATGGGCAAGAAAGAATGGGAGAAACAGGCAAAGGAGATGGAGGATATTTTGCAGACCGTTGAGGGTGACGATGACCGTCATTATTTGGGTGAGGGGGAGAAGAAGAAGACCTCTTAGATTTGATGATTGATGGATTGATTGGTAAGAGGAGGAATATGACATATATATATATATGTTCTGCTGTGTTCTCTCTCTTCGAGATCAATGGTTTCACGACCTCACGCCGGCAATTTTCGTCTCTACCATGCATCTGATTGTATTATTAATATTCATTGTAATTAGTTTCTTTCCCATTTTTTACGTCGTTTCTACGACATGTTCTACTGCACTGCATGTCATAATACCTACAGATTTACATCTTCTAAACAACTTACTAACTAATGACTGAATTAGTTTGAATTGTCGTCATGTGTATGCTAGATTAAACAGCACATAGTTCTAGCCCGAGCTGGAAAAATGAGTAATAAAAAAACATGTACACAAATGTATTTGACTGTTAGCTAAATCTGTAAAACTGTCCTCCAGAATCCCAATAAGAAGAAATCCATTCTGTGTCCGTGTAACTCTCGAAATCCCTGCCTTGTAGATACCTAGATGGTGGAATTGAAGAAAGACACAAAAACTCCATAACGCTCTTTACTCCGTCCGCATGCGAAAGATGATATCGCGCACAAATGTTCATGCAAAAGAAAAGGAAGAAAAAAAATTTTTCAGACTTGAGGCTCGGCTTCCTCTACTTTACTTGTTATAGATCAAAGTAGATGTTTGATTGTCGCCCCGGTGAAAGAGAAAGTGAATCCTGACCTGTCGAGGACCTCAAATCTTCGACATGGGTGTATCCATTGGTAAATGAGTTCTGAGAAGCGCTACGGGGGACAAATTCACCTAGAGCCTGACGTTTGGGTAATCGAATAGGTAATTCATCCTCCTCCTCGTCGTCACTGAGTGTCAAATCAACGACTTGTGGCGCTGGCCGCTTCTGACTGGATCTGGGCAGGTTGGGTGTCGTCCCTTTTGATCCGTTCTGGGTATTAGTCATCGGTGTTGAGAGTAGAGTCGGCCGAGGCTCTGATGTCGTTTCCCGTTTTAGTTTTGGTGTAACCATATTTGTGATTTCGACAAAGTCGTCGTCTGTACCGGGACTCGCTTGGCTGTTCTTTGCGGGTTCTTCTTTCCGCTCGGTGTGCCAGGCGCCGTTTGGTTCGATGGTTACTTGTTCTACATCTGTGGATGTAGAGTGTAATATCTCCTCTACATACCTAGGCACATCGTTAGTCCTGATGCTGCGTTCGGTTGTGTAAGGCCACTTACTGGTCGACTTGTAATGACTCGAAACTCGTCGATTTGTTACACACTGGACAAGTCCAGGTGGGAGCTTGCTCTTGTAATTGGAGGAAAGACGAGGCATCGAAGCACTGATTGTGCGTACAGCTTATTGATCGGCAAGGAATCTCGATGCGAAGGGTAGACAAGGGGCATTTTAGCGACATGACTGTAGATGTGGCGACAATGTCTGCATCATGCGCCCGGCTTCTCACTAATCACATATTTAGCACACGATATTCAGAAGAAATGGGTTAGATAGATGTACTCTCGCGTAGCACTTGATCTCTTGTGATCTTGTTCCGTGACTTGAGCGTTGCTATTAATTCTTCCACAGGGCGTCGTTTCACAAGATTGACGACAATATAGAATTTCTATATAAATCAGCACACAGCCTCTATAGACTAGAAAGGCGGCATACCTTTTGCGTCAACGCGTATGTCATGGCGACCAAATTTGTATACCCCGCCCTCTTTCGAATGTAGTTCGTGATATCAGCAGGTCTCGTTGAACCCGGTCGATTCTTCAAACCCCGTAGATTTGCTTTGACATCGTCTAAATTGGCTTTCAACTCAACTTGGTGAGGAAAGGCGATATCAGATCTAGTAAATCCATTAAGGCCAGACTCAGCCGCGCAAAAGACCATGACGCGCAGGTTGGGCTCTTCTTGGAGCTTCTGCGCCGTGGTAGCGGAGAAGGTAAATTTGAGTTCGACGGTGTCTCTGGTCGATTCTCGAACTGGCGATACTGTTAGTCATGCATGCTTTATAGTCTGCTTGGCTCGATAACGAACCTTTGCATTCCACCGTCGGGGACAGTGGCTCCAGTATTTTGTAAAAGGGGCTTTCTTTGAACACAAGCGGACCACTCGAGAATGGCCGGGAAGGCATCTTCGAGCTGTAGGTATCTCTGGACGCTGCGGGCCTCGAGGAGGCGTAAGACGGCTGAGAAGGATATGTTGTTGTAGTTGTTGAAGTACCAGGCCACTGGATTCCAGCTATTGTGTAGAGAGTCCTTGCGATACGGTCATACTGATCAAGTGAGCCACGTTGGTGCAACCTCTCGATATCTGCTCAGGAAAGAAAAATATAGTTAGCATGTGTTGACCCCGAAAGTAACAAAATGCGGCAGGTGGATAATGCTCACACTCGATGAGGCGCAACTGAAGTGATATTTTCACTCCTGAAACAGCAAGTCCCTCACTTCTAAGAGCGTCTTTCATTTGCGCGTTTGTCATGGTTTTGATCACCATGACCAGATTCTGAATGTCTGGCGAGGACGTCATCTTGGAAATATTTCAAGAGCTTCTCTGATCGACGCTATCGGGCTTGGTTGCGTGGATGCAATAGCCTATGAACAACGGCCGTCTTGTCGCGAATCAAGCTGCCAGACATTTCATTATTTGCAGGAAAGAGAGATCACTTGTCCAAGACTCGTCCAGCAGTGTGACTGGCGAGTATTAGTTCAGTATGGAAAATGAAGTTGAGTTCTCCCAATTGTATGGCGACCCGTCCCGACTGCCAATGAGCGGGAGCATTGATTCGCCGCCCGCCTACCGTATCGTTGAATACGGATTGTGCCGTGGACAAGGAACAAGCTGGGATATGAAGAAATACATCTAGGTTAGAAGATTGACAATTTCAATTTACGCGACAGCTAAGAATGTCTCCTCTGATCATATGTCTCTTGATGTGACGTGTATTAATTGTAAAATAATAATACATTATCATGTAGGTCTTGGTATTATAATACACATGCTAACCATATCAGGTTAGCATGATTGATAGCCATAATTATTTTTTTCTTGGTTATCTTTTGGCCTCACACCAAACACTCAATTCATTTCGTTCAGAAAATAAATTACCTCCTGGCTTCCTGCTTCCTCAGTCAATCTTGTCCATATCGACTTTCCGAAATGGCGAAAAGTATCCGTTCAAGTACCAAAAAGAGAAACCACGCCAAACTGCGAAGCACAGTCTTTGGTCCTGTCGCCGATGCACGAACAGAGAGACTTTCGGCCAAATTACAAGAGCTCGCAGCGCAACCTCTTAAGATTGAGACCAGCAAGGATTCTTCCGAAGAAAATACCAAGACAGAAGCTGGGGTGGAAGATGAGAGCGACAGTAAGTGGACTCACCCAGTTGCTTGGACCTTTTTGCGCCCACCATTTCATGCTGCCAATTGAAGCTGACTTTGCATTTAGAAATGGTTATTGACGAGTCAGCTGCTACAAAATCAAGTTCTACAAAGCAACGATCGAATCGCGTCAGGAAGCAGATCAAGCGGAAGCCCCGCAATAAGATGGTTTTTTCCAAACCACACCAGGGGAAACAACAGCGAAAAACTCAAAAGAAGAATTAGGATGGTATTGGAAGGAAATGTCAAGATTCAAACGACATATAAATTATATTGGGAGTTCGGAGTTTCCACCGGCATGGCGTCTGGCGTTATGGCATACCGAGTCGAGATGCACTCACAACGATGGACGTTGAACTGCGCAGATGAGAACCGTTCGCGACTCGTGAGAAGCTAGAAATGATTCGAGTCTACAAAAATTGTCTCACAGCCGCATCCAGATACTTGTTCGGCGACACTCGTTCATCTCATACTTGAAACGCATCAGCATCCACGTTGTGAGCTTGACATTCGATGAACTAAGGCAAGAGATTGTTTCGGGTCTATGATGATCACGACTTTTATATCGAATTTGGGATTGTTGTTTCTTCAATTTTACATTGAACAAACAAATTATGTCTGAATACTCTGTGAATTTCTAGCCTATAGTACGGAGACGTACCCCTGCAATAAAGATAGCCTCCTGTCGATGTGAGTTTATCGGCCAGCATAGTGTTCCTGGGAAGCAAAAAGCGCCCATCAATAATCTGACCGTTCAATATCACCAACACACTGCCGTAAATACATCGTGGCCTCAAAAGCGGTGAGCATGGATCGCATGGCAGAATCGAGTATGTAAATAAAGCTTCAAGGGGAATCGTCTAAGCGTGTAGCAACAAACTTACCCGCCACAGAGGGAATTATTTTTCTTGTCAATACGTCAAAAGGCTATTCCTTTATAATTCATACTCTTCTTTTCTTGCTGGCTGTCCGCGCCCAGTTTCCGCGCCACAATGGCCGGAACCCTTTCGAAATGGACACTTTTCCTCGTCAATGCATTGATCCCTGTATCAGTGCTGTTATTCTGTTCCGGATATTTCCCATATAAACCGATTCTACCGGGAGCAGCTGAACAGTCGGATTGGGAAAAAGCCCCGCCAATCTTCGACAAGGTCATACTCATGGTGGTTGATGCTTTGCGCAGGTACCTAAACTAGCTCATCGAGGACCATAATAATGTGGATCGTGCTTATTGGCTTCTCAGTGATTTTGTATATTCGAATAATTCGGGCTTTGTATTCACGCAAAAGTTAGTAATCGGTTCTCTTATTCTATGCCCTTTTTATATGTATATGCGTGATGGCTGATCTCCGTAGTTTAATCCGTACCGGCGCTGCATTGCCTTTTACGGCGCATGCAAGCTCTCCAACGGTTACAATGCCCCGAATAAAGGCAATAACAACCGGATCTGTCCCATCTTTCTCAGATGTTGTGCTTAACATTGCCGAGTCTGAGAGTATGTCGACGCTCGTCCACCAAGATACTATTATCACGCAACTCAAGAATGGTCTTCCTGGGAAAATGCTCATGTATGGAGATGATACATGGTTGAACTTATTCCCGAATACATTTGACCGATTTGAGGGGACAAGCAGTTTTTTTGTTTCGGTAGGTTCTGCGATCAATGACAATGATGATGATATTGGGCCTGGTTGATTAAATCGTGCCATAGGACTTTACCGAAGTGGACAATAACGTTACAAGGCATGTCTCGCCAGAGCTCGCAAGAGATGACTGGTCAGTCATGGTGCTTCATTATCTTGGACTGGATCACATCGGCCACAAAGCTGGACCTAAGAGGTACGAAACACTACTGTTTAAATAAGAATATGTCTGACCAACTTGCTCAAAGCTCCCATATGATCCCCAAGCAGAGAGAAATGGATGGTATAGTTGAAAATATATATAATGCAATGCTCTCCGAGAGTCATCTGGAATCGACCCTTCTGGTCCTGTGTGGAGATCATGGAATGAATGAAGCAGGAAACCATGGAGGTTCATCTGCAGGAGAAACTTCGCCAGCATTGACCTTTATATCACCAAAATTGAAAACGCATGCAGAGAAAGTGCAGCTCAAAGTCCTAGATAGCCCAATTGAGGCCAAAGAGTTCGAGTACTACCGTACAGTGGAACAATCAGATATTACGCCAACATTGGCAGGACTGCTTGGAGTTCCCATACCATTGAATTCTCTTGGAGTCTTTATTCCAGAGTTCCTCGGATTATGGGAAAATGGTAAGTGGAATGTCATTTACGCTATACATTCAAGCTCGAGTGTGCTAATTCGACATTGAAATTATCCAGAAATGGACAGATTGACCGTTCTGTTAGAAAACACCGCGCAAATCCAAAAAGTGATCAAGATGGCGTACCCAAAATTCTTTTCCAACGACAAGATATTCAAAGATGTATCCAACGGAAACGGGGCTCACTTATCATCCTCTGCTCTCGAGAGATTGGAAAACGAACTCATAGCGGCTGGCATGTCCGAGTCGGCCGATGAGAGCTCTCAGAAAGCGTACTACAGGTTTCTGCATTCGGCACAGAGTCTGATGAGCGGCGCTGCTAGCAGCTATAAACTTTCTATGCTATATTCTGGCACGTTAATGGCAGCTTTCGCATGTCTTGTCTCTGGTGTTATTGCATATTGCACTTTATCCACGTCACAGACCTCTTCTACGGTGTTCTTGTTTGTCACTTCCATGCTACATGGCTCTATGATGTTTGCTAGCAGCTTTGTGGAAGAGGAGCAGCAATTTTGGTATTGGATAAGTACGGCTTGGGCTGTTTATATCCATTTGAAATCGTGAGGGCACTGATTTGCGTAAGATCTTCCCTATGGCTGACTACGAGTTTAGGACCTCGAAATTCGGAGCCCGTATACTATCAATCAGAAGCATCGCCTATTCACTATCCTTTATAGCAGCTGGTCGCTTTGTTCGCCGATGGAATCAGACCGGGCAGAAGTTCGCAGGTGAACCTGATACTGTCCAATATCTAACATCTTCTCAGCCCATGTTACTCTGGGCATTGGTTCTGCTTACATACATAGTGAACTGTCAGGAGTTGATTCGATCAGCGCCTTTCAGAGACATATTTGGCAAATTGTTGTGGACGATATTATCCGTCGCGGTGTCCCTCGCAGCCATCATCTTCAAAGTATCATTCACGGCGGCTGATGCGCCAGAACTGTTGTACCCTCTCATGCTTAGAATTACAAAGTGGGGATTTCAATTCTCCCTTGTCTTCCAAGCCCGAATCGTGTTCATTGGTATTACTTTGCTGGTTGGGATTTTCGTCTTTTCCAGTTTCAGATCAGTAGGTATCCAAAATGGTAAGCATCCAATCTTCCTCATAGCTTAAGCGACTGTGTCTGACAGATTCTGATATAGTGCAACGAAAACGTCTTCTCCATGAGGCACTTGCTTTATTTCTCATCACACAGTCGCGGGCAACGAATATACCTCTCTTTCTGCTATTCAAAGTCCAAGCCTCGATCGTCGAACTAGTCGACTTGAACAGTATAGAAACGACACTGAACCTGATCCTCATGCAGCACGTCGCATTCTTCGCCTTCGGAGGATCAAACGCATTATCCTCCGTCAACCTTTCAACCGCTTACAACGGTGTCAGCGATTACAACGTCGTTGTTGTCGGACTACTAACATTCATAAGCAACTGGGCAGGACCAATATGGTGGATGTCAGAAACCGCCATAAACCAACGTCGCATGTCTCCGGTCGAGGCAACGAATAGAGTAGCTTTGCTATCGTTCAGCACGACGATTGAACTGTTGGCTGTCATGGCGGCTTGCACCGTGCTCAGGACACATTTGTTTGTTTGGACGGTCTTTTCGCCCAAATTCTTGTATAGTATAGCTTGGGCTTTGGCGAATCATCTCGGGATGAATTTGTTTGCGACGTGTAGTTTGTCTTTATGATTCGATTCGTGTGTCGTCTCTTGTTGTATCTTTAGTCTCCAGTCCTAACGCTTTGCTTCATTTTAATGCACCAAAGATATCATCGATGGCATTAGCAGACTTCTTTTTCTTGGATTTAGACTTCCTGACTTTAGTCGTCGTGCTCTTGGCGGACGGTGGTAGTTCCATATCCTCATTCTCAGATTGTTGTGTAGATCTCTTCTCGTTGATCATTGGTATGGATGGCACTTCTTTCCCTTGTAAAGGCTCAACATCCCGACGAATTGGGATGCCGAGGTCGCTTTCTGAGTCAACAATATGTGCCGCTGTCAATGACAATGCTACCTTGCTTTTGACAGGATGATACCGTCTTTGGCGCAACGTTAACGGCATAATTACTCTCTTCGTCTGCGCGAGCGCCGCCAGAAGGACTGTCCCAAGTGTAGAAAATTGTCCATCGGCGACCACAGTTGAGAAGGCGCTATAAAACGATTATACATTAGACACAGACAGAACATAAAAGAGCAGATAATAACATACACATAACCCATTGGAATTACACGAGTATGCAAATATCTCGAGATATTCATACATTTCTTCTCGTTCCCAGTAGAGCCTATTAATTTCAGAAGACACCGTCGAAGAATCGAGAGCCATTTCCACCATGCGGTGCCACCATGTTGATTTTTGTTGCGATGATATATGAGGTGTACGGTGGAAAATAGCGTCTCGAGGAGAGATTGCTCCATTTTTGAGTTTGTTTGTATGAAAAGTTGTCGGTACAAATTCTTTTCGATGGCTGACGTTGATATAAGCTTTTGTAAAAGGATATGGTGCCTGAATTCTAAGGCATTAGCTCCACTTTCTTCTTTTGTTTACGACGTGTCAACGTCTGTCTAGACTCTACACAACAAAGCGAATAACTTGATTGTTCTTGTATTGATATGAATCTACAGGAACACCGTGTAACCCAATTTGACAATTTAAACCCCTTAGAAAGAAGGTAACCCAACCAGTCTGATGGTTCCCAAATCTGTTGTCTTGAATTCTTCCTTGCGCGCTATTAATTCTTCAACATCCCAATTTGCGCATACAAATTTGCCATGCAAGAAATCAGCCTCGGAGCTTGCAAGCCACACTGCAAATTGACTAGGGAGATTGACTGAAGTCGTTAGTTGCAAGTACATCGTTCCCTCCTGGGCTATATTATTTGCTTACCATGGTCTCGGCCTGTCAACCCAAGCTTTTTGGCCATATCCGTCTCAATCTGTCCAGGCTGTATGCTCACGACACGGTAATTAGGGTTCTCTGCAGCGAAGTACTCCCAGATCTTCGTTGCAGCAAGTTTGCTTGTCGAGTAGGCAGCTGCGCCTGGCAATGGAGGCATTATTGCAGCAATGGATGATACATCGATAACGACCGCATGATCCTTGCGTGCTGTGCGGCTGAAAGCTTGTGCTGTATATATGCTGCCTTTCATATTCGTTTCAAACGTAATCCAGGCATCATCGTTACTCAATTCGGTCACCGTACCGGTTGTTACATAGCCTGCATTGTCAACGAAGACATCGATGGGTCCGAATTTGTTGACAACAAGGTCGAAGGCAGCGTCAATTTGTTCTTTCTTGGAGACATCTGTAACACAACCTATGACGCGGAGGCCGTTGAAAGAAGCTTCAAGTTCTTTGGCTGTTGTAGCGAGGACATCTTGACGACGACCGATGATGGCGATTTGTGTTGATCCAGCGGCTGCGAATGCGCGAGCAATACCTGCACCGATTCCACCACCCTTTGATCCAGTTAGTGTCTAATATTTTAATGATAGTATGGGCACTGGCAAGACTCCTCATATAGGAAGGCTCAACTTGAAAAGAGAAATGTTATGACTACCACTTACGCCACCAGTAATGAGTATGGTTTTATCCGCAGCTGACAATAAAGGCTTAAGTGGCGAGATAGCTGGATATGGCACAGTATGCCAAGTCTTCGTCAACGATGGAAATGTAGCCATTTTGAACCTTGGAGAGTCGAGTACTGAAAAAGACAGAGCTTTTAATTGCTATCTTGCTGGCCATGTTGATATGAGATTGCAAGGGATGCTTGTTCATACTTATATCACGATGAGAACAGAACATCATCTGCTACCTAAATGTAATTCTCTTAACTACAAGTTTCCAAATCGTAGAATATCTATGAGGTTTATAGTTAAGTCTCTAAATACCGACCATCCGACGCTCGGGGGTGGGCGTTCCTCCGCAATGCTCCATGCATAAGAATGGAGGATGACAACGCCATTGCGGATTCATCAAAGATCGACTTTTCATCGCAGGGGGAAGATATGTAGATCCTGTTTGAGAATCTATTGATCCTAGCTGTAAGCCTGTAATATCATCTATTGTTTTCTTTAGTTTTTATTTCTTATAACTGAGATATTATTGGGGAAACCATACGTCTACACCCCACTAACCGTATATAGTAATTTTGAATCACGTGCATATCGCGTGCGCTGAGTTTACATAGTAAATTGAGAGGCGTGGAAGCACGAAGTAAATTCTACTGGTCGGGCGTGTATATAAGCGACTGCTCGCAGCAAATAATCAGCAAGTAAATTATTGCTAAATATTTAGACAATTTGTTCAAGTGGTGAAGACATCACTCTTAACGAGTCGGTACGCTAAACCTAATCGGAATGGGATACTTCCAACAATTTACTACATAGTATGTAAATGTTGGAAATAAAATCACGTGACTAACAGAATACAGAAGTCGAACTACGGAACGGTTCGCAAATACCTCAAAAATACCAAATTCCCTTAAGGGCGTCCTTTTTGGTGAAACGGTATTACGTTTGAGTTCCGACAGTAAATTCAGCGCACGTGATTCAAAATTACTATATACGGTTAGTGGGGTGTGGACGTATATTTTCGGGATGTGGACGTATGATTTCCCTATTATTAACTCCTTTGAATTTTTGAAATGACGCTTCAACCGCTCCCCCTGAGCTTAAAATTCTTTCAGATCCTCCTTAGAGATGCATTTATCGCGATCCTAGCCTATTTTAGATTAAGTAATGTTATAGGGCTCATGACTTTGGCACTATTTACTAACTAGCATGCGTAAAAGCTGTTTACCGGTTGGGAATCACTATGGTTATGCTGTAATGTACTCCTATCAGATGTTGTAGTCTGCTGCTTATTTTTTTCTATTAGTAATCTCGAGCTTGTTTCTAAGTATTCCCTGTACGACGCTGTCTATTAGAATAGCGTTAATGGCTTCTTGATGGTACTCTGGAAGCTATCATGCTTTCGGTGAATGACTCGAGGCCTGAAATTTCACTTAGGGCGCTCTCCGTTTTCTCCTTGTATCTTAGTAACTCGACAGAAGTCCTCTTAATGAGCTTATATTTAATCAATACGCTAAACGTGATGTTAAGGTCCGCGCGCTCTCCCGGTTGGCTATTTCTTAAGATGGAATGGTTCCCTTCCTCCATGCCCCCTTTCCCTAGTTTATCAAAGTAACTGGTAGCCGACGTCTGAAGAATGACAAAAAGTAGATTAACTTTATCGGTGGGAAATGCTCACGAGTCCGAAGATCTTGCCTAATCCCTAAGAACGGCTCCGCAAGAAAAGATCTTTTCATCATAATACTTCACAGGCTCCATGAGTGAACAGTGTTCGCCTCGAAAATGTATCAGGATGGACAAATGACCTATCCATATTTCTTATTGACATATGCTGGGGTGAACTGCCTTAGAAACTCGGCCACCCTTCCTTTATGAAAATTATATTTTCGTAGTAAAAGGTGTTAGTGTCGATGCAGAGAGTGTGTTACCCGATACAAAATACTAGATTGCTGACGACGGTTGTATGCAGTCAGTACAAACATGGAGATTCAGGGCATGACTCAAGACTTCGCATCAATACGAGTTTTTGCCATGCCTCTCTCAGAAGGTCATACTTGTCTTCTCGTAGTTTCCCTTACGCCATACGTATAACCATAGACATATTTCGTCTCTTCGATTTTCATTTCATTGTAGGAAGCTTCTCATGCTTGACTTGGAATAGTATCTGACTCAAAACAGTGCCTAACCCATGGCTTTCCGATAAAATCATTCATGAACACTCATTTTCAGTCCTTTCCATTTACTCCTTGAACACTCATCCATGCACAGCAATATCTCGGGGGAAAAATGAAAAATAAATAAAAAGTAAATGAAATCTTCTCACTCAAGCCCTCATCAAATAGTAAAGGATAAGCCAGGACGACTTGTGCCGAGTGACCTACGTACCACGTCGGAGTGCAAGGGGCGAAGCCATAGGATCCATGCCCGAAAGTCCCTGACGGTGAGGAGGGCTTGCACGATGACGATGAGGTGTAGGCAAGTCAGGGCGAATTGATTGTCCACGACGACCTTCACGGCTCATGCGGGGTGCGAAAAGACCTAGCATCGCTGTTAGTTACCTTATGGATGGCTAGTGAGAGGCATCAATTGTGTCTCCATACCAACTTGTTCCGCATTCTCGACGCTACGACGCATCTTAGACATGTTGTTCGGGCCTGGGAAGGGTTCTTCAGTTCCAGCGAGGGGACCAGTGCCTGTGTAGAACAGCTATAATAATTGTCTTAGTAAATGGCTTCGCAAGCACGACGGAGTGTTTCAATATCGCACCTTTGGGCGGAAAGAAGGATCCTCAAGCATCACGGAGCTGTTTCGGAACTTCTGGATCAAGCACTCTCGTCCTTGAATAGCTGTAACAGATGAGTTAGCATGTAGAAGCCATGCGAACAAGGATGCGTCACTGACTAGCATAAGAGACCTCGGCTACCTTGTCACTGTTGAAACAGTTCCTGTTTAAGGTTAGTAAAAGTTTAGAAGCCATGCGAGTTCGTTCACATACCAGGTATGACCAGCACGAGCTTCGACAAACTGTTATACTCTTAGTAACTTGTCACCACTTGTATAAATGATTGAGTTGAGAACTCACGTCGATGATGTCGATAGGCTGCATTGTAGTGAGTACGGGTACTGGCACCATGAGAAAAGGGTTGGTAACTTACATCTTCAAAGTTAATAAACGCATAGCCGACACTGTTCAAATATTTGTTAGACGGAAGATCTCGTGGAAGGGTAAAGTGATTGCACTAACTTGCAGTTGTTAGCGAAGTCTGTTACCATGTCAGTGTTGTTCTGCATCGTAGGAAGTAAGGAGACAGAGTTACTCACCAATACGCAAGTACATGAAGTCATACTTGCCGAAGCTAGTCTCGTCAACGATAGCTTTGAGAAGGGACTGATCAAGTTAGTAAGGAGAAGATATAATGTTCAATTGAAGATATCGTCACTCACCAGATCCACTTTGTTGGGAATGTTGCGAAGCATGATCTATAAAAGTATTAGATGAGATCAAACTGATATACAGGAGGGAGTCGAACAGTAGTGCGGACATCTTGACCCAATCGAATGCGGTTCACGTCGACGATATTCTGTGGATGCTTGGGACGTAGATCGGAGAGACGACCATCTGAATGCTGATGTATAGAATCAAGACTGGAGATTTTCTGCACAGGAGAAAGCATCTCCATCATGTCGCAGATCTCTTCCATTGGTATGATAGAGCGACCAGTTGGACTCAACACGTAGCTATGGTCACGAGCACATCCACCGATCTTATAAGAAGGGCTGATCTTGGGAGAGATGTGGCCTCGAGGGTTCATGAACTGTTGTAGCAAGCTGCCAGAGGTAGAAGGAACGTCAGGACGAACGTGCTTGGCCTCAAATTCAAGATCCTGCGAAGACAAAGGAGATAGAGGTTAGTCTTGTATTGGAACATTGGAACAGGCAAAAGAGAAGAAATACTGGACTGTATGACTGACTTCAATGATTGCACCATTCAAAACAGCCACTGCATTCGCAGCGTCGATGGTATCACAGAATTCGGCGACAAACTCCTTGATATTGCCTGCAGGCAGGAAGAGGGCCTTAAAAGAGACCAATGCGCCAAAACCCTTGACCAATCCTTGAACAAGAGAGTTTACTTGGGACAAGTCAATGTCGCTAAGGTGTCCGTGGATAATGACCTTGATGGAAATTTGGCCTTCGAAATCAGAAATGCTTCCAATGAGACCCTTTGACTCCTGAGCACATTCACGGGCAAGAAGAGGAGTTGCTCGCCACTCTGGATGAGTGAGCTGGACCTTTTCAAGGGCTCGCTGGGTGTCACGTAGATCAGTGAAAGCAACGATGAACTTTCCCAGCGACTTGAGCTCCGAGAGGTATGGACCCTGAATGCTTCCGAGGTTGCGGCGCTGTTAAAAACAGGTCAGTCTTCTGTCTGAAGCCATGTTGCTCGCAGTATAGTATGATCTTACTGAAAAGAGACTAGCCACAGCCAGATGGGAAACGGTAGAAGAGACACCCTCGACGACCAAGGCACGACCCTTTGGGGGGAAGTAAGAAATCTCGACAAGACCCGAATCGAGGCCTGAATTGCCACGAGCGCCAGAAAATGGACTGGCAAGAATGCTAGGCTCAGAGGACTGCAGCTTGCTCGGGCGAGACTCTGTGTTTGGAGTTGGCAATCCGGCGAAGTTGACTGTCCTCATGGGGCTCTCCTGAGAAGTGTTTGGTTTACCGTCACCAAAGCCAAAGCGATGAAGATCGAGATTGGCAGAAGACAGACGAGGGTAAGCCGGTCCAAAGAATGGATCCACAGCAGTCTTCGATGCGCGCGGGTTCAGAAGTCAGCATATAGAGCAAGGTAAAGGTTCCGTTCGAGGCTCAATTACTTACGAGACAGAAAAGGTAGTCATCTTATCAGCAGATAGGCGGGCATCCTGCTTGGTACGAGCCGACAGCGGAACTCTAAGGTCTTCAGGCGAGTAGACAGTCATTTTGGTGTCGGGAGTATTGAGGCTAGCTACAGCGGCTCCTTCAGACGAGTGCGGGCTGTTTGAAATAACTCTGCGTTCGGACAGCATGGCCAAAGACGCTTCAATCTCGACCGGGAGTGGTTCAAAAGCCAGAAAGAGACAAGAGACTATCGAACAAGATTTAGAGCTGGAGAGAAGGTGTTCGCTACCTCAACAGTATGATCAATTGACCAACAAGACAGAACGACACCGGCAAGAAAGATTGTGAGAGATCAGAAATGTCAAGATAGATGGCAAGTGATAGATCAAGAAAGAGATGAGAAGAAGGAAAGAGAGGATAAGGGGGAGAGATGGGAGAAAGAGGGTTTATATAGTCGAACGAAGCAAGCCAAACCGAATTCGATGAAGATGTCGTTAGAGCATGCGATAAAGAAGATATTATGCTTCGGTCTCGACATCTCCAGATCATTTTTCATTGGGTAGCAGACCTCCATCATTGCCGCGATGGTCATCAGGGCAAGGTGTTCGTCGATTATCAGAGATTTTGATAGGCCGAAGCTTCAAGCTTAAAAGGCAGAAAATCCGGGGAATGTTTGCGTTAGCCGCTGGTGAGCTTCTGATAGGGCCATCCACGATGTGAGCACAGAGTTGGCGTGTCAGCTGGACGCTCCAGGTAGTTTGACAGTGAATTGGACTATCTGATAGGACAGCTCTGTCAAATAAGCTCAGTGGAATTGAGTTTGGCGGCTAATGAGATTCACCTTACCAGCTGGGATAGTGCAGTCACCTGCTAAGATTACACGAAGCCTCAAAGAGACGACGACAGGGCATAGTGAGAGAATTAACTATGATAGGACAAAGAGATCAGCTATGAGTCTAGAACTATGTAACAGCTTTAAAACTCACTGTTTGACACAGGTCATGTGCTAGAGTATTCTTTCATTCCCCAATCATAGACCAGGATATAAAGAAACAGCAAACACATAGGAGAAACAGCCAGAGGAGAAATTAGGGCTAACAAACAGTCACGTGAAGCCAAATGGAGTAAAATCACTTGACTGTATCACATCATCTCCTCTCCCTCAGATAGGTGAACTGATACAGAGACTCTCGATTAATAGCAGCCCGGCAAACCCGGCAAACAAGACGCTCGGAGTTGACTCGGTATGGGGGACCTTGACTCTATCTAAGAGGGCAGAGGAAAACGAGCAGTGTTAGACGTAATCCCTACTCCAAGCTGCATCATAAGTCCTCGATAGAGCTGTAGTACTTGAATTTGCTGTGGAATGTCCCCATGGACACAGCTAGTCCACACTGGATATCCATCCAGGGTTGCATTGGTTGACACTGCGGGTCGGGTTCATGTATATAAATAAAGATGAGAAAAAACTACTGGTCTCCTCTCTCAGTAATCATTGTCAGAGTGAAACTAAAACGGCAGTACTGTAATAATATGGTTGCCAAATAATTGAGAGCGCAGCGCAGCACAGCACAACTCGCCATTTCTCGGATCAACCATGTCTAAGGAAATCATCAGCGGTACCCAACAGGTGTCTCTGCTGTATAACTGTACAGACCTATTCGTAACATATTCGTATAAGGGATATAAGCATACAGAAGCATCTGCGGTCATCAATTGGAGGAAGAGATGTTGAAATAAGATGTCGTTGATAAACTGAGGCAGGCGGCCCCACAGCAATTCGGGGTCGCGACTAGATCCGCACCTTCCTATTGACAGCTGCCCACGAACAACTTCAACGATATAGTCTACAATACCCTCATTTATTCTAGCATGACTACTGCTTGTTGATTAATCTGGAATATACAGAAGGGCGACAATGCCGTCCGCCATCTCCCATCGCAATGACTCCATCCTCAATCAGGTGAAGCTAACTCGTCTAGAGCACTGTACGTGGAAAACAACGAGCTAACGATGTCAATATCCAGATTGTTATGTCCCCGTCGGACTCGGACTATCTAGACCAGCTTATTCCGTCGATTCGAGAGTACAGCTACGGCAACCAAACATCACAGCTCCTACGATCGTTGTCCCGCTTCGCTAGCGATAAGGAACAGGAGATTGAGAATATATGCAATACAAACCACCAAGAATTTGTTACCTCCGTAAATCAGCTCCTTCAGATCCGCGAGGGCACTGTCAGCTTGACATCGGAGATCCTAGACTTGAACCAATCCATTCAATCCAGCACGGAGAAATTGGCGGAACAGAAAAAGGCACTGGTGGAGTCACGGAGTCATCGACAAAACATCGACGAGAGTTTACGTGCACTGCAAGATTGTCTTGAAGTCTTGAGATTATCAAATCAAGTCCATGACTTGCTCGGAAAGAAGAACCACTACGCGGCTCTGCGCGCGCTCGAAGAGTTGCAAAATGTCCACCTCAAAGAAATCACACAGTACAAGATATCAGAGCTGATCCAACGGTCAGTTCCCGCAACCCAAAGAGCTATCGCAGAGGCCGTCATGTCGGACTTGAATACCTGGCTATACAGAATTCGAGAAATGTCGCAGTACTTGGGTGAAATTGCTCTCTATCACACCAACTTGCGCAAGGAGCGGTTGAAAGAGAGAGCCCAGAACTTGAAGTATCTGGAGCAATTCAAACTGAACTCGGCTATTGAGTTAGTCTCTGATGAGCATGAAGAATACGATTTGCTTCAGAATGAAGACCTGCAAGTGGATTTTACCCCCTTATTTGAATGTCTCCACATTCATAGATCATTGGGCCAAATGGACAGGTTTAGAGCGGAGTATGCGACGACCCGACGGCGACAAAAGGAACTTCTGCTCCCCAGTTCTATCACATTGATCGACGCCGATGGCGCTAGTTTGCATACTCTTTTGGAAGAAATGACCGGCTTTGAAATCGTGGAGAGGTCGACAATGAAGAAGATTCCAGATCTTCGATCATCCGTTGATGTGAGTGATACTACAAATACTAGCCGGCCAAAGCTTTTATATACTTGGTAACTAACGTCTCTTGATAGGTGGAAGAACTGTGGGAATCAATGTGTCACACTGCTGCTGGTCTGATTACAGCAGCGCTTCCTGAAGTAGATAATGCGGAGAGCTTGCTGAAGATCAAGAATCTCATTGCACTTTTCATGCAGGCCATGGATGTAAGTCATTCCTCATCTTACGTTAAGGTACACACAATCTTATTCCTCTGCCAGACGTGGAATTTCTCAGTTACAGTGTTCGACAAGCTTCTTCTCACGCTTTTCGGAAGATATGCCGATTTGCTGAAGACCCGGTTTAGTGACGACTTTCAAGAGGTCAGCATCAGAACTCTCTGTTCAACCCGTTTCACCTCACTAACAACCTGTAGATTGTTTCCACTGATGACTACATGCCCATGCCTATACAAAATCTAGAAGAGTTCGACAAAGTCATCAATGTCAGTTGGTATACGCCAGAGAAGCCACGCGAAGAACAAACGTAAGTGTCCCGCATGATCCTCTTTCAAAGAAGCATTGAATGCTGATTAGTCTTTTCTAGATTCCCTTGTGTTTTGCCTTTCTCGCAAATGTATCCTCTTTGTTGTATTGACATCAGGAACTTCCTCAATCAATTTTACTTTTTCTCGAATGACGACTTCCCCCACGCGGATGTCATTGACGAGACGCTTCAAAAGGTTGGTCTCATCCCAAAGCTCATTTCAAGTCGACTAATGCGTATGGTAGGCTTTGGACGACCTTTTATCAAATGAGGTTTGCGAAACGCTTGTTGAGCGTTTGAGCTCGCAGTATCTGGGACAAATTGTCCAAATCCTGATCAATCTTGAGCATTTTGAAATGGCTTGTCAGGAACTTGAAGCTCTTCTTGTTGCTGCTCGTTCACAATCGTCCACTGCTGGGCCTGTGTCATTGAAGGCCACTGAAAAATTCCGCAATAACAAGAAAGCGGCCGAGAAACGAATATTCGAAGTCGTGAACTCCAAAATCGACGATCTTATTGAAACTGCTGAATACGACTGGACGCCTACAGTCGAGCCAGAAGAACCCAGCAATTACATGCAGACATTGACACGATTCCTCTCCAATATCATGAACTCAACACTTCTTGGTCTTCCCACTGAAATTAAAGAACTTATATACTTTGACGCACTGAGTCACGCCGCAAATGAGATTCTTGCACTCCCCCTTTCTCCGGAAGTTCGCAAAATCAATCCATACGGTGTTACCGCCCTGGCCAAGGATGTCGAGTATCTCGCAACCTTTGTCGATAGTCTCAATAATCCTATCCTCAAAGAGAATCTGGACGAACTTCAACAGACTGTGAACCTGCTACAGTCAGATAATGCAGATGAATTCTATGATATCTCCACGCGTAATAAGAAATACGGCCGAGTTGATGCCATGAACGGACCGATATTGCTTGAAAAGTAAGTGTTGTACTGATCAAAAGATTTAATTCACTTCACTAACGCATCCATCTTTAGGCTCACGCGAACCGTTTCAAGTCCCGTCAAGAACGAGAAGTTTGCGACATTATCCTCAAGATTCGGAATGAAATAAGTACTTATCCAGTAACTTATATTATTCGGGTCCAAATACATACGAAATATGAAGCTTCCTATCATAATACCCTTAAAGCACTCAAACAAGTATATCAATAATTACAATTGTGGCCCCATCGAGACTTTACTACCTACTAGACATAGTGACAAGAAACGCCCGATAATCGATAATTGCATAACACGTTAGGAAGAAACACAAGAAAACAGCCCATCAGTCCAACTCTTTAAATCCCAAGAATCGAAGACCAAGAAAACAACCTCCAGTACATTTTTGTTAGAGAGGATGATGGTTCTAATATATTGGACGAGCTGTATGGTTCATGTGAATTGAATTATTTACTGTGGCGTCGTTAGTAATCAGTAATTGCGCGAGACAGAAGCCAAAGAAGAACCTACCTGTTGAGGTGGGAGATGAGGGTATGCGGTGTACATTCCATCAAACATCTGAGGTTGAGGCTGGCCATAAGCTGCAGGATCCGATTGCACTGCGCCAGGGTACATGCCCGGCTGGTTCCTGTAATCTTGATCCTGTGCAAGCGCATGCTGTCCCAACGCATACTCTGGGGCTCCCATATGAGGATGCTGGACGCCAGCTTGACCAGGAGGAATATGTCCGGCGGCACCGGTAGAAGATGAAGCACCAGTAGTACCTGCGGCACCGCCAGCTTGACTAGATCTCTTAGCGTGCGATGTAGCTTCCTCTCGGGGAACGATATCGATCAAGAAATCGAACATATCCGATTTGGCAAGGGCAGCTGCAATGTCGGATCGCTGCAAGGTCCGACGTTTATTGTCTTCGGCGTGTATCCATGCGCGCATTGTGAGTTCCGTGATGAAGATGTCGCAGCCCTTAGCGAAGAGGATTGGTGCTTCCGCTGAGATCATTTTCACTTCTGGGTCGGCTTTCATCACCTTCTTTATACGCGCCAAGGGTAATTGATGGATCTTGTAGTCATGGTTGTCAGTTTCCAGATGGTTGATGATGTGTTGCCAGTATGTAGTCAGGATGTCGCGCGAGTTCCCTTGAAGACCTTGGTTGACCTGTTCCAGTCAGTCTGGCCGAACAATGGATGGATTTCTGATGGTGTTTACATTTGACCATGCACCGGTATACAATTCTGCGACAGGAGCATATCCTTGAGCTGAAAGCTATATGATTGAATAACTTGTGATAGCAACGCGACACGAAACTTTTCTTCCATCCCTGCACTTACAGCTGCGCTGGCGCCTAAAAGTTTGTCAAACAGTCAGCCGGTCGGTGTGATGACGTAAATCGCAAGTTCAGGAATACATACCATAATGACCGCCATTTCGAATGTCGTAGACAGCCTGTTGGCGGTTCTGTTGTTGACCGGTTGACTGTGTAGCTTGCTCCATGCTTGGTGATCCAATCGAGGGGTTTGGTTGATGGTGGGACCTTAATTCCAAGCAGGATCGATCGTAATTGGGTGAGGATTGTAGATAGAACTCTTGAGCGTGTGAAAAGACGCGACGACCTTCCTATAGAGAACAAAGATAAAGAAGAAAGCGGTGAAAAGAATTTGCGCGCGATGAAGATATTTCCCAATTTCCAGATGAGTGAGAGCAAGAGGTGGAATAACTGGTTTCTTGATCGTCTTTGGGCACACAGATACGTAGTTGGATGAGTTAGTACAGAGACAAGGCGCGACGATGGGCAGATGTAATGTGATTGATTGCTTGTGGCTGGGCGCTATGCCGTTTCCAGTCGGTGTGTATTTGAATATACCGTAATTACGCGCAAATATGATTATTAAGCCTGGCTGCCGCGGTTAGCGTAATCGTGTTACCATTTTGGTGTTTTTCGAAGCATGGTTTTGAATTCTGCGGGTTAAATCAGCTAAAAATTACTAGCGTTTATTTTAACCACAAACAAAGCCCCACCCAAGCTTAGCAGCAAGGAAAAAAAAATCCTCCATAAATAGACGGAGCTCCTCTCAAATTTTCTCTAAGGCCAGCCACACAACTGTGCCTCGCTCAACATTCCTCATGTGAAGTCTATCTATAAAGATGGACACTAATGCCACTCAATCCCTGCCTAATGGTCTGGATGAAGATCAGTACATCCAGCAGCTTCTGATCGAAGCACAGGCTCGACTTCAGTCGTCGTCCTCGGCTGACAAGTCTTTGACTTCGATCTCAGAAATATCACAGGACATACCCAAGTAAGTTTTTCCTTGCGGTCGGATGGACTGTTTTACGTCGATGTACTAACAATTTCATTAGAGTACCCAAGCTGCCTGCTAGTGCCGCTCTCAAACCCTTCATTGAGCAAAACGATGAGGTTGCCACTATAAACAACTCACAGTTTCCCTTGCCCTCCATGGTTGACCCTGCCGAAAAGTCAGTCTCTCGTGTATCGAATTCTTCAAGTAAACAAAAGGCATGTTCAGACATTTTTCATTCATTTATTATTCTCCTTTGCTGCTATGAGGAAAATTCTTTTGCCTTGTGCACTTGATGCAGAATCACCAGTCCGTTTTGGGCTGCTCTGCACTTATGAGAGTCTTTCTTTTTCATAGTTACTCTGAGCAGCTACCTCTGAATCTCGTTTTCTTCTATCAGTAGTTCATCTGGGCAGATAGGCTAACAGTCCGTTCGCCGAATAGGAAAAGGATAATGCGGGTAGTGATTGGTTCAACTTGCCAAAGACGAGGATTACTACAGAGTTGAAGAGGGACTTGCAGCTTTTACGAATGCGCAACGTCCTAGACCCGCACAGACATTACAAAAAAGAGAGTGGCAACGCTATACCCGAGTATTCTCAGGTTGGAACTATTGTCGAAGGCCCAACCGAATTCTTCAAGTCTCGTATTGTGAAGAAGGAGCGCAAGCAGACCTTCGTCGACGAGGTTCTTGCTGGAGAGCAACAGTCAGGCCGATTCAAAACCAAGTATAACCAAATCCAAGTCGCCAAGACCAGTGGGAAGAAGGCATACTACAACCGTCTACGGGCAAAAAGACGACGTTGAGCTATTGTCACTATTGTGGGAGATTGATAGCTACTTTAACGACATCTTGCTATACATCTCGGTTCTTCTCAAAGACGTCAGTGATGACTTGCACGACAAGCCGCTACGGTTTCAGTCAGTCGTCTATTTCCAATTCTTGGAAAGGGATCGGTTGACTCACTTGTATATCTTGGGCAGCTTGTCTCCCAGCCTCGAGGACTTCTTGATGATCCGCCTTTCCTTCCTTTAGGATAGTGTCTAGATCACCACTAGACGTCGATTGAAGGAGGTGGTCATCCCCTCGAGGCACTGGAGTGAGAACAGCATTGTTTGTGACGAGACTGAATGCTAATACACGCATGCCAGCATGCCTAGCCACAATAATTTCCGGAACAGTGGACATGCCTACCACATCTGCGCCGAGTTGCCTCAGCAAGCGACATTCGGCACGTGTCTCGTAGCTGCATATGTTTCAATTAGCACCCTTCTTTGTGCACTTGAACAACGAAAAGATTTTCATACCTCGGTCCCGAGACAAAAGCATAAACTCCCTCATGGAGTCTCCTTTTCTCCGACTTTGTGATACCTTGCCATGCCGTATGGACGCAACGGCGGAGTGACAGATCGTATGCATCTGACAGTGGAGGGAAACGGACACCAAATTCATCCACATTTGGTCCACGCAAAGGATGTAGCCCGGAAAGACCGGCAAGAAAGATGTGCTACAGCAGTTTATTAGCAAAGCAATAGCATGTTTTGATGCATTGGCGTGATTTGCCCTACATCGTTGAGAAGTGTTATATCTCCGACTGCATATTCAGGATTGAGACCTCCCGCAGCGTTGGTCACTGATTAGTTAGCAGAAGTGCTCCTAAATAAGCAAATCAAGTCAAATTCAAACCTACAGATTATTGTTTCTGCTTCAAGAAGCTTGAGAACACGGATAGGGAACGTTACATCCTCTATGGAGTGGCCTTCATAGTAACTGTAATTCAGTCAGTCAAATCATACTTGATGTAATTTCAATCTACTTAAAAAAGGAGGGCGACTGACTGTGACCGGCCAACCATGAGAACAACCGATGTCTGAGTTCCGAGGAATCCGAAAAGTAACTTTCCTGCATGTCCTTGAACTATCTTTTTGTAAGAAATCACTCATAGCCATTCCCAGTAGTCCGATTAGGACTGGAAAGGGGACATGCATACCGGTAGAACGCGGAAAATAGGGTATCGAAGAGTACTCAATCTCTACTCGTGGCTGTTCGTGGACTGCATCCGCTAGACCTCCAAGTCCGGAACCACAAACAATGGCAACCTTGGGTTTTTGTAACCTTGGATCAAGACGTTCCCTGAGAAAAGTGGCTGCTTCTTGGGCTCTGGAGAAGATTGTGCTCAAAGCCATGGTAGAGAGTCCCAAGGTAGATGTCTAGGACAAAGTTCCACGTTAACCACGCCTATTTGGAATTGATTTGTTTATGATTGCCCCTAAGGACTCCAACGTCAACTTCAGACCTATCCCTTAAATTCTGTAGCGAAAGTGCTTATAGATGGGTTTTGCCCCGAAAATTTTGAGGAAGTGGGATGTAATCACGATTTCCATATGTATTTTCAGGCGGTATTGCACAACTTACGTGTAAACGGTAAAGCCAAAACCAGCAGATCCCAATAACTCAAGAACGACTCATTCAAAAGTACTTATTGAACAATTTTCCCCTCAAAGGCGAGATATCACTCTGATAATAATGCTTGGTGGGCTTGTCTGGAGAACCGGCAGAAACATCGAAGGCGGTATGCGGGGAACCGCACCTGAAAAAAAGTGTGGATAGCATCGTCCAAGAACAACCTCTCTGCTATATCAGGGTGGTCATACACACTCATCGATCCGTTGAAATGTTGTCTAGAACATTTTTCCGGCCGGCATATACGGCATTTCAGGTAATAGACATCAATTGGCGCTTAACAATAATACTTGTCTAACTTTAGTTCATACAGGCCGGGCGACTCACGAGACAGTTGACGACCACCTCCGAACAAGCACTACCATCATCACAATCACCAACAAATACAATTGATTTGATACAGGAGATATCCCAGTTGGCACAAGATAACAAAACTCCGGAGACGCCAGCGGAAGCTCCAAAATCGAATGCGGAGTCATCCAAGTCGAGTGAAACAGATCAAGTCAAGCAATGGTACAAGATCTGACAGCAAACACTATTTTGATGGGCGATTCCTTGCTAATTCGTCAAACTAAAGGCCTCAGCGTATAAAGGATGTCGCCGAGACTTCTCGTCTTCCCAGGAGCGTTCAAGCACTCTATTTACGACCACTTAGGAGGAAAGCACAGCATGGCTTACCAGTTTGTGACCTTCAACTTCGATCGTACAGTGTGCGCAACGTCGAGTTCTTTGCCGACTTTGCGATCCGCGCCGCCTATTACCTCAATCTCCCTGTCTCCGGACCCGTTCCTCTCCCCCGGATAGTTGAACGTTGGACAGTTCCTCGAAGCAATTTCGTGCACAAGAAGAGTCAAGAGAACTTTGAACGAATCACACTACGCCGACTTATACAGATTAAGGATGGCCATCCAGAGACTGTACAGCTGTGGTTGGCATTTTTGCGACGACACGCATTCTACGGTGTCGGAATGAAAGCGAATGTCTTTGACTTTGATGATTTGGGTAATACACTCCTTGTTCCTGACGATCGGACATATCAGCTAACGTATGTTTGTGACAGATGTCGGCAGTGGACTCGACGCGACAGCAGATGATGTGGATAAGGCCTTGGAGCCATACTTTTCTCAATTCGGTCAGCGATATGACGCGAAGCAGAAGAAGTCAATTGTCGAGCAGATTAATAGTGAGAGATTTACGAACCCCAGAAGTCCCATGAACGAAGTTCGAAAGGGTTGAGCGGGTATGGGTGATGTTTCTTTTCTAGCAGGCTGGCGCCTTTGTAACATAGAATACTTTTCAGATGGGTTTCATAGCATACTGCAGCTTCAATCTATTATCGTAACATATACAAAATTTTTATCAAATATAATACTATTGTTACCCCAAAGAGAATATACATCTCCTATCTACCCACGTGACATCTCCGGTTAATGCGGAATTTCGGCGACGAAAAATGTTGGATAGTTCACTACATGTCAATCTTACCTCCGACCAAGATGCGCCCTCCACCCCTGAAATTAAGAAGTGAGTTACAGGTATTACCATCCATACGATATCGTCCATGTCCCGGCCGAATTCAATTCCATTCGCGACGACGTACCGTTTACACCTCCGCAACAGCTGACGCATCTCGGAACCGAGTCATTTTCTCCGGTATACAACCAACGGGCATTCCTCACCTGGGAAACTACCTAGGAGCTCTACGAGAATGGGTGCGATTACAAAATGATGCAGATCCCATGACCAAATGTATATATTCGATCGTCGACTTGCACGCTTTGACGGTGCCTCAGGAAGCTACACAGTTGCGGCAATGGAGGAAGGAAAGTTTTGCGATATTGCTTGCCATTGGGCTTGATCCAAGCAGGTCTATGCTATTTTATCAGTCTGATGTACGCGAAGTGGTCTGAATATGGTTCCTGGTTGGCATTGGTTGACAGGCCCTAGGTTTCGGCGCATGCAGAGCTAATGTGGATTCTAAGCACAGTAGCTTCTATGGGCTATCTTTCTCGAATGACTCAATGGAAGGTAGGCGAAATGAACTTTTCGACTGGAGGGAATGTTCGGGCTACATTCAGCTTACTGACTTGCCGTCAAACAGAGTAAATTACAACTACCCGAGGATACTGACTTGGAGAACGATAACGCAAAGTCCAAGTTAAGATTAGGACTCTTTTCCTACCCAGTCCTACAAGCTGCAGACATTCTTGTGCACAGGTATGCATTCCTTTCGGTGCCGTCTATGCGGTGATGAAACTTGTCTAACTAGATCAGGGCCACTCATGTACCCGTGGGCGAAGATCAAAAACAACACATTGAGTTCACACGATATACGGCCAACAGCTTCAACCACCTATTTGGGAACCTATTTCCATCCCCCGAAGGCCTGATATGTACGTAATTGGCATTGGCTACTAGCAACTTAGTAGTGATTACAGCTAACAACCGCGCTTATCTGATACAGCTCCGGCTCGTCGTGTCATGTCTCTAAAAGATCCTATCCATAAGATGTCAAAGTCGGAAACTGATCAAAAATCAAGAATACTTCTCACCGACTCGGAGAAGGACGTTCAAACAAAGATCAAATCTGCGCTCACTGATTCCGAGCCTGGAATCTCATATGATCCGGCCCGCCGGCCGGGTATCTCAAATCTCATTGAAATATTAAGTCACCTGGAGGGACCCAACGGAAGAAGCTGCGAAGAGATAGCGTCGGAGTTGCAATCAACGAGTATTAAGGCGCTCAAGGACCGTGTGGCAGCGACAATCAATGCCCATATTCAACCTATCCGTGACAGGTATTTGGAGATTGTCAGCAGAGAAAACGGTTACCTTGAAGATATTGCTGAGCAGGGAGCTGTCAAAGCTCGCCAGAACGCAAATGAAACCATGAAGGCGGTTCGGTTTACCATGGGTTTGTAACAACATAGTTAGGGTCCGGCAAAGAACGGTGTATGATATGAAAGGCTAGACTTGTAAAATACTTGGACTATGTAAATTACTATAGAGCTTGATGTATATAAAACGCTACCATTCAACTCAGGTACAACTGAAACGAAACCTTTGGATTAAATGCTATGTAGCAAGTAACAGAATACAGATAACAGAATACAGATACAATATTGCAACCTAACAAAGACAAGCCCTTATTTTCTAAGTGTGTAAGCATGCACTATGATCGCAGTTTGTAATCTGTAGAACTGACGCTCTTTTCCAATGAGTATGAATGGCTCTTTATTCCAGGAGCAGACTAACTGTATCACATCAGACAGATGATTCCACATCTACCAGCCTCGTCCGTTATATCGGCTCATACCGAGCTGTTCATACAATTGAAAGAGCAACGGCTGAATGTACATAGTATATTGCTGATGTTAGGGCAATCAGGGGTTCCGGGTTACGCAAGCCTTTCCGAACGTTGGAGATCTCCCCGACCCTTCCTCGTCAGCGTCCACGTCATCTCCCACCCGCAGAACAAGCCATCTCAACTGCTCATGACCCTATATCTTCGAAAACTGCCAGCTCTGCCGGGATGTCTCGGTGTGTGGCAAACATAGTGCCGCAAAATTCCGGTATAGTTACGCGGCTTTGGGGTCTTATGCTGCTCCGGCACTGACGGACAACATTGCTAGCCCCATATGACAAGGCTGCGGACGAACTAGTATATCAGTGTGTCTCTTCATTTGGTCATCCCGGTTGTTGTATGCTCAAAGAGCCTGGAGATCCGGTGGAGCCCAGTCCCCGGATGACCTACCTATATTCGGGAATATAGAAAGATTTCTGCTGCACACGCGTCGTATTACGACTCACCGAGAATTACTTATCTCACGGGGTTTTGCATGGGGAGCATGAATATCCATAGAAAAGCTTGATTACCAGTGAATTCAGTCCATGGGCGCATATGTGTCTCTCACTCATATACTCCAGGGATCTTCATTTTTCTTGTCCATACAGTTGATACCTACCGATCTGTCAAGGGCTTCATTTTTTACCCACATGTAATGAGAACAATGTGGCGGAATACTCTCACACTATTCCTAGCTATCCAATCAATGCACACCGTACAAGCATTGTCTCTTGCGAAAAGAGACACAGCTGCAGTACTAGCACTGGACGTCTCTCGCAATCATGTATCAGATCCGGTTGCTCGAGATATGAGAAGGAAGAGAAGCTTGACCGTCAGTCAGGCGCTCAATAACGAGGTTAGTTAGCGTTCAGGAGACATGTCATTTTGGCCGATGTCTGGACGTTTGGGAGGATTGATGTTGATCTGATACATAGGAAACGCTATACTTTTGCAATATCACATTAGGCACACCCGCGCAGAGCTTACGATTGACACTGGATACCGGAAGTAGTGATTTATGGGTTAATGCTCCCAATTCTACCTCCTGTAGTGGTAGAGTCGACCAATGTACTTCCTCTGGGACGTATAATACGAGTTCCTCGTCGAGTTATAGACATGTTTCTTCCGATTTCAACATCTCCTACGTCGACGGCACTGGTGCCGCAGGTGATTATGTCACTGATACTTTAACCATTGGGGGAGTAACGATTCCAGCATTTCAGTTTGGAGTGGGATATTCGTCATCATCCAACGGTGAGTGCATTACTATACTTAAAGTTGATAGTAAGTATACTAGTCCCAGAGCTGACCCCGTCTCATCAGTGGGAGTACTCGGAATTGGGTACACTGCGGACGAAGTTCAAGTTAATCGAGACCAGAAGGCAGCCTATGCGAACCTTCCATTGGCGCTGGTCAACCACGGCCTCATCAACTCCAATGCATATAGTTTGTGGCTCAATGACCTCAACGCCAATACAGGATCAATTCTCTTTGGCGGAGTCGATAGCGGTAAATATACTGGCGAGCTTGAGACGTTACCAATACAGAAAATAGATGGTGAATATGCGGAGCTTCTCATAATCATGACTGGGGTTGCGCTGCAAAACAGTTCCGGCGGCCAGTCATACAGTTCCCAGGAGCTTCCAGCCACGGTGCTGTTGGATTCCGGAAGCAGTCTCACTTACCTCCCAGAAACGATTGTCGAGGATCTTTACAACGACCTTGGAGTGGTCTATGAGGCGTCGACGCAGACTGGTTACGTGCCTTGCAGTATGATGAGCGAGAACATCAATATTACCTACACCTTCACAAGTCCGTCAATCCCTGTTGGTATCAGCGAGCTGGTTCTAGATAACGGATCTGGCTTGACATTCAATGACGGTACACCTGCTTGTGTCTTCGGTATTGCACCAGCCAGCGATAGTACTGCTGTCTTAGGAGATACATTCCTTCGAAGCACTTATGTTGTATATGACCTATCAAAAAACGAGATATCCCTGGCTCCAACGAGGTTTAATTCAACAGATGAGAACATCCTGGAGATCACTAATGGAACACGGGCTGTCCCAGGAGCTACTTCCGTGGCCAACCCTGTGACTACCGTCGCCACCGGTGTCGGAGCAGCTTGGACGGTTTCACCAGCTTTAATCACAAGTACTTCCAGCTCAGGTGTTGCAAGAAGCATGGCTTCTGATATACCTCGTCATCTTGGCCTTGGGGCTGCAGGGGCAGGGATTCTGCTAGCATTATAGATACATACTATACTGTAATCATGATGATCTATCTTTTCATTTGTAAGAACCCTGGGAGATTGGTTTTAATTTCTGGTATACACAGGACATGAAGGCACAGAAACGCCTTGTGTCTCAAATTCAGTTCCACTAGTCCAGAAGCAAAGCACTCCGTGCTTCAGTGTTTGTCGTTCGCCGGGAGGACTTGAGTGGATTGGGTCATTGACAGATGGCCAAGCCCTTTTTTGTGTCTTGTTGATAACCGTCGAATCGCGGCTCGTATTATAACAGGCTCTCTATAATGACTGCCCGGGCGCCTCCATCATTGTCATTCACAGCACAACCATCATTCCAGATGTACACGCATTGCCTTCCATTGGCCCCAACCTTCTCAGATAGAACTTCAGCCATGGTCATGATACGTCGAGCTTGCTCCAAGTCACCACATTCTAAAACTGTGATCTTCACATGGAGTTGATGAATGAGAGACAGCAACCTAACATAAAAAATATCCTCCCGGGCTACATGTTCGAAGCCTAGTTCCTTCCAGAACGGAGAGTGGACGATCGGAGGTACAAGGGCCCTTACTGGCTCATATTTCCGAACACTCCGGGAAGTTGTGCCATTACAGAAGTTGGACGTTGATATGTAAGGCGGATTCGAAATGAGAACATCCCATGTGCTTTGAGTATTGCTTCCAGGGAAGTGGGGTTGCAGGGTGTCCAGAAAAGAGCGCTTGCCAGATTCGATAGAATCTAAGATGTCAGCTTTTAGGAAACAGACCTCGTTCTGTGCCCGCGGCGACAGAAGGCCGCGCCGTATATTGTGTAGTTTGTTCTTCTGACTTAGGCTAATAGCTCGTGGATCCACATCGACTCCCACTATGGTGAGATCTTTGAAATGGGAAGCAAGAAGTGAGTGAAGGAGCAGTGATATGCAGCCACTACCACTGCACAAATCAAGAATTCGTAAAGATTTACCCAGATATTTTGCAGAGTGCGCTTCCAATATTACATCTCTGGTATGAAATGTAAAAGACTCGGTTTCGCCACTGAGTGTGAGAGTAAGAGATGTCAATTAGTTCCTAAAAGCACGGAGCTGTTACGAGATAGCACTAACCGTGGTATCAAAACTCCTTTCCGGCAGAGTATGTCCAGATCCCCAAAAGGCTGATCACCAAGTATATACTGGAGAGGTTTCCCCTTGCTGCGATCGTCACACATCTTTCGTAATTCTCGTTGCCATGTATGCGTGGAGTAAACATCCTGTCCTTTAGAAGAGGTTCCGGGAGGTGGAAATTTGGCGATGGCACCTTCACGGAGCCAGCGCAATTCGTTCCGGGCATTTTCAAGAGTCCGGCATTCTTTGAGGAGGTCAAGCAACAGAGGGTTCTCCTTGTAGGCTTTCAAAACAAGTCTCGTGGGTATTCTTGGCATGAGAGCTTGCACTTCTAATTGCTAAAAGCAGGGCACGCAATTGTCGATGGTCAAATCATACATAGAGGACTTGGAGGAAAGGTCCGCGGCGTTAGGGTCTCGGAAAATTATAAATTTTTAGTGTCACGTAAACTTTTACATACAGCCCCTTTATCATATAAACTTTAACATTTCTACCAAGATTTTCAAGATCACATAACTATAAATTAATATTCCACAATTATATTACTAGATTATGTAGAAGAGCTAATTGCGACGGCTCAGTTAATCGAAGCCTGATGGATGCCTTAGAGCCTTACACGTGATCTCAGTATGTGTCAGATTGGTGGGTTTACTCCAGGCCAATCCTGCATAGTAGCTTTACGTAGAGCTTCTGATTGACTGCATTGTTTTACTACCTTCGGATATCCGGATTATCTGGCACACCCCTTCAGCTGCAGAAAGCAACTGCTTGCAAAGCTGGAATAGCTTCATAAGTTGTCGGGCACGTCATTGAGAGAAAGCAATTCTTCGATATCCGGGTTCTCCATATCTGTAAAGAATCGGTTAATGGATCGTATAGACGCAGAGGATTGATATCGTTTAGTAATAGTGACCAATGATCAGTTGCTTGTAAGTATTGATAAGGAGATGATTCGATGCGTTGAATCTCTATGTATTACTTATCTTCTTCCCTCATCGGGGTTGAGACTATAATTAGCCTCGGAATCACTATTGGAATCTTTTGGTACTAGTCCGAACGAGGTTAGGCTCTGATAGGAGCGTACAATTTGGGTGAGGAATAATTGACTCTGATTTGCACGTCCTCTAAAATCCCCTCTAGATACACATCCTGATCCTCTTTATATACAAAACGTAGTGGCGAAATATCACGGATTTATGGAATAAATAACAATCCTGACTCCAAAATGTAGTCTGCTTTGTTGGCGCTCTTGTTCTCGCGGATATGTTGCTTTTCCGAGGATTCAAAGATTAGTAAGTACATCCGGATTGGGATTAGCATATCAAATATCCAACAATCACTAGTCATCACGTGACCTTATGATCGTATTCTTTACAGTTTGTATAGAGGCAACTCTTCTCGAGACATTGGTGTATCGTTAGTTTGTCGAGTGTCAGTTAACTTAGCGATTTTATCAATATAGGTGGTTTGGCTGAGCCAGGTCACCTTACTGCTTCGATCAGTATGATTCTCATGCCTAGGAACCATTCCAGATCTTCTCCTCCAGGTATATTGTATTTGGCGCGAAGTTGGGTCAGAACTGAGTCGGCCTATGGACGTTGCCCTAGTTTCCCGATTGAGCAATCACATGACCGTAACCACGTGATCAATGATGTTGATATTTGAGGGAGCGCGTAGCCTACTGTTTGTTTTCCTCCTCATGCTTAATATTCTCGTACATAGAGACCAATGCTATTCGTATTGCTTGCTCGCTGTCACACCCTGAGGCGAGTCAGGTGACTGACTGACTGACTTTCGAGATCGAATAGCCTGACATAATAGAAGGTTAATCCGATGGTTGGCAGGAGGAATCATCAGTATGGTAAAAGCGTTCTTCAATCTTCATTAACAAAGGTACTGTTGCTATCATACAGAGACTAAAGCTTGAGAAGAAAGAATCATAGTTACAAGAAACCTCCTCCTTATGAATGTATGAGTCGTTGACAGGAGACCTCACGTTATCCATCTAACCGGTGTGGCTTGTCACAGTCTACAGATATCACGTATTGTTTCAGTACTGTTACACCTATCTTCTGCCTCGCCAAATACCCGGGTTATCTGACACGATCCGACAGAACCCACGCGATGCGCCGAGCCCTGCGGAAACTAGGACTCAGCCGTCACGCCCTTCTTGGGAATAATTCTCAAGCTCGCGTCCAAAAGGGAAGATGTTTTGTGCTGGGTGGCTAACTGACCGAGTAAAGAAAAATAAAAAAGAAAGATGTCGACAACACCAGGGATCGAACCTGGGCATCCGAAGATACACGCTTAGCAGGCGTGCGCCTTAAACCACTCGGCCATGTTGTCTTGCGCAGTGCATACTAATTTTGAGACTGATTCACGGATAATGGCGCCTGTGACAGATGCTCAATCCTAAAATCTAAAGGGCAGCGTATCGACGACAAACTAGACATGAGGAAGAAAATGAAAGAGAACTCGCTAGGCAGCTCGCTACGGCCCTTTTATGTGCGTATCTAGGGCATCGTCTGATGACACATTAGGAAACTAAGAAGACAAAGGGAGGATATACCCGCCAACATGATTCCCGGGGCCTAAGACACCGAGCTCACTAGCCAGCCGTCACTCTACCCCCTCCTCCACAAGGCACTTGCCCTCAAGTGCGCAATTCCTCATCCTCACGAAGCCACTGGCATAGCTCTGTTGGTGGCCCATCCTTGTCGGGATACCTCTCATGGAACTCGCGAAGCCGTTACAGCGCATTACTGAAGTTCTCCGCAGGATACCACTTCGGATCGGCATCATGACCTAACCACTGTACGCGGTAATACAGCTTCCTCCAACGAGGCGGGAATCCAAGATCTCCTGAACCTCCCATTCTTGCTCTCCATTCACCAAAACCGGTGGCGAAGGATCGATAACTTGTCCAGGAAAAGGCTCCGAGCGGGATGCTAACCGGAGCTTATCCGGAGAGAAGATAGGATGAACATTAAGACCTTCCGGCAAATCCAATTTGAACGAGTTCCCAACCTTCTCGATAATCGTAAACGGTCCTTCTGCCTGATTTCCTAACTTACGGCTCGGCAATTCCGATTAGTGACGAGAACACTATCTCCAACGTTAAAATCCACTTCGCGGCGACGCTTATCCGCTTGAGCTTTCTGTCTTTGTTGAGAAGTAAAAATATTGCTCCTAGCGAACCCCCAAATCTTGTGTATTCGGCTCACCCACGCTCGTCCTTCCCGCTCATTGACTGTCAGGCTCCGAGGCGGCTCTGGCTCTCTCCAATCAAATGAAACCCTAGGTTGAAACCCCTTCTCGATCATGAATGGGGATAAGCCAGTTGTTTCCAGAGGCAGCACGGACGCCGCAAAGTCGATAATAGGTAATCACTCAGTCCAGTCATCCTGGAAATGGCTCACGTAAGGATGGAGTCTCTGGGATAGATACTGATTCGCGATCTCCGTTTGACCGTCTGTCTGTGCATGGTTTGCTGTCGACAACACAATCTTGATTCCCAATATCTTGCAGACTTCACCCCAGAATTCAGAAATGAACTGCAGTCCTCGGTCTGACACGATGGTATCCGGAGCTCCCGTACGTCGATACAAGTGCTTCACCCAAAGCTGGCCAAGTCCCGTGCGGTGACAGTCTTGTGGCACGGTATTGACACCGGATATTGCTAAAACGGTCGACGACGACAAACACTGTATCATAATCACTCTTGTCGGCAGGATACGTCATAAAATCCATAGAAACGTGTTGCCAAGGCCTCGTAGGAACTGGTAAAGGTTGAAGCAACCCAGGAGGGAAGTCCCGCCGGGTATTCGTGCGCTTGCACGTCATGCAGTTATCCACATAACGGTCAACATTCGTGCTCCAGGTCTCCCAATAAAAGCGTTCCTTGACCAACTCCTTCATTTTGTTCTTTCCAGGGTGCGCTATTGACGGCTGCCTATGGACCTCATCCAACAACCTAGCTCTCAAGTCACCACTATCCGGCACATACAATCGATCTTGATAAAGCAATCTGCCGTCAGATATAGACCAATCCTTGTGCTTCTCAACCAACGTCTGATAAACGTCCGACGCGGCCGCGTCACGGTTCGTTAAGATCACTCTCGAGATAATGTCGACCGACGCGTCCATAGCTGCTATCCCCGGTATTCCTAGCTCTTGCACGATCTCCGAGTCTAATACCTCACGGGGAAGGAGGGTCTGATGGCGATGTTCGAGATTATTTTCTCGATCGGCTCCCTCTCGGCGCGTCAGGGTGTCTGCGTCCAGGACGATACCTCAATATGAAGAAGTTGTCGTGCAAAAACTCGCACCAACGAGCTTGCCGAGCATTCAACTTCTTCGTCGTCATAAAGTACTCCAGCGCTCTGTGGTCTGATAGGATCTCAAAGCGATTTTCACGCTGCAGTCCCACCAGCTTGGGCCTCCACTCTTCCAAAGCCTTTACATTGGCCAGCATTTCCTTGTCGTGGATGTCGTAATTCTGCTCAGCTGGGATCATCGTATGAGAGTAGTAAGCCACTGGATGCCATTCTCCATCATCCTGTAATTGAGATAATACTACCTCGACCACTCCGTCTGATGCATCCGTTTCCACACGAGTGGGCAACTCCGGACGGTAATGAGCTAGTACAGGAGCGCTGACAAGATACACCTTCAGTCGATCAAAAGCTTCCTGACAGGCTGCTCCCCACACAAATGGGACATCTAACCGCGTGAGTCGATATAGGAGCGCTGCTATACGACTATACGCCCGTATAAATTTCCGATAGAAGTCGCAGAATCCCAAGAACGACTGCACCCCTTGAACCGTGCTAGGAACGGACTAGTTGACAATAGCTTCAATTTTCATCGGATTAACCTTAATCCCTTCAGGCGTGACGATGAAACTCGCACTTGTGGATGGCTGCCTGCAATCCGGCTTTACGTAACCGTTCTAATACCTTCTTGACATGAACCTCGTGCTCAAGTTCTGTAACAGTACTGAAACAGTACAACATGATATCTGTGACGAGGCCACCCAACGTATAAGATCTCCATCCACGCCAGCCTCTCTGAGGACCTCTATCAGTTTGGCCAAGATGACATGGTCAAAGGCCCCCTTGATATCCATAAATAGAGCTGCAGCTAGCTTCCCATTTGCCCAAGCTTGGTGGATCTCCTCTACAAGGCATGCCATAGTGTGACGGCTGGGTTACGGGGCAGGATATCGTACGGACGTTGCCGGCACCTGGACGGAGCCCTAAGCCCTAAAAGGATGACCCTAACGGGGATATCCTCCTTTGTCTTCAGGATTTCCTAAATAGGCACCGACAAGGCCTTGGACGCACATGTAAAAAGAGTCCTTACAAGCGGCATAGCGAGTCTTCTCTCCCTCTTTCCTCATGCTTAGTTTTTGCTCGATTAGTTACCTCTTAGGATAGAGAATGAACACCTTCACATTAAACCAAGCATCATCTTTCTTCCTTTTCTTTTTCTTCTTTATCCTCATCACTCTCATCGACGAAGCTAGAAGTCCTATTGCCGTCGTGTACGATGCGCGAGGTTTGGCAAGTCGATTCCTTTTTATCCCTTTTCTCACCTCTTTTTATCAAATTTTATCAAGAACGAGAATCAAGATAGCCAGACCAACCACTCTTGATAGTCAGGGAGACAACGGTGCCAAGCAGGAGACTGCCAGTGAGCAGCACGGGCCCATTGAGAGCAGTCAGGCAAGCGAACGCAAGGAGCAGCGTCTCACGTTCGACCCTGAAGACCTAGCACAGTTAGAGGGATTGGAGGTTGAGGATCTAGCAGAAGACCTCAATCTACAAGACTTTGTTGAACTAGCAGGACGAGATCCCAAGATGCTATATAAATTTATGGCAGATAGATGGGACAATGAGCTTAACAGTTTCAAGGAGTCTATCGACAGAATGAAGAAAGCTTGCGAGCGTAAGTTAGAGACCAAAGACGACGCGTTATCCCTCCTCATCAACGAGCGCGATAAACTACGACAGACCCTGGAACGAATGACTATCCGCTACACCTCGCTCATCGACTCCGGAACAGCGCCGTCAAGCAGTAAAGGACCAAAGATTCCTGATGGGAAGAAGTTGACCAACAGTAACAAGTCTCGCTACGAGTCGTGGAAGATCGATGTACAGGGAAAGTTACGCGCCTTGGCACATCAGTACAATACCCCTGAGTCTCGAATCTTGTATGTCAAGTTGATGTGTGAAGGTGATGCAGCGGATCATCTTATGGCACGCATGCGCGACGACTCACCTGACCCGTACCTTGACGCGACCGACATGTTTGAGCATCTTGATACTATTTACTTGGATGCTAATCGAGAGATCAACGCCAAAGCAGAGTTCCGCCAGCTCGCGCAGAAGTCCCTTCGTTTCCAAACTTTCCTATCCAAGTTCAACCTACTCGCTATGGACGCCAAAAAGTCGCGCATTAAGTGGAAGGAAGAGTTGTATCACAGGTTGAATCCTGAGATGAAACGTGCGATGATTCGTGAAGCCAATGATTCGACTGTTATGTATGCGGATTTTGTCAAGGAATGCACAATGGTAGCAAACCGGTTAGAGCAGATTGCTCGTGAAGAGAAGAGTGCTCCAAAGGATTCAAAGGATGCGAAGGATAACAGAGACACAAAGTCGAAGACTTCCGATAGTGGGAAAGGCGTCGGCAAGGCACTGCGCGTCAACCTCAGTGACAAAGAGTTCGAAGAGTTGAAAGAGGCGCGTCTCTGTTTCAACTGCAAGCAGCCTGGTCACCTTAATCGCAACTGCCCTCTGCGCAAAAAGAATACCACTGAGATCAAATGGGTGGAAGTACTAGAGGATAAGACCGAACCGGCAAAAGACGAGGCCTAGGAGAAGTCTCCAACCTAGGCCAAAAGAGTGTCGACTGCTGGGCTTTAATTTATCTAGATTGTTAGGAAATGATAAAGAAAGTTTCACAATACCAATTCGCCTAGCAAAGAATTCATTATCTATCGCTACTAGAGCACTTGTCGACACGGGAGCAAATGGATTAGCGTTCATAGATCAGCATTTAGCTGAGTTGTTAGCGAAGCATTTTCAAACTACATTCACAGCTTTGAACGACCCCTTGCGAGTGAAGGGCTTTAATGGGTCCGAATCAGAACCAATCCGGTACGCTATCATTGTACATCTGCTCGTTGATGGCAGACAGAGAATGGACCTTCCATTCTTAATCACAGGATTAGAGAAACATGAAGTAATTCTAGGGAGGAAGTGGTTGGCGGAGAATCATGTCTTGCTAGATTATTATTATCGGCGCCTTGTATGGCCCGAAGAACGCTCGTTGAAGGAAGAACTAGTCAGCAAGCACTTCATGAACTTACCAAGGTCAATTCTGAAGAGACCAATATTGAACAACGTTCATCAGAAGGATGCTGAACGGAGAGATAAGCTCATAGAGACCAAGGATCTGGCTCGAGTCCACTTCTGCACCCAGGATGCAGAACCACAGTCACCCCCGAGAAGGTATGGGCGCAGTCACAAAAGGAGCCAAGAAGCAAAGAAGGACCCAGAGGAGCTAGCTGAAAAGAGGGCTGTACGAGCTTAGAGAGATTGGCGAGCCAACGCGAAGAAGGCTGCTGAGTTGGATATAGCCCTTATTGGAGCAGTTGGATTTGCCCGGCATACGAGGAGAAAAGAGGTTGAAGTGTGTATGACAAGTCTACACGAGATTGACAAACGGATCGATGAGCTGAAGGGCCCAGATAGTCCTGACCATCCTGAGATTGAAGAAATCCGAAAACAGCTTCCTAAGCAATACTGGGAATATGCTGATGTTTTCCAAAAGTCCAAATCAGATGAGCTCCCGCCATCTAGACCTTATGACCATAAGATTGAACTGGTGAAAGAACAGGAACTGGGTTACAGTCCTATTTACCGGTTAGGATTAGAAGAATTAGAAGCGGCAAAAGAATAAATACATCATCGACAATCTCAATAAAGGATTTATTACCGCTAGTCAAGCCCTGTTTGCATCTCCAATCCTAATGGCTAAGAAGCCAGGAGGAGGATTATGCTTTTATGTGGATTACCGAAAACTGAATTCAATCACTAAAAAGGATCGATACCCTCTTCCACTTATCGAAGAGGTGTTTGAGCGGTTGAGCAAAGCCCGCATTTTCACAAAGCTGGATATACGACAAGGGGGGGCGGATAGCTGAAGTGGTAACAGCTGTCCTTGGAGCCTCCATTCGGTACCCATCTTCGCTGATTGACATGGCCGTAGGTTCGACTCCTACACCCCTCACCAAAACAATTACCACAAATTATCGTGGCAGCTGCAAGTGGGTGCTGCTGCCAAGGCTCGCGTGCTAGCGCATTATATCTAGCTACCGTGGGGCTTTGCCCTAAGAACCGCACCAATTCTCGGGAACCCTTTTAAAAACCATCCGACCCGCCCACGGGACAGGACACCCGAGGCTAGCCTAGCTAGTGGTTAGTCCCTTATGGGGCAAGACTGTGACGGCCAATAAGTAGGCTGCGATGCCGATATTGGTAACTGGAAGCTCAGAAGTGGTTGGAGAGTGGGCGGTAGTGGAGCAATAGGAAAGATAAGGAACTATTGTATCTAGCTTGAGAGGACAGAAGCGGCAGTCGGTTACTGTGGGTGCATATATAAATGTATAGTAGCTTAATGTGTATCCCCCCAATATTCCTAGGGGGGGAAGATTACACTTACCGCAATGCGTGCAGCGAGTGCTACTGCAGAGGATAGCCTCGTGATGGGCCTGATCGAGGACCTCAACGGCCATCTGCAAGAGGCGGTCCACCAGCTCTCCGCGGAGCTGACGACTGCCAGAAACGTGATCAATACCCAACAGGGCCTCATTACTACTCTCAACGCTAGGCTAGAGAGCCTTGAAACTTACGTGAACGCGCTACAAAGCCGTCAAATCCTACCACTCGACCCCTTTGACACAACGCGTGAGGTTGCGGCGCACGGGCCACCGCCAAGAGCCGCTTCCACGGGAGGTTTAGCGTCCACCCCAATACAGCTAGATGCCGCGCCTGAGAGCCGCGCGATAAACTCAACCGCACCTCAGCCGCAGCCGCGATATCAGAATCCAACAAAGGCTACGAAACAAGCCGTACAGCCACCTGAGGGCCCCAAAAAAGTACCTGTAACCGCCGCGAAGACCACTAAACAGCCCGAAACTACCGCTAAGCCACTGACCAAGCCCGCACCTACGAAATGGGCCGCTATTGCCGCAAATAATACCCAATCTGGAGGATGGAAAACCGTCCAGTATAAGAAACAGGCCTCAGCACCCTCTAAGGCTCTATCGATAACTGACTTGAAGCCTGTGAGTACCCGGAGCAAGGAGGAAAGACGCCTCATCTTCAGACGACGATATCCTAAAGATGCTCCGACCGCATTGAAAGCTGATGTTCTCTTGGCCCTTAACCGTGCCCTTGCAAAGGCAGGTTTTCCTGACTTTGTAAGAGCAGTCGATTCTGGATACGCGGCCTCAGGGGCCTTAACAGTGCTCCTAGAGCGAGGCACTCGCAGCAGCACCCTCGTGCCCGTCTACAACGATACTCTACTAGCCGCTGTAAGGCAAACAGATCCAGCAGTTATTTCCGTGGAGATTAGCGAACAGTGGCACCGTGTTAAGGTACAGGCAGTGCCTGTGGACCGCTACATGTATAATGACCAAGGCCTAGCACTAGCCCAAGAAGAGATTGAGCTGGGAACACCATATAGGCTTAAACGAGAGCCAACGTGGCTCAAGAGAGCCAAGACTATACAGGCTAGCAACCAGAGATTTGCCACGATTGTGATCACAGTAGGTTCTTTGGAGGAAGCTCGAACACTGATCAATAAAGGCATCAAGTTTGGAGGCCGACACCATCGAGTAGCCCCTTATTGGGAGTCAAATCCTGAGAGTATCTGCCCTCGATGCTGCGGAATCGGCCACTCCAGCTTCATGGCTTGCGGTGGCAGGCCTCCTAGATACGCGATCTGCGCAGGTGACCATGAGGCGATAGAGCACTCATGTACAGTAGTGGATTGTAGGGTTGGCCCAGCCAAACCTTGCCAACACACGGTGATCAAGTGCGTCAACTGCGAAGGTGCACACGAGGCCACATCTGCTAAGTGTCCTAGAGCTAGAGAGGCTCGTCAAAGGGCCGTCCGGAGAATGAGGGAACGATCCTTACAAGACCTCATCCCATCGGATGAGACATTCGCGGTAGTCCCTCCAAGACCAGTACTGACCCTAGAGGAGAGATCTGAACAGCCTCCAGAAGAAGAGACACTGACTTGCAGGAGCCGGTGTCACTTTACAGGCTGTACCTGAAGGCCCCTGGGAACACGTAGAAGTGCCAATGGGCCACGGACACGAGGTGTTTGACGCAGAACTAGTGGGAGTAGCCACAGCCCTTGAATGGGCACTGGAGAGGCAACCTCTTGGTCCTATCTGGGTGTTACTTGACGCACAGAATGCTATTGATCGCCTCAGATCGACAAGGCCAGGCCCTGGGCAAGCCCTTGTTCTTAGGGCTCACAAGGCAGCTGAGAAACTAGCCTTGAGAGGCCAGCCAGTCACAATACAATGGGTCCCAGGCCACTCAGGGATTGAAGGGAATGAGCAGGCTGATCAAGCTGCTAAACGTGCAGCTAGTAAACAAACCGCGCCTGGTTTTGAGCACCTATCTCTGGCGCACGTTAGAAGGGCTTGCACGGAAGCAAGGAGAGCTGCAGTATCTGAATGGGCCCAAATCAATGCTGTACAAGGCAGGCATAGAGATGGACGTGTCTACAAGATGCCTCGAGGCTGGAACCTTGACCCAGTGGCAGGAAAAGCTCCAAAAAGAGTGGCTAGTGTGATGGACGCTCAAGGCCCAGAAACAACTTCATTTCTAAGCGTAGCAGTATCGACGAAGAAAACTAAGTGTGAAGAAGAAGAAGAAAGGGGAAAACTGGCGCTGAGCCTTGAGGCTCTCCAAATACACTCTGTCATGGGATGGAGGCCTTATGGGGAAAGCGGTCTAAAAAGGCAGAATTGTAAGATCCTATCAACCAACTTGTTTGTAACTTAGGCCTTCCCTTCCTCTTCTCCCAAGCTTAGGATTATCATTAGAATAGGCTTATTGAGACGTCACAGCTAGTCGTTACTACCAGTTAAAGACAGGACATGCTCCAATTGGCACCTATCTATACCGGATAGGCCAACGGGAATCGCCTGAGTGTCAGGCCTGCAAGGAACCTCATGAGACAGTAAGGCATGTACTCTTTGAGTGCCGTGGACGTCGTGCAGGACGAAGAACTCTCTATCAAGCCCTCAAAAAAGCAGGCGTGCCACTGCCTACAGCGGCTGAGGAAGACCCCGAGGCTAGGCTATTTGCTGAGCCTAGAGCGACGCAGGGTTTGCTGCAATTCGTGGCTGAAGCCAACCTATTCAATGATAAGGAGCGGACAGCCAGAGAGGCTAAGTCTAGTGATGCGTGGGGGTGGGATACGTTGGAGGAAGGTGGCCTAGGTGTCACATTGGAGGATGAATAGGGGTGAGGGCACACTAGTCAGAGTTTGTACTGATTAGGTGTGCCCACGGGTTTGGAACTATAAGGGATCTCCGGAAGGATTAGCCTAGGGAGAGTGCCCAAAGGTCCCTGGCATATCGGCCACATGGGGACGAGATAGTGATTTATTTTGAATTTTTGTATGTAGGATTCTGATAGGGGTGAGGCCTGTAGGGTCTCACCAAGGCTTCCAGAGGTCTGTCATAGCCAATAGGGCTGGGTACGGACAATAAACTTGAATAATAATAATAATAATAATAGGAGCTCCCATTTGGAGGATGGGTAGGGATAAGGGCACACTAGTCAGGGTTTGTACGGACTAGGCGTGCCCACGGGTTTGGAACTATAAGGGATCTCCGGAAGGATTAGCCTAGGGAGAGTGCCCAAAGGTCCCTGGCATATCGGCCATATGGGGACGAGATAGTGATTTTTGAATTTTGCATGTATGACTCTGATAGGGGTGAAGCCGATAGGACGTCACCAAGGCTTCTAGTGGTCTGTCATAGCCAGTAGGGCTGGGTACGGACAATAAACTTGATTAATAATAATCTAACCCTAGACCTTCAAATAACAGCAGGTCACTCAATCAGCATTCCAGCAGAAGTTCATGTGGTGGAGAACCTAAGCTGTGACTTATTTATTTATTTATTTATTAATCAAGTTTATTGTCCGTACCCAGCCCTACTGGCTATGACAGACCACTAGAAGCCTTGGTGACGTCCTATCGGCCTCACCCCTATCAGAATCATACATGCAAAAATTCAAAAATCACTATCTCGTCCCCATATCGCCGATATGCCAGGGACCTTTGGGTACTCCCCCTAGGCTAATCCTTCCGGAGATCCCTAATAGTTCCAAACCCGTGGGCACGCCTAGTTGGTACAAACCCTGATTAGTGTGCCCTTATCCCTACCCATCCTCCAGTGTGATACCTAGGCCACCTTCCTCCAACGTATCCCACCCCCACGCATCACTAGACTCAGCCTCTCTGGCTGTCCGCTCCTTATCATTAAACAGGTTGGCTTCAGCCACGAATTGCAGCAAACCCTGCGTCGCCCTAGGCTCAGCAAATAGCCTAGCCTCGGGACTTTCCTCAGCCGCTGTAGGTAGCGGCACTCCAGCTTTCTCGAGGGCTCGATATAAAGCCCTCCGTCCTGCAGGGCGTCCTCGGCATTCAAAAAGCACATGCCTCACTGTCTCATGAGGCTCCTTGCAAGCCTGACACTCAGGCGATTCCCGTCGGCCTATCCGGTGTAGATAGGTGCCGATTGGGGCATGTCCTGTATCTCAGGGGCTTGATATGTTGTATAACGGGCACACTAATCGTGGAAAGATGATGAATATGTTTTGTCCCTATCTAGGTCTCCGGGGACCAGTAACTAACTAAGTAGTGTCACGTGACAAAATGCCGCCCCAGAAAAAAGGTGGCCTCACCGTGGTGAAAAGATATAAGGTAATACAGGAAGCATCGCCTGGCTATTTAGGAACATAATCAAGTTGGAGTGAAGTGAGTGAATGGCGGTAGGAGATGACTGGGATGCGACGTGTATGAATACTGGGTTAAGGAGATCTTGCTGTTATCCTAATTGGGGGTGGAATCTGGGTTCTTGGTCTTGAGTGTCAGATTCCCCGTTTGTTTCTAGTGGTGTCGTCTTTTTCTCAAATTGTGCGAAAGTTCAGGGGATTGGTGGAAACGATCGCTGCAGTTTGCCAACTAGTGTTCCTGACATCTTTGTACTTGACAAGATAGAATCAGATTTTGCGTTTCGAACTGGATTGAATAGGCATTACTTTTTTATCTAGTATTTCCTCAACTTCGAATGGCAGTCAGATTTGGTGAACATCCTGTGGGATTGTCGTTATAATGGATCTTTCCTATTCATCTTTTGGTGCTTGTTCAAGGTGGATGACAGAAATAATAGGATGGATGCGTAGGTCTGGTGGCAGGTCCATCTCGTATGCAAGATTGCCAACTCTTCTTTTGATGGGAAAGGCCCCCATCTTCACGGGAGACAGGCAGCTTGCGCCTTCCATCTTGTAACCATTGTGTCCTGGTTTTCTCGTAAGGCGGATGTATGCTTTCTCCTTCAGTTCCACTGGTTTGTGCTTTTAATCAAAGTAGAAGGCCATTCAGCTCTGTGCGTATTGTATTGCGTCTGCCGCTTCGGAACGGATGCGTTCCCTCTCTTTGATGAATTCGTCAGCGGAGTCATATCGGTATTCTCCTTGTGGAATGAATTCCGACCTAGCTTCGACTCCATAATACATTCAGTCCGATCAATAAGTCACAGCTTACTTCCAGTAACCCTTAGACATGGTGGCCTCCACGCACAACCTGGAGAGCAACCGCTAGACGACCGTGAATGGGCCTCTAGAGATAACAAGGTGCCGAATCGACTCGGCCAAAGGCTTGCAAAGCACCTAGCTCAACGGCTGAGCAGAGACCCCTCGGGAGGAATCGAAAGGACTGAACAATGCGAGCTTAAAGGCTTCCCAGGCTCTCGGTCCTATCTGGGTGTTCCTTGACGCGCAGAATGCTATTGATCGCCTCAAGTCATCAAGACCAGGCCCTGGGCAAGCCCTTGTTCTTAGGGCTCACAGGGCAGTGGAGAAGCTAGCCATGAGAGGTCAGCTGGTGACAATACAATGGGTTCCAGGCCACTCAGGGATCGAAGGGAATGAACAGGCTGATCAAGCTGCTAAACGCGCAGCTAGTAAACAAACCGCACCTGGTTTTGAGCACCTGTCTCTAGCGTACGTTAGACGGGCTTGCACGGAAGCAAGAAGAGCTGCAGTATCTGAATGGGCTCGAATCAACGCTGTACAAGGCAGGCATAGAGATGGACGTGTCTACAAGATGCCTCGAGGCTGGAACCTTGACCCAGTGGCAGGAAAAGCCCCAAAAAGACTGGCTAGTCGGTACTACCAGCTGAAGACAGGACATGCCCCAATCGGCACCTATCTACACCGGATAGGCCGACGGGAATCGCCTGAGTGTCAGGCTTGCAAGGAGCCTCATGAGACAGTGAGGCATGTGCTTTTTGAATGTCGAGGACGCCGTACAGGACGGAGGGCTTTATACCGAGCCCTCGAGAAAGCTGGAGTGCCGCTACCTACAGCGGCTGAGGAAAGTCCTGAGGCTAGGTGTGACGGCTCAGCCCTAGCTTTCGGCTTGGCGTCACTTATTGATTGGGAATCCTTTGAATAAAGGTCTCCATCAATAAATGTGATATCAATCGGCATTGTCATTTGTTATTGATACGCACTGATTCCCTATTGAGATGCGGGTGAGGCAACAGAGGTTTGTATGAGATGGACGTTACTATCAATGAGTAAATATGGGTAGAGGTTTAAATACGGGCTGTTCCTCCTTGATAGATAGTTTTCCTCTTCATACTCAGTTTCTCGTCAGCACTGGCACCTAGATAGTGAATATCACTTGGTTGGATTGGTCGTATGTTACACTAACCATTTAACGCGGTAATGAAACTTCCTCCACCTCATCTTAGAATCTAAAATCTCTTCCACTTCTCATTCCTTCTGACTATTAACCTCAAGTGATGGTGCCTTATCTAGGATCTGCCCAGGGAGTGGTTCAGTTAATGATACTCTCCTTAACTTCTCAGGTGCAAAAACAGGGTGGACATTAATGCCGTCATCCAGCTTCAACCGAAACGCATGCCCAACCTTGTCCACGATTTGAAACGGACCTGCGGCTTGATGGTCAAGCTTCCTACTTGGACAACCTATATCCCAGTTCTTAGTTAAGACCATAACTTTATCCCTAATATCAAAATTAACCTCACGTCTGTGCTTGTCAGCCTGCACTTTCTGTTGTTGCTATGACTTCTTGATATTCCCGCGCACAAACTCCCAGACCTCTTGGAATCGCTTCATCCATGCCTGAGCATCTTTCTTATTGGTAGTCAGCTTCCTTGGTGGTTCCAGCTTACTCCAATCAAACAACATCCTCGGCTGAAAACCTTTTTCAATTATGAATAGTGATAGTCCTGTCGAATCCTGTAGTAAGACAGCTGCTGCAAAATCCATAATTGGAATCCATTCTGACCAGTCGTCTTGGAAATAGTGAGCATATTGTTCTTTATAGTCCACCTTTGGATCTTCTTTCCGAGTGAGAGCGTCCACCAATGTATTTTCCTTTCCAGGTCGATGCTTTATAATGAAGTGATACTGATGTAAATGTTCATACTAGCGTGCCTGTCTTCCTGTTAATCGCTTTATCATCATGAAGTATTGCAATGCTAAATGATCAGATAAGATCTTAAAATGTTTATCTCTCTGAAGCCCAATCAATTCTGCTCGCCACTCTTTCAAAGCTTTAACTATCACTAACATCTCTTTGTCATGAATATCGTAGTTGAACTCGGCGCTAGTCATAGTTCTAGAGTAATATGCCACTGGGTGCCATTGTCTATCTTCCTGTAGTTGGAAGAATTGCTGCGATCACTCCATCTGACGCATCTGTCTCCAGGCGTGAAGGTAGTTCGGGTCTGTAATGGCATAGTATTGGAGCGCTAGCAAGGCATCTTTTCAGCTCTTCAAAGGCTCTATTGTATTTAGTTGTCCACCTGAATGGGACATCCTGCCTTGTTAGGTAATTCAAAGGCTTCACTATCCTGCTATATTCTCTGATAAACTTCCTATAGAACCCACAGAAGCCCAGGAACAATTGTACGCTAAAAACAGTAGTGGGGACTGCGCACTTAATAACTGCATGAATCTTCTCCTGATCTACTTCCATTCCCTTAGGAGTAAGAATGAAGCCTAAGAACCTGGTCCTAGTCATATGGAATTTGCACTTATGCAGAGCTACTTGGAGACCCGCACTCCTAAGTCTCTCCAATACTCTCTTGACATGGATCTTATGCTCTAACTCATTCTCACTATAAATAAGTAGGTTATCCACAAAGGCAATAAGGAACTGATCCAGACAGTCCATAAAAAGATTATTGACTAATTGTTGTAAAGTAGCAGGTCTATTTGTCAAACCAAATGGCATGACCTTGTATTTGTACGTGCCATAGCGACACTGGAATGTCGTCAGGTCCTCCGAATCAGGATCCATTTGTATGCGGTGAAAGCCTTAATGGATATCTAACTTTGTGAAAATTCATGCTCGATTCAATCTCTCAAAAACCTTCTCAATGAGTGGCAAGGGGTAACGATCTTTCTTGGTCAATTGGTTCAGCTTCCGGTAGTCTACACAGAAACGGAGACCACCTCCTGGTTTCTGTGCCATGATGATTGGCAAGGCAAAAGGTCGTTGCTAGGCTCAATAAATCCTTTATTGAGATTATCGACGATGTATTCTCTTGCAGCCTCTAGCTCCTCCAGCGACATCTTGTACAATAGATGATAACTAAGCTCATTTGGCTTCTTGAGCTCAATCTTGTGATTGTAGGGTTGGTGCTGCGGTAGCTTGTCAGATTCTCTTTTTGAAAAGACATCGGCATAATCCTTGAGGTAAGCCAGAGGGAGTTTCTCCCAGATCTCTCCTAGTTCCATCTCTTCCTCAGTTATTAATTTGTTGGCAATAATCTTATCAATCTCGTGTAAGCTTGTAAGAAGATAGTGCTCTTTTTCTGTTGTATAAGTTGATAGAAACCGTTACCTCCAAGGACTACAATATCCAATTCCACTAACTTCCGTGCTTCAGGATTCCGTTGAATTGTTGGTGGCGTTGGCTTCTCCTCTTCTAAACCCTTTACTAAATCTTTCAATGCTTTTCCCATTCGGAGTAATGACGCCTCATGGCTCTTTTAATATGTCCAACTATACTCAATGGGTATGTTCTTCGCCTGCTCATCAAACGCTTTATTCCGTCGATCTGCGTCTTGCTGGTGAGTTGGGTTGATTTCCTGGGATCGCTGCAAAATCTATTGGGGCACTCTGACATAATTCTTGGTTACCAATTTATCCTTTAATGATATGTCCTCTAGCCAACGCAGTTGCTGCTTCGCACAATCCAGTAACACTCTGTGTTTAGCGAACCACATTCTTCCTAGTATTATATCATGCTTGCTAAGATCAACAATGAGGAACGGCATATCCAGTTGCCGTCGAACGTTAATAATAAGTGTGAAAATAATGATATGAGTGATCGGTGTAGCTTGCTTGCCATTGTATCCCTTGACCATACAGTTGGCTTCTAACTGGTGAGTCTTAACCTTCAGGAACCAGTATAGCAAAATCCATATCCATGAATACTAATCCATTTGCTCCAGTATCAGCGAGTGCTTTGGCAGAAATTAAACGTGAATTCTTAGCTATCTGAATTGGTACAGTAAAACTATCCTTCTCTCAACCAATCAATCGACTAAGATCAATACCGCATAAGCTGACTTCAACTGAGCCCAAGATAGAGACTTTTCCTAGGCTTAGTCGTTTTCCGAATCTGAATCAGAGTTAACTGAGCTTACTTCATCTACCTTTTCTAGCTTCTTGAGGTCTGAACTCCTCTTTGCAGCTGATTTGTCATTATTGGGACAATCTCGACTAATGTGACTAGGTTGGCGACATTTGAAGTATTTGCCCTGTTTCATAAGCAGAGTACGAGCTGCGTCATCCACCCATCCACCTTTTTTTCCATCCTTGTTTGACGAACTGCTACTGGCAGCAGAGGGAGCAGGGGAGTAGACCTAGGCAGGTGTTCCGGGTAACCCAACTGAAACATGTGTCAAACCCAACTTGGGCTGGGTTTTGGGCTCAAGGTGGGTGTTCTGAGTTGGGTTCTGGGCTTTCATATAGAACCCAACTGGGTTTTGGGTAACCCAGTTGGGTAGACAAACCAGACAAACATTATAGATCATGTGATATGCATTAATTGTGCAGTCCCGTCTTGTATTTATATGTATTCAAACTGTATTACTTTATATCATTATATGTATAGTCGAGAAGTGGAAGAATAAGAATTCTAAGAAAATCATTTCTAAGTGCCCTTCTATTTCTTCTCTAACGACTAATAGTGAAGGAACTGATCATCTTCACGCCTTGTACGCTTCCGATTTCGTCCTGAGATACGTGGTTGCGTGTCAGGTAAAGGAAGAACCGCTTCATCATCAGATGAAATAGGTTCCTGGTACTCTTGCTCCCCATTAGACACCATACTCATTCGTCTCTTGCCCTGAGCACGCTTAGATAGCTGTTGAGTAGCCGGTTGGTCTATACTAATCTCCAGGCCATCATCTTCATTATCACTGATTGGCTCAAGAGTATCTTGAAGCTGTTGAGCATCTTTCTCTTCATCAAGTGCTTGCTGTTCCTCATTCGAAAGATATTGTTTCATAAGGGAAAGTTCCTTTTCTTCCACTTCAAACCTTGATGTACACATGAATAGCATTAGATCTTGGATTGTCGTAGAATTAAGTGAGCCTCGACGATAATGGCAGACATCTCGAGCAGAATTAAAAAGCCGCTCAACACCAGCGCCAGTGGCAGGTATTGAGAGTATATCACGTGCCATGTTTGCAAGAGCTGGAAATTTGTGTTCATGCTCTTTCCAGAATGTCCGTGGAGTAATTGGGGCCGTTTCTATTAGAGGATATTAATCAGTAAAGCGCCAGCAGGAGAAATGATATTACTTACCACTCTCAAGGTACTGTGTAGCCTCGTCACTACTCACTGATTGATTAAAATCAGGAGCAAAAAGCGCATCGATCTTTGATGTCTGAACACCCAAAGAAGGTTCTGTGGAGAGCTTTGTGTAGCTGACAAGCGTTCCTTATACAGACCTGCATAGGTTTCAAAGCTTTTGCGATATTGATCACGTAATTCAGGACCCCAATCCTTATTATTAAAGAACTGAAGCTTGTTTTGCGGTGCAAGGATTGTCCCAATTGCAAACAGATCACCATGGACCTTATCTGTTTCCCTATAGTAGACAGATAGCTTCTCCTTTGCTGCATGTAGAGCACTAAGCATAAGCTTCTTCCAGGCTACTTTCTTCCGCTGAAGCCGACGGATTGATGCTTCAAGATGATCAAAAAGTTTATTGTAGATACTGAAGATGACATGGAAGGTCACATCTTTCGTTTGAGAAAGCGCGGTAGTGAATTTAAAGAATGGTTGAGTAATCCAAAGAAGATACTCAATCTGGCGCCATTCTTCTTGGTCAAGCATCAAGTGATCATGCCCATTTTGCGAGCAGAACTGATCAAAGATTGGCTGTAGTCTCTTTGCTCTTCGCAGCATTAAGAAGGTGGAATTCCAGCGAGTCTTAACATCTTGGATTGGTACAAGCTTTGGCGCTTCAGTCTGGAGATCAAGAAGGCTTCACGACGTTGAGGGCTTGCATTAATAAAGATTGCAAGCGCTCTCATCTAATAGTGGAGCAATAATTAATATAATGCAAATGCTATGTAGTAAACACTCACTTAAAGACTCACTTTATTAAGGGTATCAGCAATTTCTCGCTTTTGCTGCCTTGCTCGCAGTGACTGCGATCGGGCCTCTGACCAATTAATCTCTATTATCTCATTCTTTGGATTGGCGTTCATCTGACCAAGAAGCTTCTGTAAACTTAGCTGGATCACATGCGCGATGCAGGGAACACGGATAATTGCAGTGTCAGTGCTGATTTGATTTGACTGGATTGAATCTTGTATACTTTCCATTAATTTAACGTTATTTGCTGCATTATCTGTTGTGATAGAAAGCACACGATCTATAATTTTATACTGCTGAAGCAGGTCAAAAAGAACAGCACTTAGGTTGGCACCAGAGTGAGATCCATGAAGCGGTTCGAAACCAAGCAAAATTTCTCGATAATTCCATTTGTCTTCAATAAAATATCCTGTGATTGCCATAAACGCCTGTTGAAATGGAGATGTCCAGCAATCAAGGGCAATTGATAGCTTTGTACCAGATGGAAGCGTATCAAGCATCTTTTGTTGCCGTATCTTGATTGTGTCCTGTAACCGCCGTCGAATGGTTCGGGAGGAAGGAATATTGGGCTGTGAAGAAGCAAGTCGGGCGAATTCAATTAATTCTTGAAACTCAGAGTGTTCAATAAGTTGAAAAGGAAGCTTTGCCCTTGTAATAAAGGTAAGAAGCTTCTCCTCCCATGCTTGCTGAGAGAAAACCGGTGTCGTTGTAAGACGTTGCGGCTATCAATATTAGTTAATGTATAATAGATGTAAGGCGGAGAACTTAGAATCGGGGATAACTTCACCACGGAAGCTGGATCACGTGGTCAATTCCGGCTGCTTAGTCATTACCCGAACCGCACTACGGCTCGGCTATGTATTTAGCTACGATTCGAATAGGATTCAGAAGGTAGCAAATAGCTACCTTACGAATCGTACCCTACCTTGGAAATCGAAGCTATATTCGTATCTCATTATCACGCCCTCTACCCACTCTCTTACAATAGAGGTTGAGAACTTGAGATAGCTTACCATGTCTTGTACAAGTGACATAATGCCTTTCTGCTTTGTACGATTGGCAGAGAGATTACGGCATTGCGACCCTTTTAGATGTCTTGCCATAGTTGATGTGCCATGCTCATTATTATGTGGATGATCAAGTATATTACCACATTTCTTGCACATAAGCTTTGCTTTGCCATCACTGGCCTGCGCGACTTGATCAAAGCTATCCCACATGCTTGAGAAGCGCCTATTACTATCCCAACGTATTCTTTTCTTTGCTCCATACTCTGTTTTAAGCCACCATTCAACAAATTCCGTCTTTGACATCGTAGTATAAAGCACGTAGGATTTCTTGCGATCAGGCCCGACGCGCTGGAGGGAGGGGGGCGGTGGTGGCGCCGGAGTTCGAAACGTAGAATAATCGTTATCTGAATTAAAGCTCTGTTGGCTATGAGAAAGATTGGGTGTAAGATTGTCTTGTGGGATATTTGTGAAGGTGTCAATACTATTAGATTCATATAAGGATGGAGTGAAAGAGTCAGAGAATTGAGACATGGTGAAATAAATGCTAGGGTTGAGAGTAAAGTGAGCAATAATTAATTTACAGAAATCTTTAAGTCTAGAAAATAAAATATTTAGATGATAGATGGGGGGCACATGATCACACTGGTTAGCTAGCAGCCAAATTGAAGTTATTGATCTATCATATTTTGACCCTCCTGCAGATAGAATAAATGGTATGATTGGATAGTATCATCTAGAACACTGGGTTTTCTGGGCTACCCAACAGATCACCCAGAACATGTTCCGGAACGGGCCCATAATATCCAGAAAGCCCAGTTTCCTTCGATATTCTTCTAAGTTCGAGCTTTTCTATAGAAAAATATCATCACTAGGTATAGAAGATCCTTCTTCCTACCATCTCTTCTTCTCGGTTATCTTAGTCGTTAGCTTGGTAATGAACAATACCACCTTTCTCACTATCCATCTCTCCCAGTTCTCCCTTAGGTGAACTGGCGTCCACCTCAGACACGACCTAACATTTGAGTCCTACTATACTCTGCAGTTTAAATATATTTCTACAGTGATAAAGAGTACCTTGACAGATATAGCTTATTAACCACCACAACACGGTAATATTATCTTGAGACCTTAAGATAATAGATAATTACCAGTGTTGATTTATTAAGAAACAGCCGAATTACTCAAGATTTCGTATGTTTAAGGACTATATATTAATCGAAACCACGGAGGTGACTGGAACAGGTGTAAATAACAGTATTTTATTGAAGTTAGTCAGCAGAATTATACGCTTGGCGTGGCCTAGTTGGGAAAATTATACTAAAATGAAACAACCTGGGTAACCCAACTGGGCTGGGCTTGGGCTCAGGGGGGGTGTTCCGGGTTTTACCTGGGCTGGGTTTTGGGCTCAAGGGGGGTGTTCCGGGTTGGGTTTTGCCGAGGTCTACAGGGGAGGAACGGTTCGCAGGAGTTAAGCAAATAGAGTTAGCAGTGTTGGAATTGGCACTCGAATTTGTATTTATACTGCGACGGAGTACTTTGCTCTCAACAGCAGAGATTGCTTTAAGGTGATTTGCTGTCTTTGTAACTTTTCTCACAAAACCAGCCTAGTCGAGGTCTGGGTCATCTGCTTCGTCAGTCAACTTACGCTGCAGCTCAAAACTCAGCTTGCTGTAAAGGTCTTCCAAGATCGAATGTCGGTCTTGGATTCTTGAGCTTTGTGAGTGAATTTAGTTAGGAAATCCTGGAATCTCATCTTGCTCGTCATCTGGAAAGCACGGTATCTCGCTCTTGCATTGGTGACTTAATTAACGTCTTCGAAAATGGTCTTCAAGTGGTTAAACATGTCATCAGCATCCATGAATGAATGAGAAGAGTCCTTACGGAGACGGGGCATCAAATGCTTGGCTCCCTGACCCTCGCACATTTTCTTCACAAAAGAATTCAATCCTTCGCATTTGGATAGTAATCCGCGTTGCTCTTTAGGGTTCCTTCCACGTCAATCAACCAAGACTCAAAGGTTGGATTGACACCGTCTGAGAGCTTCGCTCCCTTGGGTAACTTAGTAGATTTTGGTGTGAGGGTCGGTCTTGGTGTGCCTTCCTCGCTATCACCCCGACCACCAGTTTGGAGATGCAACTTAGCAAAAGCTTGCATGTACTGGTCACGTTCTCCTTGCAGTTCAATAATATTGTCGGCGTTTTGCTTAGCCTCGCGACGAGCCTCTTTCACTTCTTTCTTGAGTCGGGTAAGTTCTTCTTTCTGATTCTGATTCTGATTAATATTTACTCCACCTGGAGTATTAAGATTCTCTTCTGCCTCTTTGACGGATTCTTCTTCTATGTAAGTTTTCTCGAAAATAGCTTCTGGATCTGCCTTGTCGAATTCTTCCATGTACGAAAGGAGACGATCCTCTCGTAAGTTGGCAAGTACCTCTTCAGGCAGCTGACTGACACGAGGCATCGCGAGTTCTATTCTATCGGTTCGGTTCTATTCGGTTTTCGAAATTTTAGGAAATTAGGATAAAGTGGTGCCTTGTTGCTAAGACGGTGTTATTAATGAATATTAACGACGTTGTCAGATAGCTGTCAAGGCGTGGAAAAAATAGGGATGATGCTTAGTTTAATGTAAGGGCTCAATCAACATAATAATATTGGAAGCTAAACACGAGAAAACTAAGCATGGAGAGGAAAGGAGAAAACATGAATGTGAGACTATCCCTGGATGCCCTTCACGTGGCGTGCTCACGTGACCAGGAACAACCCTCATAGCTAACCCTACCCGCGACCAACCAGCGGTTCTACGAACCATACACATTTCTGAATAGCCTCATGCTTGGCCGTCACAGATAGTCATATTTCCGAGTATATTTGGTAGATAATTCATCGTAACATTTAACGAATCGATTCACCTATTTCTCTTCAATAGAAGCTGTACTGAGAGATACTCTTGCAGAGAATAGTAGCTGGGCCAAATATCGTACAGTTGATGTTTGTGATGGTAAGCCACGTCTTCCCATATTCAATATCCATGTAATAAGAGTATATTCTTCAGTATCTGTAAGTTTTCGAGAATTTGCAGCAGTGTTACTGCGCCTTTTGGTCCCTTTGACGTATCTTTGAAGACTCGATTGAGGAACATCATATGCCAAAGCCGCCTTATTGATTGACTTGATGCGGCCATTTTTATAATCATTCGAAGCTAACTGTATTACGGCAGTCTAATCGTACGTTGAGGACAACATGAGTATTTTACAAATTTTACATTTGCCAACATGTAACACGCGCCATTTTGATTGGCCAGATCTGCTGATTAATTGTAATGAAAACATCACTAGTAATACAATGGAAATTTCAGCGTGTGATTGGCCGCCACGGACCCCGCATTGCAAATTCTATTGGCATTACTTAATACTGTATTTTTCATTAGTCGTAATATATTACTATAAATAGGGTACATTTCACGCACTAGTAGATTAAACGAGCCAATCAGATTCGATTGACATAAAAGAGGTTCCAGCTTTGACCAATCAGAGCTGCGGAATCTGTCATAGTAATAACCTCATTGAAGTTCACACGCACTTGCCCATTCTCACTCCAAGCTACTCCATGCAAGGGTTTGAAGTTTTGTAAGTCAACCAATATATGAACTAGCAAGCTCTCTAACGGTCTAGTGTCATAAGATGTAAAGAGTAACAGCTAATAAATTAGTAAAGCTAATAGCGCTACTGCACAATAGAACAAGGATAACCCAAAGCAAAATAATAATAAGCAGACAACTTTTATTAACCACCATTTATAATCCTAAGAAAAAATCTGTAACTAAAATTGCTTTTTAGGTTTTGCAATTCCGTGCTTTCGGCGTGTATTAGTAGTAGGGACATCAAGTGAAGCATTATCGGTAGTATCAACTTGTTCAGCACCCTCTAACTCTAGAGCATGATCAATATTCTCTTCGTTAACCTCAGTACTGGTCGATTCAGTACAGGGATTAGTATTTATTAATACTTCGTAAGCTCTGTGCTCTTCGTCATAGATTCTTTCCACTTCATTCCCCTCTTCGATGAGTGCCTCTGTTTCTGCAATAAGAGTGGCAATTTCGTTTTGAATCTGAAAAGGCTCGGGAGTTTCACTCTCCCAAAATCGTCTCCTTGGGAATCGAGATCTTGGTCTTGAGCCCCCATCCGGAGAGGTAGGTTCGGCTTTGATGCAAGGCTCATTTTTAGATGGACTCGGTGCTCGTTTACGCTTATGTGAAAGAGCATGCTGTTTAGTTGTCGGAACAGTATCGTCACTCTCTATAATAGCTGTATCCTGCTCAGGTATATCTTGCCTATCGTCTTCGCCATCCTGTGTATCAACATTGCCATCCCGTGTAGCAATATGCTGTGTATGGGGGGCGGATAGCTGAAGTGGTAACGGCTATCCTTGGGGCCTCCATTCGGTACCCATCTTCGCTGATTGACAAGGCCTTAGGTTCGACTCCTACACCCCTCACCAAAACAATTACCACAAATTATCGTGGCAGCTGCAAGTGGGTGCCGCTGCCAAGGCTCGCGTGCTAGCGCTTTATATCTAGCCACCGTAGGGCTTTTGCCCTAAGAACCGCACCAATTCTCGGGAACCCTTTTAAAAACCATCCGACCCGCCCACGGGACAGGACACCCGAGGCTAGCCTAGCTAGTGGTTAGTCCCTTATGGGGCAAGACTGTGACGGCCAATAAGTAGGCTGCGATGCCGATATTGGTAACTGGAAGCTCAGAAGTGGTTGGAGAGTGGGCGGTAGTGGAGCAATAGGAAAGATAAGGAACTATTGTATCTAGCTTGAGAGGACAGAAGCGGCAGCCGGTTACTATGGGTGCATATATAAATGTATAGTAGCTTAATGTGTATCCCCCCAATATCCCTAGGGGGGGATGGGTAGGGATAAGGGCACACTAGTCAGGGTTTGTACGGACTAGGCGTGCCCACGGGTTTGGAACTATAAGGGATCTCCGGAAGGATTAGCCTAGGGAGAGTGCCCAAAGGTCCCTGGCATATCGGCCATATGGGGACGAGATAGTGATTTTTGAATTTTGCATGTATGACTCTGATAGGGGTGAGGCCAGTAGGGTGTCACCAAGGCTTCTAGTGGTCTGTCATAGCCAGTAGGGCTGGGTATAGACAATAAACTTGATTAATAATAATAATAATAATAGTTCTTTTGCCCTAAGAACCGCACCAATTCTCGGGAACCCTTTTAAAAACCATCCGACCCACCCACGGGACAGGACACCCGAGGCTAGCCTAGCTAGTGGTTAGTCCCTTATGGGGCAAGACTGTGACGGCCAATAAGTAGGCTGCGATGCCGATATTGGTAACTGGAAGCTCAGAAGTGGTTGGAGAGTGGGCGGTAGTGGAGCAATAGGAAAGATAAGGAACTATTGTATCTAGCTTGAGAGGACAGAAGCGGCAGCCGGTTACTATGGGTGCATATATAAATGTATAGTAGCTTAATGTGTATCCCCCCAATATCCCTAGGGGGGGATGAATAGGGGTGAGGGCACACTAGTCAGAGTTTGTACTGATTAGGTGTGCCCACGGGTTTGGAACTATAAGGGATCTCCGGAAGGATTAGCCTAGGGAGAGTGCCCAAAGGTCCCTGGCATATCGGCCACATGGGGACGAGATAGTGATTTATTTTGAATTTTTGTATGTAGGATTCTGATAGGGGTGAGGCCTGTAGGGTCTCACCAAGGCTTCCAGAGGTCTGTCATAGCCAATAGGGCTGGGTACGGACAATAAACTTGAATAATAATAATAATAATAATAGGAGCTCCCATTTGGAGGATGGGTAGGGATAAGGGCACACTAGTCAGGGTTTGTACGGACTAGGCGTGCCCACGGGTTTGGAACTATAAGGGATCTCCGGAAGGATTAGCCTAGGGAGAGTGCCCAAAGGTCCCTGGCATATCGGCCATATGGGGACGAGATAGTGATTTTTGAATTTTGCATGTATGACTCTGATAGGGGTGAGGCCAGTAGGGTGTCACCAAGGCTTCTAGTGGTCTGTCATAGCCAGTAGGGCTGGGTATAGACAATAAACTTGATTAATAATAATAATAATAATAATAATAATAGGAGCTCCCATGGGACGCACTAAGGAACAGGCAGCGGCTGATTTCACGGCTTTCCAACGCACCATCCCTAGCTCAGATATTGTAATCTTTTCAGATGGATCTAGGCTAGTAGACGGACGTGCAGGGGGTGGCTATATTGGATTTCAAGCACACCATCAGTTCCTCCGCTCCTCGCTCTCATACGGACATGGGAAAGAAGTCTTCGATGCCGAAGCAGAAGCTGCTCTAGCTGGTGCTCAAGCAGCAATAGCATACCCAACAGCTCAATTTGCTACCAACTTATGGATCTGTCTTGACAACCTGGAAGTTGCCACGCGCCTCCTATCTCCCTCTACAGGATCCTCTCAAGAAGTCTTTGAATCCTTTCGCACCCTTGCAGCCGCCTGGCCACTACGCGAAAGGCTACCACACACAAAAGTGGATCAATCCAAATCCGATGGGTCCCTGGACACACCATAATCCCTGAGAATGAAGCGGCTGATCTCGCTGCCAAGGAAGGAGCTGCCTCTATCCCCCCCTCTTCATACAAGTCCTCATACGCCTCGCTAAAGAGATACGCCAAGACTCAATCCCTATCCGCTGCTCAGTCACAATGGGAGAAGGTGGCACCACAGAGTTATCAAGATCTAGAAATAACTACTTCCCCTAAGCGCCCTGGGGAGCTTCAACTCAACCGACTTGACCTTGGCCGTATTATTGCGGCCCGTACTGGTCATGGAGACTTTGCAGACTACCATGAACGTTTTAACCATGATGATGCTTATCTTCTCTGCCGATGCGGAGCACGAAAAGCACCTCTGCACTTCTTCTTCTGTCATATAGCTAAGAGACTGAGCCCCTCGGCCTCCTGGGCCCCCTTCTGAGGTCATCTCTTTTCTCTTAGGCACTGCTAAAGGAGCACAAAAGCTAGCCACATGGCTAGCAGAGACCCACTTCTTTGAGGATATCTGTCCTCGCCAACCTCTCCTTAGCACCTAGCTAAGACAGCCCTACTCTTCCTTTACATTTTTCTTCTCCTTCTTTCTTTCTCTTCTCTTCTTTCTTTCCCTCTCTGCAAAACTTACTGTTCAGTTATGATAGTGGTGGAGTAATAGGTCATGGAGTGTAGGCGGACCATTGCAGCTGGCAAATACCCAAAACCCACTCAAAGAGGACCTCCCTGTAAGACCACGGCAGCTATGGAAACGTGCCAAAGAGTCTCTTATTTGTACATAAATCTGATAGGACCTGAAACCCGAGGCTTACCCCTCGGCGGCCTATGTCCCAGTAGGGATCGGTGGGAAGCGTGCGAGTCACGAACCACGGCCGTTAAATACACACACACACACACACACACACACACACACACACACGCTGGCTGTCACATCGCACTCTTATTTCTTCGCACTCTACTTTATGCGCGCTCTCACGCTGCGCGGTGTGGATAGGGGGCTCCCGCGTTATTTATCTACGCGTAGAATAACCCATGCATATGGATCTACATAGTAGACACCATATCAAATCTCTCCACGTCAGTGGAGCAGTCGATTGAAAGATCGGCTGAGGCAATGCGAGATTCTTTCGATTACTGCTGTATGGAAAGATGCCTAGGGGCTTTTTCAAAAGCCAAAGTGATCGCAAGAGGGATATCTGGATACGAAAACCACCCGACACAAACCTGTTCTAGGGGAGTGACAGGGCACCCTCGAGTTCAGCCAGCTCTGAGATTGAGATAGAACCCCCAAATGTTTTGAAGTGACTGATGAATCTATCTCAACGAGGGTAGGAACGAAGCCTAAGTGCTCTTAGGAAGTAATGGAAGTTGTTAAGGCTGGCAGAGAAGTGGTTGCCGGATGTGTTAAAGGCAAGGCCTACACTGAGACCGAACTACTTATCAATCTGGACAGACACAGCGCACCGCTTTCTAAGTATACTACGGTCTACCCAGGTAATTTCCATAGTACGGTGGGACTGCAGGGGTATGCCCACCGCCTTCCTGTGTCGGTTATCCATCTACTACAGGAGGTGTTAGAGTCTATGCTGAGATGTTGACACATATTACTTACCACGCCGCATAGAGCCTGCCACAATGTCTGAGCCTACGAATGAGCCTACAAAAGAGCCTCCGAATATGTCCACGAACGAATCCACGAACGAGCCTGCCTCACCAAAGCAGTATAGCACACGCTTAACCCGAGACGATCGTATTCGTGTTCAAACCTTGCGAGAAGCAGGATTTACCTATGAACAAATAGCGAAACAACTCAATATTACACAAAATCAGGTTCAATATGCGTGTCAGTCTAGTCAGGTTACTCCTAAAAAAGCGCGTGGAGCTCCACCTAAGCTCTCTGAAGCTCAAATGGATGAGATCATTGAGTCGATATTTTCATCTAAGAGGAATCGTTGCATGTCATATCACAAGGTTATCAAGGCGCTTAATCTCAATGTGGCACCAACTACACTCGCCTATTCCTTGAAGAAAAGAGGTTATATACGATGTAAGGCGCTTCGCAAACCTTACTTAAGTCCTGAAAATCGACGGCAACGGCTTATATGGGCTCTAGAACATATACAATGGACATTTGAACAATGGAAACAGCCTTTATGGACGGATGAAACATGGGTTACATCAGGCTCTCATACTCTCATTTACGTGACTCGTAAGGCTGGTGAAGAATTGGATGATACCTGTGTTCGTTCAAAAATCTCACGACGTCGAGGATGGATGTTCTGGGGGTCATTTCATAGAAATATGAAAGGCCCATGTCTATTTTAGGAAAAAGAATGGAACTCTATCAATGCTGAGCGGTACTGTGAACGAACTGTGCCATTGATTGATGGATATCTTCGGTTAATGCGCCAGGAGGGTTTATATCTACAGTTGATGCAGGATGGAGCCCCAGGGCATTCGAGTTCTTTTACGAAAGAAGAACTTCATTCTCGAGGCATATATCCCATATTATATCCAGACGATGAAGAATTATCCTATGATCAGCTCCGAGAGGTAGTTCGAGCTGCATGGGACGCAGTTCCTGAGAGCTTCCTTATTCAGCTTATTCATAGTATGCAGGCTCGTTGTCAGGCAGTAATAGCCGCGGATGGAGGAAATATTCCTTACTAGCTAATTAGGTGTTTTATTATTATTATTAGGGAATTAGTAGGGACACCACAAGTTTTTAGTAGCCACACCACAACTGATTATGTAATATTTGTCGTTATGTAATCTCACCACACCCCCAAACTAATTATTATGGCATTGATAGTTTGGCCAATTCTTATATGATTAAGATGCCTCAACCTGGCATGCAGATTGATTGGAATTATTTTACTTTACATGATCTGATTGTATGCCCAATTACCCCGCAGTTCGAGCACTTAGAAGGCGCTTTTCTCTTGCCCGTTGCAGTTGCAGTTGGAGTCCCCTTTTCGACATCTACCTTTGGATTTCCACCCTTTTTATCTGATCTTTTTGCCTTCGGTATAGGCAATCGAGGTTCGAGTAGTGGCAGGTACTCAGATCGATTGTCTGGTGCTATATTTTGCCTCCAAAAAGGATGAATATCTGTTAATGGAATAGGATGCTTTTTCTCTAGCAACCGTGCGATTCGGTGGGCACATGGAAGGCCCATTGTCCTAGTGAAGCTATTAGAGCACTCTGGTAAAGGGGCAAGGGATGTAGCTCTCTTAGCTATATTAACTTGATCGTGGACACGATTGATTGCGTAGTGTGAAGCTCTCTGGTTAATCTGCGAGTATAGAAAAGATTGGCAGAATATAAGGCTGTTTAGTTGGTCATGTCTAACCTCATATACTAGAGCATCGATCTGCTTATGTACCGCATGCCTCACTCGGCCCCAGACAGTCAGTATATCGCCGGTTGAGGCCTATATATACTTCTTGAGAAAGGCATGTGAACCCTCTACTCGTGAGGTTGACGAATTACCAAGATGGAGGTATTGGTTAGTCCAACAGCGGATCACCTTTTCTTTATAGATTAGCCATGTTTCTTTGATATATCGTAAGGCATAGGGTGATACTGATTGATATTTCTTGTCAAAATCTAATAGTCTCGCCTCATATTCATGCTCCGTTGGTGAATTAACAAGACTTTGCCATCCAGAGAGAAATTCATCCCATGCTTCACTAGTCGCAAAGTATTCTTTTACTTTGGCAGCAATGTTCTTATTGATATGCCATAAGCAAAGTAAATGCGGACTCTCTGGATAATCATCGCGAAGTGTAGCTAATATAGCGAGATCTCGATCAGTACAAAGAACCGGTAGTTGGAACATAGGGGATTCAAGCCATGAAAAGAAAGTTTTTAATGCCCATTTATATGACTCTTCCTGCTCATTTTGCATAAAGCAAAAGGCAACACTGAATGTCGTATTTGATGGTGAAACGCCTATAATATGGAGTAACGGCATCTCATAGCGATTCGTCTTATAAGTGCAATCTAAAATGAATACCCTGTTAAACTGATTAGCGTATTGAATCGATTCTGGGTGAGCAAACATAAAAAATGTAATACATCCTTCTATATCTTGTTTGAATGCAAACTTCCACTTATGGATAAGTAGTTGCTCTTGAAGATATTGTATTGGAGTACGCCCAGCAAGTTGTTCACGCAGAAAGGCCTTCCTGAGGTTATATAAATCCATTGGTATAATTAGCAGAGTAGGGTCACTCTTTTTGATCAAGCTGATAATCTGCCGTGGAGGGATACCCTCATCAAGCTGATTACAGATGGTAATTCGCTGTTCTGAAGTAATCGTACGCGCCGCTGGATGGGCAATTAAATCACCCTCAAGCTCATGAGAATGTTCGAGATTTTTCACCTTTATACGCCATCTACCATCGGCTTGGGGGCCTCTTGAATGAACGTATCCATAGAGTCGGAAGCTGCATCCAATTCGCCTAGTACTAGTCCTCCGGCGTTTTGCCCCGTCCAGTGCGTTGATCCGGTCAGTATACTCACCACCACGGTCGCAGCCAATAGTGATATTCTTGCCAGGATTAGATCGAATCGTAGTGATAACGTAGCCCTGAGACAAGGCGTAGCGACGGAGTTCTGCAAGCATCTTGTCTCGGGACTCGTAAGCTTGATCAAATGGGGTTTCCATAGTGAGAAATGAGTGAGAAATTGAGTCAAATAGCGAGTCAAATAGTGAGTCAAAAATGTTGCTGATTTGCGTCGGAAGCATCAAATAATAATAATAATTAGGTGCATACTGTTGCCATAGTAATTAGTTGGGGAGTGGTGAGGTGAGATTACATAACGACAAATATTACATAATCAGTTGTGGTGTGGCTACTAAAAACTTGTGGTGTCCCTACTAATTCCCTTATTATTATTATTATTATTATTATTAATCAAGTTTATTATCCGTACCCAGCCCTACTGGCTATGACAGACCACTGGAAGCCTTGGTGACACCCTACTGGCCTCACCCCTATCAGAGTCATACATGCAAAAATAAAAAAAACCTCGCGCACCTATGAAAACCCACGCAGGTAAAAAGTACTGCTGGAAAGAATCTCAGTGAAAATAGACCTCCTTGACAGTGTATTTACCAACTTTCGCCTGCTCAATCGACGTGGTTGAAGCATGGGCCCGAAAAGAGGTAAAAAGGGCACTCCGTGGCCAGAACCACGGTTTGCAGATGACCCTGATATACGCGCATACGTAGCTGCAGCCATCAAAGATCTCGAGGCACTGAAGAAGCACCAAGTGTCGGATTGGTCGGTTTATTCCAGGCCAATCCTGAAGAGTGTTTTACTAGGATCAAAGAAAAGAAGTGACTAGCAAGATTGTATGTATTGAGTTCTGTGTCTGTCTTTCAAGTTTTTAAAGCCGGGTCCTTTATAGACACCTTTGGCGGGGTGATTTGTGAGCTATCAGGAGGGGTAAATATTGGGCTGAAATCTAGGTGCCCAGATATATGCCTAAAGGTGCCTTTTAGACCTGTAAGATTGAACAGTCGATCTTTCTGCCTCGTTTGAAAGCCGGATTATCTGACACACCCCCTCAGCTGCAGAAAGCAACTGCTTGCAAAGCTGGAATAGCTTCATAAGTTGTCGGGCACGTCATTGAGAGAAAGTAATTCTTCGATATCCGGGTTCTCCATATCCTTTTGCTGGGGAGTGAGATAGCTGTCGATATCCTCTACTCCGATTTGATTGAGGAACTTTTGGTGTTCCTGTTTGCTGAGTGCCTTGGTCAGGCCGTTGGCAATCATATCTTTTATGGGCATGTAGTGCACTTGGATGTCTCCCTTCTGCACCTCTTGTCGTACCCAGTGATTATGAATATCGACGTGTCGGAGCTTCGTACGCAGTCGCGGAGCGTCCTTCTCCAGCAATCCTAGAGTTTGCTGGTTATCGCAGAAAACGTGAAGAGTAGGTGTTCTAAAACGTATCTCCAACTCCAGAAGCAATTGAAGGACATATTTGCCTTCTTTCACCCCCTGAGCGAGAGCTAACAGTTCAGCTTCAGTGGTTGACGTTGTTACCGTATCCTGCTTGTTCGCTTGCCATCCTATCGTTCCACCAAAAAGTGTCATGACGTATGCTTACGAGCTCTTACGGTCAAGTGTATTATCTGCAAAGGAGGCGTCTGTTGATACTGAATAATCTTCACCTCCTCCAAGCCTCAAGGCGTACGCACGATGACGTTCGAGGTAGCATAAAACCTTGTTAGCAGCTTGATGGTGCTTTGGTCCGGGATTTGACAAGAACCGTGAAAGCCGTGAGACGGCAAAAGCCACGTCAGGTCGAGTGCTTACTGCCACGTACATGATTGAGCCAACTTTTCGTTGATATTGATGGTTACTTTTGTAGGTGGCCATTCCTTCGTATGGGAGTAATTCTTCTCGAGCCATTGGTGTGTCGTCAGTTTGTCGAGTGTCGGCTAACTTCGCAATTTTATCGATATAGGTGGCTTGACTGAGCTAGATCACCTTATTGCTTCGATCCCGTATAACTCTCATACCTAGGAACCACTCCAGGTCTCCTCCTCCGGATATTTTGTATTTGGCACGAAGTTGGTTCATGACTGAGTCAGCTTCTGGTTGGTGGCTCTTCTTATATGCGACAACGATATCGTCTACATAAAAGAACAGTATGATCCCAGATTTCAACATGCAACACGGTTCGTGAGGCACTGTTTTGAAACCCAACTCTACGAGGGTGCTGGTAAGTTCCTTTTGCCATAGGAGTGGTGATCTACGCAATCCGTAAAGAGCCTTGTTCAGTCGATATATTTTTCCAGACTCACGATATCCAGGAGCCATTCTCATAAAGATCTCTTCGTCCAGTATGGCATTAACGAAGGCATTGACAGTGTCATATTGCTTGAGTTCCAGATTGAAGCGCGCAGCAATAGCCATAAATGTCCTAAAAGATCTCGCAGCAAGAGTAGCAGCATACGTGTCCCTTGTATCATCTCTTTTCTCTTGATCACCTCTTACCACGAGTCGTGCCTTGCACTTGACTAGACGACCTTTCTTGTCCTGCTTATAGACATATACCCACATACAATCGAGAATCTGCTTTCCTTTTGCCTTACCGATAGGCACCGTTGTCCAAGAGCCAGATGGATCGTGACTTTTAAGATGATCTCTCTCAGCCTCCTCAAATAACCAACCTAAAGGATGTTTTTCCACTTCACGGTGACTCTTGGGAGCAGGCGGTAGGTCGCGGACTAGAACTGACTGAAGTCGACGTCCTGACCTTAGACGTCATTAGAGGCTCACGTGATCAAATTTGACTGTGTTCACCTCATACTGACGATGTCGTGTGCCTGCTAGAAAAGCAAACCTCCAAGGATTGAGCTCTCCTCGTTGCGTAGTCAAAGCAGCGGCGACGGTTTTAACAGGAGCCTCTCTGAAGCCTACCCCGTTCTTCTCAAGCGACCCTCTGGGTCCGTCCTCAAGGATATGCCTGCCATGAGCCTCTCTGAGACCTACCATGGAGTCACGCAGATTGGGCGACCCTCTGGGCCTGTCCCCAAACTCAGCACGCGATCCTCTGGACCTGACCGTGCCTACACCATCAAGAGCCCCTCTGGGACCTTCCTTGGTGGTTGCTTCCTGAACAAGCGACCCTCTGGGCCTGACCCCGCCAGTTGACGTTCCAGCTGCGTGCTCAGAGCTCTGACGGAGGTTGAGGTCATTTTCATGGACGATAGTTATGCTAGCCGCCAACAGTGCGCTCGGAGGCGTATCTGGAGGTGTAGGATAAGCATATTTATCAATCCCCTCTAATAATCCTTCTCCTGGCATCAGAGATGGGCCGCTTGGATAGTCCGAATCAAGCTGACTTGAATCTTCAAATCCAGAACCAGTCACCGAGCCTGTTGTTGTCATACGCTCATCGTTGTGCCTATTTCCGTCAAACACCAAATCCTCCATCTCATCTCCAAAGTTAGCATTATCTTCGACTTCACCTGACTGTACTCGGATATCTATCTTGTTCAGCAAGATTGTCAGTTCTTCAACAGACACATGAAGGAGATCATCCTTGATATCTTGGATATCTCCACTGAAGACTTCATCCTCGTTAAAAATAACGTCCCTTGCTCGCACGATCCTCCCTGTCGAAGGATTCCAAATCCTATAAACATTTGTTGAGTCATATCCAACGAGATAGCCTACCCATGCTCGCGGATTGAAGCGTTGAAGTCGATTTTTCTTGAGTTGATACTCCGATGTGAGGGCATATGCTTTACAGCCATATACCTTCAGGTGAGCAAGCTGAGGTTTCTGATCTTGTATGCAAATTCCATTTTGCAAAGCAACGTAAGTATGGAACCTATTGTATGGCGTTTTCCAGTTGTACATGAACTTCGGGGTACAGTTGTAAAGATAGATTGAGGCTCGGTATATTTCTGACCATAAATCCGTAGGTAACTTTGCACCATTTCTCATGGCCCTAGCCTTATCCTTGATGACACCCCCTGAGCGCTCAGTGGCACCGTTTTGTCCTTGATTATTTGCCGTTGAGGGCTCGATAGTAACATGTTTGGTAATCAGCCACTCCTTTATCTCAGGTCGGTGTAAGAATATCTCATTATCTATCTCAATCTTGATCGGACTAACATCATGGTGCTTTTTCAGATATTCAAAGAACCATTTCAGAGTTTCTAAGATCTCCACGCTTTTGTGCGACGTCATATAAAAGTCCCAGATAAAACCGCTAAATCGATCAGTTATAAGCATCAATGTCTTTTCTCCATTCATTGAGCTTTTCTGAAAGTCATGAAAATCAATCGCTAGATGCACGCCAGGTCGTTCCACAATATTTCTTTCTTCTCATCGTATGATTCGTCTGGCTTTTGCCCTTCCACAGGCTTCACACTGTACAGTGGTAGGACCTTTGGATAGGCCAGTCACTCTTACACCTTTTGTCGTTGTGGCAAGGTGTTCGATAGCTTGGGGTCCAGGATGGCCAAGGCGAGCATGCCATCTCTTAGCGTCAGCTTTTCGTTCTTTTCTGACTGTCCACGAATTGAAGCGGTGCCGTCGTATCATGAAGGCCATTTTTACGAGAGGATGGTCGTTGGCGATATGTTCGAGTACAAATTGACCTTCCCTCTCTTTTACATATGCAAGGACTTGATTTTTCTCGTTCCGAAGGCAGTCGAAGCCTCTTCTGGTGTCCCACCAGATTCCATGCTTTCTTAGTTGTTGGAAAGACACCAGGTTTGCCACAAAGTCCTTGCAGTATGCCACGTTATAAAGGCGCAGAATTTGAAGTCTTCCACCAAGGCCGTGGATTTCGATATCCACTTCTCCATATCCTAAGACAGGTACTTGGTGGGTGCCTGCCCATAGGAAGTCTCCTGCTGTCGCTTTCCGGAAGTTCACAAACCTTTCTATCTCATTAAAAACGTGAATTGATGACCCTGAATCCAATAAAGCTGAATGTTTTAAAGGATATTCGTTAATTGACAGTGCAGCCAAATCCTTTTCCATGCGAATGTAGCAGGTCGATTTGCAGCTGCCTACTGCCGTCTTAAAGAGTCAATTCGAACTTGCTGTTTCTCCTTGGAAAGTCACCTCATTCTGAGTATTTTGAGTTATAGGTTCTCGTCGCTCTTGGGATTGACTTCTAGAGTGAGATCGTTCTTTCCTTTGAGAAGGAGCTTGTCCCTGTTCTTTGGTTAGTACACGTCTTACCTCTTTTGCTAATGGTGCATTGCTGTTAAGCCATCTATCGGCTCTTTGTTGAAGCCAAAGTCTTGGCTCAAACTCTTGAGGAGCCTTATAACCAAAAATATAGAAGCAGAAGTCAATAAAGTGCATGCCTCCGCATGCAGGGCAGGTCGGTTCAGGTCCACCTCTTTTATCTGGAGCAAATCCGCTGCGCTGTCCTCCTTCAAATGATTGTGATCGCGAACGTCGTCGACCACGCTCCACAGCTCTCCCTCGCTGCAAGCTTTCTTCATTTTCTTCTTCGCTGTCGTCGCTCTTACCCAGATGAGTGGCGAAAGAGCCTTTTATTATATAGGATTGTCGTTTTGTACGGAGTCGTGGGATGAGTCTCCGGAAGCCATTTGACAGATCCTTATAGGTAAGAGATTTGTCATCAATCTTTGGATCGATTGAGTGCTCAAAAGACGTTACCCACGCCTCATCTAGTGGTCGAATAGCTTCGAGAAACCTAGATGCCCAGTCCTCCGTATCTTGGGCAAAGGACATGGATTTCTTCTTTCCTTGAAGCATGATTTCTTCCCACTTGATTAACCAAGCCTCCAGATCTCGCGGAGTGCCTCTGAAAGGTTTCATGTGCTGGTTATAGTCATCTCGTATTCATCACTGGATTTCTCGCGATCCTTGGCCAACTTGCGTCTTCAAGTTATTGTATGCTTCCTTCCAACTGTGTGTCACGTGCACACAGGTCTTAAGATAGCTGTGGCACACTGTCCGCTTCATCCATTCAAAGATTTTGTCGATGTCTCTACGCTAAACCTCCCACTCACTGAACTCCATTTTGTAGTTATTGAGACGTAGGTTGAAGTCATTTCTTGCCCTCTGTTCAGTGCGATCATCAGTTATATCTTCAGTTGCGGTGGTTTGGGTTGATTGAGCAGAGTTCTGACGCGTTCCTTGAGCTGCACCTACACGGTTTTGTGTAGTGTTCTGGGATTCAGGTAGATAGTCCTGTATCTTTGGTCGAACAGGTTTCTTGATTGGTCTCTCAGTTCCCTGGAGAATGGGAAGAAGATCATTGGCTCTGGCCCGATTGAGAAGTTCGTTTTGCCAATCGTCCCAATCCTCTGGGGAATTGAGCTTATACTTGGTGGCAATGTTGGACAACATGTTGATATAGAGCCGGTAGGGGTAGTCAGACTCTTAATTGTCGGATTGGTCGGTTTATTCCAGGCCAATCCTGAAGAGTGTTTTACTAGGATCAAAGAAAAGAAGTGACTAGCAAGATTGTATGTATTGAGTTCTGTGTCTGTCTTTCAAGTTTTTAAAGCCGGGTCCTTTATAGACACCTTTGGCGGGGTGATTTGTGAGCTATCAGGAGGGGTAAATATTGGGCTGAAATCTAGGTGCCCAGATATATGCCTAAAGGTGCCTTTTAGACCTGTAAGATTGAACAGTCGATCTCTCTGCCTCGTTTGAAAGCCGGATTATCTGACAGTCTCCAGCGCCGCCTAACTTACCGCATGTAGTTTAGCGCCGTTGGGATTTGGATATAATGTTGGGCTTTTGACCAACTAGACCTGGCCCCGAGGAGTTTCCTAGAAGACAAAATTGAACTTATCTGTGATATAGGAAGAGAGATCATATTGAGCTAGGATATTGGGAAAGATCCCGGGTAGTTGGGTTGAAGACGAAGAGGGCTGGAGGCGCGATGGAGGAAGATCCGGCCGTAACGACGCGTGCAGGACGCGTCGTAGTGCCGTCAACGAGAGCTTGAGAAGCTCTGGAAGGTGCTGACAGCACCGATGCCACCGCTGCAACTAGGAGGACGACATCAAAAGTAAAGCCAACTGCAGTTAGGAAAGCTGCTAACCAGATTGAGGAGAGACAGTACGCTCAGGACGAAAACCAAGCGATGCTTAGAAAGATGTTTCAGTACTTAGAGGGCACCTATCAGGAGATCAAAAATTTGAAAGAAACACTCAATAAACAAGAAAAAATCATCTAGGAATAAAACGACATGATTAAGGGACTACAGGCCTAAATAGAAGCAACCCAAAGCCAATCTGCGGAAGACTGCAAGCAACTCCGGGAGTAGCTGGACACCATCGCGAAAGCACCAGCCAACGTAGCTCTAATGCAGACCAATTCATAGCCATCATTTGCAGATATAACCAACAGCCAATCTGTTCACTAATATGGTATACGCCTAGGCCCTCTCGGCCCTCCAGTGCCTCCTACAATAACTAATACACTATTCTGCACAATTAATACGTCTCGCATTAGAGAAGAAGACAAATCCAAGGCGCAGATAGCCAATGTCAGACAAATGATCAAAAAGGAGATACAAGGAAATGAAGAAATGGAGACCTGGCGCTGTGCAGCAGTAATTAAGGATCCAAAGAACGCGGATCAAGTCAAATTATTTGTAGACAGGAGGACAAGATCATACAGGTCAAAGAGGCTGCCCAAAAGTTAAATATACCAGGATGGAAAGTGTTATGAGATCAGCTCTACCCAGTCAAAATTGACAACGCTAGCCAGACAGCGATCCTAGATATGGATGGTAATGTCCTGCTAGGAGCAGTCGAGGCCTTAGGAAAAGAGAACAATATCGACATTGCCAAGATAACCTGGCTTAGCAAGAAGGACTCTAATAAAGCGTATAGATCTATGATGGTATATATCATCAAAGGAACAGACGCCAAACGCCTACTAGAAGGTAACTACTTCAACATAGCAGGAGAATCTGCATACACTTGAGCCTTTGAACCACGCACAGGACCATTTCAATGTTATAACTGTTAAGAGATAGGACATAAGTCTTTTTCATGTAAAAAGACCCAGATATATTGATTGATTGATTGATTGATTGATTCATACACGCATCTAAGCCTAGTGGCCGGCGGCGCCTTCTAATTGGGCAGCGGGCGTACTACCGTATAAAAGCATAAATCAACGTCAACGTGCCAAGACGCTTCCGGCTTGGCGCTGACTTAGTCAACTCCACGCGAAAGTCTCGACACGTATCCGTATCCAGATCCGAGGACCACCAACAACAGATAACGAGCGAACAGAACGCCGAACCAACAAAGGAAATGTGTATATATACAAAAAGAGTGAAGGATCTCGGTGCGGGGTGACGTGATATTTATGTTTTGGTGCCCAGTTCTATTTCCAAACGTGTCAAGTGGCTGATCCGTCCGAGCCGAATCAACGTGGTTACTCTTCATCAGGGTAGTGTCGCACTCACTGTGAGCGCGTGGTTGTTAAGGGGGTTATATGATGGAACTGCGTCAATAGACCAGTCCGCATCATAAATTCAATACTCTGCCGAACCCACTGAGGTTGATTGATTGATTGATTGATTGATTGATTCATACACGCATCTAAGCCTAGTGGCCGGCGGCGCCTTCTAATTGGGCAGCGGGCGTACTACCGTATAAAAGCATAAATCAACGTCAACGTGCCAAGACGCTTCCGGCTTGACGCTGACTTAGTCAACTCCACGCGAAAGTCTCGACACGTATCCGTATCCAGATCCGAAGACCACCAACAACAGATAACGAGCGAACAGAACGCCGAACCAACAAAGGAAATGTGTATATATACAAAATGAGTGAAGGATCTCGGTGCGGGGTGACGTGATATTTATGTTTTGGTGCCCGGTTCTATTTCCAAACGTGTCAAGTGGCTGATCCGTCCAAGCCGAATCAACATGGTTACTCTTCATCAGGGTAGTGTCGCACTCACTGTGAGCGCGTGGTTGTTAAGGGGGTTACGTGATGGAACTGCGTCAATAGACCAGTCCGCATCATAAATTCAATACTCTGCCGAACCCACTGAGGTTCGCTAAGGAGCTTCCGATAATCTGTTTCGCGTGCTTCTTTCCAGAGAGTCTCCATACGCAGGTTTATATGGGTAGGACACCGTATGAGGACGTGGGCCGTATCCTGATCCCCAAGGCCACATTCGCATTGAGGTGAGTCTTCAATCCGTACACTCGCTAGGAAGCTGCGTAGCGCTGATTTACCTGTTTGTAGTTGGATTAACACTGAACTCCAAGCCCGTCGTAATCCCTCGTGCAGCTGCAACACCATCTTCGTTGGTGCTTTGATTATCCGATAGAGATGCCGTCCATGGTTGGCATGCTCCCACTGTTCCTTCCACCTCTTTGCAAAGCCTGCATGTAGCCTCTGGCGACACACTGCCATAAGGATAGTTGACTGATTTGGAATATACGACATTCGTGCGGCGTGTGGTGTAGTCTGATTGGGTGCGCTGATCCTGGCTATGCGGGCGTTCTCCTGTGTACGCCGTGTCGCCTCGACTGCAGCCAACTTTGCCAGCTGGTCTGCTTTCTCGTTGCCTGGGACCCCTTCGTGGCCTGGCACCCACTGTAGTCGTACACGCCATCGAGATCGGTTGTCGCGTAGGAGGCCCAGGTGTCGTACGATCCGTCGAAGGATATACTGCCCAGAGGACCGCCCTGGCTGGCATGTGGCGCGTATTGCGGCTTGATTATCTGTGTAGATTGTGGCTTCGTGTGGGTTGTCGTCGCATGGCTGGCTTCGGAGTAGGATTTCCAATGCCGCATCGATTCCCTCCAGTTCCCCTGCATAAACAGTATGTGTGTCAGATGAGCCTACTGGCTTATAAGCCTGTCCTATTGATGAGTAGACCGCTGCCCCAATCCCATTGTCAAAGCCGCTCCCATCGGTAAAGAACTGTATTGTTGTATCTGTTCCTGAGATTGCTTCAATAGCCTTGATAGCCTCCTCACGGGTATCGTCAATCCTTGCTTCTGGTGGCTCCCACCACGGTGGCACTACAAAGGGGTAGATTGTCTCGATGCGTTGGCTAGTATCACTCCCCAGTTTGCGGTCGATGGCTGTTTCCAATCGATGAAGTGGCGACGTGTATGGGTCGTTACAGTGGGCTTGGCCACGTATTTGGTAAAGCGTAGATCGAAGTGGTGAGGTCATGATCCGCAGGCAGGCCTCCTCAGCCAGCTTTGCGAGCGTGAGCTCTGCAGGTGGTACATGGAGACAGACCTCTAGGGCCTGTCGTGACGTACGTTTGAACGCGCCGGATATCTGGTGAAGAGCCTGATCCTGGATCGATCGGATGGCTTGCTCTGCAGCTCGCTGCGCACCGGTGAACCCTCTTCCACCTCGTATATACCACGTGGAGCACGCGTACATGATCTGTGGTTGGAGGACAGCCGTGTATATCTTCCTTAGATGAACCAGGGGCGTTCCCCATGTCGATCCTGCGATTGAGCTTAATCCCGCCACCAGTTTTGCAGCCTTCTTTCTCATCTCCTGTACGTGCACTTCCCCAGTGAGGTGGGTATCCAGATAAACTCCTAGATATTTGATTGAGTCCGTAGGCTTAATTTCTACTCCCTTGATTATGAGAGGTACATCCAGCCTACCACTCGGCTTAGGCACCATTTGGTGCTTCCGCCAAAAGTGGGTAAGTTGATATTTGGCAGGCGCAAATTTAGAGGCATGTGTCCTCTCCCAGCGCTCTGCAACCTGGTGTACTTTGGTGAGTGTGTGGCAGTTGGCTGCGGCGGAGGTCCCATATGTCATGATGAAGATGTCGTCAATATATCCAAGTACAATCACGTCCGGGCACTCGGCGAGTATCTGCTCAATAAGATCTGCATTAAAGAATAGGAATAGGATTGGTGACAATGGGGAGCCCTGCGGAATGCCTGTATTGACTAGAAATTCCCCCATATTGCCCTCTAGGAGTGTGATTGACGTGCGGCGATTGCTTAGAAAGCTCTCAATCCAGCCAATCAGGTCATCTGGCACCTGGCGCTTTCGTAGGTCGTGTATCAGCCTTATATGATTGACGTTGTCAAAAGCCCCTGCCGCGTCAAGTGCAAGCCCTGAGGCTACTCGTGAGCCCTCTCTCCACGCACTATGGGTCTCTTCTAGTAAGAGATGGATTGCTAGTTCGCATGAGCGGCCGCGACGTCCTCCAATATGTTGCTTTGGTAAAAGATTATATTGCTCCACTAGATAGCTGAGACGTCTGGCTAACACTGATTCTAGTGCTTTGCCAATCGTGCTCAGTAACGCTATTGGGCGGTACGCCTTTGGATCAGAGTAATCAGGCTTTCCAGGCTTGCGAAGGATGACTGTTGTCGACTTTCG